CTTCTGTGTGGATCCTCAGAGACGAAATCACCCTGGCCCCATCGGTGTGAATGTCAGCGGAATGTCGCCCTGTTCATGAGTCGAGCGTTATCCGATGCTAAAGGTCTTTTTTTTGCATGCGGTGAAGTTACGACCTCGTTTCCAACTGTCGTAGCGACGATTTTTTGTGTTTGTATTGGACTACTAAGTACTGTGCTTCGCGTTCTAAGTATGTACACAAGAGCCTTCAACAGAGCTCAATTATGCCAAATTATTTGCCAAGGAGTGACACACGTTCGCGACAGTGAATTAACAGTGCTATTTCCTGGCCCTTCTGGTTCCACAGGTGGTCTACCTTGGGGCCACTCCTGAGTACTTGTGTGACGATGAGCAACCTGTCGCGTAAATACTTGCAGCAAAATCATACTAGCGGTGAGGTACGCATCCGTGTTGTCCGACTCCGTCCTTCTTCGCCTGGTAGTTAGTCCCGATACACTATACTAGTAACTGTACCACCGGGAGACCTTGAACATACTCCTTGATATGTATTCTTCGCTTCTCATCCAACATAGATCTCCGTCGGGCAGGATATGGAGGAATTGCTGGCCTCTTCGTGCAACCGGTATGTTATCATGATTCAATACCGGAGATCCTGACATCTTCTCAGCACGGTATAAGGGATTCAGAGAAACAGTCATAGCAGAAATCCACAGAAAACTCGGAGACAAAAGACCACAGAAAACAAGACGGATCGAGCCCTTAGGACGTCCTAAGCCCGACCGCAGACCTTATCCACTTCATCCATCCATATCATCAGTCCAAAGAAGAGGGGAAAAAAGCAGACAATTCGACTCCCCCCCACCTTACAATCCTCCTATCGAACGTCACATAAGACGACCGAACCCACCACCCAATACTCAGAGCAACAAGTCGTCCCCTCCTCCCCCACTCCCCGCCGCAGCGCCACCACCACTCGACCCCCCAAAGCTCCCAAAGCTCCCCATACTTGCCGGCCTCGCCTGTCCCCCACCCGCCGCCCCACCCCACATCTTCGCATTCGCCTTCTCCTTCTCCAAATCCTTGATGCTCTTCCCCGCACCCGGTGCAGTGGGCGTCGCAGGCTTCGACGCCGAAGAGCCCAACGACATGCTCCACAGATCCTCAAAGTTACCTCCTCCAGCTGATTTCGTTGCGCCCCCACTTGCGGCCGAAGCGGTTCTTCCCGGAGCTATGCCGCCACCCATACCCATACCCATACCCATGCCCATGCCCATGCTCATACTCCCAGCCCTCGCGGTATGCGAAGACGTAGGCGTCATCGCCGCAGAGCTGAAATACGAAGGCGCGGCGCCTTGGCCCGTACTAGAAGCCGAAAGCGGCGACGCAGCATACGACGGCGGACGGCCTTGCATAGACACAGCGGGAGACATAGCAGGGCTATTGTTGAATGCGCCAAAAGACTGATTCATGGGCTGCTGAACGGGCGGTGAGCTCGCAGAACGGGAGGGTGTGATCGTGCTGGCGTTGGCGTTGTTGAGGAGGTCCATGAGGTTTGGTTTGCCGCTTGAGGCTGGTGGCGCGGAGGGTGGTGCGGCTTGGAAGTCTGCGAAATCGTCGTCGGCTATCGATTCCATCGTAGCGTGAAAAGTGATCAGTGCCACGTCCTGTACAGTATTCGTTCCCTAAAAAGGCTTACCATCAGCATTAGGGACGTTCAAAGGCGCCAGTGCCGGCAGAGCCTTGTCGGTTCCTGTAGCCGGAGCAGCGGTGGTTTCATCATCGAATCCACCCAGGAGATCGACTTCTGGAGCGGGTGCAGGTTTCGGTGCAGGTGGGGCCTGGGTGAAAGCGCGGGTGGTGCTAGTTGCGGTGGCAGAAGGGCGTGTAGAATGCGAGAGGGAACCAGAGCGTCGGGGTGCTTCGTAGTCGCCAGCATCGTACTCTTCGAATCCGCCGCGTCGTGTTTCGTCCCTGAATCCACCACTGCTACCACCTCCACCACCGGAGTAGCTGCCTCCTCCGTAATCTAGGAAGGACAGCATATCAGTGATTCTTCGTTGATTTGATTGTAGTGCTGAACGAACCTCTGTCCACCCCACCAGAGCTTCCGCCGTAGGACCCTCCGTAGCTGGAACCTCCTCCCAGACTATCGCTGCCAAATCCTCCATATCGACTCCCACCCGAAGAGAAGCTGAGACCGTCGTTGCCCGTCCCGATATATTTATTTTTGTTTTGCTTAGCCTTCCGTCGTTCCGTGCGAATCTTCTCCACGTCAGACAGCAACTCTACAAGCTCCTTCGACCGATTGCGCACTGAAGAATAAAATAGATGTTCGGTGATAGGACTAAAGGATGGGGAGGAGGGCTGACGAACCGTTGATGCCCTGATCTTTGCCCTTGTCGTCGATATAGTGGAAGCTACGGAGCATTTTGATGGTGGATATGTGGGAGCGGGCATCGTCGACGACACGTTCGCTACCGTGCTTTACGAGGTATTCAAGAAGTTGTAGCGCCTGAAAGAAGATCAAAGTGAAGTCAGAATCCATGGAGATGCGACAAAACTGACGAATAATGGGGGGCCCTTGTGAGGTTGGACCATGCGCACTTGTGGACCAGAACACGGTAAAGATGATCATTTAGATATCCATCAAGCGCAGGGTGTAACAGCCTGTGTAACGCCGCTAGGACACAAGTGCGAACAAGGGCAACGTTGACGTACCTTGTAGATTTGCCTCCATTGACGCGCCTCCTTCTCCATGAATTGGGAATATATACATGGCATGATCTCGTTGAAGTTTTGGCTGATGGCGGGAAGTAGACATCAGGACGCTACTCAGATAATCCTTTCTTCATACAAAAGCACGTACAAGTTAAATGTCCTGTACATGGCCAAAGCCTCCATCGTCAGTCTAAACGCGAGGTTCAAGTCACTGAACACGTACCCTTGTGCGATCTCTGTCATAAGCGTCGAGCTCGCACCCCTTGTAAGCCGTCACGCTTCAGCATTCGCTCTACCGCCGACAAAACAAATATACAATTCCGCAGACTCACCAAGGATCATCATTTGTCGCCTCTCTGACCTTCGCCTCCATCTCGCTCACATTCAACACGACGTTCTTTGCCTAATTTGTCCGCCCGAAACGCGCTTCAGCCTCTGATATGCGGACGGTGCTGAACAGACCAAACGCACCTGATTGTACATACTCTTGATATCGTACATCGTAAGATTCGATATCGTATTCGTGAGGGATTCGATTCGATCCATGGTGGCTAGTTATGAGGGAGAGGGTGAGGCGACGATGCACGGTGTGGTGGCGGTTGCTGGCAGAGTTCGCAGTCCGGACAAGCGCCCGGGCGCGGCGGTGACATGCTACAAATGAGCTAACGAAGTGTTTTGTAGTTCGACTACAGTTGACTACGATTACTTGGTAGTACATCACGCGGACTGTTCCGAGGCTCGCTATCAGTAGGTCGACCACCACCACCACTGCCGAAGGCAAAATCCATCGATCCTCTCGTTCTTGTATCTGCTTGCTGCCTCGCGTGAAACATGCCTGTGTTTAGCAGCCCTCATGATATCCGCCTGAAGTGGGTTCGTCTGATGAAGACTAACCCTCAGCGTGTTATAGACATCTTTGACCTGCCGCATCCCCGAGCAGAAGGTATCCAGAATAGATGGGGTGATACATGCATGGTATGGTGATGTCTATAGAACACGAAGACTGCCCGTAGGAATCTATCTTTCTCAACCATTTTTTTTTCCTTTTTGAAGGACATTCCATCATGTGCTCGTGCACTGGAAGATTTACTGAGAGACTCTGATTGCCCTCCATTGGTTTGGGATAAACTGGTCCGTGCTGGGATCATCGATAGATTGTGCGAATGTGTTGCAGGACTTCGCGAAACACTCAACTACTTGTTTCCTGTTGGGGAGTCAATTATTGACGTGGTAGGTTGCCAATTCGGTCTCCAGTATTGAGAGCAGGGTCTATGCTGACCTTCATTTCCCTCTTCATTGACAGTTTAATACACCGTACTATTGCTCGTTCAAATTATTGTTGGAAGTAACGAACCGGTCCAGGTTTCGATCGCCGTTGACTCCGACTGACTTGACCGTCATCGCGACTCTTCGCAGATACTGGCCGAGCATGATGCGACGCGTGAGCGTCCATTTTTCCAGCATATGCCAATTGACTGACTGATTCACCTACTAGATATGGCATGATCCCCAATATACCCTTGATCCACGACAGAGTGAGGCCACCAGCCGCGGGATCGTTCAGCTCGTAGCGGTCCAAGTGGGGATCACAGATCCGTCATTTTGTGAGGTACTACTGCCCGTATCCTCTCGCAGGCGACTGCCTATCATTTCTCTGATGATTTTATGTAATTTGTAGATGATGCGCTCTGAAGAAGACCTTACTCTTTGCGTGTCTGTGCGGTACTGGATGTCTTCGATGGAAGGCTTCGACTTCATGTTGTTGCGGCACCTCACAACCTCGATTTATCCCCAGGATGTCCGCAATTTTGATGAAGCCAACGCCGAGGGGTTTCGTGTACTCTTTCGTGCCGTCAAAAAAGGGGCAGGGTCGTTTCGCAAGTTCCTTTCTAAACTGGAATCTGCGTTCGCGCAGTTCCAAGGAGGGGAGGCTAGAGAGGCCGTTCAACTTTTGCATGTGTATCTCATCTACGCCATCTACCACACCCCTTGTCCAGCTGATAATGATGCAACAGAACCAAGCTTTCTACATACAGTGACTACATCAGTCACCCTATGGAGAAAGTTGTTCCTCCTTCTCAATAGGGCGGCACACGATCGTAGAGTTTGGGGCCCAGGCGAAGCTGGGACAGTTTATGAAGGAGTCTTAGAGCTTCTCGGGATTTCTCTAAGCAAGGTCATGACCCACCATTCGGCTGAGGCACAGGGCTTTATCAGTGCTCTCACCCGAGCAGGCCTGTTTGACGCCTTGGATGTGGCTCTGCCTATATTCGCAAGCACTCACAAGGCGATCACTATCCGTACGTGTTTGTTGGTGTTTTCCCATGCATTCTCAACGAGAAGGCTGAGTCATTATTACTCCTAGATTGTATACCACTGTTGATGGCTTCCATCAGAGAAGAACTATCAGCTCGCCCCGCCATTCTTCATGGCATCCGGAAACAGCTCCCCCGGCCGCGTTCCGTACGAGCTCTTCTTGATTCTGTGCCCTCTGGCGAGAATAAAGTTCCAATTCCTCGGATATTCTCTCCACCAGAGATATATAATCATATCGAAAGGGGGGAGACGATGCACATTCGCCCCTGGTACGAATGGTTTCTTGTGGAATACAACTGTTCGGTTGAGAAGCAATGCATGCGCCGAGGTTGTACGGAACGTAGGAGAGCAAGGTGCAAGGCTTGTATGTCACAGGAGTATTGCGGGAGTAACTGCCAGAACTTGTAAGTGGTTATGTCTGCGTGTAGGGTATTGTCTCCATGCGGACTACTTAACAAACCTCCGCAGGGACTGGTCCGAGCACCGCCTCCTCTGCGGCTACAAACTCGATATCATCGAGGGAAACATGGTGACCCTACGAATGCCGTTCAGATTCTCTACCGACGCTTCCTAGGTCCTTCTAGAAGACGGCACGCACTTTATACAACTCAATTCTCATGGCAGGGCAACTTTGGACGTCACTCCAGCTATGCCTATCTACCTTCTTCATGTGACACGTTGTAGTAGTATTTTGATATCTATCTACTCGATGAATCTGAAGAGGAATGCGCGGCCTTTACAGAGCCGAATTACGATTACTGATAATGTATATGGTATAGTTCGCTATCTTCTGTATATCAGAAGAGGTCAGTGGCGTGGATACGAGTAAAATGCATAGTGGCAGTGGAGGGAAGTCGAGTACTAAAGATCAGTTCGTCGTAGTGGTGTGGCGGTGGCAACATGTCATTCCCCATCTGGCTCTCCCTAACATCCGTCTCGCCAGCGAAAGACAGCATCAACGTCATCAAGCCCAGTAATGACCCTACTCAGAAAATAAATCCTTCAAGTCGGGTGTATCACCGTCGTCGCCAGCCTCAGCATCGATCCGTTCCAACCCCTCCTCGCCTTCGATACCCCGCATCACCAGCCCAATGATTCGTACTGCCCGCTCCTGTTCGGGGTCCAGCGATCTCGAGCCCGAACCTCGCTCCTTCTTCGATTTCTAGCCCCTTCCGCCTTCCTTTTTGGCCGATCCACGTTTATACTTATAAGTACCTCGAAGTCGTCTTTGTCGTCGGGGGAGGGGCTGGATGAGGCGGGAGATTTAAATTGAGGTAGCACGGGACTGGGACTCGGACTGTCAGACAGATGATCCTCGCTTGCCCGGTTGAAATCTAGTCTACTCTGCCTTTGGGAGACTGGCAGAGTTCGCAGTCCGGACAAGCGCCCGGGCGCGGCGGTGACATGCTACGAATGAGTTAACGAAGTGTTCTGTAGCTTGACTACAGTTTACTACGATTACTTTGTAGCACATTACGCGGACTGTTCCGAGCCTGTCATCCGCCTTCGGTAGGTTCGACTCCGACCACCATCTCAGCACCATCACAGGCAAAATTCAACGATCCTAACGTCCTTGTGTCTACTTACTGTGCATGAAACATGGCTATGCGTATGGACTGTACTCCCGAGCTCCGCCTGAAGTGGGTTCGTCTGATCAAGACGAGTCCTCAACGTGTTATGGGCATCTTTGACCTGCATCCCCGAGCAGAAGGTATCAAGAACCGATGGGGTGATACATGCATGGTATGGTAATGTCTATAGCACAAGAGGAAGACGCCTACGAGCTCATCTTGCTCACCTATTGTCTCCCTTGAAGGACATCACACCATGTACTCGTGCGATAGAAGATATACTGAAGTTAGACTCTGATTGCCCTCCGTCGGTTTGGGGGAACCTTGTCCGTGCTGGGTACATCGATAGATTATGCGAGTGTGTTGCTGGACTCCGCGATGCACTCAACTACACTTCTCCTGCTGAAGAGCGAATCGCTGGTACGGAGCCCGCAGTAAGGTCCCAGCTCGCTCTCGAGTATCAAGAGCAGGTCTATTGCTAACATTCATGTTTCCTCTGCAGCGCCATACTTTCTACCATTGGTCGCTCACATTATTATTTGATGCGACAAATCGGATTCGAAAGCCGTTGACCCCGACTGACCTGGTTGTCATCGCTACTCTTCGCAAACACTGGCCCAGTATTACACGACGCGTGAGCGTCCATTTCTCCAGCCTATGTCAACTGACTGACTGGCTCGTCTATTAGCTATGGAATGATCCCCAAGGCACCATTGATCCACGAAAGTGTCTGGACCCCAATCGCGTAGTCGTTCAGGGTATAGCGATCCAAGCGGGAACCATGGATGCGTCGTTTTTCGAGGTATTTTCTCACAAATGACCGCCTGTCATTTATCTGATGATTTTCATGTAATTCATAGACGATGCGTTCCGACGGGGATCTTACTCTTTGCCTGTCTGTGCGGTACTGGATGTATTCGACATCGGGCAATGCCGTCCAGTTATTGAGACTCCTCACAGACTTGATTTATCCCGAGCACGTCCGCAATGCTGAAGAAGCCAACGCTGAGGGGGTTCGTATACTCTTTCGTGCCGTCAAAAAGGGGGCAGGGTCGTTTCGCAATTTCATTGCCAAATTGGAATCCGCGTTCGCACAATTTCAAGGAAGGGATGCTCAGGAACCCATTCTCCTTTTACATAACTATCTCGACTACGCCATGTACTACACCCCACGTCCGGATGGCAACGATGCAGCAGAACCAAGCTTTCTACGTACAGTGACTAAATCAGTCACCCTATGGAGAAGTTTGTTCCTCCTTCTGAATAGAGCGACACCCGACCGTGCAGTTTGGGACACAGGCGAAGCCGGGACAGTCTATGAACGAGTTTTAGATCTTCTCGGGGCTTCTGTGAGCAATGTGGGGAACCACCATCCTGCTGAGGCACGGGGTTTTATCAGTGTTCTCGGCCGAGCAGGCATGTTTGACGCCTTAGATGTGGCTCTGCCTGTATTCGCAAGCACTCACAAGGAGACTACTATCCGTACGTGTTTATTAGTGTATCCCCATACATTTTCGAGGAAAAGGCTAAGTGATTACTCCCAGATCTCATACCACTGTTGATGGAGTCCATCAGATACGAACTATTATCTCGCCCCGCCATTCTCTATGACATCCGGAAACAGTTCCCTCGGCCGCTCTCCGTACGAGCTCTTCTTGATTCTGTGTACTCTGGCGAGAACAGAGTTCCGATTCCTCAGATATTCTCGCACTCAGGCGTACGTTCTGCCATCGGAACGCGGGAGGCGATGCACATTCACCCCTGGTACGAATGGCATATTGTAGAATTCAACTGTTTGGTGGAGAAGCAGTGCATGCGCCGGGGCTGTACGAAACGTAGGAGAGCAAAGTGCAAGGCCTGTATGTCACAGGAGTATTGCGGGAGGCTCTGCCAGAACTTGTGAGTGGTTTTCTCTGTGTATAGAGCGATGTCTCGATGCAGACTACTTAGCAAACCTCTCTCCAGGGACTGGGCCGAGCACCGCCTCCTCTGCGGCTACAAACTCGATATTGTCGAGGGGAACATGGTGACCCTACGAATGCCGTTCAGATTCTCTACCGACGCTTCCTAGGCCCGTTCTCTTGTCAAAGACGGCACTCACTTTATACAACTCCAGCTACGCCTATCTACCGTCTTCATGTGACACGTTGTAGTAGTATCTTGATGTCTATCTACTTGATGAATCTGAAGAGGAAAGCGCGACCTTTACAGAGTCGAATTACGATTACTGATAATGTATATGGTATTGTTCGCTATATTCTGTATATCAGAAGAAGTCAGTGGCGTGGATACGAGCAAGTTACATCGTGACAGTGGAGGGAAGTTGGGCGGTAAAAATAAATTCGTAGTGGTGTGGCGGTGGCAACATGTCATTCCCCATCTGACTCTCCCTAACATCCGAGGTCTCGCCAAAGACAGCATCAACGTGATCAAGCCCAGTAATGACCCTACTCAGCAAACAAATCCTTCAAGTCGAGTGTATCACCGTCGTCGCCAGCCACAGCAGCCTCAGCATCGATCCGCTCCAATCCCTCCTCGCCTTCGATGCCCCGCATCACCAACCCAACGAGTCGTGAGGCTGCCCGCTCCTTCTCCGGGTCCAGCAGCCCCTTCGATCTTTTGCGTTTTCTGCCTTGCCTGTTGTCCGGTTCAGATTTATACTTATACCCCGGATACTTGATCGCATGAGCGGCAGCCACTGCCTGAGCCTTCTGTTCCCAATGCGCTCTTTCGTGTCCGGGGAGTTGATTCCAACAGGCGGCTGTGGCGTGACGAAACAGTTCGAAGCAATATAGTCAGAATATAGCATGAAGGACCACAAAAGGTGAACGATTCAAACACACCTATCCCCGGCAAAATGTACCTTTGGTTCAGATTCAACCCCTTCGAAAGCGGACTCTTCGCGATCTTTGCACCGAGGTCTATACGGAATAGCATGTACGAGTTGAGCGGTTTGGGGACTTTGACGTGGTCCGGATCGTTCTCTTTCTCGCCATTACCATTGACATTGTTCTCTTTCTCTTTCTTCTTCCCCTTTTCCTTCCCCATCCCCTTCCCCTTCCCTTTCTCTTTCTCTCCGGCCCCGTTCTCTTTCTCGGTGCCGTTTTTGGGCTTGGCGGCCCTCGCTCGAGCCTTCTCTGTGGTAGATTTGCTTCCCAAAGCCGAAGATGGGAGGACCGGTACAGCAATAGGTGTCGAAGAGGGATCGGGAATGCGTGAATTACCAGTAGTGAATTGACGCAGAGACTTCGACAGTGATGGAGGTGGCTCGGATAGATAAAGGTCGATACAACCTGCGATGAGTCGGAGCCCCTGCTGCAGGGGATCGCCGGTCGAAGACGACGATGTGGACGTGGACGGCGTAGTGAAATCTTGTGGGCCATCCTCTGGTTCTCGGCTCCTTTTAACACCTTGGATTGTTCATAGTGTCAATACTTATATCGCACAGGAAATATACGAAGATAGACATACCACACTCTACCGCTGGCGCCTCGGCACACGGACCATTGAGATTACCCTGGCGTCTGGCCTCGGACATGTTCGCCACACCCGAATCTTCACCACCATTCGACATTTCTTCCTGCCCACCGATGCGGGGATCCGATGTAGGGTCCACCGTGGACGTCCTAAGCGGAGGTATAACATACATCGCCCCCGCATTATCGCGTTCCGGATCATACCTACGCCTCAGCCTCGAACCCTCATCCCATTCCACACTCCCCTCCGGCAGGTTCAACCAAATCAAGGGATGAGGAGGCGGGGATGCATGGTCCAGAGACTTATCGAGAGTAGCGAAGGAGGGAAGTCGGATTTCTTCGTGCACTTGCTTCGAGGCAGATGTAGATGAAGTGTCGTCTTTGTCGTCGGGGGTGGGGTTGGATGAGGCGGAGTGGGAGATTGAGGTAGCACGGGACTGGGACTGGGACTGGGACTTGACTTCGTGCGCGTGTTCTGAGACAAATATAGATGAAGTGTCATCTTTGTCGTCGGGGATGGGGCTGGATGAGGCGGAGCGGGAGATTGAGGTAGCACGGGACTGGGACCGGGACTTGGATACGAGCTTGAGTCTTGGATGAACCATTTGAGCGAGCCGAGCCTGACGTGTATAGCGATGGCGGTGGGGCGTAAGTGATAAAAGGCAGGTAACCGTGCGAAGAGCGTGTATTGTATACCAAGATGGGGAGACAACTGAGAGGACGCAATATGCATGCGGTATTTATACTTCCAAGTGGATCGTACAGCATCGCAGAGCCCAGGGACGGCACAAAGGAAACAAAGGAGGCCAAAGATACTCATCCCATGAGGCCATGAGGCCGCAAACTTGCGATGACGACTAGAGTGCCAGTGTTTGCCTTTGTCTTAAAGTACAATGAACAAAGGTATCCAAGGCGACGAATCACAAAGGTTGCTCCAAAGTCACATGTCTTCACGAATGTGAATTTGGATAGACCTGTATAAGTGCCGAGTCAGAGTCATGCACGAGCCGAATGACGAGAACTTGGGAGGACGTACGTACGCTCTGCGAGGGGCTACGGACACCAACATATCGAACTGAGAAGGCCGCAAAAGACATACCTTACTTCCGCTCGACAAATACACAGATAATTGCCCGGTCGCACGTAGGTCAGCATGTTCGGTCGAATGAATGGTAGACGAGGGTATCATATTGATATGGTAAACACTGCTCGATAACTGGTAACTACGGAAATGACCAAGGGAACAGAGAAACAAAGAACCATGGAAAATTGGACTGGAGGGCAAGAGGGACCGATGGTGGATGAGTGGACCGCGTCGCAGGGCTTCTAAGCAATTGAGACCCGGCTTGTAGAGACGAGATGAGCATGGTTTGGGGTCCATGCGGTGCTGGTGTAGGTGGTGTCGGATAGAGGTCTATGAAGAGGGATGGGTACGGGAGTAAATGGGGGCAGACTGGTGTAGTGGTAGGTAACAGGTAATGGGTGGGGCGGTAGTAGTGGCAGTAGTAACAGGACAGCAACTGGTGATAAAAGCAATAACGATGACGGTAAACGGTAAGTTCAACGAGCCTAGTATATGTACATATATCTCACAAGCTAGAGCGACTTGGACTGAGTTCGAGTTCGGGTGGGATTCGGTAGAGTCCGAGGTGTGTGTGTGTAAGTAAGTAAGTAATATCAACGTCAACAAGCAACAGTGACTCGGAAAGAAGATAAAAGAAGAAGAAGTGAGCAAAATGGTATCAAAAGAGTGACAACAGATGGGGACGAGGTGCGTCTAGCTAGTCCAAGATATGTGACAAAATTATTGTGAATATCAGTCCACGCAGGATCAGAACAACGAGGTTCTCTGGAGAGGGATGTGTGGGGAAAGCACATGAAGAGCAAGGGGGAAGAACCAAGGGCAACGACAACGACTAGCGGTGAGGTGAGAACAATTAGTGTAAACAACAACGGAGATAGACTCGCAAAGAAATAAAGCATCAGATGGACGGACAGGGTAGTGGGAGCAGGGAAGGGGTAGAGGCTGCAGGCCGATGCAGCGCAAGAGCTGTGAAGTGGAAGTTAAGAAGGTCCAAGCCCTGAGTCGTAGCGACGAGCAAAGAGGCATGAAGATAGGGATGCCGACATGGGAAAGGGGTCTCACCGCCGACCTACGAAGACGGCTACGAGGACGATGAACGGGATATAAGTGAAGAGCGATACGATAGACATAACGCGACATCGAAATCGCCATGACTTTGCATCTGAAAGCACCGATAATCAGTAACCCAATCTCACAAGACCACAGCTGAATTTTTTTAAAAAGGCGCCAGGTTCAACAGGACTCACCAAACTCAATCTTCGGGTCGTCCAGCATAACTCCTTTCTCCACTCTCACGCTAACATCCCCTCTCGCCTGCAAACCTCCTTCCCCATGTCCCTGCTCACCTTCAGCCCCATGTCCATGTCCACGCCCATCCACACTCAACTCCCTCGTCCTCGGCACCCTCCACACCCACCCACCAACCCACCAAACCGGAAACACCAAAAACCCGACAAAGAACATCCAAGCCTGCACCGGACTCCCCTCCTCGTCCTCTTCCAAATTCCGAAACCGCAACGCCCACCCCGTCTCCATCTTCTTCGCCGGCCGTCTCGGATCTCGCATGTGAAACTGCGAGGAGCGAGAGACGGAGGGTGCGTGGGGGACGATGAACGCTGAGATGGGGACGGAGACGCCGGAGAGGGAACCGCGTCGGTCGCGGTCGCGGTCGTGATGCGAGTGGGAGCGAGGGGTGGAGTTGACGGTGGCGGTGGCGAAAGCAGCGGCGGCATCGGGGTGGGATGCGTTTTGGGATTGTGCGCGGACAGTGGAGGGGGGTTGGGATGCGCGAGAGGGGGCGCGAGAGGGACCGGGGCCGCGGGAGGAAGCTCGGTTTCCCCAGGTGCCTGTTGTGGGTTGATCCTGGGAAGTTTGTTGGGCTTGTGAGGAACCTGGTCGCGAATGACCTGGTGAGGGTGGTTGTAAAGGTGTCGACAGTCGTGCACGTTTGAATGCGGATGGAGCCCGCGCGATGCTGCCCTGGCGAACGACTGCGATATCACGAACAAGTTGAAGACATTGTGAGAATAAGCGCTCAAGAAACCCCGAACGGACTCAGCGCACCTCGTTCATTTGTATCTGGCATCGGCACAGTCGCAAACGTCGCCCTCTGTCCCCTCTGATCAGCCAACTGGACATCCAAATCATCCGCCTTCCTCTTCCCCTTCACACTCTGCGGCGTCAACGGATCTCCCTCACTGACATCCCCCTCCACACCCGGATCAGGCGACTCGTACTCATTCGAGAACGAGACGGTATGACTGAGAGGCGTCGATGGTCCAGCACCCGGCGACGAAGGGCCTCCCGCATTTTGAGATTGAGATTGTGGTAGAACAAACGGTGCGCCGAGTGCAACGGAGGGTGCATTCCTCGAACGCGACGTTTTGAGTGAACTGCGTAAGGTCTTACTCCCTCTACTTTTACTACCCCTCGATCCCGATCCTGACCTCGCTTTACCCTTCGGACGCCCCTGAACTTCCTCCGTCGGCGTAAGATCCACAGGCTGCATCATCGTCCTCTCGCGTTCAAGCACCAGATCTTTCGCCTTCTCCTCCGTGCGAGCAGAAGCCGTAGTCGTCTTCGTCGAGTCCGGAGGAGACTCGAGATCGGGATTGAGATCGCGCCTCGAGCGCAATAAATTATCGTCTAGATAGTATATCGGCGAATCAAACGAAGGACCTGGTACAGCGGCGGAGGACAAGAAATGAACAGGTTGAGGATATCGCAGAGAAGAAGAAGAAGAAGAAGGGCGATTGATCCTGTCTGCGGACGAAAAGCGCGCCTCGTCGTTAACGCGTGCCTCGGGATTCGCCGGCGTCGACGACGACGAAGAGGGCAGGAAAGTTGCCGGTTCAGGAAGCCCTGGAGACGGAGGGTCCGACGACGGACCGGAACCGAGGCCGAGAGCAAGGCGCACCTCCTTCGAGATCTGTGTGGCCCAATTGCCTCGAGCCTGAGGTGTACCAGGAGACTGCAGAGCGAAGTAGTCGGCGTTTTCGCGTCTGTCTTCGTTCTGTTTGGATCCGGATCGAGCACGAGACCGTGCGCGAAGACGGGTGGGAGAGCGACTGGGCGAACGGATTCGACTGGGACCTGCTGCAGAGGACGAATACTGGAAGACTTGTTGAACCTTGGGCATACTGCGATAACGCCTGACTTTCTTCCCAAATGACGAGGACTCTACTTCCGTCTCGTCTACAGCAGGACCCGGCGTAAACGCACTACTCGCGCGCTGTCGAACATCAGGAGGATAAGTTACGCCACGTTGATACAATTGAAAGTAAGGCTCCTCTGGTGACGATGTCGGGCTAGAGTTAAGTGGAGGGACGGGGGCATTTGGCTGAGATGGAGAAACGGCGAGGAGTGAAGGATTGTTGAGTGAGGTAAGTGCTGCACCAGATGGGTCCTGTTGCGAGTCAGACAAAGATCCTCCAAAGGTATGTGGCGACTCGATATCTCTATTGGCAGGACTGAGGCTGTCATTCGGAGAGCTAGCGGCCAAGGAACCAGAAGTGAGAGATGTGTGGTGCGCATGGATTCCGGGCTTGTTACCCGTATTTTCAGTCTTCGGGTTCGAATCTGGTCTCGAGACAGGAGGATGGGAGATATTCGAAATCGAATGTGAGTGCGAGTGTGAATGGGACTGCGAATGGCCAACCGAAGAAGGAGGCTGATCGTTCTCCTTATTCTCATGCTGATGAGAAGACGCCGACTGCGAAACCGTCACGCCCGTAGAAGGCCTCGACGCCGCACCCGTCGAAGGTCTCGACACATTCAACGTACTCTGCGTCCTCCCATGCCGACTCGGATACCCAGCACCCGAACTCCTCGACCTCGTACTCCCCGTCCTACTGCTCGCATTCCTCTCCCCTCCTCTGCTCCGAAACCTCGTATGCCAAGCCGAAGGCTGCTCCTTCGCATGACTTCCACTTCCCGCACCTGTAACGCCTCTGCCAAAAGTTGACCAATCCCCCGGCGTGGCCATCGCTGTCATCCTTGACAAGATTCTCCCGCTCCGTCCGACCGATTTGCGACTCGTAAGACTCGTCGAGGATGGAGGTCGGTCGTGGCCGAAGGCTTCTACGCTCACGGCTGCAGGGGGAGGAGGGGGCAGAGGGGGCATAACAGTGTCTTCCTTTCTCTTTGACTTCGAGGAACTGGGAAATGTTTGCTGTGACGTGGGTGAAGGAGTAGCCTGAGTAGCCGCAGAAGGTCTCCTCGGTCTGAGCGGCCTAATGAACACCTCGTCCAAAGACCTCCGGGGTACCTGCTGCTTCCTCTTCTGCTGCTGCATAGGTGATGATGATGATGGTAGTGGTGAAACGGGAGCATACGTCGATGTCGATGAAGGTTCGGCGGAGTATTCTTCTAGTAACGTATTAACGTCCGGAAAGATCTTGCGCTCTATTGGTGGTTGTGGTTGTGATTGTGTAGGTGACGTGAGTGGCGGTGGCGTGGTTGAGGAATGAGAATGGGAGTAGTATGAAAGTGGTCCAAGTCTGTCGCGGTCGCGGTCGTACGATGATGACGATGAATATATATGTGATTGAGTCGAAGAAAGAAACTGTTGGTCGTTCGTGGGCGTGATAGGGCGTGCGGTCTGTGAAGAGTCGGAAGTAGTTTGGCTTATAGCGCGCGTTCGGAAGCGAGTGAGGATAGAAGGCATCGTGGCTAAGTGGGGGTTAAGCGGGTCCGTCTGGCACTTGTCGGTCAAGGGGGTATAGGTATCCAGCAGCCAGAGTCAGCTGACTCTCTGAAAGATATTGTTGTCAGAGTGCAGGAGATGGACCAGAGGCGCAGTCAGCTACAGCAGAGCAAACAGAGGACCGAACAGGAGACTGAACATGCCCCGTATCACACACACTCGTCAAGAGCAGCGATGACGGTCCCGCGTCGAAGTGCGAGTACGCACCGTCAGCAAATAGGGATGATGATTTGAACCACCCTTCGCCTAGATTGATAGGCACTAGAAGTACTGATATTAGTTCCAGAATAATAAATCGTCGCCGCTCCCTAGCCTCGGCTCGCTCGCGTAACCTGCCCGGTCGACTCGTATCTGACTTGGTGACCGCGTCGTTCGTATGTTCGTAAAGAATCCCTCGTAAGTAATATTGTATCGTCAAGAAATCGTGTGGACGTCGTCTTCTTCTTGCCGTCGGGTTACCCGACGTTCGTCGTTGCGCGGGCCTGAAGTGAAGGGAGGTCTTGAAGGATAGAGCTCAAGAGCCAACGCACCCAAAACAGCAGCATGACTTGCATGCATGGACGGAGTATATAAGTATCTCCCCGCGGAACGGAAGCAGAAGATCATGATTTTGTGACAGATGTTCCGTGCGATCGTGGCTTTGCTTGACATACCGAACAGGCCCGATTTGGTATCTTTCCGCATGTTTTCGATTCGCCACGTTGGGCGGCGGCTTTCATTTGCGGCCCGAGATCGATGTGCCGGCGGGATCTTTCACCTCGAGCTCTGTGTCTGATCAGAGATGTAGTAGTACTTACGCTTTTGGCCGTACGGGGCAGGTTCAAATCGTTTCCATTTCGAGCCCAAGCCATTAAAAAACCACACATGCTGATACAGGAGTCCAGAGGTCTTGCCGTCGGAATAAGTACCCATGCGCTCGAATGCCGATGTACTCAATGCAATAATGATGGAAAAGTCGAAACCGAACTCCACCAGACATCTATCTACAAGCAGCACCTGAGGCTTATGCTTCAGCCAAAACTGAAACTATAGTGTGTGTGTGAAAACATTACTTGAAGATCATGGGTGTCTCGAGTATCGCCCCGAGGTAATGCAAGGCGATTCACTTGTGCTGAACAATGATCAGCGTAATACAGCCCCACTAATCGTACATAGGTATGTGGCATTCCGCGCATCTATTGACACAACCTCGTAGTTTTATTGAAGTCCAGTCGGGTCGCATTGTTCACGCATTCAACGCCTTCTCAATCTCTATAAGCATGCCGACGACCTTCTCTTCTTCCAACCTCCGACCAATCAGCTGCAAACCCACGGTCGCGTTCTTCCACTTCTCCGGGCCTTCGTCTAGGAGGTTTTCGCACGGACGCGATTAGAAAACGAAGTCCATGCCGCACAAATGCCAGGATGACTCACAGAATTTGTGAACCTCCTCGTCTACTTCACTCAAAGGCACGTAGTCGACACCAGCCTGGTCGAGTTCTTGATCAACTCGGGTGACGGGGAAGACTCCCGTACTCAGGTCAAGAACAGGGGAGAGGGACCCATATGCGTACCTAGAATCGAGCCGTACAAGAGATGAGGAACGTGAATACAACGGTAAAGACAAGCAGACTTACGGGTAACGTCCTCCGTGTGGTTTGGCCGTAAACGGGAGGACAGGCATAATCAATCCGTCAATGGGTCTACCTGTTCCGGTAAATTCAGCCGTCCGATTCCAGTTCTCAAGCCACTGTGGGAGTCCAATATATCAGCCGAGAAGCGATAGGACCAGTTTCGGAGGGTAGCTAACCTCGGTGGCGAAGAGTTGACGAGCCCTCTGGATTTGCCATAGGTCGAACACAGTGAGCTTCGGTGTGGCGTCATCGTAGACAGGCTGCAAGAGCTCCTTTACTTCCGGGATCCAAGGTTCTCCGGATGGGTCGATCTGAGCGCGGACTGAGACCCATGGATGTATAAACTTAGTCCAGCTTGGAGAGACAGAAGCACAAGGATTGCCATACCGTCCGCTCCCCCGTCAGATCGCCACACCTTCAACGCCAATTGTCCTGCAACATTCAGATTCTTAGGGATCCACTCGATAATGGTGTGCCCCGCCTCCTCCAACTTCTTCTTCGTGATATCCATAGCTCTTCGAAGCGGGGGATGAGGCCTCACGATTCCGTCCCCGCAAGCCCATGCAAAGCAAAGCTTCTTGCCTTGAACGGAGTCAACGACATCTTGACGCCACGGTATAGGAAGACAGACGGGGTCAAGAAGCCACGGCTGCTGAGAAGCAAGAGAAGACATGAAGAGGTTGATATCATGAGGGGAATGGGTAAATGGGCCAGCGCAAGAATTGATGGTCTCCTGGCCGAGAAACGAATTGTTGGCGCGCTAGTATGAGGCGGACAGGAATCAGCAAGAATGAAAGTCTGTTGAGGTGACAAGGGAGATTACTTGATAGGAAACACGGCCATTGGACGGACGCAAAGCCCAAAGTCCAGTAAAGGTGGCGGGGTTACGTATGGAGCCACCAATGCTGCAGTACGCGGGACAGAAATATCAATTTAAGATGATTTGCAGAGGGGATGAATGCTTACTCGGTACCAATGCCCAAAGGACTTCCATGAAATGATACTAGAGCAGTCTCTCCGCCGGATGATCCACCTTGAGTTCATGATCACAATCCATACAATATTGCGGAACAATCTGAGCAGGGGACGTACCAGGTGTAAGCTGTCGATTAGCAGGGTTCACCGTTCTTCCAAAACTGAAAGAAAAGCTTGAGCAATAACCGTACAGCATAAGGACGGGATGCTGACATATTGTTGATCGTCTCGCCACACTGATATGGATCGCAGGTCAGCCTTACATGCATCATCAATCCTCACAAAGAAGAAAATACTAACCATAAGGGTAGTAGGCACATTTGTCTTGCAGTAGATAACAGCGCCGAGGTTCTTCAACATCGCAACGACTGTGGAGTCTTCTTTCGCCGGTTGATGTGCTTGGGAAACATAACCCATTGTAGTGTCGAGCCCTGCGATCTGGAGGTGTGGCGGAATTAGCTGAACCAAAGTGCTGCGCGTTATAGAAAGTAACCTGCCTGGAATTGATCCTTGAGGGAAATGGGAAGACCATGAAGAGGACCAACAGTCTTTCCAGTCTGCGCAAGGTACGCATCGAGTTCAGTCGCGCGTTGGAGAGCATTGGTGAAGTTTATTTCCGATAGGCTGCGATGCTATCAGCACGGTGACCGATTCTAGTAAAGCAAAAATCTACCAATTGAGGAGTTGTTGGGCCACTGATGCACGCTTGCAGAAAGCCTCGGTGACCTGCACAGCGGTCCATGTTTTTGACGCCACATTCTGGACAATGTGCGAGGCAGTCGCTTTCCTGCTCTCGAATCGCAATCAGTTGGGACTATCCCACAGCAAAGCAACGAAACATATAGACAATGAATCAAAGCTCACGTTATAGCAAGTTCTGCGTCCGAGAAGAATCCCGATAATTCAGGAAAAGAAAGGACATCAAAAGTTTCAGAGGAAGGAAGGGTGTGAGAAGGCAGGCGCCACTTGTCCGGAATTTTCCGAAGGCGCTCTTCTTGCTTGGCGTGCGCGACTTTCTTCCAGCTCTCGTCGTCGACGGCCATGTTGAACTGCGAGATGGAAAGGATGCAGGATTGTCGCGCAAAGTCCTGTTTTGTCTGTCTTGAACTCTCTCATCGGATACATTATGTCTGCTGACACTTCTATTTCACCTCCTCGTACAGATAGGGCTGAGATAGGTCCTGAGGCCTGAGACCGTTCCGACGCCTGAATCTTATCGACGAGTCTATGTTGGTCTTATGTCCGAACATCGGCATAACCGACTGCTGTACGTGCTTGGGAACCAATATTGAGCACTCGTTGGACCTCTGGTTATATGTATGGGATCAACGGTAATTAGGTGCCTTACATCGGGAGGTGAACAACGGCCGCTAGCACTTGGTGTGGTGAAGAGTGGCCCAGGAGCAGTGGCCCGGTAACGAACCAGAATACGCCGCTATAAAACGTCGACAACCACTCTTTCCCGGAGACCCAGAAGCTCTGTGTACTGATAACTTCTGCGCGTCTGGTCATGCTGTTCTTCTTCTGTCCGATATCTCATTCTGTCGAAGAGTCGATACTTGGTCGATAAGCACCCTGCCGGACGGAACTGCTCAGCTAAGTAGCGGCCGTGGGGATAAGCAACGACGATCAAGCATCGGTGCCGCTCAGGACCACGAAACAGAGAAACTATCATACATATACCATCAATGAGTCGTCTAGATCTGCTGGGAACGAACCTGACGATTTACATCACTCGCGGTCGACGAGGGTTGATTGCCCTAACGCTCCTCTGCTTCGTCTTGTCTTCCAGCACGGACATACGATGTCGACCACCACAGAAAATCACGCACCTCTCTCTCAGGGACTAGGCTATGGAATTGTAATTGGATGTAAGTCACAGTGTCTAGCATTCAATATGCAGGTATAGGCTCACTTCCTGTCTTTGCAGTTGGACTTGTCTTCGCCGGCTTGCTATCCTTGGCGAGTTGGATTGGCCGGCGCGCCCTGTCTGAGAGAGAGACCGTAGAGGCTTACATGACTGCTCGTCGTTCAGTCAAGAAGTAAGCATCATCAATATCTGCCAAGTCAAAAGACCAATGCACTCAATTCTATTTCCTTCTGCAGGGGACTGATCGCGTCTGCTGTCGTTTCTTCGTGGTGTTGGGCAGCAACACTTTTGAATTCTGTTCGGATCACAACGGTTTACGGTTTGCCTGGTCTTTGGTGTACGTCTTGTTCTGTTGGCGGATGTTATATTACAACCCAGATAGCTGATTCCGTGGGCCGGCAGTCTTTGCGGCAGGAGCTTGCGTTCAGATCTTCGCGTTCGCAATCGTGGCCATTGAACTGAAATCACGCGCTCCGCGTTGTCATACTCTGCTGGAGGTCTGTTGGCAACTTGTACTACAGAGTGAAATCGACTGAACGGTGTCTAGGTCGTTCGAATTCGCTGGGGCACAAGCGCTCACATCGTTCTTCTTTGCTTTGGTATTGCGACCCAGGTAAGGTGCTCCAATAAACGTTTCATGGGAAGCATCCTCTGATACGAATTACCCTAGGTTCTTGTGTCAGCCGCTCTTCTGGTATGTCCTCGCAAATTTTCTGGAAGTTCCTTTGTTAGAGTTGACGCCATGTATCGCATCAGTTGGGTGCTTCGGCTGCTGTATCTAGCATAACCGGGATGCACAGTGCGTCTTTTCACAATCCACACTTAGAAGTGAAATAACGCAAGTTTGGTCCTCACAGCTGTCGCCGCACTCTTCCTGATTCCTACCGGAGTGGTGCTCTATGTAAGAGGATGCCACGATGACTTCCGACGCTATACTCATTCTTTCGGCCTGTCACGTTTTATATCTTATGTACGTCTGCTTGTGCTTAAAACATAGCCTGTTCTGACACGCTTGCTGCAGAGACACTATCAGGCGGGTTGAAGGCAACCTTCGTCGCAGACTGGATGTACGTTTTCCTTGCCCACTGCACCCTAGACGTACTTCCCTGATCCTGTCTTGTTCCCAGACACACCGTCGTGATCTATGTCATTCTCCTCGTGGTCATGTTCAAGGTACTCCCATCTCAACCGTACATCTGTTTACCTGCTGAATCGAACTCTGTCTCGTCTAGGTCATGACAAGTTCCGAAGCTATAGGCTCACCAACCAAGCTATACGACATGCTTACAGCCGCCGCAGACACCTATCCTTGCTACGGTACTTACAAAGGATCGTATTTGACCATGCACTCTGAGGAAGGTCTGATGTGAGCACTCCCTCAATGCGAATGTTCGACCACTACTCATCATGCCGCGTATTGCCAGTTTTGCGGGGGTCGTCTTGGTCAGTGGATTCGCTTCCGTATTCGTGGACCCTGCCTATGGTCAAAAAGCTCTGGCTGCCACGCCTTCTGCCGTTGTCTCCGTAAGCCCTGTCCACTTCATTATTTGCAAAGTGGTGTAAAACTCATGCCGAGATGAATGACCTTAGGGATACTTCATCGGAGGCGCCACATGGTTTGCGATACCATTGGGCCTTTCTGGGACTATAGCCTTCGCTGCTGTCGTTCTTCAGGACACGTCTTACTGGCCACAACGTTAGTTTATCGCTTTGAAAGTCTCATTAAATGAGTTATCTATTGATCAAGCACGATCTTTCAGCCGGTGGTATTACGACCTACGTCTCCAATAATGGACTCATCTTGCCGCTCACCGCCCAGGCTCTCATGGGTACTGGGTGAGTTCTTGCTTTTCGACTTTTCTCACTAGCAAGTTCCCTGACGATACTTCCTTCAGAGGTGCTGCCGCCATCCTGGTATGTTCTACCATGGTTATTTCTACCATGCACAAGTCGATGTAGCTTACAATTTCTACCTAGCTCATGGTTTTCATGGCCGTCACAAGCAGCTCTTCGGCTGAATATATTGCATTGAGTTCGGTACTCACTTACGATGTCTATAGACCTTGTGAGTGTTTGAACCCGTCCTGATGATCTGCTTTGTCGACTGACTTATATCAAATTTTAGATCTGCGCCCTCAAGCAACGGACAGGGAACTTCTCTTTATAGGCCACTCCTGCGTCATCGGCTTTGCGATCTTCAGCTCCTGTTTCGCCACCGGACTTTACTACGCTGATGTATGCTTGGCCCACTCATCTCACTATAATCTCTCTCAATAACTCTCGAATTGTAGCTGAGTATGGCCTGGTTGCTCGAATTCCTCGGCGTTGTCATCTCTCCTGCGGTAATTCCCCTCGCCGGGTCACTCATGAGCTCCAAGATGAGCAGAACAACAGCGATTTATTCACCACTCCTTGGTCTTGCGGCTGCTTTGGCTGCCTGGTTGGGAGTCACAAAACATGTGTATGGCTCCATCTCGGTTGATACCACTTTCGGTGAGTTTCAGTCTCGTAGAACTTGACCTTCAGGGATGTAAGACTCACCGACTGATTTGTTTTTAGGCGACTGGGTAAGCCATTAATTTTCACCGGTCATCAGTGTTTCTTGTCTAAACCTTGTCGCATACCGTCCCATAGCCTATGTTTTCCGGTGCAGTAACGGGCATCTTCGTCCCCTTGCTGTGGCATCTCGTGGCTCGTTTCGTCCCAGGCCTCTCTGTACCTAAATATGACTGGAGCCGCCTCTTACGCATGGATGCAATCCAACCACGCGTGGGCGACGAAGTCTTCGCCCTCGAGAAAGTCGATGATCTGGGCCACTTCGATCGTGACGCTCTACGACGGGCTTCGAGAACGGCGAGATGGGTGACGATCGTGTTGGCGCTTGTGTTCTTGATTTTGATTCCTCTTCCGATGGTGAGTCGAGGTCTTCATTGGGCTGGCGTTGTTGTGGCACTTACGATATTTTCTGGATGTATGCCGTATTGTAGTACGGGACCAAGTACATTTTCCCTAAATCAGGCTTCGTCGCCTTTGTCGTAGTAGAGTTTATCTGGGGCTGGGTACGTCCAAGTCTATTTTTTACTTCTCATCTCACGGATCGCTTCGTTTTGATTCCCATCCCACACCACTCTACCGCCTTTCGCCACCTGCTTCTCCCTGTCTCGCTATATTCCAAAATTAACAACCTCTCACCCACGCAACCCTTGCCCCTTCATCCACGGGCTCACGCGCCACACTCAAATGAACTGACCCAAAAAACCAGATCGCAGCCCTCACGATCACCATCCTCCCCGTATGGGAATCTCGCGACCAACTCGCCGCGATCTTCAGGGGCCTCCTAACATTCCGTTCCACCTCCGCCACCACCACTGGCACCAAATATAACTCCAACTCCGACTCGCCCTCCGAACTGTCAGCAGAAGACACGAAGGAGCCCATACCAGAAGTCTACGAGTCAGAGACGCTCGGGAACAATATCAGGAATGGAGATGATGTGGAGGGAGTGACTGAGAAAGGGGATAGTACGCACGGTGTGATGGCGACGACGCATCTTCCTTGACGCAGCTTTGTGCGGGTTTTGAGAGGGCGCTAGAGTAGTGACTCACTCGGGTTCGTTATGATTTATGATAGAATGACTGCCATGTAGACTTCGAGAGACTATTCTACTTATTGTATCTTGTTCAGTTTGGGATCTTGATTTTCCGACTGTGTATTTGCCCTTGGATGATGGAGCTCCCTCGTCCCGGCACACGCAAGAAACGGAAGAGCATAAAACGCATGTATTGAAAAGAAAAATCGAAAATCGAAGAACAATCGTCGATCAGGAGGCCATAGGTGAAGAAACAAGACTCGGTACTGATAGTAATACGCATACGGCATAGAACGAACTATGTATCATATCCTCTCTACCATCTCTACCCACCGCAGCACCAACCGCACGAGCCTCCTTCCTGTCAACCAGACCATCCGAGAACAACGACACAGGAAATCAAAAGGGGAAAAAGGCGAATCAAGTCGGTAGACAACCAAACTGACCATAAAGGACTTGGGGGTTGGCCTCCAACGAACGAACGAAATTCGGAATTAGAATCAAAAACGAAACTGAAGGCCAAAAACGAAGAATTATGCTACGTAGAATAGTGAACTGAGGAGGGCCGTGAGGCGCCGATGATGTACATTTCAAAAGACTCGCGCTCGTGCGAGAAAGGAGGACTAAGCAAAATGCAAAAATGAAGAAACAGGAAGAGAACAAACAGAAAACGATATGGAGGATAGAGGGGATGGGAGAGCAAGGCGGTGGGGTATGGCGACGTCCGTCGTTGTGTACTGTTTCGACTCGACGGACGTTGGTGTGGTGTGGAAATTGTGATGGAGATGGAACGGAGGCTGGAGTTCGATTGATTGGGGAGTGAAGAGGGGAGAGGAGGGAGGAGCAAATAATCAAGGAGCAACGAGACTTTACGAGACGAGAGGATACGATGACGATGCGAGACGCACGAATAAACAAGGAGGCAGACGGGCAGATAGGAACGACAAACGCGACCGGAACGGGACGAGACGAGACGAAGCGCAAGGACACAGAACGAAAGAAGAAAAAAAATATGCACACAAGTAGCAGAAAATGCAGACCGAAACAGAAGCGGCAGAAGACGGTCGAAACGGACTGGTCAATAAAACCAACCAGACAAACAGACGGACTGACTAACGAACGAACACGAACGAAGACGAGTCCCAAAACGAATTCGAACGAGCAAATTTAGAGCCACGAACCACGATTTCACATATATTACATCCCTCTCTTTTTGAACGCCAAACCAATCGTCCTCTCCAGCTCCACCTCCACAGTGCACACCTCAACTGCCCAAACCACCTCACTGCCCACTCGCACCCGCTCCCTGCCCATTCGTCCCCTGCTGCTGCTGCACCTGTGCCGCCGTCTGTTGCTGTTGCTGCTGCTGCTGCTGACTATGCACAATCGCCAAATGCGCCGCGATAGCATTTGCGATCTCATTCGCCTTGGCCTGTTCCGCAGGATTCATCGCGCTAAGCATTGCCGCCGCAGCCGCAGCCTGCGCCTGTGTCTGTGAGTGATTGGGAACAGCGCCAGTCGTAGACGCAACGGCCTCAGCCGGTCCCTTCTCGTACCCAGGAGCAGGGACAGGCGCAGGCGCAGTACCACCTTCCTTAGTCGCCTCAGGAGCTTGCTTGGCTTCCCCAGACATCGTAGGCGGAACGCCAGGAGCACCAGGCGCAGAAAGACTGACCGGCGTGTTCGCGGTCGCGTTCGCCAACGCCGGGTCCAAAACGAACGCAGGTGCAGGTCCCAAAGCGCCAGCCAACGAACTGCTCGTCGTCGGCACGCCCTGCTGTTGTTGACCGAGCGGAGCGGCGGCTTGTTGAGCGAAGGCTATGGCTTGACTGAACGCATCTGCTTGGGTCAAAGCGACAGAGGGCGGAAGAGCGGCGTTGGCAGAGTTGGCGGTGCTGGTGGCGCCGTTGGCGGCTGTGGAGGGAGCAGAAGGGTTTGAACTTGCCATTTCGGCGGCACGAGCGGCTTCAACGGCGCGGAGGAGATCTTCGACCATAGCGTTGCGAACTGGTAAGGCGTCATTAGCCCCTGTGGCGGCGGTGGCGCCGTCGTTCTTCGAGGCGTCGTCCGTCTTGCCTTGGTCGCTCTCCGGACCCGCCTCACCGACGTTCGCACCCTCGCCCTCGACACCTTTATCCGGGCTCTGACTCTTGCTCTTCTCCTTCTCCTTCCCCTTTCCATTCGGCGCCGCGCTCGGGCCCACACTCGGGCTACCCTCGCCACCACTGCCAGTGACGATCGCACTCGAGCTGCCACTCTTCCCCGGAACATTGATCGAAGACGCGCCCTTGCCACCCTTCCTCTTGCTCTTCCCGCACGTCTTATAATGCCTCTTCAACGCATCGCTCCTGCTCAGCTGCATATGGCACTCGTCGCACACCTCTGTGACCTTCCTGTTCGGATTCGCCTGGCAACTGTGCTCCATATGCCTCAAGCAGTCCTGAGCGCGCGTGAATGGCGGATGGTCACAGAATTTGCACTTGCGCTGAGCAAGGCCTTCCTTCGAGTTCGGGTCGAGAGCGAGGACGGAAGGTGGTGCAGACATAGATCCGTCTGCAGCAGCGACGAGGGAGCTGGAAGGAAGCGTTGTGCCGGGAGTGGTGGATGGGAAGATGGCGGAAGTGAATGCGCCACCGGGAAGAGTCGAAGAACTACCGTCTGCTGCGATGTTAGCGAGGGTTCCGTCGCCCTTGAGGAGGTTTAACCCCGGAGGAGGTGAGACGCCCTCCTCCGACTCGAGCTCCTTGCCCTTGACTTGACCATCAGCGTTCTTGCCTGCACGCTTCGCTCTCGGCTTCGGAGGTCTGGTGCTTTGCCTTCTGGTAGTCTTCGGCCTCGAAGCGTCACCCATCTCGATATCCTGGACCTGGAGCGTTTCGGTCGACGTGGCGGGGACGGGTTTCGCGCTGTCGGTCATGACGACGTCACCAGCAGCAGGAATCTCACCATCAGGTTCGCCCTCCGCGTCCTCATCGGCCTCAGACTCGAGCTCGGACTCTCCAACCTCGGATTCGCCCTCAGGTGCACCGTTCGCGCCCTTGAGACGTTCCTCAGCCTGAGCGAAAAGGGACGCGTGATCCTTGGCGGATGGATCACCTGGAGCAACAGAGGCAGATCCAGACGCCTTCTTCTTCGGTCCAGCCCTAGGCGTAGCGGGTTTCTTCCTCGGAGTCGCGACCTTCCTCTTCTTCTTCTCCTTATCCCCCTCGGAACCCTGCTCGTCGTCTTCAGCGGAGCGCTTGCCCTTCCCAGCAGCGACGCTCCCAGCCGCAGCGGGAGCCGGTAGTTCAGTTCCGTTCTCTTTCGCCATCCTCTCCTCCCTCTCCTTGCACGTCTTGTAGTGCCTCTTCAACGCGTCGCCCCTCGAAAGCGACTTGTGGCAATCCGGGCACTCCTCCGCGTGTTTCGAAGGGTTATTCGGGCACGAATTGTTCATATGTCTGAAGCAATCCTTCGCCCTCGAGAACGGCTCGTGGTCGCAATACTTGCACACTCTCGTCTCCAACGCCTCGGTCGCGAGATACTTCAGGGTTCGCTTGCTCTTGGTCGACGCCGCGCCAGACGCGGTGCCCTTGACTTTGCCTGTAACTTTGTCCTTAGCGGACGTTGCGGTCTTCGAGGAGGCTTTACGTTCGGCAGGAGTCTTGCGTCCAGCAGCAAGAGAGGCTTTACCATTGCGAGGTAGGGAGTCGGTCGCTTCGCGCTTGCAGAGGGCAGCTGCAACTGAGGCGGCCTTGCGTTTCGGAACGTCGCGGTTGTTCGTGGTGGATTCGATATCGGTGGGTGGTGGTGAGAGGGAACCAAGAGAACTGGATATAGAGGACGGTCCGGCTTTAGTACCTCGTCTGGTTCACGCGGCAATAGAAATATAGAGAAAAAGACAAATAAAAGGAAGAGACAAAGAGGCTGAGAAGGAAAGAGGACGTATAGAAAGCAGAAACACTAACGATGGTTTTGGTTCTGACGGGGACAAGCGTTCCCCGAGATAGTCTTGGAACATATTTTGAGCCGAGCCGGTGGAGGGTGCCACAGGAGCAGCCGGCGCTCCAGTTACGGCGGTGGCGTCGCCCTCTGGAACAGACTCTGGTTTGGAAGGCTGGCTACCATTGGGTTGAGGAGGGTTGTAACCCATCTTGTTCCATGTAGGCTTCCATACCGGTGCGCCACTACTGTTGTCGTCGTCGTCGACGACAACGACGGAGGGCGCAACAATGAGAAAGCGGGGCAAAGGTGTTGGTGTGGCACTTATCAAGAACAAAGTTGGGTATGAGAGGCATACCTATTGGCTGCGTTGGGTGGCACAGCGGCGGGGCTGGCGCCACCGGCCCAGTTGGCAGGGGAGAGACCGACCGGCTTAAGGGTCGATACCTCCGCGGGACGTTCCGGCAGGGGTTGTTGGGTGCCGGTCGCGTCGTTGTTGGCGTTGTCGGTGGTACCGTTCGTGTTTGACTCTTGAGGCTGGGCGGGAGGGACGGCAGCAGCAAAGGGGGAGGGGCGTGGCCCGTCCGCGGGCTGCTCCTGGGGAGGCAACGTCGCGCGCTCTGAGCTCTCCGGCGGCGCGGTTGCCACAGACGACGAGTGGAGAGGGAGGACGATGGGTGCCACGACGGCGGCGTCGGGTTGCTCCATGTGTGCAAAGGTGAGACGGTGGTCAACGACGGGGACGACGGCGAGGGCGGGGGCCTTGGTACGTGCTCGCCACCACAGAGAGAGTGGGAGATGGGGGGAAAGAGGAGAGGGCCACGGTGGCGGCGGCGGCAGGATAATATATGCCAACTCCCGCTCGAAAAGGAATGACCTGTGGCGCGTGCCGCTTACGGCATCCTTCTTATCCGTAAACACCGCCACTCTCCGCTCCGGCTCCCTCCGGTCTTCCCCTTGCGGAAATTTTCCCTCATCCCAGTCTCCTGTGCCGCCCCAGTCCCCCGCCCTCTCGTCTCCTCGCTCCCGCCACTCGCTGGGCCACAGCACGGCGGGATGCAGACTGGTTCATCTGGCGGGAGGCGGGCGCTGGTCGCTACTGCAATCAGAGAGGGCCTCGTGCCACCCGTCAGCTGCATGATCCCCATCACGAAGGCTCGCACATCTGCGTGGCGGATTGCCACGCCGGCCTCTCCTTCCGCTTCCGGCCGCCTCGATTCACCTTACCGCTTTTGGACGATCGAAATTCCATGAACGTGTGGCGCCACACTCGCTTGCCAGGCTTCTTTCCTCTCCTCTCGTATCCTCTCCATACCTCATCAGCCTGGTCTGTGCGCTCCAGACAGCACCTTGTAACATGTGCTTTCCGTACGAACTGGATATGTGGACCTATAGACGTAAAGTAAATTACGCCGTTGCTCACAAAGCTGCGCAGATCCCTGCAGTCTTGGGCGCTCCCAGAAGCCTGCAGTATCTATAAACTCCGTCCAGCATGGCCTTTGTTCTGAACCTTGAATCAGTGCCTCACTCTAACTCCCATCATGTTGGACGTGGCTCGAATGGCAACTCCTTTGTGGCAGACCGTCATGCCAACTGCTGTGATGCGACCTTTGTGCTCAATGCTTCAGGCAGCGACTGTAAGGTATCCAGTCAGGCCACACAATAGTGTTGACTTCAGTGATATGGTTGCACCCATACCAACGTCGCCCTCACAACGTCTTCAAAGACCTTTTGAACGTCTGACTTTCCAAATGCGCGCGTTCCTTTCACTCGTCGCAGTATAAAATGCATTGAGAACGCTCGACAGCTCCTCCTACATCCTTATTATTATCTCTTCCCTTACAGCAGTTCTAATGGACGTCAACACCCACACCGATAAGCATCCAGAACGTCCCAAAAGTGCACCAGCTTTCATCTTACGGTAAGCTACCTGTCGCCTCTCTACCTCTTCATCTTCCCCGAGTTACTCTGACCACCAAACGATTGTCGTTATTTTCCTGCAGTCCAGTTACGCTCTCCAATGATTTCTCACCCACGACTCGTCCACCAACACCTCCTTCTCTCTACGATCCTGACCCTGACCCTGATCCCGACGCCTGTCCAAACCAAGAGTCAGATCCCTACTCAGACACAGACCACGAATTAGACGACGATGATGTTCCCCAAGGTAGATCAAACATCTCCTATCCACGGTGTTCAGACGCAATGAACCTTACGCTCACCTCTCTAGCGACTCATACCATGTATACATGGCCGCCCGTCCTTCCTTCCTTCCCTCCTGTCTCCATCTCCATGTCTTCCTTCCCTGATCCTCGAGCTCTTGAGTTCACCACTCTGATAGGGTTTACGGTTTTGGAGGATGAGATTTCGACTACGGATATTCGGGCGACTCTATCGCCTTTAACTCCACTGCCAGTATCGTCCGCGTTATCATCTCTGTCTTCGATGGATATTCCGGCTTCTTCGTCTCTTGTTCCCGCTCCTGCTCCTGCTCCGTCGCCGGTCGAACATCCTTCAGCTTCACTTACATCTCATCCATCCCTTCGTCCGCTTTCACCTCGTACTCCTCCACCTCCACAACAGCCTCGAACAATAATAACCCTACCCGAATACACGGCCCGCCGGCGACGCCAACGACTTCAGACGCAACCAGAACCACAACCAGAAGTACAATATCAACTTCGACCACAATCGGAACCTCTCCCTCTCCCACAACCTCAACTTGAACCTCAACCACAACCTGAACCTGAACCTGAACCTCTCCCTCAACCTACATATAATAATAACCCTTCCCATATCGACTACTTCAACCTCCACCTACCCCACTCTCCAGACCCCATCCTCGACTCTGAAGATACCTACCCCTCTCCTGCTTCATCATCTACATCTCTCCCCGCACTCGCACCCGTACCTTTACCCGCACCCCTACGCGCATCCAGACCCGTACTCGCACCTACACCCGGACCAGCACTCAGACCCGCACACACACCCAGACCCAGGCAGGCCATATGTATAATTGTCCCCCAACCCAACTCCAAACGTGGAGCCCTCCGCGTACGCGTACCGAGTTCTCATCCCCCACCTCCACCTACTACCCAACCTCCCCCTCTACCTCGAGGTCCACCTCCACCTTTTACTCCTCCTCAACCTCCTACCCTTCACGCTCCTACTCAGACTCATGCCCCACGCCAGCTCTCCGACCTCATGTGGTCCACGAACCGAAACAGTGGCAACTGGGCTCTGATGCAGGAACTTTTGCAGAGCGGAGTGGTGAGAGAGTGGTGGAGGGCGGTGGAGAGGGTTTTGGGGAAGAGGGAGGAGGAGAAGGGGTATGATGAGCTTTCCAAGGAGTTGTTGAGCGGTGGGAGCGGGAGGGAGAGTCAGAGTCAGAATCTGGGAGAGAATGAGGTTAGGGCTGCGTCGTCGTCTATAGGGGTGGTTCCAGCTGGGGTAGTAGCGAGGGAGAATGTGAGGGAGAGAGAAAGGAGGAGTGAGAGGCTAGTGCCCGCACGGGTACGAACGCCAATAGGCACGGACACTCGCACTGTCGATCCTCGGCAACGAGCAAGGCCAAATCCAGAGACGACGCCTGTTCGGAAGGGAGAAGAGCCTGAGCAGATGGATGGTGTGGGCAAAGATGGTGAGCTTGAAGAGGGGGAGGTCGAAGATGGTGAGGTTGAGGATGATGAGCTCGAATATGGTGAGCTCGAAGAAGGGGAAGTGATAGAGGGTCACGGTTCGGGGTTAGGGGTGGCGCAGAGAGAGATGGAGGCGGAGCCGATGGCCATCGCGTATCAAGAGGCTCGTTCTCGTCAGGAACAAACTTCCACAGAAGCCGGGAAACCTGGCGACGATGATGCACACCAGACTCAGAACGTTCACACAGCTGCGGGTCCGCAGGTCGATTTCATCACTTCGTAAGTCCTCAAAGACAATTATCATTTAATGTCAACACTCTACAAACACACCATCTACACGTACTAACTTTCACCTATCTAGTTCGACGAATCACCATCTCTCTACCTCAGTCCCTGATCCACAGCCTCAGGTCACCTCTCCCGGGCCATCGCACTCCTCACCTCAACCTCTCACCCAGCCCAGTGCACAGCTCGATTCCAGCTCGAACCCGGAACCCAATTTCTCCCATTCGACTCCACAATCACCCGTACTTCAGCTTGTCTACCCGGATGGGTCTGTACCAGAGCCTCTGAGTCTTGGCACAGAGTACGTGCTCCCTGAGGACGAGAAGCAGGAGGTGGAAGGGGAGGAGGAAGTGGCTTTAGAGGTGAACGAGGACGTGTCGCACTTGGATGATGGATTTTCCACCAATTGTGACGGAGAGTGGAATGATGGCACTGTGCAGAGGGATTCAGAGTCAGAGAGGGGTCAAAGTCAGAGTCCGACAGGGGTCGATGATAGTCAGGCACCACCGCCACCGCCACACACGAACCCGAACATCGACGCAGCTCACGCTACCGCGATGCAAGTATCGTCTGGTTCTTCACCTCATCGTCCATCTTCTGCACCGTCTGCTTCTGCAACATGGTCATCTATGACTCGGTCTTCGAACAACGTCGATCCGGATGCGTACGCACGCGGGGAGTCGTCGACCACGAAAGACATTGCAGTATCAATAACCCCAGTCTCAGTTCCGACTTCCCATCCAGCAGCAACCCCAACCATTCAGCAAGGAAACTTCCCAGCTTTAGAGTCTAGTCCGAACAAAGAGTCGCAGGAAGAGCTTGTAATACCGGAGCAGCCGCCATCACCAGGAACGACGAAGGCAACATCAAATGCGAAGGGAGATGTTGCGGAGGATCCTATCATTATTAGTGACGACGAGGATGGGGAAGGTGGTGAGGAGCAAGGACCTTCCGATTCTGGTGACGTCGTTGTCCCTGGTCTTGGTTCTGTTGCTAGTCTCAATCGCGGGGGTCCTGAGGCTGGACGTGGGACGAGTGCCGCCGCTCCTACTGGTCCTGCTCCTCCCTTCGACGAATCTTTGTTAAACGACAGTAATTCCACTCAAAGGTACGTTCAGACCTTCACTCCTTCTGCATTATAACGTTGAGTGTAGTTGCTGATCGTACACTCTCATTGCTTTAGCGACCGAAATAAGATGGTTTGGGACTCTTTGATTCGGCGTAAAACTGAGGATTTCCTTCGGGCGGTCGGACTATCTGGATCTTTGCCTCCCGCGAGTCAAGTTGGTCCACCGGTTTCGTATCCCATAATGACCGGTCAAGGGCCAACGACGACGAATCATCTTGCTCCAAGTGGTCATGGTTCGTCTCGCAATATTGCTGCTGGTCCTGCTGCTGGTCGCTCCGAACGTGCACCTGCTTTCGTCTTCAGTCCTGCTCCTGAACATACTCGTTCTTCTTGTCCTGTCGCCTCCGCCCCCGTCTCTACCGTTCCCGGCGTCAATCCCAATCCACCTCCTTTCATTCCTCCTCTCTTACCTCCGTCTCAGCTCACAAGAGGACCGACCCAGAATGTTCAGCATCAGAATCGTTCTCAGATGTCGGTGCAATCTGGCCTTAGACAACCCGTTCTGGCACAGTTTGTTCACAGTCATGGTCACGGTCAATCTCGTTCGACTCTTACAGGGCCTGCTATGCCTGGCAGACTGCATCAGGCTCAGCTTAACACGGGATCGAACCAGAATCTGGTGTCACTCGGACCAACTGTACCAACTCCGTCTGGCCATGGTTATCCCCATCCTCAGCCGGCCGGAGTCTTTGATCCTAGATCTGTCCCTGTGTTTGCAGGTGAAAGGATGTGGCTACTACGCCCGCGAACTCAGATATTACCTCAGAATGGACTCAGTCCTGTTTCTGGCTCCGAGTCATCTGCGCCCCAGTCACGATCCGAGATACTACCACCTATAGCTCGACGATCTCGCACTGTGCCAGTATTAAACGCATACCCTGCACCGCAACTTGAACCTGGACAATCTGCTATGACTGCTCATTCTCTTCCTCCGGCTCTTGCACAAACAATATATCGTCCACCTGTTGCGCTTCATCCCACCGATGCGTTGACGAACATTCCATCCTCGGCGAACTCTCGGGTACCTGCTGGATATGCGCCTGCGCCTGCGCCACAACGACAACAGCCGCAACCACGATACCCACAACTACAAGGACCGCAACAGCAACAGCAGCGACAATCGAGTGTGAGTGGGTGGCACGCACCGGGTGGCGCGCAAGATATCGAGCTGGCAGAGCACGAAATATGGCCTGGAGAATTCGTGCAGAGTCATGCTCGTTCTGTGGATGAACTTCGTCGTCTTCAAGGTGGACAGCACCCTCAGAATCGGAATCATGTTCAACATCAGCCACATCCTTCTGTTCCAGCGATGCATATGCAGTTCACTCAGGCCTCCACTTCGAATACGTATCCACATCCTCCTCCACCACCTCCACCTCCACCTCAGATTACGCATCAACCTCGACCTGGATTCCATTCCGCGTTTTTAGCTCATCTTAACGTCCACTTACAGCCCCAGCCTCAGCCTCAGCCTCAGCCTCAGCCTCAGCCTCAGCCTGTCCGTCAACTTCAACAAGCCCAGCCGCACTCTATTCCATTGTACGCGCCCAGACCATCGTACCCCGTCCCTGCCGGTTTAATTCCGGGTCCATCGACGCTTTCCCAGTCTCGACATCGTCAACCTCCGAGAGCGAGAGTCGACGTCGGGCACGGGCAGAATCGGGTGGTACTTCCTCAGGCTGAAGTACCAAGATCAACTTCGAACGTTCATGGATCCATACGCATACGTACGCCAGAGGTCGCGCGACCTTCTACCATCGAGACTCTTCCTCAAATTGTTCCTCGCCCTCGTCCTCAACCACAGTCCCACTCCCCACTTTTATCCCATCTCAACGCTCACTTACAACCTCAGCCTCAGCCCCAGCCACAGCCTGACCGTCAACTTCCACTTCAAGCACACCCGCACCGTAACTCTGTTCCATTGTACGCGCCGAGGCCATCGTACCCGGTCCCTACAGGTTCACTTCTCGAGTCTCAAGCTCGTCAGCCTGTTACAGTCGGACAGAACCAGGTGGCGCTTCCTGGAGGATCAAATTCAACTTCGAGCATTCATGGATCCATACGTACACCAGAGGTTACGCGGAGTTCTGCCATTCAACAGGCAGAGACGCGGATAGTCGATGGTCGCACGGATGATCAGCGCGCGGTACGAGGAGAAAATGAGGCCGAGAGAACTGGAAGAACTGGGAGGGAAGTTGAACCTCAAATTTCGACCTCTTCGTCTACGGTGGGCAACGAAAGCCCGAGGAAGAAGAGAAAGAGGTCTAGACAGGACGTGGGGATGGAAAATGCGGAGCATGGGGAGGGTATGGTGGAAAATGGGGAAAATGAGACTGGGGCTGGAGCTGGGGTTGGGCCTAGTTCGGGTTCGGGGAGGAAGAGGAGGAGGGGTGCGGATGGTGGGTTGGTGGAGGTGACGAATTTTGGTCAGGATCAGAGGACGTAGGGGGAGGGGGGGGAGAAGATGGGGAGAGGGAGCGGAAAGAAAGAAGGTGGGGGGCGAAGGGCAGGAAAGGGGGCAGAGAAGGGTCTGCACAAATCGAGAGGCGTCGCTCATCGATGGTGTCAAGATGTGACTTATCGTACGGGGCTATGATCTTCGGCTGGTCCGAATGGGGTTCTGTGAATGTCTCCATGCTCTTCTACCGTACCGTATGTTCCATGTAGAATTATGCCACACCGTATGCACGTATGATTTAAAATTTTCCCTGAGCGTGTACGTATACGGATCGAGAGTCCGACTCTCGGTAAAAGTCACGCAAGCTGGACTCGTGCTCCCATTCGAGCGACTGCCTTGTGCACCGGAGTCCCTCAAGATCGGGAATGGTCGGGAATCGTGTTTGCGAAACGCGAATCGAGAGACGTTGCTCGTAAAATCAGGACTCTTCCATTCCCTCGTTACAGGGAGCCGCAAGGGACTCGAGTCAGCCATTGGGTGGCGCATGTTTGGGGAGGAACCAAACAACGGCAAGCTATCGCCGGTTATCGCCTTTTCGCCCAGAGCGTTTGCTCTAATATGGCAATTTTCTTTTGTGCGGTCGCTTACGTCCCTGGGAAATTTGCAGTGAAATGACTCGGCTGCGAATTCGGCAGTCATCGGGCCCAAATCGGGTTGTTTCAAAGATGGGTTGGTCCGGTTTGTGTGGTGCGCTGATCTCCTCGCCTTTCGGTTGCATAAAGAGGCTGCCCGATTGAGAAGGCGACGCCATGGGATGCCGTGTCACTCTCTCTTTGTTCCGCCATCTATATAACCCTTGTCTCTCTCTCTGGCCCTCTCCCCACCCCCCTTTCCCCCTGGCTAGCATCCACCACCATCTCCATCCATTTTCCCGCGAATATGCCCTCCAGCAAAGACGGCGACGGCGATGGCGACGTCGAGATGGCTGACAGCCCTCGAGCTGATCTCCCATCGATCCCCAAGCTGTCGCCCGTGCCCCCGCCTGAACCCCCTTCGCCACCGTCGTCACCACCACCGGAGGCGGAGCCAGAGCCACCAGCGCCCACAGGCCCTTCCTTCACGCTTCGGTAACGTTCCTTGTCTACCTTCCCTCTTGTTGGTCGGCGCTTACGTGTTTTTTTTCACAGCCCCGTCCGCGACTTCGTACCTGCCCCCGAACCTCCTCCAGCCCCGCCCAGCGCGTTCGCCCCAGCAGAGTACGATTCGCAGTACGCGTCCGACTCCGACTACGACGACTACGACTACTACTCTGACGAAGATTACGGATATTACTACTCTGACGACGACTACTATGAGAGCGATGACGACGATGGGCAATGGGCTCCTCCAATGGATTTCGGTAAGGCCAGCATAAGCGGCGCGTCTTCCGCTCAACCCAACGATAGCAACGTTCCAGGACGCGCTGGTGCTCCCACTCCCGCCACCCAGTCCAGAACGACCTCTATCATTCCGATCGATGTCCAGCGCCAACCACATCCCACAGCCCCCTCAACCTCGTACGCGTCTCAACCTTCTGCGCAGTCTCAGCCCCAAGTCAATGCTCAAGGCGTACCCGAAACCTTCATTTGCACCAAATGTGACCACGCTCCCTTCAGGCGCAAACCCGACCTCCGCCGCCACGCGAACTACTACTGTCCCAGTCTCGTCGCTGACCCCAACCCTCCTGATGACCCGGCCAACAAGCCTCCCAGACGCAAACGCACCAAAGTCTCCCATGACGATCGTGATTCTTCCTCCCCTCCCCCTGATGAGCCCGCCAACCCCGAACAACAGAACGCTTCCAAACCCAGTTCGTATTACCGCCAGCCCTATCAGCCTGCACCACAGACCGCGTCGGGGGCGTATTATCGCGAGCACTACTATCCCACCCGTTCCCAACTACAACAACCGAACCAGTTAACCTCTCACCACCAAAACACGAACGCTCAAAACGTTCAGTTCCTTCCTCAACCCTCCCACCCCTACATGGCCCAACCCGTCGTCGTCGCTACTACCTCTCGACCCACCCCCGCAGCCAATACCAATACCAATACCAACACGAACGCCACGCCACCCCAAGTCCCCAACGCCAACGCCACCGCCTCCCAACCAGCTACCGCGCCGTCCACCAAGACCAAAGACTACACCTACCGCTGCGAGTTCTGTGGTGCCCAATACGACAACGCGCTCGACAATCTGCAGTGGCACTGGGAGAAATGTGCGATTCGTCTCAGTTTGGGAAGGCCGGTGCCGAAGGTGTATGTGGATAAGGAGCCGATTTTGAAGATTGGGCCGGGGGGGAAGTTGATGGTCGGGATGATGGGCAGGGGAGCGATGGGTGTAGGGACTGGGCCGAGTGCGATGGCGACGAGGAATGTTGCGAAGAGTGGTGTGAGCACGACGACGAATAAGGATGCGGTGGCGAGCGGGACTGGGACTGGGATTTGGGTTAGGCCACCACCATCAGGTACGACCGTCCTCAATGCGACTTTGCCTGCGGTTATGGGTGGCGTCACTGCGAATGCGAACGGAATGACTACTCGGTCTTCGAATAAGGGTAAGGAGTCGTTGGAGGGGAATGGCAAGGAACAAGGGAAGGGGCAGACGGAGACGACCGAAAAGGCGAAGCAGACCGAGAAGGAGAAAGAGATCGTGACCAAGAAGCCGGATAGCAAGGGGAAGGAGAAGGAGAGCGTGAAGGCGAAGGGCAAGGGCAAGGAGAAGGCTGAGAAGAAGAAGGGGAAGAAGAGCAAGAGGTTGTCAATTACGAAGAAGAAGAGAAAGGTACCCGTTCATCGCAAACATGGGAGTAGTGAAGCCGGCAGCAACCACGCAGATGGAGACGTCGATATGGACGAGGGAGAGACGGAGGTCGAGACGGCATCGGAGGATGAGCTCGAGAGTGAAGACGAGGAGGAGGAAGAGGAGGACGAGATCCAGGAAGAGGAAGCGACTGTCGACGATGTCGCCTCCAACCCTATGGAGACGGACGAGCCTGAGGCTCCTCGTGTGGAGGTGGACAAGCAGCCTCCTCCGCCTGCACAGGAAGCTAATGAGGCCGCAGGGCAGGAGAGCGATGGATCAGATTCGGACGTCGTGCTCATCGAACGTCCTGCGGAATTCAAGTCATCCACGCGTAGGTCCTCGAGGAACAAGAACGCGCCCTTCGGTGAGCAATCTCTCTATTTTCCTTTGACATTCTCGTGTTCTTTTATGATAAGTTGCAATGGTTGTCGTCCGTGGTGCTGACGATATCTTTGCTATCATAGTCTTCCTCTCCGACAAACTCCAGTATCCTTACTCTTATTCCGCCGCGGCTCGACCGCCACCCAACGCCGCAGGACATCCCTACGCCTACCCGTACACCTATGGCGCTCCCATTCCCGCTTCTGCTCAGTATCCTTATCCCCAGCTCTATCCCAATCAGCACCCCCAATACCAACCTTACGTCTATCCCCCTCCACAACCTCCAGCACAAGCCCAAGCCCAAGCCACCAAGGCCAAAGCTGATGCGCCCGCCCCTCCCACGCCCGCCACCGCCACCGCCAGTGCACCTCCCCCGACTCCTCCCGTCCCCAGTCCCCCGGTCACAACCCACACTGAGCCTGAGCCTCCTCGTCCTCGCCTCCGTCCGCGCCCTCGTCCTACTGCTCGCCGTCTGAGCGCGGATAGCAACTCTGCTGATTCTGGTGCTGATGTGGTGCAGCCTCAGAGGAGATCTCCCAGTGCTCACTCGCCGGGGGATGTTGGAGGGACGATGTCGGTGCTGGTGCCACAGAACACGGGAGGCATGGTCTCGGTTCCACAGCCCGTAAATGGTACTATGGTCATTGACGACGATGTTATGGATCGACTTCAAGACCCCAACGCCGCTCCTGCCTTCCATGCCCAATCACACAACGAAGCGTTCGTCGCGCCGCAGTACCATAATGCGCCGTACAACAACGAGGACGGACCCATAGGCCAAGAGTTCCTGATGTACCAGCCGACGGCGAAGAAGCGGAAGAGGGGCCAGGACAAGGAGAGGCCGGATGGGTATATTAAGAGGCCGGCGAATTCGTTCATCTTGTTTAGGAAGGACTTTATGCAAGGGGAGTATGCGAGGATGAGCAGGGAGGAGAAGGCACTGGTGCAGGAGATGCAGATTCATACTGTCATCTGTGAGTCTTTTTATTTCTTTCTTGGTACTGCTTTTCGTCCCGTTTCTTGTCTTCTTTTTTTGTTCGTTCTCCTGTTTTTTTACGTGGGTCTTCGCTCTTTGGCTAAGGGTAAGTTTTCCGTATTGATGCTGATTTCTTGTTCTTTATCATTGCTACTAGCCGAGAAATGGAGAGCGCTCACGCCATCCGAGAGGGCTTTCTGGGACGCCAAAGCAGCAGAGGCGAAAGCAGAACATATGCGCAACAATCCGGAGTACAGGTATCAACCAACGAAGAAGCCCGCCGGCAGCAAGGGCGCCACAGCAGTCAACTCCGCTCCTGGCGAACCAGGCAACTACTACCGCGACCGCTCCTCGTCGCAGAACCTCAACCCCGAGGATTTCGCAGGCTCTCCCTCCTCGCCTTCTACCCCCGAACCCGAAGGTCCTCCTCCCGAGCTGATCATCCAGCCCTACATCACCATCCCCGTTCCCAAACCAATTCGGCCACGCAGAAAGACGGAACCCAAGAGACCTGTCGGTCGAACGGCGGATTATGAGTCTGTGATGGATATGGTCGTGCCTGCACCTCCGCCGAGGATCCTGGCGAAGGATTGGGTGGCGGCGCAGGTGGCGTTGAAGGCCGAGAAGGAGAGGGAGAGGGAAGCGAGAGCGGCGGCGGGTGGGGATATGGCGGTGGACAGTGAGCCGACCTCGAAGCAAGCGACTCCCTCCGTTCCGAGCCCAGCACCTATGGTCATTCCTCCCCCTCCTCCCCCTCCCCCTCAATATCAGCATCCATCCACACCGCCGATGGCAGCGGCCGTTGTAGCACGGGCACGGTCGAAGGAGTATTCCCCGTCTATGGAGACGTCGTTCCAGCAAATGACACTCGACAATGCCCCTCCCAGTGAGCGCGAGCGCGACGGTTATATGAGCCCTCACCATGAGAAGACGCCCAGCAAGGCTGGTGCAGCGCCGGATGCCGACATGCACGCTACCTCCGGCAGTCCCGCCACCCAGCAAGCCCAACAAAACGGGACGAGCGCCCATGCCAGTCCTGCTCCCGGTCCCAATGCAGGTCCGAAAGACGATACTAATGGCAATATCGTCGCTGCGCCGAGGCCTCTTCACGCTAACGCCCCGGAACGAGGTGGACCCCTCCTCTTCGGGAACATGGAGCCTTTGCCACCTATCAGGCCGGATCCTACGCCTCCCTTGTTCGGCGTCATCGATTGTTCGGATAAGGCGGGGAAGAGGAAGACGCCTGCGGGTAGCGTGCCCAAGTATGCTCGTGATTCGATTATGGGTGGTACGGAGGGAGGTGATGTGCCGGAGAACGATGAACTGCAGAGTGATGATGAGGGGCCGGAGAGCGAGGATGGAGAGGTGGACGAGTTGATGGAGAGGGAGAAGGAGATGCCGCATGTCAATGTTGATGCCGATGCCGATGCCAAAATGAGGTTGGTGATTGGTAAGAGCCAGGAGGTGGAGACTGCAGAGAAGCAGCTTAGGGAGGTGTTGCCCGTCGGGGTTGATACGACGTCGAAGATCTCGCTCTTGACAAGCAGTACGTTACTGTTTTCTTCATCTACTCTTTCGTTTCCGGCTGATCATTATCCTTACTTTGCTAGCTCGGGATTATATCGAGAGCTTGATGTCTCAGGTCAAACGGCTCCAAGCAGAGCGAGACAAGGACAAGAACTGGACAGATTCGCTCCAGTCCAAGTTCGAGGGGATGCAAAACGTGCACGCTGATCTGGAGAAGCAGCTCGTGGAGGCCGAAGGAGAGAAGGCTGCGTCGAACTAGGGAATTGAACAGAGTTGTACGCTGATTTGTAGAATGCACGTTTTCTTGTTTTATCTTCTTCTTGTAGACCTATCCATGCCGCCTCCTCTCGAGTGTGAACCATATGAGTACTAATTGTATAGTACTACTACTACTATGATATGCATTCTTTTTCTTCTCGTGCCATAGCAATCTGGGTGGCGCGCTGTGCTCTGTGCTCATTCTCGAGGTCCTTGTTATACGGATTAGGAAGATATCGGACGCATGACCCTCGAAGCTGTCTCTCTGTCAGGCTCTCAGGATGAGGCCAGACGGACAAGAGCATTCTTCCACCGAAACCTGGCAAAATGATGTCTTGCGACGCTGACTCGCAACGCCACAGCTTATAATTAAGCTCAGGAGTATCGGCCATCGGATCCGGCAAGGATCCGGCCTCGTTGAGTACCGAGCCGTTGGAAGATTTATTTGTCATCATTTCCCACAATGCTTGCCGAATCCCCTTCGAGCCCGGCTGGGCAAATCTATACCCACGTCAATGTCTTCGCCTGGTCCTGCACGACGTCGGCATAGCATCTGTATCATGTACTATACGCGACTCTTTCCAGTGCAACAAATATGTGCTGTGTCTCTGTTGGGGTTGAGACAAGGGCTAATGATCCTGTCATCGGCGCAGACTCGAATGCGCATCAGGAAGTCTGGCCGGGGCAAGATCCTTGGCGGACCACGACTCAGGGTCACCCTTTTGTTACGCTTTTGGACGAAAGTTTTGCGCTTCTCATCAGATCGAATCGCTCAGTTATCTTCTGTGTATCTGCGACTCGCCACTCGAGGAGGTCTCGGATTCCGTATTATCGATATCCCCCGCCCGTTTTCTCCGGGAGAAAGAGCGCGCGTCGCACCGGATTGGCAAGGATAAAACGGAGTCTGAACGAGCACATATACACGCCTTGTTTGAAAAATCGTGCCTTTCCCTGCAGGGCGCGAGGAAGCGAGTCTCGAAAAGGTATGTGTCTTCTATTTAGTAAGCTGAAATAGTGGCCTTGTGTGCTCATGTGGGACACGCGATACCCAATGCGATCCGCGGAACGGCAGGAAACACGTATTGTTCATACCAAATAAGTTAGCACCCACTTGTTGCTACGCGGATGATGTGATACTGGATCTGTGCCCGCATTGTCCTGATATATAAGGGCCCCCCTTCCTGTCCGGGAAGCCCTTTCTTCCGCGCCCTCGCGTCCATCTTCGGAAACAATCGAGAACCCTCGTCCGCACCACCATCCCCTCCATACCGCCCGCACCGTCTCAGGTCTCTACTGTAATGTCTCGAGAATCGGACACTGCTCAAGGCGTCGCTACTGGCGCTGGCGAAGAGCTCAGCAAGAAATCGAAAATCGATGACAGTATGGACGTAGATACTGATCCTGCCTTATCTGCACAACAACGAGCGTACGTATGAAGTTTTCGCATCTGCGTGGCATGATGCGTTTCGACAAATCATCCCGTTCCTGATGTCAGTTCTCTATTGTTCTTTTTAGCGCTTCGCAGGGCTTGGAGCCGCCCTCGCAGCCGCTCGCTGTTGCTGCTGCGAAGGACCCCGCCTCTTCGAGCCCTCAGTCTCCAGCAGCGCCTTCGTCGTCGGCGAGCGCAGATCGACGACATGATCCCTTCGCTTCAGCGCCTTTGTCGTCGTCGGCGCCGACTCAAAGCGTCGAAGATCCGCATGTTCGACTCCAAACAGGAGCGAACAATAGAGCCGGCCCGAGCACCGATCGTCCGATTTCGGACATACCTTCGCCACCGCCACACGTGCGCTTGACTGCGAACGATATGGAAATCGACAATCCTTTGGATCGCCCCATCATCGCTGTCTTTCCGCAACACGATAGTGGTGAATCAGAGGTTGATGATATGGACGAGATCGACGACGACGTGCCAGACGGACATCCGCCACCGCCAAGTGGTGTGGATACGAAGGACTGGGAAACGAGCGAATCGCTCACCTGCTTGTTTTGTAATCATCCACCCTTTCTTCGATCGGGTGACTGTCGTCGACATATGCGCGAACGGTGCCCCAATAACCCAGTCGCTAGGAAGGGTACGCATATCTGCCAGTTCTGCCAAAGCATCATCAAAGGCCCTCTAAGTGATCTGCGAGGGCACTGGAATTACTGTGCGGTACGGGTGAAGAATAAACTTCCTATACCTAGCAAACCTGAGAAAATACATCGAGGTCAGTCCGAGTATTCTCTCATTTATGTAAGGTTCCTCGCAGGAGATCAGACTTGCTGATTCGTCCTTGGATTTCAACAGCACCACCTCCCCCACCTACCTCGTTCGTTTTCGACCAGGTCGTCACTCCATCTATGTATACGGAACCAGTCGAGCCTCCTGTGATCGAGGAGGAAATCTTTTATATGCCGCGTTTCCCGCCTTCACCTACGTACGGTCCTCCGAACCTCCCGCGCTCACCAACACCTCCCACGAAAAGACGAGGGAGCCGAGCGCGTCCGGGGCATATCCCTCGACCACCTAACGCATTCATGCTCTTCCGATCTCACTGTATCCACACTGATCGTGTTACCGATACTCAAGCCAATCTTTCGAGAGCGATTGGTGCGTAATCTCAGTTCTCGCATACCGTCGTTTGGAAAAATTTAAACCGAATATCTTGTAGCTGATCGATGGGCCGCCATGGCTGAGCACGAGAAACGGCCATGGAAATTGCAATCCGAGCAAGCCAAGGAGGACCACCTTCGGAAGTATCCTGGCTACGTTTACCGACCCAGACGGCCAGAGCCGAAGAAGGGTGCAGCTGCTTCGGCAACTAAAGGCAAAGCTCAACCCGTCCCGGAACTTAAATATCCTCATCCTCGTAGAATCACTGTGCACGAGAATCCAGTATGGAGTGTCTCATTCCCCGAAGATGCGCTTGAGCAGCCGTCTGGGGGAAAACGTAGTGCTCCTACCGGCGAACCGGTTGTAGAACTTCGGAAACGACAGCGTATGTCCGAGCCCTCGAGGTCGGCCATTCCACCACCACCACCACCACCGCCTCCTCCGCCTAACGCAAGTTCCAGTAACGGAGGAGGGATCACGCTTCCGACCGTCCATATGGACAACGGGGCCGCGCCAGCGAAGACTCGTAGGACCAGGTCGAAGCCGTCGGTCCCGGTCATTGCGCCTGCGCCTTTTGTACCACCAGCACAGAACCCCCCAGTTCCTCAAGCCCAGCCGGAAGCTGGGAGCATAGTCGAAGACTTACGGAGGCGCCATTCTGTGTTCACGAGGAATGCCACTCCTTCTTCGAGCAGGCCTGCTTCAGGGGACGTTGCTGAAGCAGACACACGTCCCAATTCTGTCGCCAGCTCTTCCCAACCCCTTCACGCTCCTCCTTCCTTCGCGCAACTGGCTCTAAGTGCTGGGGCACGGGGACAATCTTACATGTCCGGGGCCGTACCGAGATTGTCACGACCTCTTTCGCAGTCGACCGCCTCGCCCCTCGCTCCAGGAACTGGTCAGCAATCGCCTCCTCCCCCTAGACTTTCGACGTTCGGCCCACCATCTTTCTCTCCCGTTTTATGGGGATCAACCCACAAAAACACTACCCCCGCTCGACCCCCTTCGCCTCCTGTACATCCTCTTCAGCCCGTTCCTTCGTCTTCGCCCAAACCTTCGCATGCGCATGCATCGCCTTCTTCGACTTCGATTTCGCATCCATCGCAACCGTTAATGGCAGCTTTACTCCCGCCCGAACCCCAACCCGAACCCGTTCGTTTTCAACCTTCTCCCGCGCGTACTTCTTCGCATTCTCCAGCATCTGAGTCGTCTCAGCGCACCACTTCCAACTCGCATACCCCGACTTCATCGCTCTCTCAGTCCATGCGCTCACGCCCGCGCACGCAAGACGACGTGATGAAGGACGTGCTCGCTTCGGCGTCGTTGAAGCACCAACAGCGTTTGCAGGCGATACGCGTGCATTGGGCCACTAGTCGCAGGGACGAACCCTACGTGCAGCGATTGTTGGGGGAGAGGATACCTGAAGAATTTCGACAGTTCCATGAGCATTACTTGGAGCATCCAACATGCTATTTGCCTATCCTGAAAAGTGGTACGTTGGTCCTCACCTTTCTTGATTCTCCCTCAGGTTACTAAAACTGAAAATGTATGCGCATTTTTGTTTAGCACGAAACGTCATCAATCATCTGCGCTCCGAACTCGAGGACTTGCACAGCAAGAGGAACCAAGACCTCGAACTGGGCGAGACTATCAGTCTCGAGATCGAGCAACTCAAACGGGATCACGACAGACTGCGCCAGCGATTATCGTCAATCTCCGCCTCCTCCGCTCGTCCTCAAGCTCAAGGCCAATCTCCCCCACCTGCTCCGGTCCCCAATGCCAAGCCCCGTTCCGCTCGGAACAGTCCCAGTCCGAGCGCAAGCCCTGCACCTAGCGTTGCAGCCAGTTCTTCACCTACTATCCACGACGCTGTCGTTCTTCCTGATAGTCCGCCCGCGAGCCCTTCTGCGAGTCCTCCGCCAAGTAGTATGGCGGACGACGCATCCGACGCAGAGACCGAGGTCGATAAGACCGTCGTGATCGTACCGACTCCAGTCGCAGAATCTCAGACTGAAGATGCGAACTCGAAAACACACGCCGAGGGGGAGTGAGCGATTTAGTATCGTGCTACACTATTTAATAACTTCGTTCTACTGTAAAAATTATATCTGTCGTCTATTCGTCTTCTTTTTACCTGGGAGAGTACCAGTGTACGTTTGGATACGTGTGGCGAGGCGAAGGACTCGTCGCAAACTTGAACTCATGCTATACATGTAATGGGCAAACGGTCTAATATTATACAGTGTACGCTACGTTCTTTGCGCACAACGCCGTAATGCGTGGGTTGTTTTACTGTCAGGAAGTTCCTCCCTCGTCTTTCTGTGTGACACAAATGAACCAGATTTGGTGGCACGGAGTAGGAAAGTTTACCCTGGCGAAGTGTCGCTGCAGGAGTAATCGAGGTGCTGTTGTGTATCAAGGCTTGAGAGAGCGATGCAACCCAATACTCTTTTCCTTCCTTCCTTCCTTCCTTCCTTCCTTCCTTCTTTCAGAATCGAGCATTTTATAGCTTAGGACGCAGACAGTCAACGATAACTTGAAAGATATCTAAGCCATATGATTCAGATCCACGAATAAACTTACAACCAAGCCCTACGAACAAATGCGCCAATTAAGGCACGGGTAACGTTTACAGCCACACAAACAGCCAGACGAACACATATAACCATGATCAACACACCGACAGACACTGCAGACAGAGACTTTGGACCTGATAGACCATAAAGCCGATATAAGATAACACTGGGGGATTGTCGATGATTTGAAACTTCAGACTGCGTACTGCGAACGTTGGACAATGATAGATGACACAAGGAGCGAGAGAGAAAAAGAACGGGAAAGGAGCTTGAAGGTGAAAACAGAGTATCAGGGAAGGTTCGACGACGACGAGGGTAGATAGAAATATTGACAAGGGACAGTGATTCGGACGACTTGAACGTATGACGGATGTATGAATGGAGAAAACGGGAAATAGACGGAGACGAAGACGGATGGAACAATTCGACAAACGACGGGACGAGACCAAGGAGAGACGAGGATTGGAGAGTCAGAGAGAGGGAGAGCGAATAATAAGTACTTGAGAAGAAAAAAAATAGAGGGGAGTGGCAAGATATACGAGCTGCAAACCACACAACGTACGGTCCCGACCTTCAAACGACTATTCATGCTTTCGAAGCCGCCGAACACCGACCGACCAACCAAGCGTCAAGACCCAAACGACCGCCGAAAAGAAAAACACATCCTACAAACATGATCCTTCTCGCCCCATTCTTACATCGCCGCCATCCCAACTCCCTGGAACGCGCCCCGCTGTCCCATCGCCATCATACCCCCAACGCCACCAAGCCCACCCATCCCTCCCTGCTGACCCTGCATCTGCCCCTGTCCTCCTTGTTGCATCCCACCCGCACCTGCCTGTGCTCCGATGACACCAGCCTGTCCCTGCTGCTGCTGTGCGCCCGCAGGTCCGTTCAGCGTCAGTGCCGCTCCAGGCGCGAATACCGGTGCGTTCTTCTCCTCGAGGTCAGAATAGAGCACGGTCATATCCTTGCGCTCTTTCCCCCAGCCATCGGGATCCCAAAAGGTGTACGTTCCGTGCTCGCCGCCAGCGACTTTCTGCGAGGGAGAAGTTCCGGATTCTTTGGTGAGCCACAGACGAAGGTCTTTGTGGTAGCGCCAGTTGCGGTTATACCTGTACAGAGCGTCGTGAGCATATGCATGGATAGTTTTCGATATAAACGATAAGCGATATACGAAAGCAAGCAAGACTTACAGCTCTTGTGCGGCTACTTCCTGGAGTGCGTCCCTCGGACTCGAATAGAACATAAAGAACAACGTCTCGTCGCTGAATGCGGCTGCTTTACTTGGACCCGGTGGCGGAGGTTGCACGTTATAGCACGTCGGAAGATGAAAATCCGGTTCAACAGTATGTGCCGCTGATGAATCTGCCCAAGGCGTGATGAACGTCGAGTATAGGTTCCTAAGGTCAAGAAATAGCACCCGCCGTCAATACGCGCAAAGAGAGAAATCACTAATTATGAGGAAAAAAGAAAAACAGAATAGACAGAAACGTACCCCTGAGCCTGCATATCCAACCCCATTGTCCCCAAATCTGTACCTACGCTAAGCAGCCCCCTATCCAAATCCGCATTCTTGATCATCGCCAACAGTCCTAACAGGCCCCACCGATCCGCTGCAGAGACGAGCACCTGCTGCGCCGGGGTCTGCGGCACCACATTCACATTATTCACCGTCGTCCCAGGCCTTTGCTGTTGCTGTCCCTGCTGTTGTGCTTGGTCCTGAGCGAAATGTTGTGCCGGACCTGGCGTGTGTGATGTTGCTGGAGGCTGCGGTGGTCCTTGCGTTGCCTGCTGCGGTGGTACTTGTTGTGACGGTTGTGGCTGTTGCGGCTGTGGTACTTGTTGGGATGGAGGGGGAGGAACACCCGGCGGGCCGCCTAGGTGATTATTTTGGTTTTGTGCGTTTGGTTGCGATTGAGGTGCTTGGTTCGATGTGGGAGGATGCGAGCCGTTTTGGAGAGAGGATAGTGTGCCGGGGAAGCCTGCGCCTCCCACGACGGGTGCGGGTGTTTGCGATGGTGGGGGGTTGAGGGGATTCGTGCCTGAGGGTCCGTTGGATGGGTTGTTCCAAGCAGCATGCGATGCTGAGTTGAGCTTGAGCGCGTAATTCTGTGGAGTTGGGTTAGTAAGAGTGCGGGGCAAGAAAAACCGCGGGAATTTCAAAGACGCGGCCTAAGTTGTGTATCATAATTTGAAGAAAAACAAGGAGCGATCCGAAGATCACGCGAGAGGAAAATATGGTGGAGGAGGGAAGAGACGAACGAACGAAGAAGGAAGAAATCCAAAGGTGTATGGATGGATGGAATAAAGAGCTGATTGGGGACACAGAGAAGAAGAAAAAAGAGTGAAGAGAAACACACCCTCTGCTTTTCCGACTCGCTCTGCAACGCCTGCTGGCCTCTACCTCCCGGTCCCAAATTCAACAATCCCGGCTGCTGCTGCTGTCCACCCATTCCTAACGAATTCTGCCTCTCCGCCGTGTGCACACCATTCAAACCGGGTGGATGCGGGTGTGAATGATCTTGTTGACCAGCCTGCTGAACCTGTTGTTGTTGTTGCTGCGTCGACTGACCTCCGCCGAGCGCTGGAAAATCGTCCGGCCCAAAATCTCTCCCTTGATCCCTCTCCCGTCCATTTGTCTGCCCTTGTCCGCCCTGCACACCACTACCCGGGGTTGTCCCAGCCTGCGACGCGTAACTCCCATTTGCCGTTCCCGGAGTTGCGAGTCCCGAGTTAAGCGCGCTGGCGTGTACGGAGGCGGGTGTCGATCCTAGCGCAGGAAAGTCACTTGGGTCCAGTCCAACATCCGACGCCGCACCCGACGAGGCAGCATTCGACGCGTTGATGTTCGGATTCTGTGCCGTCGGGCCTTGGAGATGTGGCGGTAGTCCAGGATTGCCGCCGTGCTGCTGCTGATTCGACTGTTGCTGCTGGTGTAGGCCGTGTGGTTGCTGTTGTCCGAGCCCGGTGTTGAACGGGAAGGCCTGACCAGCACCTCTCTGCTGTGGAAACCCCGGCGAAGGCTGAGGCCTCATTCCCATCCCTCCTGCACCTGCTCCCATCGAGCCCGGATAGCCAGGCATACCACCCAACCCCGCGCTACCCAGTCCGCCGCCGCCAAGCGCTCCGCCAGCGAGACCGACGTTGACGTTCATGTTGTTCCGTGGTGGCATGGCATAGTTGGTGGGGTGGGAGGCATAGGGTCCGGCGCGGAAGCCACCTTGCAGGGCGTTTGGGTGGGATTGTTGGGAAGGGTTCAGGGAGTTTGGATTAGGGAGATGTGAGTGTAGCGATGCGGGCCCGAGTGATGGTGGTCTTTGTGGGGGTTGTCCTGGAAAGAAGGGACGGGAGTTAGCGGGGAAGGATGGATGGAACATGGTTGGGAAGAAGAGCAGGCAGGGCTCGTCCGAGTGCTCGCGCTGGGGTTGGCACGACACAAGATGCTTCTTGGACACGCTCTGCCAGCACCAGCGCTCATTACGCCGCACAAACTTATTATAGCGCACTATATGCCATTCCCATACAGTGGCAAAACAAAAGGACGCCTGTCGAAATATTCGAATAAATGAAGACTAACCTGCTCGATTCATTCTCGGTTTTCAACAGGGTCTGTGGCAATATCTATTCGTTTTTGGGCACAAAAGTCAGCATATACCCATAAATTATGTGCTGGTATTGCGTACGCTATACGATGCCAATGAAGATTGCTGAGGTGGCAATGCAGGGTGATGGTGGATGGGGGAAAAGTTGGAGCAGGCGCGCGCGGGTGGCAAGCTGCTCGCTCACTCCCGCTCGTGTCCGAAAAAGGAAATTGCAGCAAGTGGTCGCCACCGACGCGCGAAGCCTTTTCTTTGTCCCTTCACCCTCGAGTTTGGATCTTGGAAGATATTGTCTGGTCTTTGCTTTGTACCCGACTAATTTGCTGGCTTGACGGAATTTTACTCGAAAACCTGACTATACTCTGAATTATCCAAGGCAACTCTGCGGCGGGGCAACCCTCGCTCGTCCATGGCACCAATCGGCGTGCCGATCCTTGGACATGTGCTGAATATAGCCTATAGAACAGCATCGTGCTGAGACGATCATTAATCTTTTGCTGAAGCTTTTCGAATTTGACTTGGTTCGTTGACAGTGGTTGGAGCAGGATCGTTCATGCTGATTGTATGTGCGGCCCTTTGTGTAGTATCCCCATCGACTCATCTGTAGGCAATCCTCGCTAAAACAGCAGCCAAGGTTCGCATAACCTATGTGGCCCATGATGATACTATGTATACTACGATTTGTATTCCATAAATTCAGGCGTGTTCTCCCGCTAAATTCCCCCTGCATCGACGCCACGCATGCCCCCCTGCTGGTGTATTGAAGACTTAGGCTGTCGAATGAGGTGCCATCAACACATCACTGCCCTTTATTATCCTTTTGGTATCCACCCCTATATACTCCCTCAGTCTTACGTGCTTTCTGATCGAGCCCAACACGACGAAGACGTCTTGGTACACAAGCTCATGGCGCAGCCCTATGTGCGCACGATCTTCTGAAACTCCAATGATCGTTTATTGTGACCACACTACGGCCATGCAGACATGTCCGGACCCGTTGACAAGGTAAGTTTTACATCAGAACCATGCGAGATGATGTCTACGGCAATGTGAGCGCGAGAGGAGAAACACTGTAAAAGTTTCCGAGGGACGCAAGCTGCACTCGTCGTTTTTGAGGCCCAGCAGCAGTGAGGAAGAACGTTTGTCTTCCTCGATCTTTGAGTCTGTATTTCGGGATTAGCCTAGCGGCAGACGTTCTTCGCTAAGCATTGACCATACGTGCAGTCATTGCCGTCGAAGGGCTTAGTGAAAATGATCGCTGCGCTGTAGAACGAGATATTGGAACCAGCAGAGAAAGTTTGTCGACTGACTGGCACTGAGCATTCGCTCAAGAGAACTTCTCGAAAGCATCGTATATCTTCCCTATACCCAGTGAAAGAAAACCACGGTCCTAGTCCCACTAGCGAGAAAGCAAAACACCAGACACAGCTGAGGGCCCTAACCAGCTTCGTTTCCTCGCGCACAACGGCACTGTGACGGCGAAACGTTGCAATATTTTTTCTTCTGTACCATCGCATCAACTTCTCAGCACCTTAATTCACAAAAAACTATGCTCAGCAGCTCCCACGGCATGGCGGGGTAGATGAGATAAAAAAGAGACTGCATAGGGTATGATATGGCATATATGTACAGAGCATAGCGTAGGCATATTAGAGAGATACTAAGGAAATCAAAAGAACACATCAAGCAACACAAACACAAAACCTCCACCGCCAAACAGGCAGTTATACTCGTACAAACAACATAGTATCGCAGCGCCGACATCTAAAAGATACACACAACAGAGTCACATCGGAATCAAACAACGCAGACGCTCACTCGATATCAGACATCTAATAGTCTTCTGCGTCCGAATCCGAGTCATCAGTGGGAGTGGGGAAAGCGGGGGACCAGTCCCAGTCCGTGAAACGCTTCTCAGCCTGAGCTTGCAATTGAGCCTGAGCCTTAGCCAAGTCCAGCTCGCGCTGAGCCACATCCGACTCGGGCTGGGGTGTCGACATCGCCGTCGGAGTCTGTTTGCCTGAGCTTGTGTTGCGATCCTCAATTGGCTGACCTAGAATGAAAGAATGAGTGGATTATAATCAGTCAGTAAGATACTGGGCCGGTGACAACGACGGGGAGAAAGAGATATCGCAAAACTGTACTCACCGACAACGACCTCTCCACCGACGTCGATGGGCCCTGCAGCAGTAGTCGTATCCGCCCCCTTGCCCAAGGAGTGAGATTTCCCCTGGCTCATAGCATCGAATACGACGGGGACATTTACAGACGAAGCGTCGCGTTGACCGGAGTAAGAGGGAAAGGGACAAGCTGCCACTGACGCAGACTGCGGCAGGCTAGCAGAAAGTACAGGCGACGATACTTTACCAGCTACACCAGTAGTAGAATGTTCAGTGACAGGGTCAAGAGCTCCAGTAGCAGCGATGAGAGGGAACCCATCCTCGGCGGAAGAAGAAGTAGCGAGAATAGTCGGGGTAGACGAGTAGGATGTAGCTGATGAAGAAGAGCGAACACCGTTATGGAGATTGAGCAAGGCAGAGGCAGCAATAGCCTGAGGGACGATATCGACATCGTCTTCAGCGTCGGATTCGTCGTCGTGGTTAGTGTCAGCATCGTCGACCTCGACATCCTCGGGACCTTCAGCGTGGCCAGCCACATTGTTCTCGGGTACCTCTTCCTCAGCGTGGTCGTCGTCGTAGTTCCCGTAGTCGCCCATGGACTCCCCATCATCCACGTACTCTGAATCCACCTGGTCGCCACTCGCCGCATCGTCAGACACCTCGTCCTCGTCCTCCCGACTGCTATCTTCGTCACTGTCACCCTCGTCGACCACCACAGGCGCCTGCGTCGCGACTGCCCTCCTCAGTCTCCCAGTCTGCCCCGATCTACCCCTGCAGTACTTGCGATGCCTCTGCAATGCGTCCAGCCGCGAGAGAAGTTTCCCGCACTTCGCGCACTTCAGCGGGTTCGATTTGGCATCCGGGTTTCGTGGGCACGATTTTCGTATATGTCGCCAACAGTCGGAGGTTCTCGAGAACGGGCCGTGTCCACACAATCGACAGGTCCGCCTGCTGGTATTCTTCTTGTTTTTGCGGCCAGTGGATTTACCGGCGCGGGATCGTGGAGAATAACGGGTCATATTTGATGATGAAGCCTTCGGGCGCGGCTTCACGAATGGGATGGGTGTGGATGACGTGGACGTGGATGGCGTGGACGTGGTGGAAGACGAAGGATCGGCAGTCTGGGAAGGGAGTTTGCGGGTCTTTCCCCGGGTCGAGAGAGCGACCGGGTCTGTGAACATGTCGGGTCTATCAAGGCAACGCGCGAGAAAGAAGTTAGGACAAGTTGGATAGGCAAGCGTTGGACTAAGTGTCACTTACTGAATGGAGGAAGACATTGGAAGGGGAGTGGCGCGGTTGAGTGTCGTGTTGAGCAATGAACAAGGCTGTTGGGTAAGCGTATAAGACAACAAGGGATGAAGAGCAAAGAAGAGGTTCAAGCGCCACCAGGGGGTAATAGAGAGGAGGGGAGGGAGAGGATGTGGAAAAATGAACGGACGGACGGCGAGTCTTATATACTTGTCGAGGTTGGCACTCAAGCTGTGTGGGCGGTAGTGTTGAACCCCCAAAGGGTCTCCCAAATCCGGTGATGATTCGGCACGAATCCTATCGAATGTCGATCCGTGGGCCTGAACACGTAAGTAGATCAGGCTATAGTCAGCCGTCAATGCTACGTTTTACTATATTCGTTCACAAGGTCTCTTCTGATGAAGTACTTCCCCTTGTCCAGAGAACTTGCAGGAGGCGAGTGTCAACTGAAAACACGTAATTTGAGTGCCGGTTGTCACCTATGGGCGCCCATGGGTCCTGAGATATCGCCTGCCTTCGAGACGAACCACACGAGGCCCTGGGCCGTTGGCAACCATGGATAGCTCGCGGCAGTGTTGAAAGGAAACAAAGGGAGAAACAGCAAGATAGATGGCACAACAGCGCCGGTCTGTCCTCGTGTTCATCGTGATCGGGAAGAGAAGGGGAAGGCCATGGAAGATCGGCGAAGCTCGAAGAATTTTTATTTTTGCGCCATGAAAATTTCCGGCACCATAGGAACCTGACAACCGCGCCACGAACTGTTGTCCTCGACCACGCGCAAGTAGTAGCATTTTCAGAGATTCTGTTGGGCATACATAGCCCAGTCCGAAGACACGGTGTAAGTACAAGTCTAAGAGGAGGACAGCGAAGCGCATGCCAGGATCTCAAGAACGGTTCGGAGAAATGATAAAATAAACAAAGGCTAGTCCCATACCAATCACCGAAGTCGTCAAGGTCCCAAGGAATTAACGAAAGTTGATTTTACACCAATATTTGGCCCGAGCTCTAAAGTCCAGATCACCGAGATCGGTCGCCCAGCTCTCAGAGTGATGACCACTGGCATGTTCAAGGACACTTCTCGAGATGATTCTCTGGATATTCTCGCCATGCTCCGAAATACTCAGATATCGCTGCTGCTGGTGGAGTCCTCGTCCTGTTGAGCCTGCCTTTTCAAGATCTCTATCGTCCGCGCAAGGTTTGCGTTCTTACTCTGCAGGTCCGATATGTAGGCGCTCGCTAAACGGAGTCGTCAGATAAAATAAGTAGAAGTCGTAGGCTTGTTTGGATATTATACAGGAAAAGACTTACCACCCTTAAAAACCTTGATATCGCTGACATCCTCGACGGCGTCGAGATAGGCCGTCGGAATGACGGACTTGAGTTCCTCCTGGACGACTTTCGTCCTCTCTCTGACACCTGATCGATAGTTCTTATCAAAAAGTCGCTTACGGTGCAGCAAGGATGCTTCATCGTCTTTCGTCTTGGAACGTTTGCGTTTCTTTCCCCCCGCTTTTGGGAGCACTGACTCCAAGTTGTACTCATGCCGAGCTTTGTAGGTGCCAGAGGTTAGCGAACTATCCAGCTGAGTTTTACCAGCGAGCCGAGTTTCAGTGACGTGAGATGTCCGTGCGGCGCCACGATGACCTGGTAAGGACACTGCAAACCGAGATTATGAGTCGAACATAGGATTGGATCGGACAACAAGTCAAGAACATCACTCTCACCTGCAGACTTCACTTTGCGGGTGATCTCGGCGGTAGATGAGGGCTCGTCATTCGTAAGGTCGATAATTGGAACCTGGATTTTTGGCGAAAAGGGCGTTCTCGCAGTTCGGTTCGCGCCGCTGTCGACCTGTTACATGAATGAGATAGCGATCAGTGCGAATCAAGACGGTGTTGAGAACCTGCACGTACGTCGACTACCTCCATTGGCTCATATGCATATTCGCCCTCCTCTAATTGATCCGTATCGTCCTCTCCATCGGAGACGTCAACAAAATCTGAAAACATTGAGGGAGTATGAGTCTTGGTCGCCGGAGATCTTGCTTTACGATCTAAAAGGCCGTCCTCATCGCCGCGTTCATAAGGCTGAGCGTCAGCCATACGAGAGTCTGCCACAGAACATGGATAACTGAGTCCGCTGGAAGGAGGCCTTTGGAAATATAGTTTGGCTCTTTCTGTGCACTTTGATGTGGAAAGGCCAGTCGGGCGCCGAGAATCCATGGCGGTCCAAGGAAAGGTCAAGAGATAAGCGGTTCGAGGAAATGGACGGTAGATATGAGGAAAATGGGGGGACGATGAAGACGCTGTGATGCCGACTAGATAGTACGGATCAGTTCTGGGGCAAAGCAGAAACTGAGAGGTCAAGCGTATATCTCACTTTATATACGCCTCCATCAGCGTCTGCGTCTTGACCTCCCGTCGTCTAGCACGGCCGGCCCTCTACCGAGTCAATTTCCACACGGTTGTCCTGGTCCGCTGAGGGTTCGTATGGCCGAACAAACAACCGAAAGAGAACAAGGAAGAGCGTGGCGGTCCAAACTGAGGCAGTGCAACCGAGTGCCAAAGCGGGCACAAACAATATTAGCTTAGCTTCTGATTCAGGGGGAGAACTGAGTGGCAAAGAGAGATGCCCCCAAGTCTATGTAGAGTTTTATTTCGGAAAACTTCTGTAAGGAAAGGATTGGCTTAGCACAACATGGACACTGCTCGAGCTTGAGGCAGCACTACAACTTCTGAATCATCTGTTAGCTGTAGTACAATCATAAACACTCATGCTTCCAGTGCGACCCAGATGTATCGTTCTACGTTCATGGCTACCCTGGTGCATACGACGCGACATTTGAGACAGAGCTTGGCTGCCCATGGTGACTAGAAGGATGTGGGTGAGGTTGAAAAAGACTTGAGGCCGCGATCCCGGGCAGGTCGTTCTATTTCGGTCCGAGGGCCGGCTGCCGGGGCACCCTCACTCAAGCTAGCGCTCCGCGCTGGCTCGACTGCTGGCAACTTGCTGACAACCGCCTCGTGGACTTAGCAGTTCAACTTCATAGTCTCGACACACGCCGTGCCAGCCTGGAGTGTTTCCCATCAGAATCTTTGTGCCATTCATATGGCTCAATACGTTCAAAGTTCAGTAGGTTTGACAAAGCTAAAGAGGCGATGCGCACCAGGCGGGCTTGAGGCTGGCACCCGAGTCCATATACATCATGATACGTAACTGCCAGTGCGTGCCGGCTTCGAAACGCTCATACGACGTCGTTACCTGTCCCGGAGTGGACTGTCCGTGCTGTTCCCATTGTGAATGGTTGTCCTTTTGGTACAAAGAAAATGATGCCCTGATTTTATCTGTACGGCAACGGTGGCGCTTCTCGCTTGTTGCTCGCTTTGCCGCATAATGCGGGCGTATAAAAGGACTCACTCCTCCGTCGACGAACACCCTCTTCCTGTCTCATCTCAACTCAACTCGTCCTCGCCGCCGCGTCCTCTACTTCTACTCCGTACAGAACAAGCTCGTTGGTTGATCATATTGATCGTTTTCGTCTGCGCCACTGCACTGAAAGGACTTCTTCCGAAACCACTACGACACCGGCCTCGCCCAGCTCTCATTCACCGCACGTAATCTCTCCATTTTGTGTCTGGCGCAGGAAGAACTCATGTGGATCCAATTTTGTATTATTATACAGCACTATCAGCCTTCACCACATTCCGAGGTTTCACAAATGGAACAACGCGTCCCCAGCCAACGATCTTTCAGGCTAAGGCCTGCAATATTCCCGCCAACTGACACTACACCACCAAATATTGATTATCGTTCTGAGTATGTATCTCACCTGTCTCTTCTCGTCTATACCTGGTCTGATACCTTGTCTTCTGTCCCGTTTGATTTCTTCAGATCCGACAGTGACGACGATGGGCATTATTTGCCAGATCCGAATGCAAGACTCCGCCACGAGCGACCCCACGCGGGCAGCCAGCTTGAGCAACCCGGCTCGCCGGACACAACCCAACAAGCTGCAATGCAGCGACCATCTGGGTATGAAGAAAGGGAACTAATAGGGTCGGAAGGACAATCACATAGGTGTGCCTCTCTCACAGATGTTCCCACGCCAGACTGGCTCTCAACCACGGCTCTGTGCCTCCAATCTCCGTCAAACCTTGTCTCCCAATGGCTCAACTTCATCTTATTCTCACAGTTTCACCGGTATCCAAACCATGCCAATGCACTCAGCCAACCTCAATCGGACTTCTGCTCTACGCTCAACCATGCGCTCTCCGGACTTCTCTCCCACCGTTGACCGTCCTACAACCACTGTTTCATCTGAACTCGTGAATAGGTCCCCTCGAATAATTGATGACGCTCGGGCTTCACCCTACCCCCCGAGATCTGTAGCACGTCACGGCTCTCGAGAACACCGAACTTCCCCTCGTGCTGGTCCCTCTCATGCACCTAGACACGCTAGCTCGTCAACACCACACCACACTGCATTATATCTCCACCGTACAGACGATCCCTATGCCGATATATACGGGAAGAAAAATCCTCAAGATGAATCCCGACGACCATGGACACCACCTCCACAACTCCCTGGGAACACATATTCCTCTATGTATGACAGAGACAACGGCCTCAATCATGCTTGGGACTACGAAGCGCGCCGTCTCGATTCGTCTGTCTTGATTTCACCTGCGAACCGTCTGCACTCTCGATCTGAGGCTGACCGTCCCTCCGAGGAGGGATTGACTATCACTCCTGCTCACATCGATGCTGTTTCCCAGGCGGCTATGCGCTTTGAAGTAGAATTGGCATCACGTGGTTCTGGTTCTCATGCTCTTCCGTCTTTCAACTTAGAAGCTCGCAGCTCTGATAGACACGCTTCGACTGACGCACACTCAACGATAACTGCTGGGGCTCATTCTACACTCGAGGTCCCTTCTCTTTCTGGTACTGGCAGCCGAGCTTTCATCGAAACGAGAACCAGTCCACCCGTGCCCCCTCCTCCTGCACCAGCACCCTCACTATCCCGCGAAGCACCTCGACGTTTCACAAGAAAACGTGCGCGCGAGATGGAAACCACCGAAACACCTGTCGCGTCAGGTTCAAACGTCACTATCGATCAGTTGGAAGAGACAGAACGCAGGACCAAGCGTCGTCGTACAGGAACTTTCACTCAAACTCCACCGAAGCCTCGAACCAGGACGAATACTAGGAGTACCACCTCCCGCAACACAAACATTACTCCTGCACCGGCAACCACCAGACCTACTCGCAACACAAACGGTGCCCCGGCACCCCCAACCGCTAGATCTACTCGCGCCACAAGAAGTCGCGCAGCTCTCGGTGTCGAAACCAACGCCACCCCGGCCCCCGATCGTAGTGGCGCCAATTCTCGACAAACTGACACGGAGCGTAAGGACAAGGCTCGACATAGAGCGCAAGATTGGCGAGACACATACTCGGCTGCGCTCACTCAATTGCAAGAGACTCTCCCGAAAGAGTTTCACCCTCCACCCCAGAAGGGTAAGAAGGCGCCGCAAGTTGAGTGGTACACTGCAGGTACGTGCTCTCACAATCACCTTTGCCTCTATTATTTTCCACCACGTGAGTGCTTTGGAGTGCTAATCTCGTGTTTTTACTTTCGGTTTGTAGGCGTCAGATATATCTTGCATCTCCGGGAGGAGAACGAGGTTCTTGCAGGTGAAGAACTCCTGATGAGGACCAGGAGTGAGGATTCGATGATGGAGCTCGAAGAGATGGTGAACGAGATGACGAGGCTCAGGGAGGAGCACGATGTTCTTCTTGCGCAGCACGAGTCGCAGATGGAGGCTGTTCAAGCACAGAACGAAGCACTTGTGGCCGAGAACACGGAGGTTCGACGGGATCGTGATCGGTTGAGCGACGAGAATGAGGAATTGCGCGACCAGAACGAGCGGCTCGCTAGGAGGCTTGAGGAGTACGAGGAAAAGGAGCGACTCAGGAGGCTTGACAGGTCGGAAACGAGCGACTGATCACGGGCGACGACGATGACTGTTTCTTTTTAGGCTTGTGAGGATGAAGGGTATTTTGTGCCTCCATGCGAGTGCTTGTCAATGTATTTCATCTTCATGATCACCCTTCATCCTTTGTTTTCTCTCTCTCTCTGTATTTTTCTGCCTTTCGATTCGTCGCATTGGCTGTATGCACAATTTCCTTTCGTCTGGTTTACCTTCCTGTTTAATCTTTTGGTCTATATGTCTTGTTTACCTCTATGCTTTATATACTTGTAACACTCTCGAGAAATGGTATCTTGCTAATCTTTCAGCAAAAGTATGTTCGTGTTGTCCGATGAGTAGTCTCAATACACGGGACCAAAAAAGTCCACCGAAAAAATCAGACGAAGCGTCAAAGATCTTCAGGAAGAGTCAATCTTAGCTCACGTGCTCTACGCAGGGCCTCGCTCATTATAGGACGGGCAAGTGGGTCCTCAGCGACCATCTCATCCAGCAGACTCTGATACTCGGGCAACCCGCCTACGTTCTGCAAGCATAAGACACAGCCACGCGTTAACTACAGGTACAACGACCATCGGCGATCATGGTCGCGAAACGCAGTTGGGCGTACCTCGAATTCACAATCCTCTGACTTCATCAGGGTTCCAAGCTGCCACACATCCGCACGGAAAGGGCAATACGGCACATCGGGTTTTGTCATCTCTGGAGCTATAGGCCGTCCGTATGTCCCTTCCCTACCTGAGGCAGTCCACGGAATTCCCGTGATCAATCTGGAGAATGGATCAGAGTTTTCATCGAACGAGAGCCCGATCTCGAAGTCATTGAGGTAGTACCGGACAGGAAAATGGGAGCGAAACGGATAGGGATCTCCTCGAGTGTAGTCGACTGGAAATTTTGCTCCACCGCGGAAGTTGCTCAGAATGTTGCCATAGCCTATATCCTAGGTTGCGGGATCAGGGGATGGTGAACGACACGTCGAAATTGAGTGAATAGCCTACGAGATGAGCAATGAGACGCCTGTGGCAGAAGTCGAGACCCTATGGCGGGATAATCTGGAATATAAGTAGAGCTGTAAGGAGGATTGTCAGGCAAGACCTGCACTGACCTCTAAGATCTGCACGACGAAATCAGCTGCCTCACGCGCCGTATACCATGTAGGAAACTCATCAATATCGAAAAGTTTCGGTTGTACAATGAACGTGAGCCCGTGTTCGTCGTTAGTCAATTCTTGAAGGACCGGGACGATATGGTTGTTGCCTATACAAGCAACATGACCCTTGGCGACGCGACGCAGAATGTCAAGGTGGCGGATTCCGGAAGGACTAGGGTCATCTTTCATACAGACAAGTCGTATCATGACATCGCGACCATCCAATGTGCGCGCCGGGCAGATGATAGGATTCTGAGGCAGTGCATGAGATTGCACGAGAAACGAAAGGATGAGGAAACTCGGCGTTGTGGAATGAAGTGAACTTATGATAATGACGCACAATATGTTGAATATAGTCGTGCAGAGGCGGATGACCATCAGGAAAGTACTCCGAAAGGTACGAGAAACCGTCAGGGGCCCTTTCTGTCCCTTTGGGCGCGAATATACAGTACAAATGTCCCGGGTAGTTAGCGGGCGTTTCCCAGAGGGTGAGACCATGGCTTTTGAAGAACGGAGTAGGGCCCACCAGAGGTCGTACGGCTCGTATTTCCGAGTCTCGCCCCAGGCTTCAGCCTGGCTTCTCCAGTCCGCGAGGCTCCGAGGGAAATAATCTCCGGCCAAGTTCATGGAGCTTTTCCAGTTCCGTTAGGACAGGTCTTGAGACGAGCTTTGTCACAGCGTCACGTCACGCCTCTTCGGTGGCGGTGGCGTCTTTTTCCTGGGAGCGGTCGCTGGAGATTTTTGTTACAGTCACTCGTCTCCATCACTCCCTGGTCCCGGTGTTTCCCGGTACTTCCGTCTCGTTCCGGTCTCTCTGGGTCTTGCGTCGTGCAGCTCAACGTCTAGCATGCACAGCTCAAATATTCCTGACAAGTCTGATCAATTAACTGTGGGCTAATTACAGCTTACGTTCTCCTACCCGTGTGAGGCATTCAATTAACTCGAACCACGGGCATGTCGTGCTCGTTCTTTCTTTGAATGATGTGTCAGTAAGCGTGTTGTGAGCTTTTGTGGCGTTTTCGCCACAGCAAGGTTGCCTGTTTTTTCTCGCGGAGATAGGCTTTGGTCATGAAATATAGTAGAAAGAGGCATTATAATAATCAGTTGGCAAACACCGTTCGATCTGAAGGAACAGGTCTGGCCCGGAGGGCGTGGAATTCAAGAGGGCATGAACGAAGATAGAAAGACTGTTCGTAGCTGTGACTCTGTGACAGGCTGAGGAACGAGGCCCGTCACAGAGGGTGGTCTATGGATGAGCGGGAGCCGATGCCAGGAGAGACGCCTTTTGCTCTCTCCTCTCATCTCCTCTTGTGGTGGCTCGCTCGGCAAATCCACTCTGCTTTGCCTCGCCGCTTTCTCTTTTTGCATTCTTCTCGTCTACTACATCTTTGTACGACTTGACGCGTCAAGAATCGGTGGGTTCTGATGACCTAGCTCCCGGCGACTCGTCCGAGCGCTGTTCATTCAAGTCCGGTCGGAGTGCCGGCCATGGGCGCATCGCGCTCATGAGGAGACTTGTCGTTGCAAGTCCTCGTCGGGCCACTTGTGGCCTGATAAGAGCGGCTTAGCCGCTATGCACCCTGGTCTGCGCAGCATGCCAGGCGTGTTCTAGTCCGCGACGATTCGTAGGCCTCTCTGTAGCTGAAAACCGAGTCCTCCGGCGAAGTAGGTGTGAGGCCAAAGGACAGTGATATAGGCAATGTTGGGCTGAAATTGAGTGTTTTCCTCTATATGTGTAACCCATTCCTTTTGCCAGTCCTTGCCACGTCTCAACACACCGCACACTCCTGATCAAATAACCTTTTCTTTACCCCTTCACACCACAACTGCAAGAATTCCATACTCCCATTTCTTCACCACCATCTCTTCCTTTTTACATCCTCGCTCCATTCCCGTTCACACCTTATTTGCATCTCTATTCTCCTCTATCAGCAACTGTTTTCTTTCTGCTGTCTCTTTCAAATGTCTACTACAATACATCCTCTGTTACCAACATGCACAGGAGTGACTGCTGCTTATACCCATGCCAGTATATGGATGCCTGCCTAGCAGTGCAGATGAACCCAACAAAACATACCCGTATGCAGTCACGTATCCGTATGCAGTCTCGGATGCCCGCGCTTAGCCCGGATGACGCAAAATCGCAAAATCGCAAAATCGCAAACGCCCTAGTGATAAAATCACGAAATCATGACATCTCCGTCATGGCTTACCACGTGCAGCTAAGTCCTGTTCCCTCATCAAGAAGATTTAGAATACATGCTTCATTATTGCCTTCTCGCATTCAGTATACACCACCAGGCCTGTGCTCGAGCTCCAACACACACTCAATGCTAAACATGGTGGAAGGATGGTCAGGGACTCATGAATCGGGTAGCTTTTTCCCCACTGGGGTTTTTTAACGCACCTCGATGATGATTGAGTGGGGTAGTGTGATGTTACGATATATTCCCTTTCTCCATTCCCCTCTCCCTCTCCACCTGGATATAGTTGGCATCATATCTGCCTCGACTTCAACATAACTCCACGACAAGGTATCCAAGGTCTACAAGATGAGTACCTCTCCTTGTCTATCTGTTTTCTTTTCTTTCTTTATACTTTTGTCACCCTGCTCCTACTGGTTGGGTATCCTCGCTCGCGGACGTGTCACATGGCTCCTACTTTGTTGGGTATCCACACTCGCTTGGATCCTGCTTGCGGGCCGGGTCAGTTCCCGGATTCGGGAGGTCCGCCTTCGGCGGGCTTTCGCCCACCCCTGCTAAAGTAGTTGCTTACTATACCCAACCAATACTTTACTCTTCTGTTCTCCGTGTGAGGTGTGAGCGACATCCATAGATGGTCAACCGGTCATCTCCACTGTGGGAAATGTTGGTTATTCCGGTGACGTGGCGTCCTACTCTCTGCGCCACCCGGAAACGGGCGCCACAAAAGTCATAACTTGAAGCCCTTTCATCGAATCATCTACGTTCGCCTCGTTGCCCGTAACTCCTGACTCTTGAGAGAGTCCCGACTACGCCGTGTAGTTTACCCACTTGCTACATAGTACGTCCCTTCTTTGTTACAAGCCACAACCTTCAATCAGGTCATATCGCTCCACTGCCACTCTTCCTGAGCAGAGGGCCAGAGGCTCTGAGCGAAAAGCTTCTCACCACGTTCTGTCATGAACATTACCGGCCTCGATGGCTGCTATTTTTCTCCATCAGATGAATCCGATAGACTGCTCACGAACACCATGATACGGTATGCTATCCCTAGACAGTCTCGGAGCCTAGCACTGGGTGACTTTCCGTAGCAATCCAGGAGGTTTCCTGATGCACAGAAACGTAACCATAGGGGATCTCATCCAATCAAAAAAATCGACTTGAGCCTCCTCTGCGCAGCTAGCCCTCTAGAACTCCTGGAACCCTATACGCAAAGTCACCCACTGGGGACATGTCGCTTTTGTTCTCCTTTGGGACGAATCACGTTAAATAGTCGTCCTCTGGCTGTTGGGTAAGTACGTTGTATACTGTTTTCCGTGACGAAGTCAGAATCCAATCAGAATATCTCATCGTTCGTATCATTTATAATATACTTACCACTCGTGCTTCATACACCATGTCCGACAATAGGTCTGGAAGCTATGCTGTGACGGGGACCAAGTTGAACTGAGAGCGCACCCACGATGCGCCTCATCATCTCCGCGGATTGCATTCTTATTCAGCTGGCGGAGTCTTAACCGTGATCAAGGTATGTAGCCCCAATACAATGATCGCCGACACTGCACAGGAACTCTCTGTCATTGTGCGGCCATCCAAGGACCCGTACTTAATACGAGTACGACCATCCACGGAACCGAGGCTGTTACTGGTCGGACCACCGCCTCGCCGGCCGGGATATCCATCTAGGTGCTCTTGCTATTCTCCTCTGGCTCACTGCTTTCGACCTCGTAGATGATGTGCGCCACCAAAAGGTCGGGAATTTCGAGATACCGTCTGGTGGGCTGCAACGGCATGCACTGACTCGTATGGGATAGATCGAAATGGAAGTGAGTGCGAGCACGAGGCAAATACAAGGCCGACGTCGTATTCCACTCCTGTTAACCCCTTCCTCACCGTTGATATCGATTACAGGATATATGTCTTACTCCGAGGTGATCTTCGTCTCGGCCTCCATGTCGTTTCGAGTGGAACAAAAGGATAATAAATAATATAAAGTCACTCTCAACTCGAACCAGTGTCATAGACCATCATTATATTTCTTCGTACTCGTACACCCCCTCGTTGTTCAACGCCCTAGCGCCTGGCAGCGCATCACTCCTCCCTCGTCATCTCTATGAACTTCCATAGCCTACCTAAAGGGAACTACCCTATTTCCGTCAAATATATGCCTCGTGGTGAAGATGGAGACATCTATATTGGCGAGCTCAGGTCTTTGGAAGATGTTGTCATGGTATGTATGTCTTCCTTCCCTTCGGTCCATTGTCCCTCGTTATAGTCGGGTTTCCCTACACTTCGCCACCCACTCTCCCACGACCCTCTTCCTTAACACTCCCTCCTTGCCGCTCCTCCCCCTCTCCTCCCCCTCCCCCATTGTGTCCTCCACCACCGCCACCCCGCCCAAATTTGATTCACACACCATACTAACCTATCTTAAACTCCGTTTGTCTTACGCCACTCAGAACGGCGGTGTCCAATTCCTCACTCTTTATTTCCTGGGCGACGTTCAACTCGGCGTCAAGATCTCGAAGTGCATCACTGCACCAAAGTAAGTAGTCTATTCGCAATCCAATCCCCACCATCTCTGGGCTCGCATTTATATCTGTCGAATCTTCGAAATCTCCCTTTTATATTTTATATTCGCTCGACGGCTAGGGGTACGCCCGTCACTGCTGCACCAAGGACTTGATCTCGATGAAGTGTTACTTAGGGTTGGGTGGCGGTCGGTCGGTCGCTGTCGTACGGTACTGGGCGTAATGTGTTGTGACGATACCCTACTATCAGTACATACATACCCCTTCTATGTTCCGGACTTCTACCTTCTACAGATTCTCGCACTCAGATCACGGACTGTGTTCCTTGAAGCCTGACATTGTATCCATAACCGGCGCGGATTTTGCCATGATTTTGCTCTGAATCTGCTTCTTCTATGTTGACTTTGCTTTGACTTCGCTTTGTTCTATGCCCAAACTTCTACCCGTGTATCAATCTATGTGCCGGTGGACATTTGTATACACTGTGCATAAGTATAAGTACCCACTCCCCTAGGCCTCTACTATACATATGTATCTGTTCCTTCCAGTCACGGTGTCCGCCTCATCTCGTCTCTCTCCGTCGCCTTGGACTCTGCATCACTCTAACGTTGTATAGTACCTAGCGCTAGTACTCCTAGTGTTGCTCTGTTGATCCTCATCCTATCCCTATCCGCGTTATAGTACTTACATCCCGATAGTACTCGAGTTGAACACAACACTAGATGTACTATGTTTTCTCTGTATCTATGATCACTGACCTAGTCATGCCACCCTGCGCCACTATCCCGTCGTTCTGAAAAATAATCCCGAGCTATTACTAACCTATCTTGCTTGTCAATGTCAGGTCCTTCACGCCCTGGTACCAATCAAGTTATGCCAACTTTGACGCCGAAAACTCGGGGAAGTATCAGTCTCCCAAAGGCAGAGTCATTAAGGTAGACTAGATGTCGAATTGACCGGGTACGCAAGGTCACTTTTGGCGTATTCTAGACGATGGGTCAGGCTGTGTGGTACTTAGCGTTTAAGTGACGCGTTATCAATACCACGGAACGAAACACCATCATGATTCAAAAAGAACTGAATCCCATGATCGATTCGAACTCTTCAGACGAGAGAGGCAAGAACGAGAGGAGTGGTTAAGATCCACTCTACATGCAAGAACGAAGCGGTCGTACACAAGGTAGCGCTTTGAAGTTTTGTCGTGTCGAGTCACGACAACACAGCACGGCGCGTTACAATCTGCGTAGAACTCCGTCTGAACAATACCCAGCTTGGGTATTGTGCATAGTAGTGATGGATGATGTCCGCATGTTGATCCATCTCGAAAGTCGGAAGCGACCTACCATTGACAGGAGAGATAACTTAGAGCCTGGGCCCGGGAGTGTATTGACATGGCGTGGCGGAACGAAGGAACATCAACAGCGAAGTAATATCACAACCAGACTCACAGGACGAGTGTTACATAGGATCCAATTTATGATTATACGACCACAAGAATAAGAACAAGCGGTCTAGTGCGCTTAAGCCCACTGGGAGATGGGGAGCTCATGGACAGGCCCGACGACGAACATCCTAAACCCAAAAGTATTGGGGTTTCATGCGGAAGTCGTATGGCCTACCTGCCTAGAATCTATATCCGCGAGTTAGCTCAAGCGTAGTGTTTTGCTTGCAGTCCTCAGTGAGGTACTAGATTGGCTAGGGCGGCTCGCGAGCGGATATCCACAAGAATCAGAAGACAATGTTACAGTAATGTTCCACGTCAAAGGCGAACAGAGAGCAGGCAGACAAGCATGGATATCAATACAAGACATCTAGTCGATGAGATGAAAGCGTCTAGGAGAACCAAGGGTATGCATACGGAGAGACGGAATCGCCGAGTCACAGTGTTTCAAGCTCGTCCAGCCGGCCTCCGTCCTTTTATGCCAACCAGCTACCAGCTAACAACACGATTCACCAAACAGAACAGCAAGAACAAGAAGGCGAAACATCAAGAGTGGAGTGCGCGTGGCGGTGGCCCCGACATCGACGACAAGAAGAGTGCGGGAGATCCTGATCTTATTTCCGGGAGAGAAAAATTGCACGGGTGTCAGATGGTGAAAAAGGAGTGTACGACGAAAGTGCGTCCGTGCTCGACGTCGGTCAATTCCTGGAGGACTGGCAGGACGTGATTGTTCCCTATGCAAGCGACATGTCCTTTCGTAATACAACGCAAGATGGTCAGATGGCTGGCGCCTGAGGGGCTGGGATCGTCCTTCATGCAAACAAGCCGTATGATGACATCACGACCATCAGATGTCCGTGCAGGACATATGATAGGATTCTGAGACGGGATGGCAGAAGACAGACCTCAGCTCCGAGCTGGGAGTAGTGTGACCATGCTGACGTACCAATTGTTGGAAACGGTCATTTATTTCTGGAGGGGAACGATCAGGATAGTATTGCGAGAGGTACGAGAAGCCGTCTGGCGCCCTTTCGAACCCCTTGGGCTGAAGCAAATGATGGCCCCAGCCAGGATAGTTAGGAGGTGCCTCCCAGAGAGCGAGGCTGTGACTTTGGAAGAAGGGGACGAGATGACGCCAGAGGTCGTATGGTTCATATTCTGTCTGGGTGTGGGCTTGGGCCTCGCTTCTCCAGTCTGCGAGAGATCGAGGCATCGATACAACAGACATGCTGTGACAGACTGTAGTTGGAAGAAGAGAGAAGAATCAAGATTGATTGCTCCCAAATACACGCGGCACAGGGCCTTGTTATAGAGCTTATATTGTAGCTCCGATCGAAATGTAAGCTGGATAACGAGCGCCCAGACGAGCTGCCGCCACGTCGTTTTCCAGGCTCATGTTCCGTACGTTACACAGGAGTGTAGAACCGGAGAAGTCAAGGTGTTTGCGGAAGTGTCGATCGCAACTCACGCGCTCTTCGCAGGGCTTCACTCATCGTAGGTCGTGCTCGTGGGTCCTCAGCCATCATCTCGTCAAACAGGCTTTGATACTCCGGCAGCCCGCCTATATCCTAGAAACACGAGAGTTAAATTAGCGTCAATTCCATATAACATGACCATCGCCAGCAAGGTATCGAAAAGACAGAAATATCATATACCTCAAATCGACTACTTTCCTTCATCATCCTGCCAGCCTGCCAGACATCGACACGGAACGGACAGTGAGGTACATCCTGTTGCACCATCTCTGGGGCCGGAGCTCGCCCATACGATCCTTTTCTGCCCGACACGGTATGAGGGAAGCCCATTGTCGTCCTGGACGATAGATCGGATGTTTCGTCAAATGTGAGCCCGATTTCGAAATCGTTGAGGTAGTAACGAATAGGGAAATGGGAGCGGAAGGGCCAGGTCGATGATAAAGTGTTACTGGCACGTGGATATTCGGCACCGCCGCGGAAGTTGACCAGAATGTTGTCGTAGCCTATATCCTGAAACATTATATTGTTGGTTTTTTTGCTATCAATTGGTGGTCTGATGATTACACTGAAAACGAGTGAAGGCGTACGAGATGTGCAATGAGACGCTTATGGCAGAATTCCATGCCCTGCGGCGCATTAGTAGTAGTACGTGCACGGTGTCAGTGCATTTGTTTGCAGCGAGGGTCGCTATGTATAATACGCAGGACTTACCTCGAAGATCTGCACGATGAAATCGGCGGCCTCGCGTGCGCTATACCACTTAGGCAACTCATCACAATCAAATGCTTTCGGTTGTACAACGAACGTGAGTCCGTGTTCGACGTCGGTCAATTCCTGAAGAACCGGCAGAATGTGATTGTTCCCTATGCAGGCGACATGGCCTTTTGCAATGCGACGCAGGATGGTCAGATGGCTGGCGCCTGAAGGACTGGGATCGTCCTTGATGTAGACAAGTCGTATCATGACATCTCGACCATCGGATGTCCGTGCAGGACATATGATGGGATTCTGACACGGAACGGAAGATAAACATCAGCTTCGAACTGAGCAGGATAGTGTGATGACGGTCACGCACAATTTGCTGAAAGTAGTCTTTTATTCTTGCAGGCGAACCATCAGGATAGTAGTGCGAGAGGTACGAGAAGCCGTCGGGCGCCCGTTCTATCCCCTCGGGATCAAGCAATTGATAGCCCCAGCTAGGATAGTTAGGAGGTGCCTCCCAGAGGGCGAGGCCGTGACTTTGGAAGAAAGGGATGAGAGGTCGCCAGAGATCGTACGGTTCGTACTCTGTTTTGCCCCAGGCCTGAGCCTGATTTCTCCAGTCCGCCAGAGATTGAGGCATCGAGGAAATGGGCATGATGAACAGTACCAAGTTTTGACCAAGTTAGGACGAGTTTCACGTAGTCTGCGATCCAGTCGTTCACGAAGCCAAAGAACCGGTTGGCGGGTGGGATCTCCTCGAATTCAATGCCCAACCATCTGACTTCCAATTTCCACGTGTTTTCTCACTCCGCACATTCAGCCACTCAGCCTCGTTCCCGGTCTCCCCCATCTTCGCACTCTGTACCGGCCCCTCTAACTAGCCTCTAAAAGCTAATACTTATACCAGGACTAGCAGTGCAATTTGGAAGTATGTCTATCTCCTCAATGCCTCAATCCCTGGCAGACTGGAGAAGTCAGGCTCAGGCCCACACCCAAACAAAATATGAACCATACGACCTCTGGCGTCCTCTCATCCCCTTCTTCAAAAGTCACGGCCTCACCCTCTGGGAGACGGATTCTCCTTATCCTGGCTGGAACTACGCCTTGCTTCAACCCAAAGATATCGAAAGGGTGCCCGACGGTTTTTCGTACCTCACGGAATACTACCCTGATGGTTCCCCTCCAGGAATACCAGACCGTTTTCCACACATTGTACGTCAGCATGGTCAACACTATTCTCAGTTCGAAGCTGAGGTCTGTCTTCCGTCCCATCTCAGAATCCTATCATATGTCCTGCACGGACATCTGATGGTCGAGATGTCATGATACGACTCGTCTGCATAAGCGGAGATCCCAGTCCCTCCGGAGCCCGCCATCTTTCCATCTTACGTCAAATTGCGAAAGGTCATGTCGCCTGCATAGGGAATAACCATATCGTTCCTGTCCTTCAGGAATTGACTGATACAGAACGCGGACTCACGTTCGTTGTGCAGCCGAAGCTGTACTGGTTGGACACGTTGCCGGACTGGTATAGTGCGCGTGAGGCTGCCGATTTCGTCGTGCAGATATTCGAGGTAAGCACTGTGTAACAGCCCTCGTTGAAAACGCGCTGACACCGTGCACGTATGCGCCGCAGGGCTTGGAGTTCTGCCACAAGCGTCTCATTGCACATCTCGTACGCTAGTCACTCATTTTCAGTCTAATCACCAGACGCACCAATTGATAGCAAAATAAAATACAAATACAAATTTTCAGGATATAGGCTACGACAACCTTCTGGTCAACTTCCGCGGCGGTCCTAGATATCCACGGTCTGATAATCCTTCGGGACAACCGACCTCGACATTTCGCTCCCATTTCCCTATTCGTTACTATCTCAACGATTTCGAAATCGGGCTCTCATTTGACGAAACCTCCGATCCATCGTCTAGGACGATAATGGGCTTCCCTCATACCGTGTCGGGCGGAGGAGGCTCGTACGGGCGAGCTCCGGCCCCAGAGATGCTGAAACAGGATGTGCCTCATTGTCCGTTCCGTCTTGATGTTTGGCAGGTTGGCATGATGATGAAGAAAAGTAGTCGGTTTGAGGTATGCGATATTTCTGTCTTTTCGATACCTTGCTGGCGATGGTCATGTTATCTGGAATTGACGCTAATTTAACTCTCGTGGTTCTAGGATATAGGCGGGCTGCCAGAGTATCAAGGCTTGTTTGACGAGATGATGGCTGAGGACCCGCTCGCTCGGCCTACGATGAGTGAAGCCTTGCGTAGAGCGCGCGAGCTGAGATTAACGCTCCCGCAGGTTGTTTAGTTTTTCGCTCTACCTTTCTCGCTGGTGGATGTGTACATTGAATGACGTAGAACTGGTGCGGGCTCTATGACGACCGCACGAACGACTCGGACTCCCCTCTGGTTTCGAAGTTTTCATGAAATATAGCAAATTTGCTGCTGTCGTCCGTTTGGACAACCTTGCTCGCATGCCCGTGGTGGCGTCGGTTGTCCGACTCTCGCATTTCCCGATTATGCATTGCTAGTACGCCACTCAAAGATGGCCTATCAATCTACATGGCTTCTCTCCGTCGGCGGATCCAATGCGGCATCCGTATACAAGCCGTATAGACCTTATTTCTTATTGAGTGAGTTCAGGCTTACTAGCGCCACCTCGGAGCTAAAGGACTCCCTTGTGCTTATAGGGATTGCATAATAGCCATCGTCTTTATGCTGTTGCAAGGAGACAGGACACGTCGGTCAAGCGTTTCGGATGGCGTCACAATGCTCCGATGCGGCCAGAGAACAATGCCTCGTGAGTTTCCGCGCACAAAGGAACACTACTGGATCTCGCTCTGATCTGAGCCATCTTAATCTCGTCCCATCTTCTTGTGTATGGCTGTAGCCCGAGCCTCACAAGGTTGTGTGTATCTCTAAAATCCACTGTGGCCCCTCCTTGTGCGCATCTCACAGGTTTTGGGCACACATAAAGCTTGGAAGCATCTACTACTATGTGCACGGCAAATAAAGAACAAGAGTCCACTCAGCGAGGAGCTCGCTGCCATATAAAAGGCATGCTACTTATACTATGTACTACCAAAATACGGCATCTCATCTCATCTCCAGAAGGCATTTTCCTTCCAGTCGTGCCACACTCTTCGATTCGTGACCAACCATATGCATCAACCATGCCCAAACGAACAAAATGGAAGTATTGTCCTGCAGGACAAAAGTGTTACTATGTTGGGAGGGTAGACAGTAATCCCTATACTGCTGAGGTCCGTGATCATGACGATTTGCCCCATCATCGTCTCATTTGTTCTTCCATAAAACATCGCAGACCGACGGCATCATCTATATATATCTTTATTTTCGGCAAGGAGATACTGCATGGGTTCCCTTTCACGAGTGCCAACGAGCCAATGCCAAGTGAGTTGTTCGTTCTATAATATTTGCTCGAGTGAGTTGGGGTTAGCACCCTGCTGATCAACTAAAATATATACTATAGGCACGAACTTACGTGGCGGCCGCCCCGTCTCGAAGCCTGAGATGGTCGATGTGCAGTCAATTTCATACCTCTATTTAAGTTGGTCACACGGCGAGTAATGGTTGAACGAAGAGTCATAGCTATAGAACAGCACGGCGCATTACAATCCGAGTAGGACACCGTTGAATAACACCCACCTTGTGTATCATCTTCGTTCTCATCTTCCTGCGGTCGTTCTGCCAGCACATAGAGCGAGGGGATATATATGATCATGATGGTGGTAGAGCAACAAGAAAAGAAAAAAAAAAAAAAAAGACGCCCCCGTAACTGTAACTGTAACGAGTCGGGCAAACTCGCTCCTTTTTTCACCATCTGACTCTGACACCCGTGCAATTTTTCTCTCCCGGAAATAAGATCTGAAGATCAGGGTCTCCCGGACTCTTCTTGTCGTCGATGTCGGGGCCACCGCCACACTGACATTCCACTCTTATGTTTCGTTCTTGCTGTTTCTCTTGGTCGAATCGTTGGCTAGCGTGGTGGTACTGTAGCTGGTTGTCTTAAAATAATGAAGACCGGACAGACGATCTCGAAGCACCGTGGCTCGGTGATTTCGCGTCTCCGTATGCATAGACTTGGTTCCCCTTAGACGCTTTCATCGACGATCTGCACGATGGGTTGTATCTTGGAGTCATCGAACGTCTTGCTCTCATACTTGTCTGCCGCCTGCTCTCTGCTCTCTCTTTTCTTCCCCTCGAGTCGTACACTACGCCCGTCGCCCGCGCACCGTATGCACAAAGTCATGGCTATCATGCTCTACGCAGTTAGGACATGTGACTGACCTTCGAAGCACCATAAGCCAGCTCCATCCACTTATGTGAAATCCTGATGCTTTCGGGTTCGTAATATTAATGTTCTTCGATAGGTCTTGCCATCCTCCGCATCTGAATCTCCCGGACTTAGGCGCACTAGAGGACTTGTTCTCGTTCTTGCGTCTATATATACTGTAATCATACTGGATTCTATGTCACTGTACTCACCACTCGTCTTTAGGTCGTGAGTTTGAATGTGATGCTGTTCCGTTCCGACACGCTATCATACCCGGGCTCTCAGGCTCTACTTATCCCTTGAGGCAGGTCACTTTTTGAATCGTCTTTCGAGATGGATCAATTCGTGGACAAACATAAGTATATATCACTATACACGGAGACAAAGGAGGGGTGTGGACCAAGAATTTAATGGATATGGACGCGGGGAGACGTCGGAGGATTCAATTTCAGACCGAGAGGGTACACGTTTGTGTTGAGAAGGGCGAGTTTCTTTCATTAATATCATTCCACTTTTTGTTTTCTGATATTCGAGGTTGGAGGAGAGCAGTCGAGATGCTGTTCTTGGAGGACAATTGGGAGAGGAGGAGGACAAGGTGTGTGAGTGTTTAGAACGAGAGCATTCGAGGACGGTCGTCGGACGATGGGTGGCGGTGATTGGCCAGACGGAGGCTATGTATATAGATGCCACGCGAGTGGCGCGGCTCTCGGTTGTCAGCATCCCAGAAATGATAGTAAACAACGAAATATATTCAAAACAGCACGACGGAACGACGAACACAGAACACAGCTATGGCATGGCATGTAGCTACTAAGTGACTACACGAAAAAGCTAACGAACAACGACGACGACTACGGCTACGACTTCGACTGGTAAGTACTCAAAACACGGGCTCCATACTGAAATAGAAAGCGGAAAGCGGAAACGAGGAAACGAGGAAAGAGACACCGTGGGAGAGGGTGTATGTGGAGAGGAGATATGGAGGTCGCACTGGAGACGAAGTAGAGGTCGATGACGGGATGTAAAAAATATAGGAACCGATCCATCGTAAGCTGAAGGTACCAAAACGCGAACGCGGTGCGAAGAAACTGCGAACTGCGAACTAAGAACTAAGAACTAAGAACAGCAACCTTCACGATCGCCTCACCTCACCTCACCTCACCACGCAGACTCAAGCTCGAGTCCAGGCATAGGCATGGACACGGGCACGGGCATGGGGAAAGACATACCACCACACCCCAAAGCCCCCAACACCTTATCCATAACATCTCCCAACTCCCTCTCTTCCCCCCTCTCCCTCCGCCTCCCTCCGCCTAAGGGATATCGCTCCATCGCATACCTCTCGTCCTCCTCCGTGAGCCAATCCCCTTCTGTGTCCTCGATATGGGATTGATGGAGATCGTCCAAAACCTCTGCGATCCCGCTCCAGAGCACGCTCTCCTCCGTGTTGCCCACGAGCTCGAAGAGACCCGCTGCGCGCGCCATGGCCATTTGTATCTGCACGTCGTCGTCCAGGTCCAGGTCGTGCGCTCCAAATCTACTGTGCGGCGGGGGGGCACAAAGCACGTCGATGCATTCGAGCATTTGCGCGGCGTCGATGATCGGGCTTGTGCTGACACTCAGACCAGGACCGGCACTCCCACTCGAACCAACACCGTCATGGGGACCATCCTCGGCGGAGTTGAAACCAGCACCGTCCAACTCTAAGTCCTCCTCCTCAGTAGAACTATGAGGGGCAGGCGCAGGAGACTCGGCGGAAGGAGTCGAAGGACCAGACGAAAGCATGAACAACCTAGCCAACCACCTCGTCAACGCCAGCGCAGCCTGCAAATTCGCCTGGGTCTCCAATTCGCGTCGTTCCCTTCGTCGTCGCTGCTTCTCGTACTCGCTCCGCTGCTGCTTCTCGTATTCGCTCCTTTGTTGTTTGTTGTACTCGCTCCTCTGCTGTTTCTCGTACACGTCCCGGAGCCGCGTCTCGTATGCCTCGGAGCGAGGTTGCTTCTGGTGCGCCTCGCCCAGGGCCAGGGTAGGCATTGGGAGGAGGGGAGGCGCAGTGAGCAAAGGTCGAAATATCGAGTTCGTCGAGTCCTATATCCATTCCCACATTTCATGTCAGCCAGCGCCTACTTAATCCCGAGTAATAGTAAGAGAAAAAAACAACACGTACAACCTCCCACCAACCCACGAACGTCTCCCTCCCATACTCCCTCAAATAGCCCACAAACTCACTCCTCATTTCCGTTCCGTAGAATCTCCCGAAGGCGTCGACGAGTTGTGTTGTGAAGAGTGCGACGTCTGGATGGGTGTGTCCTCCTGCCTCCCTGGTCCCACCACCACCCTCCCCACCATCGACATCCACCTCACCATTGTCATCAGATGGAGCGCTCCGTGCTGAGAGTTTTGGAGAGCTGAGAATAGAGCCCTCCCTCCCCGACGAATGTGCCGGTCTCAAACTCGCATCCGACGCAGCATAAACAACACACCACGCCAGATCCTTCATCCTCCTCCCGTCCCAATCACGCATACAAACCACCGCCTCCGCGCATCTCTCCATCTCCATCTCTCTCTCCACCCACCTCTCTTTCCCCCTCCCCTCTCCCACATCCTCTGCCACGTAGACATCATCATCGTCGTCGTCGGAAAAGTAGGAAGAGGAGAAGAATGCGCGGCCCTTGCCCTTACCACTCGCCGACGCAGAAGGATAACCCCGTCCATAGCAGTACTCAATAGCCCTCTCGAACGCGGGCGCCCAAGGTCTGAAGTAGGGTGTAGAAGGTGGGTATTGTGCAACAGGACAGGCGCGGGATAGGGGGTCGTAGTGCAGGATGTCGAGTGGGGGAGTGGGCGGTGGCGGGGGCGGGACGATCTTTTGATCGGGGATGATCTCGATGTTTGGGGCTACACCACCTTCATCGCGAGCAGCAGTGATAGCAGCGGCGGTGGGGTATGGGCAGTTGATGGGTGCTGTGCGTGTGGTGGTGGAGAGTTTGTGAGGGAGAGAAGGCGATGTGGGTGCGCTGCCGCCGGAGAGGGAGGTAGTAGATGTGCAAGCGGAATGTGTAGCCGTGCTGGATCCTGCGGCGGACGCGGTAGACGAGAGCGTAGTCGTCGAGCTCGAATTTAACACTGCTGGCCTCGTCGTCGGCGTAGAACTAGATGCAGATGTGGATGTGGATACGAGGGGAGGAAAGGCAGGTATGAAGGCTTTCGCGCCGGGGTTGAAGGAGAAGTTGAACTGATAAGCTTGAGTCAGCTCCGGGGGCGGCTTGCCAACAAGACTGAGGCGGGGGCTGCCATCGGACGTGATCTCGGGGAGGGTGGATGTCGATGCGGTGGATGCGGATCGGGCGCGGAGTGCGCGTGGGGCGTAGACACTGTCGTGGGCGTGGTGAGGGAGTATCATGGCGGGGTTGAAGGGGAGGGCATGATACGGTGAGAGCGATGGGGAGCGGGGCAGGGTGTCGATTGTGTTGGTTGGCGAAGAGGATGAGGATGCGGACGAGGCTGAGGGGGTGAGTGTAGCTAGGGCCGTTCTGTGCACGTAGGATGGGGTGGCGGAGGCGGCGGCGGTGACCCACTCGTCGGGTAAGAGAGACCATGCGTCGGGCGAGATGCTGTCGACGATGGGGATCCCTGCGTAGTGCTGCTCGAACCATTGCAAGGTTCTGGTTGTGCTTGTGCTGGGCATGGGTGCAGAGACGGAGGGGGTTATGGATGTGGGGCGTTGTTGTGTGCCAGAGACGGCACTGGAGTAGGACATCGGCTTTGCATCTTGTGCACGGCGCACCTTTGTCTTCGCTTGTGGTCGAGGTATGAATGCCTCCATGCTGGTGAAAGACGTTGCGGTCTCAGCGCCGTATACAGGTCTCGGCAGGACCTGTATGTGGCTAGAGATCATATGTGTTTGTGTGGCGGGGCTGCTCCAGGCGTCGAGCACGTCCTCAGTGCTCTTCGCTGTAGACTGCATAACTGCTCAACGATGTACGATACGTATGATGTGTGGGTAGTGCTTGTGCAGAGGCTGGCTGGCGCAGTGGGAGCGGACAATGACTGTCTGGGGAGAACAAGGAGGACTGCTTTCGATACGGTAAGCGCCTTCGTCCGCCGCGTGCCGCGCCACTCGCGTGGCATCTAGCCTCCGTCTGGCCAATCACGGCCGCCCATCGTCCGAGACAGTCCTCGAATGCTCTCGTTCTAAACACTCACTCACCTTGTCCTCTCCTCTCCCAATTGTCCTCCAAGAACAGCATCTCGACTGCGCTCCTCCAACCTCGAATATCAGAAAACAAAAAGTCGAATAATGAAAGGAACTCGCCCTTCTCAACTCTGGCACAAACGTGTACCCTCTCGGTCTGAATCCTCCGACGTCTCCCCGCGTCCATAAGTATCCATTCTTGGTCCACCCCTCCTTTGTCTCCATCTTCGTTCTCATCTTCCTGCGGTCGTTCTGCCAGCACATAGAGCGAGGGGATATATATGATCATGATGGTGGTAGAGCAACAAGAAAGAAAAAAAAAGACGCCCCGTAACTGTAACGAGTCGGGCAAACTCGCTCCTTTTCACCATCTGACACTCGTGCAATTTTTCTCTCCCGGAAATAAGATCAGGGTCTCCCGGACTCTTCTTTGTCGTCAATGTCGGGGCCACCGCCACATTGACACCACTCTCGATGTTTCGTTCTTCCTGTTTCTCTTGGTCGAATCGTTGGCTAGCGTGCACGTGGTGGTACTGTAGCTGGTTGGCATAAAATGACGGAGACCGGATGGACGATCTCGAAACACCGCGACTCGGCGATTCTGCGTTTCCGTATGCATAGACTTGGTTCTCTTAGACGCTTTCATCGACGACATGTCTTGTGTATGTATCGTTATTCAATAATTCATGCCTGCCTGCTTGCTCTCTGTTCTTTCCCTTAGACGTAGAACATCATCCCCCGTTTCTTGTGGATCTCGGCTCGCTAGCTCACCCTCAGCGATCGACCTCTGTGACTTGGGAACTAGGGAACATTACGCTCGAGCACTGTCTGTGAAGTCGCGGGTATACATCTACGTTGTCTGGGTACTTATACGTAGGTCATATGTCAGTTCTATCTGCAGTCCTCCAAAATCTTGGTGGGTTTACTCAGCAGCTTGCTTTCTATTTTCTCCACGTTCGTCAATATAATCGGTCTCGCCATGAGCTCCGCACCTCCGCTCCTCCTGGACTTTGACTTCGAATCTGGGGTAAGTTGGCTGAGATGGCAAACTAGCGACTCAGCTCGTCACGCCACCACACCTCTGCACGTTCAAGTCCCTCCCTCCCGGCGTTTGCTTTCCCTCACACGTTCCTGCGTTTACTTAATGCTCTCGCCACGACCGGCTCGTACATATGCTCGTTAGGGCTAGTCGAGGATCAAACCTAAGGCCTAATGCCTAAGTTGTGATCTCGATTCTTGATTCTTATTCCTATTCCTATTCCTGCAGTACTCTACTCAGGCCGGACGTTACTTCGTCCTGGGCCACGTCGCACACCGGTTCCGCCCTCTTTTCAACTCGACAATCATAAACGGCCACGAAATAACTTTGCTGTTCTTGACGGTATAGTTTAAATTTAGACACTCGACCAAGTCTTATTTAACTCGGGAGCTCTCACTTACGCAAAAGTAGGTCGTCGAATCACTGTACTTGGCATCGTGCCACATAACCTACTCACTCAAACATACACTGTATCATAGGACGAACGACTCACCCCGTATTGGCTCGTTCGCAGTGGGTCAGAGCGAACCCACTGGCAGTCGGTCTCTCTGGGCAGATATAGGTACCGCCGTCCAGCTGCGTGTTGCAAATGAGACGATGACGATGCGAATCTGAAAATCTGATAATTTATAGCATGAGCATGGGGGTTACGAACCTCAGTATTACAGTGCATAGAGATCACTGTATGTATACTACCCAACATAACCTTCAATATTAATGTCTTCCGACATTCGCAGCTCTATCCGCTTGATTCAGAGATTCTGATGCTTTCGGGCTCGTAAATGTTCGCCGTTCGCCGATAGGTCTCGCCATCATCCTCCGCACCTCCTGGTGCACTGGACCGCTTGTTCTTGTTCTTGTGTTTGTGTTTGTATGATGGATTCTGGCCGCTCTTGATTCTGTTTTGTGAGTCCGATCATGTTATGTCCTTCACTTCGTTCCGGAACGCCATCTATGTAAGTTATCCCTTTTTTCCTGGTAGATCACTTTCGAGATGGGTCGATTCGCGGACACGGATTTCTACTCAAATGTCAATTATTCGGCTCAACGAACCTTCAGATCTTCAAAACGCCATCTTGTGTACGATGTACGGCTGCTTGTTCTTGCATTCATAGAGGATCCTAACCACCCCTCTTGTTCTTGTCTCTAGTCTGATGAATTCGATCATGGGCTTTCAGTTCTTGATCGTGATGCTGCTTCGTTCCGTACCACGGTCACGCCATCGCACCCTCAAGGTCCATCTTCCCAGGTAGGTCCCTTGCGAGCTGGATCGATTCGCGCGTACGGATTTCTACTCGTGTACTGTGCTGTGACTCAACAATCCTTCAGACCTCCAAAACGCCTGCTTGTGTACGACTGACTGCTTGTTCTTGCATGCATAGTGGATCTTAACCGGCCGCGCGCCAGTGGGAAGTCGAAAAACTGAGGACGACAAGCGATCGAGCTGGGAATCTGCAAGGCTGTGATTAAGGACGATTCAGAGGGGCTGAGGGGATTCTTTCGCTCGAAACCGTGTATGTAGAGATATGAGGTACGTATGTAAGCTGCGTTGAATAAATGACAGGTTGATGCGCGCGCTTCCTTGATATTTTTTGATATCTGCATGGACATGGAAGTCATGTCTTGCACTACTAAGGTTTCGTCGAAATATGTGTGGAGCTGAGTCGTCTCTTTTTGGCCCAGGAGATTACTGGGATTGATAACCTACGCCATCACTGAATTCATTCAAGGTTAGACTCGTCGTTGGGCCCTTGCTTGGTCGTTCGGGGAGATGAGAGTTCCCGATGTATGCGTTTTTGATTTGCTCTTCTCCTTCATACGCACGCTGATAATTTCACGACTCTCTAGATGATCTCGCGCATGTCAAACCCCACGGTGGTGCAGAACCTCATGCCATCGAGAACTACTCTATGCCAGTCCCTCCACCTTCCACCAACTTCTGCTTAGCGAGTCAACTATTGTCTCTTCGAGCACTCGTCCTTACGAGACTCTACAAGAGGTCATCTGCTCTGTACCCGAACTTGACGTGAAGCATGCTCCTTTGTCGCATCGTCCTCCGAAATTAACACATCCGAAAGCCATCCATCCACAAACACAGTCCGCCCTTCGGTTCTGTTCGAAACAGTCCATTTATCTACGTTCTCCTCACCGGAACTCCTCCCACCCGACCGATGAGGACGATTTCCAGAGGTGACGCCAAGTAAGTATCGCAGACTCGTCCCTTGCGTGTGTACCACCACCACCTCAGGCTCAGGTTACCTTCATTGTTGTCGGTCTGTGATGTATGCTAATACTCGGCGCTGTGTTTTCCCTGATAGGCCGGCCTTCCAAATGTCGATGAATTATTCGCTAACATCATCAGTGCAGATTTCGCGAGTGACTTTGACTTGACGAGTTCCCTAGCAGGTTACATCTTCAGTAAGTCTCGTCGCTCTCATGCTTCACTTTATTTTGGCGACGACAACTTGCGTTCATCATTTTTGCTATATTTCATCTGGGCTCCACAGATTTCGATAGCGGCTGAGGCTCTGTGGGCGACGTGCAGGTTGTGTGCGCATGGGATGACGACTTACATAGGCGAGTCGTGCTAGTTCCGTTCGCACTACCATCTATGTACATCTAAGGTAATTCACGTCAGCAGTATAGTATCGCAATTCACGACACTTTATTCATGACCTAATTACCATCACTGACACCTGCCTCCGCTCACAGCTCTCGTTCGCAATGTTGTCCGAATGCCCGAACTTCTGAATCCTTGTCTCGGTCTCTCTCGCTCTCGACGATATGTATCGCTCACGCTCATCCGGCCTCACCGCATACCTCCCTTTTCCTCTACTTATACACTTCCTTCTCAATTGCTGCGGTTTCTTGATGATGTGAGTGCTTGTATTTGTTGTGGATGAATCACATTGAATCGCTTCACCACGCCACCGCACCCTCAGTCACGGCTCGATCTCTCTCCTGGTTCGGTCACTTACGAGATGGATTGATTCGCGCGCACGGATTTCGTGTGCGGTGCTGTGATTCAACAAACCTCTAAAACGTCATCCTGTGGTGTGCTCAGCATTATCCGGATTCCGACCCAGTAGGAAGGCTAGCAACAGCTAGGCTACTTACTACTAGTGGAGAGGCGTCTGAGAACAGCATCTCCGCGCGGTGTTTCTGGCCTACTGGGGTAAAAGAAGCTAACGTTATTTCCTACCCTACGTTACTCGGTTCCACCAACAAAAAAAAGAAAGAAAAAAAAAAGCTATCCTAGGCGCGACTGCCTGCTCGCTCTCGCATGCGTTCCAGATCTTGATCACTCTTCTTGTCCTTGTCTCTTGTCTGATGGGGTTCGGTCATGGGCTTTCAATTTTTGATCGTGATGCTTTGTTTGTGCCCAAAACGGCGGATGCGACGCCGCGCACAACGAGGAGTCGCTGCGGACATTCAACTTTCAAGACTCACACAATCAACGTGTGAAGCTCAGGGTACAGCCATGCACAAGAAGGTGATGCGAGACTAGACCAGGGTGGCTCAGATCAGAGCGAGATTCAGCAGTATTCCACTGTGCGTTGAGATTCACGAGGCATTGCTCTCTGGTCGCATCGGAGCATTTGTGACGCCATCCGAAATGCCTGACCGACGTGTCCTATCTTCTTGTAACAGAATGGAATCGATGGGCTGTTGTATAATCCCTATGGGCACAAGGAAGTCCTCTGAATATGGAATAAAATGAGTCAAGTGCGAAAGAGACACACAGGATTGAAGTTGAAACGGGTTTAGCTCGGTGGCGCTAGTAAGCCTGAACTCACTCAATAAACGCAATAAGGTCTATACGGCTGCTGCAATCATTCCGAGTCCGCCGATGGAGGGAAACCACGTAGTGGTGAGCCATCTATGGGTGGCGCACTAGTAACTTAGTCGGAAAATGCGAGAGTTGGACAACCGCCATCGTGGGCATGCGAGCAAGGTTATCCAAACGGACGACAGCAGCGAATTTGCTATATTTCATGAAACCTTCGAAAACAGAGGGGAGCCCGAGCCATTCGTGCGGCTGTCATAGAACCTGCACCAGTCTACGTAATTCAATGTACACATCCACCAGCGATAAAGGTAGAGCGAAAAACTAAATGACCTGCGGAAGCGTTAATCTGAGCTCGCGCGCTCTACGCAAGGCTTCACTCATCGTAGGACGAGCGAGCGGGTCCTCAGCCATCATCTCGTCAAACAGGCCTTGATACTCAGGCAGCCCGCCTATGTCCTAGAACCACAAGAGATAGATCGTCGTCAGTTCCATGTATCGAACAGACGGAAATATCACATACCTCAAACCGAGCCTTTTCCTTCATCATTATGCCAACCTGCCAAACATCAAGACGGAACGGACAGTGAGGTACATCCTGTTTCAGCATCTCTGGGGCCGGAGCTCGCCCGTATGGGCCTTTTCTGCCCGACACGGTATGAGGGAAGCCTGTCGTCGTCCTGGACGATGGATCGGAGTTCTCGTCAAATGAGAGCCCGATTTCGAAGTCGTTGAGGTAGTAACGAATAGGGAAATGGGAGCGAAATGGCCAGGTCTCTGATGAAGTATTAGTGGGCGGTGGATATTGGGGACCGCCGCGGAAGTTGACCAGAAGGTTGTCGTAGCCTATATCCTGAAACATAGTATTTGTTTTTTGCTATCAATTGGTGGTCTGCTGATTACACTGAAAACGAGTGAGTGGCGTACGAGATGTGCAATGAGACGCTTGTGGCAGAACTCCAAGCCCTGCGGCGCATGAGTACGTGTTCGGTGTCAGCGCGTTTGTTTGCAACGAGGGCTGTTATAATACGCAGGACTTACCTCGAAGATTTGCACGACGAAATCGGCCGCCTCACGTGCACTATACCAGTTAGGCAACGTGTCCAACCAGTACAACTTCGGCTGCACAACGAACGTGAGTCCGCGTTCTGTATCAGTCAATTCCTGAAGAACGGGAACGATATGGTTATTCCCTATGCAGGCGACATGACCTTTCGCAATTTGACGTAAGATGGAAAGATGGCGGGCTCCTGAGGGACTGGGATCTCCGCTTATGCAGACGAGCCGTATCATGACATCTCGACCATCCGTAGTACGTGCGGGACACATGATAGGATTCTGGGATCGCAGCGCGCGGGGCGCAGAAGGCATAAAACAGCTCAGTTTCAAAATAGACAAAAGAAATGAAGTGGCCGTCCGACGTACGATCTGCGGAAAGAAGTCTCCCATAGTGGAGGGAGATCCGTCAGGGTAGTATTCCGAGAGGTACGAGAAACCGTCGGGCGCCCTTTCGATCCCTTTAGGTTGGCGCAATCGATAATAGCCCCAGTCAGGATAGTTGGGAGGTTCCTCCCAGAGGGCGAGGCCATGACTTTGGAAGAAGGGGATGAGAGGTCGCCAGAGGTCATATGGTTCATATTCTGTCTGGGTGCGGGCTTGAGCCTGACTTCTCCAGTCTGCAAGAGAGTGGGGCATCGGGAAGGTGGGCATGATGAACAGTACCAAGTTAGTATGAGTTTCACGTAGTCTGCGATCCTTGTGCGATCCAGTCGTTCACGAAGCCAAAGAACCGGTTGGCGGGTGGGATCTCCTCGAATTCAATCCCCAACCATCTGACTTCCAATTTCCACGTGTTTTCTCACTGCGCACATTCAGCCACTCAGCCTCCTTCCCGGTCTCCCCCATCTGCGCACTCTGCACCTACCCCTCTGACTTGCCTCTAAAAGCTGATAATTACACTAGGCAGTGCAATCTGGAAGTATGCCCATCTCCTCACTGCCACAATCTCTGGCAGACTGGAGAAGCCAGGCTCAAGTTCTCACCCCAACAGAATATGAACCATACGATCTCTGGCGTCCTCTCATCCCCTACTTCCAAAGTCACGGCCTCGCCCTCTGGGAGGCACCTCCTGATTATCCTGGTTATGCCTACGCCTTGCTCGAACCTCAAGGAATCGAAAGAGCGCCCGACGGCTTTTCGTACCTCACGGAATACTACCCTGATGGTCTCCCTCCAGGAATATCAGACCGTTTTCCACACATTGTACGTCAGCATGGTCACACTATTCTCAGTTCGAAGCTGAGGTCTGTCTTCCGTCTCATCTCAGAATCCTATCATATGTCCTGCACGTACCACGGATGGTCGAGACGTCATAATACGACTCGTCTGCATAAGCGCAGATCCCAGTCCCTCCGGAGCCCGCCACCTTTCCATCTTACGTCAAATTGCGAAAGGTCATGTCGCCTGCATAGGGAATAACCATATCGTTCCCGTTCTTCAGGAATTGACTGATGTCGAAAGCGGACTCACGTTCGTTGTGCAGCCGAAGCTGTATTTTTTGGATACGTTGCCGCAGTGGTACACTCCACGTGAGGCTGCCGATTTCGTCGTGCAGATCTTCGAGGTAAGTCCTACGTATCATGTTAGCCCTCGTTGCAAACAAATGCGCTGACACCGTGGACGTATGCGCCGCAGGGCCTGGAGTTCTGCCACAAGCGCCTCATTGCACATCTCGTACGCCACTCACTCATTTTCAGCGTCCTTAATCACCAGACCACCAACTGACAGCAGAAAAAAATGTTTCAGGATATAGGCTGTGACAACATTCTTTGCAACTGGCGCGGGGGTCCTAAATCTCCTCGGTATGATAATCCCTCGGAAAAACCGACCGTGCCATTTCGCTCCCATTTCCCTATTCGTTACTATCTCAACGATTTCGAAATCGGGCTCTCGTTTGACGAAACCTCAGATCCATCGTCTAGGACGACGACAGGCTTCCCTCATACCGTGTCGGGCAGAAAAGGGTCATACGGGCGAGCTCCGGCCCCAGAGATGCTGAAACTGGATGTGCCTCATTGCCCGTTCCGTGTCGATGTGTGGCAGGCTGGCAGGATGATGAAGGAAAGTAGCGAATATGAGGTATGTGATATTTCCGTATTTTCGATACCTGGAATTGACATTGATCTATCCCTTGTGGTTCTAGGACATAGACGTGCTGCCTGAGTATCACGGCCTGTTTGACGAGATGATGGCTGAGGACCCGCTCGCTCGTCCTACGATGAGTGAGGCTTTGCGTAGAGCGCGCGAGCTAAGATTAACGCTTCCGCAGGTCATTTAGTTTTTCGCTCTACCTTTATCGCTGGTGGATGTGTACATTGAATTGCGTAGACTGGTGCAGGTTCTATGACAACCGCACGAATGACTCGGGCTCCCCTCTGTTTTCGAAGGTTCCATGAAATATAGCCAATTTGCTGCTGTCGTCCGTTTGGATAACCTTGCTCGCATGCCCACGATGGCGGTTGTCCAACTCTCGCATTTTCCGACTAAGTTACTAGTGCGCCACCCATAGATGGCTCACCACTACGTGGTTTCTCTCCATCGGCCGACTCGGATTGCAGCAGCCGTATAGACCTTATTGCGTTGATTGAGTGAGTTCAGGCTCACTCATGCCACCGAGCTAAACCCGTTTCAACTTCAATCCTTTGTGTCTCTTTCGCACCAAGGGAAGCGAACCCGTGGATCTTCAATGGTGGGATGCATTAGCTTCGAGTACCGTCTGAAAAAGTATAGGAGTAGCATCTACTTGTGACAACAATGACACGCACGTTATACATAGAATGACATGAACATTGTATCATCAGGTTCACCACGGACTGTGTCAAGAAGAATTCGGGAGAGATTACGACTATAAAAATAAGGAATACCATATAGAAATACACTGAAAGGGTATATACAAGTCAAGCATGGTGTCGTGTTTCAGAACAATCACGGCGTCAACTGTCAACACTGAAAAGGGCTCTAGTCCCAGATCTGGGGCAAATAGCTCGGCGGGGGATCAGTGACCTTCGCCTGACTACATACGATCGAAACGACACAAGCAATGTATCTTGTCAGCGATGTTCGGGGAGAGCAGGTTGAAAGTTGGAACTCACTCTCGGGCCACGAACTTGCACGTCCGGGAAGTATAACATACGTCGAAGCGGATGCCCCCGTTGAATTTTAGCATGATGAACTGGCGGCCGGATATCTACATTGCGTGGTAGCGTAGAGGTGATGAGCACGGCCAATGAATGGGGTGTTGAACAAAGTCAGTACCGTATGCAGACATCGGCGGCGGAGAAATTGAGCGAGTTCTGACCGCGATGTCGAACGACACAGCAGGAGTTGGTGTTGGTGAGATAGAAACGTACCATTTTTACCCATGAGCATCTTTCCAGACTGCCTATATAAGTATCACCGTCATCTCCATACGGCGTGAACTTGACTAAAACGGGATACGGATTCGGATTGTCGACGGGAGGAATAAAATTGAAGTATTGGTTGTGGGCCATGTTGGCCGTTGCTCGTTGTGTCCATGGGCTGGGTGCTACGCGTTGGGAGGAAAACATTGTGTAACGGTGTCGAGATAGGTGATGTATGACGTGGGAGGTGCGCTGAGGAGGTGCACACGGGGATGAAGGCGCAGGCGAAAGAGTGAACAACCATGTCTGCTCACGCTGTGTCATTTATATATCGGCAAACTTGACCGGCATCGATTGTGCCGTCGGTGTCTTAATTTTGATCGTGTCGCTGGAACAAAGGAAGGGTGGCTCGATGAAACATTCTCAACGGAGAAGGGTCCACTGGGACTTCGCTCCCCTTGTATAGAGTCGCAGGAATCCACTAGCATTATCGCTCTAGATAATGTTCCCCCAACTTCAAGTGGCCTGGACCATCGTAGACAAGATCATCGATGCAGGACCACAGAGTGCTCGGGCCACTGGAGGAGATGTGGCGTTTATGGCCATCGTCCGCGTGTCCACTATCAGTGGTCCCTTTGTCCCACGTATGCGCTGTCGAGCCCGGGTAACCGATCGCGAGGGGACTCTTGAGTAACCAAGGATATACCTGATTTATATGACGTCGACGTCGTATTGTGGACAGGCTCGTGCTAGTTTCTTGATGCCCTGTGTTCAGCTTGACCGTTAAATGATTGCATCCCTACAGTGGAATCGTGAACTCACTTTCCCCTGAGCTCTTGTGGTATTCGAGTAGACCGTCGATATCCAGAATTATACACCACTAGCTAAGCTGAACGATTGACTAATTTGCTCATAGGAGACTAACCATGGGCCTCTGTCGCAGATACAAGAACGACATCTTGTACTTAGGACAGAAGCATTTTTCTGTTGAACTCCTAGATAGAGGCACAAATGTTTTACTCGTGGTATTATGAGCAGAAAAACCTCCCGATAGATGCCCTTAGTCTAATCCAGTGTCAGTCTGAGGATCCAAAAGAAGCACTGAGCCTGACTGTCATTTTCGTCCATGCCCTAGTAGTCCTCCGAATCCAAGAAAACAGCCCCTTCCAGTGCACCACTTGTCTCGCTCGAGCATGTATCCAGATACGAGAGCTCAGTAACAAGACAAGAGCACCGAATCACGAGAAGCTCGACACCTCTTGTCGCAGCGTTGGCCCGGGACGCGTCGACGTCGAGGGTCAAGACGTCAACGACTCGCACGAGGGCCAAAAAGAAAGACGTTCTGTTCTGTTCCGGTTTCTTCCGAATTTCACTGAAGCCTCAAGATGTGTTGTGGCGCGCCACAGGTGGATAAATATCGAGCTCGCAAAAGTCTGACCCTGAGGTCTCAGGTGCGATGTTATCTGGGTACGAAAAGAGCAGTGTCGATGTCGAATGGCTCGAGGCGTTAACGTAGGGTAATGTAAGACTTAAGGAAAGCAAAAAAAAAAACCTCGCAAGCTCGTATGTAATGTATCTACGCTGTACCATGATCTAGCAATCCAGATCTTCCGTCCCAAGTCTGTTCGGATGTCAACTTCAATCCCAAAGCGGTTTTCCACCTCCATCCTTGCCCAATCTTCCTCAGTCTAAACAGCAGGACCCGACCCCCCAATCTTCTCCCTCGCCCATCCCGCCGTCTCCCTCCTCGCGTTCAAGAGCGGATCCAACCCCGCGATCGCCCACCCTTCGCGCTTCTCCCTCTCTTCCGCCATCTCTACACCTCGCTCGTTGACTTCATCCATTGGTCTTGATTTTGATGAAGGGTCGATGAGTGGTGAGGCCTGATTTTGATTTTGAGGCGGATACATCGCGATCATAGCGCACGAAAGGTACGTATGATACGGATCTAAAAAATTCCCAACCCAACAAAATAACGGTCCACCAAATTCAGTTTCGTCAGAACCGACAGTGGAGTAAAGTGAGTCGCAAGAAACGCGAGACGGGGGATAACGTAAACACTGACCAGGATGCTCCCCCGGCGCTTTCGCGATCCCTCCAAACTTATACTGACACCTCCCCATGAACCCGGCCAATGCATCCCTATCCACCACGTCCCCATGTCCCAGAATCTCGATACCTGCCCCACACCAAAAACAGTAACACGCATCGGCCAATTTTCCCGTACGACCCACGAACCCGCCAGAGGCTGCATCTTGCGTGTGCACGAGCCAGCGGAGGGTGCTTGCGTGTTCGGAGGGTGAGAGTGGGGATGGTGGTGATGGTGGTGGTGGTGGTGGTAACGACGATGATGACGGGTCTTGGGAGAAAGTGGAAGTGGAAGAAGGAGTATGCGATGAGGAGGACACGTCAGGATGCGAGGACGAGGATGAAGATGAGGGCGCGAGGTAGAGACAGGCGAGGGCGCAGTATGTCGTTCCACCTGTTCGAGCTCGATGAGCATGGCTGGGACAAAATGATGCGTCTTTCAGGACGAATGATGTGGAGCACATACCCTGAGCCTCACAAAACGGCGCCTGCCCATACCCTCCTTCGTACGTCTACACGTGCGCCACATGAGTTACGCCACACCAAATCGCCGCGGAAGGAGAAACGAAATCGTAGAATCGTCAACAACACGACAGAGTTGTCAGGATAATGGGTGATATCAAACGCACCCGACATCTCCAGATAAACTCCAAAGCCCTCGGGACGTCCACCCCCCTCCAGTCTCCCAACATACTACTAATCGCGAACGCACAATACACCATGCGCAGGTCCGAGTCTCTGCAACCCGGCGTCGTCGAGAACCTGTGTAAGCACCATCACGTCCAGGAATAATGACCAGCAACCCCGTATGTCAATGTGGCACAATCGAGAAACGAGGGGGTGAAAAGACACGCACCCTCCATCCGCATCCTGGCACGCCCTCAAGAATCGAACCAATCCATCCCTGTCAAGCTGATCGAACGAGTCGCGAAGGATGGCGAGGGACTGGAGGGCTGCGTAGGTCATTATTAGGTTCGGAGGGGTGTGGACCGTGTATGTCGGCTGTGGCACCACGTCACGTCAGAGGCATGAGTTACGCGTGTAAGTAAAATTTGAACACGTACGATTGTATACGAGGGAGACCCGGAGCCGGAGGGTTTGGATGAGGACGACGAAAGCGAAGGATCCTCCGTGGTCACGAATGGACTTGGTCTGAATCCTGTTCCGTGTTCACCCCCTATTCGAAAGCACACGACGACGATTGGGCACAATCCTCATAAGCGCACGCAATGGTGAGATGGTGAGACAAGACGATGATACGCACTGGCTTGCTGCGCCCAGATCCACTCCGTCCAGTCTTTCCTCTCTACCTCGCTGATCTTTGTGTCTGCAACACCCATGAGGTCCAGTGTCCCGAGACAATAGAACGAGAATGCCATTCTGTTCGCGTCACCATTATTGACGAGATTGATGTAATCGTTCGATATGCATCGGTTATAATAATATGTTGCGGGGAATATGGGGATGTGTTGCGTATCACGCATTCCGTTACAACAAGAATAGGGGAGACCGTACATGTGAGCATACTCAGATGATGGGGTTCCCAGCGCTGAGATAGTGTACGCACCTCGACGAGTCCATCTCCACCAGACTACTCGGTAATCCCGCAAGACATCTATTACAATGCGCGACGTGCCCGTTCTTGTTCAACGCCGGGAGGGGTGACAGTTCTGCAGACATGTTCGAGTTCGAGTTCGAGTTCGAATATAAAGTCCTCTAGATGATTAGTTTGACGAGAGCTTATAAGAGAGCTGAGGGGTGTGACGAAGGACGAGAGATAGGGTATGAATCTGGGATGGTGGTGTGGGTGTGAGTGAAAGGAGGACGAGAAGGGGAAAGCAAAGGCTTGGATTGAGGACGAGGCGGCGGCGGATCGCCATTCGCGTCCGCGCATCTTTCCTGTCCGCCTTGCTGTTTCATTACGCTACGATGAGACCGCTCATAATATTCTCATGCTGTAAGACAGCGTGAGGCTCGAGTAGCTTGAGTCAGAGTAAGATCTAACGTGACAGACGACGACAAGGGGAAGAAGGAAATGGGATGACCGTTCGCCCGAACTTGACAGGACGACATCCAAACATGCTTTCAGCAGGCTCTAGTGTGGCGTACATGTGCGTAAATGATGGACAACCGAGTTCTCGAATTGAATTGGAATCTAGCGCTGGGAATCGGCTAGGACGTGTGTGGCACGCTTGAAGACCATGTTGTAGACGGAATAATCCGTACTCCTAAACCCAGCAACTTTCAGTCTTCCTCAACGTCCAAGTCTCCCTCCACGCCCATCCCCTCACCCGCATCCACAAACTCATCTCCAACTCCTTCCATACCCTGCTCCCATCCTCCCATACCACCATCTTCCAGATACACCATCCCACCAAATACAGTCTCCGTTCCCTGACCTACAACGGGATGAGAAAGTGGTGTAAGCGAGACGCACCAATGAGGTCATAGGAGGCAAGCGACTCGGGGTGGAGCGAACTCGTCGATGGGCAAGGAGAGCATGTAGAGAAGAGGCTTACCATTGGTGAGCGTTGGAGGTGCGGTGGTGGTGACAGTAGTGTCGGACAGAGAAGTACGGACATGCGACAGAACCTCATCCATCCGTTCACCTAGCCTGTCCTCCATCTCTTCGACAATCTAACGGAGTAGGCACGGCAAGTATATCAGCGTTGGATGCCAGTTGCAACGGAGGACGAGAACTGTATGGGCTGACGAGGATGCAAAGAGATAATAACGCACGACATAAAGCTCGACCGTCTCCACCGGTGCCAAATTCACAATCTGCAGCTTCTCAGACTTATTCAGTCCGTAAGGTTCCAGCGATTTCGTCAGCTGCGCGATCCCGGCTTCGGTTTGGTGTGGCGTGGGGTGAAAGTCGGCGGAGAGGTATTGGATGGCCTGCCAGAGAAGGCGAATCAGTCAATTGACGAGGGTCGGTCGGCGGGCGGGTACATATTTGCAGTCAAAAATAAAGCGAAGGGAGCGGACACGCACCTCGACCTCGACCGTCCTCAAATTCGGCGCAATCTCCTCCAACACCTCATACGCCTTCGCTCCCCCACTCATCCCGGCGCCTTGATTCGCATTCGTATTCAGACTCAACAAACCAGACGCAGAAGCCTCAGCTTCTTCTTTCTTGATCCGCTGCGCCGTCTTTTGTTTCGAGAGGTAGTCTGATTCGAGTTCGCGGAGGAGGGAGAGGACTTCGAAGTTGGAGAGGAGGGCGGCGCGGGGGTTTAGAATCTGTTTGTGTTTGGGTGGAAGGTGTGTTGAGGTGGACGGTAGGTCAATTTTTATGCGTTAGTGTGTGTACATGGTGTAGATGAGAGGACGAGTAGAAGGTGATGTCGGGAAGTGTTGTGGGTGTATGGACAGTTGGAGCAAGAACGGGTCCTTACCGACCTCCATTTTTCAGCGCGAACAGATGGGTTCAAAAAGTCAAAAAAGAAACGTGACTAGAAAATACGAACGACGTCGGTTTGAGGGCGTCAAATGGTATTACAGAGAAATGTTAAGTGGAAAGCTGATAGATGGGTTGGCTACCGGGGTAGCATGGATGGTGGAGGGGATCAAGGTGGCTCAGGTCTGGACTGATTTTGACTTTGGGCCACCCGCTCGGATCCGCTCGTTGCGCCACATCGTTTCGCTCGGACTCGTTCACTTCGACAGACTTCGACTTTCTCTGCAAGAAGTCTATGATTGCTGCAACACAAAACATAGATTCACTATAGTAAACAGTCAACAAAGGTCGATCGAGGCCTCGAACAGCCGTGAAAAGCAAGTGAAAGGATAACTAAACGAAGAACAAAGGGATGTATGTATAGTACAAACAAAAGGAACCGCCCATTCCGAGTCCCGATCACCGAGAAGGACTTGGATCAGGCTGACCAGTGCATCCAGCCATTCACCACTCCAGCGGCTGCCTACAAGCGCCGCGTTCACAAGCCGCGCGACAGATCATACCTTCCGCCGAGTCTGCCGCGAAGTGCGGGCAATCATACGCTTCAAGCTCACGGTGGACCTATGCAAATACCAAAACCAATGGATATGAGCGAAGACTCGGAGAATAACAAGGATCAGGGAAGAGGTAGCCTACCCTCGATCTTTTCGCTGCGTTCCGATCATCTAAATCACCATCGTCATCCTCGTTTTCGTCGGTTTCGTCTTCGCTGTCCCTTCTCCTTTTCATGGTCGTGTTCTTATCCTTCCTTGAGATAGAACGAGATAGAACACGGGGAGACCCAGCCTCAGAACGCTCAGGAGTCGGATACCTGAGCGAAGGATCGTTCGCATTCGCATTCGCACCCATCTGTATGTTCAGATTTGTGTTCCCCTGCCAATGATCATGAGGAGAACTTGAAGGTCCGCTATAGCCCGAGTCATCAAGCGAAGGAGTCGGTGCACGGTTATCCGGGCCATATTCCACAGCAGGAACCGTCGCGAAACCAAGAGCAGAGGAGCCTTGTAAAGCCCTGAGATCTTCCGAGGTAAGAGAATTAGGATCGTCAACCCAGTAGGCAGGAGGAGAGGGAGCCGTAGGTGGAAGATCTAGGTCTGTCCCTATTTTGGGGGTAGGAACAGGAGAAACGACGTCGTATGTTAGGTACTCGTGAGGTAGTGTTTCATTCGGCGTGTCTTGGGAAGAGGGGGATGCGGAGGGAGAGTGGTACCTGGTTCGAGCGAACAGTAGAGCAGGCGTAATGATTGTTAGGATAGAGGTCAGTAGTGGAGGACGAGGGGGACATACGAGCGACCATTTTCAGTGTCCATACTGCTTTCTCGTTCATCGCTGCTCTGCCGTTCCTCGCTACTATGACTGCTTTGACTGCTTTGACTGCTTTGACTGGCAATCTCACTACGCGCCGGTGGAGAACTTTCCTCACGAGGATCAGAGCCATCCGACATAATCGAGTCATCTTCATCCCCAGAGCAAGACCGAACCGGGGAAAGCGCAGGTGACCTATATCAGGGATACGATCAGCGTAGAACGAGGGCGACAACGAGACGAAGACACTCACTGGGGTGCCATATTGACACTCGCTATTGGACCCACAGGACTTAAATCATCCTCATCATCGGAGTCACCATAATTCGCTAAGCAATCATCCTGTGAGGTCAAGTTCGGGACCGTCGTGACAGGTCGGAGACCGGGTCTTTTGCCACCGGTCTTGCTTCGTGACACCAGGACAGGATTACGATGACCAGGAGCGCCAGAGTAAGAGACCATGATTTAACAGCAACTCGAGAATGATGTCAAAAAAAAAACAGCGAGTGGCGCAGAGGGTGTCAAGCAAGGGGGAAAGCCTGAGGGGTGAGAGTGGGGGTGAGAGAGAGGTGGTGGCGTCTGGCAAGCTCGCGCTGGACCCTTTATATACGAGTCGTCAGTGGTCAAAGCGAGGCCGCGTAGCGCGAGGATCTAGATTCTAGAAGCTTCCTGTGTTCCATTGTCTGGCTGTATTCGTCAAAGACAATCCACTGGGCAGTCCATTAGAAATAGAATGATGGTGGCACTAGCTGGATTCGGTAATCTCTTTGTGATTGTTGTGTAATTGCCACATTCAGCACAAGTGCTCCTGCCTGCTGCTGCCCACGGTCGATGTCGAGGATGCAGAAGAAAAAAGTGGAGATGCGATGTGACGGTGCGAGGTCGATGCTGGAGCGTGAGCTAGATGGACTGTTTTCGAGGTCGTAACGGTACAACACAAGGCGAGACGACCCGCCACGCCACCGAGCGAGTACAGGCTCTCGGCTCTCGGGATCGGCGGACTGTGCCGAGACGTTGGCTCCCTTTCATCTTTTGGATACAACGCCAAAAGACTCGGATCTCACGCAAGCCCACGAGTTCGGACGAGTCTGTTCTGTCAACAGTTTGATATCTCTTTGGACTTCCGTATGTCTTTTCTTTCATCTCTCTTTCATCGGCGGTATCTGTGTGAACTGGTTCTTTCAATAGCCTCGTTCAATGTTGAGGTCGAGGACATCCGAGTCATCAAACGACCGTTGGATAACTTTCGAAGAGCGTTTGATGGAAGCTCAAGAGCGATTTTCGAGGAGATGCCGAAAAAACGCTCGATAACTCGCTCGGCATCTCAAGCGCCCCCATCAAAGGCTCTTAGACTCCTATTCAATAGTTATCCAACGGTCCACTTGAGCTTCAACTTTGAACGAGGCTAATGAAAGCATGCTTTTTATCTGCACTTTGTCGTAGCAAAAGCTATCCACTCGGCAACTAATTCCCCAAGGCCTCCGAAGCTTGCCCTCGCATCCCCATCTGGTCGTCAATCTTTGACGTCTCGCGTTTCAACGTTTGATTGGAGCGAAAGCACTGGGACCGAGGATGTTTCTCTTTCAAGTTGTTCAGGTTGATGGGAATGACGACAAGGTGGGTTGCCATCAGGCTGAGCGCAATTATGTCTGTCAGGGTGTTTTGTCGAGATCTGGACACAGTGAAGAAGATCTCGTGTTCAAAGGTAAGTAATCCACGTATATATGGAGAGGTAAGAAACGGATGCTGTGTTCTCGATCCTGCGGGGGATCGTGTGCACACGCCTGTGGTACGTCCAGTCACAGTCTCAACACCATTAGCGAGCTAACGCCGGACTGTCGTTCAACTTCCTCGTTCAACAGCAGCACGCAAGGGACAATCTTGTATATCTGGGCTGTCCACAGTAGCCTCTGTAACTCTAACATAACAACATCATCATATCGATCCAACTCGCTTATCCCTCCATCCCTCGCACCTTCTCAGCATATGTCATCGCTGTAGCTCGAACAGCCTGCTCCCGTCCATCCTTCTCCGACCTCTCGTCTCCACCATACAGCTCCTCCCATCTATCTTCATCTCCAAAACCGCCTGTTTCCCCCTAAACTCCACGCCCTCCGACCGTCTCCAACTCCCATCCATCGTCGCACCCGCCACCCTGATTCCTTCATATCCACTCGAAATCGCCATCGAGCACCGACATCGTAGACTTCTTTCCTTTACGGTGTACTCGTCCTCGAGGCAAATCAAGCAGAGAGACCTCATACCGCCCTCTCTCGCCAACCGCATTCTCGCAAGCCCCTTCCTCTCCGTCCAACTCCTCGACGTGAGGCGATTCGACGGGTTCTATAACAACTGACTCGGGAAGAAACTCCGCATCTCCTTTACCTCCCTCCCTCCTGCGCGCCACTTGCGCTCGTATCTCGTGCGGCGTGGGAGCCTTGTTATATTTCGGATCTGGAGGAATATAGAGATCACCGGTGGCCGTCCAACGCGAACGTATCTGTACGGTCTAGCATGAGCACGAAATCGTACGCGGGCGAGGTGGCGGAAGGGCTCTAGAGGCGAAGGACGTCGATTCTTACCTCCCTGATCCTCGTCTTCGTGGACATTCCGGTCCTGTGCTTCGCCACACCCTCGTAATGGGTCGTCCAACCCAGCTTGTACTGTCCGTTGGGCTTTTGTACGGTGTCCCAATACCAGCCGGTGTTTAAATTGCGTCGCATTTTTTGGTGATGATTAGAGCGAGCCATAGATAATTGTTGAGAGTGCGTGGTATTGATGAGGCGTCGTGAGGGTGGACGTGTTATGTGACGGATTTTATACTGTGGGATGTGTATTGCGGTGTGTGCACCTAAACCTCTTACGATCGGTGTCAGACGGAGTCATTGTGCTTTCGCTTGCGCACTTCTCACTAGAATTGACTCAGTCCGGCATGGCGATGTCTCGGGGCGGTTCTCAGATCAGCCAGTCGACTCTCTGAGTCTGAGCGTTCTCAGAGTGTTTGAGTACAGGCTCTCGGGGCGGGCCGTGCCGACGCGTTGGCGCCCTTTCTTCTTCTTGAGCGCCACACAGTCATACGGGTAACGGCTCACACCAAACGCACGCACCACGATGAGCCTATCCAACAACTTTTCTGAAATCTCCTCGGCACTTTCGAATCTCTGCAATGGCTTTTGTTTTGCTTTCATTCCTCGACCGTCACTTATCTGCTCTTTCATCGAAGCTTGTACGCCTTTTATCGGCACCTAGCCTCGCAGCAAAAGCTATTCACTCGGCGACTACGATTCCCCAAGGCCTTTTGCTCGTACTCACTCCCAATTGCTGACAAAACGACTCTGGTCGGTTGTGTGTTTCAAAGCTTGATTGTAGCAAAACCACCATGTTTGAAGGATTGTTTCTCTTTGTCCATGTTGATGAGAACAACAATAGCGTGGATCGCCATCAGGCTGGGTACAATTGTGTCTGTCATGGTGCTGTGTTCAGAGGTGGATACAGTGAAAGGAAGATCAGGTTTAAGGATCGGTCGCTCAAGTATATATGGAGAGGTAAGGATCAGATGTCGTGTTCTCGATTCGTGTGCAACGCCTGTGGTACAGTACTGTACGTCCAGTCTCATTCCCAACGCCAATAACGAGCTAATTCCGCACGGCCGTTCTTTCCAGGTCGACAGTCTACTGCAACATATTCTGTATATCATCATAATTGACGACGCTTCTATATCACGACTATACGTCCCATGATCATGTCCGACTGCACGCCTTTCGACGACGCCACGAACCACCCTTCAAACTCCTATCATACCACACAGACGACCTCCATGACAACAGTCAGGAGCGGTTACGTATCTCTGAATTCCCAACTGCTAGGAAGACTCGCATCACACGAACGACCACAATCTCTACAAGAAGAACAAGACTTCTTTACGAACAGTGAGTTCTTGCGTGCCAACTTGTCATTTTATTCTTGGGAACCTGACGATGTCATCTGTTTGTGCGATGTACCTCCAGTGATCCAACAGAGTCAGCGTTTAGATGCCCGAGCCTTGGTCGTTATCGCTCAACGTTCTTCTCACTCTGCTCACGTCCCACACACAAGTCGCCGATAGAGTTTTGTGGCTCTCAGGCCGTTCATGTCTGCCTATTATACTATCCTGTTTACCCTACCCCACAAGAATTTTATACCTCGCTGTAACTTAGAAGCCAACTAGCATGGTCCTGTCGTTCAAACGAGAAGTGCTCCTCCTGTCCACGAAAGAGTGGCGTATCAGTATCAGACTAAAATAGCTGTTATGAAGAGTGTCCGGATGCGGCCGAGGCACCTTTGAAATTAGGCGAGCGCCCGTTGGAGGTCGCCGGGGACGGTTCGCGAGTCGCTCTCGACGTCGTTCTGCTCAGCCCGCCCTTCCTTCGCTCTTCATTCTACCCTACGCTTTCCTCACTCTCTTCGCCTTCCTCAGTAACTAATTTCAAGAAATCTATGCATGGCGCTCACTGCGACCGCTCAGTCTGCTTTGCCACCCACCCCGTCCTGGGACGAGACCATTGTCCCAACTCTTCGTAAACGTGCGCACAATCCGCACTTAGAACTTTTCGTTTATCGCTAATTTTTTTATATTCATATTTTACTTCGCGAAGGTCTCGAAAATGAGAGCCGAATGCTCACGAAACGCATATCGGCCGTCTCTATCACCTCCGACGACGATTTTGATTTCGCCTCCAACTCGCAGTACTATCACCGAACCCCCGCATCCTCCCATACCCACTCGCACTCCTCACAATCCAAACCCCCATCCACCAACTCTCGCTTTGTCCCATCTGCTCATGAACGCGCACAGGCAGCAAGCCCAACATCTTCAGGCACCAAGCCGAGTGGCATCCCACGTCCGAGCTTGCAAACCTCCCGGCCTTCCATATCAGACAGTCGTGAGCGATCGACAACGCCCACCGGTGGCAACGGCAGCGTCATAAGCACCGACTCGCGTCGTTCTCGCTCCAAAGGACCCGCTCAGGCCACCGCACCATCTCAACAACCCACGACGGCACGCACGAGGACACTGTCCCAGCCCAAGTTGCTCGATCGGGCCGCGGCATTGGAGCAGCCCAAGAAAGCGCCCACTCGGATCCCCATACCTCGGAACAGGGCAGGGAGTGCGTCCAGTCCGAATCAGTCACCACTGCTGCAGTCGAATGCGAGCATGTCCAGGAGCGACAGTCGGATGAATGGCAGCGTGAATGGCATAAATGGAAACGGGTACGCGAACGGTAACTACGCGCTGGAACCCGAGGACCTAAAGTCCGTCACGCTTGACGAACGCGACTACGAGGCCCGATCGGCCGCGCAGCCTCGGTACGGTAACACCAGCGCGAGTGCGGCTGCGATGCAGCGTGTCAAAACCATGGACGACGACTATCCTCCCCGCCCGTCGACCGATTCTGAAGAACGTCCATTTGAGCACTGGTACCGCGGTGAAGTGGCCCGTAATGGTGGTGTCGGTGAACTTCGTGTCGGTCGTCATCTCGAGATGCTCGAGATCGCCAATTATGGTCATAAGGTTCGTGCGGCGGAAGCGAGGGCGGGCAAGAGATCGTCCATGGGCAGGAGAAGGGCCGAGAGTATCGGACTTGCTGGTGGCTCTGGCATGGGCACTGTAGGGTCAAGACAGAGCTTTTATATGGAGGCAGACGATAGTCGGGTGGAGAGAGTGCTGGATGAGGTTCCCTTGACGGACGTCGAGTCGGATACGGGGTCGATATTGGATGACTACATCTCGGTGCATCCTCGTTCGGCCTCCGCACTCGGATTCGGCGAGGAGAGGGAGCGGGAGCGGTTCGAGGATGAGAGGCAACGGAGCGAGACGCCGACCGGGATGGGGGCTGGGGCCGGGGCGGGACAGCCCAGGGAGAGGAAGGTCTCGAGAGCGGGTGGTGGTGATCTGCCGACGTCGAGGATCCCGACACCGACGATGATGAATCGTAAAATGTCGGACCCTCCAGCACGCACGCCCACACCTACCTCCAAAGCCAACCTCACCGTCAACACCGCCGCAGCCGCGCATGGCTTACCCTCACCACGCACACCCCGGTCCGGCAACACCACCGCTAAATCACCCTCTTCCTCACAACTTCCATCTACCTCTACGCCCATCACCAAGAGACGGGCAAAGAGCCCGGGTGACACGCTCGTTTCGCCGGCTAATAAGAAGACGAAGACGGCAGGAGGGAAGCATACGCAACCGCCCGTGACGCCGATGCGGGGTCGAGATAATGGGAGAGGACGTAGGGACTCAGACGATAGGCGGTCGATTGCGGAGTATCCAGATCCGGGCGACGGGGACTTGTCGAATGCAATACCGACGTGGTCACAGCCTGTGCCGGCGAAGGGCAATTGGGACGAGGTGCGTTTGTTTTCACTACTTCGGTCATACTCGTTGCTAATTCCACCAATGTCGGCTGGGTCGCTCTTTTTACATGCGTTACGTGCGTGGTTGCTGTAGGTCGTGTTGCCGGCCGTGGCGCGGAAGAAAGGGATGGATGAGCATTACACGCGGGTGGATGGAACTCCACAGCCGAAGAAGAAGAGCATGGAACATCAACCGGTACGCCGCTCACTGCCTGCTCTGCGTCTCACATCTCACACTATTTTGTTTCTTTTGCCTAGGCACCGGGAACCTTTGGATTCGACTACTCTAAATACAGCTCGCGTCAACCCCGGCTCTCAGGAACAGACGGTTTCGGACGACGGACTGAAGAAGAGAACTCAGATGACATCGAGATGGACGAGCAACATGAGCATTCATATCAAGAAGAGTCGTATCCAGAAGATGAATCACCACAACCACCACCAGAAGACCAACAACAAGGACCACCATCGCCCAAACCCAAACCGCCGATACAGAGACGAGAAACGGGAGATCGGATACGGAGACAGGTGCAGTCTCCACCTTCGCCTGCGCCGTTCTCACATTACATCAACGCTGGCAACAGTAATGGTGAGGGTGAGGGCGAGGCTGCAGACGTGGCGCAGTATGCGGCACAGATGGAGATGGACGAGAGAGGGAAGGAGGGGCGTGGAAGGCAGGATGTGGAGGAGGAGAAGGGGGCGGGGTGTTGCAAGTGTGTGGTTATGTGAACATCGGCTCGCCCCCGGCTCTTGGTGCTTGTGCTACTGGTCTTGTTCCTTCATGGCCAGTCTTTGTCCCTCGCTCTTCGCTCTTCGCTCTCGTTTCTGTTCTCAGTCGGATGGATGGTTTGTTGGAGTTTTTATCCTCTATGCTTCGTTGTGTACCCCTTATTGATTTGTTGCCCCCACATCCTATTTCTGCCTGGTTCGTCTTCCATCCGCTCACCCACCCACCCCCCTTCGCCCTTCTCTGTTTCGCCTTTTGTGCATAAGTTGATGACGCACTTGGCGTCCCAGTCGTCGCTCGTTACACTCGTTCCCTTCGCTTTGCATGGTCCACTCACATTCATCCACCATACCCCTTCTCACTCATCGCCCATCGTCATTATTTGCCTTCGTATCATACCCCGCTATTTCCCTTTCGCACTCCCTGTGTCGATGCTCTCTTTTGTGAGTTAGAGTGTGTTCCCTTTCGTGCCCTTATCGCTTGCCCTCTCACCCTCGTCTTTCCATGGATGCCCTCCTCCGGTCCGGCCATCCGACGAGCTAGTAACATCGCCATTCCCTCAAACAAACCCGCCTCACCTCTGCGCTCCTTGAATACGCCCTCCCTTCCGCCTTACACCATCTGTTCCTCCCGATGTCTCCTCTTTCTCTCTTAATCCATCTTGTTCTCCTGTCCAGGGTGTCTGTAGGTCGTTTTCTTGGTTGATACGATACCATGTTTCACCATGTTATTCTCTCAATCGAGGCGGCAATCGCTCCACCACGCTCGTTCTTTTAGTCTCGTCTCTTCCTCGTCCTCGTCTCTTTGCTTCCCTCTCTCCGTCTCCGTCCTTCCGTTTCCCTCAAATTTGCCTCTATCTGAACCTCTCTCTCTCGCTTCTTCTGTTGTCGGTTTTCTTTGGGATCTCCTTCTTCTCTTCCGTCTTCGGTCCTTGCACACGCATTTCTTTCGTTCGTATGTCGTTTCGTTTCGTTTTCCTTTCCTGCGCTCCGTCTCGGCCAAATTCCGTTTCGTGTCCTCCTCTCTTCCCTTTCCCCTTTTCCCTTCCTTGCTTTTGCTATCATGGAACACTCATGTTTTTATTATCGCCATCTATTCTCTTTCCTGTCTCCCCTCTCTGACTGTTTATCGTCTCTATCTTGTCGGCACCTCAGGTGATACGGCTCACCTTATAGCTTCACTCATCGCCTCACCCCCTCCTACCGACTTACCTACCTGCCTACCTACTTTGCTCGCTCACGAACGCTACGGTCCCGACCTTAGTCCTCCTCTCAGTCTCAGACTTTATTCTGGGTGGAATCCTTTCATCTTTATTTCTCGTTTAGCTTAGAGTACGCATGTATTAACGTTTTAATTATGGACTGTGTTCGATATTTAGTTTTTTCTGCTGATCCTCTCTTTTGATGTGTCTGTGTGGGACCTTGGCTTCTGGCTGTTGACCTTGCCAGCTTGCCACTTGCGTGGTGAGCTGAGTCGTGGGTTTTGTGTTTGTGGGTTTTGTCTTGTGTTTTATGTGGATGGGTATGTGGTATGTAGGTCATTTTTCGAGTTCGGGTTCGTTGGACTGTCAAATGCCTGGGGTCTGCAGAGCGCGAAAATAACAGAGGATGTGTGGCACTCAGGGGCTTCAAAGTTCACACGCCATACGCCACACGGCTATGCCAGCGCCAAATTAGATGCACTACCTCTTGCTCTCAACCACTATCACCCTAGTCTTTGAGCTTGCTTGATCTTTGAACTGGTTTCGCGTATACAGAACAATTTGGATCTTCTGCTCAAGCTGTAGTGCGTGCAGTTGAAGCATTTGTTTCCAAAACTGAAACATCTTGCTAGCAATCTTTCAGGTGCCGAAAACATACCGAGAACTTCTCCCATCCCACAAGCTTTCCAGTGATTGACCGAACGCTATCGTGCCGGTACGTGCATCTGTTGTCAGGCCATTATGGCGAGTGGTGCATTGTCGCGTAGGCGAACGTACCGTTTCTCGTTCATGTAGTACCTCAACCGTCGGGTCCTAATATTCTGATATGCAACCTTTACATGCTGCCTTATCGAACGTTTTGCATGCGCATGCATGTATGCATGGCTCGCATCTACACACCGTCGGCCCGGGCTCGTTATCTGGCTATATAGACATCTCTATCACCAGGCCTTGGCTTGCGTCGTACGCGGGAGCACCAGGCTCTCTACATAGAGCCACGACGACCATCCACCGTTAACCTACGCTTGAAGGCAGGATGCGTTCCTTCACCCTAAACGCAAACTTCTTGGTTTGCTCCTCCCTATTCACCATCGCGACAGCTTCATCCCAGACCCTCGCTTCCTCCAATGCGCCTCGAATCTACGAACTCGTTCTCCATCGCGACATCTCGACCGCCAGATGCTCTCTCATCCAATCACACGAAACTCAACCCCATCGCCGCCTCGCATCTTCATACATCAACCCCACCGCGCACGTCATCGAAAAGTCGATGAGGGTCCGACATGATGGGAAGGGCGAATTCGAGGAGATCAAGGTTTATGGGCATAGTGAGGATGTGCTCTGGGACGTCGTGGAGAAGGAGACGGGATGTGGTGGTTCTGGGGAGGTCGACTTGAGTTGGTTCATCAATGGTGAGGATGAGGAAACAAGCGAAGTTGTTGATGGTGCGGAGGTGGTTTACGCGAGCATGATGCCTGGACAGGATGTGCTTTCGGGTCCTAAGATGGAGCTTGGGAGTCAGTCGTGGAAGAAGAAGAAGAAGGGAAAGGTGCAGGCTCCGCCGATGGAAATCACGAAGATCATGGGGTCGGGTGCTTCTGAAAACCGCGTCGATTTGACTTTCTTCTCCGATGGATGTGAGTCCTCATACTTCCGTTTGGATTGCGGTGGATTTGATGAGGTATGCTCATGCTGATTCCGAGGGTTGAATAGACCTTGAATCGGAGAAACAGAAGTTCATCGATGATGTGACTTGGCTTGTGGACGAGATTGCAGGCAATCAAACATTCCATACCGTCTCACCCCTGCTCAACTTCTGGGCCGCGTTCACACCTAGTAATGAGGTGGGCTTTCTACTACTCGACAGCTGCTCTCGATCTATCCTAAAGGATATTGATATTTACGTGTGGTCAGACCGGCGTAGGTGTGGGAGGCAAGCCTAAAGAGTAAGTTCCGATATACTCAAATACTCTCAATTTCCGATGATCGAATGTCCCATTTGTTCTGCTTTAGGACTCCCTATGGTCTGTATCGCGATGGCACAGAGCTGCGCGCGTTATATTACGCGTATCCTGAGGTCGGACGCGCTGCATGCCAGGCTCTGGGAGATAAATGCAATTACCCCATTCTCATCGGTAATGACCCATTGTATGGAGGTGCGTTCAGGTCGGACAACGATCATTGCACGTATGGGTATTGACGTCTCATGTACCTTCTATCCCCTTATAGGTCTCGGTGGTGAATTTACGTGAGTTTCTCGGACGTTGAAGCCCATCTGCCCCGAATGAAACGCTTTGCCACAGTACAATCACTCCCTCTGTGGCCAACGGACCACTGATCCTCAGGTTCGTCGAATTTTGATACAAGTTCGATTGATGTTGAGATGTCTCATCTACGGTCGTTTCTCGCAGACACGAACTCGGCCACTCTGTCATCCGAGTTGGCGAAGAATATGATGGTGGTTTCGCCTATTTTGGCCCCAACGCGGGCCACGACCTATCCGAGCTGCCCTGGACACAGTGGCTTACCAAACCCCTCATCAAAGACACCCTTTTTGAGCCTCGCGTTGAACGCTCCGTGATGCCACTGCAGGCCTACCCATGGACGCTCCTCAACACTACCAAGCCTTGGTCGACGACTTTCCTCTCGTCCGGAACTTACTCGCGTTATCTCGTCCGATTCTCACTTAGCGGGCTTCCAGAGAAAGGCGACGTCAGTGTGCTTTTTGATGGCGAGGATCTAGGTTGGGAGCCGAAAGAAGGGCTGGGTATGGATCGGTACCATTATGATATTTATAGGGATGACACCTTGAGCGAGGGCGAGCATGAGGTGAAGTTTATGTTGAATACAGAGGAGAGGGAGGGTGTGGCGCAGTTGTGTAACGTTGAGATCCTGGAGTTCGGGAGCGATCCAGATGAGTGAGTTTTTCGAATTTTGCTTTTGCGCGAGGCGGTTGACAAGATACCGGTGATGCGCCAGGTTCAATTCGACAGCGGGCTTCTACGGCGTCTTCCCGACGTTCAGCGAAAAGAACGAGACCTCGTACCGGCCGACTAACGAAGACTGTCTGATGCGCATCGTCACGACACCTAACTTCTGTAGCGCCTGTGTCGAAGGCCTGTGGCACTCGCTCCTCAAGCGTGTGGATCTCATAGACAACATTACCACCACATGTCAACTCACTCCCTTCGGCACCTGGAAACGTACGTTCGAGCTCTTCCTGGTCCCGATTGGTCAGTTTAGAGAGGACGAGACGAATGCCGCGGAGAGTTACAAGATTGAGTGGAAGAAGGACGGGAAACCGATCAGTAAGTATGAGAATGCGACGGTGTTGGAGGTGAGTGGGAGTGAAGGGGGGGAGTGGGAAGTTGAGGTCATGTTTGAGACTGAGGAGGTTAGAGTGGATCCGGAGGATTTATTGACGTCGTGGAGGGGTATCTCGGTTGATGGTGGGTGTGTCTAGGCCCTGTTGCATCTTGCCGGGTCAGATAGGTACGGTTGGATTTTGCTCGACTATGACAGGATGAATGTACCATTGATCTCCAATTGGGATGCATCTGTTTATTACACACCACTCGCCTTTTCTTTCGGACACCATCGTTTCTCTATGCCCCCGCCGCTTGTTTCGACTGGGCTATTCATTTCGTACTCACGTACCTCCAATGTTCTTTGGCATGGAGAGGATTCTGGGGATGAATGTTGCAAGATAGGGTATGTGACATAAAAATTGTGCCAGTGAAGTGGTGAATGAAAATCATGCTCAAGTCATTCCAATCTCAGCTGGGGAGATCGAGAGTGTGTTTGACGCCCGTTGAGCGGCGGCCATTCCTTGGCCGATCCCGGGACTCGCTGCGGGGAAGTGGTCTTTCACGTGGCCGCAGCCGTTTCCCCGGAGGCCTCCGGGCGGAGCGGACAGTGGCGGACAGTGCCTGACTTCTGGCTGCCGAATTTTCGCGCGCCTCGTTCGGTTTTTTGTCTTTCGCCATCAACTCCGCGAGCTCAGTCTACACTTCCCATCGTTGTTTGTTGTCTGCTAATTGTTCGGCTTGATCCCATCTCGTGCTGTATAATCCACAAAATATTGTATCGGATGCTTGATCACTGTCTGGTCATGAAAGCGTCGGGCCCGTACACTTTATTGATTTTACACATCAACCTGGTGATTTTATTGCGCGCACCGTCGGGCATCCTAGAAAGGCAGGTATTGTTAGCACAGCGCTAGAACGGCTCCAGCGACGACGGGACCGTCGGCCAAGAGGTCTCATCACCCCTCTAATTCTCTGGATGTCTTCGTCCTTCTTCTCGTCTATTTGTTAAGCGTTCCAGTGGTCCAATTGTCCCTTCAGGCCGCCTTGACGACACAGAGCTGTCGGTGATGTGGCGGGGTCCATCAACCGATAGCCTTCTCCCGTCGTCATTGTTCTCCTTTTGTCAAACACCCACCAGCGCACGCACCTGCCTCTTTAAGTCTCTCGGTCTTCCGCCATTATTCTCTTTGACTCTTCCCAAACCGGATTGACTTCGCGATCGTTCAACAAGAAGGGGATGGGCTTATTCTTAACTGGCCAGAGCTTTGTACCTTGGTTGATAGCTCGTGGCGACGGGGTGATGGCCGCCATAAAGGGTCAGAAGGGCGGGGCCTAGCATGGGCAGCATATATAACATTGTTGAACGTATGAACTTTGGTCGTCGGCCTGTCTCCCTTGTGTCTCCAGCTCGCAGCTTATTGCATAGATCTGTTTGCTTTTCTTGCTCTCTCGTCCACATCACTGTATCCAACATCATCTAGACTATTTACATCCACATCCACATCGGCATTCCCATCATCTATACGTTATTCATCATGCGTCCTTCTCATCAGTTCGTTGCGAATCCTTCGCCATCCAATGTACACCCACCTCGTCCGCAAAGTGGACGCACATCGAGAGCTTCGGGCAATGCTCGGGGTCCTGTTCCTCTACCACCTTCTACAGCATTCGTCCATGCGAACTCTCAGTAAGCTCCGTTCACCGTTTGACTTTTGACCTTGTCTCAATATGTCCCTTTTTAGAGGTCCCGTCTATTCAGCTCCGCAGTACGCCAACAATAATTGCTTAGGGCATGGCTACCCAGAAATTGGCCAGACTCAGTGCGGTCATTTTCCTTGAGTGTTTATTGACAGCTCGACTGACGTCAATATGTCTTGACAGGTATCTTGCACCATACCAGATTCCTAATGCCTTCAGCCCCCCTTCGTCTGCCGGATCAGACGTCATCTTCAACACCCCGAGTTGGTCTGGATACCACCTCAGCCCTGCGAGCGATCTGTCCACTCCTTCTCTCGCCTTCGATTCATACTCTTCATCTTCTTCTGCGTCCTATTCTCCGTCCAATCACGGTCGTCGATGCTCTCTCACGTCCAATCGCCCTCCATCTTCTCAAGGGCCTGCCTTTCCCTATCATGATACAGCTCACGGTATTTCTCGTCATCCGACACGTCGCGGTTCCATTACTGCTTCTACTCCCTATGATCGTCCTGGGTATACGACTACCTATGGTGATGAGGCTTCGGGCATTCGTCCTAGGAGACGTCAGTCAATTGCCACTGAGAAGGAAAAGGAGAGGGAGAGGGCCAGAGCTAGAACGCACAGGGAGAATGAGCAGCGTGTGCTGATGGAGTTGTCAAGGCGACTTCCTCCGCCAGCTCTCAGCCGGAAGCGATCAAGGATTGAGGTTATGACGGACGGTACGTCTCTCAACCTTCTGGCCGCGGACTCCTCCCTATCGTTTTCTTGCATGATCGTACTAATTTGGAGGTTTTTTTTCGCAGCAACGTTGTTGATAGATGACTTGAGGAACAAGAACGACCGGTATGAGCGGGGACACCGAGCCACTCAATCCGCGCAGGAGTTCAGATTCGTTCACCATGGGGAGTACCATTAACGGTCCGAAGTCTTGTGCACCTGGCCTGTCTACCGCTCTCGTTCCAGCCGATCATCCCCTGGCTTCGTCGTCGGCTCTTGGACACATCCAATCACTCCTAATCTCCACGCATTGTTTATATTTGGCTTCTCGTCCTTGATATTGTGTTTCATGCTCTATCACCACTCATCTATCGCATATCTTCATCTGCATCACCCCACATCTTAATTTGTTCCGCTCTGTAGCATCCAATCTTCTTGCATCTTACGACATCACACCACTCAAAATTGTAGCCCTAGTATACCCACACTCATCGTTTCTTGGCTTTCCTGTCTGACACGAAATATCTTTGCATTTTTCTCTCCTGGGTTCATCTGCATATACGTTTATCATCTGACCTACCTTTCCTACTGTCGCATAGTACTCCTTGTCTTACTGTCATATTTCTCGTGCATACTTATTCGTATAATTACATTACTGTCTTCTCCTTTTAGACTACATGATTTCCTACTGCCTACAGTACCTACCTATGCCGCCTATGACTCTATGCATCCACCACACTATGATCATCTTCTCTCTTTCTTTCTCCCGCCATTGCGCCCGCGCGATCTCGAACACAATTGCACGAAGAACAAGGCATGTCCTCCCTTCCGGAACACGCTCTAGCTATTCGTCAACAACAAAGACCAAATCGATTTCGGTGAGTCCTTTGTCTTCCTTTCGCTCGAAAGTGCCTTGCATCGCCTCTGACATTGGTCCCTCGTAATTGTCTGCGCGGCTCACCTCTCCCTTTTTGTACTCAGGAATCACAAGCTGTGAATATGTTGTCAATGGTCCGGCCTATTCCCAGGAAGATGTCGGGAAGTCACGATGCTATCTGTAAGTACTCCACTGAAGCCGCAGGGTGAAACATCACAATAGACGAGCATTTCACAGCCTTCCGAGCTTCTGCTTCTGTGTATCACAGATGGTCATCTGTTCGCGAAGTTCAAAGCGTTTACCACCCGAGCACCATAGTTTGTTTAACCTTGGATAATCCGGGCCAATTGTCCTCCACCATTCAAAGAGTAGCCTCCCAATCTTCTTCTGCCTAGATAGCCTCACAACCTGAATGGACATCTTTAAATATGCAAAATGATTAGTTCGTGGTCGCGGGCAGTCCTGTCTATGATGGCTCGCAAGCCCATCGATTCCCCATGATACGACCACCTCAGCAGACGACTGGACATGCAGTACACAGATTGGCGCTCATTCGTGTGCAGAGCAGGAACAGGATGTTCTCGAGTACCCCTTCCTCAGTTCGGGATCATTCACTTCAATATTACCTTATCACCCTGACTGCAGCTGTCCGTTTAGTACTGTCACTTTTGCGGCTGAAAGCGTCTTCTCAGTCTCCCAGACCACGCGCAGGTTGGAGCATCCACGATCATCAACAGACCAAGAGCTCGGTCGACTTCCCATGCATGCTCGGTCCACGTATTTCCCGGATAACGTCCAGTACGTCATCGAGATAAAATGGAAAGATAAAACCAAAATCTCCCCCTCGACAATCTCCTCAACGAAGTTCGCGATTGATGATTGCCCAGGAAGCGTATGCCAGCAGAGTCCTTAGTGTCCAGCCTGAATCTGCGAACGGAGCTTGAATTATATTTCTGTTACCAAGCGGGGAGTAAGGATAGATGCCTGTGACCTGATACAGGAACTCAAAGCCTACTCCGACCAGCAGTTTCGTGGGCAGGAACGTTTCCACCGGATAGAGGCCTAGCTTGTGGACGGGTGACCTCACTACCCATTACACCCGTCGTCAACAGCTTCTTTTCGTGTAAGTCCCACCATAGAAGTATGATTTCTGTTGCTTCATCTCGGCACTGCGGTGGGACGAGCGTTGATGAGGGTGTTATAAGATAGCGAGAACGACGAAAGTGAACGATCAGTATAGTACCGCGATTGGAGGCAGCCAGCATGAAAACGAGACTGAGAGGCACGTACTCCATGTGCCACATAATTGTGATCTGCATTCTCTACAAACGCAAGGTTATGCGTACCCGAACCCTCTCGACCACCGAACGCCCGAGCGTATATAGTCGCGTCATACCTGTTCATCATCAGGGGAATGGCATCAGTGAGCCTGACGAACCAGAGCATCACAACTTGATGGAGTCTGCAGCACTCACGGAGGAACAGTGATATCAGCAAGGCCGTGAATGGTCAATACATCTATATGGCCGGGGAATTTATCCCAGACGATGCTCGAATCCCATCGCATGCATTCTTCGATTTCTCCGGGGTAGATTCTGCCGACGAAGGGTTTGCGAGCTATGGTTGTGTGCCAGTCGTAGTAGTCATGTTGCGCGATTGAGGGGGCAAAAGCGGCAAGGTCAACTGGAAGTACGAACGATGAGCTAGGTCGTGAGGGAAGATAAAATACTCTTGCCTGCCATTCCCTAGACATTAAATTGAAGGTCTAGTCAGAAATGCATCACAGGACCTGAGCGCAACTTGTGTCGTAGCAGTCCAGAAGACTGTGGGAGGAGGAAGAGTAGAAAACTTAGACAGCAGAAGAGCTTACCTCCATCCGATATCTTCCACTCACGTTCACGAATGCGCTCACTGACCTTCCCTCCTCGGTCATACAACACCAATATATACCTACGTTCGCCCCTCTTGAATGTCCGACAACCAAATCGACGTGATACCCATATCGTGAAGACAGGAAAGCAGCTACGACACGGATATCTTCCACATCGTTCAAAATCGGGGTTTGTCTCCAAGTCCCGCCGGATTCGTGGGTGCCTCTGTGAATTACCGTTGGTCTGGCAAGACGTGGTGGAGGACGAAAGCGGGTAGCCGAGGAAGACATACCGAAAGTCAAAGCGGAAGGAGTCAATGGGAAGGCGCAGGGCGAGTCGCTTCTGGAAGATGTAGTCTTTATGCCTGATTCTCGTCGTTTGTGGCAAGAATGAAGAGGAATAAGATGTCAAACTCACCCCATGGTACCGTGCAGAATCTACCTCAAGATGATGATGTTGACATGAGAAGGAAATGACAGGGCTGGATACCGCGGAACCATTCTCACCAACGCGATCCTCCTACCTCGAGTCGCTGCGTTCGGTTCAACCTGCTCTAGAATGCCAACCAAGTTTACACCGGGGAGGCCTGTGTGTGGGATGCTGACTTTCGTGCTTCTGCGGGTTGCGAATGGAGATGACATGGCAAGTTATGGGACGCGACTCCAAGTACAATACAGCAAAGGGATATGGTTAGGATGTGTGCGAATCTAGCGCGTTTGACAACTCGTTTGCAACTCGTGCGACGGTTAGCGCAATGATCAAGCCATGTTCATCGGCGGCAGCATCATCACGTGGAAATTGATATCCGTGCGAAGCCGCTTCTGGAATACAGCGCATGAGTTCAGTATCGTCAGGAGAAGGGTTCTGAAAAAAAAGCTTAGAGTAGCTTTTGATAATGGAAGCTGGATCATGGGAGAGAAGGACGAGTCCTTCTATGATGAGAGAGCATGACGGCCTAGTAGAAAAAAAATGGACTCGGAAGGGCTTGTTGCCCGCCGAATAGTAGTTGCGTTGGAAGGCTGGCGAAGCTTAGAGTGTGAAAGACATCACCATATATATACGATAGATTTGAGATACGAGGCGCGTATGAAAGAGATATATGGCGGCACTATAAGCATGGGCGATGGGGGGAAGAGACAAGAGACCGTCGCCGCATTCTGGGCCACATCAACGCCGCTCTGGCCGGCGTCCCGGTCCGCCACTTTCACAGAATTTTTGCGATTTGCTTCGCCCGACTTGGTTCTGTTCTCTTTCCCGTCGTGCTCATCGTCTTCCACAATGGCCAAAGCCAAGACCGCAGTCACAAAACCTACACATTCTACGTCTAAGGCAGCCAGAATGACTGCCTCAACAAAAGCTAGCGCGGTGCCCGACACTCTTATCGACTCGCACGTCTCAAACGCTCAATCTGAGCTCGCGTTCAAGGCTCTCATCGCTCATGCTATCAAGCACTCAGAGAAGCAGGCGGAGAAAGATCTGTTGGCTGGTGGTGGAACTGGTGGTAGGGAGGATAATGTCTGGCTGCAGGTGGCGGTGAAGACGTTGTATCCGGAGAAGAAGCTGAAGCCGCATAAAATGTACGTCTATTTCTACACCCATACTTTGTCTCATCTTCTGACGATATCTCTCTATGATACATATTTATTTCATGGATGAACTGTCTTAATAGCCCACTTGCCCATCCACTCGTCGACCCACGTACCACGTCCGTCTGTTTGATCACGAAAGACCCGCAACGTGAATACAAGGATCTTCTCGCAGCCCAGAACATCAACTTCATCTCCCGTGTTGTCGGTCTCGAAAAGTTGAAGGGTAAATTCAAGCCCTTCGAGGCTCGTAGAATGCTCTTGAATGAGAACGGACTGTTCCTTGCGGATGAGAGGGTTATTCCATTGTTGCCGAAGTTATTGGGCAAGAATTTCTTCAACGCAAAGAAGTGAGTATTCCCTCCCTCATCGTTTGAACGGCGATATGGCCACGGTCCCTTGCGGCATTGGATGTGTACTGAATGTGTCGCATGCAATGCTGACTTTGCGTTCTCTTCATCAGGCAACCCATACCCGTATGCCTTACTCGGAAAGACCTAAAAGGCGAACTGGAACGTGCCATCACTGCAACCTACATGCATCAAAACCAGGGCTCGTGCACGTATGTACCATTTCGCTCTCTGTTCATCCCCATATCCACGAATATTCTCGTTCTTCACTTTCCTGCCATCGGCACTCGACCAGTCATTTACTTGTTAGCTAAACATACCCATTGACCAACATGAGAGTACTAATCAACGATTGCCGTATCTATATAGCTCTGTCAAAATCGGCACAATCTCCCAATCTCCCTCCCAACTCCTCCAAAACCTTCAAACCGCCCTCCCCCATATTGTTCGCTCCCTCCGCGGTCCCCACACCCCCCACGCCCCTCAGCACAATAAACCCAAAAAACGCTCATCTGACCCTTCCGCTGTCGCCCAGACGCTTCTCGGCTCCTCCCAGAAGGGCAAGGATGAACAGGACGGAGAAGAGGCGCCAATAGACCCGTGGGACAATATCCAGAGTCTGAGCGTGAAGACGAGCAAGAGTATGGCCTTGCCTGTCTGGAGCTGTAACCTTGAGGATGGGGGTCGGTGGGTTGGGATGCCGGAGCCTATGTCGACTTCGGAAGAGGAAGGTAGTGAGAGTGAGGAGGAGGCGGAGGTCAAGGTGCCACCGAAGAAGGCCGGAAAGAAGAGAGCAGCAGAAGAGACAGAAGAAGTAGAGAAGCCCGCTAAGAAGGCTAAGGCTTCAGCGGTCAAGGAGGTTGGTCTCCCATATTTGTTTTCGTTTTTTTTTTGTCAAGCTCACGTTTCCTCGCTTTCTCCCTACTAGACCGAATCCACTGCCACCCCCTCAATACCCACCAAAAAGGCCAAGAAATTAAAAATCGACGCCGACCCAACACCCGTCTCCAAATCCCTCGCCACACCTGCCTCCACATCCACCCCCACTCCCACCTCTAAAGCAGTTACGAGGTCCCAGAGTAACGCTCCAATTCAATCTACCGTCGCATCAGGCAGTGAAGCCGACGTCGAGAGTGCGGTGCCAGAAAGCAGCATTGTTCCGGAGGCGGTTAAGGCGAAGAAGGAGAAGAAGGGCAAGAAGGCAGACAAGGAAAAGGAGAAGGAGAAGGAGAGGAAGGAGGTGGAGGAGAAGGCCGCTGTGGAGGATGCGGCGATGGAGGTCGAGGCTGAAGTCCCTGTGTCGAAGGAGAAGAAGAGCAAGAAGGGGAAGAAGGCCGTCGAGGCCGATGTTGTTGCAGTCTCAGAGCCCGTTGTCGAGGCTGAGACCACGAGCAAGAAAGAGAAGAAGGGGCATTCGAAGAAGGAGGCTGCTGCCGTTGCCACACCTGCTGTTGTTCCCGCCGCTGCGGAGGCGAAGGGCCTGACGAAGGAAGAGATGAAGCAGAAGAGGGAGAAGGGTGTGGTTGGGGAGAAGAAGAAGGAGAAGGTCGTGAAAGGGCAAGGGTCACTTGCGAGTGGGGAGGGCAGGAAGGGGAAGAAGGGTGTTGTTGGTGGAAAGTAGGTTTGGTGCTGCATAGGTCTATGTCTTTGTTCTTTCATGCGTCTACTAGTTATACGTCGTCTTTGCTGGATATAGTATCGCTTTTTGGTTGCATACGTTTCCTGCCTTCGAGTAGAAGAGCGATTGTGGGGTCAGCGTGGACCTTGGTGTGGCGAAACACTTCTCACCCTAACCCCATTTCAGGGTGTTTTTTCACAGCTTGCCGGCACCGGCTCAACGGGACTCCTTGTTCTCAAAGCACTTGAATAATACAATGTACATCTCCGCCTATCTTCACGTCCCATCTCTAGATTTCTGTTGCGATCCAACTAGCTGACATGTCGGCGCCGATAACCACGAAAAAGACTACAAAGCTTACTATTCCTCATAATATAGAGCATGGCGTCGACATCGTAGGTGTTCTCGAGCAGCTTGAACCGGAACGGGAGACCAGAGGGAGAAAGATTGCACTCGTGAGCTCGAAAGCATCTTACACTACTAAAAAAATGTTGAACATGGTATATGTAGGTTCTGCATGGTACAATGGGGTCAGTTTCTGGCCCTTCTCGATAGAATGCCTGAGGCGACATATAGGGATTGATGAAGAGCGCTCTGCGTAACAGGCATAAAGACTATCTGTTCCAGAAGCGAGTCGCTCTCCGTCTTCCCCTCGATTCATTTCGTTTTGACTTCCGGTGCGTGTTGCCCCTATCTTGAACTCACGTAATGGGACATTGAGCCGTCCATTTCTGGTTCTGGCAGAGGAAACCACGAGTCGGGCGGAACGTGGAAACAAGCCGCTATTCACGAAGACGTCGAAGATGTTCGCCTTGTCGTGTCTTATCTCACCGAGAGATATGGTTATGAAGTAGATCTTGTGGTAGGGCACTCGAGAGGGAGTGTGGTGGGTATGTCTTGGTGTTGTACGAGCGAAGAAGGGAAGAAAGTCAGTGGGTTTGTAAATGCGAGTGGGAGGTATCGGATGGAGGTCAGTACGCTTCACACGTTGTATCAACACTAAATACTGACTAATTTCGTCTCTCATAGAGGATCCAAGGTATCTCGGGCTCATCTCTTGCTTTGGTAGGTGTAGATGTTGATTGGTCGCGTCTCATCGTAGACAATCTTCGACACTATGCTGCCTCCTTCGCCCAACTCGGTCACTATAAGTGGCACGTTACTGTTGCCCGTAAACCTGTCGTCGGAATAATATATCCAGGAGATCTAGATCAGTTTGCTAGTTGGGACACGAGTATCGTCTGGGATCAATTTCCAGGACATACGGATGTGTTGACAGTACACGGCTTGAAGGATGCCACAGTACCACCGTAAGTAACATTTTGTTATCTCGATAGTGAAATGTTTTTGCACTGACTATACTGACTTGATTCTTGCCGTTATGCTCTGATAGCTACGACGCCACATTATACGCGCGAGCATTCGGTTCAAGGGAACAGAGCGGACGAGGATCCGGTACACATAACCTATGCTTCATAGAAGGAGGAGATCATAATTTTACTGGTGTACGTTGTCACGCTCCTTCCCACTACCTCTAACCTTAAGTTAGAAACCTTCCTCGTTGATTTCACCACCTACTCTCGATAATATTTCACTACCTTCCTGAACCCCGTACAAAAGATGGGCCACAATATTTATTATGACTCACGCCTACACTTTCTTACAGATCCAAGATGAGATTACGGACATCATTCTTCGATGGTGGGCCATGCACGAGCGGAATGAGCTCAAGACTGGGATATGGGACACGGGTGTTAGGCCCGATCCAGTTGCTGTGGTCACAGCCACCAGTCACAAACTCTGAACCCCGTCAAGAGTTGTACAACATGGAGTCGTATGCATTATTTTCTGCAATGTGCGATGGCGAGTCCGTTGAATGCTTGCAAAAGGCTCAATGATTTTTGCCACAGTGGCGTTGGAAGGTTCGAGTCCCCGCTTTCGGGAATTTCCGCCATGGTTTCTGCAGATTGCTTGCAATTGCCTTTGCGGCTCACTCGTCACTCGTTCTGGTGTGTCTTTCTTTGAACATTTGAGTATGTGACAGTTGACTCTCTGTAGGGCGTCTTGAACGGTTCCAAACACACAGACGGGCTTCGATCACTCTGCGGCAGAGGTTTTCACGGTCAAGTGAGGTGGCCTATTCGCGCGTATAAGGTGGATGATTCAGGGTGCTTAGATTGTTACGGACAACCACCCAATCATCCAACCTTCTATGACTTGAAAGAACAATCTGAACTACCGATGATGCTTCTCGCTTGTAGTAATTTCTCGATGTCAGGGCTGTGGATTCGTCCCGTAATGTGAGTTGTAAAACTTCCTCGTATTGCCTCAGCAGCATCGAGACTCTCCCAACACCAAATTCCCACTCTCGCCGTTTCTACCCTGCACCACGACATTGTCGTACTTCATTCTCTGGCGTTCGTGGGACTGCGAATTGTTCACATGAGTCCCTTCCGGGACGCTTTGAACCTCTACATGTGGGATCTATACGTATACCGGAATTCACTTACAGCACTCAAGTCGGCACGCACAACACACCCTCTATCTCTTTTGTTGGATTTAGCTAGGTGCAGCTCGACGTCGCGAGAGCTTTCGCGAGCTTTCGACGGACACGGATGACTCAGCAGCGCAGCTGCTTTGCCACTCTCTCGAGTACTGTAGAATATTCTAGTATAATTTGTACAGTAGTATAAATACATGAAGAAGTTTACCTGTGTAGGGCATCGGTTTGCCCTAACACAAGGCAGCCTCACAGCTCAGTGTGATTGCAAGCCCTCTCTGATTTCTCGTGCTTTTCTCACTCGCTCACGAAAATCCAACATCTTTCCTGTTCCTTCACAACAGGATCTCAGACTTGCAGCACAACCACATCAGAATCGTACTCAGTCATTGTACCGTATCAGTTTTATCATGCACCATAGCCTTTACTACTCGGTTTCGTATAGACATCTGTCAAGACTCCTCGAGGGGACGTTTGAACTCATGGACAATGACTTTTGACAGGGTCGGGGCTGTCTATCATCATAGGCTGCCAGGGAAATAACGAAACCCATGGAGTAAATCAAAGAAGATCGTGTGCCACAACCCGCATCATCAAAGCACGAAGGTAGAGCGGCATATGCATCCGGAATTAAGGAGAAGATTACAGTTTAAGACTGGTAAAAAACTATGTATAGTAAAGTAATTTCGAGACTCAAGGACAACCACAACAATGAGTCTAAGACATTGCCAACAGGCGGTAACTGTATCCGTATTATCGTATGGAGTATGATAACAGACCTAGCGTAGCTTTCCTCAGAGTCCTTCCAAACAACGAAGGGACAATGCTCTACCAGAAAAAATGCGAGAATCAAGAAGTTCCCGTCACACCCACACGACTCTCCGTTCCTTCCGGCCGTTTCTATCTCCCATCTATAACTCCTTCCGAAAGCCTCACTAGGCAACATTCCACCGCTCTATGACTGATCTCATCATTTGCACTAGAGGCGTGTAGGATGCGTCGCCTTGTTGTGGAGAGAAGATTGAATGATAGTTAAGGGGTAAGGGTTGCATCAAGATGTCGCAGGGAACGATTATGTGCATGCATGATGTATGGTGTGGGTGCAGATGCAGCGAGTAGTTAGACGGAAATTGCTGGTCGTGCTCGATATTGCGAGCTGTGGTAGGAGTGTTGATTACGGGGCTCAAAAGAACACCACAGTGGTACTGCTAGCGGCAGCGCGGATTCTGGCCTGGGACGATGACTGGGACGACTTGCGAGAGCCATCGTTATACGAAGTCGTGGTGGAAGACGTGGATGATGATGATGATGGTGTCTGAGTGCTGGTAGTGGGGAAGCTGGTGGCCTGCGTGAGGGAAGTGTTCGACTGAGAAGTGTATCCAGACATGACAGAGGATTGTAGAAATCTAGTGGGTAAGAGAGACAGAGGCGAACAAGCCGGGTCTAGTCGATACTAAGGTTGTGGGCTGCGTATTGCGTATTGATAGGAGCGAAAGCCGTGGAGGGTGATGAGTTTATAAGTCCACTGGTGGCCGCATCAGTATTGGGAACTGTGATGAACGTAAGAGATCAACGGAGCGCTTGGCTTGTCCAACAGGACTGGGTTCCTGCTTCACGGCAATGGATGCTTCCCTTATGGGATGGGCGCATTCCATGCGCACATCAAATCGAAGAGAATGACATGCAGAACAAAGCGAGGAGCAAGGCTGCTCGTTATAGCGAGGGTCGCACGTACTGAAAGTTAAAGGCAGTTTATCAAGGGATGCCCTGCAAAGTCTCACACTGATTTGTTGATCACCTCCTGATTTGGGTAACGTTTCCCGATGTCCAACTGCAAAGCGCAGGATCGGAGATATTTTATCTACAGAAGAAGGAAGGAAGGTGGGTAGCAATGATTAGCAAGAGTGACATACCTCTGTGGCATACGATGCAGTGCCTGCCTTGACACTGACGGAAGAATGAAAAAATCTGTCGCAGTACAGTCGGGCGTTCAAAATTTACACTTTGGTCGGCTGCATCGCATATAGTCGGAATGGTTGTAAATCCCGTAGTGAGAACAGTAACTCCGGTGGACGAGAATACATCAAACACTTCCGTTGGCGCTCGTTAGTGCACGTCGCATTATTGGTTTCAGATCGTGAAGAGGATTGGAACACCAGAGGTGTGAACACCGTCCTGCGAGAGAGCTCCAAACAATGAGCGACGTCTCGGTTGTTTCTTGGGACAAGTGTAATCCCATTTGCCCGCGTGAACCACTTCAAGAGCGTGTCGAAGTGAGAATGGCCAAACACCTATCGCTAGACTGATTATACGGAAATAGTCGTCCGTTCAGATCGAAGAAGAGTCAGTACTCAGTACTCTGTGGCGCAAAGGCACCCTCAACTCAGGCTGTACTGTCTGCCGGAGATCGCAAGACTATTGCCATAGATAGCTGGTGGGCTCCATGTCGCCCACACCGCATTTCCATTTCTGTTCAGTAGAAGGCGTTGTGTCGCTCCAAAGCAGGATCATAGACAGGTGCCTGTATGAGGCTATTCCATGATCTATGCGGCGATAAGATGATTAGAAGATGGAAGCCTCGGGGCCCTTGAGTGACACGCTTCGAACATTGAGATCACCGCCATCCAACGCCTCAACGCCTCACGCGTGGAACTTATCTTCTAAGAGCATACGAGCCTCTGACAGTGAAACATGTAATAGTTCATCAGTTGGGTCATGATCACCACGACATCCCGAGAAAAGAGTGCAGAAGTGTCCTGATTCCCTGGGCACAGAACAGGAAGTACTGCTGATGGCCTTGGGGATTCTTATCCGCCATGAGTGAATGGGGTTGAGCAGAACACCACCATACTTTTCCGCCGGTATTTATCAATTGCCGTTGTCATGTTAAGGTGTGCTCACGTCGTTTTCGATACAGAGTTGCACATCAGTCGTACGAGTGACAGCCGTTTCGCCCAGTTGGGCGAGAAAGGCTCGCAAAAAGACCCGTAGCAGGGGTAACACGAATGCTGAACCCTTCTACCCGACAGATGGTACTGATACTAGGCGATTGTCCAACAGCGCAAAGTGTGAAGGAGAGGCATCTCGAGCTAAAGAGAGTTCGACACGGGTTTCAAGGAGAGGTTACGCACAACTTCAGGAGGCGATTCCGAATGGGTTGAGCATAACAGCACTTTAGTGCCAAAGAATCACCAATCCATGACTGAGATATCAGAACCAGGAAATGGCGAAGGACGTTCCTGAAAACAGAAATACACTAACTGTAGAAAAAAGAGCCGCATTACGGCCTTGGCAGCAGGAGGTGTAATGCCAAGATCGGGAGTCCCTAGTTGAGAGGAATGACTCACAGGTTTGAACCCAAAGTAGTATTGGGCTCATAGTCCATACGCAAGTGCATGGCGCAAAAACACTCACCACCGACGGGCATGCTGTAAACAAAGGGCTATACACCTACTTCATCTCACTGTACTTTCGAGACATGTAGATAGTCGACACAAATGTATTTTATGGCCGTGCAAGGACTGAAAAGATCCAGAAGCCGCTCGAGTCATAAATCTTGCGCCTGCAAGAAAACATACAGGAGACTGACCTGAAAATAGCGATGGCCTGAAGTAGTTGCGCATCTGATACCTATAGTGAAGAGGAACGATTGTCTTCCTCGATCTTGGAGTCTGGATTTCGAGACTAATCTGATACCACGGCTTGTGAGCCCGTTACTCTTCAAGCTCTAGAGATTCCTCAGTATATTCAAGTATGCCAAGAGTCCAGGCCGTTGTACTATTGCATTGCTTCGGAGCGAGGTAAATGCATGCTGTAATCCGAGATAACAGTCGTAGCTTATGTAGTAGATGGAAGAGTGAAGCAAGGAGTCAGTACTTTGCCTATCCAGCCGCGTTTATCTTTCAACGGCCCGTGATCGTTTCCGCGAGTCGGCGAGAAAAGGAACGCCACACAGATGGTGGCACAAGCTCAGGCCAGTACGCATATGTACTACGGGAATTGAAGTTGGCCAAGGCTAGCCATCGAATCCTTTGGAGATGTACGACTCTTTGATCTCAACATACTACTTCGAAGAAGACGAAGCTTTTTTCAGTGGTAACAGAGATGACGACCACGAATGTCTTTAGACAAAAGGTATGCACGATCAAAATAACATGACGAAACTAGTGTAACAATCCCGATGAAGAATGACTGTATTACAACCGCGCTACATATTGTACCTGACTGCACCTCAAGACTTATGCGGGAGCCAGGCATCTATCCGCGCCATACTCTAGTAACATGGGCAATAAAAATATCAGTACTCGTGATAGAAGGATTCAGGGAAATTACGCACTGAGATCGTTACCCCACCATTCCGGGAAGGAATGCGCGTCCCCAACGGCACCAAACACGGCCAAGTTGAGGATGAAACTAATAACTTGAGTTCCACCATCAAGGGCACCAGCGACGATATAGTTGTCTATATAGTAAAAGCGTGTAAGGAAGGTGCGGAAGGGAGAACTAGAAGCAGAGCGTACACTTGGTGAACCACCTTGGGTACTTCTTACGGAGCCAAAGTTGCGAAATCAAACCAATGGCCATCGAGGTATTGACCTGGGTGTTGACACCAACTAGAGTGATTCACAATTACATGAAAACACGGTCAGCAACCATACAGAACATAGAGTATAAAGTACGAACCAGAGAGATAACACGAGTACTGGACGACGATACCCGTGTTGAAGTTGGCGAAAAAGGTGTTCTTTGGGTAAAAGCGATGTAGAATGTAACCGGGGATAGGCAACAAGCAACCAAAACCGAGAGCTGCGGGGACCATCCAGTAAGTAGACCCAGCGCTGAACATTTGGCGGCCTAAGGCACCCCAAGCGATAGCCTTAATGGGTGAAAAAACCAATTAGGATTCGGGATGAGTGGTACAAAATTGGCTCATGGACTTACATTAGAGTTGTAGCTCTGCGCGTTCTGTCCGGACCAAAGACGGGTACCCGAGATGGACAGGAGAGCGGGACGTTGAGCATCAATGATGGACAGCCTGAAAGGTGGTAAACGGTCTGCGCCATGGAATGTTTTAAGAGCGAGAAGAAACGCTTACATCATGACATAGTTCAAGATGGCACCAACGATGCACCCCAAGATCTGGACGACGAAGTTGACGCGAGGCGGAATTTTGATGTACTGGCCAAGCTTCAAATCCTGAAGAAGTCGGATGCCTTGTACAGTAGGCTGCCCACCATACAGCGCTGCGTACATGTTGGCGACTATGATTGAACGGTGTCAGACGACCCTGGCCAGTGACAGGTAATAGGACACAGATGGAAGTCTTACCAGGGTCTCCCGGAGCCATATATGATGCAAGCCTACAAGTTCTCCGGTCAGAAAATGAATCCACGATAGACATCCATGCTCTCACATTTCATAGAAACCGTTGAGCTGGAGAAAAAGTAAAAGTCAGCTTGGTGATTAGTCTTTGAGATCAGTTGCACTACGTACACCTCCACCAAACTCCTTGAAGCCCAAGATAGCGGATGTTGTCGAGTAGACCGCCGTCTGTAAACGACCAAGTGAGTTCCTGAGCGGAGGGCGCAAACAAAAGGCGGTAGACGAACGAAGACCAATGACAAGATAAGAATCTGTGTGAAAGGAATCCGGTTAGTTATGTCAAGTAGCCAACGCAAAAGCTCTGGTACTCACAATAGTCAACGCCCACCACGAGAAGTGTGAATGTCCTGTGTAATCGGTTGCCTATTCGAAAGCCATAAGCATCAATGGAACTTCGATGCAGTTACGAGCATCATACCTGCGCCATTGCATACGCAACAAGAAGGAGGGCAAGGAACCTGCGGTACGCTGTCAAAACACACAATGGAAGGGCAAGGACTCCTGTGCGACGTACCACCAACGGGGGACCTTCTTATAGCTGACGAGAAATGTGAGCATCCGTGTGGGTGCTCCGAAGTTCTACAGCGACGTACCGTTGCATCTCTAAAGGATTGGACAGTCAGACAAATATCCCGTAGATGCCAATAAAGCTGGGTAATACTCACTGATGTAATGTTCGTCGTGGACGATGAATACCTCCTTGTTCCATGGGTTGAGCGACAAGATAAACGGCTTGATCCTGGACAGCGGTTAGTAAAAGGAAGCGAGGTTCTACTCAGCGAGAGCCGTTATAGGTTGAACGTACTCTTTCCAATAGAATAAAGCTACATGCATGGTGGTCGCACCCATGGCCAAGTTCTGCGTGATGAGACTGAGGGCGTTCGTGGATGAGAACCATGCCGGCTTGATACCCAATAAATTAGAAGCTGATAGCGAAATAAATTGATCAGACACTCACGCCGACTGCCGCATACTTCTCCGCGTCGAACTTGCCGTCCGTAAGAATCGCAGCTAAGTTCAAGACTATCAACAAGGAAAGTAGGATTTTCCGTGTAGAAACAACATACTCTGGTTGTACTCATTGCCTGAACCAGATTGAGTGAGCTGTGTTCCATGGTTGATTCGCAGCAATGATCTCACCGTCAGAATCAAAGAGGGCTTGGGACATGAAGGGGAATGTTTGTCCACGCCAGACGTTGCCGTAGTAGACCGCACACTGAAGGGGCACTCATGAGTCGTAACTCCTTTTGAGAACGATACGAAGATACTGACCATAAGGATATACTAATAAAGGCTCGTCAACTCTGTGCCAATCAGAACTTAACTCGGGAAGATACGCACTGTAAAGCAGATACCAATATCTTCGTTGATTTGTGTCCTTCATGGTACCGTTAGCATCAATGCGAGAAACGAAGGAAGACCTTGCCATACCAGAGCGGGAGGTACAGATTGGTAGAGGTAATCCTAATCAACGGGAAGGTGTTAGACGCGTGGCAGCTGAATTTGAGATCAACAACCTACAAGTTCCAATCCAGGCATACTGCGAACAACTGTGCAATATATGTGAGGACACTTTCTGAATGGAAGAAATGCACAAAGATTCACCCCCATGCCTTCGTTGTTGCTAGCCTAAAACACACAGAGTTAATATTAAAAGCATCAGACCTACGTTACGGAACGTACCCCTCCAAAGATGCTACATGGTTTCAGAATGATCAGCGAGTGTACCTAAGACAATACGAGTGGTCGAAAGTGGACATACTTGCGGATAGCAGCATGCTTGTGATCTATCAGGCAGAAGATCGTCTGGGTGTCCATCGGGGCGGTCAGACTGAACCGTCAAGGAATCGGAAAGAAAAGGGCGCACCCAGCCAGTCATGAGAGGGAACATCCATTGAGGGACTGATTTCAAAATGAATAGTCAACACAATGGACGCTACCGGAGTCTTTGAATATGACACTCACTGATCTCGTAGCAGAAAACGGCGGCAAAGACACCCCAGAACAGCTATGAGCCACGTTCTTCGTCAGTCCTTTCCGAACATCAACTCTTCAAAATGTCGACGAACTTTGGTGCGCTTGCTGTTGAGACCGCCGTCGAAGTGCAAGGCTTGGAACATATTGGCGGACATAATGTTCGCAGGCCAGAAGCAAATAGACGGATAGACGAGAGCCTCTTGCAGAAGACCAGCAAAGCCATAACCGATCAGTTGGGATGCCAGGAGCTAGTAGCGGGAAGAATGAACAGAGCATAGAGAGTAATGTCAGTACGCAGCAGTTGCAGACACGTAATTCCAGATGAAGCGCACAGTGAAGATGGCGATTCCAGGGTTGACTTTGTTGTTACTATTGGTGCGCGACAGTATCACAGGATGAGTGTATAGATGACTGCGAAGACAGGTAGAGTACTGACTAGTACAAGTCTTGAACCGAGATAACTTGAATAGCCGTCGCTGAACTGTGATAGCAAAATCAATATGATACGGAAACGTGAAAGGAGAGGCTGCAGACGTACGAGCTAGCGGTAGAAGCCATGATGATGACCGCAGCTGAAGTTTAGGAGCATGAGCATCGTGATGATAGCACTAAGAAGTGTAGTCACTCGCCATGCTCCTTGATGTTGAAAGGCCCAGGGTTAATCCATTTCAGGATACCCTTTTGGGGGATGGCCTTTTCCCATAGTTTTCCGACGAAGTATGTAACAATCAGAAGGAACCCTGACGACGCGGATGTCCATTAAGCGAGAAAAACTCTTAAATATGCATCCACGTAGACAGACCTTGAGAAACCGAAAGTGTCTGAGGCTTGAAGTAGTATAGCTGCGCCAAAACCGATCTGAGAGGGCGGGAGATTTGATGTCAAATGGAGTTTAGAGGGGAGTTCATAATAGAAGGCGTACCCAAAGGCTGAGAAACCAAGACCGAGGAAGAACATGCGGAATGTGAGGATAGGGAGATCAACATCGTCTCTACGAAAATCCAAAGGGCGTCAGGCTCAGTACGACACGCCTAAGTCAAGTAGTATACCAGAACGTACCGTGTGCTCAGAACCTTGATAGCGATGTCGTGTGCCGTCTCAACCCTGTACTCGTCTTCGGTAGCCTCACCGCTGGCAAGACGGGCCTGCGGGGAGATGTCGATCAGGTCAATCCATTGCTCGTACGTCTACTCAAGTATGAAGTACTCGCCTCGAGTTCCTCCGTCTTCTTCAGCTGTTGGACGTCGTCGAGGGTCTCGGTAGACTCAAGACCATCCTTCGTCAACTTCTCCTCGTCGTCGATGGGCTCCTGAGAGCCCCCAACGGGATCCGGGATCTTTTCCTTGGTGTCTGACATGCCTGCTAGGTCGCCAAAAGCGAGAGAGGTTGACAAGGAAAGAACGGAATAGCCTCGGGAGACGCTTGACTTCCACGCGGACTATTTAGCTGCTGGGATATTTTATCTCCTCCACCCAGATCTAGGTTCCGCCATCACATACACACGGCGTCCTATCGCTGTGCCATGTTAATGAATGATTTTGAGCTTGGCGTTTGGCCCCACACCTTTAGAGACCAAATATTGAAGGCCGCTCGTGCCTGCGAGTGGTGAGAACCATATGTACCACGGGGGTAAAAGGTAGATAAGAACGCCACGGGGCGCAGGATTGGGTAGAGTCCAGTGAGGAAGTTCTTGGCATCGACGATACGGCTGTTGATGAACCTAACGCTCAAGCAGGTGATGATTGAGCGCTCGTACGGTTACAACTAGTATGTAGTGTCAAGGAAGCCAGGCATGTCCCGAAGGGTGTAGAAGAATATTCTTAGTGAGCTGAAGTAGGCAGAGCAGCTCCGCCAGAATAGAAAAGGAACATTCGTCCTTGACTGTGACCACCAGATGCTTGCACAGTTACGTATCAAGCTTCCCTCAGGGGGATCGCTCCTAAGAAGACGATGCGGCAAGCTCTCGCGTTTGCGGTATCGGAATCTGAGATTTTTAGCCCTGACACGGAGCTATTCCGGAGGACTGACTCCGAGAAAGTAGTCTCCGTAGCAGACCTCACACAAGACAGTCGTTGTGTGACCGAGAAAGGACAATGCAAAGTCCTCAGAAAGTCGTTATCACAGATGATAAAGACGTACTTAACTGGAAAATTGCAGGCTCAGCACCATCGACAGCGAGCACTAAAATGTCCAAGTACAAGTCTGGGGCGTACGCCGACGAGAAAAACAATATTAGGTCCATGCAATACGCACCGTTGCCTTGTCCAGGGACAAACACCTCCAATGCCAAGGAACGCTGCACATGGGTCAACAATGGAGAGATCTCGCGGTCCAAGTCCTCAAGCCGCATTGCGGGTTACTGAAGGAGGAACGCCGCTTCATTCGCCAGGAACGAACACAAGATAGGTAAACCGCCAGAAAATCATCTCGAAAATCATAATAGGAAATACGTTTGGTGCAGGGTTCGGAAAGGAGATAGATCGAACTCGTTATAGATTAACGGATCCCGGGATGCAGTCTCCCTCAGGTTGACGACGTTGAAGACGATTCGTTCAGGGAAGTGAGGGTCTTGAGAAAGTTGGAAGTCGAACAGAAGGAAAAGTTGAGGAAAAGGGCTCGGCGCAACTCGGAATGGAGCGCACGGACCCCGAGGAAACAGGCGCCACACGCCACACTGTGTCCTCTCAGGATTAGGAAAATTACCTTGTGCGTTTTCCAGTGGATGAAGTTGCAATTCATTTTCGAAAAGAAGAGATGAGATTGAAAATAGGTACATAGGCAGTGGCATAGAAGAGCAGAGCAGAGTACGCATACACGACGACAATTGAAGAGTTTTCGGTATCTTGAATATGTATGTATCACTTCCGCGCTGCGCCTACGACGTACGATAGATAGATTATGATGTGGTAACGGATGCCAGGTCAGACAGAGAGCGAACACGAAAAGAATGGAATGAGCCAGGTGCACGAGTATGAGACAGGCCATCGTGTAGTGATAGGCCAGAGGAAGCTAGTGAATCCATGAGACGGGAGTGATGGGAGACAAGCCAGGTGACGGAAAAGAAAAAAGAAGGAAAACATAGACATATAGCTGGTAAGCACTCCACTTCTCCGATATTTCGCATGGGATGCACTAGACCAACAGAAACAGAATGAACAGAAAACAAAATCAAACACGGTCCAAGACCAGTTCGTCAGAGCGGTGGGCTATGAAGGAAAGAAGGGGTATGCAGCAGAGGAGAAGAAAGAACGCCCTGGTTGATTTCATCGCCGAACCAATCCACCAAATTACGAGGAAGCATCTCCACTTCCAGCAGGCCCCTCAATGCCCATCTTCTTCCTCACGACTTCAAATGTCTTCAACATCTTCCTCCTAGCGCCGAGCGCAGCGACTCCCTTTGCCTCCAACGCCGCCTCGTCCATGACCACCATATCCCTCCACTGGACTCCCTCAAAGTTAGGCGTATACTTGTGCAACCTCAAGCTTCTCAACCACGCAGGGATATCGTTCAGCAGCGACGGGTCCACATCCTCCTCGTCACCCTTCTTCCCAGAGTTACTTCCTCCCCCATTCGACTTCAATCCGGGCGACCTTCCACCAGACCTTCCACTCCCTCCTCCTCCACCCATTCCTCCCATCCCACGCATGCCCGCCCCACCTCCCATCCCCGCCTGTCCCATTCCCACGAACGCTCCCAGCCCCGGCTGCCCCATCCCTCCAAACCCATTCATCCCCAAGCCCCCATTCGCCGCCGCCATCTGCGCGGCCAAGATCTGCGCCTCGGGACTGATCCCCATCGCGCTCAGATTCGCCATGTTCAACATATTCATGTTCATCCCGTTCATCCCATTCATCCCGAACATCCCCGCCGCCGCCAACAGTTGGTTGGGATTCATGCCGTTCATGCCGTTCATCCCAGCCAACGCCGGACTCGCCAGTCCCCCCATGCCTCCGAACCCAGGCATGCCGCCCATCCCGCCTCCCATGCCCATCGAATCCGAGTCGCTCCCGAACCTGCCCGAAGAAACGTTGGAGAGCGCCGGGCTCCTCGCCCCATTATTGCCGTTCCAGCCGCCAGGCCCCAAGTTGCCTTGTCCTTGTTGTCCTTGTCCGCTGTGCCCGTGTCCATGTCCGTTCACGCCGCCATTCCCGCTGACGTTCCTGAGGCCGCCAGACGCGTTGCGCTGTTGCTGTTGCTGTTGCTGCTGCTGCTGCTGTTGGCCACTTCCCTGGCCGCCCCCTCCACCCTGCGAAATAATATTACCGGCGTCGTCATAGACGGCCCCGTTCTGCGCCACACCGTCGCCCTGTGCGTTCGACTTGCTCGCCCTCCTGTACTTCTTCGCGTCGTCCATCAACGGAACGCCACCCCTACCGGCCGCCGCACCCGTCCACTCGTTCAACTTCTGCGCGGCAGCGTCCAGTCCCTGGCTCTGAGCGTTCTTGTTGCTGAACATCGGGATGAGTGGCGTGTTGACCATGCTCGCCCAGCTATCCCCCGCCATGGGAGAGAATGCCTCGACGTCCGGCCTCGGCGAGCGAAGGGCCGCACCCGCGGCCATACCAGAGAAATCGGTACTTTGAGGGCGGGAGCGGTTCGCCGTCGTGCCTTCGGAAACGGTGAGTTCCTGCGAGGGAGAGTTGGCACGTTCCGTGACTTGCGAGAGCGTCGTTCCGTTGCTCCAGACGTTGTTACGGCCGTCGGCAGCGCTGGCGAGAGCAGGAGCCGAGATACGACGAGCGGCATGGTTCGCGTTTAACTTTGCGCGCTGCTGGGCGAGGGTGGCGGCAGCGTCCCCTCCAGCCACGGCCGCAGAGTCGGGCGAAAGGAAGGAGGAGGAGCTGTCGAAGGCGAGAGACTGACGGCCCCCGGGGGTGGGAGGTGCTGCGCCTGTGGGGAAGGAGCGAGCGGAGGGAGAGGAGGGCATGTTCGATTTGAGGCCCGGTGATTTGAGGGCCATAGAGGCCAGTTTAGCTTCCATCTGGGCTTGCATCGAGCCGCCGACGGCGGGGGAGAGAAGGGCGGTCATAGGGTCCGACCTGGCCATTTGTTGCAGGACGGTGATGAAGAAGCGGATTTGGACTTGAGTAGAATGTTGCAGAAGACTATAGAGAGCGGCTGTGCGCTCGGCTTCTGAGAGAACTTTGAACCCTGTGGACGAAGTGGTTAGTGAATGGTCTGGTAACACAGAGTACGGAATTGACGAACATTGCTCGATAGCAGAGAGTTCTTCTTTAAAATTAACATCGAGAGAGGCAGCAGCCATCTCTTCCTGTTCGAAAGTCAGTATTGACGATCAAGGATACGAATAAGACATATACATACCAGAGTGACCTCGTAATTCTGAAGGTTTTCGAACCATTGGTCAATGGCTTCCGCTACACAGATGGAAGTCGGATCAGCATTTTGCATATCAGAACAAGAGTTGAAGCGAGGAAAATTCAATGTTGCACGCTCATGAATAGTTTGGTCCAGTTCGACGCCGTCCTGGTACTAGGACCATTCAAAACACCAGGCCACCTCACGGCGACCTTCATAACGAGTTAAATCCGTTGAATGGATATGTGGTGAACATTACCGGCGTTAAACCGAACAGTAGCCATCTGCCTTCACTCGTGACCCGACGTCGCCGAGGAAGCATACAGGCACACCAGAAGACCGACTCCAGTAACAAGGTCTCAGCACAGACGCCGCCCAAAATAGCCATCAATGGTGTTGGGCATCGGTGCTAGTCATGACTTCGGCCCATGCCTATCGCTGTGAACCGGGAAAACTCGACCCTGACCTTAAACACAAAGTTCCCAACGACCAAGCCACGTAACAGTATTGCACGAGGCCGGGTCAACATCCCGACCCGCCCTCTCTACAAGATGAAATCGAAACGCGAAGCGGAATGATGGGAGCACATCACTCAAACAAGATCGACAAAGCTGGACCCCCACAGCCTCATGGCGTGCAACCATTCCATAGCACAACGAAGGACGACGACAAACATCGAGAAAAAACACACACCTTCCGGAGTCTGATACATCCCAGAAGAGCCTAATAACTCGCTCGTGGGTCTTCCTCCAGAGGGACCACCGCCAGGCCTTGGAGAGGCCATAGGGAAAGCCTGGTTGGCACCCGCAGGACGCGCACCGGGCCCCATCGAAGCTCTCGAGTTCGCAGATTTTCCTGCTCCGTTCTGGCCCTGTGGGCCAGGAGACGTCGAGGGTGAGGGGCTTGAGGGTGGACGAAGAGTAGCCATTGATACGAGGATAGGTTACTGAAATTTGTTTAAAAGTTGTCGAGGTGGGGCCTGATTGAGCTGGTATGTGGGTGGGTGGATTCCTTGGCTTGAAGGTTGTTTGTTTTGATGTGATTGAAGCCGACGTCGAGTCGGTGGACCGGTCGGTGGAAGTTGCTAGAATGAAGAAGCCTTGTTCGAGAGAGCTGCTACTGTGACGATTGAGCTACTCGGGCTGCTATGTCTAGACAAGACCAGCGGAGCCTGCCGGTCTAGGAGAAGACAAACGGGGCGGGCGCACGGCGAACGACGAGTGAAGACGACGACGAAGAGGGCGGCGACGACGTGGAGGACGACGACGGGGAAGAAGCCTAAGGACGTGCCAGCGAAGGGTGCTCGACGACGAACGGAGGAACGAAAGAACGGAACGACACAATAAAAGGCCTCTCAACCCGCGCCCCGGCTATCACCGTTGCACCCCGAAATAGGAAGGTGCTTTGAACATTCGGACGGGGCTGCGGCGCCGGCCGTTGCTACCCAACATGTTCCCGGCTCTGACATTTGTTCTCGAGACCTCCTGGGCCTTGTCAGGCCTGTCAGGGTGGGCACTCAACTTATTCTCCATTGTTTTGCGAAGAGCAGAATTAAAAAAACTTCTTTATGTTTCGTCACCAAAAATAAAACTAGAATTCGCAGAACTGCCATCAACATCATGATGATCCATCCCCTACTTCGCCACGTCCCATACTCGCATCTACATCAACATCAAGGAGGCCAGGTGCTCACCCACACATACTCCAGACAACTCGTAAGGGCAATCAGTTGGACTCTTTGTTACGCGACAGCCAGCGACGAGTCTAACCGTGCTCGCAACCCTGACTGCGGTCTTGAGGTAAATCTGCGAAATAGAAACAAAACATACGAGCCAAGACCAGTCCGCAGGCAGGGACATATGCACGGTGTAACAACGAGGAACCTAATCGGGTACAGTCATATGTTCTTCTGATGTCGAACAAAACGGAGGAAAGTGGCCATGGTGCGGCGTGAGGTCCCCGGGAATAAACCGCATAGAACAATACATGATGGAACTTGGAGGTGAAGAGAGACCGCAGACACGATACGAAGACGCCAGGAGTAGTAGTTTTCGGCTACAAGAGCAAACACAAAAACAAGACAGGGAGGGCAAGGGTCTCCTTGAGGATCGCGAGCGCCAAATATAGCACCACAATAGTGCGTCGGCAACAAAGGTGAGACGAGTAAAGCCCCTGCAGCACAGCGACAACAACATGAAAGAACAAAAGCGACTACCTGATGCAGAGAGCATCAGACTGACAACAAGACGATGGCGAAGACTCCAAGCTCGATTGGTTTATTGGGCCAATTAGACCCATGGAATGTGTGTGGCGTAAGAGGACCGTATATGCGACCAAGAGGCTGTTGGTCCTCAGTTTGCTTGAAACTCAGACGGCTGGTTGACCTATCGAAAGGGCTAACGAGACCCTAAGACATCGACGCATCAAGAGTGTAGCATGAATATCGCAAAGGCCAGGGAGTCGACCGTTTGCCTTGTGAGCCTGATGCTTGCATACGTAGGAGTGTGGCGCCAGAGATGCAGTTATCGTCGGAGTACTCTGCTCAAGCACCAGCAATTATACAAACACGTCTCCTACTCCAGGAACTTCCTGCAAATCTACTGGCAGTCCTAGATGTACCGAAGGTTGTTGCCATACCAATAGAGCAAAGGTACACATGCATCACCATTGCTGAAGATCGACGCCCATATTTGGGCATGTACAAATTGCAAAACTCACGCAGTTGACAGCAGGGGGGTTGCGAAGGAATAACGTGCATGACGAATTGATGGTTGACAGTGAGGAACAGTCGAGAACTGCTGGTTGTGGGTGGCGGCAAAAGGTTCGCAGTTCGTTCAGAAAATATAGTCTGTTCAAAGGTGAAGTTATCATGTTGGAAGTAAGGGAGTCTCCTCGGTAACGGTACGGGTCAGGATCATGAGAGTCAGGGTGGCAGATTGGAGGACTTTCCGGAGTGTATACTAGCCCAAGTTGTTTCGAGTGTCAATGGACGAAGGAGGTGCCAGTGCTCGTTACAAGGTGATTTTCGGGGACGTCGATGAGGACAAGCATGTGGACTACATACTACAGAGCCCATGCGAACATCCTCAGTAGTTGTGTAACCCGAGGCGTGATCATGGAGCGAGGTGTATAGGATTGCATGTAAGTACTAAGCTGATGCTGAGTTTAAGAAGAAGCGATGAGAACGAGAACGGGCAACTGAGCCAGTTCCGCAGCACCTCGAGTGAATCCAGAGACCCACGCCTCAAAGCATCGACGTTTGGCGATTACACAGTAGAGCAGAGACAGCAGGAAGCCCGAAGGATAACAGAAGCAGATGGAGGAAATAAAATATTGTCGATTCAAGGGATTTACGCGTTATCAATATCAGTAGCGCCACAGCCAGCTCTCCACCTAGAGATGTCATCTTCTAATCCATGGTCATATCAGTCAAATGCGTGTATCTGTGATAGAAAGCAGGAGCAAGAGTCCAGTGTCCTTGAAGCTTAAGGGAGCTACAGATGGGACGGTTGTGGTGATGGATGGGACAAAAGAGTGCGGAGGACGCGTGGGAAACGAGCAGCCGTCTCTTGTGGCCCGCATTGGTCGACTCACGGTCTCTCACGGTCAGACTTCTTCCTTCCGTCCCCTCTCATCGACCCACGTATATTATCGACAAGCTTTCATTTAGGCTCTCTTGGTTCATTCGACCGTTCATGACACGCTCTCAACTCATGGCTTTATGTCCGAAGTCGCAGGCTGATATCGAACACGAAGAGCTTAGAAGACTAATAAAAAGTTATTTCGAGGTTCCTCTTTCGCCTCCATGCACTTTCCGCGTCACCATCGCTAGCAAGCGATACCCACAGACCTATTAGATATAGAGCAGAAGGACATCCTCGAGGCCGAACATCCTCGCAATCCACGATAACATGACTGGCAGCTGTCGACGCGCAAGGAATGTTTCCCTCGAGGTCCCCAAAAAGGTATTCATTTCGCGCATCCCGGTCCTTTTCTAGATCCCACTCCACTCCCACCTGGACATCCGCGCATACTCTAAAGTCAGGGTCGCCATGGTTTCTGAGGATGCAAACTCTACTTTGTACCATTTCGAGCAATAGTTGAAATTCCTTGAGCGCTCCGCTTGGCTCCATTCCGTCTGATGCCCAATCTGGCTTCTCCACACCCTGATACACACACATCTGGGAGGATGCCGTTGATGCAAGTCGACCTTCCGGGGAAAGTTACAATTCTCAAGAGCCTCTGAGATTCAAAAGTTTTCAGAGATAAGCGAGCAGGTGTGTATGTCCTCGGAAACACGCGTGTCTTTTGTACTCGAGTATAAAAGAGAACAATGCCCGCCGCCTCAAAGCCTTTTCTTCTCTTCACCCTCCCCTCCTCCATCACCCGTCTCGCCCCTCCATTGTCCGCTTGGACACTCCATCCTTGTCTTTCCTTCTATAAGAATCCCAGGTCCGACTGTGTCGGCTAGTGGTCCTCTTCGCTCTTTAACTTTACTTCTCCCACGAGCCCCGGTCTCATTCTCGATCCTTGCTTCATCTGCCTGGCCGCTCCATCCTATCGTTTTGCATTTTGCTCTCGACTTTACGCCTACTCTCATATCCACTCGTTGACTCGTTCCGATCCCGACTAAAACATGAAGTTCACCCTCATCTTCGCCTCTCTTCTCGTCTCCGTCTCCGCGCGTCCTTTCCGTCGGGACGTCGATTCGAGCTTGATCCCCGAGTTTGGAGCCACCGCTGGTGTTAACCCTGATGGTATGTTCTTTTTCTGTTTTTGCCGATCGTACCTATTCTATGATCCTTTTGGGGATCGGGTGTAGCTTGGGGGTTACAATGTTCATTTTCTCTATTGTTCTGCATAGGTACTGGCAACTGCGATGGCGCTGTGACCGGCTCAGATGGGAAACCCGTTCAAGTCCCTTGCACCTGCCCTCCCGACCGCGATCTCTTTATCGCTGTACGTACCATCCTCAGTTCACTCCTCATCCCTCGTAGTCCATCTCCGTCTGACTCATCGCTGTCTCTCTTCAGGACCTTAACGCAAACGTAGCAGCCGGTCACTGCGTCAATAATACCGTCGTCGCCGCTACCTTCCCCACCGACGATTCTCAAGCCTCCCAAGAAGCACGCATCAACACCGCGCTCGTCACCTTGCAAAACTTATTCGGAGCCGGAGTTGGCTGTCCCGCCAGTTCGACGACGTTCTTGGCCCAGCTGAAGGCTGTCCAAGACGGGGCATCAACTTCGTCTGCTGCTGGCACTTCTTCCTCCTCGTCAGCCGTAGCAGGTAACTCTACGTCTTCCACGTCTGCTGCTGGCACTTCTTCCTCCTCGTCAGCTGTAGCAGGTAACTCTACGTCTTCCACGGCTTCTGCGAAGGCCTCATCCAAAGTCTCTTCGGCTGCCGCCACCGCCACAAACCCGACTGTGGCGTCTTCTACCTCCGCCGCCGCTTCGAGTGCAGCCGCCGTAGCTGCGCCGTCTTCTTCCTCTACCGCCAGTGCCTCTGAGGTGGCGTCGCTTGCTCCCGATCTTGGTGCGACCGCGGGTAACAACCCTGATGGAACTGGAAACTGTGACGGCGCGGTCGATGGCACAGATGGAAAGCCGATCCTGGTTCCCTGTTCTGTGCGTGTCTCTCTTCACATACCCTCTCCTCCTCTTGTATCCTCTTTTCCGATTTCGTGAAGTCAATTTGCTTACTTTTCATCATATGCGTGCAGTGCCCGCCTGACAACGCGACCTACATCGCCTCGCTCCAGGCGAACGTAGCCGCGGGCTTCGCAGTTAACAACACCGCCGTCGCCGTTCAGTTCCCTACGGACGATTCGAGCGCGTCGCTTGCTACGAGGATCAACGCTGCGTTGGTGACGTTGCAGAACCTGGAGGGGTCGGGCAAGGGATGTCCGGCGAGTTCGACGACTTTGCTGGTGAGTGTCCTTCTGGTTTCGGTCCTATCATCGTGCTTGAAGTAAATGATGCTGACTGTTGATTGGATTGGACATGTAGGCCCAACTGAAGTCCGCTCAGTCCGCTGCGTAAAGGGTTCTAGACGACTTTGCGACCTCCTTTCAATACCCCCCTCGCACGGGCCACACATACACGGGACACCATCATATCACCACACACGAATACCAACACACGAGGGTCTCTACATCCACTTCATCATTCAACATTCGGGTTTCGGTTCTTTCTCGAGTCAAGCTCGTTGACGAGTCACACTCCTCTCTTTGGTTTTTTTTTGGCGTTAAGTTATTGCATTCTGCATTCTCCCTTTCAACCATTCATCGCGGCCCAAGCGGTCACTCGCAGCCAGGCTGGATCGGGATTGATTCACGATTTCCATGCCACCTTCGTCTGTCTGTTCTGTTCACGACCCCTTCACGTTTCACGTTCACCCCACTGTTGTACGGTGCCTTTGTTTGCACTTTGTAGACTTCTCTCTGTTTTGTTTTTGTAGTCGCTTTTCTGTAGTTTTTGTCGTTCCGCGCTTTTGGTCGTGGGTGTAGTGTACTTACCGCCCTTTGGTGGGTGTATTACTAGAATGATATTGTCACTTTTGTTTGGCTGTTTTTCACATGATGCGCTCTTGTCGATTGTTGATTGATTTTGAGGTAGGGCTAACTCATGATCCACAGCTGATTATAGGCGACTCGTCTGGGATTTTCATTCACTCTTGCATGAGCATTGAGCGGAGACTGAACTTTAGCCCCCAGTTGCACGTGTCCGGATGTATTCACTATGGCACGCAACTTTTATATCAGTGAACGATTGTCTTCACGATTTCAAATATAACGGTTGGACAGAGCCTAACGCAACTTCACTAGCTTCAACCACATCGTTCATATGCCATCATGGCTGAAATGGGTCTATGGATTGCCCCTCTATCCCCTTCACAGACCATCTTCCTCGACAAGCTTCCTCCCGAGATCCTTACCTTGATCGCAAAGGAAATGGACTATTGGACACCCCAGCTAAGCTCTCTCTGCAAGGTCAACAAGAAGTGCAACGCTGCATGCACTTCTGCCCTCTACAGTGGCTCGTTGGAGTTCGTGGACTCAAAACGATCCCTAAATCTCTTTGCGGACACGATCCTTTGCCATCGACCAGACCTAGCCACCCTAGTGAAAGATTTGGAGATATATGGGTACGGGCCTTTCATTTATCGCTCAACGTCTCCGAAGCGACACCAGGGAGTACCGTGGCTGACTTTCAAGTTTTCTGCCCCCGTAGATTGCTTGATCTTCCAGGTCGTGGTTCATCGTTCCTAGCGGCTCTTACCAACCTGCGTCGCCTAAGAATCTTCGCTTCCGAGTACGAACGCTGGACTCCGTACTGCACATTCTTCCACCCCATCCCAATCTTACCAGCCCTGCGTCACTTGGACCTCTGCTTCTCTCTAAACAAGGACGTGCTTGATTTCGTTCAGTCACACTATCTCCGCCTTTCCTCACTCTCAATATACACCGTCGATGCCTTTGATGGATATGACATTCCCGCCACCGGCATGGCAGCTGAGCTCTGCGCTCGATATTCCCTTCCCTTACCCGGGCCCGTATCTCGCATCACATGTTCGCCATTTTTAGCACCGATTTTCGTCCCCGGATCTTGCGTCAGCGCTGTTTCTTTGTGGTGGGAGTCCTGGGACGACGTCGATAATGCCGCAGAGACGGCAGTCCCTGCTCTCGCCCAGTCAGCCGGTCCAGTGCGCGCCGTCTCGTTCTGGTCCTACTCGTGGAATCTCAAGTTTATCGAACTTTCCGCGACTCATCTTCAACATCTGGAGTTGTTGTGGATCGACAATAAAGACGAAGAGCTTTCTAGTGGAGAGTTTGAAAGTGATCCGGAAGCTTACTTTGTGAGTGCCACTCGATACTATCTCGCTAAACAGCATCTTTTGTTGCTGATTTATGGAATGTGGCCTAGGAAGAGCTTCTCGATACTTTGGACGATACCCTGCCATCATTCAACTCATTGAAAGTCCTTTGTTTGACCGGTCCCTACGAAGACAGGAGCAGGACACTTTACGATGACTTCACGATGGTCCGCGAGTGGGCATCGCATTGCCCAACCCTTTTGCAATGTGTAATTCCTCAAAGTAGGTGTCTCGTAATGTTCAATTCTTTCTTCCGATCACTTAAATCTGCACGCACAGCCGGGACGGCGTGGATCCGACATCCTTCGTATCACTTTTTCGTTCCGGATGTGAAGGCTCGCACTGCTTTAAATTGGATCGACAGTACACACAACCAGTGGATGTCTAAGGACACGATTGCCCTGTGTTCACAGGAACTTTTTGCCGAGGAGGGTTCAGAATTGGCAACACCGTTCTTTCAGCAATACGAAGATATCGAGAAGGATGGTATAGCGGACGTCGTATATGCGTTGTGGGACAGGATACGTGAATTCTAGAAGCCTACCGGCTAGGTTTCTATCAGATGATTGTGTCCTTACAAGCATACGTCATATATTCAACTTGATATGCCACGAGACGATGTTAGTACAATGTGCTAGGTGCGAGAATGAGCCTTAGGATTCAAGTAGAAAAATGAAGCAAGATCTAAAAAATCAGGATATTGATCATGATGTGGTTTGGTCAAGATAGTGCCATTTTTTCATGCGTGCAAGGAGGAAGAAGATCGGTATCTGATTGGCCATGTGTATCCGAATTGAAGAAAATATTCGAACTTGTGTGCAGAGCCCTCAGGAGCGCTTGAGGCCTGAGCTGCGCAAAACTACTACACTTGCTGCTTCTCGTACGCTTAGGCCCTATAATATTGGATGTATTTGATGTCATGACAACTTGCATACCCATTGACGATTTCTGGTGGTGCGTAGACATTCGAAAGACGGAGGCAATCCACTTATCGTAGGGGAGGTCCGGGATTTTCATTCATTTTTTCCATGAGCATTGAGCGCTTGAGCGCTGAGCGGAGACTGAACTTCAGCCCCAGCACGTGTTCGGCCGTGTTTATTGACACGCAACTGGGCCACTGTAGCTTCAACCACATCGCTCATATGCCACCATGGCTGAAAGGAGTCCATGGATTGCTCCCCTGTCCCCTTCACAGACTCTCTTCCTCGACAAGCTCTCATCCGAGATCCTTGCCTTGATCGCAAACGAGATAGGCCATTCCAGTCACCAGAACTCTCTCTGTAAAGTCAACAAGACTTGCAACACTGCATGCACTCACGCCCTCTACAGTGGCCGGTTGGTTTTCGTGAACGAACAATCCTTGAGTCTATTTACGGACACGATCCTTTACCATCGGCCAGAGCTAGCTAACCTTGTAAAAGATTTGGACATAGACGGGTACGGGCCTTTGATTTATCGCTCAATGTCTCCGAAGCAGCACCAGGTAGTACCGTGGCTGACTTTCTCTGCGCTCGTAGATTGTTCGATCTTACAGATCGTGCTTCATCGCTCCTAGCGGCTTTAACCAACCTGCGTCACCTAACACTGATCGCTTCCGGGTTCGATGCCTGGTCTGCGTACTGCACATTCTTCCACCCCGTCCCATTCTTACCAGCCCTGCGTCACTTGGAGATCTGCTTCTCTTTAGATGCGCACGTACTTGATTTTGTGCAGTTGCACTACCTCCGCCTTTCCTCACTCTCAATACTCTCCACCGTCGACGTCGATGATGAAGATAACACTCCCGCCACCGGCGCAGCTGAGCTCTGCACTCGATATTCCCTTCCCTTACCCTTGTCTCAGATCGCTTGTTCGCCCTTCTTGGCACCGATATTTCTTCCCGGATCTCGCATTAGCGACGTTGGTTTGTTCTGGCCCACCACATCGGAAGATGTCGACGATGTTGCACCGATCGCAGTCCATGCACTCGCCAGCTCGGGCTGTCCAGTACTCACCGTCTCTTATACGTCTTGGTCGTGGAACCTCAAATTCATTGAACTTTCTGCGACCCAGCTTCAACATATGGAGTTGTTGTTAATCGACAATGTGATCGAATCACTCACCAGAGAAGAGAGCTCACCAGACTCTTTCTTCGTGAGTGTTGCTCAAAACCATCTTTCTAACTGCATCTTTTGTTCCTGATTGATGGAGTATGATCTAGCGTCCGCTTCTCAATACTTTGGATGATACCCTGCCGTTATTCAAATCCCTGAAAGCTCTTCATTTGATCTGTTTCTATGAAGACTCAACCCGGACATTCTATGACGACTTCAGGATGGTTCGCAAGTGGGCGTCGCACTGCCCAACCCTCCTGTATTGTAAAATTCCTGGAAGTGGGTGTAATGTGATGCTCAATTCATTCTCCCAGTGGCTGAACTCCGCATGTACAGCCAACACATTATGGATCCGACATCCTTCGTATCGGTTTTTTGTTCCGCACATGAAGGGTAGTCGGATGAAAGCAAACATTACTAGCCAGTGGGTGCAGGAACTGTTCGCCAAGGAGGGGTTACAATTGGCAACATCGTTCCTCCAGCAATACAAAGATCTCCGGAAGGACGGTATAGTGGACGTCGTGGATGCGCTGTGGAAGAGAGCATGCAAATAGAGGTCTACGGACTGGATTTTCTCTCAGACGATTCGGTGTACAAGCATAATACGTCAGGCATTCGACTTGTATGCTACGAGATACTGTCAGCCCATTAACCGTCAAGGACCAATCTCACACGCTTTGACTTGACATTTCCGATCATTTGTGCTTTTCATATCCCGGAGACGTGTCGCGTGAATGGCGTGCCGGTGGTGGTGGTGAGCATTAGGGGAATTATGTTCGAGGACCGATTAACCTGTCCGAGGGGCGAGAGCGTCTGGATCCAAGGTGGACAAGATACAGGAAGAGGGCAGTATATATCAAGAGGTCTCGGAACATTTCAGCGTTCGTGTTTCGTTTGTTCAATTTATTTGCACAACTGCGAACGTGATGTGTACACTGAATCTTGCTAGCTGTGAACATGTACGTCTGCAGCATCCTTCTGCTGACTAGTGTCCTATACACCAAGTGATCCCTGATATGAGATAGCCAATGCGACGAGCATTCTATCATGCGAACGTATATGTGTCTGTATGTGTACGGCCGGTAGGTCCAAATACCATCCAAGCTGGAGTAACTGGGACGGCGAGGGTCGGAATCGATGACTGCAGGACCGAGGAGAGGGGATCTATAAGGGCCAGAGGTTCTATTACTTACTCATTTGACGCCCAGATATCTTTGGCGGACCCTCGTGAATATGTGCAGCGCCAACTGGATGAATTCGCTCCCATCCGGGTCACCGGTGCAACCGTGCAAGCAAGCAACTGTGCATAGATGAAGATATCGGTTGGTGGTCAGCCTTGCCAAAACCAAAGTACCCTAGCCAAAGGATAGTGATTCTCAGATGGAACGTACCTCGGGTTGTCCACTCGAGGTCTCAGGGACCTAACATAGGCTTATCCCGAGCTTGAAGATGCATGTACGCCACATATTGTTTGCCTGGCCGCAGAGTGTCTCGTGGTCGGTTGTAAAATCCGTTGAACACCTTCCTCTTGAACCCAAGTTCCCTCCACTACGCTGAGGCAGCCTTCGCCCAAATCCAGGAACTCCTCACCAACCCACCACCACCACGCTGTCAAAAAACTTCACTCTTCCATCGCCTCCTCCACCCCATCCTCCTCATCCCTAGGCAACTTCTTCGCCTCCTCCCTCGCCTTCCTCCGACTCCCCATCATCAACGTCACATAATCCGCTCCTCCCAATATATGTCCCTCGCCTCCGTCTCCGGGTTTCCTCTTCGCCGATCCATTTACATTCTGAGCTTTGACGGTGGACGCTGGTGCGGATGATTTGGCGGGGTTTGAGGGTGATGGTTTCGTAGTAGCTTTGTCTTTGAGGCTGGCCCTCTTCTTCGCTGAGGCGACAGCTTCGGGTTTGGTGGAGCCTCCGCCTGCTGAGGAAGAGGCGATTTTTTTCTATAAACATGGACGGAGGGAGGGCAGGGAGATAGGTGTGAGAGGTATGGAAGATAGAGGTCAGAATCAGTGAGACAAAATTCATAGTCCATGCGTTCGCAATCTTGGAGCAGAAAGGTAAAGGGATCGGGAGCGGTGGGATATGCGGAAGTAAAGGAGACCCTGAATCGAGCTATTTAGTGGACTCACGCTGCGCTTGTGGAACTTTGCACTTTTGCCCATTTATGAATATACAGTGCTGTTTAATTTAAAGAGGGGAGGGTCTGAGACACTGAGAGGAAGGTAAGAGACGAAGATTTGACCAGTGTTTGTGGCGTCGAGTATGATATTTGTTCTTTAGTGTCCGGGGTCCTGACGCCACACTGCCGCAATAGCTCACTCCGACTTCACGCCACAAGTCATAGAATAGAGATTCCACCCTAGCGAGCATGAGCGCGGGTAGGACAAAGGAAATACAACAGTCCATACATAGATTTAGTCATTCTCATCCGAAACGTACAAAGCCGGCGTTAACGAAAGTGAGAAGAATGAGTAGCATCTATGGGACCTCGACACGTTTTATATCGTAAGAGGACTTCCTCATACTGCAGCTTCCGATAAAATACACTACAGTACACCACGAACAAGACATCAAAAAATCGAATCCTACATACACCCACACTCCTCTCCTCCCGGTTGTATTTTGCCCCTCTCACATGCCTCGGTTCTGCATCACGCAGTAGCCGCCTGCGCCTCGCTCGCCGCCTTCCAAACCGCATTCCTCCTTCCCCTGACGCCCTCCCTCAGCCTATCGAGCACCGGCACCGTCATCTCCCACGAGATACAAGCGTCGGTCACGGATTGGCCCCATTTGAGGCCTGCACGGCCAGAGGGAGGGATGTCTTGTCGGCCTTCGACGAGGTTGGACTCGAGCATGACGCCCATGATCATGGAGGAGGTATCGGCGGATTCAAGTTGTTGTGCCTATTTGGAGAAACGGCGAGGTTTAAAAAAGGACGCTGAGAGAGAAGATAGACGAGACGTACGATATCCTCGGCGACGTCGATCTGGCGGCGGTGCTGCTTCGAGCTGTTGCCGTGACTGCAGTCGATCTGGGATCGCATAACAGAAGTGTCAACTCCATTGGTATATATATTGACGAACAATCACATGAATAACGCACCATGAGTTTCGCAGGCAATCCCGCCTTGACGAGTTTCTCCCCCGCCTCCCTCACATACTCCGCCGCATAATTCGGCCCCTTCGACCCGCCCCTCAAAATAACGTGAACGTCCGGATTTCCCTCCGTCTCGACAATCGAGCTCAGACCCTCCTTACCAACAGAAAGGAAGACGTGTCCGCTCTTCGCAGCTCTGCAGGCGTCGATGGCGACGCCTACGCCTCCGTCGGTGGAGTTTTTGAAGCCGGTGGGCATGGAGAGGGCGGAGGTGAGTTCGCGGTGGACTTGGGATTCGGTGGTTCGTGCGCCAATGGCGCCCCAGGAGACCAGGTCGGCGCTGTTTTTGGTGAGTAAGAGGTTAGAAGAAGTATGACGATTGATTGGGAAGTAAACGAGGTGATGTGAGATGGTTTGGTGTGAAGGGAAGGAAAATAGTGGGTGAAACTGGAGAAAATTACGCACGTGTACTGTGGACTGATGGTATCAAGGAATTCGCAGCCAGCCGGAAGACCGAGCTTGGCGACGTCGAGGAGGAGTGTGCGAGCCATTCTGAGGCCTCGGTTGATCTGGTAGGAACCGTTCATGTCGGGGTCATTGATCACTATTCATAATAGAAAGTTAGCGCGAGGTAGCGCCAGTTCATGGTTAGTATGATTCTAAATTTGCGGAGGGACTCTAGGAACAGGTATGCATGGGAGAAAGATGTAGGCAAGCGCCCAGAAAGATGAAGGGACGGAGATAACAAAGTGGTGGGATACGAAGGAGTAACTTGTACGGAACGGAAGACGAACAAAAGCCCGAGATAAACCCTTGAAAATAGGTATGAACACGGGAGACTCACATCCTTTCCAACCAACAGTCGTCCGGGGCTTCTCGAAGTAGACACGCATGATAATATGTAGGTCTTCCTTCGCACCAACAGCATACGCATGGAGTTTATGAGCGTACTCCGTGGCAGCTTCGATATTATGAACTGAGCATGGGCTGGATGTTCACACAGGCGGTGCGACATGTTTAGACTGATCAGGATCAGAACCTCTAATAGAAGGATAAAGATTTACACACCCAACAACAACGATAAGACGGTCATCGGAGCCACGGAGAATATCTGAAACGGCGGCAAATCCATTGTAATGATGAGTGAGAGGTGAGGTCTGCAGTTGATTGCAATGTACTTTCTGTTGCCTTTCGGCCTTCCAAAACAGTCTGAGCAGCAGAAAGGGTCCTGAACGACAACAAAACCAGATACTTTGGATTAATATCATAGTATACAGGCAGTAAAAGGAAGCGCACAACGGAAGGTCCTCCTGGAGGATTTGAGGAGGAATGAGCGGTCGCGTAGACTTGACGCGACGGTTTTCGAGCCTCTGGAGGGCTTCGGCAAAGGGAATAGCCATATCGATAGGAGCCACTAGATGTAAACAAGTAGAATGAGCCTGAAGTCGAAAACAATTACAGTAGTAGCCCGAGATGGGAGAGACCAGAAGAATGGGGGTATGAAGATTGACGCTCCCATAGGCCTGAGCTTTATATACGAATAATACTGACTTGTGACGGTGACAGAAGGAACGTTTGTTGCTTGGTCTTAATATGTTGGGGGAACAGATGGAAAGAGTCCGTAGCGAAGGTGTGGTGATCCTGCAAGCGCTATTCGCTCCTCTACAAACCAAAAAATTCGAGTCACTGCCGCATTACATCATCACTCCTGTCCACGGTCGTCCGAATGGGGAAGACGGCCAAACTAACGTCGCCTTTTCGACAGCAACATTATGCGTTCGACAGAGTAAAATAAGTATATATCAGTGATAGACAGCGGAATTTTGGTTTTAACGTCCTCCGATGAGAGAAAGAAAGGCAAATTCACGGTCCAACGGAAAGCCCGGTGGCCGGGGTCTGCTTCGTGGTCGCGTCGCGCGTCTCGCCGGCCTCCATTTCTCTTTCCAACCGCGACGAAGCGCCAGACAGGGACTTGTGTCGTTGTCTCCTCATTCTACCTTTCTATCACTTTCTAAAACGTCTCTTATCCTTTCGCTTTCTGATATCACTTCACCATGGATTTCTCAGCAATGAACCCAGCAGAGCAGGCTCAGATGAACAGGATCATTGAAAAGAAACAGGTTCGTCGCTTGCCTCTGGCAGTATTGTTCGCATCCGCGTCACTTCTTCGGGAATAATACTGACTGACCGCATTGCCTGTCTGTTCGGTTCTCGTTTGGCGTGTTACTCTTGGCGGTAATAGATGCAAGATTTCTTGAGGATGTATTCGAACCTTGTGGAGAAATGTTTTACATCATGCTGCAACGACTTCACCAGCAAAGCCCTGTCGTCGAAGGAGGTGTGTACCCATATACTTACATCTCACGGTCACCTTGACTGACCACAGCTATTCACCCATCGCACGCATCACCATAATAGGAGCAATGCATGACCAACTGCGCAGATAAGTTCTTGAAACACTCAGAACGAGTAGGGGCCCGCTTCGCAGAACAGAATGCAGGTACGTACCTTCAAATCCTCGCATCTCCACATACAACCTCACTCTCGGTGAATCACTTTTGTAGAGGCCATGAACGCACCCCCTTCTTAGTCTTAAAAGTATCCAGGCCGCGCTTATGTCTGAGTTGCTGTCCTATCGTATATTTATTTAATAGAACATCGCATCGCATCGCTTCCCGACTCTACTCCACACATCACCTCTAGCTCTTGCACCCCTCAGCCATTAATGCATAAGTGTCACATGCTCGTACGCAAAATGGAGAATAGCCCAGCGCAAGTCTATCGACGGGATATATAGACGCCCCCCATCAATTCCCGGTGGCGCGCAGAGCAGTCCAACCCCCTTGGTCATAAAGGTAACACATCATCATAATATTCGTTGGTGGCTGGCTCAGAGCCGACGTGACATACACAGATGTGGATTTGTCTCGTCTCGTCAATTCAGGGACCCCAGAGAAAACATTGTTTTACCGCGACAGCTTCTCGCATCGCGGCAACAAGAGAACTCATCGTATCTGGCGTCTAACTAACTATCTCTCAGATCTTTGAAAGTTACTGTTGGACCCAGCTCGAACCGCTCCAATCCCTGTCGACGATGAACGAGTTGCATTCGACATAGCTCGGGTATCGCAGGCCCGCCAACCAAACTGCAACTGTCATCGAGAAAGACGGTCAGACCAAACATAGAAAACCCAAACCAGTGTCCTTTGCACACTGTATCAAATTGCCCATCCAAAAGAATCTGAGGAAAAGTGAGATGAGGCAGCAGCAGTATACTGAGGTGGGCTACAAGACACTAACTTCTCGATAGCACTACAAGCGACAGGACCCAAGCACAGACATCAGTCTCACTACTTCACTGCGATAACTTGTCGCCCCGATCCAGCAAAGGCTTCAGCGTTTCCATTATTCCATCTTCCCGCAGGTCCTCATACTGCTGACTCCAACGCGCAGAATACTCTAACATCTCCTCTGTTGCAAGAAACTTGTGTTCCCAGTTGTCGCCGAATTCCGTTGCAAAGTAAGGATCCTTCCCTTCCTTATCGATTACGAAGAAGTCGTAGCTTGGGTGGCGGATCCATGTTAAAGTTCGGGCTATGTCGAATATGACATCGGCGGGAAGGGTCGGGACAAGGACATCAGGTCAACGCAGAAGGGAGAGCGAGAGGCAAACGTACAGGCCGGGAGATCACAATACACGAGAGTTGGACAGAGTGAAGCCCATGTCCGCATTAACTTGAAATCTTCGTACGTTGAACTAGGAGCATGTAGATTGCGGCGAATGCGGTCACATAGAAGAAGGATCTTCAAGGACTTGAAAGAAGGCAGAATTTTGGACAGCTCGGAGAGCATATTACGCTGCAAGGAGAACGAAGCCAGTCAGCGATGAGAACGATTCGTCGCATGTATTCATAACAAATAATACGAACGTTCCCAATGTCCACAAGATCCGGGTTCTCGTTACAGTTGTCAATGCGCAGGTACTGCAGCTCCCGTAATTGTACGGCTGCGTGCGCCATGAACTCTGTATGCCATACATGCGACGCGTAGGCAAGGACGATGACAGGCCTGCCCGACTGTGTGAGAGGTACTATGATGTCTTTAGCAACATGGGGTAGTTCGTCCAGTTCAAGTTGGCGGCACGGCCAGTACAAGGATACGTCCGTGATGCGCGAACGAGGGACGAAGATCGGAGTCAAAAACGGAGAGCAATGGATGGTTGAGATTGGTAGTGGGGTAGAAAATATGTTGCATAGTTCTTTGGTAAAAAGGAACTGGCGAGCAACTACATCACCCGCCATGTAGATCGAAAGGAATTCGAGCTGCTCGGAGTGTCGTTCGACGAATTCCATGGTGTCAAGCCCAAGGAGGAAGGAGAAGGAGATATGCCGTAAAACTGGAAGGCGAAGTCGAAAGTTGAGGAGTTCATCAAATAGCGGGAACGGCGATTGACCGCTGGACTCGGAGGTTCGTATGGTGAGGCTCTGAAGATTGACGCAGGCGGCTATGGCCAACGCTCCGCGAGTCATGATCGATTGAAGAGCCTGGCTGTCAGGTAGGCAAATATAAGTATGGATCTGAAAGGAAAACTTCGTGAGAGGAAAGGTCTGCTTACTATCCAGCAGGACCGGATAACCACCATCCGGCTCCTCCTACTCCGGCATGAATGGTTATTTCTCTCACCATGAGAGCCAAATCTGGCCGAAGTTGTAGGAGAGTATCGTGCAGGAGACTCAAGCTTTGACTATCATTTATGATGATATGATCACCATAAAGCACGGCGCTGCATACGGCACTGCAGTATCTATTGACACGGCAAAGAGCGCTTAAGTCACAAGGCTCAGCGTGATCAGCTATCGAACCGACGATCTCCACAGGAAGATGTTCAAAAGAAACAGAGATGATCCGAGAGCGGTCATCCTCTGGATGAGAAGAACCTGACAATGAGCGAACAAGAGAGGCGTGGAAGCCTTCGGTAAGGCCTATGCTCGTCTCTGTACTTGACATCGATAGCAACGATGGTGATGGTGGTTCAAATGCAACCGTGTTAGACGCCCGCGAATTGATATATGATACCTCGCCTCGTGTGAATAAGAAGAGAATTTTCGTGGGTACGTGCAGAAAACCTGAGTTTCCAGTGCACGGTTTAGGCATTGAAGTTGCCTTATATATAGGGTGCAGGAGCGCATGCTGCTTTGCTTGAAAACTTATTAATTTTTTGGCAGAGCGAGTTTCGCTCTCATGAACAGCAAACCTCTTCCGCTTCCAATCCAAGGATCTCAGCAGGGAGCATGTCCTGAAAGAGGGTCCAGCAGAAAGACATTGGAGGATTCCTCCCCCTCCCTCATCGGCGTGCTCAAGATCGCGTATGGGGGCAAGGAGGAGGGTGGCGTATTGGTATCGAGGTTCGATCCTTATGTGTACAGTTTTGGTGGCAAATGTGACGTGAGTTCTGATCCTGTGAGTACATCACTGGCCTGGATTTGGCTCTTGGTCCGATCCCTTGAACAGCCCTCGTGCGTACGGAAAGCTAGCAGGACTGCCTAGGTCCGATCACTATGCGTACAATTTCGTTGTACGTTTTTAGGCTTGGTCGCTAACTACTACTCCCTAACACTGTACGCCACCGCACAGACCATTCTGTGTCAAATTAACAGTGTTTTAGGCGTTCGTCTAAGAGAAGGTCCAATCCCTCGTGAGTACGGAAGGTGCCCTTATTTGGACTACCCGATCCACGAAAGTACAGAAATCCTCCCAAACTTTGAGTACAGAACCGCCCAGATTTTGGGTTTTGGGATCGGACCTCGATGCCAATACGCCACCCTCCTGGGCAAGGAGCATGCCCGGATCCTCCCGGCGATGTCTTACTTAAACTCCGGGTGGCACCTGCCAGATTACTTATGTCTCCTGTCAAGTTCTGTGTTGAGACAGACGATCCTCGCTCGCCCAGTTGAAATCTTGTCTACTTTTCCATTAATTGGGAGACTAAGTAGTGGCGTGGTCCACGAATAACTTCCAAGCTTTTTGGCTATTTTTGGTCATTACTTAGAACGATCCAAAAAAGGGACCCGTGCTCCTTCAAATAGCCTTCAAAGCTGTTGCTGCAGATCTAGAGCAGCCGTGCCACACTACACGATACGGTCAAGTGCTGCCATGTCTGTAAAGATCACATCTAAGTGTACTATATTCGCATTGCTCCTTTCTGTGAATAGAATATTTGCAAGCGGTACGTACTTACCAGCATCAAGTTTCACGTCCTCTGCTCTACCTGTACCATATTCATTTTATAAGGCCGTTCCAGTTACTTGGCTTCTCAACCCCCTAGGAGGTTCTGTGGCCCGGCTCAGTCACGCCTCACGACTCACGACTCACATCGGCGAAAGGGAAGGAAAGAGGTTCATCCAGAAAACCCAGCCTCCCTTAGTAAGGATTCAGTTTTTTTTGGAATTCATCAGACGTTCGACTTTCCTGTAATACTATGGCAAACGATAACACCGAAGGGGATGCTATTTCTCTCACAGGACGACCCGTCATTGTGTTTAGTTAGGCTCCTCCAGCGAGCTTGCTTCAAATCATCACCATCAAGAGTACGCACGGCGGCACCTCCTTCTGCTGATCCCCGTCGGATACGAGGGAGATTTTGAGCTCACTTGAGTCTATGTGATGCGTATCGGACTTCAATATCGGACCATCGCCAGTGCTATACTTACCCCGCTACCCCAAGATATCCGTTCTCTTTGCCCGACACGCAGGACCACCCAGTACACCGTAGTCGGGTCAGTGAGGTGAAATCGGCTGGATACCTGCGCTATGATACTTATTATACAGCCCATGGAATCAACCCGATGGGTACTGTACATCATGGAATTGTGTACGAATTATACTTCGCAAAGTACGTGTATGTTCGTATACTACCACATACCGAACATCCTCCTCCATATGAACAACTCATCGTGACAACAACCAAACCTTCATGGATGCGCTGATAAAAATACAAGGTTGTGAGCGAAAATGAACAAAAAGACAATGGTCCATCATTCGATGACAAAGTACTAATACTGTAGAGCAATACGATGGCCATGGCGAAGAAAAATAATGTAAAATACAAAAAAGTGATCGTCAAACACCACTCATCTGCGTTGAGGTAGAATGTGTTGAGGCTTGAGCAGAACGAGGATCGCCCAGTGGCCAAGAGTTCCACAGAATGAACCCTGAAAAAGCATTTGTAGATCGCAGAATACCGAAGACGACGTAACGAAACAAGAACAGACGAGACGAACGAACCAGCGAAAGCCGAACATTGAACCAGAAGAACCCCTAAACGAACCCATCGCCACCCAGCTACCAACTACGACCGTCTCGCCACCGGACGCGACGCAAGATTCGCCTTGAAGGTCGCATACCCCCCACTATCCCTCACTCCACCCGGCCCGGCCTCATCGAACGAGGGCGTGAACGACGAAGTCGCAGAGACCGGCAACCTTCCACGGATGTTCGGCGACTCTCCACGAGCAAGGGTGAGAGCTTCTCGAGGGTAATCCATAACGACGTCCGAGAATCGTCCGAAGTCGGTCGCCGAGAGAGGGACGTCTAGGTTCTCGTCGCTCCTCTTCGAGCTCAGAATCCTGGTGTTTACTACGGGGGCCGGAGCTGACGCGAGAGTTGGCGTGGCGCTGACTCCTATCCTTGGTGAAGCAAACACAGTCGCACCGTCGATGATGCCGCTGTCTGGAGTGGGAGCACGTTCGCGAGCGAGAACGGTAGGGTGAGGAGTCCGAATGGTGGCCGCTTCGAGCATGCCTTCGATGTCGAGGGTCTCGATAGACTGATTGTTTGGATCGTGGCCTCTCGTACGCCGCGACGAATTGAAAGCGGGCGTGTCGGGGAGAACGCCACTGTCTGCGGTGCTATACAGTTTCGCCCGTGTGTTCTGAGAATACCGGGAAGAGGTGGGAGAGCTGAAGTCTTCTGGCCGATAAGGTGGGTTGGCAAGGTATCGTGATTGGGATTGCGCCGGGTTGGTCTGGATAATCTGCGGTGGACTCTGTCGGCTTGGTCGGGGTGCAGACAGATAGGGAGGGGGGGTTCTGGAGAGCTCGTCATCGAATTGCTTCTCCTTTTCAGATAAGCTGGGCTTGACTGCGACGAACGCCTCCATCTGTTTACGGGCAAGACGTCGTCTGCGCTCGCGCCAGAAAAACCAACCGAGGAGAATGAGCATCGTTCCGACAACCGTACCGGAAACGACTCCAATGGCGACTGCTCCAGCACTGGTTCCAGTCCTCAATATCAGAACAGATCCCGGAAATTAAGAGCGCAATGACGTACCTAGACAACCCACCCGGAGATGGGGTAGCGCTAGCCGATGAAGCAGCAGCCGTGAAGTCGAAGGGGAAGCACGACGTGCTACTCGATGCATCTCCGCCGACAGGATACAGGTTCGAGACCTGGTGGTTTCCGTCGTCATCCTCGAATAGAAACGCAACTTCAAACCCCCTGAAAACGGGAAGGATGTAACTGGCCACGCCGGTCGTATTGGACGTCGTCGACGTTTGATTTAGGGTTTCGGAGAAGAAGTTGGGAACGAAGGCTCGGACGGTGGGCGCGGTGCTCGTATTGCTGAACGATACGTTGAACGATTCGCACTGTGACAGGGTGGATTGAGTGGAAAAGAGTTGTGTTTCCGTGGATGAAGGAAGACAGGACGTGTCATCGGAGTCCTCGATTTTGATGATGTCTGATACCGCCGCGACAGCTTCTCCGGTTCCAGCGTCGTCCAAAGTAGCGATGAACGTCGACCCGGCCGGAATAGGGAGAAATGTGATGAATGCTGCAGCTGCAGCACCGGAGGCAGAATCCCATGATGACGGAGGGATGGTGATGGGGATCGAGGAGGAGTTGAAGGGAAGAATGGTCAAAGTGAGAGTGGATGTCGCGTTGATGGAGGAGCCGACGAAAGAAACGTTGAAAGACCCGCACTGCTCAATGGAAGAAAACTTGAGCGTGTCGAACTTTGAAGAGGAAACGACCTGCGCGCCCAAGGCCAGCGAGCCGAGCAGCACCAGTGCGGCAAGCAGCATCGGAATAGGAAGAAAAAGCAGATGAGGCTGCTATGGTCAACGAACTAAAAGACCATGCAGAGCAAAGAGATGCAACGAAAGGAAAAGTCGCACTTGCCCAGAAGGCGGACGGGGAAGAGTCAGAGCTCTGAAGGTGGGAAGAGCAGACAGCGTTCTCTTCGAGGACTCTGGAGGCTTAACAATTCAAATGTCGTAAGGACCTCCCTGATTTGGGTCTAGAATATCATGTTCCTCCAAGGTTACGAGTGCTGAATTCACCATGATGCGGAGCTATCACCCTCTTGGACAGCATACGCAGCCTGAGAATCGTTGTTAGGGAAAGGGGCAAAGCTTCCGCTCGACGGCCGCGCATATGTATCAGCTGCAGAAAAGATAGCTCTGGTGGCGGTTGTACATAGGAAATTCCTTCTTCTGTTAGCCTTCGACCCGGATCGACGCCGCACCTGCTCCTATCTATAGCCCGTGTACAAAATTCCCTCTGCATCTTTGTTCAAGTAAAAGGAAATCTGCTTTCGACAAGACGAGGCGATCCAAAGGAAAGGCCGGCTGATGTGATACATCACCATGATCTCCACTGATCCCTTGCTCAAAGCCTTTCTTACACCCGTGCTCGTTCAATACTGCGAACGTACGTATATAGTTCCAGTCTATCCATTTTCAGCGTCCAGGAAAGGAGGCATTCACAGACGTCACGCGTCAGGGCTACAAACAAATGCTCGGCTCAGGTTCTGAATCTGACAGTGATAGAGGCATTTCTGCGATGTGGCGTGATCAGTTGTTCGTCTGTGGCCCATCGCAATGAGACTTCGTGGACAATGAGTAGAAGTGCGAGTAACACTAGTCGCCCAGTCAAATATTGCCATATATTGCAAGACTTCAGAAGCCATGAAGGGGGATATTATCACCCTCAATCGTACACAACATCACACACGCCAAGAATGGAAAGACCCAGCCGACGCACGCACTGAGTATGCTCACAACCCCTCCTCATATAACTTCCTCGCCAAAGCAACATAAAACCTCTCCAAATCTTTCTCAGTCTCAAGATCACTCTTCCTCCTCCCGGTCTTCGCCGCCGCCTCCCTCTTACCTTCTCGCTTCTCCTTCTCCTTCCTCTTCACCTCCTCCCTCTTCTCCTCGTCCGACTTGCTGTTGATACCCAGTAAAGGCAATGACGGTAATTTCGACGGGATATCTTCCGTGGACGGGACTTGGTCGATGATCCAATCGAACACAGCCGAGAGTTTCTCCGTCGAGCTCTTGAGCATATCCTCTCCATCATGCCTATGCTCTTCATGCAGCCCCGGAACATTCGCGCCAAGCTTCAACGGCGAAGGCCTCAACGCCTGACCCCCAAATACCTCTTTTGCCGCCACCGACGACGACGCCCCAGCTCTACTCTCCCTATCCTTCCTATCCCCCTCCTCCTTCCTCCAAGCCCTAACAAACCGAGTCCAATCCAAATTGTTCCACCCCCTCACGCTCTGCTTCAAATCCACATCCACCTCGATCCCACTAGCACCCCTCAACTCCCAATGATCGCTCCCCTCCATCGTACCCAAAAACTCACCCCACCTCGCGCTCTGAAGAGTGACCAACCCGTCGTTTCCCCAAAGCTCGTCGTTCTCCCATGGAGGAAGTGATTTCTCGCCATTTCGCAGGGAGTATTGAGTAGAAGCGGAAGGGTCGAGTGAATTGAGACCGAGGGCGGAAGATGCTTCCGCGCGGAGACGCGCTCTGTCTTTAGCTTCGGCACCGTCTGTGACGAGTTTGGGAAGCCAGAGCGGATGCCAGACGTTCATGCTCTCCGTCCTCCCCGCGACGCTGAAATACTTCACGCTCGGGTCATCAGGCGTGGCGGGGTTGAAGACTGTATTGAGGTAGGTCGTGGTCAAGTTCGCGTAGGCGGGTGAGTCGAACATTGAGAGAAGAAGGGTGGTGAAGGAGGAGGGGAGGGACGTGAGTGCTATGAGGGGCGATGATGAGCCGGTTTGTTTGGGGTCGGATTTGGGATCTGAGCGGGAGGACATGTCGGAGGATGAGGCATGGGCGGCGTTTGAGGAGTCGAGTGCTGTACGGGCGGCTTGAAATGTTTGTTCCTTCTCTGGGAGATTTCTTCCGATGCCGAGGTAGTCCTGAGGTTGCATTGTTATCAGCACGCAAGGCAGATAATAATTGCTGGATAAGAATGCGGACCGTACACCAGTCCATGAATGGACTTCCTCGATGTGGCGTTGCGATAGTAGTCAACGATAGAGGAGTATACTCCGTAGGTTTGACGTGCGTAATTAGATGACGGCAGTCAAGCCCTCCCATGGAGTGCGCCATGAAATTAAGGCCTCTGCCTGGAGCCTTCTTCTCCAAATATCTATTAAGCTGTTCGGAGCGAGAAGCAATTGATCCCGTCCTAAAGAATTGCATGAGACTAGATTTCAACAGGGCGAATAAAGAAGATTTACTCACCCTGGTACCGACGTGACGATCACTTCGGCGCCGATGGTCTTGCGAAGGATGCCAAGGATGGTGGACCAGTACTGCATCCGCAGACTAGGAAACGCAGAAGGCCCTCTGACATCAAAACCGTAAAGACCTAGAGATATATAAATATAGGATAGACAGGTTAGAATAAATCTATGCACGTACCATGGCAAAGAACTATAGGATAACGTGGCGCCCGGACAGGATCGTAGAGGACTGGATTTCGTAACAGACGGTGGAGTGTATCGGGGTTCTCGGCCTTTTGTTCATTACTCTTTGGAGGAGGAGGGGGTGGTTTATTGGTGGATGGAGGGGGTTTTGGGTCTGGATTTGAATTGGGAGTCAAGTGTGGCCCAGATGGTTCATTCGACTGTGGCGTAGGATGGCGAGAGAAACGCAGGTTATTCGACGGCCAACGAAGTAGAGGCCATGGAATAGAAATTCCGGCAGCTATGTGATTCATGTTTCAGTATCTTATTCGCAACTCTAATTCCACAAGTCAAGGTTCACGGTAAGCCACGGAAAATTACTGACCAGCTGCAACACTTTCCTGCGTCAGCTTCGGTTCATTTAGCACCAGTGAAGCCGGTCTCCAGTTCCAGTCGAATGCATCTCTCAAACACTTCGAGCTCCTCGGTTTGACAAATTTTCCCTGAGTATCCCCCTCCGGGTCTGAACGAGGGAGGTAATGGTGCGTGATGGACAGAGTCGAAATGACATTAACGACTCTGCGAAGCAGAACAGAAGCCGAGGCTGGGATCCATACGCCGTTCATCTATCATCGAAAGCAGAGAGGACGGGCAAGGACCAGAAAACGAAAGCCGTGGTGAGCGTCAAGAGCAAAGGGGTAAATAAATTGGTTGGGGTGGCCAACGTGGCGTCATAGGTAGCTAGCTTACATAATACAACCTGAACTTTTGGAAACAAGTCGCGTGAAATATTTATTTCCCTTCACTGTCTACCGCGTCGGCCACAGGTACGTCCTCATCGTTCTTGACAGCGTTGACGGCTATTCATTATAATACTACTTCGCAATAGATGAGTTCTAGGGCAGCAAAGGCGTCGACGAGGCGACTGACCCGACCCAGTCGCCCACCTCCCAAAATCCTCCGTAGCCTAAAAGCCACACCCGAAGGCGTCCCCATCCCCCATGTCAACCTCGTCGTACGCGACACCCACCCGTCTCGAATCGGCGACCATTACCACCACACCCTTGCCGACGACCTCCTCTACATGACCTACAAACATGAACACCTTCCCCGTCCTCCACCTCGTCAAATTCGTACTTTATACGACGAAGAAGACCCCTACGTCAAGCACCGCAAGAACCCACTGGCCGGTGGATCGATGCTCGGAAGGAGAGAGGCGCCACCTACGACGCCGGAGAACGTCGTCGAGCTCGAAAGAATAGTGCTACACACATTCCAGAAGACCGCCATCCAGACTCGACAGAACCTCTTAGGGCCCATCATGATGATGCGTGCCCTTTCCGGAGAGACAGAGAACGGTGGTGGACGGTACTTGGCGAACGGTGTTGAGGTCGTCAGGGGGAAACAGTCGGTTTCGGGATGGGTGCGACCTGGAATGCCCGCTGGCGCGAAGGTCACGCTCAAAGGCCCGAAGATGTACGAATTCATCGGAACGCTCACCGAGTTCGTCCTTCCCCGTCTGCGCGACTTCCAGGGCATACACCTTCCACCACAGTCACAGAGGATGAACACGCCCTCGGGGACGACGGGCGTAGTCGAGTTTGGACTTCCACCGGAGGCAATGGGTCTGTTCCCCCAGATCGAGGTTAATTTGGATTCATACCCAAAAACATACGGTTTCAATATCCACTTTATCACGAACGCAGTTGGCCAGAATGCGCAGACCAGGGCTCAGCAGCTGGTTTCTGGTTTTGGGATACCCTTCGTGAGGAGGTAAATGTTGAGGGGCGTTCTGCACTTCTCGTGAGTTCTTTCGTGTTTTTCTTCGACGTGTCGGAGATTAATGCTCGTGCTCCTGTTCAGTCCGCAGCTCTTCTGGTGCTTTATGTACATCCGTGAATGGTGGGTTAGATTAGACAGGTATCGGCCCTAATACAGTAAAGTTCCACAAAAGTGCGTGCATATGCGATATGAGAAACCGAATCAATACTACCCAAGAAATCGACAGTCTTAAACGAGAGAGAAATGTGCAATGAGTGACTAGTCTGCGAAAGATATATGCTACAGCGTGAATGAAAGTGCGGTATGTAATCCGAATCCAGCCTAGAACAAGGGAAAGTGTGCGCCACAACGAGAACCAATGTTCGACCGAGCCGAAGGTGGAAAGGAAATCCCAAAACCGAAGTACCTAAGAAAACGTGCAAAGTCACCACGAACCCTATGCAAAGGTGACCACCAACCGTCTTCCTTCACCCGCATCACCGCCGCTCCGACGAATCCCATGGAATATCCCCCAACCTCGTCCTCCCTCCCCCTCTCGCCGCCGCATCCCCATTCCCATGCCCGGGCGCCTTATACAAACCCGCACCGTTCCTGCTCGCCGTCGCATAGGCACTCGAAGGAGGGGTCAACATCGCCGACGCCTCACTCGCCGTCCTCCTCACCCTCTTCTTCGGCGCGATCGTACTCCGATTCGCAGATCCCTCCAACCCCTTCAATCCCGACTTCATCGCTAAACCTCCCGAGCTACCACTACTCCCAGCGCTACTCACGCTCGCGCCCAACCCATGTGCGTGTCCGAGCGCCGCTCTCCCAGTCGACGCAGGCTTCAACACCGGTGCCAAAGTCGGTTCGATCTCCCTCGCCAGCTCCCTGACCAACACCGCACTATCGTTCTTCTTCAACCTTCCCACCAAATCGTGTATCTTATACCTCTCCACTAGTATTCCCCTATTCGGGTGCACGTCGCACACCGTCCTGAGTATCCTCAGCAGGTTGAGCTTGACCACGGCTTTGGAGTTGTCCAGCTTCTCGATGATGCGTCGGAAGAAGGAGGATTTGGCGATGCCGATTGTGATTGGGGTGGAGAGGCGGCAGATCTTGAGGAAGGGGTCGAGTAGGTTTTCGAAAGAGTTGGCTTTGGCGGAGACGAAGCATTTCAGCAGAGATTCGAGGGAGTGCGGTTTGAGGAGTTCGTCCTCGACGCGGGCTGTCTCCTCTTGAAGCCTTTTTTTGACCATTAATACCAGCCATCACGAATCAAGGGCGAAAAAAGGGTGGATGGGCATACCATGATAATATCGACTCCAAAGCACTGACTTGGAAGTACGGATCCGCCAGCAAGCGGATATACATCGCCAGCCCATCATGTTGCCACAAAAGCATCCTACAGCTCTTGCCTGCGCTCGCGAGATCACAAAGTATAGGCAACGCAAACTGCTTGAGCGGTGACTGGGACTCGATGACACGCATGAGACTGGGAATGATGCCGGCCTGGGCGGCCTCTTCTTGTCGGAGTTTGTTGAGCCGACAGAGGTTGTAACAGGTTTGGAATATGTGGTTCGCCATTTCCTGCGCGCGGAACAAGCGGAGTAAGTGAATGTGAAGACGTAGTTGGATACAAAGGAGAAAGGAGGGCGTACTGTGCTGTAAGGACCGGATTTATGTTCTTCGAGAATCCTGGTGAGGATCTCTATGGCGTTAGCATTCTGAAGAACATCCAAGAGGTTCGAGTTCATTGATAAGTGCTTGATAGCTTTCAGCATGTGCACCAAGCAATCCGGCTCCAGCAGCTCGCACGCCCTCAACAACCCTACAAGCAAATGACATGAATATATTCCGCTCATTTCAACGACGAAAAAGTTTACGCACGTCTGACGATCTTTCTTACCCCCAACGCGTTCCTCACATGGATGTCCGACTGCGACACCTGACAGAACACCAGCAAAATTTGCAAGATCTTGCTCTTCATCGTCGCCGCCTTATCTCCGTCATTCGCCATCACGTTCAATAAGGCGGAAGATAGAGGATCGAGGAGTCCCTCGCGTATAAACATCCGACAGAAGTCGTTCTTAGTGGTGGGACTCTGGAGCTCGAAAACGCTGCCGATGCCCACTAGAGCGTGCACGATGAGATCTGATTGCTCGGCGAAGTCTTCGTCGAGAAGGTCGACTAGGACTTTGAGGCCTCGGCAGCTATGCACGAGGAGTATAATCATTAGTATTATGAGCAATAGGGGCGAACAGAGGGAGAGATCCGTACGAGATAAACATCTGCAAGGTGAGGACGGAGACGTGACAGAGGAGCTGAATAAAGTTGGAAGCTTCGAGTCGGCACTCTGATGGGTACCTCTTGGACGTGAAACCTAGAGTGAAAGATCAGTGACTGACCTAACAAGCTTATTTCTGCGAAATGGGCCCACCCATCATCACTGGGATACCACTGCACGCCCAAGAGATCAGCGTAAGTCTCCTCGGTTGGACGGATTATGAATACTCACCCAATGAGACAGAAACTTTCCAAGAAAGCAGCATCCGAAGTGACGAGCTGTCATTACCAAAACGAATGAATTATTGAGAATCACAACTGCGCTATAATAGGGTGCTCACCAAATTAACTATCTGCAAGAGCTTCATGATGACCTCTCGTGATAAGTTCTTCCTCTCCAAAACTTCCAGGAGTGCAAGCATCCCATGCGATGACACCAAATGTCCTTGCATCTCCGGCGTATCTGACAGGATATTGAGCTTTCGGCACGTGCAACGATATCGTCAGCACGACTTTTCACTGACAAACAGAAGCAGATTACCAGTTCATCACAAGCATCTCGTATTTGGAAATCCGGCGCATCAGGATTGAGTTCGTCGACAAGCTGGTTTATGGCACTGGTCAAACGAGCGTATTTATCTCGTTGAAGGTTCGCCTCGAGATCGTCTTCCTCATAACCTTCATCAATCTCCGCAAATGGGTCTTCCTCATCTGTGTCATCGCCTAACTGTGTATCACGACGTTGAGCTCGGGCGGCAAACAGTACGACAAGAAGGGAGACATCGAACTCACCCATGATTTGCTCGACAATCGCGTATTGAGCTGTAATGTCTGCATAGGCTGCTCCGTCGCTAAATCCGGCCGTCAAGCATCAGCAATCCTGCACCCCAGATGAAATGTTTGTTCTTCTGAACTCACAACCGCCATTCGGCTTCCCAAATACATCGTCGTAATCCTCATCATCATCCTCCGCATACTTCCCGAACTCGTCCTGCATCAAATCGCTATGACCCTTCAACTTTCCTGCTCCCTCCTTTCCAAACGACCCATTCGCAGACCCTACGAGCGAGGACGATCTCGAGTGTGAGTGTGAGTGTGATCTGACGACAGAGGAAGCGGATAGTGGTTGGCTGCCGGAGTATAAAGCTGATGATGTCGGTGCGAGGGGGCTGAGCGATGGTCTGCTAGCTTTACCCCTCGACCCGGAGCCTGACGCACTACCTGAACCAGAACTAAAGCTCCTCTTCACCCCATCACCAACTCCACTCATATCCGGCAAGGGTGCCGTCTTTGGTCCAGGACTTGTCGTCAATCCACCCAACCCAAGAGTCTTCAGATCATCTGGATGGAACAATCCCTTTCTCACCGAATTCTTCATCTTGAAGTCCGAGAACTTCTCCTGCCATTCATCGTCCTCGTCTACCGCCAAGTCCGAATAATCCTCGACTATGGGCGCGATCGCTCCTGGTGGTGGTTTGGCGACGGGAACGGGCGCTTGGTGAGGGTCACGGAGGGAGCCACCAGGGGACCGAGTAGCAAGAGGACGAATTGTCTCGCTGTCGTTCTCGTTCCGTTCTGATGATCCGGAGGAGTTCTGGGTCAGATCCTCGGCGGAGGCCTTCTCCAGTGCTACGGCAGAGAAAGCGATATCGTTAAGGTTGGGGCGGAAGAAAATGCAGCACGGAAAAATGTAGGCATGTACCTTGCAGCTTCGATAACGAGATTCCTTCCTCGAAATCGTCATCCCAATTGTCTGTCTGCTCCTCCGGCTGCTGCAGAACCAACGGCCCAGACATCGCCAACGGTGCATTTGAACCCTTTGAGTTCCCACTCGCAACAGCCGAAATCTTTCTGCTCCGTATGAGATTATTCGACGAGGGCAGAGAGCCGATGGAGGAAGAGAGAGGAATGGTGGGGGTGAGGTGGGGGTGAGAGGACGAGGCATTGAGAGACTCGCTCATAAGGATAGGAGAGCCAACAGCGATCGGGGAGCCTGTTGCTAGAGAAGTGGTTCGTTGTCGGCCGGGATTCTTTGATGGTTTGGACGGTGCTAAATTCATACACTTAATATTGGAAGCACAAAACACAACGAAGCTCGACCCACATTTCAATGCCTCGTTCCATTCCTGTACCTTCAGCACTGCCTCGTCAAAGTTGTACTTGCTCTGCGGCCTTTCGGACGTTCCTCTCCCATTCGCGCCCGAACCTGACCTATTCTGCTCGCTTGACCTCCTCCCGCTATTGTCCTCCATCGACTTCTTCGCCGCTACCATCCACGGATGCCGCAGAAGTTTTTTGGCCGAGATGCGGAGGTTGTAGTCTTTCTGGAAGCAGTGGCAAAGGAAGTCTTTGACGATTGGGGAGGCGCCTTCGGGAATGGGCGGACAATCGTCTTGAACGATGCGATAGAGGGCTGGCATGGGTTTGAGGAAGTGATATGGCGGACGGCCTTCAAGAAGTTCAATGACAGTACATCCGACGCTCCTAAATAATCGAACGAGAAATAAGTAGGGTATGGAGAACATAAGGACAAGTGCGTACCAGATATCAGATGCGGTTGTGGCGCCAAATTGTTCGATTACCTCAGGTGCCACTTGACGCGATGAACCACATCAATCAGCACGACGTTATACAAGTTTAGATAGAACAAGTACTCACTCCAATATGGACTTCCGACAACTGCGTCATCACTTGCCCCACCCGTAGTCGTACTACTCGCCACACCGAAATCCGCAAGCTTTACGGCACCATCCTTCGTCGTCAAGATATTCGCACCCTTGATATCTCGATGGATCACACCCTGGTCGTGCAGGTACACCAGGCCATCGAGGACCTGCGAAATGTACACGGCGACGAGATTCTCTGGGAACTTGCCGAAACGCTTGGAGATGCTGACCAGAGAGCCGTTCTCGCAGAATCTGGCGTGCACAAAAGAGCTACGTGAGACTCCAAGAGGATGAAGAAAGTTCGTAGGCGTACTCTAAGATAATGTACAGATATTCGCGGGTCTTCACAAAGCCCTTATATTTGACGATGTTCGGATGCTAGAGGAAATGTAGACTGAGAACTTGACATAAGGAAGAGGCATGGTGAGAAATACTCACATTAAGATTCTTGAGCAGGTCAATCTCGGACTGCACGGAATACAGATGTCAAACTCCATGCTTTACAAAGTGTGGCGACACAGTCGAAGCGGAAGCAAATCGGTGCCACAGAAGTAGAATCAACAGCTAGCCCTTCGAAAGCCAGGCATTACATTCTTTCCAGCAACAAGATGCATTTCTGGATCTCGTGAATGCATCCCAATAGTGTATTCTCCACCCGCCACACCGACCTATCCCCGGCGAACAAAAGAATGACTCACCATGATCTGTCCCAACTCTCCCTTTGGAATATTACTGAGTTGGATTTCTTTCACAGCAACGGTCTCCCCAGTAGCCCAATTCAAAGCGCCTTCATATGCAAATATTCTTAAATCTTCCTGCAAGTAGATTGAAGTGGGGCCACTCACGGTAGACCTGACCGAACGCGCCCTTTCCTAAGGAGTCACCCAATTGCTACGACGTTCATCAGTCACAAGCTAGGACTCAAGAGGGTAGATCAGGCGCACAAAATCATTGAGAAGCTTGGCACTGGTCCCTGAGTTCGAGGAAGCACCATGCGAACCAGTCATAGTCTCTTCAGACGTGAGACAGACGGTTGTTTAAATAGGACGTGTCGGACGCTCGAGCGATGGCCAAGCTGTTCAGAAATTGATTGGCGTCTGATGGACTCGTATTCAGAAATGTCGTGAAAAATGCGCGTAATATGAGGCCGCAGTGGACGATGTCAATGACGACGGCGTCGGCGAAAGCAAGAAAGAGTGAGCGCGCGCCGCAATGAACACGATCGCGTCGCGACGCCGGTGCCACCCAAACCAAGGCGAGCGGCAATTGCCGACCCCTCATGTTCCCAATCCTCCTCGTTCTCGCTGCTCTCGTTTTCTTGTCGCCCTCACGCACACCGCCCAAAACCCTGAGGTTGGAAGAACGTACTTGCTTTATACTTTTATACTTGGGATTCTGAGCTTGGACGCTTCTCGTGATCTGACGCGACATTCACCTGACGATAATTATTGTTTCGTGAAACGCGAACTACTTGGCTCAGTCTTGTGGTACTGGATGGCTTTCCGTAGGGGTTTTCTTTTGCGGATACTAAATATCTAGATGCACAGACATGAGGCCCAAGTCGGTTTTCTATTGTATTGGATGAGGCTTATTGTCTTTGTATCTCTGTGCAGCCAGAACCGCTCCTAGACTGCTCCGGATAGTCACCCACTACTTGCCTTGTTTCAAGTCATGCTCCCATGATCCTAAAATCTCCGCTGTTTTTCTTTACAATAACTTCCATGTGGGCCTGAGCAGCGCGTCAGTGCCGAGGTCTAAACGACTTTCGGCGGCCAGAGGGGCAATTTTTGGCCTGGGACGGGGGCCAGGGAGGTCACCTGTGAGGTATGATCTGAGTGGCGGGGGTGGGCGGGACCTTTATCAGCAATTCATCAGGACGCCCCGTCGAGTTCGTGAAAATACCATGCCCCCAGCTCGGTTTTGAACCTCTCTGACTGACACTGACCGAGAGCAGGTCAGGAAGGCCTAAAGCAGGCCTCGAGAACCGAGAATCAATTCCCTGGAGTATTTTGTACATTTTTCACGCATCTCTGACACGGGGGCCAGACTGGCCTCGGGGAAGGTGTGATTTCAAAAACGGGGGCCAGGGCGGCTCCTCCGGAATACCCTCATGCGGGGGTCACCTTGTAGGCCGGGAATAGACCTCCGAGATGACTTTCAGGGGGCCTGGCTTGTCTCAGTTTCTTGTTTACGGCCCTGCGGACGCAATTTACTCTAGCTCAGATCAAAGGGGTTCTTGTTTGCTCTTGTTCTACTCGGTACCGAAACCCCGTCTCGCGCGTATATAACGGGGCGGCCTGTAACGCTGCTCCATCATGTTCTTCTCTTCCCCCACCAGACCGACCCACCCGCCCAACCCGTCTGGATCTCCCCTCTCTATATTTTTTTACGCTTCTGGTCGTCGTACACACCTCTGCTTCTCCTGTCCAATACATCGCCGACCTATGGCTCATCAAGAACGAGAATGTAGTAAGTTTCTCCGTATTAATTCACCACCCACACATAATCTATAATGCGAAGGTCGACTCTGATGTATGGTATGTATCTCTAGGCGCAGTTGTCTACGGCCGTCTCTGAACCAGGCTCAAAATTAATCCAATGCTTGTAAGGTACGTGTCATGTCTAGTCCGAGATTCGTATCCTTGTCCGAGTGTTCAGTCGAACGAGTCGAAGACTATAAAGAGACACCTATCTTCCCCGATCATGCAACGAAAAACATCCTTGCCCTTCCCACTCATGTTTCGGAGGCCTGCCTATCTTCTTGCGTGGCGTAGCTCTGTGACTCTCCCCATCTCCGGAGGATGTTGTCGCAGTCGCTAACTATTGATCGAGAGTCCATATAGTTAGCACCTCTATTCGGCTGCACGGTACTATGGGGGCGTACCTCGTTCACGGGCTCTGTCCACCTGCCTCTATGTCCAGGACTGTTACCCATCCCGACATGTCTATCCCTTATGTCACCTCTTACATCAGGCATCGCTGTATACAACAACGATGTGATGAATGTACTCACGGAATCCTGCTCTGATCCCGTTTTGGGGAAGTTCCCCGGTTGGTCATCACGCTCGTTAACGGCCTGTATTCACTTGTGGGTATTCCCATACCTGACGACACGCCGCACGACGTGTGTCCGCTGGCGGAACCCCCGAGTCAGGATTGAGTTGGATTATGAGATAGTGACAGGGACTCACGATTGATTGATATGAGCAGGGGATGGGCTTTGGTGCGACGTAAAGTCATAGTTTGAGTCGTAGGGATGGCCCACGTTTGTGCGGTCCATATTTACGTTTGTCGAGTGTGCGGATGAGGTTCGGGACGATGAGGATTGCGAAGAGGTAACAGTATATGGCATGGGTGGGGCATGTGTTCCGTGGTGATACGAGCTGATAAACTGTTGGTGCTCATATGTCGGGTGACGACTCGGTGAAGCTAGCATGATGTAGGTAAGCCCGTCCTTCCCCAGTACTGCGACAAGTACTGACATGGTTCCATGGCATGCGCTTGACCGGCAGGATCTACGATGGTACTATGAGGCCTCATCACCCTACACGGCAATGGCTACGAAGCTCACCTGCAGCGACATACATCGCGGAGGGAGCCGACACAAGGCTCCTTGTCGACACCTTCTTCGAGATAGTTCTCTGCATGCCATTTACGGTCTGAGGTCCAACGGAGTGGACTCTGGCAGTGTGGGAGGTACGCTCGTCGTTCATAATTGTGAAGGGATTGTCTGTGGGGCTCGAGGGGCGGGATTCGATGGGAAGTGCCTCAGCGTACGCTCTCATCGTCCTTTAAATCCTTCTCTACGTTCATTGTTCGTCTCAATGTCTCACTTATACCTCCGTGTAGCTCAGATATTTTTTCGTCGACATCGTCAACCTCGACTCTCTCGTTGTCAGTGCCGTGTCTCAGATACCCCATTTATCCACGAACAAAAGCCCAATGACATAACCCGCAGGATATCTGGATCCTGGCACGTCAGTCTCCCGATCTCCCGACGCATCGCCGCCACTCTTCGCCGACTTCTCAGCCCAGTACCGGACTCTCGAGCATGGCGGAACAATGGAGGGTGTGCCGGGAATGACTGGTTGGCGAGGAGACGAAGGCAGAGGTTCAGAGCTGCGGTATTAGGTTTATTGTTCTGTTGGCTGCCGATCGGAGTGCGCTGTTGCGAACGACGTCGAGGGATACTTGGGTATGACCGGCGCGTTGGTATATGTCTCAGATTACATTGTCCCATTTTTTGTGTGGTATACATCGCAATCCCGATTTTCGACGCGTTCACAGCGGTCTCGAATGCACATATACTGTTCGCCCATTTTATTGCGCTTTTTCTCATATTGGAATTGACTTGTTGCATTTGTTTGCGTGCATTGTCGAGCATGATGTGCGCATCGGCGTCGAGCCAGTAGCCACGAGGGCCGACGCGTGCACAGCCTCCATTACTCTTATTTGCCGTTCATGTTGACGGCGGGCGTCTTCACCTACTGGCACGCAGGCCCTCAGTACGTACGATTTGAAATCGTCAGAACTTCGCGTCGCTAGGCTGTGTATATGTCTCAGATGAATATATCCTTTTTCTTCTTTTCTTTGTTCGTATACGTGAGACGGATGTAGTCCACCGTTGCTGTACGACGTCTCGCAGACGAAGAATTGAACGACGGGCACTGCCAACAGGCGCGGCTCGCCTCTAAGATGTTGTGATTCTTTCGGCGGGGTGATGATCTGATTTGCTAGGTCTCCTGGGTAGATGGACCTGTCGTGGTCCCACATTGTGCATGCTTATGTACGTCTCAAGATGATAACAATAATAGTAGGAAATTTATCACTGCTGCGGACGATTACTTCCATTCGCAGTTCCAATATACAGCGCTCGGACCTCAGGAGTGCTCGCCACCGAGCCACACTGCAATTCGGAAAAGTAGGCTACAGTTTTACAGCAGCTACAGTACTCACACTAATGACGTCTTAAAAACGGAGGATATACAGAGCTTTAGGGCCTATTGAGTTGTTTTATGATGAGCAGGGGAATGACTCGCCCAGACTGAGCATAAAGCACAGGTTAGGACGGCGCTCGATCGTGTTCACGCCACCTGAAAGAGAACAACAAGATATTCCCACGGCACACAGCGCCACATCAGACTTGGGGGCATCAGCCCCAACCTTGGTGATGGTTTTTCGATGTGACTATTTGGTCGCTGGGTCTATTTTACAGGTTTGACCATCGGTTATCCTTTTCGGCCCCATTGTTGTCATATCGCACCACGCCGTAAGTCCACGTTGCTCTGAACACCCTCCTCGACATTCGATTGCCAATATTAAGTAAATCCTGAGACACATGGGTATCCATCCAAATATACGCCCGTCAAATAATCTATGCATCAACACCAGATGATCTTCCCGATCAGCCCCACCAATCCCTAGAGCTGTTGTTGCAGCGCCTTCTGTTGAGCCTGAAGCGTCGTCGAAACGGCAGGGCATCCCTTGCCCGGACCGTTCAAGTTCTGCAGGGACACGAGAGCGGTGTTAACGCGCGCAAGCTGAGAAGCGACTGAGCCGTCCGTGGGGAATGGAGTGGCGACGGAGGGGTTGTTGACGGCATGACCTGCTGCTACATCGGCTTGGAGGTGCTGTTGATAGTGGAAACAGCGTCAGGAAAGGAAAGGATGGAATGGTGAAAATCAAAGATCGGGTGATGATGAGACAGGAAATAAACCTAAATGGGAACAATGGAATGATGAATGGAGAGCAATGGCTTACCTGATTGAAGACATCCTGGGTTGGTGGGCATGCACACGGTACTGCGATAGGTTTACCGTCCGCACCGTTCACAGCACCATCACAGTCTCCGGTACCTACAGGGGAAAAAGGCATCACAGTGAACAATCAGTAGCTACATATCGGTAGGCAAGAGGTGAAAACATACCAGTGGGGTTAACGCCAGCGCTGAATCCAAGGCTAGGGATCAGACTAGGGTCAACGTCTCGCTTGGACATCGGTGCAGCAGCGACCGAGGCGACGAGGCCAGCGAAAAGGGGGATCATGACGGATGTGAACTTCATCGTGGATTGGAAGGAATATGAGACTAGCTCAGGAGAATTGGCGTGGAAGCGAAGAAATGAAGGACGCGCGGCGTCGAAAAAGTGTACAAAAAAAGTGAAGAGAGCGACGTTGAAGGCCTCAGGCGATGGGGGGTAAAGGAAGGGGGGTCGAGGTTTATATACCACTCTCAGCGCTTGGCACCTCTTTTCGTTTCTGCACCTCAGCTGCAGAAAGGGGACTGGGGGTCACGGTGGCGAGAGATGTATCAGATTGTGATGGCGACTAGGTCCGCGCTGCTCGTTCATCAAGAGCAAAAGGCAGTCCAAGATACAGAAGCGAGTGTTTCGTGTCTTTTCGGGCGATAGACCATCAACTCGCACACTGGTACAGCATGGATTGCCTACTCCAGTGGGAGAACATCAATCTCTATGGCACCTGTGATGTTTGGTCAAGCGCTTGGAAGGCCCAACATGGTGAAGGATGGAGATACGGGTAATGTTATGTGTGGCTAAGCTTGAAGGATGTCAACCGACGCAGGCTGCAAGAGTACAAGACTGTCAGTAGGTTCTTCTGTTCGCGGCGAACTTGAACTTGTATGCAGCGCATTAATTATCGGTCGCTATAGGAAGGCCTCACCGTCCGCAGATCTTAGATTTTAGACCCATGATACCGGTCTTCGTATTCCTCGCTGATTGGTCGCGCCTTTCCGACAAATGGAACTCATGGGATTGGTGCACCGCAGAGGCAAAGAACGGTCCAAAACCGGTTCCCTCACAAATTTGGGTATTTCCTAAACAAGAATATAGCGGGTACAGCCTTTTTATGAACCAACACCACTTGCATCTGCCTCGGATGGAACATTAGTATAAAACGAGGCCGGCTCTCCGTCGCAGAGAGCTGGTGTTAGACGTCGACGATGATGTCGGTCCTCAAAAATTGGAGAACAACAAAGATACTGACTTGACTGACTGACGTACCTACGTAGCGAGAAGCATGAATTTTCCAATCAACTTGTACATAGCACGCTGCCATCCCTCGCGCGATGTCGTTTGTCGTCGGCCTCGAACTAAGACAGTGGAGCATTTTGGGAGCATTTGTCCAACATTTGTCTGGTGAAGACAAGGCGACACTGTGCCTGGATGTGGCGAAAACATTGCACAGCCACTGGCACGCGTTCAGGCTAAATCTGGTCCGTCTTTGTGGCGCGGATACGTGATCGGCGTAGCCCTATTTGATGCCGCCAGAGGCCGACATTTCAGTAAGTTGAACCGTCGAGGTATTCCGAGAGCGCACCGTCTGGACCAGCATATTCACCTTGTGCTATCTACTATCTTGTCGCCTTCATCCATCCATGAATGTCCGAGTTCAGGTCAAAATTTCTCTAATTGTCTCCACTCGAGACGACGGGGACTCCTCAGCTTCTGTTTTTGAACCTGAATCGTGTTCCTGAATCCCGATTCATCATGGTTCTTGGACACCTCCGAAGCTCCTTCCATCTTTCCTTCCGCTTCCGTCCTTCGCTGGAGCCTCGTCGATGTGCAAAACCCCACCAAGGAACGGCCATCTTCCGTAAATTCAAGAAGCGCTCGCTAAAATTTGGACATCCCGGTGTATCGTGCTCGATATCGCTTGTTATCGCGAATAATCGCAAATATGGCTCTCGATAACGCAAGAAGTTCAACCGGCCCCGGTACTGTTGAGCTATATAGTGATGAATGACCTGCAAACTCACGGTTGGTCTTCGTCTTCAGCAGCGTCCTTGCTCCACCTCTCTGCTAGGTTTCCCTGCCACCATGGGTCTTCGTTCTTGGGTCAAGACCACGGCGTCTCGCGATTCAGAGTTCCAGTCTCAAGATGCCGCCATCCCGGAACCAGATCTTCCGTTCACCCCTGGTCAGAGTAGTCCCGATGTCGAGAAATCGGATAGCCTGAGCGAGAAGGAACGTGACAATATTCAGTATACGGACAGGACGCCCGAGAAGACGGAGCTCACACCCATGGAGGCGTACAAGTGGGACGTGTCCGGAGAGCAGTCTCCCTTCCCGGAAGTGGCGGCGTGTGTACCGGTCACTGACGATCATACTTTGGAGGTCAACAGTAAGCCGGTCCTATTCCTGTTATTCATGCAAAGATCCATGCTGATGAGTATTTATATCTTATAGCTTTCCGGATGTGGGTATTGGTGACTGTATTTGTGATACTTTTCTCCGGTGTTAATATGTTCTTCTCGTAAGTCCGCCTTTGTCTCCCTCATTGCTTGTCCTCGATGCTCAAGAATATTCCTATGCAGGTTACGATATGTAAGCGCTTCAAAATCCTTTTTCATGCAGTGTATGGTATTGAATTTTTAATGCAGCCGAGTTTGACTCTTAACTATGTTGTGGCCCAATTGCTCGTATTCCCCGTCGGACGGTTATGGGAGCGTCTCCCAACATGGCGTGTAGGGTTCGGTCAATGGACGTTCAGGATCAACCCAGGTCGCTTCCACGTTAAAGAGTGCGTTTGTTTTCTCCAGAAACCTGGAACACACCCCAATACTGACGCGGTTTCTTTCAGGCATGCCATTATCGTCATCTGCGTAAACTTGACCGCTACAACCGCCTACGCCATGGGCTCTTTGGTCGCTATTACTTCCGAAGAGTTCTGGGGACAGGACTACGGTGCTGGATTCGGTATCCTTTACATTCTGACTACACAGTTCCTTGGGTACGTGAGCCCGCAGTCCTTTGGGTCCGGACTGCACCACTGACGTTCATCCGTCCAGCTTTGGTCTTGCAGGTCTCGCACGTCGGTGGATCGTGTACCCTGGTAGGAATTTTTTTTACTACAAACTCTGCATCAGTATTCATTTTTGCGAATAGGTGCTATGATTTGGCCTGCTTCCTTGGCTTCCACCGTCCTGTTCCGCGCTTTGCACGAGCCCCAGGATGAGTCGCCAGCCAATGGATGGGTCATCACCCGTAAGCTTTCCCTCTGTTTCTGCAACATTTGTACACCTATTTATGGCTGCCATTTCAGGTTATCGCTTCTTCCTTTACGTCGTCGCCGGAAGCTTTGTCTGGTATTGGTTCCCAGACTACATCTGGACAGGACTTTCTTCCTTCGCGTTTATCACCTGGATTTGGCCCAACAATCAGAAGGTTAACGCGATCTTCGGTATGAATAGTGGTCTCGGTGAGTACTCCTCCGGACGAAGTTGAATTTCCTAAGCTTACTCTGTACACCCAGGTCTTCTTCCTATCTCGTTCGACTGGACTGTCATCAGCTATGCTGGTCAACCACTTACAACGCCTTTCTGGGTCACGGCTAACTGTTTTGCGGCTGTTGCGATTTTTTACCTGTTCATCGCTCCCATTGTATGTATCTCAATCATCTTTCCATGCGTTAAAAAAAAACCTCACGGATATGGGTTCACTTAGTTGTACTGTGAGTTTCCGCTGCTATTCCTCATATATGACTCGAGCTTTTCGACGCTGACGAAATCATGGTACAAAAGACTCTGGCGTGTGGTACTCTGACTAGTAAGTTACACCCTCGGGCATAATCGAATTTATCAGGTCACTGACTCTTCAATCATTCAGCCTTCCCCTTCTGTCGAGTTCCACGTTCGATAACACCGGTGCTTCGTACAACATCACGAAGGTCGTCAACTCTGGTCAGTTGTTTTATCTGCGTGCTCATACACTTTGAAACTGTTGCTGACAGAACCTTCTACTCCCAGATTTGACGTTCAACTTGGAGAAGTACAAGGAATACTCGCCGATGTATATCTCCATGGCGTACTCGATCTCTTACGGGTTGAACTTCGCTGCTATCACCGGTGAATATCACACATTTCTCTTGTGTACTGTTGTGGCGCAGCACTGTTGACCAGTGTTTCTCTTGGTCTAAGGCATCATTGTACACACTTATCTCTACAATGGAGCCGAGATTTGGGCTAAGGTGACTACTCAATTCTTTTATTCGCAGTGTGAGTTGACTTACGTTGTGTATAATAGCTTCGTAATGCGACGAGCGGCGGTGAAGATATCCACAAACGCCTCATGAACAGATACAAAAACGTCCCTGAGTGGTATGTCTTCAACTCTTCAACTGGCTATTACTTCTATCTAACGCAATGTGTTTAAGGTGGTACATGATCGTAACCGTCGTCACACTTGGTCTCGGAATTTTCACCATCCGTTTCTGGGATACTCAGGTCAGTTCATCATATATGCACGGCCAAGCTTGTACTTGTACTGAAACAATCATGTCTGACTATAGCTTCCTGTCTGGGGCTTCGTCGTCGTTGCGTGGGGTATCGGAGTCGTCATGATGATTCCCGAGGGTATCCTGCAAGGAACGACGAACCAACGTGTCTTCCTGAACATTATCAGTACGTTTCTCATTCTTCATATCCAACTTTTTGCAGGAGCCTCACAACATTGTCAACCTCTCTTTAGCTGAGCTTATCGCTGGTTACGCTTGGCCCGGAAAACCATTAGCGAACATGATGATTAAGTTCTATGTGAATTTTGCACCCTCGTATATGTGTGCAGCCGAACCTGATTGGCGACTGTTTATGCGCTTTAGGGTTACAACGCAGTCAAGCATGGCATGGATTTCGCGCAAGATCTCAAGCTCGGCCAGTACATGTTCGTGTCTCCTTTCCAGACTTACTCTTGCGAAAACCTGTTGGATGAGCTAACATATACTATGCCAACAGGAAAGTCGACCCTCGCATACTCTTCTATGCACAAATCTACTCGAGTATCCTCGCCGCAATCACGCAAGTGGGTGGTACGTTATTTTTTCACACAATGCTCCGCATGGACTACATACTGATGGCGATGGTCGCAATAGTGTTCCGTTGGATGCTTGGACATATCGAGAATCTGTGCAGCTCGAAGAACACCAATCGGTTCACGTGTGCTGGCACGAAGGTCGTCTACAATGCGAGTTTGATCTGGGGAAGTAAGTGTCGATATTCTGCCCTTTTACCTGGGAACTGCGCCAACCTCATAGCTAATCGCATCACTTGCAGCCGTCGGACCACAGAGACTGTTCGCGCAAGGACAGACTTACAGCCAACTCATGTATTTCTTCCTTATAGGCGTAAGTTGACTCCCTCTCCTTGGTTATGTCCAAATTCTAACGTGCTTTCTCTTTCTGCTTAGCCCGCACTGGTCGTCATTTTCTACTTGCTCTACAGACGCTATCCTAACAGTTGGTTGAGATATGTTAATCTCCCCATCTTGTGAGCTTTCTCTGCATTGATGCACTGTGAACTTCCTGACTGATTTCGTTCCCATATTCCAGCTTCAACTCTGCAGGAAATATCCGTATGTCACTTACACCCGCGGAGCAATGCTTCCCCAGTTACTTACCGACCATTTATTCGTACAGCACCGGCCAACACCACTCAATATTCTCTTTGGTTTATGACTGGCCTTGTATTCAACTACTTCATCCGCCAACGCGCCTTCCAATGGTGGAAGCGATATAACTGTGCGTCTCTTATTTCCTCCGCTCTTGACCACCTCGCCTACGTTCTATTCCACCGCTCCCCTTTCCGATTTAAGACTAACTATTCTCCCCACAGACCTCCTATCCGCAGGCCTCGACACCGGCGTCGCCTTTGCCACCATCATCATCTTCTTCGCCCTCTCATATAACAGCATCACGTTCGACTGGTGGGGCAACTCCGTCGTGACGATGGATACGAAATCGACACCTTGGAAGACCGTGACGAAAGGGAGTTACTTTGGTCCAGGGCCTGGAGAGTTTTAGTTGTGTTCGGATCGGGAGTGTTCTACATTATGGGCTAGATTGCGAGCTTTCGTTGACATTATGTTGCTTGGGCTGGAGAGTGCAGCTTGTGAGATCGAGGATGGGGAACTAAAATGGATTAAATTATAAGGTATACGAGTAGGGGGCGTGTTTGTTGTGTTGTGTGTTTATTCACTGGTATTTGATGTAACTTACGCTATCATGACCTTGGGCTTAACGTTCTATCTACGACTTCGTTTGGTTCTTCTTTATTGTGCGCGGCGAGATTGAAGAATGCAATTCAAACTCCGACCCGCACTCTGATCCTTTCGATTCTCGAACTGGGAGGACTAGGGAGGACTTCTACCTGGAAGGTGGTGGTGAGGTGATTCGGAGACACATGCTGCAGTTATCATTTACCATGAATTAAGAGAAACCGTGATAGTAAGTACAATAAATACAAGAACACCCAAGTGAGTAGGGATTGCAAAGGGATTGCAAGAGAGGACGAGTCTCGCAGGCTCGCCGCGCGCCACCGCCACACATCGTAAGTCCTCAAAAAGCATAATCTCGAAAGCGTCACCATGATACCGCCACCACTCCCAACAAACTATCCATCTCACAGGACCACAGCACATGCAGCCCTAGCCTAGGTCCTGAACACCTACACTAACCACCAAAACACACGATTCACTCAAGGAGCCCTTCCCATCATTCCACCACCTCCATCCAACACATGCGTCGCACCATCGACATAAGCCCCCGCTCGGCTCGCAAGGAAAAGGATGAGGCCCGCTATGTCGTCTATGGTTCCTGATCGGCCTAGTGGAACGTTTAGAGGCGAGGATGGGGAGGTGGGGTCTGCGGGAGGATATAGATGGTATGACAGTTAGACCACGGACAACGCAGAAAAAAACACCCAAAATCAGAAAAATAAAGTAAAGACTTACCACGATTCCCATAATCGAATATCCCCGGCGCAATCGTATTACACCTAATATCCCACTCCTTCAACATCCCCGCCATCATCTTCCCCAAATGTCCCGCCGCGATCTTACTCAGCGTATACGGCACACTATACCCTCCACCCTCGTCTCCCTGCGTCTCCCCACTCGCGCTCCCACCCCAAGTCCCATTTCCAGCCCCATTCCCCTCGTCATCCCTCCCCGGACTCCTTCTCCTCCTCATCTGTCGCCTACATTCTGGCTCAACCGGCGAAACCATGATAACCTGACTAGTCACCCCCTCAAACCCCTCACTCATCATCGACCTCCTGCTCGACCTCCCATACTCATACCTCGGCCTCACAGGCTGCGCATACGCCCCAATATTCACTCCACTCGGCGTTAGTGATGCTGCTGCTGGCGGTGGCGGTGGTGGTTGTGGTGATGATGACGATGATCCCGGCGGAGAGAAAGACGTAGGATTCGCTAATTTCCGCCCGTCCAGCGTCCCTCCGAAAAACGAGAAACTCCCGCTCCCTCTCGCCTCCGCGAATTTCTGCCCCGTCAACCCACCACCCGTTCCTTCTCCTCCACCACCTCCACCTCTGACTCCTGCACCCGCCACCCGCCCCCCATTGCCATACATCCTCGGTTCCTCCCCCTGCACAGGCCTCCTAACGACCCCCTCCGGATGCGTATGTCTCGTGTTCCCCTTATGCAGCAGCTCGAGGAACGCGACGGTCGTATAATAAGCGCCGGTCACGTTCGTCTCGAACGCGCGCGCGAAGTCGACGGGCGAGGCGGAGGACCAGAGCGTTTGTTGGACGTTTAGGATGTCCGTGTTTGGGTCGTGGTCTTGGTCTTGGTCTTGGTCTGGGTCTTCTTCGGGCTCGGGTTGAACAGATTGATATTGGTGGTGGAAGTGGGTGGTGTGATTGGGAGCGGGCTGGGTGGAAGTACTAGGAATGGCATCGTGAGAGGGGCTGGGGCGCGAAGTGGGTGAGGGTCGATGCTGATGGTTGGTGGTGGAAGGAGACATGGGAGAATCGGAGGGCGAAGTGGGCGAGCGGTAGGGTTCGAGATGGACTGTGACTGTTGGGTCCGGTCGGGGAGATGTGGCGGTGGCGTCGCGGTCGTTGGTGTTGGTGGAGGTGTTGGTTCGTGGTGGTGGTGGACGAGCTGTCGGTTTTGGGTTTGCTCGATGGAGGGGATGTGCTGGATTGGATGCGAAGTCGTTCGTCGGGAAGAATCCTGTATTTTCCCCAACGTCAGAGCAGCGAAAAAGGATGATTGTGTATAATGGGGTGACACGACGACGGGGATCAGGAACATGACGATAATGATATGGACTTGTATTATTGGTGTAAGAAAGAAATATATAAACACGCACCCGAAGCTTGTCCTGCATTATTTATGAGTATATCGACGTGGCCCGATAGATCTCGTACTGTGTTAACCAGACGGAGAAGTTCCGACCGAGAAGTGATGTCACACTGTACTGGAATCATGTTCCTATACCGCTGTGGCGTCCAATGCAATAAACCAACGAAGCAATATGTACGGAAAAGGTAGCGACAGTCACGGTAAAGGGAATCATCAATGCTTGGTCGCGGGGGGCGAGAGGATGTGTGCGACGTACATTTCGTTCTGCGGCCGCTTGTTCGAGGATGGATAGTCGACGACCTACGATGTATACAACTGCGCCGTTGTTCTCCAGTGCGGTGGCCAACATGAGTCCTAGTCCTGTTCGCGAAACGGGGTAACAGACGCTGTTCGTTAACGTTTGGACTAGTTCCGCGCCACATGAACGCAAACGCCACACTCTACACAACCACCACCTATCCAGCCTGCATAACTCCACGAAAGGCAAAGGGGGGTGGAAGTCAAAGAAGGAAAGACACACCTGTTCCGCCACCCGTAATGACGGCGACCCTCCCTCTCACATCGAATAAGGACGGAACGTCCAATGGCTCCTCCTCTCTCGTTCTCTTCCTCCCCGTAACGCGCTCAACACTCAATCCTACACCGCCACTTCCACTGGCCTCGCCACTTGCACCTCCAGCACCATCGCCGACATAATGCGCCTGCCTATACCTATCCTCTCTCCCCGCACCATTCGGCACATGAATAATCCCTGTTGGTGTCACCCTCTGCGCATCCCATCCTGTACGTTCATGGTCCCCTCCCTCACGTATCGGTGGGATGCCGCTGTCGGAGAAATTGACTGTCCTGGTGAGGTTCGTAGGACCACAGTAACCAGTATGAGAGGGACGAGAAGGATCCGAGCCTCCGTTCGCGAACTTGTATTTCTTGCATCGGAGGTAACTTTGTGGTTCTTGGTCTGTCGGGACGTATTTCCAGTACCAGGACATAATTGCTTGGTATGAAGCTGGGAATGTGAGGGGGTGGGAACGGTATGGTGGATTAGGCGAGATACCACAAGTATATGGGTCGTTCAAGTACGACGTTCCGACGGTTTGTTCGTCTGCGGCTCTGATGGATGTGATGCGAGTGGCGGTCGGACCGGAGTTGAAGCCTTATGTGAATCCGTAGGCAGGCTATCAGAAGCAAAGGTGAGAGGTTGGTGTACATGCCCCAGATTCCGACAAATACGTACAGGCAGTTATGCTGAGCGCTGGCTCGGACCCCCACACTTTCCGTGCACACGACCTTCCCTTCGTGTCAGCGTGCAAGTTGACCGTTGAACTGTCCACGCGTCCAATGGAGCCCAAAGATGTCCAGGCAAGACACGAGCAGAATCCTGGCTGAGTTCCAGCAAGTGAAGGTGGTCAAGGTCAAGAGCAAAGACGGTTGGAGCAAGCGCCGGATCCCGCTGTTCCCAGCACGAGCTTGCTTGACCCTGCCGGCGGTAAGTACGTCGGGCTTCATGGGCGCCGCCACCGAGGATTGAGCTGGATATAAAGGAAAGCGTTTGAGGTCTGTTGGATTTGGATATCAAAATACATACGACCAACTTTTCGTGGCCGCCGTCGGCCACCATGTTTGTCCTCGGTGTCCCAGCGGAACCGAACGTTGTATCTATATTCCGGGAGGCAGACAGCCTGCCTCGTACCTCTTTCTCTGAATCGCGAGGAATACCTACGATAAGTCTGTGGAATAAATTCGCAGATATTCAACGGAGTCGCCTCGTAAGCAGCAAGGTAGTAAGATCCAATGGAGAAGCTAACGGGCGCGGTAAGCAGTGCCATCGTTTACACAACGATGTACGACCCTGAGGGAAACCTGGATACAAATTTAGCGTCACCGGACAACATTCGACGACAACCTACGACAACACGGAGCCGACTGGCAAGTATTAGTTAACAAGAGCATGTACGACCATGCAAATATTTAAGATTAGTGTTCATCCCGACGGTAGTCTATAGTCCAACGGGCCCGATGTGCGATTTTCGCGGGCCATTTTGCAACAAGGCATGCACATGTGTTTTTCTAAGGACACGAGGAAGGACCGCGCATTCGGGTTCAGAGCGCTGTGGGTCCAGATTTTTCATTGCACATTGTGTAGTTGGGCCACAGGGGTTATGGGTGCCACTCGTGAGTTTCCGACGAAAAGTTAGGACAAGTGCCAGAGCCTCGATGGCATTGTTGAGAAGTATTTGTTTGCATATTTAAATTAGGTAGGTAGGTAATTGCAGTCATCCAGCCTAGGTAGAGCCGTGCTAGCTAGTAGCTGACTGGAATTTGGGTAAGGTTGAAAGGGTGAAGGAATGTCTGTCTGTCGAAACTGTCCACTCGTATGGTGAAGAAAAATCTAACAAGTAAGAAGCCGGTACGCGGGTAAAAGTGAACAAAAGTATACGTAGGTGGGCAGGGGGTAAATGGGTAAATGACTAAATATGCAACTGTCTGTCGGAACTTGGAAGCAGGTCTATCGTGTGCGAAGGGACTAGGCGGAACAATATGACAACGAAGAAGTCGGTGATGGGCGGTAGGTGAGGGCGTAGCGCAGAAAGGGTATGGTCAAGGTATGGTAGATATCGGAGCAAAAGAAGGGCTTTGTCGCCCTCACACCAGGATGGTTGAACCAGCACCATCACCGTTCACATCGTTCCCCCTCACAACAACATCCAAGACCCAGCCCCAATCGCCGCACCCGCGCCCAACACCCTATTCATCCACGACCTCTCCGCACCCGAAGTCGAAACCACCACATCACTCGACGTCCCGAATACCCTCACACTCTGCACCTCGAAATACGCATTATCATACGCGCTCCCATCGCCGACCACATAGTCATTGTAACACGTCCCCGTACAAGTCTCCGCGAACACGCTCGACGCGCCCGCGAAATCGCCACAGAGCGTGATATCGAAAATCAGACTCTGCGCGCTGAAGAACGTGCTCATGCTACAGTCCGTCGCGGGGTAGTTCACGGTCGGCGTGCCGAGGACGCTCGTGTCGATGGAGGACGAGTTTGCTGATACGTCGAGGGAGGAGGGGATGTCGGACCTGGAGAAGAACCAGATGTTGATCGCAGAGTCAGAGAATTCGGTGATGAATTGTCCACCGCCTGCGCTGGCGAAAGCGGCGCCGTATGAGTCTGTGGAGGGGTTTTCGACGACGCAACCTTCGTTGGAGTTGGACTCGTAGGAGCAGTCGGTCGAGTTGACGAGCGTCGAGGTTTGGTTGGCGCCGGTGATGGTACAGCCCTGCGCAGTTTCGGAAAACGAGTATGGTTAGTGTGAGCAGAAGAGTTGATTCGGATGGATAGAAGGGAAGAAGGGGATGTGACGTACGGGTTCTGTGTGGAGAGCGAACTGATTACGCTGGACTTGATTCACACCCTCAAACGTGTCGATCTCTCCACCTGTAGGCCAATTTGGCGCTTGTGACCAGAAAGCAGGCCATACGGAGCACTGTAGGACCGAGCAGCCAGTTCGTCAGATTCCAGCCATAAATAATAACACTTCATGGAGCAAGATAGAGCAACTTACACCGAACGGAACATGCAACATATCAGCTACCCAGACACTCCCCGATGAGAACTCATCCTTCGACGCGATACGGACGGTGTTCCGTTTGTCATTGTAGGCCACTGTGGACGTGTTGTCGACCTTCATGATCGCATTACCAGCATCATTGACGTATGCGAGACTGCTGGCATCGGATGCTGAGACGAAGCTATATTGAGCAGAAAGGTCAGACGGTCGGCACCCTCAAGATGATGGAGATAGGGTCAACGTACATAGCATCTCCATTGGTCAGGTTATCGTCTGCGCCACACCGAAAATAAACGAAATAAGATTAGCCAGCCAATCACGACTCTGGGTAAATTTAGAAACAAAAGAGGGCCGAGTGAAGGTGGGTCCATGGAGGCAGCACGAACTCGGCACTTCACCTCCTTGTCTCGCGAAAGACAGCAGACGAAGAGTAAAAGGAGAAATGGAAGTAATAACGCACAGTTTCCATAAAAGTTCCAGTCATCGAAGAATGTCGACCCCACGTACTCCTTCACGAGACCATAAGACGTGGCACGGACGACAGCAGGAAGGAACATTCCCCAGCATATTGTTTGTGCGGACAGCATTGCGATGAGAGTTGAGTGAAGAACAGGAAACGAGATGGGGATGTGGAAGACGGAGCAAATTGCAAAGTTTGCGCGAAGCCTCGATGGGGCTCTAGATATGTATGCTGCCTGACGTGCGTTGGAGCTGCTGAGCGTGTAGGACGATATGGACTAGGTCGTGCTCAAGGCGTTCGCAGTGCGCAGTCTTAGGGGCTGTCCTTGCGTCTGGACGAACTTCGCTGGATGAATACGGTCGGTGAGATTAAAGGTACAAGTAAGCTTTAGGATCGCCGAGGTGAGGCAATCGAACGAAGCGATCCGAGGAACGGGTTGTCGAGGCAGACGATGATGATGACGCAAGAAAGAGAGTAAAGAAAGATATCAGCTTTTTGAGTACTTGAATGACCCAGCTGGCACGAGTTGGAACGAGGGTGAGCGCGATGGCGATGACAAACTCACCGTCACAAAGATGCCGGGATAACGGAATTGCAGTGCAAAATGCCTGGGTGAACTGCGGCCAAGTGGTTCTGAACTTTGTCGGTAGCGAAAGATGCGCAAGGCCAGCTGCGCGAGTTATATGTACTGCGGGTTTGAAAACGAGATGGAGGAGAGGAACAAGTCGTCCAGTAGGTGAATTTTCCCGTCAGTATCTTCGTCGTTTCGAGGCTCAGACGACGCGGTTGGGAGGCAGTGAGCATCATAGAAGAAGTGTGGCCTTTGTGGCGTCGCCGTGGCAGTTCGCGCCGCCGGCCGGGAGAAAAATGGCGCGTGACGTCATCTCCTGCAGGTGCGCGACGCGTTGAGACGCGTCTCCAGAGGTCTTTCAACGGGCAACTTATCTATGAAGCAACTGATGCAAGTGACCTCAGATGAAAACATTGTGAGCAGTACGATCGTTTTCTTGTTTTTCCTACTTCCGGCCAAAAATCAAATGCGACTGTGAAGGATAAGTTAGTAGAATCTAGAGAACATCCGATTTTGCTGCATGTTCACAGTAAATATGTCTGGGTTTCCAAGCTCGTACTCGTGTACGGGAACGTCCCCAACTCTTCAACAATTTGGTGGAACACAGCGGCGGTAGTTAATCGGCAGTGTGATAGAGGACGACGACGTACCTTTTAAGAAGCCTGAGCACGAGGGTTAAAGAGCGTTGACCTGGAGAAGTGTCCATAAACAGTCGTATTTACGTGAAAAGTGGGTTGTTACATGCCCAGCACAAGCTCATGGTACGTGAGACTCGGAGATGATGTGTTGATTGACGGTTGCCATCCTGGTTGGCCGCATTGAGTCAACTCAAGCTTGAATGTCTGATGCTTTGGAGAGCAAAAAGAAGCAGCAGGAAAACCATCCATAAAGCTCTATGATAAAATGACGAAGAAAGATCCAAAGAAGGAGTACGGTGGAGAGGGTAAAGGTAGATAGGGGCTGGGAGGAATGTGGCGGAGATGTACAACTACCGCCACATCGCGGAGCTCGAGACGGAGATCTAATTATTATCGGCGCACATTGTTTCGAGCTTTGTCCCAAATTTTTTCCTCTCGTTATTGGACATGTTCATCTTTTCGTTGTGGACAGTAAACACGTCCAACCTCACCAAACATGTAGTAAGTCGCTCTGGAGATGCTCTACGAACTACTTACTCGCCTTTGAATCTGTGATCACCGGAGTCGTGACCTGTTCGTTCTGAATCGTTTGGTAGAAGACCGTACAATTCATCTCATTCGTACGGACGTTATAACAGAACATGATATATCAACGGAGCTGACGTGTACAACCTATGTCCGTTCTCGATACAAATCGGCGAATACGATTTATGCTGACCTCCCCCTTCTCTCATGCTTAGCATTCACTTGATACTCAATTGGGTGGTGCAAGGCACCTGTCCGCAGACAGGCCTAATGAACGACATATATCATGAGTGATCTGTGTATATTCGTAGAGGAAAGTGGAGACACGTACTGAGATCGTTACCCCACCAATCGGGGAAGGCATGCGCGTTGCCAACGGCCCCGAAGACGGCGAGATTGAGAATGAAACTGATGACCTGGGTTCCGCCGTCAAGGGCACCTGCGACGATGTAGTTGTCTGCACAGGACGGTTAGTGAAAGGGATACTGATATGGAAGTGGGCAGAGATAGACCTACACTTTGTGAACCATCTCGGGTACCTCTTCCTGACCCACAACTGAGAGATGATGCCGATGGCCATGGAGATATTGACCGATGTATTGATACCGACTGCATGCCCCGCAAAGGTCAGCATGCTAGGCCTGAGATGTGGTACGAAGGACTCGAAAAGTGGAATGAGAAAACGCACCGGAGAGGAAACATGAATATTGCACGACGACACCAGTATTGAAGTTGGCGAAGAAGGTGTTCTTGGGGTACATCCTGTGGAGGATGTATCCGGGGATAGGGAGTAAGCAACCAAGACCAAGAGCGGCGGGGACCATGTAGTATATCTTTCCAGCGCTGAACATCTCTCGGCCCAAGGCACCCCACGCTATCGCCTAAAAAACATCCCGTAGGAATCAACATCTTGAAGTGACAGGCATAGTCTGTGAAGTCTCGTCCACGTACATTTGAGTTGTAGCTCTGTGCGTTCTGACCTGACCACAGACGAGTCCCAGCAATGGAGAGGAGAGCCGGACGTTGCGCGTTGATGATGGACAGCCTACAAAAGCAAATCAAAGAAGTACGATGCCATCAGTAGCTAGTTCAACATCACGAGGAAGCACTCCAAAGATGCATCCGCACATCATAACGTAGTTCAGAATAGCGCCGACTATGCATCCGAGGATTTGGACGACGAAGTTGACTTGGGGTGGGATCTTGATGTACTGGCCGAGCTTCAGGTCCTGAAGAAGCTGGATACCTTGAACGGTGGGCTGGCCTCCATAGAGTGCGGCGTACATGTTCGCCACTGGGAATGAATAATCATCAGTGGGCGTTCTTGACCGGGGGATTATCATAGACTTTACATACCAGGATCTCCAGGAGCCATATATGACGCAATCCTGATTGTATAATCTTTGATAAGAGTAGTTAGACAGCACTGTAGAAGAGTGACTCACATCTGATAGAATCCGTTAAGCTGGGAGGTCGTCGTCAGCTACAGATAGAACATAGAAATTACGACGTTTGCGTACCCCTCCACCGAATTGCTTAAATCCCAGAATAGCGGACGTAGTGGCATAAACGGCGGTGAAGAATAATGACAGGATCAGGATCTGTCCACGAACAAGGGTTATATTAGATATCTTAGCTGATGAACTACGACTGGTACACGCCATGAGTACTTACGATTGTGAGTTGCCACCATGTGAAGTGAGAGTTTCCTGTGTAGTCGGTCGCCTGAGACATTAAAAATGAGTGTCAACTTGCGTTTCTAACTGAGTATAAAGTCACTTGCCTGTGCCATGCCGTAGGCAACGGCGAGAAGAGCGATGAACCTGAAGTCATACTATATATGAGTTGGCTTGCATGATAACGGTTAGCAAATTCCACATACCACCACCGGGGTACCTTCCGGTACCTGAGGATATAAATATGTCAGCTGTGCCCTATATTGGATAGTATATTCGTAGAGCGTACCGTTGCATCTCTACGTTGTCCGAACATTAGTCAGGTGTCATAAACGGTTGGTTTCCTATACTCACTGAGGTAATGCTCGTCATGTACGATGGTCTTCTCTTTGTTCCAGGGATTAAGCGCAAGGACAAACGGCCTGATCCTATGAGAACACTGAGCAACACCCTCAAAGTGGATAGAAGAATATTTGACTTACTCTTGCCAGTAAAAGAGGAATACATGGACCGTAGTCGCACCCATGGCCAAATTCTGTGTGATCAGACTGAGGACGTTGGTGGCCGAAAAGAAGGCGGGCTGAGAGTAATACCGTCGGGTCAGTAGGTCAGCGAGTACCGATGAGCATCACGTACACCAATCTCCGCGAATTTCTCCGGGTCGAATTTGCCGTTCGTCAGGATTGCAGCTGTCATAGGGTTCGTAGGTCAGTGCTGACATCTTTATCACAGATGATCTTGACTTGCTCTGGTTGTACTGGTTGCCTGACGAGCAGGTAAATTACGGAAATTAAGTGGAGGGAATATGGTTTACACACCCTCGGTGTCGAACAATGCCTGTGACCTTGAGGATGTAGCAAATCTGATGAGCCATGGTGTATGATGTAAACAAAGTCAAACGTACATGAAGGGGAAGTCCTTTCCGCGCCAGATGTTGCCGTAGTACACTGCGGACTAGTGCGTAGACAAAATTGGCCACTGCACCAGCCGATAAACAACTTCGAAAAACGTACCATCAGGATATACTGCACCATCGAAGTCAATGTCTGTCTTTGAAGACAAAAAAATAAGCCTTATAACTCACGGTGAAGATGATACCGATGTCCTCGTTCAGCTGAGTCCTGTATTACGATCAGCCTCTATTTCACTCCGAATTGAGTCGAACAGGAGCACAGTACGAACCATAGCGGAATATACATGTTGGATGATCCAATCAAGTTCCAATCCAAGCACACAGCCAACAACTGCGAAGTATATATGAGTAACTCCATCTCAAATGCAGCAATTTGGTGGCACTTACACCCATGCCTTCATTGTTACTGGCCTGTTTCACACAATAATCAGTTGCGAGTTCGACATACGGTGAATAAATAATCGAGACATACCCCTCCGAAGATGCTGAAAGCGCGGACAATGACAAATGATATTTAGAGAGGGAATGTAAAATCAAATCGTTTGACGAACTTGCGGATGGTGGCGTGACTGTGGTCGACGAGGCAGAAGATGGTCTATTGGCATGAGCGTGTTAGTTAGGGGAGGTATGACTACGCAGATGAAGAAAATATACTCACCCAACCAGTCATCAGGGGGAACATCCATTGGGGAACTGCGAAACGATAGTGGGGCGGTGAGGAAATTACTCTCCTCCATGCCATGACTCCCCAAAAATGACACTTACTAATCTCGTAGCAAAAGATGGCGAGAAAGACGCCCCAGAAGAGCTACATTGGAATGAAGGTTAGTCGCCAAAGTACAGCCCCTGCGGTCAACGTACCTTGGTTCGCTTACTGCCCAAACCGCCATCGAAATGCAGGGCTTGGAACATGTTAGCGGACATGATGTTCGTGGGCCAGAAGCAAATTGAGGGATACACAAGCGCTTCTTGGAGGAGACCAGCAAAGCCATAGCCAATAAGTTGAGAGGCTAGCAACTGTGAATGATCAGGTCACAGTCCTTTAACAGGTAGAAGCTGTAACTGACAGTAAAGATGGCGACTCCAGGGTTGACCTGGTTGTTGCTTTGATTTGACCAGGTAAAGACGAATCCGGGTACCATATGATGAGTATTGTGACAACTCACTAGTATAATGACTGGACTGAGATGACCTGGATGGCTGTCGCAGAACTGTCCGAGAACGTAAGAAGGACCGATGTGACACCGGGAGAGAAGGCACGTACTTGCTAGCCGTTGACGACATGATGATGATAGCCGCTGTTTTTACTGTGAATACCTACGACCACGGTGATGGCAAGTGAACCACTGACCATGTTCCTTGATGTTGAAAGGGCCAGGGTTGATCCACTTGAACAGGCCCTTCTGTGGAACGACCTTTTCCCAAAACTTGCCAACAAAGTAGGTTATGATCAAGAGAAACCCTGGGAGATTCTCGGTCAGTCGGAATATAATTAGGGATTCTTATCGCTCAAACAGTGGCACCTTGAGAAACTGAGAGTGTTTGTGGCTTGAAATAGTATAGTTGCGCCAACACAGAGCTTTATGTTCCCAACAGTCGTCAGCGGGAGGCTTCGTCGCGCCACAAGGTCTAGAGATAGCATTAGGAACACACGGACACTCACCCAAACGCGGAGAACCCAAGACCGAGGAAGAACATTCGAAACGTTAGAATCGGTAAATCCACGTCGTCACTTTCCACTTCTGTCAGCAAATCGATGAGGCGAGCATGGCTTCGGGGATCCGTACCGGGTACTAAGTACTTTAATGGCGACGTCGTGTGCCGTCTCGACCTTGTACTCGTCGTCGTTAGCCTCCCCGCTAGCGAGACGAGCCTATACCCACCACGCATTGGTGGTTAACCATACATCAGTGACATTTACCGGAGAGCCGATTGGCACTTACCTCAAGTTCCTCTGTCTTCTTCAGTTGCTCGACATCATCGACAGTCTCCGTAGAATTCAAATCCTCCTTCGAGAGCTTCTCCTCGTCGTCAACGGGTTCTGTGCGTCCTCCAACTGGGTCGGCTACCTTCTCGTTGAAGTCTGCCATAGTTCCAGAGCAGGACTTGAGGGAGTACGATGCAAGGAGAGTGACGGTGGTGCCTCAGAGTGGGTGCCCGTCTCGCGCGACCACCTTTTAAACGCTATGTGAAGAACACCACATAGGGAGATCCACAATTCTCATCAGTCTCGCATGACAAGGCTACTGAATGAGCGATAGCTAAAATGGCACAGTGGAACCCGGAAGGAGCGTCGTTGTTCACAGCGAAGGAGCGGATGCACACGATAAGTGCTTTACTTAGAAGACACCCAGAGGCACGCTGCGGGTACTTGACGTGCGAGTGTGCATTCTGACACTCTTCGGAGCATGCTGGAGAGCGTGGGTGGAGGCCACAAGCGTGTGCACGCTGTTCACATGCATTTCAGCCGTTCCGACAAGAGCCAATACATCGTAAGCTTCTTAATTCTCGGAGATTTTGGAACATTACCAAGCTTACTGTTACAGCCGGACATTCCTCATCGCACTGTCCAAAACTTACTAGTCAACGTCGATTGATGATGAAACCGACTGTTCATGCTGCAAATACAAGTCTTCCTAACGTATCTTCTCACCAGCCTGGCCAATCCGAGGAGCTAGTTTGACTTCGAGTGTGCGTAAGTGGCCTCTAGTCTAGATTTGACGTAGTCACCGGCTGTGACGACTTCGTATTTCGCGGGGAACTCGGGGGAAACGCAACTTTCCAATGCCTGTGACATAGAACAGTATGTAGGTCATGTCTGGAATTTAGTTCACAAAGCTGCACGACGCACCTCAAGCTTCACATTGTAATCCGTGCCAAAGAACAGCGGCATGGAATAGCGCTCAATGCCGGTGCGGTTAGTAGCACGGTGTTTCGTTGATTTGAACACGTCGTCTGTAAGTCGGAGCAGAATGAGACAATGTCGCACGATCAAATAAGACCGGAAAAAACGGGTACTTGTCCATCTAGCGAACTGATCGCCCAAGCTGGTGTGATCATTAGCGCAGAGTAAGATACAGAATCATCTAAAGACCCACTTGATGACCAGCGATCCGGGTATTGGCACGGCGTCTATCCACTGTCCTCGCTTATTCAAAACCTGAAGTGCATTTATGCCGTCTTGTTGCCACAATATAGTAAAGCACTACGTTTGACCACAGAATGTGAGTATATAGGTTTAAGGAACGCGGTGATCGGGACTCACCTCGTAGCTATTACAGCGGTGAGTTGTAAAATATGAGCAAGCCAAGTCGACAAGTACAACGAAGACTAACTCTGTATGTGCCCCTATCCCGATGGTGCTGTCTGACACGTCTCCGTCCTGAGGCGGATAGTAAAGCATTCGCATAATTGCTGCAGGCCTCGTTATCTAAGCATTAAGGCGACTGCAGGTCAGTCACCATTGTAAGACGTTGGCCCACAGAACACCTACCTTGTCATCAAAAAAATTCTCTGGAAGATCCAACGCGAGAGCGAAGAGTGGAAACATGTATTTGCCTAGGCTTATCGCCGCGTGGCTATTCATGCACCTAACTTAACGATCGTTATAACGGCATTGGCGGAAAGAAACCCCGTACTAATATTCGAGTGCTGCTTTCCTGAACCCGGGGATTTCTTCCTCACTGGGCCACACGTTCTCGCCCTTCATAGCGCCTTCACTTTCCGTATCTGTGGCTGGCTGAGACTGAGACTCGAACAGCTCCTCCCATCCTATATCGAACCCTTCGTGAAGATCGCCTCTGTTCAATGGATCCGTGTTTTCACCAAGCAGAGCGGTGTACCCTTTGAAATTCGATGAGTTATGGATATCGAGCTAAAGATAGAGGATATATGAGCCTGGTGCAAAACATAGTCGATGACACAGTGCGGACTTACCGCGATCTTCGAGGCAAGAGGGAGGGAGAAGAACCGTTGCGCTGCAGCATGAGCACGAGAGGTCGTTGCATCCGGTACACCGTGATTGGTAACTATTGTAAACGGTCGTTCCTCAGAGATCTCGCGATAAAAACGGTATATGTCTGTATAGGCCCACCATAGAAGAATCCTACATTGATACAGGCGTCGCGGATAGAGTCTGCCATCTGTCGACGCAAGTCAGGATCATTGCTACTGGCACCGTTTAAATCTCTACGCGGAGATTTGAGCCTTCGTGAGTACTACAGAGAATAAAAGGCAGCACACATCAGAGGGATTTCGTCGAATGTACTCTCTGTTCGTTCCACAGCAAACATAAGAGGCCGTTGAAGAGGCTTATCAGCTGACATCGTGAGTACTGCAGGCTCCCAGGCTCGAGGTCTAGGGAAAGCACTTCCCCGACGGGACAGTCAAAGTGGAGGTTGATGTTCAGTTCTTATCATGGTGAGAAACCGAATTCAGGGCGTCGAGCGGGGTCGTAAGCGGAGTTCAAACTTCCAGGCGCCAGGCACCAGGCTCCTAATAGTTAGGCTCAAGTTGGGCCACAATGGAACGAGCGATTCCGGTTTTGACCTACCTATTTAATATTTTCGCCAGTAATCACTTTATACGCCTTTGAAAATTTTATAACTCGCTCGATGTTTTGTGCTAACGACTACATCATGTATTAAAAAGAAATTCGAGCCATGACGCTTCCATGCCCCACCGACCCCCGGCGAACTCAGAACTCCCCAGATCCAGGCCCAAAATGCTGTCCTTTAATAACCTTTTTCCAAGGTGTCGACTTTGTGTCCATTGTCTCGATAGTATTACCCCACCAGTCAAAGGAGATTTTGTTGTAGGAGAGAGCGAAGAATATGATGATGGTGGCGAAGGCTACACCGGTGTCGAGTCCGGCGGAAAGGAGGTCTGTGGACGAGATTGGCATATGTAAGTGGATGAACTCGGTAGTTGAGATAAAGGGAGGGGACACATAAGGACCAGGAGGAACATTCGTACAGTTGTAACGCTTCCACCATGCGAAGGCGCGTCGACGGATGTAGTAATTGAATACAAAGCCAGTGATGAACCTTTTGATGTACAAGGCCTCGTATATTTAGCAAAGAAAAAATATGTCGAGGAAACACAGGTAGGAAGGCGCACCAGAGCGAAAATTGTGTAGTGTTCGCTGGAGCTATAGAAGAAAAGAAACTCAAAGTCGGGACCCCCGAAGGAGCAACGCGATTGGACGTACGGATTGCACCAGCGGAATTGAAGCTGCGGAAGGATCAACAACCATATTTTAGTAGGCTATATAAGATAAAGCTGGTACTACTCACAAGATAGGCAGATGGACATAACGCAGCCAGCTCTTGGGATAGCGTTTATATAAAAAGTAGAAGATGACGACCAGCGCGGGCTATACGTCAAGCCAAAAGCGTTAGCACAAACCCTCAGGTAGATAGCTTCGAAAGGATACTCACGCCGATGAGGAAGAACCACGGCAACTGTCCCTCGCACGTTTTAATTAGCTCTTACTCAATAACAGAACGTTACAGATGAAGAGTCTTACCTGCGTATACGTCTGCCCCCTCTGAAACAGCCTTTGTGGTCCAATCGCTGCAGGGTGAGCCCAAAATGTATCAGCACTACAGTAGCCATGGGACATTGAAGGATAATCCAGCACTTACTCCCCCATATAATACTCGCATTGTAAACCACCTTCGTCCCAGCACACGTGAACCGATTCTTGTTTGTCGGACTACATAAGTCCTCTATGTTCCCGAGCATCCACCGGAAGACTAGTTTTTACAAGCAGACAGACGCGTGAGTTTCGTTGTTCAAAGGTGGGAAGGAAAGAATGTTACCTCCAACTTGAGTAATACATGACAGAATTGAGGAGTATATTTGCGCCCAGAAGAGAATCCGAGGGCTAACTTTCCTGTAAGGAGTCGTGGGCTTGAGTATGAGAGGGACCTACACGTAGCGAGGTTGAAGAGGCAAAGGAAATAGGGCAGTACGAACATGTACTGTACGAAGAAAAGAACATCACATACGTCAGCACAAAATTTGTCAGTCATGGAAAGAGTCAGGGTAAGGCTGACCTGGCCGAGCTTGAGATCTTGCGCAAAGTCCATGCCATGTTTGACCATATTATATCCCTACAGAGTTTATAGCACAGAAAGACGGCAATAAGCATCAACCAAATGCTACAATGGCGATACCAATGGGAAAGTCAAGATGATAACTTCATACTCACGTAGATTTTGACCATCATATTTGCAAGTGGCTTCCCAGGCCATATATATCCCGCGATGAGTTCCGCTATCAGCATAAACTCTTGAGCTCGTGAACGATGATGAGCGAGAAAGTAAATGTACGGACTGATGATATTAAGATATATCCTCTGGTTCGTAGCGCCCTCCAATATCCCTTCCGGCACCATCATCACTACGCCGATACCCCAGGCCACGACGATGAAGCCCCACACAGGCAACTACACGAGAAAAACACGTATCATAAGTGTAAATAGTCTGGAAGAACGGCTTTGGGGAGAAGCTTACCTGTGTGTCCCAGTATCGTGTAGTAAAGATACCCAAGCCGAGGGTGACCACAGTCAGGACCATATACCACCTATATATCCAACAAATATTGAATAAGCCGTCGATCCCCGAGCCTCGTCGATGCAGCCATGACATACCACTCTGGGACGTTCTTATACTTGCTCATAAGCCGCTTATGGATGTCCTCGCCACCACTCGCAGGATTTCGAAACTAGGAAGACAAGTGAACACGGTCCCTTTTGGCTTGTCCACCCAAGAAGCTAGTCGACAATTGAGCAGACGTACCTTCGCCCATATTTCAGCCCCGTTGTACAGATAGGTATGTATCAGAATGGCTGCACAGATGAAGACACCATACATTAGTCGAGTGGTCGAACAAATGTGAAGGCAGGGGAATATTACACACCAGTGATAGCGGCGAAATTAAGCCCGTACGAGATCGAGTAGGTCATAGCGATATACCTGCCATGAATAATCAGCATAGTCATCGATTGAGAGAAATTAGGATCGGTTGCCGGTAGGGGTAGAGATGGAAATCTTTCGGGGAATAGGGAACCAAGGCAGGCAACGTACATTGGAGAATACGCTTTATAATTCTCGAGGTTGAACGACAGATCTACATAAGACGTCAGCCGACTCCAGGACATGAACTCAACACCAGCACGTTATAAGAGGTGGTATGTGCGGGGTGTGAATACATACCTGAATTGACGACTTTGCTGACGTTGTAAGATGCTCCCGTGTTGTCGAATGTCGAGCTCGAGAGGAGCGGAAGACTAACCCGTAAATGAGACGCCTTTTACAACGAAACATGATACACAGAAGTGGACATACTAATATGAGTACCAGACACCTGCGTCTTTATTCGAAGGCGTTTAGTGCCCTCAAGTATCCTACTACGACAAGAGAGATACTTACAATATAGCTAGAGACGCGTGAGACACACACTGGGTCCAGACAGATAAGAATGAAATACGTACGATAGGAGCAACAACGAAATAAAATAATGCTACCGACGCGAACGAGTTCGCCGTCACCCAGAAGGGCGTCGTCAGCGGCTGGCCAGCATAGCTGATCACCGTCCAGTCGAACGAAATCGGAAGGAGACCTGAACATGACGTACGCCATAAACCATATGCCACGCACCACGAGGTCGCCAGTCAGAACAAATCATACACTGGATTATCACTAAAGTGTAGATGGAAGGCGGAGGGAAGCTCACCAAGACCGCTGCTCATCCCAAACAACGCGTTGACTTTCTGATTATTCGGCCATATCCAAGTGAAAAAGGCAAATGAAGAGAGGCCTGTCCAAATATAATCTGGGAACCAGTACCAGAGAAAACTCCCTGCGACGACGTAGAGGAAGAATCGATAACCTATGACGAGTGCACGAAGTTCAGACGATGGAAGTGTTGAGTTTCCAGAGTGAAGTACAATATACTGACGTGTTACTACCCATCCATTTGCAGGATTCCGATTCTGAGGCTCGTGTAGAGCGCGAAACAGAACAGTCGAAGCGAGTGAAGACGGCCAGATCATGGCGCCTGGAGAAATACTCAGCATGGGAGAACATCGGATACTCGAGGAAGATATACACACCAGGATACACGATCCACCGCCGTGCAAGACCCGCCAGCCCAAACCTAGGTCGATATTCTCGTCAGTCAACTTGACTCAGACTAGCAAGGCAAGGTCAAGAGAGAACTCACCCAAGAACCTGACTGGTAAAAATATACAACACTCCGAAACCAGCCCCATAGTCCAATCCCCAATACTCCTTCGAAGTCATGGCGACCAGCGAGTTCATACCATAAGCCGTACTGTTCGTCAGATTTACGCATATCACGATGATGGCGTGTCTGAGGAGAACGAGGTAATTATTATATGGAACTGAAGGTTTTGGAAAGAGAAGCACAGCTTATATAACAAAGCGACGTACTCTTTAACGTGAAAACGTCCGGGATTTATCCTGAACCTCCATCGTCCAAAACCGACCCTCCACGTAGGAAGTCGCTCCCATAGCCGCCCAATGGGGAATACGAGGAGTTGGGCCACAACGTAGTTGAGTGACAGACTTGGCTATGTCGACATGAGATATCATTGATATTTTGGCGAATGTCCAAGCAGGAGCTTCAGCTTCAGGACGGAGTGTTTGGTAAGTTGTGGCTTACATAGCGTAGTCTATTAGTGCGCACATTCGTTTGCGTATCAGCAGGTAGTGTGCATAGACATTAGACGGGTACTTACGAGAAAAATACGTTGACTCCCGAAAACAGTATCACGAAAATTGTCGTCAGGAACCACATTCGGAACGCTGTATGCTCGCATTTCAGTTAAACAACGCATTTAACGGACAAGATTGAAAGCGCAAAATCGAACGCACTATTGACCTCCAACTCCACATCATCACCCGTCGACACACAAGCCTGCACCTCCGGAAAAGGTGACCGGTCCCCGGAGACATCCCACCTGGCTGACTCCATGGGCGTCAACTCTTTCGTATCGGCGTCCATCCTATCTCCATCGTGCTGACTATGGCTTTCCTTCTCGCTCAAGCTATCGTTGCCAGCCTTCTCGACATCGACGTCAACATCAGCCTTGATATCCTCTTCACTAGGAGTGACGGGACTAGAAAAGGGTAGTTCGGCGGTTGGAGCCGCCATATCTGAGCTTGAAGCTGTGGAAGACTCAGCCTGATCTAGATTATTCAGAGGCGACGAGGTCTGACGCCGTTCTCGAGTCGTTGATGTCCAGGGTAAGTTACTCTCAAACCAGGAAAGAACTGCCATGTTGACAAGCGCAAGCCCAGAGTGAACAGATCCAAAAACCACAAAAAGATGTATGTTCTTACGGATAGCAGGGCAGAGAAAAAAGTGGAGGGGGAAGAGTTCGAAGGCGGGATTGAAGATGCTCAGGCTCCTCTCAACTCCGGGTACAATGATTGTCTTTCGTAAAAATGCATGCACCATATGGACCACCATTCCATGCTTCCCGCTATTTATACTCCGTCCCGCTCATCACGGTACACGATGGAGTTTGCGCCAGCATCGAAGGAGGAGCTGCAGTGCTCCATTGATAGTGCTCTGGACGCCAAACCATACTAGGACTAGATAAGGCTCAAAGAGATCCGATTCGTATCAGGGCAAAGCAAAAGTCGAGGAAGTTGAGACCAGAAAGCACCATGCAAGCTGGCCTCATCGAGAAGTTGATATGTGGCGTTTGGAAGGAAGGCTGAATGGAGAAACGTCGACAACTTGACTGGAACAGTCCGGTCCGGACGATATCGGAAGGCTCCCACGCAACGGTCAGTGGGTGGCGTATAGGGCCCCTCCTGTTGTGGCCCGAGTAATAAGTAACCCATGTTTTTGGACAAGACCATAGTAGACATTGCTATTCAACTCCAAGGCGAGCGATCGTATTAGCGACGATAAGCGGGCAACCTGGAGCCGAAGCAGGCCTCTTGCTGTTCGAATACTAGGGTTTGACGCGTGTTCGCCGTCGCTCATCCCGTGCAGCAGATCTTTGCGTGGACTTCGAAGTACCTACTCAAGACGTTTACTTGGAAAGATAGAATATCGGCGATAGGATGGCGAGAGAAGCCATTCGTGTTCGCCACCTTGGTTACTCACAGGTACGAGCCTTGATTATGTGGGACACATATCCATGGTGAAGAGGGACGACCGCCGTCACTCACCTCGTAGGCAAGTATGCAGATATGACGGAGGGTTACAGTCACTGATCACCAGCATTGAGATTCTACGAAGATACGCAGGAAGGGGAAGGAGAATAATACATATAAGTATGCGGAAGGATTCAGAAGCATTGAGCAGTAAAGAGGTCTAGTTTATGTTAGCACATTTCTACTAGCATGTCAGAAATAAAGAATAGCGAGACCGCAGAGAAGAGTCGTAGGAAACGGAACCAAGATGACAGCTTGAAGGACACTGGGATTAATTGTGAGCGCTTTGACCATACGCCAAAGTACCCTGCCCACGCTCAGGGTCCTCCATACGAAGCACCCGAACGGACGGTCCGACGTGGATGTTCTGCATGTTCTGGGGCGTGATGAGGATGTACTGTTTACCCTCGGACGAGTTGGCCGTATCGATCTGCAACGCAAGTTCACCGTCAGACTCCACAAATGACTGGAACATAGCCACGAGGAGAGAGATAATAGGAACGAAGACGTACCATCATCTTCATACTGATACGCCTGTTCACAGCGTCCATGAACACGTCGAACTCGTCCAAGCAACGGATCGGACTGCCGATAGACTCCCACATCGCCAACAAGAGACATATCGTGGCGAAGGATTTTTCGCCACCGCTGAGCGAACGAGGATCCTTGTCACGGTTGCCTTGCTGCGTACCGATATGCTGTTCTTCAGTTCGAACCTTGGAACAGGACATATCAGCATAGCGCCTGGGCGAGTCGCGACCAGAGACACGGGACAAGAATGCTTACCTTGAGTTGGAGCGTCTGATCGGTGTGGTTGAACATGACTTTGCCGTAGTAACCACGGTTGGAAAGATGGAACTGGAACACGACTTTGCACCTGAAAGCGATGTGGCGCCGGAAGTCGTACCATTTGTTCAGACGAATCTTCAAAGACGTCTTCAAAGCCTGTACGTTCAAGGTAGATGCCATCAGCGCTGAGCAGAGAAATGTATCCTGAGATCGACGCGGGGGAAAGCAACGAACGCTGTTCAACCGAACGACTTGATTATACTCCTTCTTCGCACTCTCCCAAGCAGCATGAGTCCTGTTGACTTCGATGGTCATCTCTTCGACCGAGGCTCCGTGTCTGAAAGGAAAGAGTTCGTCAGACCAATCACAATGAGCATGATGACGGAATGGTCTTACTTCTTCTCCCTCTCCTTCAACGCCTTCTGCACTGCGTTCAAATCCCTCTCAACTTCAGTCACCGAGCGTGGGTTCTCCACCCGCGCACAGAACTGCTCTGCTTTCTCCGTCCAGTTCTGTGATAGGAAGAGACAGTCAGTCAACACGGCATGGCGCTAGCTAATTGCTTACGAGGCCCAGACTGACCTCAAACTCTTGCTGCACCAATTTCACCCGCCCTAGTGCTGCCTCTACCTTGTCGTTTTCCTCCTTCAGCTTCCCGATCCAATGCTTCTGATTGGCCTGTGCCTGCACACGGTCCTCGACTGCGGCCATGACCGCGTTCTGGATGAAAGCCAAGAAGGATCAGCAAACTCTTAGGTGGAAAGGCCGGAGATGGATGAACACATACATTGGCCTCCTGTGCACGCCCATCAAATGCGCTGATCTGGTCTCTAAGCGCTCTTGTCTCGGCGTTCAGAGGCTTGAGCTCATTGTCGATCTGCTCTTTCTGCTCGGCCAAGACTCGGAACTGATCGAGAATGACCTCGATCTCTTTTTCCATGTCCTGTAGGAGTCATTCGGTAGTCACCATAGAAAACAAAAAGATCGACCGCGGTGATCGTAAGGTGGAGATATAAGGATCAAACAATGAGTTTCTCGCAGGGCATAATAAGATATATGACGACGTACGCGTCTTGCCTCCTCAAGCCCAGCATTCTCAGCAGGCATGCAGTCGTTGAGCTCAACCTGCAGTCCGTCCCGCCTGTTCCTCGCTTCGTCTTTGATGCGGTACGCTTTCTTCGCTTGAGTCTGTTATCGCAACATGGCGCATCGAGCCACAAGATCAGCAGAAAGGAATAGCAACGTCGTCAGTAAGACTGAATCTTCCAGCGACGATCCCAGAGAGATTTGACGCACCCTCAAATCGTTCAACCGCCTCTGCGCATCCCGGAAATCCTGGTCATCTTGACCATATTTGATGTCCAAACGTTGGATCTCCTCCTGGGTCTCTTGGTATTTGCGCCGCCAATCGCTGAAGGGCACAGGAAAAGGTGTTAGTTGGTGGGCAGACAGGGGTTTAAAAGACGAAAACGGTGGACGACTTACTGAAGCTGAGCAGCCGGATCCTTGCCCGTCCACAACAGATTCCTTGGGTCCCTCATACTCGGGGGGTTGAAAGGAGTAGACCCTCCTCCATCACTGTGATCGAGATGATTGTCAGTGAAAAGAACGAAGTCAGCAACAGGATACTAAAGGAAGGCGTACTGGGCACGGTTAACCCTGTAGAAATCGTTCGTGAAGGCCATTCCGCCTCCGTGGATCTGACTCAGAATGTCGTCGGCAATCTTACGCGTGTCGGCGAGGATGATCTTCTCTATACGGCTCGAGTTGATCATGAGCCGGAGGACGTAGGGGTCCGCCACCTAGGACGCGTAGCGAACATAAACAATCAGAATGTGCTAACGCGTGCGAAAAATGGATGCATACGTCGATGGCACGAAGGATCGTGGTGTACTGAGCGGGAGGCTCGCCTGCACTGTAATCAAACAGGTCGCGTTTCGCGACAATAATGCTGATCTGAGGGCTAACGTAGCGGACGAACAAATGCAGTCAGCCAAAGCGCTCAAAGCCATAACACTGTCGTCAGCAAACAGTACCATAAACGAAATTTACTTACTTTCCATACTTCTTCAACAGCGCGCTCAACTGTGGCCGATCCCTTCCATCCGTCAACGCAAAGCTGCTCATCATCCCCCCGATCTGGGTCCTCAACAACGGCGCCCACTTCATATCCTTCACAGTAACGTATTTGCCCAGAGGGCCAACCACCTCGCCGTGCCAACTCTGCCTTTCCACCTCCTGCAAGACCCTATTGATATCCTTTCCGTATGGCGCCAACGCATTCTTCTGCTGCTCCATACACCTCTGAATTTGCTGCTGGCACTCGTCCAAGCGGCTCTTAGCCTGGTTGATCTCGTACGCAGTCTGCTGAGGGACAGCGCGCAGCTGATTGACGGTGGCTTCGAGATCTTTGCCCTGGGTTTCGAGATCCCGGAGGCGGGATTCAGCAAGACGATATTCGTCCTTCGCGGCGTTGAGCCGGGTCTGAATGTCGTCTTGTTTGGCTTGTGAGTTCGCGGCGTTCTTCTGGTTCTCGGTCTCGATCCTGTGGGTGAGCTCTTCGATCTGGCGTTTGACCCTGCGGTGGTCGCCTTGTAGGTTCTTCTGGTCGTTCTGTTGTGCGATATATCAGAGAACGTGACGCTGTACGCTGGGGGGTGAATGTGAATTGAAGGTGGGTACGTACCACATTCTCTGAGAGCTTCTTGGTCTTCTCGCGGATCTGTACTCCGATCTCGGCTTTCCTGTCGTGGAGATGTGTGACATTACCAAGGCCAGCGTGGATTTCCTCTTTGACCCTTACGGTCTCAGTTGTCTCTTGAAGTTTTTGCTACAGAAAATATGCGCGTACGCGTCAGTTCCGGTGATCATGATGAACGGAGTATTGGGATTAGAGTACTCACCTCCGCGTTCGCAAGGGCTGTTTCAACCCTAGGAAGTCTGGCCTCCAACCTCGTATGCTCTGACACCCTCTGACGGAGTTCCTAAAGATTAAAAGGCCAAACAAACCACCGACACGATCAATACTCCGCTAGACTCATCGCAAAAAAAGTAGCGAGAAACACAAACCTCCTCTTTCGTAGCGACATGCGCCCAAGCTAGCTCCTTCTTCAGATCGTCCGCCCTCTGCTTCTGCTCACGCGCTTTGCTCGCCTCGTCGAACCTGGCCGTCGCCTCCGTGAATCGTTCCTCCAGATCTGGGAGGGCTTCTTTCTTGGCTGTGAGCACTTTGGACATGGACGAGATGTTCTCCATGATGAGCTCGTATTCTTCGCTGAGTTGGGAGAGTTGCGTGCCGCGGAGGAAGAACTTAGGTGGGGATGTAAGTAAAGGAATCATGAAGACAATATTTTTATTTACCTTGTACTTGTCGTTTGGAGAGGACGCGCTGAGGAACTGCCTGTGTTTCCAGTCAATATATGACCTTGAACAAGTGTAGTATATGAGATACTGTACCTAGCAGCATCTAAAAGTCACCATAAAAACCGGTAAGTATCATGCATACAAAATAGACGGTCGTCATTATTCTGTAAATGAGAATATGCCTCACCTTGCGTCAAGATGTTCATCGGATTGTCCACTTGAATGTTCATATGGTCGCATATCTTGGACAGCTCGTCCCGTTTCGTGGAAATGACGCGACCGTCCCTGCTCTTGATCTTGTAGGACGACCCTCCGTCCTTGGTGAAGCGACGAGTGATAACGATACTATCACCGTATATGTCGTGGTTATAAGCTTCATCTCCCTGATTCTTCAGGACAAGGGTCACTTCGGAGACGCTGTAGAGTAAGGATGGTCAGAACTGAATATTATTCTTCTTTGTCGCCTATAACGAGCTTCACGTACGATTGTCCCTCACGGATAAAGGATTTGAGGCCATTAGCGCGTCCAGTGGAGGACGATTTACCACCCAACGCTACAGTGATGGCCGAAAGACAAGCGCTCTTCCCACCTGCGGAAAATATGTTAGAACAAAAGATTGCACGAGCAATCGGGGCGAAGATAGGAGGTCACTGACTTCCATTATGTCCTGAAAGAAGAAGTTCGGTGAGTGTATGCGCAAGAAATGCCGAGAGACGGGCTGACCGATAATGAAGTTGATCTGAGGACCGAACTTGAAGGAGAGGAACTTATGGCACATGAACTGGTGCATCTCGACGGACTCGATAATTCCAAACTGGGCTATGCCCTATAGGTCCCAGTGCGTCAGATTAGCAATAAGAATAAGAAAAGTATGTTAGAGCTACTTACGCCGCTAAGATGCTCCCTGTTGCGGATGGATTGACGGATAGCCTCCTCATGCTCCTGCTCGAAACGGTCGGTAGTGGTCAAATCATCCTCAGCTTGCTGAGACTCATGAAGGTCGTCCAAGGTGACTGGTTCGGCGTCTTCGTCGTCTATCCCATCTGCATCCCCACCCTTTTTCGCGCGTTTTTTCTTCGATTTCGAGCTCTCACCAGCTGGGGCAGCATAAGTGATGCGCTCGTTAGCCTGCTCGTTAAATCTGGCGCGCTTGGAAGACCCAGCCTGGGCCTCCTGTTGCTCTGCTTCGCCATCGCTCTCTATAGCATTCGATCGGCGTTTGGCCATCGTTGTGGAGTATAAGAAGAGGCGATATGTTTCGAGGGTGCAGGACGAAGGAAGTGATGGAAGGAGACAAGACGCGTCGCGTCGCGAGTCCCAAATGCACGAGCCCGCAGCGTGGGAGCTTTGATCCAAAAATAGAAAAAGCCCTGAAAATGCGCGCGATGCCGTAATCGGTGTTGACTGGTCATTGGCTGACGGCATCCGTGCAGTAATCATTCTAGTGCTCCCAATATCTGATAGAAAATCACGAAAGCTGTACGAAAATCACTGTCCGAGCGCCCTCTGTGTAGTGCATATTTTTATAAAGTGAGGGGAAATTGCAAGGGGTTGCGCAGTGGGACAGAGGCTAGAGCCTGGTAAGGCAACCGATTAGCCGACACGAGGTTCGAAGGTGGTAGCTACCAATTAGAAACAATCCCCTTCTTGATCACAACGTCCACCATCCCCCTTCCTCTCCCCTCCCTTTTCGCCCACTACCCAGGAGCACTTTATTTGTGCTCTTTCTTATCCACATTCTTCGCCTGAGCTGAGGCATCCATTCACTTTTACCTTCATTCATTTCGATTTCGCTCTCACACATGGCCCAGCCTATCCAATACCGCAATCCTCCTCTCGCAGGCAGACCGCCGTACGCGACTGACGAACCGGATTCAATGTTTGCACCCAATCCTTACCAGCAGCCCAGGATGGGTATGCCAAAACCCCAGGACCCCAACGCTCGTTCTTCGGCCTACAATCAGTGAGTGCAGCTCACAAATCTTCGCACCGCAGCGCCGACTTGCTCCGCCGAGCTTATTGCGTCCGAATGATTGACTTGCTGATGCGCGATGCATCGACCACAACAGCTACGACAACTACCTCGAAGGCAATCGCCACTCCGGTGCCGGTGCGCTCGGTATGGGAATGATGAGTGGCGACATGGACGATGACGACGAAGATGCCTATGCCAACGACAACAAGCATGCCGCCCTCGCGGCTGCCACTGGTCGCGGAATACCTGAACCTTTACCCGCACCTCGTCCCGGATATGTTGCATCAAAGAATCCGTTCGAGATCCCAGTTCCTGCTCCTGCCGCTGCCCCCGAAGGTCGTCAAATGGCCCAGCTTCCCGCAGCTCTCGCAGCTGCCGGTGGCCGTCCTCCCGCCTTACTCACGACCATTCCTCCGCCTGCTCCGATTTCGGTTCCCAGCACTCCCCACCCTCTCCCACCGACAATGACTCCGATCACTCCCGCCTTTGCTCGTCCCGTGAAACCTACGTCTCAACGCGACGTCACGTTCGGCAGGGAACCGATCATGAGGAGTAACTCAGAGGAAAGGCTTCTTCCCCGTCGCGGCGAGAAGGGCGATGATTTCTGGAGGAGGTTCAGTATGATCGCGAAGGAGGAGAAGTCAAAGCCGTACAAACAGAGGTATGTAGGTCGATTTTCTGAGCACTGCATCGACTGCTAACCCCTTCAGTGCTAGCCAATGGCTTCGGTCAACACAGAATGGGACTAATCGTATGTCTCGTTGTATCTGGTTGGTCGGCCTTGTCCTTCTCGCTGTAAGTCTCTCTTGTTTTGTTTTGCTCTGCTTGCAGTTGTTTACAGCATGGCTGATGATGCTCCATGTAGGCTGTCGGTCTTGGTATTGGCCTCGGCTGGTATGTCGCCCACAACTCCAAAGGCTCTTCGGACCCCACCGCGGTCGGCGGCAGTGCCAACCAGGCGTCGACCTACTCGCCTACGTCAACAGCCGCTGCGACGTCGTCATCTCATCATGTATCGCCAACGAACACTGTCGCTCGACGAGACGCTTTCCCCGAGCCTGTACCGACTGGCACCACGTTCAATATCGTGCATATCGATCACCCAGGCCTGAAGTCGGCAAAGCGAGATATAGAGACGGACGTGGACTTGGACGTAGAGGTGGCGGAGAAGAGAGCGGTGAATCCCGCAGCGGCATCAAGACATCGGAGGCATCATCAGAACCGTACTTCGTATTAGGGCCCAGACTACCCATGCCTGGATCTTATTCCCTGGGAACTCGGCTTTCCGAGCCGGCAGCGCTTGGACTGTCCTGATATCCTGTCCACTCGTTCCTTTCCCTCCTGCGTGATATCTCCGCTTCTTGCGCCCATAGATCATCGCCCCTCCCATCCTACCACACCCTCATCCTACACGACGATCGCTACACATCAACACACAATTATACCCCATTTGCCTTGCTTGATCTCCGTGTGTGTTGCTCCTCTTTGCTGTTCCTCTGCTTGCACTATTATCTTCCATCGTCCCGCGGATCCCTCTTTTTTTCCTTGGTCATTTATTTCGTCGTTCATCTCTCCCGCGGTACTCATTTTACGAGAACGACCAGCCGTTATTATTTAAAAGGCTGGTCTTTATTAATGCCCCTTCCCTGCTCCACGCGTCACACATGAGGGGGTGGACGCTGGACCGGATCTTCGACTCGTTAGGATATTCCAGTTCTCAGGATATACCCGTGGACACCCACTAGCCAACCAGGACATCGACGTACTAGTACTTATTGCCTAAGTATCCGAGTTCCCCACACATGCTCTGTGACGGTCACGACGAGCAAACGAGGACACAAGTACGTGAGGGCAGACTATGTACAGTGCGACGCGACGGGCAAGGCAGGCAGGTGGGGGGGGGGGGGGGGGTTTAGAGTGGGAGTAGGACAAGGACAAGGACAGGGTTCGGGGTTCGAATGTGGTGACTAGGAACAGTCGAGTAAGGACTCATTGTACATGCCACCGCATACATACCCTTCCTGCCCCTCGCGCGCACTGTTACACGCGTTATACGGTTATACATGTTGCCTGCTTGATTTCAGATCGAAGGGTTCGTTTGCTTGTCCGATTGCTTGGTTGATGACCTTGTGTACTTAGTACTTGAATTTCTTTATATTGGTCGGAATTGGGCTTTGGTTGAATCTCGTCGTGGGGTCCTGGAATATTTGCGAAGGGAGCCGGAACATTGCAAATAAGGACAAGTAGAATTCACCGGCCGATGCCGAGGCCAATATCTCCGACTCTCAGGCTGGAGCACAAAAAATGTGGATGAGTATGATGAGATACTTTAATTGGTTCGGTTCTAAAACACTGTGAGATCTTCTGAAGCTCGTTCATCCTCTTACGGCCTGAAACTTACCATGGCGGCGATAAAGTGGTAGAATAAAAGTCATAACTGGCATGTCGACTGGCTCAGGTCCAGCCGGCCCCTCCTGATAGTGATTCACAGCTGTGAACTTTCGCTACTGCCTCTCCATCCCGAGTTCTCCCGCTCGACACTCTTCCCTTCGGCGTCGTTGACTTGATAGCTTCTCGGGCGCACAGTTCTAAGGACCCGGCTACTCTGTGCAGAGCCAATGATATTTGTAACGCTACATCCATACTTTCTCTGCGGCAGGCAGATTCAATGAGGTCGAAGACGACAACACGTCCAATGCTCTGTAGAATATGGGTCCAGAACATCGGGCCTGTCTTCCTTGGGTTTGACCATCGGATGCTCGCCTTAACTTCGACATCCATTCCCAACTCTCAGATTACCAGTGGGTTTCGAGTCGTTATAGCCAAGGGATGTCATACAAGGTAAGTCCAAGACTCTTTGCAGCCTCCAATAGCGCGCTCGAGGGGAACACAGCCGTCCGCACGCATCCACGCACCACCTCATACCGCGCCACATTCTGCGATTTCGCTACTTGACCGACCGGCCCTTGAGCTTGAGGATCACAGTGCGGAATTCCGCCTTTCTATTTGTCTACCGTCTCTTCCCGACTGCCCAACCGATCGTGCTCCCCACACCCTGCACACACGACTCTCACTCCTCCAAATGCACGTCTGCATGGCTGTCCATCATAATCAGCTTATGCGTGACTTCGACGTTTTCATCATCCAACAAGAAATGACCAGACTCACTGAAAATAACACCATCGGATCCTCAGATGGGACAGATCCTCCTGGCCGCCGCCACCGTCGAATCTGGCGACGTATTGAAACCGATCTTCGCCTGAGGCGCCCACTCTCTAACCGCATTGACCAACCCCTCGAAAAACTCATTCAGCTCCGGGTTTCCCTTCACCCCAAACCCGATAATGACCCCATCCCACTTTTTGCTCTGGAGGATATCTCTCCAAGCGGTGACACCGTCCTCGAAGGCATGGAAGAAAACGGTGGAGTCATAACCCGACGCTAAGAGGTCTTTCTCAGCTTTCTCCAAACCGACACGAATCTGCTCGTTGTTGCCGCGGTCGACTCGGGGGACGCGGGGGTGGTTCCAGGGGAGACCAGTAAAGAGGAGAGTGGGGGCCATGTTTAATGGCGTGTTTGGTGGAGATAGAGGAAGAGTAGTTGGAAGGTATAAGTCTAGAGGGATTGATAGTAGTGTGTGAGTTTTGCTCGAGGTTGTTTAGATGGGGTGATGGGACGATAGCTCGACGTGCAGAAGTTCTTTATACTCTCAGCTTGCTCGATCCCGGAGTTTCTTCCGATATGTATGCTCATCTCATCAGTTCTTCTCTTACTCACCGTCCTACACGGACGAGCAGGGGTCTCGAACGGTTTGTGATCATCGCTCCAGCCTGAGAACAATATCCATACACGGCTACACCCAGTCACAAAAGACCTTGGATCTTCATGTATTCGGAAATTATGGCATCTTCGCTGATCTTTGCCTCTCTGTTTAGAATAGCCTGGCAGCGTATTCAGCCAGCAATTCATCATGCGACCTTGGTCTATACAACTCTGCGGCCTTTAGCCAGGAGGAGTTAGGCAAAGCGACCGTCACCATCACGAGTGGTTCGCGTTTCTAGCTCGGCGGCCGATGATACACACGCCCAGACTAGGACAGCTCTTCTGACGATAACTTCGCCTTGACGGACGCCGATGCAGCTCGTAGTCTACAAATGAAGATTCCATTCCACCAGTCTACAGCCTGAGGCTGATCCTAGTGTAGCGCTGATACCACGACATACTGTGACGAGGCGAATACGGCTACATACGTTCCAGTTTTCATTGTACAGACGACCGCAAGAGATAATATGGCTCTACCACATCTGCATCTGTAAGCCATCGGCGGAGTAGCAAGTAATAGAGAATACAGTGACGCCCGGAAGCATGGCTGGTGGAATACAGACCGAGATGCAATTGAGGGATAGCTATAATATAGTATGGGTGTATTGCGAAAGCACGACAACAGCAAAGAGAGATAAACACGAAATACGAAGACCTGATGAAGCAAAACCTGGAAGGAATAAGATACCCCAAAAAAGCTTACGACAATGTTACTCCCGCAACTGCGAAGCTAAACTGTGTCATCAGCAGCTGACAATCCTCCGCGCAACCTTTCTGCTTTGCCTTCGGTAGTGTCAGCACCTGACGCGGCTGTTATCTGCTTCCCAGACACTTTCCTGTCCCCTGAAACAACACCTGTGCTCGTCCCTTCACCTGTGTCCGCTTTCTTCCCCTTGCCCGTCCCCTTCCCCACTTTCGAAATTGGCGCTTGCTGAGGATCAGGCTCTACAACCTCCACCTCCATAACATCTGAGTCCGAACCGTCACCATCATCTTTCTCTTTACCACTACCTTCCAACTTCGCCATCTCCTTCTGCGCGAGCCATGGTTCCGACAGAGATCGTATCCGAAGAACCAGCTCTTCTCTGAATTTGCCGACAGATGCCCCGCCCCAGTGAGGATGCGGTGGTTTTTTGACTCGTCTGGTTTTGGGCGTTGGTTGTTCCTGCGCATAGGGAGAGATATATGAGTATATGAAAGAGTATAAGAGAGGGGATCCCATACAGCGATGATCTTCTGTGAGAGCTCAGGGTTCTGCATGAATTGTTGCGCAAAGTAAAGCAGGTAGACGCCACAATCGCAATAATTTGGTTGGTGAGGGACCTATGCAGGATTCAAGTCGATAAAAATGTCGCGAGGAGTGAATGCTGAACCAGCGAGAGAACTTACATGAGCTTGCTTCCCCACCGGCGGCGTCGTGGACGCCTCATCGGCGACCTTCTTCTTGTCAACAGCTTCCATCTGCAGATACCTGCTCAGCCTCTTGATAGCCTGTGGATGCTTGGAAGACAGAGAATCGAAGGTATAGATCTGAGTCCTACGACACGCAAGGCCAATTATGATAAAGATGTGAACGATGAAACGGTTCGCATAATTATAACATACGTAGGGTGGGTATCCTCCTCTGCAATCACCTCTTCCCCGTCCGTAACCTCAACGACGTTGTCCCGATGAACACCCTCATCGTCATCAACGACCTCGACAGGCGCGTCCTCAGTTTGTCGAAATGGTGTCGATGGTCGCTTGCGCTTTCCCTTGTTCGACGATTGCGTGCCGTAGAAAGTGGTGACCGGAACGCCATTGGTCAATTTCGTCATTGCCTCTTTACCCTCACCTTTACCCTTGCGCTCATCCGGTTCCACCTCCTCAATATCGGAGTCAGCCTTGATCGATCCCTCCGAGACTTCTTTCAGCAGAGAATCTCCTCGCTCCGGGAACACCTCTTCGATGTCCACATCGTGTCCTTGTTCATTCGGTGGAGGTTGAGGTTGAGGTTGATCCATGTCAGGTCCATCGCTCTCTGGATATTGCAGGAGAGGCACTTCTTCAGAAAATGCCGAAGGGGCTCGACTGTTCGCTTGATCGTCATCATCATCAATCTTCATCTTCGTGCTACAATCTTGCGACATCCTCTCCATCGCATCGTCCATCTCCACCGTCGATTGTCTTCGTCCAGGCGACCGTTCCGGCTCGCCCATTACGATGTCACGTACTTGATCCTCGTCGCATTCCTCCTCGTCGGGTGTCTCCTCGTCGTGTCTCTCATCGTCTCCCCCTACGGAATCGGGGACAACAGATGTCGAACGCATAGAACTGGCAGACGACAGCCTACGATGCACGGGCGCGGAAGTGGACATGAGGTCCGATACAGGTGGTAATGAGGTACTACTTGTCGTTTGTGGTGACGGAAGTGCTGGTGAGGATGCACCAGAAAGGAGGGGCGGCGCGGACACGGATTCAGGATGTGCGGAGTTGAACCCAATACCGGCACCAGAGCGACGTTGGGATCGTGTGTTGGGAGTTGGTTTGGGCGCCTTCGGAGGTGGGGGGTTGAGGACGTAGGCGGGGTTGCAAATGATAGCAAGATACCAATGAAGACTGGCATAACGCGAAAGTGTCAGTAAGAGACGAGAAGAAAAGTAGACGTGGTCGTACTGCTCATTAATGGGCACAATAACATATTTCTTCTCGAAGATATCGAACTTATTGGTCCATTTACGAACGCTATTAAATCCGTCTTCGGGGCTGGTGAGACCTGTCAATACGGTGTAGGCGGCGTGAAAATTTGCGATCGGGATAACCTACATCTTCGTGGACAGTTTCTTGTAGAAGAAAGAGCTGAAAAGGTGTATTTGGCTGGCTAACTCGGGCTTGGTATCGTTCAACTCAGCTAGCCATAGTCTGATACATGTGTGAGCGAAGCAAAGATGATATTCCCGTAGAAGTGAAGACTCACTTGAGACCAAATTCTATGAGAGTATCGTTGAGGAACTCGCCCGGGTTAAGACGGGCCACATCTCCGTTCGTGATATTGACAGCGCCTGTACCTTGTGGAGGATATACGAGTATCCTGCGGATAATCTGGATCATTAGCGTGATCAGCGCCGACGGGGTAACGTGCACATACACTTCATCTGCATTAGGTACAGGCGCAGGAGGATCTGGAGTAGACGCCTTTGTTTCTTGTGTGTTCGAAAGGCGGTTTGAACGTCGTCTCTGTGCTGGCTGACCTAAAACACCTTTGCTGTACGGCTAATGAGCTCTCTGCGAGGATGTTGAAAGTGTGTGTTACGTACGATACGGGTCGTGGTCTTGGGCCGGCACGAGGCTGTGGTGATGGAGGGCGAGCACTTTCAAAGACATCAGCGGTTTCTTCCAGCCGGCTTGAAGCCCGTCGTCGACTAGCCGCTAGTGCATTGGCGTAGTGGGCCGCTTGCAGAACGCCTTCCCACACGTCCACTGCTGCATGGCCCCTAAATTCCCGTTAAAACAAGGTAATGATGAGAAGAAAAGGAGCCCAACCTGATCGTTTCCAACGGGTTTTTGATCAACTTTTTCAGAGTGCGGCAAAACAACTGCATGCGATCTCGACCGGCCTCCCACTCTGGACTTCGCGTGTCAAACTTTAATGAGATCATTCCATCCGCCCGTGAAGACACTGAGACAAAAAATCAAAAATCAGATCAAAAATCATCCCGCTAGCTGTGAAATTTCGTACTGTCTTTCAAGTTTGAGGCGAGTACACCGCTCGCGGAAAAGCCCCGGATGGCCGTAAATTGCATAATGTAGCATGGGTTATCTAGTTCGCTCACCTGCAGGAGAAGCTCGGTCGGCGAGAAGACATTACATTAAAAGTTAAGCTGAGCTCACCGTGATGGTCGAGATTGAGGTCTTTGAGACTGTAAACTGGAGGAGTGGAGCTTTTAGTCGATGTTCGGGTTTACAAATTATCTTGATTTCCAGCTTGATGGGATTCCACGACAATTGGAGTGAATCGTAATCGATCTGTTCCTGCATGAACAGCCCAATGGCACACTTCTCAAGAGGGAACTCATACGTCGCGTCCTCGAACGAAGATGACTTGGAAGACGAGGCAATAGGTTGTGGTATCGAGTTGGTCTTCGAAGAATTGGCAAGCTCCTTGCGAGATTCAAATTTAAGTGTCTGTTTGATACGTGAGGGTCAGAAATCACGACAGCTCATCATAAGATGAGAAGATATGTATTGGAGAAGTGACGATCTACCTTAATTGCCCGTGGCTTCATCTTCTCCCGAACAGTCGTAGGATTTGTGTGCCGTGGATTGGAGGAGGACGAGGCCCGGTCTTCCCAAAGAGAGACCTTTTTCATAACATGGCCACTTGGAGGAATGTCCGGGCGCGGGTGAGGCTCTGGCAGCTGCGACGCCATGAAGTCACTACCGTCTTCGATCCCGTCGTCCTCGAGTTCGCCCTCGACAACAGTAATCTTCCGCCTCTTCAGTTTCTCGCGAGCTATGACGGTGTACTCCCCGTCGGCAGGAGGGGGCCGTTTAGTTGGGCGTGAGTGCGGTGGTGTTTCATTGCGAAATAAGTCCATAGGGTCATCAGACCTATCTCCAGCGGCCTCTTGAGAATCGCGCCGAACGACCTCGCCCGTATCTTCCTCTCCGTCAGTGATCACAATAGTTTCAGGAGCTATGAGCCAATATCATAAGCAATAATTCGACTAGCCATTAAGCATGTGGCGTACCTGGCTTGGGAGACCCCACTGACGGCGGGCGGGCGGGTTGGCGCCCTCGAGAGCCGCGTTTCGAGGTAGAAGCAGAGGTGTCCTTCGGTTTCGAGAATAATTTGGACGTGGTGGACTTGTCGCTATTGCGGTTGCCGTTCTGCTGAGCTTTTTGGCCTGATGAAGTGCCAACTGTGGCCCGAGCGAATGTCAGCGGTGTGTCCGGGTTCTTTCCCCTTCCATTACGAGGTTGGTTCTTGCTCGACAGTCTACCCCCTGAGAAAGGATTCGCGGAATCAGCCCTAGAGGGTTTCGGAGTCGACTATTATTTAGAATATTAGCAAGGTCCCTGAGTCAATGAAGACTGTACTGCAAGATATAGAATGGAGAGACCTACGCACTCCTGGTACACGTATTACTGTGGGGCTATTCTTCCAGGGACTATGAAAGCGGAACCGGAGAAAAACATAAGTGTAATTCCTCGTGACAGACGCGACGCGACGCACCCATTTGTACTCGCAGACGCATCCCTATGGTTGGTTGGCTGTCTCCCAGATCCTGATGGCTGGCCATGAAGAATTTCAAGTTGGTCTCTTTCATTCTGGGAGAATGTCGAGGGCATGACAAAAGGGCGTTTGGGTTGTTGTGGCCGCCTGCCGTCGACGATGGTGGATGAGGAGAAGGAGGTGCATTATTACGTCAGCGAATACTGGTGTCTACAGTGTGGCCCTAAACAAGCGCGCTTATCACGGAGTCTGACGTGTGGCGCTTGGTGTTTCGTCCCAACCTTTGCAGCCCTCATCGGCCTATAGAAAGCTCCTGTACGCATCTTACTGCAAACAACGATCTACATCCAATCCAGCTTTACAAGTAATATACAGAATATCGATATACAACGGTTTCACAACTAAACTCTGAGAAAGCGGCAAAATCCGTGCGAGCGCCTAACGTCGATCAATTGTCCTTGAATTTCTTCAGCTCGTTCTTCCATGGCTCCCAAATCCCACCATACTTCTTCAACAGACCATCCAACTCTTTCTTCTGCTCCTTCTACACAGATATAGAAGTAACGACCCGTTAGCAGCCATTCAACGTAAACCAAATAAGTCAGAACGGACCAGATTCCAGGGCTGCTCCCCACCATACACATCCTCAAACAGTTCACTAAGCGGCCATCTCTTCGTTGCTTCCGCCTTCTTGAATGCCTTCATAACGTCCTGCTTCAGCCTCTCTTTCAGCTCCTCCTCTTCTGCGTCTGACCACCAGCCTTGCGAGTGCAAGAAGAGACGGAAGCGAGCGATAGGATTGTCGCTGCGTTTGCGATCTTCTACTTCTTGGCGAGGACGATATGCGAAGGAGTCGTCGGAAGTGGAGTGATGACCGACACTGCAGTTATACAATAAGGTACCGGTCTATGCGTATGAGGTTCGATACAGTGTGGATAAAGAAGCGGGACGACTGACCGATAAGTCATGGCCTCCAAGAGAACACCTCTACCGCCCTCGACACATTTCCGTCTGGCCTCCTTCGTCGCGCTCAAAACGGCCAGGACATCGTTCCCGTCGACTCTGATCGTGTCTATACCGTATCCTGGCCCTCTAGCAGCAATACCGTCACCGTAGTATTGCTCTGTAGACGGTGTAGAGATGGCGAAGCCGTTGTTTCGGGCAATGAACAGTGTCGGAGCTGAGCGACGACACGGTGATAAAAGATGCTTCAGTCATACCGATTACTCAAGTCATTGGAGAACAGCCTTACCTGGAATGGTCGAAGCAAAGAGCATCCCAGCGTGGAAGTCTATGTCGAGTACCATCATAAGTACCAGAACACTGTCGCGTAGCTCGGGGAAACGACTTTCCTCCTTCACTAGCTGCGCCCTCCCCGAAATAAACCGCCGAACAATTCTTGCCCCTCCTCAATGGATCTCTCTTCAATGCATACGCCACACCGGTGGCCTGAGGGATTTGCGTGGCCAATGGTGAAGAGATCGTATGGAAATGAAGCGACGGAGAACCCCAATGCTGTCAGGAAATAGATAGGTGAAAGTCAGTTGGCAATATACATCGGACTAACTGTGTTCAAGATGCTATGGAAGACGTACGACAGGCATTTGCCTGCCTTTACTGGACGTGTCGTCTTGGTTGCCAAAGCATTGAGCCATGGCAGCGTCAATACCGTAGCCTCGCCACAATAGGACACCAAGTTCGCGGTATTGGCCTTTAGGGTGAGGTCAATATATGGACGAGCATATGGGAGAACACTCCGTACCTAGGACCCTGTTATGAACGTAAGTCAGCTAAATTGTACAATATGGGGGTGCCACACGATCAGAGACTCGCATTTTACACGCGAGGACAAGGCGACAGACAAGGATATAACGACAGACAAAACTCACTCGTCATCCGGAGCCAGAGCTGCCGCAGAACCAATTATAGTTGCCTCTTCTCCGTACTAGCCTCCCAGACAGTCAGCTTGAGACCAGCGTTATCCTAGGAAAGATTCGGGTGGACCTACAGCAGTTATCTAATGAAACGCTCATAAGTTCGAGTAAGGGAAACTAGATATTCAAACCCACGTAGAACGAAATCTTGCCTTGACGTTGAATGTTGTAGAGCAAGTTGTCCATGATCGGAAGCAACACCATGTTCTCATATCTTAATGACGCGTATCTCAGCTCAGATTTCTCACATATTCCTTATACATACACTTACATCTTTCTAGCCGTATCCCTATCAATCTACACCGTCAAAGACCCGGCCCTCAGTCAGCGCCCACGCTCTACATCCTTTCCCCCAGTGCGACGCCACTCGAGGTTCATCGAGGTGTACGCACCTCAGGAACCTCAGCTCCTTCTAACACCTGCCCGACCCCATCCAGAACTCTATACGTGGGTATCTGCTTTCCCTCCTCCGTCACAGAATTGAAGAAATGGAGCTTCGAGGTAATGGGTGACTGAGAATGCGGTAGGTGTCCGCGAGCTTCGGAGTACGCGCTTGAGGCGTTCGGAGTGGAATATCTTCTCGCAGTAGTCAGAGAACGCCGTGAAAGTATTCGAGTAGAGATAGAGCGTAACATTGTCGCAGGTGGTGATAATGATGAAAGGGTGCGAGGTGAAGGGTCACATTTGTGCTTGAACGCTGTGTGCGGGGTACACGGCCAGCGGGAATTCTTAGTAAATCGTTAAGACGAACTGTCTGACGGATTCTTGGTTGCCAAGTCATAAGATATTCTTGGGGTGATCTTAGGAATGTCTCAAGACGACTGGTCGTAAGAATATCTTTCGATTGATCTCGGACAATCCTAAGATCAGTCTTGAGAACGTCTGAGGTCATCCGCTTCTAAGATTTTCTGGGGATGCCCTGCTCGGCCCGTATCCGGCTTTCGCGCAAGCGACTTGCGAAACTTCACCAAGTCGCAATTCCCTTGGAGAGCTCACTGATTCCCTCTGCGTAAGGCCTTTCCAGAGGCCAAAAAAAATAAGTGGTGGTTAAGGCAAGGTTCCGGATACACTGCTTGGCCCTACAAAGCTAACAAACGCGGTAGGATGTGCGTAATGCAACGGAAATGACGAGAACAAAATATTCTGAACTCAGGACATCAACCAGTACCATAGCATCTGTTGCAAAGCCCTTTGGCTCAGTTGGTTACATCGTTGGATTTGCCGTGTATGAAGCTAGTTCGTTATGCTCTGATGGCAAATTTTTGGAGCTTCTGAAAGCCGGGTTCCGCCGAAATCCTCATTTTGCACGTTACGGCAGACCCTGAAGTTCTCACCGTTTCGGTCTAAGACTGATCGTCCTCGGAACGTCTTGGTTGCCAAGTCATAAGATTATCTTTGGGCAGTCTTGAGAACATCTCGAGACACTTTGACCTCTGACTGTCAGGGTTAATGGGGCGGCCGTGTAAGAGACTGAAGATCCGGTAATGAAGCGAGACGCACGTGGTGCATGTTTGAGAGTTTGGGCCACAGCGCCACACAGCGTACTCATGGCATTCTGTAACAAACAGAACATAAGCATTCTTCGAGACAAGCCTCTACGTGCATAATCATTAACGTGACAGGAATGCTAAGTCGTGTCGAAAAACCTCGATTTCATTATTACAGACCAGCAATTAGATCATAGACGTATTCGTACACGAATCGACGACAAAATCCAAACGATAAAGGAAGTTAATCTAGAGAGCAGCGGGAGCCTGAACAGCCGCAGCGGGAGGGACCTCCTCGAGAGCTTCCGCCGCGGTGGGTTGAGCGGTAGGAGCAGGCTCCGCTGCGGTCGTGGCCTCTGTCGGGGCGGCGGTCTCGGTCTTCGAACCCTTGCTGTACTTCTCGAGGCAATCCTTGACAAAGTCGAAGTGCGAGCTCCAGTTCAAGGTGGCGTCGTAGACATCACTGTGAGACAATCATCGCACGTCAGAGAAATAACTTCGAGACGGAGAGGAAGGTGTTACTGTCGGAAAAGACAGAGCTACCAACGCACCGAATGGTTCCCTCAGAGTCGATGAAGTAAGTAGTACGAGCATCGACAAGTCCCATAAGTCCCTTCGGAACGTCGTAAGCTTTATGCACAGCCTTGTCCTTGTCGCTGAGGAGGTTGTACTACGCGACCGACCCCAGGTTAACTTTGAGGGATACAAGACCGTAAGAGAGCTACGCACTGTGACTTTCTGCTTGTCCGCAAATGACTTCAATTGGTCAACCGAGTCCGAGCTGATACCAATGAGCTCTATCCTGGAATCCTTGAAATCGGCTTGATCTAAATGCACCGCAAGAAGAACGTTCTCAGTATCTGGTTTGTTCGTGACCGAATATAGGAGTGTAAATTCGAGAGCGCGAGGATAACGTACCGACCAGAGCATCCCTCAACTGACAAACTTGGCGTGTGCATCCATAGGACCCTACGGTTACAGACCCAGCGAATCAAGCAGAAATGAAGTCATCGTTAGAGACTCAAGGTTCTCGGTCAATGTAACGAACAAGGAAGCGAAGTTTGATCGGTCCTGGGAAGGATCACCGGTCACCGACGAACGCCCGCGGTCGAGCGTCTGACTGGTGAAATCAGTGGCAGTGAAAACTCACCAGCTTTGGGATAGAAGAACACACAGACTGGCGCGCCTGACGCGCCTGGTGTGAATGTGAATGTTTCACCGTGCTGGTTGAGGAGGCTGATAGCAGGTGCAGGCTTTCCTATGAGCGAGTGGGGAGCCATTGCGAGACGTGAATATAACGGTGTAGGCGAGTGGTATGGAATGAGAGGAAAGATACGGTGGAGAAAAGGAGTTGCTGAGCAAGCGTCGTCTTTTATCACAGGAGTTCCGGCTTCTAACCAGTTCTAACCGGGTTGGATTTATGAGGGAATTTGAAGTCAGACATTACGCGACGTATGGATCGCCCTTGAACTTTGCCTAAAACAGCTTCCACCTCTTTTTCTCCTCCACCATGTCCGGGTCGAGGTCTAACCCAGGCTCTGGACTTTCTTTCCTCGGCTCGCATGGACAACAAGCTGCAACATTCTCTCGACTTCCACCTGAATTACTTCGGTCAATAGCTGACCAGACGGCTCCCCCAGAGCAACGCGAACGCGCCTGCCTCTGTAGAGTCAACAAATTCTTCAATGCAGCGTGCACTCCTTCACTCTACAGCGGCAGAATATCCATCTACAGGGAGCGTATATTGGATAGCTTCTCCAACACCATTCTCTTGTATCGACCGGAGCTAGCTATGCTCGTAAAGGACTTGTGTATCGATGCCGATACAGGCGGTTGGGACAAGAACGACTGGTAAGAATACATAGTAGCCAAAATGGATCATATTCAAAGATCACTCTCTGACGCGAATACTCACAGGTACACCGACATAAACAGCTCAGTCCTCATACGTGCAGCCAAGACATTGGCGGCTTGCGTCAATATACATACTCTGTCAATCATTGCTTTCTGCTACGAAGAATTCAGCGACTTCTGTGCATTTTTCGACCCCCTCCCGATTATCCCCGGCCTCCGACATCTCAGAATGCAGTTCTCACTGGACGTCAAAGTTTTAGAGTTTGTGAAGCATCATCATTCCCAACTGCGCTCACTATCCATAATCCACGTACACGATGACGGGGACGATGCACTTGCGACCGGCACATTGCTCTGCTCTCAGTTCTCCATTCCGCTTTCAATGTCCCGCATCGAATGCTCCCCATTCTTGGCACCTATCTTTGTTCCAAACTCACCAATCACCGATGTTGGTCTGGACTGGCCACAGTGGGATATTGTCGATGATGTTGCGCCGAGGGCCGTAACGGCTCTCGCACGATCGAGCACTCAGGTCGTTACATTGTCGTACAACTCAAAAGCATGGAATATCGAGTTCATCCGACTTGCTGCGAGTAATCTCCATCACCTCGAGAGACTCTCGATAGTCAACGAACTCGTCGTGTTCCCCGATGAAGACGAAGAATCACCAGACACCCTTATTGTGCGTACATCATAACATTAGTCAGATCTTCTTCAGCTCGCTTGACTATGAATATGTACCATAGGCTCCTGTCCTCGATGTGCTACGGGAAAAGCTCTCCTCTTTCAAGTCTTTAAAGGTCCTCCGACTGCAGTGGGATCACCACATGAAAGCTACCCAGCGTACCTACTACGACGATTACAAACTTGTCCAAACATGGGCCGCCCTTCGCCCTACACTCATATACTGTCTTTTACCCGGAAGTAAGTCATATCATCACATGTTTGCTGTCTTCCTGCCCATGCTGCGTGACAACAAGACGCTCACATTCGGATCGATTCCCATTCTAACAGCGGATTCAGCCTGGATTCGCCATCCATCTTACGGTTTCTTCGTTCCCGACACGATACTCTCTGAAGACCGCGGCGGGCCACCTAAGTACACTCGCGAGTGGTTGCATGAGCTGTTCGAGAAGGAGGGGCCGGACTTTGCTGCGACTTGGTTTCGTCAGTACGCCGACATAAAGAAGGATGGGATTGCCGATATCGTCAGTGCTCTGGACGAGAGGGCGGTGGACTCATAGTGTCAATGATAGTGAGGTTTTTGCGTTATATCCATTTTTTGTTGTCATTCTCTCGTATCTTTGTGGCGCGCTCGTCTGGCGACCGACGTGGATGTGGAAACTGCCGCCCTGTGCATTGTGCTCCTCGGGCTTCTCCAAGTGTACGCAGCCTTGCGCCCTCATGTCCCCACTCCAAGCCACTCGACATGGAGGCGTGGGTGGTTATAGTAAGAGCTATTGGACAAGCAACTACATGAAGCAAGCAACTTCCCGCATCATGCTTGTGCTGCCGAAGTAGAAGGCTTGTTCCTAAGAATGGCATGACGAGAACTTCATGTTCGTGAGCTCATCTGCAGGGCTGTTGGCATGTGGTAAGCCACGCTTATGGGCCAGGTAGATGCACCTTCTTCTGTGTCTCGCCTAGCTCTCATCCTTTGGGTGTGTTCAGGAGGGTGTTCATGATGTTCCTCTGTCCGACGTTCCGGAAATGGTCAATCTCGTAGGAGAGGTTGACTGGAGGAAGTGTTCAAGTTCCTGGGGGCAACGAACGCGAGCGACTGTCATTCTCAAGCGCCGCGCCCTACCTGTTTACTACTCAGCGTGTTTTACTAGCCTCTAGATCCCGACCAACGTGCCTTTCGTGAATTACTGGATCCCAAAACAGGAAGTCGGTGATCCCTTGTAGGCGCTGACATATTGAGGCAGGCCCATCTACGCGTGTTTTTGTCATTGTTTCACTACTCGGAGTTTTTCTCTCTTGAACCCGAACAGCGACCATGTCAGACTTGAAGACAGAACCGAACACCGTCCTTGACTGCATCTCACCATTTCTTTGCCCATCGCCAACAAAGGAACACGTGGTTGCTCAGATCACTCCTACCTCCCTGACAGACTTTCCTGCGGAAATCCTCGCCTTGATCGCTGACCAGACGGATTCTTGGGAACGCAATTCACTCAGTCGTGTCAACAGATTTTTCAATGGAGCATGTACTGCCTCCCTTTACAGCGGACCAATCAACATCTCAAATATACATGCCCTCCGCTCTCTGTCCGACACTGTTCTGCAACTTCGGCCAGAGTTCGCCCTTATGGTGAAGGATCTGGTCGTCAGAGTCTCAATCGAAGGCTTCGCCTGGTCGGCAAGACGTACGCCATGCGAGTGAGTCATGTTTCCTGCCGTGCTCTTCCACCAGCTTCTGATTCTCCTGCCACTCCGCTACAGTGAAACGCCTGCCACTACCCTTGAGCGTGGAGGACAGGTCATAGTCGCTTGTATCAATCTTCGTCGTCTCAGTGTCGAAGCCGTCACCATCGAAGCCGTCATCCAATTCTCCTTATCCCGCGCATTCTTTATGCACGAACTGCGTCTCCCCCTCCTCCGTCATCTCTCACTCGACATCACCCTCGATGCACATGTTCTCGCATTTGTGCAGCGTCATCTGGATCAATTCCTCTCTCTTTCCATCTGGCATCAGGATACAACGATGACCGACAAGTTACGCGTGGGCAGGGAACTTGTTTCTCAATTTATTCTTCCGCTACCCTCGGCGGTCACAACGTTCCAATGCTCTCCGACAATGGCGCCGATCTTTATCCCTAACTCAAGCGTTACAAACGTGTCCTTCTTCTGGCCGCACTACTTCAATGAAAGCGGAACTCAAGGAACCGATGAGGCCGTGGAGGCTCTCACTCAATCGCAGAGCTCCATCGTTGTTGTCACATATTCATCGCCGGAGTGGAACATCCGATTCATGAGGTTTGCGGCGGAACAGCTGCCTGAGCTGCAGTATCTTTCCATCCTCAATGTCGACTTATATGGCTCTACCAGAACGGGTATCAACGTTCGTTATCCATGATCTAGCATCTCGTAGGCTCGTTATTTACCGATGAACAGGACGCTATACTTCTCAGGGTTGCCGATATCCTCCCTTCGTTTAAATCGCTGAAAATCCTCCGTCTTTCAAGAGCCAACTACCATAGACTCTCTGGAGAGCTTTGTACAGCCGAGGGTGATTTTCAGGTTGTACAGAAATGGGCCTCACTTTGTCCGACACTCATTTGCTGCGAAATACCACAAAGTACGTCTCGCTACGCTATCCCATAACCGCGCTCCTCTCACTCCAACTGCCTCGATACCCCAAATTGATCGTTTTGACTGATGCACTGTAGCTCGAGTTTCGTGGATACGTCATCCCAAACACAACTTCTTTGTGATTGACAAGGAGATCACGAACCCGGACTATGCAGTAAAAGAGTACGGAGAGGACTGGGAACAGACCTTTCTCCATACGCGTATAGGGGCAAAGTATTCTGCCTCCTGGGCGCAGAATTATGAGGATGTTCGGAAACTCGGGATTTTGGAGGTCGTGAACGGGTTGAAGAAGAGAGGAGAAGATTTTTAAATGTTGTTGCATGATTTTGTATGTCTTCACATCTTTTTCCAGCGTCCTCGCTGTATCGAGTTTGGATGAGTAGCTAGGCTATGGCAGTGTGGCCCAATCTTACTGGGTAGTCACATCAAGGTGTAGGCGATGGAATCGATAAAGATTTGATTTAGTTGGAGAAAATGGGGGTGCATAGCGTTTGGATGTCATGATAGATCGTATTGAGAGCTCAGCCTGTGTAGGTTGGAACGACTGGGGTGATGTACGATCATTGTGCCACCCTCTGGTCAGCGGGAGAATCCGGTTTGCTCGGTTGGTAAAGTTGACAAAGGTACCAAGCCTCTCCAAACTTTTACCTGGAGAAAAATATCCTCAAAAGAACATGCCGTCAACAAATAACAGCTCACCATTATTCGGACATCGTGTCCCTGGGTAGATTTCCCGTCCGAGGATAACCGGAGACCTGCACATCCTAAACGATTATTGCGATGGGTTCCAATGGATACCCTTGGTCGGCACGGCCGACGCTGGACCGGTTCAACTCACGGGCGTTGTGGATAGAGTCGCTCAGTCAGCGGGTCTTTTCTTTTCACTTTATATAGTGACGAAGGATCTAGCATGCAAATTTTTGCTCACGCTCGTGTCCACTTTCGGCCTACCTGGTTGTCTACGCCGAGCCACATTCTCAACAGTACCGCCGCCACCACCACCGTTGCTCGCCGTTCCTCGATAATTGTGAACAAGTTACCTACCATAGCTCTACGACGTACCCTCACGAACCTACATAGAAACCCGAACAGAATGTCCGAAACGATGCGGGCCGTTTTGATTAAGGATGGTAAAGGTCCGGTGGAGAACCTCTATCTTGGAGAAGCGCCCAAACCTACCCCTAAACAGAATGAAGTCCTCGTAAAGGTGAGTTCACAGTATTGTATCCATCGTTGTCTCGGATCTGTATTTTTTCTGAACTATTAATGTTATTTTGTGTGGTGGTAGATCAAAGCTTTCGGACTGAATCGCATGGACATCGTTCAACGTCTAGGCTTTTACCCCGTCCCGGCTGGGGCTTCACCTATCCTTGGCGTCGAGTTCTCGGGGACAGTTGAAGAGGTCGGGAGTCAATCGGGGAACTGGAAGGTCGGGGATGAAGTACTTGGATTGGCGAGCGGGGTGAGTCTATCCAGTGAAAAGCCTAGCGTCGTAGTATTGACTTGTCTGCCGTCTTCCTTTCCTCTCTCATTCGTCTTTTTGTCAACGATGTGTATGCGGTACTCGATACGACGATTTCGTAGGGAGCTTACGCGGAGTACATCGTTCTCCCCGGGACACATCTGCTGCACAAGCCGAAACACCTTTCGTGGGTTGAAGCCGCCTCAATCCCCGAGAACTTTCTCACCGGTACGTCTCATCCTCAGCCTTTCGTTTTTCGCGACTTTCAACCCAGTTGTTCACGTTGAAGAATATATCGCTGATTCTTACTTGTTCTCTTCATTCGGTACGGCTCGTGTGGCAACCCCTGTGTGGCATCTATATAGCCTTCCAGGCTCTCTTTCTGGTCGCGGAGTTCAAGAGAGGAGAGAGTGCCATGATCCATGCTGGAGCCTCCGGTGTGGGTGTAGCTGCGATTCAGCTGTGTCGCTACTTCGACGCGTGAGTAAACTATTCCCTTCTCCCGCTCGGGACCACTTGACTGTACGCCACCCATCACATACCCGCTTCGTTCAATTCAGCCCCTAATTATAATGCTCCGTCCCACGACAATTTCATATCTCACGCCGTATTTCTATGTGTCTTTTTTCTTCAGCTCCTCTGTGACGGCTACGGCCTCTACCCCATCCAAGCTCTCCTGGCTACTGTCCATGAACAACGGAGCCACACACGCAGCAAACTATAAATCCGAAGACTTCAGCGCCGTCGCAAAAACCGCCACAAACGGCAAAGGAGTGGATGTGATCGTCGATCCAGTAGGACAAAGTCATTGGCATAAGAACATCGACAGTCTGGCCATGGATGGACGGATGACATTGTTGGCATTTTTGAGCGGTAAGATCACTCGACTGTTTATCTTGTTATGAGTGGCTAACCTTTGTGGTGGTGGGATCCAGGTGCGGAGATCCAGGGCGCGAACTTGCAACCTATTCTTTATAAGCGCTTGCGCATTCAGGGATCCACGCTTAGGTCTCGTTCGGTGGAGTACCAGGCGGATTTGATTCAGAGGTTCGAGGTCCGTTGTCTTTGTTATGTAGTTCAATGGCTGAGATTTTCCCCTTGTCATCCCTCATCCATTACCGTAATGAATGCGGTGATCCTGTGTGGACGTGGATGTGACCACTGTCTCGACTGCTCGTCGTATACTATACTAATACATCTAGGTTCGCAAAGGAATGCTTGGGTGACATTACGGGCGAGAAGGGGGATGGGAAATTGAAGACATATATCCACGAGGTCTGTCCGTCTACTTTTTTGTCCCTTGAATCTATGTCGCTCCCTTCAGCTCTTCAGCTCTTCACCTCTTTCAAAATTCACACTTTATCTACAACCTACCATAGACCCATCCCCCGACATTTACCCGTCCCATCATATCTCCCATTTCCTTTCCTTGTTTCTCTTGCCCATTGCCGCCCGATTTGTCAGTACAGACACGCTCAGGTACACCAGCAGGTGCATGCCCGTGCGACCATATCCATGTGTTTCTGAGCCCGTGTCTCTCGCCCCCATCCCATATTGAATCACTTTCCACAATCTGCAATCTCATCACTCTTACTAATGCTTATACTGATCCGTGCCGTTTGCGTTTTGTGTTTCGTATTTTGCGCACCATGCTCGTTTGTGGCGATGGTGGCGCTGGTGGTGTATCTTTAGGTGTTCCCCTGGCAAGATATCCAGAAAGCTACACGGGAGATGGAGGCGGATAAGAACAGGTACGTCGTCGCGTGGGCACTATAGGCCATCAGCTATACCTATCAGACACCATCATCAGTTGGAATGTATCATTGACATTCATCTCACCACGCACACTGTCTTTTCTTCTGCACGGTTGTTTTTCGACTGCGTATGTTCCGGTGTCCTGATGTTCAATTGGTTCTGATAGTGGAAAGATAATCGTGGAGATCGTTTGAACCATTTGGATTTGGGAAGACGTAGGACATGAGGTTTTCCTGCACATTCGGGGGCGCTCTCTTTGGTGGGCTGGTAGGTGAAGGATATTGACGAAGACGAGGTATAAAGGAGAAAGAAACGTCGTGTAAGTATCGGTAGGGTAAGGTTTCCAAGTATTCGAATTCAATGTATATTGTGTATTTTATCACTCCCGCTGTTGCGTTTTGTCTTGCGTCAAGAGGCCGCGAAGGTTACAGCCGGTGCCAATACCCACAGACGGATATGGTATATAGGTGCGTGTGGTCTTCGTTCTGTCGCTACTTTGCATGCCGAGTAACATACCCGATATATATTCTATCCCCGGGCTCTAACACTCATTTTAGCAGGCTATTATCCCAGAGTACTCCTCGAATTCATGATAGGCCCACCGTGATGCCCTCAAGTTAAAACATCACCCACCGTCGACTGCTACTCCCTCTTAAGCGGTACCAGCTATCAACGACCTCCGAACACCGCGAAGTCAATCACCTCAGTTGAAGTTAGGCTGTATAAGTCCAGAGGCAACGTTGCCGCGTTCGCGCGCACGAAGTCGAACCTACGGGTTTAATCCTCGGCCTGTTCGCGACGGCGTTCTCGCGCGTGTCCACCATAGTAGGAGCATCAATGATGGGTATCGATGGATACTGAAGAAGGGAATCAAAGAACTTGTCCGTCGTGTGCGTCGATTCACACCAAGTCGCCATAGTTGACGGTTTGACGGAATGTTATAGGATGAAGACCATTGGCTTGTCGTGGCATATGCATATGCATATGCCCTAGAAGCTGTTGACGTCTTTGCTCCTTGCGCCCGAATTCATCAGTCACCGGGCCTTTGATGCGATGGTTCTCCGAAGTTCTGGTAAATCTCCGTCAGGAGTCTTCTTCCCTCGTTGGACAACGAAGACAGGTCAACCGGCCATCACGGTAAGTTGTTGACGGTGTCCAACTCATCATCACATCTACGCCACCGGAATCGGTTTTGGCAGGTCGTGTGCACATCTTCCTTTAAGAGCTTTCTTCCTCCCTTCTAAGAGTCTTTGATTCTCCGAACTGTGTCAATGAGGACCTCTGCAGGTTATGTGGACCCGGCAGAATCTACCCCGAAGCTGCACAGCAATAAGGGCATCGCCGGCAAGAGCACCCTCCGTTCCGTTCGTTTGTGTATGGTTGTTCCCCTCTCCGTGTGCAGGAGCTCCACCGTTAGCGGGAAGAAAACTCATGGTCACATCTGGCCTGCAGTCCAGCTTCCGTATGTCCAGGTTCTGTCAGATCTCCCGCTACAAGTCTCATGAAAGAGCTGGCCGCGTCGTAAATATACGTCTGGGCCACGCTACATAAATTGAAGGAAGCCGAAAGCTTCACAGAATACGGCTAGAATACTGCGAGGTAGTCAGGAGCCTATCCGCGACGTTCCGTTTCGTCTAGATCGCGAGCGAGGCTCCGTGCTTATCTTGAACACTGACACCGTCGTCCACATGCTTCCTTTCCCCACCCCAAGGCACATATCCATTATTGTTCTATTTTTGTCACTTATCGTTGTCCGTCCTCCCCGTTCCTTTCCTAATCCTCGTTCAACTGCCAGACTGCGCCCACGAGCCGGTCAGCCGCTCGTGTTAACTGCCCCTGCCGCTCTCAGTGCATTTCGCAATTTTCGTATCTCCTCTCGAATTGAATCGTGTGCTTGATGGCGGCTCCTGGAGTGATGCAACATGCTCCTTGACATTATGGTAATTGCCCGGTCAAGGTACCCACGAGATTCAGAGCCCCCAGAGATAAACAGTCCCGTTGCATGGAACACCATCGAATAGCTGCCAATATATAAGAACGCAGGGTCCCGTTGCCGGGAACCTTCGAGGACTTCTTCTACCGTTACCTTCCCCATCGTCCAGTCGACCCCTCTCCCATACCTTTAGTGGGCAGCAGCATTGGGACGCAGGCCATGGCTGACTCTAGCAATGAGAAGATCCCCGACCCCGTCGGGGGCCACCAGGAGCCCGTCGACGACGAGGAGAAGCTGGGCTCCAGTGCACTCGACTCTACCGAATCCGTCGACGACATCCAACAGCTGAAGAAGACGGAGGCACTCGAGGTGAGTGGCGAGTGATGATGTCGTTGTGGTGTCGACGTTGACCAACTGTCTCTTCGTGCTCTCTGTGCAGGAACGTCTCGCCACTGGTGAAGCCACAGACGACGAGTACCGTGTCGAAACGGCCCACGACATTGCAATCAAGGTTCTCAGCACGCGGTACGCCCTCATTTCCCGTCCGCGGTCGCGAGCTGCCACCACTACGCTTCCCATGCAATCACGAGCGTGCTGATTGTCATCTCTATGCTCCTATTCAAACGACAGTGACGACGTGGACCTCCCTGTCCTCACGTTCCGTATGATCTTCCTTGGTCTCGGTTTCTCTGCTTTCGGGTACGCAAGTGATCAATACTTCTTCCACCACATGAACTCCATTTAACGCCCCGTTTACGCCTTTGTAGCGCCGTTTTGGCCCAGTTGTACTACTTTAAGCCTCAAACACTTACGGTTTCCCAAGGTCTGTCCTGAGGGGCGCATCTCCTTGTATACGCCGCTCAATGACCGCACGCGTCTACAGGTTTCCTTCTGATCGTGACATACTTCATCGGCAAGCTCTGGGAAAAGGTCATTCCCCAGAAGGGAATCCTCAAGTGGATCAACCCAGGGCCTTTCAACATCAAGGAACATGGTTAGTGTAGCGAGCCGTCAGCCTGTTGCGGCACGCAGGATGTACTCACCGTCTCCGATAACAGCTGCAATCATTATCATGTCCTCTACGGCTAGTTCGTGAGTAATCCCGCAGTTCTACATTTACCTCTCCTACTGTACTGATAAGGGCGACACAGATCCGCAACGGCTATTCAGGTCATCTCAGTCCAGGATCTGTACTAGTCAGTACTTAATTTACAACTATCTGCCCGGGCGTCCCAACTCATCATCCTACAGCGACAACAAAGTCAATCCCGGGATCGCTATTTTCACTGTATGTCCGATGATCTTGCGCCTCACTATGCCCGTTTTGTTTTGAACCAAGCGCTCACTTTGCCGTTTTGTGTTTGAACAGCTCCTGGCGTCCCAGCTCATCGGATATGGTTTTGCCGGACTCTTGCAAGAGGCACTCGTTTACCCATCCATCTGTTTCTGGCCATCGAACATCATGTCCGCCAACATGTTCCAGGCTCTGCACTTCGACGGTGGTTTGGGCAGTAAGCGCACAAAGGTTCGTTACTTCCTGGCTGTCACTCGGCAAGCGGGATACTGACGATGAGGTTGCCCCTTAGCTGTTCTGGGGTGTCTTCGCAGCTATTTTCTGCTACGAGATTAGTGAGTTTATTTACAGAAGTATTGCCCTTAATGTTGCTGGTTCTAACTGGCACACGCAGTTCCTCAGTGGATGTTCCCTCTCATGACTGGCTGGGTGCGCCACTTCCATTCCTATTCCCTTGGAGGTTCAGTCTGACCGCTTCTTGGATACATTAGACGATCTTCTGCTTGATTGACCACAAGCACGCTACTATCCGCAAGTGCGTCGGTTTCCCGGAGTTTCTAGGTAGATGGTCGTCTAATTAACCGCTGTTGTGTGATTTTAGCATCTTCGGAGGTGCTAGCAACAACGAGGGCATGGGCGTACGTGCAATCATACCTCGGTTGCCTGCTATCGCACTGACCCCTATCTTAAATTTGTGATGCAGTTGTTCGCTGTCTGCCTCGACTGGAATCTGATTGGCTCCGATAACTTGTACATCCCACTCTGGACGCAAATCAACGAGGATATCGGCATCATCTTCACTGTGAGTCTCTGCCCTCGCCCGTTGGTCCACTAGTATTCCATTGTCTGACGTTGGTTGCTTTCATAATTTCAGTACATTTTGATGTGCGCTGTGTACTATGGCAACATCTGGCGAGGTCAAGACTTCCCCTTCATGTCACAGGCGTTGTTCGACTCTGACGGCAACGAGTATAATCAGAGTAAGCTCGGATTCCTTGTGTGACGCGTTTGCCATACGATTGATTCACCTTGGAACCAGCTGCAATTCTTACCAACGGGAAGTTCGATGCGGACAAGTACGATGCCATCGGCGTGCGTTTTCTTCTTCTTGGTTTTCGACTAGATCTGCCGCGTCTGACAGCAGATCTTATGCTTCGATGTTTTAGCCTGCCTGGTTCTCGTCTACGAATGCCCTCAGTCTGATCACGCAGAACTTGGCTATGGGCGCGACCACTGTCCACGTCTTTTTGTTCTACTGGAAGGAGTAAGACCCACATCTTTACACCCCATGAATGTCTGACTTACTGATCATCACGGCCTCGTTGTAGGATCAAGCCATTTGTGAACATGCTCAACCCATGGAACAAGGAGGTCAACGTCGTTCACGATGAGCACTACTTGAGTGAGTCATTTCGAGTCACATCCTTATGTAGTTGAACTAGGAAAATCCTAACGCACGTTCTTCCAGAGATGCAACGGTAAGATCAAATTTAGGTCATCTTCCTACCACAAAAGGTGACTCACGCTGCGGCACACAGCTACAAGAAGGTTCCGCGCTGGTGGTACGTGGTTGTTTCTTCTATACGGCCGATGCAGACCGCCGACGTTCTGACTCGATACGGCGTTCTCACCAAAAATAGGTTCGTCGCCCTCCTGGTCGTCGCGTACGCCATGGCTCAGGCCACGGACTACACCGGCCATTCGCATTTCTCTTGGTGGGCACTGACTGTCGTAAGCACTCGTGCTCATTTCGGCTGCTCCGTCGGACGTGTGCGCTGATATTTTGTGTGCTTTTTTTCGGTGCCGAATGCGTGCAGATCCTGTTCTTGTCGTTGTTCTTCGTGAGTCATCGTTGCTTTATGGGATGCTGGTAGCAAGCACGCTGACCGAGATTGGACCCGGGTGTTGGACAGACTACCGTATACGCGACTACGTCCGCTATTTTGGGTTTCAAGGAGTTCAGCGGTGGTGTGAGTATTTCTACTTGTTACTTTTTAGCGCTCGTTATTGACCAATGGAATATCTTTCCAGCTTAATGGATTTTACCAGATGTGAGTTGCGAGGACGCCACTGTGGCACCTTTCCAAGTCAATGTACTGATTTCGCTGTCTAGGCTCGCCTCTTACATGGCTCCCGGAGACCCTGGTAAGTGGTTTGTAATGAGTTACACGTGCGCTTGAGCTGACATTTTTCGCTGCCAGTCGCCAACATGTACGCAGCGCTCTACGGCGGTCAGCCAACTGTGCAGGGCATCAAACTCCTGCAGGATCTGAAGCTCGGTCAATACATCAAGATCCCTCCGCGAGTCAACTTCGTTGTTCAGATTCTGGGATGTATCGTCGGTGCTATCCTTAACTACGTCATGATGTTGTCCGTCATCGACTCCCAACGCGACGCGCTTCTCTCTATCGCTGGTACCCGTCTCTGGTCCGGACAGAACGCTCAAAGCTATAACTCCAACGTACGTCGGGCCCGCACTCTTTTTATCTTCGGACAGCGGGCTGATTGTGTGTTAATATTGTTGTATAGGCTATCGCTTGGGGCGCATTGGGCCGCCAGATGTTCAGTTCTGGCCAAACGTATTACATGGTCCCCGCTGCCCTTGGTATCGGCTGCTTGCTCCCCATCCCCGGTTACATTCTCCACCGGATGTACCCCAAAAACACGTTCTTCGCCAACTTCAACACTGGTGTCGTTGTCCAGTACTCGTGTTATCTTTCTGGTTCGTACTCTCCCTTCCTTGCCTTTGTCGTCGGTCTTCGCATAGCTGACTCGTCACAAATTTCAGTCGGTATCAATACATCGGTGAACACCGCTATGGTCATCGGCCTAACGTCGCAACTCTACCTCCGTAAGAAGTACCCGAAGTGGTTCACGAAGTGTACGCCTCTTCCTCTCAGCTATTTTTCGGTCTCGTCCCATTTCGCGTTCTCGCTGACTCCCTGTCTATTTTCGAACTCGAACGACTCGGCTTTCCATGATGTTTATAGACAACTACATCGTCGCTGGTGCGCTTGACGGTGGAACCCAGGTCATCAGTTTCATCCTCAACTTGGCCGTGTTCGGTGCCGTCGGGGACGCGCACGCTTTCCCCGAGTGGTGGGGTAACGATCTCAGTGCGTAGTGCTTCCATCTTCCAGCCAATTCCCCCTCCCTCGTCAATCCGCTGCTGACACTGACTCCCTCTATCGCGCACAGATTACTCCGCCGACAGGTGTCTTGCTCCCCCAGGCTAGAAGTTGGGTCGGTTGGTTGCGGCGTGTTCTAATTGTAGATTTTCTCTCGGGATTTCATTATTTAAGAGCATCAGGGAGCGGAAGCGTACCATATGTTTTCGTCGATTGGGGGGTGTAGGTGCTTTGTGTGTCTGAATGGACTTGTCTCCATGGCTGGTCATGAGGTGAGTTAATGTACTTAATGAGCGCACGTCTTTTGCATAGGTTTGCTGCAGTGTCATTAGTAGCTAGGGATTGTTATACTAGTGCGTACCGTGTTCGTGATATAAATACATACAAAATCACTTTTCCTCTCTGTCTTCGCGTGCCCTGACTGTCGTCGTAAAACACGGCACTCAGGCAGTCCATCAAGCTCAAGAGTGTCAACAAGTCACGAAAGGGTTGTTTTGGTGATGCCAGTATTGTACAAGAACATTGAAATGGTGCTATTATAGTCCATGCTTCTGCCATACCAATCCTTTCCAGCCAGCGAGTTTGATTTTAGAGTCCAGCATCCCGATTATATCCTACACAACAGGTACTCTTTGCCAGCCACACACGCCCTCTGACCGTCTAGTTCGCAAGGTCCCTCGCGAAATGGAAGAAGTCAACGCTTGAGCCCTGTACGCCATACTTGTAAATCTGCAAGAAACCACATCATCAGCACACCGTCACAAGACGGCCAAAATGAGGAATCAAGAGCAAGAACTCACGAAATGCGACGCCACCCAACTCGAGAACAACGCCCTCTGATACGTCTCCGGCAACCTCTCCAAAAGCACCTCCAACCCGACCTTCTCCACCAACGTCTTCGGAATCGCCCTCCTAATCACCCCCTTCCTACTCGGCACATCCTCAAACAGATCCGAGCCCTCCAGCTCCGCCTGGAGATTATTCAGCGTACTCGATAGCTCGTCCGAGATGAGCGTGCGTGGCTTGGAGCCGCCACAGCGCTGGTGCTCGCGCCAGATGCAGGTGAACTCGGCCGCTGCGTTTTCGGTGATCTTTTGTTGGATGTCGGAGACGTAGGATTTGTAGAAGGGAGAGGGTTGGCCGTTTTTGAAGATCATGAGGTCGAGGTATTCGTCAGTGGAGAGGGCGAGGCCGGCGAGAACTTCGAGAGAGGAGCTCGTTACGCCACCTGGGAAAGACATACACAGGTAAATACGAAGAAGTTAAGGGTCGATGCGGAATGAGAAAATGAGACGGACCCTTGTTGGCGCTGGAGTCTTTGAACAGCACAACCTTGCGTTTCTCGAGGAAGAGACGAGCTTGTTGTGTCAAGAACAGGTTTGCGCCCTCAACAATATACTTGAAGTGAGGCTTTCCCTCCGTGTCGACCAGAGCTGCGACGTTCGAGATGTTGACGGCCTCAGGTCTACCAACGTGGCACCATAGTAAGCATCCTACCCCGAATCAATAGAGGAGGCTCGAACGAAATCAAACGTACCGTCCACCACAAGGCACCAAAAGATCCGCCTTGAACCTCAAGTGCGCACCGTTCCTGAAGTCCGTCCCATCGAGCACAACCTCTCCCGCTACAACAGACCACAAGCGCCACATTCAGATTCCCACGCTCTGAATGCAAAGAAAAAAGACCGGCAGTACTCACAAGGCAACTTCACATCCTGGTCTTCGACCCTGACGAGGTACCCATCCTTACTAAGCTTCGACAGATCAAAGTTCGCCACCGTCTGTCGGAGCTTAGCGAGGCGGACGAGTTCTTCGCGGTTAATACCTGCAGGGTCGGCGAGAACACCGCTGCCGTCGATGATGGCGACGGTCTTGTCTGAGCTCAAGAGAATCTCGTCTATGAAAGAGAGCGTGCGTCAGCTAGCCAGCCCATGACCAAAAGCTTCGCATAACGCTCACTTGAACCAAGATCACCATCTATATCAAACCAATACCACAAAAATTAGTATCGTGGATAACAATATTAAAGGCATGAGACTAGAGTCTGAGATCAGACTTCGACTGACCAGGGCCACCCGTCTGCACCTTCGTGATATCCTTCTCCCTCAACCCAAGCTGCTTATATATACCCAGCACATACTGTCGGATAGAAAGCGAGGTCATCCCGTAAATATCGTGTGGCACGCCACCGAGCGTCTCGGCGCTCTTGCCCGTCGTGAAGGACTTCCACCAGTTTTCGGCACCGCGAGCGCGGGCGTGTACTGAAATGTACCAAAGAATAATGAGTTAATGGATGAAGACAAAATCAAGAGTTACTCACGAGCTGCCCAGTCCATCATGTCCGCGGTACCCTCTGCAAGTATGGTCAAAGAAACAGACAATCAGTCCCGCAACCCCAAAAGTTATACAAACCAAGACTCACCATCAGGACCAAAGAACAGAATCTCCGGCTTCTCATACAGATCCACAAGACGTTCCTTGATACCCGGGCTCTGGCCAGGAATAAGCAGGTCAAGAATAGACTACAAACCCCCAATTCACCAATTCACCATAATCAGTAACGTGGTAAAACCAAAGCACCAATGTAGAAAGGTAATGGCCGAAATATTAATACTCACATCCACGTATTTCTCGAAACAAAGCCTCGGGCTCGCGTTCAATGAAGGCAAGATCGTCCCCTTCGCACCTCCTTCGGGAATATCCTTGTTCTTGAGGGATTGAGTAGACGCTAGGGCATAGTTCTCGTCGAATCTGCATCGTCCATGGTCGAGAGTATCAGTAATGCGAATCGATAATGCAGGTAAATGTACTGACAGCATCCTCTGATTGATTGAGTAGTTTCTGTGGTACAATGTCTAATCAGCTTGAAGTTCTCAACGAGTATGTGATATACATACTCCTTATTCCTCGACCTAACGATCCGGATCCCACCACGGGCAACATCCCTGAACCGCATATGGAACCCGCGGAACTCATTGCCTGTCACCCAAAATACCATTAACACCCCATCGCAGCCCCACAAAAGTAGAGAAGGGAAATGTAAAGGGCGAAGGAGACGCACCAATAGACAAGAACAACCCAAACGGCGCGACGGGGTACTCCACCTCCGGAAGGAACGTCGGATTGAACCTGAACGAAAGTGCGACTTTCGTCGGCTGGTAGAAGTTCGTCTTCAGGACGTGCCTAATCGCCGCGCGGCACACAAAGCACAAAGCACAGAGTCAGTCAATGTCAAAGAAAAAAGGGGACGAAAAGATGGCGGAAGTGGCATAATCAAGTGGAAGAAAAGAGGACCACAGGATACGCACTTATTGAAGATCAAGAAACTCTCAAAGATCTGCAGCTCGTGCTTGTTCAATACCGTACGCCTGATCTTGTCGTACAGTTGCTCGTCCGAGAGGGGTTGTTCGGTTTGAAGACGTTGGAAGGAAAGCGTCGGCCTTCGATATCCAAGATGACCAGTAGATATTGAAGGACAAAATCAGCAGAGCACTCGACGGTCAGAGAGCAAAGGTGAAGGGGGGCGTACATCAATCTCTGCGCCTCGTCCGCCGGATAATGCGTCATCGCAAAATTGACATACAACATCCTAATCTATATCACACACAATACAATCCTCATCAGCCTTCCCATTCCCATCTACAAATTCCACAGCACAAAGACTCACCAACTCCGGATGAGCATGCACAGCCTGCGCAATACTCTCCCTCGTAAACGTCTCCTCCCTGAATCGTCTCTTGATATCATTCAGAACCTCAGCGTGCGACGGGTTCGTCTCGTCGAGGACGTTCTTGAGGCCGAGGTAGGCTGGGCCGAGCCGGTTACAGAAGTGTTGGGCGAAGATCCAGCCGCAGTCTATTGTCAATAATTGCGGATGAAGGAGTGAAGATGTTTTATCAGTAAATGTACAGGAAGAAACCCAGGGGTAATGGCTGGGAGTGTTCCCAAGGAGCACAGTGAAGGAATGGAACGTACAAGCATAAGCCGCATCCTGGACCGCATGCCTCGCCCCTACCGTCGACGAGAAGAATGGGTTATCGGGCAGACAGTACAACAGCGAGACTTCCTTCATGACCTGGAAGATAGAGTGTTCGATCGGGGGTGCATTGGAGTTGGGTAGCGGGTTAAGGTAGAGTGAAATGATGGTGATGCCATTGGAGAATTGTTCTACGATAGGAGAAAGAAAGCGATATTTTGTGAGCGATAAATCAGGAGGCCGGATCAGTATGGTGGAAGGAAGATCCTTACCGACGTATTTCCTCGTCGAGTAAAGCGAATAGAAGTGGTAGAGGTTCGAGAGTGCACTGCGAAATAAACGAGAACTTGGTCAGTACACAAATCCTTACGACACTCCGAGCTCATCACACCCACCTAAACAAATGTGTCGTCCCACCCATTTTATACCCAATAACCATCCTCCTCTCCCTCGTCCCCTCCACCTCAAACACCTCAATAACGGGCCCATACCGGCTCTCCACATTCCACATAATCCTCTGATACACCTCCAACGTATTCTCGCTCGCCTTCTCCAAGAAAGCCTGATCCGAAACCGTCCTAATATCCGTCTTCTCCTTCTTCTCCGCCTCTCCAACGCCCAACAACCCCGAAGCCTCCGTAGCCGGCGTCTGTGGCGGTGGCGTCGCAAACTTACACTTCGTCACGAAATAGCACCTCAACTGCTGCGGCGCCGTCGCCGAAATACTCCCACTACTCCTAAACGTCTCCAACCTCCAACAATTCTCTGGCGTCGCCCCGTCCAAGAACATCTCGTCGATCCGCGTCTCGACGACGCTCCCCGGTCCCGCGGTGGACGTCACGCCGGGCGCGCTGGTGTGGATGAAGGTCGCGTTCGATCTGTCTTCTGCGATCTTTTCGAGGTCGATGACGAGTTTGGACGGGTCGTGTTTGGTGTAGGCGAGGATCTTGGCGCCGAAGAGGGCGATGATGTGGTCGGAGATGATGGGGATGGATTCGTTGGCGAAGTAGGTGTCATCGATGCCGAGGTGGGAGTAAAACCAGGTGACTTCGTTGGGAACTAGTTCACGAGGAATAAATCCCTGTATGAGGTGCAGGTTAGCATCTTTGTCAAACAAAATATATTGTTGCGGGTATCAGGACATGAAGAGAGCGGGAGAATAGGTGGGCCACACTTCGTGCCACACCGTGCTTTGTTCAACATCGTGTGCATTGGGGGTGGGGGCGCAATGAAAACGGGGATAATGCTCCAGGATAGCTCGTAGACAACGATGCAGTTGGTTTTCTTTCTTCCTCGCGGAGACCCTCCATGAGAACATGCATGATAGATGTCAGGCACTCGCGGCGCCACACAACCCCTAAGACGAAAGCAATGACGCCGTCTAGACCGAATTAGACGCCCAACAGCAGAACAGGGCTGTAAACCCCATAGCAGAGACAGAGCGCTGCAGTCGTCAACAACGAGCAGTGGATGGGTGAGGAAGGAGGCAGCAATACTAATCGCGCAATATATTGCACGCGGCGGGGTGGCTGAAGGCCTCTTCCCCGCGACGCGTCCCGCACATCATTTGTCCTCACTCTTGTCGCGCTCGTCCTTAACCATGCTCGCCCACGACATCGACAATGAAACAGTGAACAGCGAAGAAGAAACCGACCTTCGATGCGACGTCCGCTTGGACCTTCTCCTGCTGGGCCTGCTTACCCTTGAACACCGGCGTGGAATACCCCGGCACATTCTTGACGACATGCAACGACGTATCGCTACTATTGACGGAGGATACGCCAGAGCCGTAAGGACCTTTACCAGAGACCTGGAGGTGGGATTTGGTAGGGTCGTTCAGGACGGAGAGCGCGTCGGCGGACTCGGTGGGCTGCATGCTCGAGTATTAAAAGTGCTTGTGTGGCGTTACGCTAGACAATGCAAGACGATGAAGAAAGAAGAAAGAAAGCGGTGGTGGTGGTGGGATGGGATGAGAGCGAAGGGTGCCGGTGAAGGGCGGGGTTCGATGCGGTGAATTGGGCAGAGAATGGGGCGGATTATATAGGGTCTATAAGTAGGTGCCTCTAGACTCAGATCATCATCTCAAGGGCGACTGCTTTTGTACGAAGCGAACCGAAACGTCACCGTCTCCGCTCCTGAATTTTTTGATTGGGGCCGTGCCGTACGAGCGAGGCCGTTGGAGATGGAGACCTCGTCCGAGCTGCTGTGTTTGCTGTGCTCCTATTACTTGGATCCGTTTTTATTCCCCCTTGCGGTTGTGTTCAGAGTTCGGTATGGCTTCAGCGTCAGACGCACAATGTTCAACGTGAATGAATCGAACAGGAATCCCGCCCGGCCACACTGCATCACCTATCACCCATCTTCGGCAGCTCCTCGACACCCCTCCAAGTCCCCTTCACCCCCTTCGTCCGATCCCTCCTCGGCCGCCCATCCAACCGCACCAGTCGACCAAGAGAACTCATCACCACCCCAAAGGTCACCAGCCCATCCCCCACGAACCTCCAGAATCCCAACACGACACACAAAATACATCACGGGCCAAGGAAAAATCCAGGCAAAAGGTTTCAAACGTTTGTATTTCCCCCGGACCTTGCAGCGTTCGCACACGCACATGACGAAGGCCCGTTCGTAACTTCGTCCTCGTGCGCTTGTTGCGTTGGCAGGAAGAACAAGGAATGTGTACGCTCGCTCGTCGACACCCGTTTCAGAGGTCAAGAGGCCAAGAGGAAGCGTGATCGTGCCGTTCGGGCAGTTGACCGTCGTTCGGGACTCTCTTGTGGTTCTCTTGGGGTGCACTTAATATACTAATAATCGTGCGTTTGGGGCCATTGGGCCGTATGAAGGGAGTCTGCACCTGTCATGATTGGCGACGGTGTGCACGAGCGCACACGCAGCTGACCGGTGGATGTTGCCTAATGTTGCCAATTTATGGCTGCTCTATGACAAGCGGTGGCGACACGGTGGTCGGATTGGATGCTCTTGCGTTTCCGATGAACGGTCCAGGCGCTGGAATGCAGGTTCAATCGTGCGCGCATGTATGTATGTATCATGAGAGGCGCGGGTGATCGTGCGTCTGGATGACTGGCTTGTCGGTCATGGCACCTGCGATTGCAGGCCATGGCTCAATCTTACGCGGTCTTTGCTACCAGATTTCGTTCTTGCTCGTGATCCTTGGGCTGGATTCTTGATTCTTCGCTCGCATCGTGGTCTTTTGCGGAAGTGTTTCACCGGATGCTCGAGGGGACCGTCTTTCTTGGAGATATGTGGCGCAACTGCTCGGGACTCGACTTGGAATACGAGGTACTCAACGTGTGGCACGTCGAGCCCGGAGCTGTTTCTCATCATCCAGACATCTTGACCCGACTCAAGTACTTATTGTATAACATGCTCATGTTCCGACTCTCCGACTACCGACGCCACACAGTACAGTACAGCAACTTCGAGTCTTCGTCTTCGTCCATTCTGCATCATGTCCCATGTCTCATGCTCTCAACTTCTTATACTTAACTCACTGCAAAATCACCTTCTTGTCGTCAACAGTCACGACTCTGAACCATAGATCATGCCATCTCATCCTCGAACCACCTCAGGCCTCAAGGCTCAGAAGTTGTGTAAGTACTCTACCTTCCCACCTCGGCACTCGAGCGCCTAAATCTATGCCTTCAATGTCATCGGCGCCCTTTACTTCCCCAGGCCTTGTTCTCTTCTCGTTTATTCTTCCATTTTCATAATGGGGCAAGAATACGTGCCTACGTTCCTCGAGAGCTCTAGAACTTCGTTGAGCACATACATACCCACACTCACGCTCACACCCTGCGTGAGGACGGACGCTTGCTTTGTTTTCGTCTCTTGTCTTGGTCCATTATGATCTCATCTAATCATTCCAATCATACCACATCTTCATACTTCATGCGAGCGAGGGCACCGTTTAGGGACCCTTCAACCCTCCAACTCCCTAACTCTCCAACTTTCGAAGGCCTTCGATGCAGCCTAGACAGGGGCTTTCATGTGTGTGTATGTAAAAGACTACAGGACTAGGCCGCATATTAGAAGTGATTTGCGCTGCGCGAGGCGACGATCTTTCCTTGTTCAGACTCCGAATAGAGACATTGGTGAGAAGGCCGACTCGTGGATCCTTCTTTTATGTATGAAGCGAGGGTATGGACTGTGCCAAATCTTGGGTAGAGGGAGTGGGTCTGAACCAACGAATGAACGAACGTTGGATCGACGGGATGCGGAGAACTTAAAATTATTAGACGTAGACGTATGTACATATGCAGGCGAACGTACCGGTATTATCATTGAGCTGCAGGCGTTCGTTTTCCTGACACAAGCCTTCACACGAGGATCTACAGCCTGCTATACTCGATCGTCTATGTAATCCGCTAGAAAAACCGACCGGGCTTAGACTCATACAAAACACTCGTTCGTCTCATTGAGTCAGCTCCCCCTCCCAATTGCAAGCCAACAGTGACTCGGACGAGGCTGCAGCGGTGGGCGAAAAAGGAGAACGATTATATATTTCGTCTAGCTTAAGTAGATGACACCGTGACGACTCTGATGATTCCTCACACCGTCACCTCAACAGAAAATTCCGAACGGTCTGAAGACGCCCGTTGCACGTCGGGCAAATCATTTGATCGACATCCTACTAACTTGAATATTTGAATAGTGAGCGCCTAGCATAAACAGCGTAGAGCGCCTTTCGCCACAGGTTGGTAGTCCGGTCGTCCAAGGTAGTAAGACGACCACTCTCCAGAGAGATGCGTGGACAGAGATGTAATCATACCACCGCTCGACGTTCATTTTACTGTTTGACCGCGAAAGGCGAAAGTAGCGCACCCAGCGTCAACTCGACCTCTATGAAGTCCCTGGGCCAAGTACTTATCGTTTTCGAGAGTCTTTGTGCCCAGTGGAACTAGGACGACGCCGCTTTCCTCCCGGGATGTGTGTTGAGGCGTATGTACATTGTATGGTAATTGATTTGCTCCGACGCGCTAAGACCAGCGAGACTTTACTGGTACTGTAAGTCCAAGATTAAGTATATTGGCTAGATTTATTCGGAAGGGAAAAGACAAGGTGGGGAGCCGTACGAAACGTGTACATTTGCACGAGAATAAGAAAATATGTCTACGAGCGTGTAAGCAGGAGTAGTCGATGGAGTAGTTTGTGTCAAGTTCGTAGTCCTTTGCACAAGGCCCAGGGGAGAGAGGAAGGTGATTGGGCGCCACGAGGTCGGGAGTACCTTACCGATGTACGGCATGCATGGTAACAAGCGCGCCACACCATCCTTTGCATGTTGCGTCATAGCTTCCAGGTCTCTCGCAGTGAGAGGACACTTTGCTGAGAAGCGACGATGGCAGTGTGGGTGCCAGTTTCCAGAGAAGTGGCCATAAAAAGTACAACAAAATAAAAAGAAAAAGAGATATCGGAAGAGCACGAAAGGAGACAAATGGAGAGGGGCGTGTGGCGTGGCATGGTGTACACGCAGCGAGCGGAAATGTTTGTTCTCGAACGACGCGAACACGCGTCTCATCAGCAGAAAAAAGAGGGCGGAAATCGATGTCAACACCGTCATACCTCACCGCCTCAGCCGGACGGCATTCTACATATATAAAGCCACGCCCATCCTTCCCTTCACGACTCTCTCTCTTCTCCCCTCCGTCCAAACAACTCAGCTTAGGCGCCCATCGCCACCCACAGTTCCGCCTGCTCGACTTCCAAGTACGAGCGAACGTACCCACACCCACACCCACATCGATCCCCGAGAACGAAAGACGCGAGCGATGCCGCCCTCAGCAGACCGTGGTCCCTCACCTCTCCGTCCACCGACGACGCCCTTCCGTCTCGACTCGCAGATGTCGCCTATAGACAAAGATTTGCATCCTGTCATTCATAGTGGTAGGGTTGCCGTCGTCACCGGTGCCGCGAGTGGGATCGGAGCCGCTGCTGCCAGGGAGTTCGCAAAGTCTGTATCCTCCCGTTCTTCACGAGCACAACCTCCCATGTCTTCAATCACGCGTCTCTTAAATCGACCGCTATCTATTGCTGACTTGAATCCGGTGTTGTGTGTATGTTTAGGTTGGGCCTGAAAGTCGCGATCGCAGACTGGGACGAAGAGAACCTCCAGAAAGTGGCGAAGGAGCTCGTGGCGCAGCTCGGAGAGGCGAACGTGATCGCCGTGCGGACCGACGTCAGCAAACTCGAGGACGTCGTCAGCCTCAAGGATCGCGTCTATGAGGCTTGGGGCGAGGTGAGGATAACGAATCCCTCTCGCCACCCCCTCTTTTCGCACTTTTCTTCTGTCTTTCCACATTTTACCACCTCTCTGTTCGTCCCTATCCCTATCATTCCACAATTCCACCATGATCTGTTCTCCTTCCATTCTACGTGATAGCATGATGCGTAGAGGTGGATTTTCCTTGTGCATGACCAACCCCTTCCTCTCCATTCACATCCGAACCTTTACCCATACACAACTCTCCCTCCCCCACTGTACTATACAAACACACACCACCCGCACTGTACCCTGGAACTCTCTACGGCACTGGAGGAACCGGGAAGTCCTCATCAGTGATGTATAACCATAATCCTCTAGGTCGCCGTGTTGTTGAACAACGCGGCTATCGGTGGGAAGACGGGTTCGTGGGAGGGCTTGGAGGCGTGGAGGAAGATTATGGACGTTAATCTTTTTGGGTGAGTTTTTTGTTTCTTTCTTTTGTTTGTGTTTGTCTAGAGGATAGAGAGAGGGGAGGAGCGTTATTTCTTGTCACGCAAACGATTATCTGACTCCTCGCCCCTCTCTATTTCTTTGCAGCGTCCTGAACGTCCAACACACATTCGTACCCGTAAGTCCTTCGATCTTTCCCTTCTCCACTCCATAATCGAGCTGACTCACCCGTGCTATGAATCAGGCTATGCTTCACCAGGAGAACCAATCCGCGATCATCAACACGGGTTCGAAGCAGGGTATCACGAACCCTCCGTACGTCCTATCTCCTTGACTTTTCATCGTCGCTTAAATCGCCTAGTTAATAGCTGACCGACATATATCTTACTTCCCGCATACTTCCTGCTACCACGCAAAACAGTGGCAGCGGACCAGCGTATAACGCCTCCAAGGCCGCGATCAAGTCTATCACTGAAAGTCTCGCGCATGAGTTGCGTCAGCGGCCTGCTGTGAACTTGACGGCGCATTTGTTCATGTGTGTTTTCTTTCCCTCTTTCCCTTCTCCCCTTCTTCCTTCCCTCCCTCCCTCCCTCCTGTCCTCCCCCCGTGAACTCCGCCCCAACCAAAACCTAAATGCACTCCTAACCCCCAATCACCAATCACTAACCACCACCATCGCAATCCCAACAGCCCCGGCTGGACCTTCACAGGCCTCGGCGGCGCCCGCGACCCTTCCATCTCAAAACCGCCCGGCGCGTGGACGGCGACGGAGACGGTGCTGTATATGCTTGACCGGGTGCGGCTTGGAGACTTTTATATTTTGTGTCCGGATAATGAGACGAGGAGGTATGTGTTCTCTCCACAACCCCCACCTTGTACTGTCACGCGTTCTTGTTTCGGGATGACGTACCGAACATGGAACGATTTGGCTGACGAATGTTGTGTGGCGTGTATATGTGTATGTGTACAGGGACGTCGATAACCTCCGGATCCTCTGGGGCGCGGGCGATATCACGGAAGGACGGCCAGCGCTTAGTCGGTGGCATCCGAATTATAAGTCTTTGTTTGAGGATTATATGAAGGAGGGGTTGGCGGATTTGGATCAGTGAAGAGGTGAAGTGGTGAGGAGTGGGTGGGCTTAGATCATGGTGGTGGGTGGTGGTGGTGTGGTAGTGGCGATCGTCGTGGTGTGATGTGATAGAGAAGTGAGAGCACGGACAGCGTTCGAAAGAAAATAGGCGACTGGAAATGAAGAAGCGATGGGGTGCTTTGTATGTATGTATGTTATGTTATGATTTTGGATTCACGGGCGGAATGGGATTGCTTTCGATGTTGCTTTCGTTTACCGCTGAGAAGATTTATGGCCTTCGCCAGGACTGTGGGCTTTCCCCAGGCTACCTCCCAAAATTATACCTGATCCTCAGCAACAACGACATCCAAACGAATAAGGAGATTGACGATCCGGATATGGTGGCATCTTTATGCATGTGGACGGCACCGGGCAGGCAGGGTTAGAGTTGACGACTCTTCCCGGGACATCGGCGGTGATTTGTGGCGTCCAAACATCTTAGTGACAACTATCACGGTCTCTTCCACCACGGACCACGAATACTCAGGCAATGTGCGGTGCTGGATCAATGTGCATGTCTTCGAATACTAGTGAACGTCTTTCGGAATCAGACCGTCTCGAAATCTTGGAGTTTCTCCGTGATCCATTCGTCGCTTCGTTGATCGAAACGCATCCGAACCGCTTGGTCGCCGCTTCCTCATCGTCATCGTCCGTCCCTCGAGGTCTTAAACGGCTCGACTGGTGCGACTCGACAGGGACATCGTATTCAGATGCGGACTCTGGTGGTCAAAAGACACAGAAACAGTGGGAAACCCTTGTTCAGGCATACATCGACTCGGACGCACGGGATGGAGGTGTGACTTGTGCGGAAGTACGTACACGATTTTCTTTTTCCTCTAACAAACTCAGTGGGGCACTGGATGTATTTGTGATTTATAATGACCTACAGCTTATATTTACAGGATATCCCGGATAAAATCGCAAGGTACATAGATCGAGCGAAGAAATTGGACCTCGACCGTTCTCCAGAAAAATGGTACGCTTTTTCTTCGAGAATCAGTGATAAACACTGAATTGAGAGTATCACTAACGAGTTACTGACAGGGCATCCGAGGCTGATTCTACAGCCGGATGTCCTTCCGCAAACATGGCAGCAGTTCGACCACCTTCAATCCCCGGCATGTCACCCAAAAAATCCCACGAAGTCTCACGCATGGCGAGTTACATCGACCATCTCGTGTCTTCGTCGCCATGTCTTCGTGGCGTTAGACATGTAGTAGATGTTGGTGCTGGACAGGTACGTACGCACTCATCCTCATATTATTTTCGATTCCTAGGTACACTCGTACATAATTAAATGCGCGAGTGATTTAGATACGCTGCAGTGCTAAAGTTTCATTGTCTGTGCCTAGGGCTACCTTTCACGAGCATTATGCGACCTTGGATTTCATGTCCTTGCTCTCGACGGGAGCGACGTGCAGACGAAGGGCGCGGAGCGTCGACGGCAGTGGGAACAGAAAGGGAAGACTCCGGCATCACGCACTACCGGAGTCCCAGAGAAAAATGGAGCTGCCAGTGTAGAGATTTCCGGGCGTACTAGAACTAGAGGGAGCTTAACGCACAAGACCATCCATATCACACCTTCGACTCTGTATCAAGCCGTCACAGCGTGGATACAGGACGCACCATATTCGTATTCGGACGACTCGTCATCGACGGAGAACTTGAACACGCCAATACCTGTCCTCGTCGTCGGCCTCCATGCCTGCGGTTCGCTCACACCGGATATTCTCCGGGTGTTTCTCTCCTTTCATGATTCACCGCCGAACACTACCGCACCTCCGCATATTACTACGTGGACGCCCAAAGCTGCGGTGGTTGTGGGTTGTTGTTACAATATGATGAACGCAGAAGGTACACGGTCTTACTCGTCTCGTTTCGCATTGCATTGATCCTTCCAGTACTTACCACCCACGTACCAGATTTCCCCCTCTCCAAAGCCTTCCGAGCCGCTCCCCATGCATCCCCATCCCCATCTCCATCCCCATCCCTATCACTAACGCTAACACCCTCCCACCTGCAACTCGCCGCCCAAACCCCCTCGCACTGGTTCGACACGCCGACATCAAAAACTACCACCGAGCTCTCCATCCGCAAAGTCGTGTTTCGTGCTCTGCTCGAACGGTTTCTCCCCGTTCGTGATCGTGATCATAGTACTGCGCCAGAGACTCAGAGATACAGCAGCGATGCAACGCGACCAAGGGCAGAGGCCTGGAGGGAAGAGGGAAAGGAGAAGGCGAAGAGGTTAGGTCGACTGCCTGACAGTGCGTACGCGTCGCTCGAAATCTTCCTTGCGAGGGCGTGTCAGAAGTTCGATCTAGATCTGGAGGGGGTCATGTCTTCTGTAAGTTCATCTGATGATCGTCGTTTCATGATACTATTTTCCTGGTCTTCCACACATTCCTCCATGTTGACTCGACATGCCTACATGAATACATACAGGACCTCCTCTCGGACTCAAAAGAACTGCAGAAGTGGATCACAAGACTAGAAATCCTCCACGTCCTTCGATGTCTCGCCGGACCTGCGATAGAGAGTATGGTCGTTCGAGATCGACTCTGCTGGCTGAGGGAGAGTCTTCACTTGGACTCTGACCCACTGGCATGTCGTGAGAGTGGGAGTGTGGAAGACGGCGGTGGAGGTGATCAGTCGAGGTCCAAAGGGACGGTAGCAACCGCCAGTACTGACAGGGACAGGGACACCAACGGTAACAGTCAGTGGGACGTCCGCCTGGTGGGCTTATTCGACCAGGCATTGGGGAGTGCGCGGAATTTCGGGATCGTCGTCGTTCCCATTGACAGGGTCGGGTCCGAGTCTGCGGAGGTTAATTGAGTACGGGTACGAGTATGTAAGTTACTGTAAAAGAATCAGAGTCAGGCTAGGTTAGTAGGGCTTAGATTCAGGATGGTTCGGAAGGCTTAAATTCAGGGTAACTTACTGGGTATGGGTCGGAGGGTTTGAAAGCTTGAAGGGTCGAGCCTGTCTGTACAATGTACACATACGTGACATCAATCCCAACCCCAATACAACCCAACACAACCTACTTCTACTCCCTTGACTTATCTGACTGTACTTAGACTACACGTTCTATTTAGTTGGCTGCACTTACTTCTAAAAGGTCCTAGTCAACAACAACAACAACAACAAACAACAAGTCTGAATTGGGCTACAAACAAAGACACAGACAAAGACACAAATGGCAAACGAACAAACAAATGGCAAACGAACAAACAAAAAAGTAGAACAAACACGGACAATGACGATGACAATGACAACTTGGCATGGTAATGACGATGACAATGAACAATGAGGCTGAGAATGAGGCTGAGAATGAGGCTGAGAATGGGACTGAAAATGAGGCTGAGGCTGGGAGAGAGAGACTGAGACACAGACGCTATATATAGGACGGTAGGCCGGGCGATATAAGTAAGACAGGAAGGGAGGACGAGGAGGTATTAGATGGATGAACGAACGGGAAAAAAAAGAAACAAGAAACAAGAGATAAGAAAACGATGCGAGCGTATAATGAACAGAAAAAACTCGAAAACGATGCGTGCGCATGCAGAAAAACGAATCGAAAAAATCAAATTAAAAATCACTCCTCCCTCCAACTCCCCATCAAGCGATAAAAGTCCGCAACGAGGTACAAACTCCCCGCCACAACTACCAGTCCCTCCTTCTCCTCCTCCCCCTCCTCTCCTTCTCCCTCTCCCTCTTGCTCACCACCCCACCCCCATCGCCAAACCCGCCTCCGCCACCATCATCCCCACTCCCAATCCGCCCACCCATCCGCCCCGCAGCCCACCTCAACGCCCTCCTCATCCCCTCCACCCCCCTCTCCACTCCATCTCTCTCCGTCCCTTCCCTTACTCCCACTCCATTCCCCTTCCCATTCCCCATCCCCATCCCTTTCTCTCCGCTCTGATTTCTCCCGTCATCATCATCCTCAGTCCAAACCTCCGCATCCGGCAATATCCGCCTAACCGTCCTCTTCAACTCACTAGGCGAGACGGGGCGTACCCAGGGCATACCTTCGACGGGCGAGAAACGGAGACAGGCGACGGAGGTGCGGATGCGGATTTGTGGTGTTTGTGTTTGTGGTTGTGTTTGCGTTGGGATTGGTGTTGCTGTTGATGTGGGGATGTTGGCGGGGTTGGAGGAGGTGGTGGTGGTGGGCGGATGTAAATCTGGGCGTGTGCTGAAATTGAATGAAGTCGGGAGTACAGGCGCGATCATAGACGAAGACCCCGATCCAGATCCCGAGCTCGAAGCCATCGTAGGGTTTCCTAATGCCTGAGGTAACGCTCTCGGAGACGTCGGTCGTGATCTCTGCTGCCCCTGCCCCTGCGTCTGTACATGCGTCTGTAGCGACACCGACCCATATCTCGGCGACATCGTCGGTGACCCCGCCTGTGACGCCGACGACCCACCAGTAGCGGGCGGCGAAGGCGAGAGCGATTTCACACTATTCGATCTAGGCGAGGTCGCGGGTGTCTGGGTGTTCGAAGACGAGGTTGATGAAACCGGATGGGGTGGGGGTTGTGGAGGGAGTGGAGGGGCGAATATTGACGCGGAAGCAGAAGAAGAAGAGTGGGAGGGAGGAGAGGGAGACGGGAGGGAGAGGAGTTGCGAGAGTGTTTGGAGGGGGGTTTTGGGTGGGGAGTGGGAGAGGGCGAGGATGTAGATTAGGTGGATCGTTCGTGGTCGGGGTGGGTTTGATGAGGTGTGGGTGGCGCTAGAGCTGGAGAGGAGATGCGAGATGTAGGATGCGAGAGTGCTCGAAGATGCGGGGTTGTGGGCGCCGTCTGCGAGGACAGTTATACGCCTGCCGCCGTTATCATCTGGCGGTCGATGCCCACCACCACCCCCGCCCCCGTCGTCGTCTGGGGATGGAACATAGTCCAACGCCGAGACGGGGAGCGAATGGAACGATAATCGACCAGGCCAGCCTGCGGCCTTGATCCCAGCAGCCAACGTCTCCGCCGTAAGCCGTCCCAACCAGGACGAAGCGCGTTCAACACAAGACGGATGTGTGAGCAGTGTCGAGATGACGGTGGCCGCGATGGCGAGGTTGTCGAGCTGGTAGGCTCCGTATAGCGGCAGGAGCGCCTTGACGGGGTGCAGGAAGTAAGGTAGGACGAGCTCGACGGCCTGCGGTCGTGGTTTCCTGAATTTTGAAGGCCGAAAGTCAAACGAGTCGTCAAGATCGTCACCACCATCTACACTGGGATCCCACTCCCTCCGACGCACGGGCCACACGTCGACGACGTCTCCCCCGACCTTGAGCACTTCCTCCCTCACCGCGCTCACGACCTCTGCATACCGCTGCCTCCCGAGCACGAACGGTTTCCCCCTCCTCGCTATCCGTGCCTTCTCCCTCGCGATCTCCTCGACCGTGTGGCCCAGGATCGCTTGGTGGTCCAGATCGACGGACGCGAGCGCATCGACGAGCACGCACTCGTCCCGGACTACGTTCGTCGCGTCCAGGCGGCCGCCCATGCCCACCTCGAGCACGACGACTTCCACTTTCTCGAGCTCAAAGATGAGCATCGCTGTGCTCGTAAGCAGCTCGAACTCGCTCGCGCCGACGCCATGTTCGTCGTTCGCCTGTCTCACCAATCTCCATGCCTCGGTATACAATGAAAAGTTGACGGTGCGGCCGTTGATGGTGATGCAGTCGTGTACTGCGACGAGGTGGGGGGAATTGAAGCGTCCGAAGGAGATGTGGGAGGACTGGAAGATGGAGGAGAGAAGGGAGGAAACGCTTCCCTTGCCGTTCGTCCCTGCGATGTGGATCGTCGGTCGTGTGTAGCCCGGGAGGAACGTGAGCAGCTTCCGGATCCTGTCCAGCGAGAGGTCGATGCCCAAAGTGTTCGGCATCCTTTGCGTCGGCGAGTAGATGGTCTTGAATCAAGAAAGCAAAAGAGAAAAAGAGAAATAAAAAGATGGATGGAGTGTGGCTGCTGGCTGCTGGCTATATCGATGCCTCAGCCTGGGCTTGTGCGGCCCCCCATTTGCAAACCCGACATCCATCTTCTCCCGTCCGCGCTACTACCGATAATCCAACCGCCACTTGTTCGTCCGACCCGACGCCACACACAGTGACCCTCCATTCACTCCGTCTGTCAATTGAAAGCTGGCGACTCAATGGGGCACTTACCCATGCATGCAATGACGAACGAACGATTCAAAGCGTAATAGCAGTACGAGTACGTACGCTCATAACTTAAGCTCTGCGCCCAGCCCTTCCCATATGCATCCCGGGTAAAATGAAATACAAATTTAACACTGTCTGTAACATAATCCCGAACGCTGTGCAAAGTGCCAGTGTTTTCGTCCGAATCGATCCAGTGCTTTATTGTAATACAATTCTCGACGTGACGCACGGTCTAACGCCACCAAGGTCTAAGGCACCGGAGAACATGCGATGATGCATGGGAGCCCGAAGAATGGAGCCATGAATGGAAGAGACGACACGACACGGGCTGAATTCGCCGTGACAGGATGCGTCGGGTCGGGCTGTCAACGTTTTGCTTGTCACTGTCAATGCACGCAGACTCTCGGAATCAACGTATCTGAATCAGCGTTCGTTTCTTTCTGGATGTAAAGAGGCGCAACAGAAAGTGAAAAGGAGTAGGGGGGAAAAGTGAAAGAAAAAAAGTCCAGGGACAGACAGGTATACTACTACAGGACGAGTAGTAAAGAGTGAAGGGTGAGGAGCGAGGAACGCGCGGTAGCTAGATGTGTGGGAGGTAGCAAACGTGTTGTAAAAGTGAAGGGGTAGCAAAGTGTTGTAAAAATGAGTAGGTAGGTAAACAGGTATGTAGGTGGCTAACAAGGATAGTCCTAGATGTAGTACTATATACGAAGACGGTGATGGGAACGGGGACGGAGAGCATAGGCACGGTGGATGAATATGTGGCGGCGGGGAATTGATGGTGACGACGACGAGAGGTGCGGTGATAAGAGTGAGAGTGGCGGTGACGGTGACGGTGACGGTGGGCGGGTGCAAGGGTGAGTAATAGACCACAGGGACAATACATGAGGATGGAGACAGACGGGGGTGGGGGTGGGGTTAATGGGGGAGTTATCAAGGCATTGTGTGCGATCTCAGAATGGGGTCTAGGGAGTGAATGGAGAACATGGTCCGTGGTGGCGTGAAATGCAGAGACAGATAGAAGTAAAACAGTCGAGAATCCGCGCAGAAACAGAAAACAGGTAGGCTGGGACAATATCGAATTAAGGGAAGGATGGGAAAGGGAAAAGATGTCACGTCATGGAGGTAAGGTCGTAATAGAGGCTACAAGACCATTCATCAGTCATATTGGAAAAGAAGAAGCGCTTTAACGAAACGACGCACCACAACAAGGACAAGCAAACGCAGGAGCAGAAGTAGAGCTAATCTTTCAACAACACCTACTTAAGCTTAACACCCATCGTACATCGAGTTCTTCGGGAAGGAGAACCCGGCCTCGGCCCACGTCGTCAGATTCGGGTTACTATACGCCTCGATATGACTGTCGAAAACGTGTCAGAGCGTCAGTTCGGTCCTGATGCGAATGCGAATGAGGGGAATGGGATGGGAGGGACTGATACCCAAGGACAGGGACAGAAGGAGATCCCGGAGACAGAGCAAAAGGAGAAGGACACGGAGAAGGGAGGAGAAAGAGAAGGCAAGGACGCACTCATTGATATAATCAGCCGTAGGGTAATTCGGCGGGTCGCACGACAGTCCGTCCTCGACGTCTGCACGTTGATAGACCCTGACGTAGTCGATCCGCATTTCACTTGGGAAGACGAGATGTTTGTAATCCGCGGCTTGGAACGAAGCTGTAAACGAGAGAACATGGGAACAAAGCATGTGAGTGTGAGTGAGTGCTCAAGCACGCCGAGGTGCTAAAGCTACTCACGCGAGATACCAAAGTTGATAACCAGATACTATCAAAAACCAAGCCACATTTCCGTCAGTCCTCGCACACACTCCCCTCAAACCAAACCACTCACCATCGGCTCCTCCGGAATCAACCTCTCCGAAATCTCCACCTCCGAATCCGCCCCAATCGACCCCGCCGTGACCTTCCAACTCGGCGTCCCCTGCGAATACCACGTAATATACCCCTCGTCCCTATTATCCCGATTACTCCAATACTCGACCCCATACGTCGCATAATTCTCATCATTATACACGTCCTCGTCGATATACGTCAGCGCCGACACCGCCTGCTGCCACTGCCCGCCCTTATACGAATTCAACGAAGTGATGCTATCGTCGTAGATCGGCGACACAGACGTATCGTTATCGAATTCGTACAAATAATTGAACGGCGCGACTTGCAGCGACTGCGAGACTTGGCCGCGCATCACGTCGACGTCGATCTGCGCCTCGATGATATCGATCTCTGGGGCTGAGCGCCCGCGGGAGTTCGATGGTCCGGGGTGGTCTTCGCCGGAACAGGTGCAGGCGGAGGTGCGTTGGCCGGGGAGGTAGGAGAGTTCGGTGCCCCAGGTTGAGCCGGTGAGGGCGGCGGCGGGGGTCGTTCCGTCTGGGTTGGTTTGGTTGGGGAAGGTGCCGAGGTCGCAGGTGTCGTAGGAGTAGGGCCACATGCCTGTGTGGTGCGAGGGGGTGTTAGGAGATGTGGATGTGATGATGGTGGGAGGAGTGGGGGGACGAACCTTCGGTTGTGGCACCGTATCCAGCGCGGCCCTGTTGGGGACGTTAGATATATGACACAGGAGTCGTTGTAGAGGTGTTAGCATACCAAGTTACCCATAGTCCAGATACCTGCAAAACGGGATTAGTCGGATTATGTTTAGAATAGACTGAGTAGTTTACCTGGCCAGAAACCCGGGGAATTGTGAGAACCAGGCAAGCTCACGGACACTTCGACGTAGCCTGTTGTGAAGCATAGCTTGTTCCATGATTGTAACATGCCTGGGAAAATTATGAGTGGCGGTGGCACGAACAAGTGAACGATATACTCACCACTTTGGAAGTTGAGATTGTGTGTGTTTTGTTCGGTCATGGTAATCACGAGCTTCCCGTCCTTCGTTGTGATGGCCTGCATACTATATGAGACGACAGCTTATCGTACACAGTCTGCAGCTCCTCTCACCTGAGGATCATACCACTCCAGATCGCCGGTGGGCCTGCAATCAATCGCTTGATGAGCAAAGGCGACAGAACCGTCCAAAGGCAGCACACTCACCAGTAGTTGAAATCCATAGCCTCCCAGAACGGGTCGTCGCCTTCCCAAAACGTCCTTCCATCCGTATTGAACTCGTCACTAAACACCAAATTATACTTCTTCCCATCGGACCCGGTCCTCGTATACACGCTCTCGTCCGTATCGTCGTCGATAAGCGTCGGCATGCCCGGGAACGAAGGCACCTGTCCGCTCGAGTTCGTCCCTCCGATATTACTTCCCCCCAGCGTACTCTGCCCCTTCCCCGTCGTCGCCACAATGATCGGGTAGCCGGCGAAGAGAGTGATCAACCCAGCGAGAATGATGACCAGAAACCCGACGTTGGCCCACCCACGGGCTGAGAAGATCGTGAACGACGACGCATCCCGTTTCGGGTCCGGATTATGCAACGGGTCGTCGAGGTCAGGGTCTGTCTGGTCCCACATGTACAGAGGGACGGTTGCGGAGGAGGCGGGGAGTGCTTTCTCGCCTCCGCCAGAAGACGTCATTACGGACGTTTCTGAGGGTGCTGCGCTGAATCGGGAGGCATTGTAGAGGCCGCTTCCTCTTGCGTTGTACTGCGCATCGACGTCGATTTAGAACAAAAGCGAGGCCAGAAGACGGGGAAAAAATTGCACGCACGGAATAAGGGCCATAGGACGCGCCAACGGAGCCCGACGCTACGCCCTGGGTCATCGGATCCTGCCTTGGGGGTAGGCCATTGGGAGAGAGCATCTGGCCAGAATTTGAGGGAGTCATATGTCCACTGGCAGAGTGAGGGGGGTTCGGGACTGGGTTGTAGAGGGCGGGATTGGGGGCATCTCGCCTTGTGGCCATGGCCTCGGACGGAGGGAGCTGGTGCGGAGAGCTGTGGGGAGGAGTATCAAATGGCGACTGCGAGCTGACCGTCACTTGCCAGACGTCGTCGTGCCTCTTGGCTCCAGCACAACCCCTCCTCTCCGCTTACCTCTTACGTCAGCATCTGTTCACCCGCAGCACCCACGCCTTCTTTCACCTTTCCGCCGGTCTCCCCTCAGGAACACAGCTCGGACAGCGTCGGTGGCACCAGTCGTCAAGCCTTCATAGCTCGAGTTCTCAGCAATCATCAGAGCGGGCAGCTACTTCGGGCGTGTGGGAGCTCGTTCACGAACAACACGCGTCTGATCCTCATTCTGCGTCGGGCTTGTGACCGCGTTCTCCGCTCACATCCAGCAGCTTGGCGCTGTTCGCGCGCTGTGGCCCAACACGGTCTTATCTCGCCGTTTTATCCCCTCTGTGGCTCGGTGGCGTAGTTGGTCAACAGTACACATGAATATGTGTACAATGTCGAGCTCAGTACTTCAAGACAAGCTTGGCAGCTTCAACTTTTACTGCTGTCTAAAGAATTACGCAGGCCCAGAGAATGGCAGAAAGGTCGCAGAGGGCGACAAGTGACTTGGCATATCCCATGATGACCTCTCAAGCAAGCAGTAGCACTCCCTCTGTCTGTTTCCCCGGTCAACTACAGGAAATCAAGCAAAACCGAAACGACAAAACCAAAAACAGAGCACTACGGTCCCGCCATCCTCATCCTCACCACAGTCCCACCACCCGTATTCCCATCGAACGTAAAGAAATTCGCGAGCGGCGCCTCCCTCGCACCCAACGCCTTCAAGATATCCTGTGCCAATAGTCCTCCAACGACGGCGCACACGGGCGAGAACTCGGCGAAGGCGGTCGTGGCCATCGTCCTACCAGCCCGGAAAAAGGCGTTAGAATATTTTCAGGGCGGTGGGTGGGTGGGTAGTAGGTAGGTAGGTAGGTGGTGAAGAAGGTGCATGAGGAGTGAGTGGGGAGACGGAAAAACTCACTCGATCAGGTCCCTCGGAGCGACGGTCAATATCTGCTTATTCACATCCGCCTCTTTGATCATCTTATTCGCGATCGCCTCCAGCTCATCCGCCTCTTCCAGCTCACTCGGAAGTTTTCCTTGATGTTTAGCTTGGAACTCCCAGATCGCTGCACATCCCCCGTCAGCAAGGAAAACAGGGAAGAGCACAAGGTAGAGGTGGAGGTGGAGGTGGTGGTGGAGGTGGAGGTGGATACTGAGGGGGAGGAAGGGAAAGAGGAACAGAAACACGAACCAAGCACAGCGAACACCACAGCCGGATTCAACTCCTTCGTCTGCCTCCTCGTCATTCCCGCCCAATTATGCGTCAGGGCTTCTTTTAGCGAACAGTACTGCACAGACGCGAGCGAGTTCTTCGCATTCTCTTTGTTGCCCGATCGGTCCCTGTGAATACGCACCCACAAACGAAAATGACAAAGATAAAGAATGAAGATCAGTCGGTCAAAGATCAAGTCCGCTCGGGGATCAAGTGCATGAAGGATCAGGAGTCGGAAAAGCGACATGGAGGGGTAATGTAGCAGGTATCAAAAGAATATGACATGGCAGGGGCGAGAGGCAAGGGAGGAAGGTACAGGAGTATGAATAAAACGGAGTTAACGGCAACGGACGTACGGTGCGATATACTCGTGCTTCAGCAAGTCGCAGAAGATGTATCCGAGCAGGCCGTAGCTTCCCCCGACGTACATGGGCTTGCCTAGTCTCCGACATGCTTCGTTTATGCGGATCTGTTCGAATATAGGGAAGAAAGAGATATACCGCAAGGGGTGCAGGGGATGTTAGCAAGTTCTTTTTAAAAGGTCAGGTATTCGAGGATGAGGATAGAGACGGAGCGCCGTATGACACATGTCTCAACCCGAATCCGAGTTGAATGAAAGCGACGCGGACTGAAGATACCGAAACATAATAGATCGCAGCCACACACACTACCGAAACTACCCTCCAAGGAAGAAAAAGAAACATAATCCGAGAGAAAAAACCAAGACTCACCGACTCATCCCTCCCCAAATCCGTCGCACACACCATATCCACCCTACCCACCAACTTGTCCAGTCCGCCCTCGATCTCTAACAACGAAGCGATCGCATCCGGGATTACCTCGATGGTCACCAGCGGATTAAGTTCTCCGATCCTGTTTTTAGCGGCTTCGACCCGCTATGAAAGGTTTGCACGAGGAAAGGAGAGAGCGGGAGGGGAGGGGAACCAGGCCCGAAGCGTAAGCCAATCCAATTCAATTCCAAACCCAAACCCAAACCGAAGCCGACGGTATATGGGAGGGTATAGACACCGAGCCGAACCGAAACAAAAATAAAAGACAAGTCAGTAAGTCAGTCAGCCGGTGGATAGCCTGACGAAAGTAGCGGGGCATGAAAAGGAGAGGGAGAGAGCAGGCCTGAAGAGGTATTCATGTTATGCAGCCAATGGTATCACGAGGGCTTGGACGTCCGTACGACCTGACCTCCGGGGCATTTATAAGTGCCTTGGGTCAGGACATTACAGGACGGAGGAGGGGGCGCGTGAGTGCGCCATACATGGAGCGCGCACGGGCAGGAGTGCCTAAACGTATAGGCCATCTTTACTTCCTAACTCTCCCGGAGTCAGTGTAGATGCGTGGGGAGAAATAGCGGGCGGTCATGCTCCGAACAATAGAATGCAGGGAAGGAGGGGAAGAAGAACGCTGGTTGGAGAGGAGGGAGAGGTACAGAGGGTCCGACCTGACCTGGTCTCGACCGGTGGATGGACGGTGCCGGGACAAGCTTGGTTAGCACCATAGATGGAGCTGCATACGTTAGATGTGGATAAACGTAGAGGCAGCAAAGTCTCTCGGTCCCAACGCGTCCCAATCGTGGTCCATAATGAAAAATAGCAGAAAGAGCGGACCGAATCACTCCCAAGAGGAAGAGAATCCATGCAAAGCATATCACGAGGCCCACAAGGAGGGGAACAAAGGCACAGCAGACAATCACGGCTGACAGTCTGGGACGTGTGCTTTACCACACTGTCCGTGCCATGACCTGCGGTACTATGTATGCACCAGTGATCAGTCAGTTAAGCACTAACCTTTCTCCCCACATCCTCGTCTCGGAAGAAGAACCCCGCACCGAGGTCCTCCTCCGCCACGTTCTCTCCGTCAAGTATGACGAGCTTCCCTACGCCCGCGAGGACGATATTTTTGATCGCTTCGGTCGCCACGCCTTTCAGGTTGACGATCAGAATCGTGGCGTTGCGCATTCTAATCGTAGAACCATCAGTGTCGCAGCCAACAGTCATTTGAGCATCGCAGGGAGAGGGGTTGTGCGTGGTACGGAAGGTAAACCCGATGATCAGCCAATTGAAGAATGCAGGCATTAGTGCACGTGCAAAGCGCAGATGTGAAGTTCAAACCATATGTGTCAGTACGAGACAAAAGGACAACGAGGCGTTTTCGGGCTAGGCAAAGTGTAAGTATACGCACTTTTGTTGAGCTTCGAGACCCCAGAGACGGATTTGACGGTCATACAGGGCGCCTTCATCTAGTTACAGATTCCAAAACGCTCGCGTGAGCAAAGAGACGACCATTGCATTTTCTGCGACAGACAGACCAACCTTCAGTAATCTGAACCGGGATGCTCTTGCTCGAATCGTGTAGAGACATGGTGGCGACGCGGATGAACCAAACGGTGGCGAGTCGCGACGCGTGTCGGCGCTTAAAAACCAATTGTATGTCATTTCCCACGAATGAATACGAAAAGCCACGAGCGGAGCCACAGACCCAAAAGTAACAAACACAAATGAACGAACCTTGTACAAGAAGCTCTGACTCTGACTCTTAACTCTTACTCAAGGAAAGATTGCGCGAAAGGAGCTCCGGCGAACCCTTACTGTAAGTTCCTACGACGCGACGCGCGAACAAAGGATTGAATTCCACCCATTCTCGGAAACAACAACGCCTCCACCGGGATCCGCCGGACTTGCCGCGGCTGCCCGGTCGCACCCAATTGGTTGGCCGTGCCGCCACTGCGCATGCGGTGGGGTCGAATTCTTGGGTCGGAAGGGAAGGGAAGAGAGGAAATTGCAGGCTAACGAGAACGGTCAAGTGCTTCCATAACGTGGCTTGCTGCGATCATCATCAAACCGGTGCCTTCAAGATGAACTTGTTTAGAAATTAGCGGCGACGAGAAGTATTATACTCTCTGCCTGGTGCCAGCGAGACTTGGACTTGTAAGTTGCCAAATGTGCCAACCTGAATAAGTATCAGCGAAACTTGAAGAATGACTGCTCAACTCGGTGCCAGCAATAAATAACGAAATCAAAATGAACGGACGAGAGTAAGCATACAGTCTGGACTCTGAGAAAGGAACGAGAGACGGAACATATGGAAACAAGAGAACTCGATAACATTTCGACGGACAGGGAGGGAGGAAGGAAGGAGGTAAACCTTGAAAGCAGCCGAGCAAAGGGGAAAAGACAGACATAAAACTATGTAATACAGTTCGAGACGAAAGCTGGCTTGAACCTACTTACTACTCAACAACCTAATCAACCCCGCCATCCGGTAGTAAAAAGACAGTATAGATGCAAAGATTGAAAAAAAAAACCAGTGGGTGTATATCTCTCAAGGAAAAGGACATCATCATCATCATCAACAACATCAAAAATACTATGTGAACGATCCCAAGGGAAGAACAAGGCAAGCAAGCAAGCATAAGGACCGATTGAGTGGGCGAAATGCGACAACCAAAGGAAAGGGGACGGGGGGTATCAAGTATCATCGTACACGTAGACCTAACTCGTACCCAAGAAACGAAACGACCGAAGAACGAAATATGGATATGGACACAAGGAGGAGGAGGGGAAGCGCAGATCAGACAGACATAAATAGTTAGCAAACATACGGCGAGGAAGACGTTGTGTGAACGGTAAGAAAGAATCATGTATCCTCGTGTCCAGCAAAAGGAGTGTGAGCGTTGACAAAGAGCGCGTGTCGTTCATATCTGTGTCGACTTGGGAGTAGTGAAGCATCGAGATGGAGATATCGGCCGTCTATGTGGCCGTGAATACTCGTGTCGGTGCGAGCATCGAACTGAGACCACGCAACCGAATCTCTGAGGTCACCGGTTTAAGCAGTCTTAATTACCGCCAACCATGGGCATACCGTCCCCACTCGACGTGCCGTCCCTATCGTCGTCCAGTCTGGAAGGAGATACAACATACAACACGCGGTCAGCTCAAACTCTACTTCCACGAACTACATGCCCCCGAGCATCTATTAACTGAAACCGGGGGTAGGACGAATGACAGGAAAGTGTACTCACAGATAGTTCCTCTCGATTTCCGATAAGATCGAAAGGAAGTCCCCTATGGTATCATATCATATCGCCCGCCACACCCGGTCAACAACGTGGATCAGAAGACGAAGAGCAAAGACGAGCAGTGCAAGTGACAAGAAAAGAACAGGTGAGAGAAAACACCGGCGGAAATGAGAGGAGACATGAGACATGAGAATGCTACGATATGATATGTTTTTAAAATGGACGTACAGAGGAAGGCGTGCGCACGAGCGGCCGACGCGGGTGCAGTTTCTGCCTTTCGCAGCGCGTCGAGCAGCGTGGAAGCGACGAACCGGACCTTATGGACCTGACATCACAAGAACAAGACGAGATGAGCCCAAAAACGGAATAAACCAGGTCAATTTCCGTGTGTGTTTAACGCACCAGTGAGGGCCCATTCGTGGCGATGGACTGAATTGGGATACTGAAGGGAAGTACCGGTTAGTTCTCAGAGCGAAACAAATTGATTGGGTGGCACGAGGCAGGGATGCCAAGGTGGCGAGCTGCGAGAGAGTATGGAGAGGGCAATACATACCTATGGAGAATATTGAGCAGGTCACTCGCGACCGCCTCCCTATCATCAGCGACCCGCTGGTCATCAATGTTCCCTCGGATCGATGTCACAAGCTCGTCCCGATACTGTTCGATCACGAAACGAACCAATTGCTAGCAGAACATAAATAGTCGCAGTGAGAAACCAGTCATCCCATGCGCCTCCAAATGAATAGCACAGCAGACCTGGCAGACGAAATAAAAAAGACGGGGGCTGGCTCACCTGGGTAACATACAAATTCGCCTGCATGACCAAAAAGGGATTGAGGGCGTTGGCACGGGACGCATTCGGATTATCGAAGAAGTCCTTGACCTCCGCGAACGTCGCCTGTCTGAACCCAGCCCCGCCATAATCCGGGGGCAAATGCGACTGTGTGTGCGTCTTCTTCAGCCTGAACGGCTCCGGGACATGGTGCAGCGTCGACATGATGCGCGAGTGGAGCGACTGGACCTCCTCGAGACGAGCGGTGGCATACTGTCCTTGAGGCGGCGATCGCTTGTCCACCCGGATCCGGACCAGGATCTCGCCCAATAGGGCAAAGATGCGCGTAATGTAATTTAAGCCGCACACGAGAGAAGTCTTCCCGTGTGGTTGTGGGAGGTATGCGCTTGGTGTGATGCTGGGCGTGACACGGGGTGGTGGGCAAAAAGTCAGTCGGGCGGTACGCAAGCGATGAGAACGGTAATACTAGGGACAAACTTCGGGAGGGCAGAGTGGGTTAAACGTTACTCACAACTCGTCATCGACCTCCTTCGGGAAGTGCACCGTGCAATCTTCGTCCCGGAGACAGATTGGCCTTCCTAGAAGGATCGACATCGACTTGTCGGCTGCAAGGGGGATCAAAAGGAAACTCAAGGTCTAGTGTGGCCCCCGGTGGATAAAGTGAAGATGGACGACAGACCTCCAAAGAGCAACCAGAACGTGCGCCGACGGATCTCGCACTCGATGTAGTCGAGTCCCTCATACGACGACTCCTCGTGCATGCGAAGGGTTACAGCGATGTGAGCGGCCTCGCCGAAAGCTGCATGCTGTGTGGCGTCGTGGCCCTCGCAAAAATGGTAACAGCAGTCACTGTGGAAAAGGGCTCATGTCAAAAAATAAACCAATACAGATGCGCGAGAAGAAGATTTAAAAGAAAAGCCACGCACAAGTACCGGATAACAACGTGGATCGAAGCCGGCGGGTCGTATGAAGCGACTGAGATATGTCTGCTGGCTTCGTGGCACGTCTGGGCGAGTTTGCGGACCGCATGCCGTTCCATGGGCAGATACGACCTAGGGAGCTGTACCAGAGTCGATGCCACGGTGGACATTACAAGGGCAAAGAACAACGGGTCCCGCTCTTCTCGTCGTGCATGCAGATCGGCCATGTAGGACGGTTTGTGGACGCACGGCGTTAACGGGTAGACGAAGTCGAAGAAGAGAGCGACGATGAGCATGATCGTGTCCCGAGGGGCGATATCCTCGAGCCTGTGAGGACGGTAGAAGTACGAAAGCGGTGGGAAAGCGGTCGGTGAGGGCATGACGGGGTTTTGCTGCCGGAAAGACCAGTTGTGGAGGGGATATGTGCTGAATTGATCAGCCGGCGAGGAATAGGCTTGCGAGTCGCCACTCTTGATCGAACGCGAGTCGGACGCTATGCCAGAGTTGGGAAAGGAGGGTAATGTGAGCGAGGGGAAGTTGGACGAGTAGTTGTCCTGGCCCATGCTGTAGCGAGAGGACGTCATCGAGCCTTGGGAGATGGATGACATGTTGGTGAGGGATTGCTCGAGGAAGCTGGAGGTAGGGAGTTGTATTGAGGATATCGAGGACGGCGGTTGTATGGGACTCGTGATATCTTGCCTTGAGGAGATGGGGGATGTGCCATCGCTGCCGGGGGTCTGAATGTCCTGTCCCTGTTGAGCAGCTGCAGCTGCAGCTGCCGCTTCTTGCAGACGTCGAAGATAGCTTCGAGGGTGTTATTCCAACATCACCGCACGAGTGCCTTACTAGGACTTACAGGTTTGGTGGACCTCGCTTCTTTGGCTGGTACTCGTAGGTACACGGAATTCCAAGCGCGATACAGTGTTTGCAGGAAGACTGTGGATCGTCCGAGTTATCTCTCGCGCACCTCACCTTGCGCGCTCGGCAGGCATCGCAGCCTATACGGGCTCGCGTGAGCTCCTTTCAGAGACCCCCGAACGGTGAATCGGAACACTCACTCTGGGATTGACGCCTATTTGCAACAAGAGAGAAAGGAAGAGATCAGCACCGAACGCGGTCAGATCAAAAAAAGGTAAAAAGATGGACATGACAGAGATCAGCGGGGATTCTGGAATGATTTGAATGCGGGGTAGGATGTCGAACAAGAGGAAGTGTCAAGGGCAAAAAGGGCGGGGTACCCCGCACTGAAGGCGGAGTTGAACGAGGACGACTCGTTTGGGCGCGATGCTCACGATGGGGCGTGAGTGGCGGAGAAAGCTCGGGGGTGGGAGCTGTTTAGGTGGGACTCACTTGCGTTTGATCTTGCCGGTCTCGGCATCCTTGGACGGAGGCTGGTCGTCGGAGCCGGAATCAGACTCTTTCTTTGGACGGGCGGGGGGCATGGCTGGGGACGAGGCTGGTTGGGGGGAGGGACACTGAGCTGATGGGCGATGTCTGGCCGTTTAAGAGGAAAACGGAGAGAGTCCGGTCCCCGTGGCCCTTGCGACGTTCGGGCGCTTTCGTACTTTTCTTCGTAGCCACCTTTGATCTCCCAAATCCGGACGTCCTCCTCGTCCCTCCTCAGAACGACCTCCTCCATGTGGCCCAGCGCACGAGCAGCCACGGGTTCCACATCTCCCAAAAGTACTTCCGATCTTTCCCCACACTCTGCCCTTCCCCAGTCCTCGGCGCAACCTTCCTCCTCGCTTCTTCTACTCCCCATTTGCAATGTCCGGTACTTACTCCTCCAGCCACATCCAAACCGTCTTCTTACATACTCACCCCCTTCGTCGTCACCCTGCATCCTCTCCTTACCCACTGTAATATCGAATCGCCCCAACGTTCACACACACACACCAGTGTGGCCAGCCCGAGTGTGGCGACCCGAGTCCTCCAGCGCTCCCAGAGTGATCAGTGATTGCTGTAAAACCATGCGGGTCGTAGAGTCCTATGGATGAGATAAATTACACTGTAAACAATACGATATGCAACGACACCCGACCTCCCCTCACGCCCCCTCCTCTCCCAACTTCTCCTCATCCGTCCATTTCACCCTCTCCCCATGCCACCCCTCAGCCGGCTTCTTCCGCGACTTCAACTCCTTCAACATCACCCACGCCTCCTGCTGGCCCATCTCCCCCCTAGCCACCTTATTCTCAATTCTCCTCGCAATCCTGCTCCTCTGGAACTGCTGCTCATTGTCCGTCCACTCCGCCTTGCCCTTTACCAACAACTCCCAATACCGATACGCCATCTCCGGATCCTGCGCCCTCAACGACTCCACGATACAGAACTTACCCAACGCGACCGTCGGCAACCTATTCGCATGCAAATTCGCCTCCACAATCACCAGCGCCCGCTTCAAATTCTCCCTCAACGCGACCGGGTCGTCGCGACTGAGCGTGACACTCGCCCTAATAAGCGTATTCACCGTCTTGAGCGTCAACCGCAACCCGAGCTCCTTCGCGAGCGAAAGCAACCTCTTGATAACCTTCGTATCCTGATGCAACAGCGCATGATGGATCACCGTGCCCATCGCCACTCCATCCGGCATGATCCCCCTCACCACCATCGTCCTCAACATCCTCGCCGCATGTCGGTGGTCATACTCCGCCATGGCCGTCATCGCGACATTGACGTCGTAGTTATCCGGGATCTCGTGGCGGTTGAGGAGGACTTGGAAGACCGCGAAGCCTTCGGCGACGTTGCCGATGAGGAAGTGAACCCGGGCGAGAGCGTTCAGGTCCCGGTGGGAGGCTTCGCGCAGGGGCAGTTTGGATTCTTGTAGGCGGGCGACGACGAGTCGAGAGAATGCGACTAGGTCTTCCATTCTGGCCTCTGCGGCTTCGTCTTCTGGGTCCGGTTCTGTCGCTGCTGAATCTGTAGCTGGGTCTGAGTCCGAGTCCGAATTCAAGTCCAAGTCCGAGGCCGGTGTTGTTGTTGATGTTGATGATGCCAGTGTCGAGTCCACAACTGGCTCCAATCTAGGCTCCGGATCTTCTGGTATTGTCTTGGTATCGATATTCGAGGCTACAGGATCTGCTCCAGGCGCCGAATTCCCGTCTTCTGCAGTATCGTTCGCGTTGAAGTCATCGGTGCTGTTGAGAGAATCGAGCATCTCAGAACCAGTCTCGTCTCGTAACGTCGATTCTGAGAATAACCTCGCTCGCCTCTCGCTCGCCTTCTCGCTCCTCGCCGCCTCTGTCCTCACCAAGCTCGAAAACAAACTGGTCATCCTCACCGCCAGAGCCGAATGCGACACCACGAGCGCTTTGTGTCTCCCCACGCTATACCTCTCCCACAGCGTCCGCGCGTAGCTCGCGAACCCGTGCTCGGCGGCCAGGAGGATGACTTGTGCGCGGTCCGAGGGCGGGATGGGGTCTGGCGAGGAGACGACGGTGCGGATGAGCGTGCGGCCGAGGTGGATTTGTTTTTGTCGGACGAGGAGACGGGAGAGTAGCCAGGGGAGGGAGGGACCGCGGGGTAAGGGGTGATTGTGTTGGGGCTGGATGCGGTCGGAGATGGTCCAGGTGTAGAGACGTTGGGCGAGGTCGAATTCGTCGAGTTCGTGAGAGACGCTGTAGATCTTGCGGATGACGCCGTCGGGAAAGAAGTGTGGGGTGCGGTGGTAGCCTAGGCGTTGGACGATGGTTATGCAGAGTGCGAGTTCGCGTGGAGAGGGGTATTCCAGGAGAGAGTAGATGACTTCCGTGCAGAGGTGGATGAAGGGTGGAGAGAGTTCGTCTAGGTCGCGTAGTACGTTTTTCGTAAGGAAACCTGCGTCCGAACGCCAGTTCCAGAAGATACAGGAACGAACAAGGGCGGTGGTGACGATGGCGGAAAATGCTTGAGAGCTGAGGTCGACGTCGTGAACAGCTTCTGGAGGGACGTATTGTGTTTCGATGAGCTGCTGGAAGATGGCGAGAGCGTGTCGTTGGTGGTTGGTGTCTGGGGTCTGCGCGAGGTACTGGACGAATCTAAATATGTGACGAACGGACTCGGGGGTAAGTCCCGCCCCAGGATATTCCTGCACCTGTTTCAGCCGTTCAGTAAAGCTCTCGGCAAGCGTCTTGACAAGGTCAGGGAGGATGCTGTCATCAGAATCGAGCACTGCAGAAACTACGCGCCCGATTGCTTCGAAGTACTGTCGCGCGTTGGGAAGGGTCGAAAGAGATCGAACGAGGGTATCGAGAACGTCATGGGATGGAACAGCGCCGAGTGTCAAGAGCTCGTTGAGCAGCTTGGCGCGACGTTTGAGATCGGGAATGGCCAAAATGTGGCCTGTGAGATCATCCAATGCAGATTTCGATCCGCTTCGTTGCGCGTCCTCCGCGATACGGACAACGTCCTCCTCCTCCAGCCCTCGTTTCTCCGCCCGTGGTCGTCTTCGCGGACGATCCTGGCTACGGCTGTTGCCAGTGGTCGTCGACGATGAGGACAGTGGGAGTGATTTGTGAGGGGGTGGAAGTCTGACGAAAGGTTGTTTTTCCGTTTTCTTCGAAGGTGGACTGTCGCTCGGGGATGGCTCGTCTGCACTCGAACCGCGTCCGTTTGAGTTCGAGTGCGCGTTCGAGCGCGGCACGGTGCTCGTGACGTATTCCGCAGTCCTTCTAGGAGTTGACAGTGCTGACGAGGAAAGTTCATGCTGAGTCCAACGCGTCGTTTTGGGAGTGTGGATGTGGATGGGTAAAAATCGAGAGTGTCCACGGTGGAAAAGAGAGCGACAAATGGACATAAGTTAGCTGTGACGACCACGAAGTACATGTTAGCTGTATTTTTTGGACATTAGCGGCGACGGTGGACTCACCTCATGCCGTTAGTGTCCGCCTTTTTCTGTCGAACGCCAGGTAATTCTGCTCAACGCGCGACTATGCAGAGATGACCTGCTTGAGTGCCTCCGGATTGGGCCAGCCAGTGAACGCGCTCCGAAATTTGGGCCGCGCGCGATCACGTAAGCATTTGTAATTGCCGTTTTCCGTCATCGCGTTGATCGCCACTCACGTCTAGAACGGCCATCATGTCCTCTTTGCACCGTGGATGGCGACAACTACAACTCCAATAAATCCATTCTGATAATCTTTGTATGTCTAACAAGGTTACTATGGAAGTGACATCCCCGGGACGTGGTATCTTGACGTCACGTATTTCTATCCGCCCAAGGTTCCGTTCTCTCTTTCTACTTTTGCTCTGCCTTCTTCTAGCCACAAGTTTTTCATTCACGTATTCCAGAATATAAAACCACGGAGCTCGTGCTTACTTGTGCGTTCGCGACATGCATCCTTGCGGTTCCAATTCCAGGATTAATAGGTTCATCTTCCTCTACACCCTAAAATAATTCTTTCACCCACCGCGGCGCTTCTCGTCCACAGTGCCACACGCACCACAAGCCCGGTCTCTCCATACCTCACCAGGCCTCAGCCCTTGTCACCCTCTCGTAGTTCAATCGGCACATCATCGGCTCCTCGATCCTTCTTTCGTACCACAGGGAATTGCTCTCGTTCGACCGTCATCCGTGACAGGGTCAAGTGACGTCGACGGTCTCTCCCTCCTGCCATCTTGGCGTTCGCTCCCATCTGTCCATTTGCACACTTGATATACTTCATCGTATTTCTTGCTTAGCAAGGATGCTGACTTGAGTGTCTGGTGTGTGAATATCTGGGACGGGTTATGGTCAGTTGACTCGTCTTCATGATGTTTCGTGTTTATTCTTGTGCGGGACTTCAGGATCGATCCATGGACCGCTGAGATCGCCACTACATGCTTGTAGAACTCTTCAATGACCCGAACATGGCAGGTCGTCGTTTTGAACCAGTCGCCGTCGAGTGCTATTCGAGACACTGTAACTCGCTGTCGCGCGATCTTTTTATTTCACCCCGCCAGCAGTTACTTACTCGTTGAATGCTGAACGTTCTATTGCCTCCGTCTACGCTTCACTAGCTGCATATTTTCGCAACATCCTCTCGCTTGAACCGTCCGAGCCGCCTTCCATCGCTGCCCATCTACTGAAGCTTACGACCTCAAGCAAAATCCTCTCAAGTCCTCGGCTATCCCGGTGTTTTTGCTATCGCCACCACGACGATCGCATAAAAAATCACTAGCCGCCAACCGTTCATCCGTTTCGCCACCTCGATATTCGAGCCTTGTGATGAGGTCTAGGATCGCAACTCAAAGCAAACCGGACTCTTTAATCGCACTTTTGTTGTTGCGTTCTCTGTTCCTTCCTCGCCTCAACCGTCTATCCAAGCCTCGTCTCTTCTTTCATGTCCTTTGATTCTTAAAGCCTACGAGCCTGGTCTGGTACTCCACAACGGTTCCTCCGTACCACAATCCCCGGCCTCCGACCGAACCCAAGAATCAGAGAAGTATTCACTCCCTTCAATTTCCCTCTTCTGTACGCTCATCATCTCCCACGATTCTCTTTGTCTTAGAGTCTGCATCCCGCAATATCCCACATACCCTGATTACATTCCCCACGCTCTCCATCTTTTTTTCGCTCCCGAGAGCGCTAGGTAACGACAAATGCGAAGATAGGCCTCGACAGAGACTCACTCTCGCTTCTTCTCCTCATTTCTTCCACGCATTTGTGTCTATTGGCTTCGGCTTCTTAGGATGATCCTTTCCGCCTCGTCTCGGTGTGTTTAGTGGAAGCGGGGGGCGGGAGCGACAGCGAGAACGCCGCGCGAACCGAAGAACCAACACCTCCTCATATCACAAATATGACGACAAGACAAGACAAGAACGAGACTCTACGAGGGCGAGCGGAGTGTCCCGAGCTGTGGGTGCAGGAGAAGTTAGGGAAGAACGTGGCACTTGGCATAGGCGGATCTTAATCGGATATATTTTGGATATTTCGTGGATCTAGGTTATGTATGAGGACGGCGTCGGAAGGACTGTATGGAGTGCTGGAAAGTGTACGCGGTGCGCGTGCTTGAGTTTGGGTTTGTTGGGTCTTGTCGCGTGGTCTTCATCTTGTGAGTGCTGCACAACCAGACCCCATTCTCTCTTTCATTCGCTTGGTGAGTATGGGTATTGACGGGGATTTGACTTGTCGTTCATCTTACCGTTCGAACTGTGTGAGTGCGGAGAGCGAACTCTGTCGGGTCCGAGGACGCTACTGGCTTCTAGTGCGTGTTTGTTTACGCTTGGCTAAAACCGAACGAATTGAACTGACCCACTTCTTCTTTCTCATCCCTTCATCACCATCAACTATATCGCTTCATATGTGTGGATCCGGCTACGCTGTTTTAGCATTCTACCTCTAGATTTCCTGACCCGCCGGCCGGTTCAAGGGACAGGGGTGAAAGGTCAATCAAGCTTTAGAGGTGGGTTTAGGATGTTATTTACCTCACTTGGGTATGAACAGCAACTATCAATACCGCTGAAATCTTCGCATCGTCACCCATAGCAGCATCGGGATTCTGCATTTACACCTACACCGGTACATGCCGGTATATGTTGAGATTGTATAGAGCAATCCTTACTATACTTCGTCTCCATACTTACCCTTCTTCCCAGCCCGGACTTCGATGCTGGTCGCGTGAATAAAGCCACATGGTGTTGATCCCTTATGTCCCTTCTTCTATGCACATTCTTCGCTTTGAATCGGTGCATTGACTGGGCCGTGAAAGATACCGAGAGCGTATGATCATCCTCAATCTCCTCGACTCGGACGAAGTTCTCACCTTTCGCTTGTTCAGGCTCAGAAGTCTTGGCCAGTCCCTCCCATCGTGGAAGCGAAAAGACACCTTTAACGTTAGCTGGCCTGAGAGTTCATCGGCTCGCTAGACTACTTATGTTCGTGAGACGATTCGTGATCTTAGGCTCTCAGGCAGCCAAGAAATACGCGTTATTGAGGGTAGGAAGACAAGAAGGGAAGAAGATCAGAAAGTTGCGTCAGGGTACGGCTCGACTTCGGATGAGAGCCAGCGAGTGTTGGGCCACACGAGCGGATCGACATTCTTGGTTACGCCACCGCCACCAAAGGCCTGGGTTGAGTTTGCAAACACGTGGCGGAGTTGTGGCGAAGCGAAAGCGCGACGTGTTGATCGCCGTCGTAACATCGCGAACGACATTCTCAAGTCGTCGTCATCGTCTGACTCGTAGCCTCAACACGTCTTGCTAGCTTTGGCAGTAACAGATATCTTTGTTACTCAACTGCTCGGTCTGAGAATAACACAGAAGTTCTAAGCCTCTGGTAGACTCGGAATTCACTCGGACTGCCTTCAAGTTTTGAACGATGGGTGCTGGTCAATCCACACAAACAGGGTCCACACCACCCTCTCGTGCTCTGCATGTTCTCCGTGTAACACCTTCGTCTCCCGCTTCGCACACCAATATCGAGCCATTCTTCGATTTCGTAGTCGGGTTTGACTCCGGCGATGCATCGAGTAATCCGAATAGCGGTGGGGCGAACGCGAAGAAAAGTGGAGGAATGGGAGTGAGTGGAAATATCGATGCAGGACAGCTGGAGAAGATTGTTGAGAGGCACGAGGGAAGGATGCTGAATCTGCTGGTTTGGAGCAGTAAGAATCAGGATACCAGAGGTGCGTTCCATGCAGCAAGCATTCGTGATTGATGCTAACAGCCTTAATCATTATCGCTGCTCCACAATAAACCATTTCCATGATCCAGTCGTCCCAATAACTCCCTCCCGCGAGTGGTCACAGCTTTCGCCGTCCCATTCACGGTCGAACTCGAACCATAACCCGCTCTCACCTCCTCAATTCCAACCGCAACCTACGAAATCGCAACCACAACCACAGCCCTCGCTCCTAGGTCTCAGCATGCGTATGTGTGAACCTGAATTCGCAATTGACAACGTCTGGCATGTATTGGATGTTCTGGAGGGTAGTCCCGCGGAGAGCGCTGGGTTAGTACCCTATGGGGATTGGGTCCTTGGGTGGTCAGGAGGAGTTCTGAGTGCAGAGGGAGATTTCTATGACGTTGTCGAGGCTGTGAGTTCAGTCGCGTCCTCTGTCCCCGACATAGATTCTATAGACGATCGTACAAGGTGCTGACATCGGCTTTGTGTAATGAAGCATATAGACAAGCCGTTGAGAGTCTATGTCTACTCGTACGACTTCGAGTAAGTTACGTTCCAATTTGCAAAAAAAAACCTAACTCTAGTAATTGATACTCACGACCTAATTAGCACTATTCGTGAAGTGGTACTCGTACCAAACCGTCAATGGGGTGGTGAAGGTCTTCTTGGTTGCGTATTCGGGTTCGTTATTTTCCATATCCTTTTTTCGAACTCCTTCCTTACCATACGCTACAATCGGAATGGCATTTGGTCTCTCCTTATAGCTTTGGTCTTCTTCACCGCATCCCACCGATTTCAGAGAACCGTCAGCCAGGGTACATCCCTCCTGAGCTCCAGGAAAACACAACAGCGGAGACAACCGAATACGAAGAACAAAACTTGTTTGTCCCCGCTGACGCATCTTCCTCGCAATATGATTATGACCATGATCACGGAGAATATGACGGTCCGGAGTATTATTCGTATTCGAATAGGGGTGCAGCGTTCGGCCATGACCATGAACACCATGGCCACGATCACCATGAGCACGGGCATGACCACGATCATCACAACCACTCTCACGCTCACGCACAACACCAAAATATCCGGAACCCCCTTCCAGTATCATCGATGACCATCCACGAGGACGAGGAGGACGAGGATCTGCCACAATCCCTTTTGGACGCAGGTCGCGCTCGGGAACTATCGAACTCGCGTTCTCCATCGCCGGGCTCGCACGCCCATGCCCACAATGGGACCTATGGACCTGGCACAAACATACCACTTTCTTCGGTGACTTCACAACCAGGAACACTCTCGAACGGTGATTCGGCATCGTCATGATCTTTAGCTTGTTCGTGTGTAGTTCTGACCCTCATCTTGTCACCCTCGCGTTCTTACCATTCCTATAACGAACGGCCAATACCGAACGGTGGATAATTACGTCGATATCAAGGACATCATACCTCGATTTACGACGCGGATCGTTCGGAATCAACAACTGAGACTCCTGAGAATGGCCTTGAAACCAGGGGTTCGTATTCAGGTTCGGATTCAGGTTCAAGACCACGCTCCAGCTCGCAGTCGTCGCGATCAGGATCATCGAGCAGGGGAAGGTCGAGTGGAGAGGTCGAGTTCGATGAAGATGGACAGGAAAGTGTGGCGGGAGGGACTAGTGTTGCCGATAGTGTCTCGGATCTGGGAAGTTTGACAAGTGTCGAGTAGGCCTTTCACTTTCACTTTCGGTTCCACTGTGAGAATACAGTTTATAATTGCTGTGAGGCCGGATTCCGCCTCCTCCCTACTCTAATTCACGGTCATATGCGTTTATGCCCTATTCGATTTTGGTTTTGCCCGGGCTTAAGCTTAGCTTGACGATCCCCTATTTCAGTCCTTTCCTCCCTTAGCACTTCTGCTGCTTCTGTCTCGGTCTTCATTTTGTTTGACTTCTGTGCGGGCTTTGTGCGATCGTCTCATGAGGATCATGCTTCGGGGGTGGAAAGGCTTCTTTCTCGTTGGCTAGACTTGTCTAGGCGTTAATGTTCTGAGAGCAGCCATATATTTTCGTTGCATCATGCTAGAGCGTGCTCCTCCTATCATTTTTCTCCACCCCGTATCTCTACGATCCGACCGCCTCCACGCAAGGAGGCTTGCAAACCCTTCTGATCCCGTACACCCTGATGTCCGTCCACTTGTCTCGGACTCTGACAAGACCAATTCGACTCCATGACCATAGAACAATGTTACTGGTGCACATGGCTTCTCTCTGCGATGTTCGGGTTTCTCTGCATCATCCCCTCCTTTGTCCTTGTTCCCAAAGTGGAAATGGTGACAAGGAGGCTATAGTCCGGTATGGTCCTGGACTTCTGGTATCCAACATATTTAGCTCCTGATAGATAACTTCCAGCGCTTGTCAATGATTCCGGTCACCGTCTTCTTCTGGCCCTTTCTCAGCTCCTCCTGAATGCCGGATCACTACCACCAGCGGTAACTGCAGCGGTTAACGCGCTGAACGCCGATCATGAGGTTCTCCCGAACATTTGCGCGGGCCGCCGAGAGTGAACTGCTCAAGCTCGTGACGGCAGTAGGAGCGGGAGATGCACTTAACGGAGCGGCGTCTTGGGAATCGCGGTTATCTACAGTGGCACTGGAAGCGTCCCTTTCTCACAGATGAGTCCACCAGCATGTGGTGGACTGGCTCATGATATCGATGATCAATAGGTCATGCTGCACCCGTAATTTTGGGCTATTCCGGGCGGAAGACATACGCAAACCGAGTATGTTTTTATACGTCTGTGAATGCGGCCATAAGGGTGGGGTTGAAGGAAGTTCTGGAAAGGCCGACTGCGGCTGGTGGCGCCCAGGATCAAGATGAATGATCTTGAAGACGGGCTTCCGATCGGGTCGTTTCGGAAACTTGACTGCGTAACGCATCATTCTTTCTAGCCGCATCCGCGCATATGCCACTGGCCTGGTGAAGGCCGTACACTCAAGGCTGCAAGAAGTTAGGTTGTAATGCTTACATTTCGCGGTCAACTCAAGGTGACGGGCTGCTGGCATTGTTTACGATCAATCCTTTGGGATAAATGTCGATGAGTAACTTAATACTTCCTGTCGGCTTAGTCCAAACAGTACGATATTCACGATCTCGGAGTGAAATTCGTTAGAAGTAACAACTACAGGGTTCGCAAACACAAGCCGTATAAATTAATCGTATAGGTCATTACTATGCAAATGAGACGTCAATACCGACTGTCCGTCATCCGCACCGATCTGCAGGATCCGCAATGCTGCGAGAAGTCGCAAAGGCGACCCTTGTGTGAACAGCTATCTCAAGCAACTCTGGCAGGGTCTTTGTCGGTATTCTCGCTGCTCTGTGGTTTGAACTCCAAGTTCGTCGCGATGACGGGCCAAACTTTACCACAAAAAGACCATCAGCCAAGCTGATAAGTGGAATGTAGGATCTACCGGTAGTTGTGGAGATGAGCTGACCTTCCTCAAACCCAGGGTGCCTCCCAAGTCTAATCTGGTGCCATACACTCCGCATGGCGTCCGAGCCTCGGATATCTGTCCAATTGTCTAAGAAAAACTTTACTTCGACCTAGTCGCCCGATATAACCGTCAGTGCCGAGGCGAGGATGAGGATATGTGTTATGGTTACCTTGCGAACGCTCTCGAATGTGGCCGAGAAGTTGGAAAAGACCTCGTATGGGACGTTCTCTACGGTGAGCGATCTGATGACGTGCTGTGAGATTACCATAAATGAGTACAAAGAACACGGCGAACACGGTGAGAGTATGGGAAGCCGACCTGGAATGCACGTTCCTTCAGCTCGCGTAGGTCAAGTTCTGTCAGACAACCGGTAAATTTTTGCAGAATGTTCAATTTCACAGCCCATGCATACTTACTATCAGCAAGCCGATACACTGCCTTAGCCGAGCAGGGTAGGGGTTTTCCGGGATTATTTTGTTGCCATTGTTGAAGCCAGTCTCTCCTCGAACGAGCAGGGAAGCTGGAGAATGAGTCGCCCTGAGTTCGCAACGTGGCACCGAGCTGTGATTGACTATCGCCTGCGGGTGTTTGAGAAGCCGAGGTTGGGATCGGCGCAGGCGGTGGCGTAGACAGGAAAGAGGAGGAAAGGGGCGCGAATCTAATAGTGTCGGTGTAAAGCTATGAGCATGGCGATGTCGCCTGGTCAGTATATGCGTTCGATTCGTATTACTAGAAATTACTCAACGTAGTGCAGAACAGCGCGGTATGTAGTATAAGCGACGTCTTTGACTGTCACGCGTTGCTTCACTGGCCCTGGCAGGACAGTCTTAGTGTGTGGTGCTGTGTTGGCAGGAAGTTCAGGTGGAGGACTGCTCCTGGGGCTGGAGGGATGTGAGAGCTTCTGCCTCACGTTCCTCTGCCCCTCGTCATCGGAAGTTGCTCGTTCCGTCTGGTCAGATTGAGCCTGTGGCTCAGGCGTCATGAGGGTCGATGTAATGGTGGACGCTGTAAGAGCTGGCTGTCCGTCCTCATTGGAGGATGTCTGTTCGGAATCAGTCACTGCTGCTCCAGCTCGTGGCGCATAGTCCAAAAGTAAGAAGTCAGTGTCACCAACAGGGTCCATATCTTCGTCTTCCTCATCGGAGTCGTCGTAGTGTGCTTGCAGAGCTGTCATCTGGGAGGCTGTCTCGCTCATGTCAGAGGATTGGCCTTCGTTGTTGACGGCCAGAGTGAGATTATCGGTGGAAGCCTCTGCGAAACCTGCACCAAACACTGTACATCGCCATTGAGCATAACTTCCTTCCGAGTGGATGGATGAGGTCTACCGTACTAGATTCGAAGTAATCCGCCCGACACAACAGCTTTTTAGCAGCATATATCTTTCGAGGGCTCCGCATACCCCCTCCCCGGCGGGGAAGAACAAACTCAATGTCAGAGTACATCGGGTCGTCCAACATAGACCCGAATGCATCTAAGAGCTCTTTCGGTACGCTCATCCTAGGGATGGACGATGGCTGAGGTGAAGCGGGCTCAGTCGTGATGGTACAGACCATGACAAATGCATCCTGAGCTTTGACGTTATGGCGTGAGTAGTAAACAGTGTCTCTACGCGCAAATTGAGCCCTGCGCATATGGTGTTAGCAAACAGTCAGATGGGTAGGTTCTGTGATGATTGAGTCACCATCCCCAATTTGCGGTCTGAAAGGAACAGATGAGCAAGGCCATCTGCGAAACATTCAAAAACCGTTACCTTCCAAGAGAATGAATGATTATGGGCCTCTTTCGAGTTGAACAGTTCTTGCTTCGAAAGACTGCATAATGTTAGTTAGTTTTAGCCTTCACTCAGAGAGCGATGGGCTTACTTGCGAAGTTCGAATGTGAACCTGAAAAGTCCGTCTCGGACCCACCTGATAGCCACATAAGGACTCGGACTTGACCAGGTCACCAAATTACCCAAAAACCTACCGTCCGTTGACTGCATTCTCTTTCTCTTCTAGCGTGGGCTAACGAGTACACGATGTCACTTATCAATGGTGCTATCAGTGTGGCGTCATTCAACTTTCCAACTCACCTCACAAGAAAGAAATAAACTAATGTAACCGCTTCCATCGGCCACCGTTCCGGTGCCAGAGTTGGGATAGAACAAAATCTACAGATAACAGGGCTACCGTGAGCGACATTTGTCGGTCTGAGATTTGCAGCTGGCACAGGACAGTGGCCATACCTGCCATCGTCCACCGCCAAACTTCACAGACTTGGTCACTTTGGACTTCGCCTCCCCTTTGCTACGAAAAGGAGGCCAGATGAGCACTCTTTGACGCATATAAGGTCATCAATACCCCGGGTGGCGCACCTGGACTCAAACAGGTTTTTGAGACCCCTGAGGGTCCATTCGAATGTTATGGATTTACTCTCCTGAAACTCAACTGCGTTGTCCATTATGCAGACAAATATAGGGGAGGTTGCTGCAAAAACTAGGACCACAACTGTGTTTCAATAGAAAGATGAGTTGGTGGTGGTAGTGGTGGTCCAAGAACAACCGGCGGACGCTTCGATCCAAGCGCCCGGCACCCCCGCCACGTGTCGGTTTTCACCGGCCACGCCAGCGCTTAACCCAGCCAGACACTTCGCTGACAAAACACTTGCGCACTGCTCACATTGAAGAAACTCGATGATTGGAAAGCGCATCGCAATACGTTGCAAACCACTAGCTATAGTAACGAGATACAGTACAAATACATATCGGATCAAAGCAAAAGAATCACAACCACAACATCAAAGAGAACGAGACATCAAGCAAAGCTATTTTCCACGTCCGCACTGTCATCTCCCTGCTCAAGATTCGCGAACTATATGAAAAACCAATCAGTACATCGAGCTCTTCAGTATTAATAGTTTTGAAGAGTACGCACAGTCAAGAAAGTGGCTGGCCGATGTTCCTCGGCCCAGAACAGCAACGGCGTATCCAGCGTCATGGAGTAGCCGAGATTGGGCGACCAGAGCTGTGTCAAGCCGATACCGTAGTTCCACACCTTACCCTCAGGAACGAGCGTCATACCGAGAATACGATCTGACAACAATAGCTGCACACGCTCGGACATGTTCGGGTTGAAGCCCTGAGGGAGGAAAGTTCAGTAAATCTGGATAGACGAAGAGATATCCCTATTGAAACTCACGGGTGGGTTGGGCGACGTGTCCTGGTTCTTCCTACCCCACTCGAAGCCAGCAACGGACAACGAATGAGCGGACAAGGAGACGGAACCAGGGGTGAAGGCAGCGGTGATGCATATTGATGAGGAGCCCCACTCTGGGTGGTCAGCCATCAACTTGCCCTGGGTCGAAACATCCGTCGGCGAGAGGTGGTTGAGCTCCAAAGCCTGCGTCTTGATCCATCCCAGAGGCTCCAGGTCCTTGAGTAGATAATCGTCCTTCGGCAAAGTCGAGGGCAATTCTACCGCATTGTTGTTGCCGCGTTGTGGCACCCACGCAATAGCCTAGAAAGAGAATTAGGCACGACGAGCAAACATCCACAACTAATGACACAGACCTTGATCTCCTTGACCTGCTTGTTATCCGGCGGCGAAACACCATACAAGTATGCGGCGACTTGAGTTCGAAGATCTGCCGCGGTGACGAAAGCACGAAGGATATTCCGAGGAAGAACATAGGTGTACGAGGCAGCGTCATCCTTGACATCGTCATTCGAGACGTAGATGTGCTGCAGACGAAGTGGCAGATGCGTCGCGGAGATCGCACGAACACGCCAGTCGGATTTGCTGCTGAACACCTGTTGCTCATAGTTGGTCGCTGGGAGGTAACACTATCTTAGTTCGGGATCAAACGACACAGACGTAGGGGTACTCACTGGTGACGGTTTGGATGGTATCACCGTGGACGTTGGTGGTTTGACTATAGGTGAAAGCGGATCAGTCACTGGGCGTATAAGCTACGATGAGAAGACATACGTTTGAACCGCCGTAACCTGACTCTGCGCCTCGGTGCTCTTCTCCAACTCAGCCATCTGCTGACGCTGAACGGATGGTGCAGCGATTTCTTGACCCAAGATGATGTCTCGGATTTCGCTGGCCGTAAGCGACGCGATGTTGACACTGTTTCGCTTTCCGAAGTCCTGCAGAACAAAAGTTAGCCAGAGATTCAAAGATAACAAATGAGCAGAGCGTACCGCCAGGATCAAGTCCTTCATCGCGACCTCAACCTTGATCCAATCCTCGTCTGAAAGCGAGGGCCAGACGAAGTGAGGCTCGGTGATCGTGTTCTTGTCGGGATGGAGGATGATCTTTGCCTTCTCGTTGTTGACGTGGAGACCACGAAGGAGGAGGATCAATCTCGAGAATGCCGTGTAACTCGAGATAGACTTGAGCCAGTCATCTGAATAACATTAAAACATCATGAGAAACATAGCCCGAAAGAGAGATAATTGGTAAACTGACCGTAGAGACTGAACAAGACCATCTGCGGTTGGGTCGCGCGCTGTCCAATTACAGCATATAAGCAGCGATCTGAGCGCTAAATGATATGGTACTTACCAAAATCAAATCACCGAACTTCTCCATCTTCATGCAGGCCTGGAACGGCAGTTGAAGCTCACTACCCTTGATGACGATGTTGGGGAAATCGAGCAAATGGACCTCAAGAGGATCTACGATGGAGGATGAGAGGATAGAAGAAGATGATAAACCGCCTTATACTTACCCAACATGCCCTTACGCGTGACGATGACCTGCTTAGGCTGTTCTTCGACGGGCAAAGAACGAACCAAAGCCGCCACTTCTTCAGCAGTCTTCCACTTCGCCAACTGACCAAGACGCTTTTGACCGGCCCAAACACTCGTGTGAATGATCTTGAGGAAGAGCTGACCAGATCGTGGGTTGAAGATGAAGATAGCACCATCTGCGAGGTATAAAGTTAGGTCGATGCTTCCGAAGACATAATGCAAGAGACTTACTGATAGGCTTCGTCGTCAAGTTACCCTCAAACGTTTTGTGGCTAAAAGGAAGCGAATAAATTAGCTCGGATGCATATTTAGCATATTTAGAAATGTGAGAGGACTAACATCGTGACTCGGTAGACGTTAGTGTCGTCGACGAACCCTGAACAACGCAAAGTCAGAACACCATAGCCTTCACATGCGCGATATGATCACTCACAGATGATCTGGTTCGAGAAGAGCTCGGAGTAGTTTTGACTGTTCAAGTACGGCTCGGTAGGTTCCGAAGAATACAGCTGCAGACCCTTCCTGATACGCTCGCGCAAGACGTGGCACGCGGGGTTCGCTTTCATGATTTTCGCCATTGCTTGCTGGATGAGGGGCTTCATTCCGGGGAACCAGTTACCATACGCGGACCAGAGGTTGTACGCGAGGTCCATGCCGATCATGACACCAGTGGGCGAAGGGTAGATACTCATGGAGTCCGAGACCTGGAAAGAGCGAATATGAGCAAAAGACGGAGGCGAAGTAGAGAAGATATCAACTGACGTAGTCCAAGAATTTGGCACGAGTGTACCGCTCGATGTCGTGGGTGTCGAAGTCGCCCCACCTGAGCTGAACATCAATCCAGTACTTGTTGCTCGTTGTACCATCCATGACATCCTTGTTCTGGTGTCAAGAGACATATTAATGATATGTTTACCTTTGCAAGTAACTGAGGGTACTTACGTCTGTCACAAGTGAAGGGCGCGAGATGTTCCACTACAACGAGACCCAGTCAGCGTCATATGATAGAAGTTAGTCGAACGAAATGCAGACCTTGTACGCCGAGAACAGCAGGATATCCGCACAAGACGAGTTCATCTTGTAACTCTTACGAGGATGGATAGTCTCCTTCTGGACCGTCTCAATCTGAAGCGGCTCGAGCTCTTGATCGAACACTTGACACTAAAGGACAAAACGCGGATTAAATATGGATGACCGAGGACAAAGAAAGAGTAGACTTACCAGATCCATGACTACACTCTCGTGAACTAAAATGGAGGCGATAGTTAGCGGGAAAGCTGTTTGCAAGGGAACAATTATGACATACTCTTCTGCCACAAATGAGCACGGAAGATCTGGATCAAACTGATCTTCAAAGTCGGGATTTTACCGTGCCTGCATCATACCATCAACATCGACATCCTAGGACACATACCCAAACTTCACACTCACATGAAAATACCCGTCAAATCAAGCTGGACCTGGAAACCGACATAGACGTTTGCCCTGTTGATCGTCGGACTCCACCAAAGCGTAAACCGACGGTTAGGAATCTGGTTGAGACCGGACCGTTGTGCGTTCGTCAACTTCTTGTACCTCATCGACTCTTCGAAACCGGACGCTTTCTCCCAGAAGAGACCCTCCCATGTAGGGAAATATGTTCCCTTGAAGAGGGTGTGCTCCAGGATACCTTCCACACCGCCCAGTGCGGCGATGACGTCGACACGGTAGTTGTTGAGCTGCCAGAGTTTGCCGTCGTGGCGCTGGGACGTCCACCAGAAGGGATTGCTAGATACACAAGAGGTCGGTCAACGAATGATGGATGTAAAATGAATATGACGCACTGTTTCAAGAGCTGATACTGCTTCCAGTCCGTGCGCACACGCCAACCACGATCGTACGCCAAGGTATGCCTGTCCTTCTGGAACAAAGTATTGATACGAGGAATACCGCGGTCCCAACTGTCCTCCAGATCCTCGAGCGTCAGACGACGGTTCTGTGCATTCGCCTCCTTCCTCTTCATCGAGTATTCAGACCAGACACGAGCAGAGTCTAAGAACTCGGCTTCCCAGGGTTGCAGGTAACGATACAAATTGGGAATGAGTTGATCCTCCTCATGGGTCATGCCGGCGCGGAAGTGAGTGACTAGATAGAGGGGGAAGGGTTAACAGGCGAAGGAATATAGGTAAGATGGATTACGAACCTCCAACATCAGTCTGCTTCGACCACCGCAGATCACTTTGAGGGATGAGAACATGGCCCATGGAAAGCATACCAAGACCACCAAGTTCCTATTTCGAGATAGCCTGATTAGCGGGCATCGTCAACGAAATACGAACATGAAGCATACCTTCGGAGTGTAGAAAACAACGGGCGGGAAACGCGATGGCATCTTACTGTTCAACCCGATCTTGACACGAGTCTGGATCTTGTTCTCCGCCTTGACGAGCGCGTCCAAAAGCTCGTTGGTATGGATGACGGCTTCACGGTAGTAAGTCATCAAACCGATGAGAGCCGTGTTCCATTTGTTGACGATCTTAGAGAACGTCGTTGAACCGGAGCTCATCAAGACCTGACGAATACGGTTGTTGAACTGCTGAACACCTACAAGTCGCATCCATCGTTAACATCAAATCACTCGAGCTTGCTTAGTAGAAAGATGAAAGCTTACCTTCGTCCGAAACCCTCAGGAATGCCTGCGCCGTCCTCTCCTTGGTTTGCTCGTTCGTCAAATTCCACACCGCATCCTTCAACGAAAACTGCTCTCCACCCATCGTCCTCATCTTCGGCAAGATCCGCACCTCGAACCCACACATCGAAAACAAGAGCTGGGGGTTATCTTTCGAGTAAACACTAACGAAAGTGTCTTCCCACTCGATCGTGGTCAGCGACCTTGGCAAGCTCTGCTTCACGTTCCAGAACACCGCACGTCCGAGGTTGACGTCGTGCTTGATGAGACGCATACGGCAATCGCGGGGCCAGCACCGTTTATTGTTGTAGCCGATGACGTTGTTGTTCGTCGGGTCGGGGTTGGCACTGAGGTAGCGCTGGATGAGATCACGGGCCTCGTCGGCGGTGAAGCGGAAAAGGATATGGAGGCGGTCAACGTATCGTGAGTACAGACGGATCGGGTGGCGCGTCTCTGTGGCGGAATCGCGGAACTGGAGGAAATTGTTGGGCATGTTGGGTGGGCCTGCCATTTCGCTTGCGCGGTGAAGACCGAGGATCAAGATATCGAGGACGAGACCATAGTACTGGAAGACGAAAGCCGAGAACTGCAGACCACGAATCAGACCGTAGGCGTTGGTATGCGCCATGTCCTTGTAGGTCAGGACCGTGTTGTTCTTCGCCGTGATGTAGTCAGCGAGATTGTGGTCGAGGATGAGTCGAAGGAGTCGATTGAGGAGTGTCAAATCGATCTTGTCGTAGACTTTCGACAAGACGGTCTCCATCATCACGTTGCACTCGCCCTCGCTCGTCTCCCAAACGTCGGTCAAGTTGTTGATGCCCTGGCACCACTTGTACACGAGCAGCGGGGGTGGCTCGGTGTCGGCAGGCTTGATCCAGGCGGGGAACAGGCCACGCTTGTCTGCTTCGAAGAACAGGAACTGGTCAAGATAAGCGTCGGTGATCTTCTCCACGGGCTCGATGTCGTAGCAGGGAATGAGCTTGTCGTAGGTGTCAAAGAACTCGATACCCGACTCCTTGAACGCACGCTGAGTAAGGAGAAGACGCTTGATACGGGACAAACATTCGTGAGGGTTGTCGTAAGCCTGTTCAATGAGCGCGAGTTCTTCACGCTGAGACTGGTTCAGGCGACCTTTAACGGAGTAAGCCTCCTTCAGCTTTTCCAGCGCAAGTACCAACAGCTTCGTGTCGTGCTTGTACGAGAGAGGCCTGGACAGAAAACAATCAGGATTCGTTACAGGTAAAATGGAGCTGGAAGAACTCACGGGAACGGAATGGGTGCAAACTTCCTGCTCTCCAGCCAGTGCACCGTAGCAGTGTAGACAGCAACGGCCTCCTCAGCACTGATGTACGGACCGTCCTTCAGATAACCATGCTGCCGTTCTTGCTCCGCCTTCAGGTAAAGACGCGTGAGACGGCCCAAGTTCTTCTTCACAACGGCCTTGTCGACAGTAGCACCTCGGCGGATACGTTCACGGTTATAGTGAGCAACACTATCGATATCATCAGTCCACGAACAGTCATACAAAATTCGAATAAGACTCACGAAGTCCACCAGTCGGCCTTGCCCTTGATGTACCGCAGGATGATGTTCTCGATGGCTGTGGGCATACCAGGAACCTTCCAAGGGATATTCGCCTTCCAACACCTCCAAGCCTCAGACAGATGCTGAAGGATCGTCTTCGCCTTGTTCTGCTTGATTGACTCAGGCATCATGTCAAGAATATCGTGCATGACAGCGGCGCGGAGCTCCAAATCGTAGTGCGACTCGACACGCTGCTTCGTCACCGTCTTTGCGATACCCTTGCTGTTACGACCTTCGAACTGACGAGCGAGCAAGTTTCCAAGCCATCGCTCGAGCAGGGGGACGATACCACGCATGAAGAACAGCCAGACACGCCATCCAGGCGCCCAAAAACCGACACCAGGGCCTTTACCAACAGGTCCAGTGTTGAAGCGATAGTAGATGAGATGCTTCAAATCCTTCGTCATGCGGACCTGCCTCATGAGCTTGTACTTGTACCGGTACATACCCGTGAGGGCACCGATGTGGGCGAATGAGTACTGGAGGGCGTCGGCGAGCTGGAAGGCGTCGACGTTGCCGAGACGGTATTGGACGTGGGCGTCGACGACGAGCTTGGTGAGACGGAGAATTTCACGGCACAAATGGAAAGCGTTTCCGAATCGTGACTTCTTACGTTCCTTCGTGGTGAGGGTCCTAGGAAAAGACGGTCAGACGGGACCATTCAGCGTCACAACAGTTAGAAACTTACTTGACGGGCTTCAAGTTCATGTTATAATCCAAATGCAAGTAGTTCAAGTTCTAGAAAAGATTAATTAGTAAACGGCGCTCGAAATCACTCTCATGTACCAACCTTGCGATGAATGAGCAAGTTCAACATGTTGTAGCCCTGTCGGCAGACCTGCAAGCCTGCTTCGACCCAATCCAACTTCGTAGTTTGGAAGAACTTCGTCGCCTTCAACTGCCTGAACAAGTTCTTCTTCGTCATAGCCTTCTCTGGCCTTGTCTTCAACTCGTTCAAGACGAAGCATTTGAGCAGCTTCTGGTACGATACGCGGACCTTGACGGGCTGGTTAGGTGGGCAATGCTCCAGATACCAGTTCTTGACGAGAGGAATGTCCTGCGCGCGGCGCATGCGGCCGGAGCGACGGTTATAGGGGTCGGGTGCCCAGCATAGAGCGATCGCATCCGCCGTCAGATCGTTCTCCAGCGGTCGGTCGGCGAGAAAGGGAATAACGTCGTCAGGGAGCTCGAACTCGTCGTCTTCTCCACCGTTCGGACCAAAGATAGCATCCTCGTGGGTAACGAGGGGAGCATTCTTAGGAGTGGCGCCGCGAAGGGAGATAGGGTTGATGAGGGGGTCGAAGTAGAAGGCGGGGAGGTCGGGATCATCAGTACGAATGTAGACATTCTTCGGAGCATGGTAAGGAGAAATCCGGACGGAACGAGGGAGGGAGTTGTAGAGGTGGGGGAAGGCGACTTTGTACTCCGTACGGATCTGCTGGCGGATGATGACTTTGTTAATGTCGTTGAACTCGTTCCAGTCCTCGTCGAAGTTGTCCATGTCGCGGTAGAGCGGCTCGAACTTGGGACCTCCAGGGATCGCCATGTTGAGCGCCTTCGCGGTGAAGAAGGACTTCTTGTCGAAAAGGTAGCTGGAGTTGATGTCGGTGTGGTCGGACAGCAAAGTGCGACCAAGTCGATAGAGGTTGGCCATGACGGGAAGGGTCAACGACCAGTACTTGTAAGAAGAGCCGTTAACGTGAGGAGTGTCGCTGAGAGGTTTTGCGTCATAGAACCACTCGATGATAGGCTCGTCATCCTCAGGGTCAAGGTCTAACTGGATAGCCTCTAGTGGCTCTACGTCCAGGACGTTGTCGCCATAGTCCAAGGGGGGTTCTTCGTCATCGAAAGGCGGGAACCGCATACGCTTGAAATGCCTTCGGTCCCTCTTCTCTCGGCGCATCGCCAGCCACATACTACTCCATTGCGCGTGATAGACCGGCTCGATGACTCGTGGAATCTCGTTGACGAAGGTAATGGCACCAGTGATGTGGTAGAGCACGGGCACTTCGCGGACTTGTTCCCATGGGAAGGGGATATTTTCGAGGAGCTTCATGACGGCATGAGGAACGTATTTGAGAGCGCCCAGATGGACGCGTTTGTCGTTACGGAACTTGCGATTGCTCATGTCGCCGTGGTCCTTGATAATTTTGCGAACATGCTCTGGTGGCAAGTCCTGTATCAAAGTAAGCCCATAGCCAGACACACTATCCAAAGTAAAAACGCGCCTGTTTGCCCATATCCACGAAGCCACCCTTCCTCTTCTCTCCATACCTCTTCTTCTGCATCTGAATCCACTTCTGCGACTTCTGCGCGAGCGCCTCCGGGGGCATGCGCGAGCTAGAGGGCTCACCAAAGGCGGGCGAGGGCATACCGGGGGGAGGAGCCGGCATTCCTGGGGGAGGCATTGGCATGCCTGGCGGAGGAGGAGGGAAATTCATCGTGCTCGTCGTGGAAGACGATGGGCGCGGGTGTGAGTCGCGTTGGACGCCATCCTCCGCTGACCCACACGTTGACGCGGAGCTTCAATCGGAAGGTAAAAGCCTTGCCGCGTGGCGCCACTCTGAGGGCAGGCCTCTTGCTCCACCATTCTTGTTAGGTTTTCCTGGTCCTCTACCTCATGTGAGTCTGCACAGCAGTTCCTATAAGAGTCCAACGAGAATTATCAGATGTGCTGCTGCCCCTGACAACTTGGCTTCCAGTGCCCAAATGTCTGCAGATGCCACCAACAACACGTCGAAGACAGCCTCGGAGCTTTCTCGTCTTACTGTTCCACAGCTCAAAGCTCTTTGCAAGGAGCGTCGAATTACTGGCTATTCTAAACTCGGAAAGGCTGCACTTCTTGAGAAACTTAAGCCAGCTGCTTCTGGAGCGGAACCTACACCCAGCAGTAGAAGCTCTTTTGATCTTGTCCCCACTCAGAATACTCCGTTTCACATTGTATCTGGATCTACTACTACTCAGCTGTCGGCATCGGTCAATTCACCGACACAAAGGACCTCTCACGATCTTGTCGAAACAACAACCCATGATGCTGACTCTGTACATCAAGGGACCTCGGTGTATGCGTCTTCGAACTCAGACCAGATACTCGAACTCAATCCTGGAGGCATTCCATTGCCGTCTGCTCCCGCCTCCGATCGATCTCCTCCGTCACCCGGGGTAATACCACCTACATCTCGAGAAAGCACAAAACGTCCTGCCTCGACGTCGAACGTTTTAGAATTCAAAATCCCTTCGGCCCCTGCAGCAAAGAAACGAAAGACCGTACCGCCAGCTGTGCTCTCGAATTCCACTAAATCCATATCTTCTGCTGCTGAACCTCCACCGCCTTCCAACGGCTTCCGCATTCCTATTGTCCCAAAACCCAAGCTGCAACTTGCTCCATTTTTGATCGCCAGCTCTACTTCAAACAACGCCAGAAATATCGCTCAGCTCGATCAACCGAATTCTGGCGCCACACGTCTGGCATCTCTTCCACGTACCACTCCAAAACGATTCAAGCCTCTGACTGTGACCAAGTCGAATCGTGTCAATGCCCCCACTTCGTCAAATGTGCTTGTTACCGCTTCTAACCTTGTCGAATCGCCCAAAGAGCGCACTTTGCCTCTGGACCAGGAACCATCTGGGATTCCTCAACCTGGAAACACCTCTATGTACTACCTGGAGCTCAGGGCAGCGCAAGATCTTATGAAGTCACTGACTCCGATCACTCGTCCTCCGTCGCTTTCTCAGCGGAAGCTTGTGAATCGATGGGCAATCATCCTAAGCGGTCTGTCCGATGCAGAAAGGAAAGCATGCGTGCAAGTCTCTCGAGGGTTTCGCTACGCAAGTAAATCTACCCAACATTTTTATTCTCAATACTTCGTCTCACTAGACTTCCCTGTTAGTTTACCTCTCCGCTGGAGTGATCCTTTCACGCCACCACTACGCCGGCCGACGTTTCGATCAAGTCAGACAGCAATACCCAGCTCCTACTATCAACATGTGGCCCTATCTTCGTCTCCGCGAATCTGAAGTCCAAGCTCGGAAAGCGTCATTCGATTCATCGTTTCTCGGTGCGTTCTATCGAGGATACGGGCCAATCTCTGCTCGCTTGTGGACAAGTCCCGACCACGAGAGACAACTCGTCGTTGCGCTTCGGTATGCTCCTCGTCCCCTCCTCCAGCGCGGTCTATTTAATGTGGGGAAGTTAGCTGATCAGCAAAGGTGATCTAACCGTAAAATAGGTTCCTACTGACTCGCCTCTGGTTCACCATCTCCCTCGGTGGAAGCTCGAAGCAAGATCCCCTAGCATGGCTACACGAAGTAATAATTGATGCGCAACCTCTCATTCAGGGCGAGATATGGACCATAACCGTCCAACAATCTCCCTCGTCAAACGAACCGTCGCGACTTTCGACGTTCCATGTCCTCCAGTCGACTTGCGAAGTCATCGGGCGTCCTTCCTCCACATCGCATTCTACCTTCGTCCATGCCTCCGACCCAGACTTCCTGCCTACATCTCCTTCACCGGCATCATCGACTAGCACGGTGAACGCCAATGAAGAATTTCCAATCCGATCTGATTGGTCAAAATATATCTCCTCCAATGTGTCCCTACCCTCCACCTCAAACACCGCCGCAAATGGGTCCTCTGGCCTCTCACTGTTATCGTCTCTTAGATGGGCAGATCACGGCGAATATGAGCACGGTATAAGCCGGCATTGGTCGAAGCGTACGGAGAGCATGGGTGAGGAGGGTGTAGCGCTCAGGACTGTGGCGGAGAGATACGTTCTTGCTTGTGTTGTAGGAAATAGGTGCGTTCGAAATCTGGCCGTGCAATCTCTCATATAGCATACACTTGGCAAACTGACCTTATTCGTCTTTCTTCATCATGGATGTAGTTTCAGCGGAGATTGGATGTCCGCGACGCAGATGGCTCAAGAATTCGCTGGTCTTCCTGATAAACTCGACCTTAGTCATACGAGCTCGGAAAGGATCAAAGCAAAGCAAGTACAAGCGAGCATGTTCCTCCCAACGTAAGTCGCTACCTTGATGTTCTCTTCTCACCGCCACTCAAGTACAACTAATCACATACATGGATATAGCCACCATCACGTCGAATCAATCCACTTCACCATCCGAAACAAAACAGCCCTCCACCCTGCCCTAGCGATCGTTCAGACCCCAGGACGCGAATATTACATCTTGAAGGACAACGGGATGCAGATTGGCTGCGAGGAGGATGGGGTGGCAGAGGTGTGGCAGAGGATCATCGGGTGTGATGTGAGAGGGGTGGAAACTATGTGCGGGGAGAGGTTGGACCTTGATAAGTTGAAAGAGGCTTGGAGGGTTAGAAGCGACGAGGAATGAATGTCGACCTTGATTCTCAGAGATATTGTAGCCTCAAACGTAATGAGAGCAGGGTGTCTCAGGGTCAATCTCTTGGTACAAGATATCGGAAGAGCAGACAGAGCCAATGCAAAATTGGGTATCGAATGCCTTTCTTAGGCAATTATTTGGGTGCGTGTATGCTACAGTACAAGAGCGTTCCAAGAGACTGCAGAGCGAAATCACAATACGGTACGAAGCTGCGTGAATGAAAGGACTGACGAGAGAAAAGCGAAGGCAATAAAATATGTAGAAAGAGAGGGGAGCTGAGGGGGGCGGGAGCTCAAAATAGGAGGGGAACTGAGGTAAAGGAGTGTCTGTTTTTGTTCGGCTAATCGAAAGCCTATCTGAGGGTTAAGTCGCATCGGGAGTGATGTCGGTGGGCAAGAAAAATGGTGCCAAAAGAGAGTCCAAAATGAGAGGAAGCAATGAGGCTGAAAGCAAATAAAGGAACGGATAGCAAAGGAATTAATCATAAATAGGCATGGGAAGTATCCTGTCCGAGTTGAACAAGAAGTTGTTCGCCACGTCTTCACCTTCCAAGAATCGAGTTGGATATACCACTGAGAGCGTACCACCGTTAGCAAAAACACCTTCAATGAGATTGACAAGATAAACATACCAAGATGACCACACAACTGCTGCAACAAAGCCTCCATCTCCTCACGCTCGCGCTTCGTAAACGCAGGACCACCATCATCACCCTTCGTCTTCTTCTCCGTGCCCTGACCTTGCGCCTTCGTCTCATGCGCGTTCCCATTCTGTGGTTTCTCAGAAGCACTGGCGCCTTGTGTATCGTCTGAGCCGGCAAGTCCCTTGTGAATGGCTTCCGTCTTTGCAGCGTCTCCTCTACCGAGGAGTTGCTCGCCACGAGGCTCTCCAGTCTTTTGTTGCTCGTGCGCGTCTGGAGCCTCCTTGTCGCCGGTCTCCGAAGGAATGGTACCTGCTTGCTCGGATGGATCGTCTCGAAGCTGCAGAAAAGGTCAACGACTAATTGTGCTTGAAAATAAAGAATTTTGACATACTGGTTTGTTCAAGCGTTCATGGTGGGCAACAAACTCAATATACTGCTTCCAGGTCGTAACCATGTCGTCCGGAACGCAATGGAACACACGACGGAAGATCTCCGTCTATGGCAAAACATTTCAGTCAGCTCCTTTCTCGCAAGCATCGATTTCAACAAACAACGACTCACATTATGCACCGCACTGGCTACCCAAACATCCTTCCAAAACTCATCGCAAACCGGGTCCGCAAACCCATCGGGATCAACTTTTGGCGTTGGCGTCGGCAAAGTCCAAGGACTCTGCCCCAAATCCGCCATCAAATGTTTCCTCAAAATCGACCTCGCACGCGGCGCCTTCTTCTCTTCCGCGTCCGCGTCGTCCTTCGCGCCCTTCGCATGCGGCGGCTCGTCGTCCGTCTTCGCATCCTTCGACGCGTCCGCGGGAGCACCGAAGAGCTGACCGTTGTCGAGCCTGGCCGTCTCCGGCGCCGTGCCCTCCCTCTCGGATTTCTCTATCTCGGGATCTTCGAGGATGGGCGTGCCGAGCGCTTTCGATCCTGGTGGGCGATGCTCGGAGACCATCTTCTCTTCTAGAGTTGGGACGACGGCGCTGGTGAACCCGGGCTCTTTTTCACCGTCGCGGGTGAAGGTTTGGCGTTCGTTCATAACGGTCACGTCGGCGATCCGAGAGTCGGGAGCGGAGCCTACTCCGATCTTGTGCAGTGCTTGGGATGCCAGTTTCGAGGTGACGTCGCTACCGCCGTGAATCACTGAATTCGAGGAAGATATCGGGTCCAATTTTCAGTCACAACGAAGAGATTGAGCCTAGCTTAGGACGTACGTTGCTTCGCCACGCCACCGCCCATGTTAAGAAGGTTCCTGGTTCGGGTCTCATGAGGATGTGAAGAGGCCACCACGTCCTCATTACCATGCTTCTGCTCTTGATCGGGATCCCACTCGTCCTGTTCGTGCAGCTCCTTGACAGGTTCAGACGCGAGCAAGTCTTCCTCGTCCATCGCGTCGACATCAACACCGACGTGTTCACGCATGAGACGCATGCGAAGGGTGTGAGCGAAGCGGCCAACTTTGAAGGGCTTTCCGGCCATGGTCCTACGGTAGGAATTAGATGGTTAGAAAAAATATGAGAGGACAGGGGAGCTAAAGGCAAACGTACGAGTCAATCATATCGGTATCACGGATGACAGAGGCGAGCTCTGAGTCTCTGTCACCGCGCTGGGACCGCTCGTTGATGTTGGCACTACCGATGATAGCAATACGATCGTCTACGATGCAAACCTTCCCGTGGATATAAACCTACAATCCCACTCTCAGTACGCATTCTACAACAACTCCGACCAAAAAGCAGGACCGCTCACCAGTTCGCTAGTCAGAACGTCCCCACGCAGCTTAGACCAGTTCCTCAAAGAAAACACAGCGAAATAGTCGTCCGGCTACACGACATGGTCAAACCAAATCAGCTTCCTATATATCGAAAAAATAACAAACAGCTCACATCAATCCCCTCCTTCCTCAACCTCGCAAATATCGAATTCGGTCCCCTACATATCGTCCTGTTCTGACACTCCAAAATGATCCTCACCGAGCTCGCCTCGCTATGATCCACTGGCATCGGGAACCCAGGCAGCAGCGGGATCATAACGCAACACTTCCAAGGAGTTCCTTCCCTGTGCGCTCTGATAATCCGATGTACGATCGCGTCTCCGATCTTGTTCTCGATCGTGACGTCGCCGACTACGGTAGAAGTGATGAAGAACTGGTTCTCGATGTAGACGAAGTGTTCGGACATTTGAATGGCTGCAACATAGACGGGGTTAGTAAGCGAGGGGATGGGAGGAGAGATGGGGCAGGACACACCTTTGAGATAGGCGTTTTGGATGGAATGTTCGATCCTATCGGGAGTGCCCAAAGACCACGGGCCCGCGGATCTACAGACCTGCAACTCGCATGTCCCCGTCAACCCCAGCTGAGCGAGTTCTCCAGGCTTGAACTCCGGCGGGGGTAACAAGAAGGGCATCACACGGCTGTGGTTCTACATTACATGTCCGCCACAGTCACAAGAGAGGAAGCGAGCAAGGAATCGAATCCACGTATTAGCCAGTACAATCCAAAGAAAGAGGGGGGATGAAGAACGAACCTTGATCCTCAACAAATAGTTCCATCTCTGCACGAAATGTCTCGACAAATCCCTCGCCGGCTGCCCAAGCACCTGCATCCCGACATCGTGCCACGGCATACGCGGAACCTTACTACGGTCATGCATGTCTTCGTCGGGCTTGTTGAGCGTGTGGAAGTCAGTGATTCGGGCGTTGCTGAAATCCTTTCCTGTACGTCACACACCACACCCCGAAAATGTCATGAAATCAGAGAAGTAGTCAAAAAGGAAGGGCAAGAGGAAAGTGTACTGACCAGGCCAAATATGATCAGGAATCCCCGTTTGTTCCGGGTCATCGACGAGAACATGCTGCGACGTATCCCAGCGACCAAAGCAGAGATCCACACCACCCATGAACGCGATCGTCTGGTCGATCACACAGAGCTTTTCGTGCTACAAAAATCAACGGAAAACGGGACACTCAATTAGAATGAAAGTAGCGAGGAAGAAAAACACGAAAAAAAAAATAGGAGGGGGAAAGTACACACATGGGCCCAATAAAACGTCCCCGTCTGGAAATGCGACGGCGAGCGCTGGACCATAATATTCGGATGCAGAGCATTTAACCTCTGTTTCGCGTAGTTACTATCCGTCGGCGTCGTACGGCTCGAGACTTCTTGACTGTCAGGGCATCAGCTCCGCACTCTCCTTCTCCTTGAACAGGACATGGGATATCAAGAATGAGAGAACGCACTAGAGGATAACATAGATCTTGACGCCCTCCTTCGCCTTCCGCTCCAGCAGACGATCTAACCTATATTTCGGCTTCCCAGGACGACGCATCTGAAGCTCTGCAAATAGCTACCGTTCAACATCCATTCGTCACGCACGCGCGAAAGGGGGACGTACCAGGCGAGAGCCACCAGTCATGGATATAGATCACATCCCTCGCCAGCAACATCGCCCTCGAAAGATTCCACATATAATCCCGCTGCATTTTCAACGCACAACAATCAGTACTGATCCCATATATCGCGTAAGAGGACGATGGAATCAAACGTACCCCATCCACAAGCCACTGCGCCGCCACATTCAACCTTATAGGCGCAAACGAATCAAATCGATTCCCCCCCGTATAATGCGAAGTCGACGCGACCCTCTCCAGCGCGGCGATCCACTGCAACATCTGCCTCTCATTATGCGCGCTCAACTTCAGCCGCATCTGTGAGTTCTCGACGTAGAAAGTATGTTTCGAGACCTCGCTGCTCTGCCACTTCTTCTTCTTCTTGCCGTCCTTCTCGCCTTGTCCCCGCGCGGCTAAGGGATCCGTGTTTGTTGACGGATCGAGGAGGGGAGTCGGAGGCCTGTGACTGCTCGAGCTGCTTGAACTACTCGAGCTAGAACTCGACGATGATCGCGTGGACGCCGCGTCGTCGTCCGTGCGTGTCTGCCTCGTCTCGGCGGTATGAGTGGTCGTCCCAGTCGCGCCACTCGGTCTCCCTGCAGCATACGCATCGCCGTTCCCATTCACAGGCGCAGCCGAAGACGCACCCGACCCCGACCGTCGATGATGCGAAACCACTTTCGAGATCGTCTTCTTGATCGTCCCCAGCATACTTCTCGTCTCCGAATGCTCATGCTCGTGCTCGTGTCCGTCCGGATGCAATAACCCGTCCTGCGCACCGTTCGGATCTTCTGAATGCCGGTGAGTGTGCTGATGGGCGTCGTCCTCGGACTTGTGGTGGTGCGACATCTTGTGTTTGCCCTGTTCGACGATGCGGTTCGATTGTGGGGCTTCGCCGTGGAGGAGGTTTATTCCTTGACGGTAATACCGCATCGGCCGCTCGATCTTGAAATCGGTATCGAGCATGAAGATGTCCCAGACCGCGAGCTATATATGCCGATGAAACACAAACCCCGCAAAATAAGATAAAAACAGATCCGAATAATAAACAGAAAAAGAAACATACCTCCCCCGGCTCCACAACCGCGATCAAATAGCTCTCCCTAACCGCACACCACTTCTGTTCCTTCCTCTCTCCCCAGCCCGCGCTCTTTCTTCCCCATCCTCCCCCTCGACTCCCCACGCTCTCTATCTTCATGTATCCCGCCTTGTACTGCGTACCGCCGGATTGGGCCAGCGAGAGGTGCAGGGCTGAGATCTCGAGGAAGCCGGCGAGGCGGTTCGAGGTGGGGTGGAACATCTGTTGTGGACGGAGTATGAGTGTGTGAGCGTAGCAAGATGAGGTTGTGAGTGCCGGTCAGGTGCAGAGAATGGAGGGATAACGTACGACGGCACGGACGAGGGAAATGAGGTAGTTCTCCAGCACGGCGCGTTGCATACGCGCAAAATCAGCCCGTTTGACATCGTTCTTCCCATTCTCGTGCCTACTCTCCTTCTTCAGGAACTTGAAGTACGGAAGACCTGTCCCAACGATGGTAAGTGAACACCACAAAGTTTCCCGAAGAACAGAGCAAGTGTGGGTGTAAGAGAGGAAGGATCGACGTACTGGTCCTCGGAAACTCGGGCAAGATGTCCTGGTTTCGATTATACGCATTCGACACCGCATAATGCGTATGCAAGCTCAAGAAATCCTTCAACTGCCTATAAATCACCCACCTCGCCGCCCCATTCGCATACTCACACTCGATCCTAAACACGCTGCTCGTCCCATGCAACGGGTGCAAACTATCGCTGATCCTGATCCTCAACCTATGAAAGAGAATGGGCACCCTCCGATTCTCCTTGTCGTCGCGCTCGAACCACAGACGGAGCATGAGCGTGGAGAGACCGCCGGCGATGAGCTCGTCTGTGATGTTGACCCCGGTGGGCGCGACGGTGGAGGAGATGGGGCCTTGACGTGCTTGGGAGGCGACGCGGGGGATGAGCGTACGGAGACGGCTCCATTTCTGGTTGGGGGTGTTGGTGGAGGAGTTAGCTCTCGAGTGGGTCGATTCGTTACCGTGAGCCTTCTCTTTTCCTTTGCCCTTCTCCTTTTCCTTGTCTCCTGATTCTTCCTTCTCCCGCTCCTTCTCCTTCAGTGGCATAGAATAGCTGCGCGACACGCTGCCCCTGCCCCAAGACCTCCCAATCGCCCCTCTCAACAACGAAGGCTCCTCGTCATGGTCGCCCTCGCCCTCACTCTGTCCTCTCCTCCTCCCCGCGGGTTCGGCCTCAGCTCCAGCCTCTTCATCCTCCTCCTCCTCCCTTCCCTGCCTCAAATCCGTCGCACTCCGCGCAAAATGCAAAGCCCGATGCTCGCTCCTCGGCGACTCCGCGAGACTCTCCGGGAGGAGTTTATGCCTCCAATCATGCCACACACTGCTCGAATCCCGCCTCTTCGCCCTCCTCTGCGCCATCTCCCGCTCGCGCTCCAACTGTGCCGGATCGTGAAACTCGAGCGCGCCCCGGAATTGGTGCGTGCCGTCGCCGTTGAGACGCGGCGTGAAGTCGAAATAGGACATGTCTTCGTCGTCTTCTGTGTTCGAGACGTCGTGCAGTTGTAACTGTTCGAGTTGTTGTTCTTGTTGGGATGTTGTCGGTGGTGATTGTGGCGCTTGTTGTTGTTCGGGATGGGGATAAACGTCAGATGTGTCGAGACTCTCCTCGCCGATCGTGTCCGTCCCAGTCCCCTGTCCAAGCCTCGAGCTCTTCTGGGACGTCGACCCAGACTGATGCTGATGCTGTGGCCCATGTCCATGTCCATACCCATACGAAAGCGAACGAGGAGGCCCCGTCCGGAACTGAGGCGACTGTGGAACAACGTCCTTGTACGAGTTCAAGGACTTACGCCTCGTAGAAGACGGAGAAGACGGAGAGAGCGGACTCGCGTCGCCGTTCGCGTGCGACCGCTCTGGAGAAGACGAACGTTTAGTGTTGTCGTCTGAGACCGAGGCCGTTGAGACCGTCACGGGCGGGGGGGCGGGAGTGGTAGCGTTGCCGTCGCCACTCTGCGCCGGCTGGTTGTTATTGTGCTCGGCGTCGTGCTGGCCGTGCACGGCGTGGTGGACGATGTCGGCGAAAGTCGCCATGGCAGAATTGGAACGAGTGACGATGAGGAGGGCCTCAGACTGATAATTTTTGGGGATATGGACAGGGTATGGAAGTGAGTGTAAGGTAAAGGATCCGTCCAAAGTCGCGACTATGTATAGCACTCCGGATAAACGTACGTCATCTCTGTGGTGATCTAAGGCACGCCAAGCACCAGCAGCTTGGCCACAGGTTCGTTCTACTTCGCCGTCTATGACTCGACTCTCTTCTCAACATCTTCTCAACTCCTGCAATTGCAGTCTCGGGACATCCACAACGATGAAGAATAAATACTGTATTTGTTGAACATGAGACGGTAGCCGAGTTACGCAGCCTGATGGTCTGGCCGTGGCCACCGGGCGGTATGGAAGGCTGCCAAGCAGTCTACCGTCGGAGAATGAGGACTGCTCCTTCGAGACTGTGTGAGCAAGCACGACGATTGTGCGAGCGCCAAGCGAGCGCCGTATGACCGCATCGCGCAGCCGCTGTAGGTCCGAGTTGTACCGTTTTGTCGAGCGCCACACAAATGTACGGAGGAAAATATAGCAAGGCTGCCAAGGCATGCAAGTTGAAACGTCTTGGACGACTCTCATTGAAGGTCATGCATCACCCCAAGCTTGTGCTGAAACTAGAGCCCGACTTCAATGGCTTGGCTACACATGCGAGACTGGCATATGATGTTCAAATTTTCCTTGGATGGTGTGAGTGAGATCCTTCAGGTTACCAACTCCTAGTCTCTTCGAATTCGGAGCATCCCTAGAGCAGATCATAAGAAAAATATAGGGACAAAATTATATAGCTGGTCGGTTCACGAATGTACTGTAGTCGATTTAGAGTTGATGGTGTGTGGCCCGTACCCGGGCTGTTCGAATCGAGTATCCGGTCATTGTATTACGTAAAGTAACCCTAACCTAACCGCGTCGTGTGAATGCGAACGAGCGCGACGCGTCTACCATTTCAAATTCCATCCTTTAACTCGTTAACTGCTTGCTATCAACAAACTACTAGTAAAAGGGGGTTCATTTTTTTTTTCATTCGTCAAGGACAGTATACGTATGGCTCGGTATGTCAACCTCCCAGACGGACCCCCCTGCCTTCGCTGTTCACAATCGCACAACGACCTGCAACATTTCCTCCTCACGTGCCGTACGTGTGGCAACACCTGGCACAGTAAGACCTCCCTCCCTTCACACCTCGCAGCATCAATTGAGCGTTCACTGACTGAGCTTTTCTTCGTAATCAAAAAATTTGTTGGTTATTTGGTGATTTGATAGGGACGTGTCTCATCCCGGCTGTGGATGAAGCGACGATAACTTCGCTCTTGAGAAGCAGCCATGACGGTCAACCTTTATCGTGGCTCTGTAAACGATGTAAGAAGCGGAGTGATGGGGATCACGGCAGCGTATCCATCAACTCTGTAGGTATCTTTATTTTAGGTTACGTGGTTTGAACTCAGAGTTCGAGATGCAACTGTGGCGCCCAGAGGTGGCGCCACACGTTTCTTTGTCAAGTTATCGGCGTCTAGTATGACTCGTACTAACATCGACGATATCTCATTCACAGGCCCAATCAAACGCGAACATGACGAACACATCCACCACCACACCAGGCCCATCCCGCAATTCCGACCCACCCATCGAACTCTCAGATGACGATATCATGGAAATCGACGGACCATCTACATCCACATCCATGAACCAACCATCGCGCACGAAATCACCCACGAAATCACCCACAAAGCCACCACTGTCATCATCGAAAAGGAATACACCTTCGATAGCTCCGCCACCCGAAACTATCACGATATCCTCCGGCTCAGAGGCAGACTCGGACTCGGACGACATCGTCGAGATCAGCTCGACTCCGGATCCCAGACCTGCTAGCGTCCCAGCTCAAAGTCAGAGCACCACCACACGACCGTCACAGTCAAATGGGCATGCTGCTGCTGCTGCTCCTAATTTAAAGTCCTCGAAACCCACTTCCAAGACCGCTCGGTCCTCTGGTAGTACGACCTCTATCACGCCTACTCCCGGTCCTAGTACTACTACTACCATCCCTGCAAGAGACTCAGGACGAACCGCACCATCACCTTCCGTATCTACCTCTAAACCCACTCCTAAACAACTCATCCACCCTTTACCTGCGAAACCTGAGCTAGCCTCCAACGCCAACGCCTCAGTACCGAACGCTTTCAAACCGTACTCTCGTCCCGCGAATTTCCCGAGCAGTAGTACTGCTGGGACATCATCTGAATCGACGCGCTCGTCTTCGCATACAAACACAACCACAAGCACAAACTCACAACCTCGACCTCGACCGCCTCCGCGTACGAAAGATCATGTACCAGTAGCGTCGGGCTCGGGCTCTGGGACTCGGAATTCCAGCTCCACTTCCGCTGCGTCCAGCGGTGGCCCTGTGGCTTCCTCATCCCAAATCCCGGCACAGAGGCAGAATCGCCCTGGAGTAAGCGGGGATCGTCGTCGGATAGTGAGATCGAATACGGATCAGAATGTGAATGGTATTAACCGTGTACGTGTGTGTTTGCTCTGTCTTCGAAAAAGAAACACGCAGTTAACAGTCCAACCACTTTATTGGATTATGTTTCATTTGTTTTGAATGGTTTTGGGATTATCAGCCGGCCGTGACTCCCCCAAGATCCCGACCTCAAAGCGCCCACATGCCCACTACCACTACCACCATCACCTCCTCCTCACCCACAGTCGTCCCAGACTCGACCGAACGGCCCGGACCGTCCACTCACAACCACAAACACCAACACAAACGCACAGAATCGACCCCAGACCTTCATCGAAATTCAATGCCCCCTCCCCCTCTCCCCCTTCCACCCTCTACATCCAATAAACTCCTCCCGAACGGAAATCCCGATTTTCGTGGTATCCTCAAGGCTCAGGCCGAAGCCAAAGCACGGCTGGCAGCGAAGTCGGGTGGCGCACTCGAAGAACCGCCGTCAGATGATTATGATACATCCGTACAGTCTAGAGCTAGACCTGTATCGCGGACAGGCTCAACCTCAACTGCGGAGGGGAAATCACGACTGAAATCCGCTTCGAGTCTTAAGCCGGCTCCGTCGTCGTCGAGGAACAATTTCGCCTACCGAGCATCTTCCTCCAGCGACATCGACATCGAAATCTCCGATTCCGACAAGGATGCCGACGTCGATGTGGATGTAGACGATGATATGATAATCGACAGCGACGAAGACGACCATCCCAAACTCCAACCTCCAGCTCACATCCAACCCGCACCACCCACACCCACATCCGCCAACGCCACCACAACCACAACCACCACCAATGCGAATGAAGACTCAGACTCAGACGACGACCTCTACGGCAACGCTCCTCCCCGCGCACGTTCCATCCCTCCGGAAGCCTGGGGCACACCTCCCCGTCGCGGTTTCGTTGCCCGCTCATTTCCATCGACGAATCACCCGCCCCCACTCCCCACGCCCGCTCCCACTCCCGGTCCGAGCGCGAACTCGAACTCGAGGCTCCCAGCGAAACGGGCCGGACCCCCTCTTGCCCGGAATCATCATGCCCAATCCCACTCGCGAACGCTCAATCAACGGCCACAGCCAAAGCCACAAACGCGCCCCGGGTCCCGGCCGCAAACGATCCAAAGCTTACTCTGCATGCATCAATCCCAAACGCGGGAAAACGCCGTCTGGGAACGTATGAACGCCGCGAATGCCGATTCAACTCGAGGTGCAGGTCAAGATCAGGGCCCAGGGCGAAGGTTGGCGAGAAAAGGACGAGCGAAGAAGTTGAGTAAGAGTGATGTCGTGATGAGGGAGGGGAATGCGCGGGATGTTGGAGAGAGGCAGAGGGCGCCGGGGGATAGAGGGAGGAAGAGGAGTGGTGGGAGGCCGGGGTTGTGTTTGGTTAGTGATGTTTGATGTGTTGGGTCATGAGAGGTGGGCTCCTTCCCGATTCTTTTGTCCGTCCGTCCTTCAAGCTTCAGCTTGTAAGTATTATTGCTCCCTTGGTCTACCTAATGACATTACTTGTCCATGACGTCGAAGCATTTGCGAGCAACCGTTCTGATGCCTCCGCTATTCGAACTTGCAGCTCCCGAATCCTCATATCCGTCCTCTTGTGACCTTTCCTGTGTTCTCTACGATCGCCGTCCTCTGTTCACTATTTTGCGCTCCATCCTCTCGTTAACTCGCGATGCCTGTCCCAAGGCTGATATATCACGGACGTCTCGAGCGGCTTTTGTGTCATGTATGCGTTCATCCCGAGCTCAGTACGACGTGTATGATTGACTCGGCTTGCGTCGTTCTGCGTCGTTTGGCTGCCAGTCGTCCCAAGCCTCGAGGAAACGGCAAAACGCCGATGAAAAGCACGTTCAACAAGATGCGGAGGATACTAGCATTGTAGCCTGGGGCAGAGCAATATTTATAGGGTGAGCCCATCCGATAGCCATCATGGGACATGAGCTTAAGTGGTGGTTTGAACGTGGCCCCAGTGGAATGCACAGAGGTGAGATTCTCAACTTTCTGACCTCTAATCTCCACGTGTTTCTCGCGCTCCGCCTTCAGCGACTCAGCCTCGCTCCCGGCTCTTTCCCTTCCTCTCATTCGCCGGCAGCAGCTGGAGTCTGGAGAGAACACCCCTCCAATGGTTGGTGTCGCGACTAGGTTGGGCCTTGAGCGGTGCAAATAACGTATCCGACGAGCTCGCTGCCTAAGTTATCCTTGGGCGATGATCTGCTGGTGCTGCTTGGGTGCTGCCAGCGACTGTTTCGACGCTGAACCTATTACCATGGAGCTTTGTGGGGGGTCGTCGGGATCGTATAATCACTTTGGGTAACGAACCGGAGCGACCCGAGTGGAGAACGCCGGGCGTTGATGCGTGAAGAGGAGATGGATGAGCAGCTGGGTTGTGGAACTCACTGGGAGTACAGTGTCTTGGACGGTCAGTGTGTGGATGTATCTCCATTTCCAGTGGGGTTTAACACTTTAATTCACCCGTATGGTTTATAGGGAAAAAAATTTGGAGCGTAACATCTGCATTTGTGGCCGGATTTGAGGCCGTGGAAGGGAACAAAAGGATGGCACAGCGCTCGGGGCGCTCCGGCGTTTGCCGTTGCCGCGGCACACGGGGCCGGTACGTGGTTCGAAAATGAAATTCGAGTGCCACAATCAAAGTACGCTCACCTTTCGCCTCCTCACAATTGCTACTATCCGTTCCCCCCCTTTCTATTTCTAAAATAATATTACTAGTCAGAATGCGCACAAAGTGATGTAAATTTTGTGCGAAACGGACCGTTCGTTCGCGAGATAATTCCGCTTTTGTTCTCTGGAATACGCGCCACAGCCCTTTGTGGGTCCCAACATTCGCTTCCTAATCCGGACAAAGTCCTCATTTGGACTCAACTCTGGGTGCCGACCCGCCAGGGATACCATCAGATAACGCTTCTTTTTCTTCGATCTGGGCACAGTTTCTGGCCTGTTGGGCCTCGGTATGTTTCGCCGACCAATGGTGCCAGTGCCTCTTGCCGGGAGGAGTTTGAATTGTTTCCCTGCATATATAAGACCCACCTGAGGCTCGCTTAGGTCCCCAATCTTCTCTCTCCTCTACCACCACCATCTTCTCCCTCCCGGACCCGGACCCAAGGTGGGTCCCTCCAACCTTTCTCTTGTCTGTGCTCCCATCCTCTCCTCCTCGTGCCTCCCCTCAATGTTCAACGTGCTAACTGATGTTGACTCACATAGGCCGCCCAATTGAAGACTGGTGTCAAGACTCAACATCAAGTACCAAGACCTCAAGCCGGGACCGTATTGGATTGGGATCGCTCGCGATGCGATCGACAGGCCATGGGTGTCACGGGGATGTGCGCAGAGTCGCGCTGCGGCCTCAAGAACCTCGAGGGATCTACGTACTTACGGTATCCCGGACACAGTACCCTATTAACCCCTTATTAAAGGACATGCCGGCCAGCGTCGCGCATTGTCCTGGGGATGGTCCAATCTTTCACTCGTTAGACGCCCTTCGGGGCTGTCACTTTTCTCTTCGAGGCTAGTCCTCTCATTATGTCCCCTGGTATGGCGTCGGCCTCTTCGTGGCTCAGGGGATTAGTACCTCTTCGGAGGGAAGCTAACAGATGCTCCGCTCGTTGGGGTTCTCTCCCCCTGTTCGACATGAGCATCGTGTCCCGCCTTCATGGCCTTCGTGCGTCGTGTTTCTTTGTAATTTTACGACGATTATGGCTCCATCCTGACGTTAATATCCTTGTGTAGAAATGACCCTAACGTGGGCAAGGCGGAGAGAGAGAGCCTTTGGATCGGAGTCTTCGGCGGACTCCCTTTTTTCGTTGGTCTGCCATGGTACGCCCCTTTCCGGCCGCAATGGAGCTTACTTCTCGACCATTATCCCCTATATTACCTTCATGGAGGCTTGGACCCCTAGTGTTCCCGTCGTCGTTGCTGGTGGTACTGAAAGTCCGTGTGTGACGCCAACAACAATGGCCTTTTTTCTCTTTTCTTTCTTTGGTATCGTTGGGGGAGTTTTCGCACTTTGAGTGCATTCGACCGAGGCTATGCCTCCCTTTTTTCTCCTGGTACGGCGTCGGCCTCTTCGTGGCCCAGGAGACTAGTACCTCTTCGGAGGGAAGCCAACATACGTCGGTTTGTACCAAGAGGCGTGCGGAATTGCAATCCCGCACATCGGAAGGTCTTCGGCTAACTCTCGCTTAGGGGGAGGGGGGAGGGGGGAGGCGGTTCCAGTTATTCTCCGGGGTCCTTGAACAAGCCAATTAGATAATCACACACCGACGCAGATCCTGTGGCGAAAATGAAGTACATTGTGGCTCTAATCCAAAGGCATACAAGAACACGACCGAGGAACGTGACAGAAATAGACAGAGCACTGTAAGAGTATCCGTGAATTTACAACCGTGGTCCGTCAACGACACATCCAAACCATAAGTAAGTCAGAAGTAGTACTAAGCATGACGAGGCAGTTTGCGTGCAGGAGCATCTGCCATAGTATTTGTGAATGCTCGTGAACGTTTACCTCCAGAGGGTGTCGCGGGTGGTACTATGGTGGTGAATGGTGTAGCGTGCTGAATGAAATTGAACGGGGGAGGGACAAGAGACTGGTCGATACCACAGCTTTCATACTCCCTTTGTTCGATTTTCATGTTCTCCCACAAACTAGCAGGAAGGGGAAAGCGGCCGTGATTGCTAGGGTTCGCCGGAGAGGCATATTCCCTATGATGAATGTGAATGTGCTCTGCCATATTATACCTCCAAAACCCACGGTAAGTACGACCACGCAAGCGGGGATCAGTCTCTTCGCACAGAGGACAGCGGATTGGTATGTTCCTGCAGCGTGTCACGGCTGTTCCCTTCGCTGCAAGAGCATATGACTTGGGGCTACGAAAGAGTGGACATTTAGAATCCACCTTTGTCGTCTTATTGTTGATAGTGATCGTGATGTCCTGACAGAGCGCGTTATCGCTGCGACCACAGGAGCCGCACGGCATTGGCATTCCGACCTACACCATTTAGAAATATCAATTGATCAGTACTATTGACAAGGACACAATTAAATTAAGACCATACTGGGTTTGTCAAAGGACGTGGTTCGATAGCGCCACAGAGTGCACGAAGAATATGCCACCCAATATGGCCTCTCCACTGATCCTTGTCGAAAGAGACAGCCTCGCCGCAGAAATCACACTTGCGATCGCCATCCTCGCTCATCTCCATGCGCAGACGTTCTGATGCCGAATCATTCACAAGAGCTGCTTTCCCTAGTAGTAGTAGAACACGTAAGATGAGACCCGAAATCCCCAACAGTTGAAACAAAGGCGCAGGCGTACCTGCAAAGGCATAAGGAAACCCTCCGCGAGTGAGCAAAGGAAATACCGGAAGATCATCAACGCGAACTTCCTCCTCAACGAGACTCTCCCACAGGTTTGTGCTCAACGATAGCAGATAACTTTCGTCGAACTCCCAAGTCGTGCCCATGGAGTTGATCTTTGTAGTAGCGTCGTCAGGAAGGCGTTCTCGAGCGACAACAGAGCGGCAATCAACCTGGGGAATACAGAGATGGCCGGCAACGGAGATCACGCAGGGTTTCTCAGTGACGACCTGAGAGCCCCGCATCTTCGCATCAGCCATCACGAATCCACCATCCCACACCCATATCCACTGGGAGTCAGACGAGTCAGCGAATTTGAGAGGAGCGTGCGAAGTCTCGGCGTGAAGTGACTGCATTGCCCCTGATCCTGATGAACGTTCGAAGGAAGTGGCGTTAAGAGTAGTAGCTGCTGTAGAGGCGACGGCGTCAATCGAGGGAGCGAGCTGAACGCGGCGCATGGTCAGAATCTGGCCTTCGAGGTGGACATTAGCCTCTGGGTTGGTGACAGTGGGGATCGGAAGCTCGGTTTCCTTTGTTCGTCCTCGCGTGATTTTTGTGCAGCGTACGAGGGCAAGGGAGACAATCTTCTGATGGCGTAGAATGGTGGCGAAGTGATCTCCTTCGACGAAAGTGTCGGAGCCTATCAGATCAGCAGAGGTGTTGAGATTTGGCTGCCAAGTAGGTTTGCTGAATCCCCGGACGCGTTCTGGACGGTTTTTTGACTTGTGAATGAAGTCAGCGTTGATGACGAGGCGGCAGATGGTCTGTTTGTGAACAGGCTTCCCATTGCAGAGCAGCCAGTCGTTTGGCGTGATCCCAGGTCCTAGTTCGAGCGTAGAGAGGCCATCAATGTCAGGTAATCCTTCCTCGAGAGATCGCTCCGCCTCTGCCTCCTCTATGTCTTCAAAGAGCCACGAGGGAATCGTATACTCATCGTCTGAATCATCGTCAAGATCTAGTAAGAAGAAAGTCGTTCAGTATCGGCACCAGAAAAATAAAAGAGAGAGAAACTCATACCGTACACTTCCGATACATCCTCGCAGGTGGCGTTCACCGTGGCACTAGGTGGCGAACTGGTAGAGGCGGCGGCAAAGGTGCCTGACGAGGTCGCGGGGGCTGACTCGGAGGTCACATTCGTGGTGGTTGTGGGCGTGGCGTCGGTGGAGGGAACCGTGGTAGGAACTGAACGCTGTGTTTCGTCCGAAGGAATCGATCTGTCTGGTTCCGTATCGTCTACGCCCGGGTACTTCCCGGCTTCGAATGGACAGAGCATATCGACTTCGCCACTACTGAAGATCTCCTCAAAGGCAGCGGACTCCGGTGGCATTGATGACTGGAGAATAGTAACCACCGCTGCGCGGCGACCAGCAGCCCAAGCGTCGGGGAGAGATACCTTATTGACGGCGGCATCTCCATCCCACGATGCATTGTTCAGGTGGTCGAGCGCTGCAGTTCTTGTGACCTTGAGGCGACGTTGACCACTGTCGAGGTCAGGATTCCGCGCGAAAGCTGCATCGATATCGACGGCATGCCCAAGGCGGTCAACACCCTGATTATAGCGCATTCCCGAGTCATGTGCGCCAAGCATTCTAATGCGGCCAAATAGTTTCTCTAGACGATCGTCTCCGAGCTCGAAGAGGTGAAATAGCTGCGTTGGATCGAGTGCTTGCTGTTTCGCGATGCAGAAGATTGCGTTCTTGACCATGCACTGCGAGTCTCCATATAACTGGTTCGACATGTAATGTGTGCGATAGAGTCGGAAGAATGCAAATGAAAGGTGGGCGAACTTGCTAAGATACGTGACTTGCTCGGTAAGGGAAAGGTGAGGATTGATGTACGCCTCCAGGATTGACTCGCAAAGATCTGAGAGGAGTCGTATAGCATCGAGATCAGCGATTGTATCTGGGTTACTGGCCTCCAGATGAAGTGAACGAAGTTTGACGATAGCTTGCATGAGATCGATGGCGCGAGGCACGTCCTGCGGATCAGAAGGGTGCAGAAGCTTGTTGACCGAGTCTTCGTCTTGACCTTCGAGGCGCACCAGGTACTTGTGGAGGAAGGACGGGCTGATGATGCGTCCAGGGCCGAGTACGATTCCGGATACCGAGCGGATAAGAGTGCAGATACCTATAAATAAATGAGAGCTCCGAATCAGCATCTGTAGACGAACTGTTATCGATTTATTGTGCGTGAAATGATGATCATACGTTTATAGACATGTTTCCAATCGAAGTCGAGGGTCACGTCGTCCTCTCCAGTGAAAAGATTGAGGCCTGGAAGCTGCACCAGTGTAGGATAGATGGGTGATGATGGTGGCAATCGCTTCTTGACGAAGAGGTGATAGCCTGCTTTTCGCCGAGTCGAATCCCCGTCAGTGGCGACCGACCAGAGTGGCCCAAGGATGGCAGCTGCGACCTTATTATAGCCTCCAATGAGCATCTCGAAGATACGGGACATATCCGACGAGTCCTCCTGCTTGCAGGTTGGTGCAGCAAGGATAGGGTACGTTCGTGAATCACCGGTACCGAAAAAGGAAATGGAAGCGACCGTCATCTCCTTGCCGAGGTGAAGATCTCCTGCTGCCAGGTGCTTTGCTAATTCGACCGCCGAGTGATACGATCGTAGAACGAGGTCGAAGAGGCGGGAATGCTTCCAACAGAGGCCGCCTACCATGTTGACATCATGGAAATGACAGGCGGCCTCCTCGAGAGCGACTTCGTCGATGAGGAGAGAAGCACCACGGCGGTGAACGGATCTGGCGAGGCTCGTCAAAGGCTTCAAAAGGACCTCTCGAATATTGTGATCTATCGTCTGCCGTGTAATGTCTCCGACGGTGGGCATGATCCGTATGAAGGAAAGGTGGTGTTGGAGAGTTCGAAGAGATGGAAGGCCGAGTGCGTGGTTCATTGCGTACAGAAGAGGGCGACCGCCGATGCGGAAGATCAACGTCGAGATATCGAGAGTGCGTTCCGAGACGAAGCGAGGATTGTATACACCCTTGATCGCTTGCTCCATCTGCGTTATGATAGCAGTAATGCTCGCACCGTGGCGCAGAGCCGTTTGAACCAGGATACCGACTTTAGATGCGTCCATTTCTGCAAAAGCCATGGTGAAGCGCTTAAAGTCGACGGCTTTCTGAGCTGCGGCAGCCATAGAGCGGCTAAGATTGAGAAACTGAACAAGAGCATTAGAGTGATTCGAAAGTAAGAAAATATAATACACACACCTTCAACTTCCATGCATTCAATGCATCCATGCGCTCCCGAAGTCGCTCTCGTAGCTGCTGAGGGCTGAAGTGGATGAATTTGTGTGGCACTATCCCTGACCGTGCGGCTGAGACGACTCGTTCGATGCGAGGGGACATGGACTGGCATTCGAGGCAAGGCACACTCACGTGGTGTACAACACCAGTACACTGACGCGAGTGCGCAAGGAACCTGCTTCCCTGGTCTTGAATGCTGATAGAGAACGGAAACTGCTCGAGTCCAGCAGTCGGACCTAGGCGTGACCAAGGGAACGTATCGTAGGGATCGAGCTCGGGAGGCCAGAAGATTGGGATTCCGGGGCAAGGTGGCCCATCAGGGACGTCAGGTGGTGCTGAGCCGGGACGAGTGTTGATGTTCGAATATCTGCAGAATGTATGGCAGGCAGGTAGTAGTATGAGCAGAACTCCACAAGGAATAGAAAAACTGGGCCAAGACACAAGAGGATTCGGATCTTACCCAGAATACGCATCGTCAAAATCATGCGCATGAGCGCTATACCAGGCGTTCTGTGCTCGTTTCCCCGGTGAAAGTGAATCGGGAGGTGCACTGGAAGTCCTTGGTGGCAGCTGCTGCGTCGGAATTTCACCATCAGCACCCAAAGATGTATCGCTGCCATCGAGACCCGCTACCCTAGACTTCCACTCCTGCGCACACTTCTTCCCTTGACGATGAGCGACTAAACTGGCAAAATGGCCGTCTCTGTTGCCCAGAGTCGACTCAGAGGACAGTCCGGTGGAGACCCATGCCTTGCAATCTGGGCATTGAAGCTCCCATTTCATGGTCGCTGCATTGGTTCGCATCAATAACACGCCATCCGCGAATGCCAACGAGAGAGAGGCCTGGGTATTATTGACGGTAGGTGCCACAGACGTCGGTTGATCCCGAGCGCGAACGGTTGGAGTAGGTGTATTCTGGATAGAGCCGAAGGTGGATGATGCAAATGGCGGAAACGTGGACGAGAGATGTGGATGGAAGGTGGGAATGGGGGCGAATAGAGGAGGTGCATTCTCCGAGGATAAGGCATTGTGTTCATCGATTCCGCCCATGAATTCCGGTGGCGCTTGAGAGAGAAATGGAGTGGATCAATGATAGATCAGTGTGAATACTACGAGACAGTGGAATACATACCTAGAGGGGGTTCCGCGCCTAAATCCTGTGTTCGCCCGTGAGCAGGTCTAGGACGAACCGGCGTCTGGGGATTGTCGCGCAAAAAACCGAAATTTGTGAGCGGAAACATGGAAGCAAATAAAAGTATTGCCAAGATCATGCAGAGAGAGAAAAATGCAGGTAGAATTGCGATGTCAATTTGTCGCTGAAGGTTTGCTCCCCAAGAGGGAGTGGGTCTTATATAGTCAATACTTTTCGGCCACGGACTTCGATCTCTCAGGTCTCAGTACAGCATACCAGCCATCATCATGCACACGATTTGACCACGAGTCAGACTGCCCAGTGCCCTAAGTTTGTGGTCGAAACAATGAGGAATCACAGTGTGGACCTCATGTTCAGAGTTCATGGCAATACACGAGTAACTCGCGAATTGCATGTTCATCGATAAGAGGAGGCGATTCTCCCAGTCCGCTCAAAGAAAACCAGCTAATGAGAGTATTTGGTGAATTATTGACCGAAGCAGACCAGCAGTTAAACGAGCAGCACGCCCGAAGGATGGGCGTGAAAGGCGAAAGATCTCGCAGAGAGCGGAGGGTGGCGGAGTGTGAAAATGGGCAATTTCCGAAGGAACGTACTTAACCCACAAGCGTGTATTCAGTCTACGTGTTGCAATCGTACAGCTCGTGTTCTTGGTCAACTCATGTTTCTGGTGCTTTTCGCATTTGACCCACTGGATAGCTTTCTGTGCTTGGAGCGTATCATTCTCGGATCACTATGTTTACCTGAAGCCACTGAACTTGGTGGCAAACCGCAAAGTGCTCTCCATCAGAACGTTGAAACTGCCAGGTGTAGGGCCTTTCTGCATGATGCGCTTCATGACGTACCTGAGAAAGATACTTGATCTAGGGTACTCCACTTATACTTCATAGATCGGCGTCACTCCTCACCTTTGTAGCTCTCTACGTCTCATCCCCCCTCGACAACCTCTGTCTTTGATGACCGACCTACATTTTCACCCTGCATCTATTGTGAGGCGTCGAGCCGTCTTTGGCGAAATCAGTACGCTCTGTTTCTTACAAACTCTTGCTCTGTATTGATTTACTGTGCTTGTCGGGCTCTCAGGAGATAGACGCACACGAACGTCCACTCTGGGTTCGCTCGTATCAGAGACCTCCGATAGTAGTATGTCTTTGCAGCTGCCTGAGAACGTTACAATGCGCGATGACTACGCCATTGACGGTACGTTCACCCTCAGATATGTATAATGTTCCATAACGCTCCTCGCTCACAAACATTAGCAGCAATGTTGTGGTCAAGGCGAACACATCACTTATTCGAATGGATCGCACGCTCCGAGTCTTCGATGCCGCCTTTCTACCAACCCTCATGCTGCCCATTCTGTATTGCGCAGTATATTGCTAGCAACGTCAATCCGAGCACGGCTTGGAATGTTGGGCGTCGTCGAGCTGTCAGGACCCTCTCTGAGGTATCGGGGCCTCAGGCTCTCCATCACGACATCAATGCTCACGCTATATGTTATATTTTGATCACCTTTCAATATCCCTTACCCCTTCAACCTGCCACTGAATCAACAATCATGAACGAGCCTGAGGAAAGCTCATCAGAGACTGGCGGTCATGGTGTATGATGACTGTGGCGTGGGTGTACAGGTTGCGTTGATCATGTAAGTTTCGTTTTCCTCGTACCATGTTTGGTATAGTTTCACATGATACCCACTGATGCGTGCTATACAGATCTATTTTCGACGAGAACATGACTCGGAGCTCTGTTCAAGACCGTGTAGTATCCAGGTGAAGGAGCAGATTAGTACACGGAGTTCTCAGTTGTACACACATCATGATCTATATTCAGTCTACCCTGTTCCTTGGTACAATGGACTCGGGAAGTGCATTATGTATATTCCTCATCTTAACTTACATGGATTTCCGCCTTAAATGCCTCCACTTGAAACTTCCACCCTTTGAATGCATTGAAGCCTCAGGAATTGCCACAGTGCCACCCACATCCCTAATGGGACCCCGGGGCACCGCTCTCGTAGCCGATTCATTTCCCGATCAGCCGAAAGTCCGAGCTGTGTGTGCGATTGCAATTCCGCACACCTCTTGGTTTGTACGGTACTATAACTCTTTGTTCGTGTAGCATATCGTTGTACATGTATTGGCTGGTAGTGCTCCTTCAGGCCCTATGATCATGCGAATACTCTGTTTATTGTCGATGACGGTGAATATATACTTGTGAAAATGGCGATGAAGTGTTGGGAAGTGCAGTGCAGTGGGGGTATGACAGAGTGACCAACTGCGTGCGGCGAACTTCAAAGCACGGGTCGCTCTCGGCGACACAAGGCGACACATGGCATTGTTTGGCAACAGTGTCACGAGTGACGCCTTGTAGCTTGAAGGTTAGCGGCCACACTGTTCTCCTGCGTGAGGGATGTCTGTTGCCAGTTCGCGGTGATACTGAGTTAAGCCTTGTTACGCGAGTATTCGCTTGGGGGTGATACTGTCTTCCTTCGTCGCTGCTCAAGCGCTCACTTTTGATAGGGGACGCAGTGCTCGCAAGAACGCAGTAAGATTTCAAGAATAAGGACAACTAGTACATTGACGAGGGCGATTTTTCCGTTTCCCAAATACGGATATTGCAGGCAAATGTAGTTCCAAGGTAAAGGTCCAGTCCAAGAAATATAGAATCGTGATAAGGTAGCAAAGTACACCTGGCAAGAAAAAACAAGATATGGAACTTCATCGGGTTCGAATGTGTACTAATGCGCCTCTGCGCCTGCACAGGGGAATCAGTGCTGCGGAAGGGACGCTTTCGATGATCAGGGTGCTGGGGGGTAAAAGCACTGTATTTAGCGGTCAGTTGAGGGGTCTGCGTAGAGAAACCGGATGAAATTTACGCACGAGTGTTCAGGCCACAACCTCGACGGAACGCGATGGTCCTACCATAGGCGTTTCGGACTCTCTTTGGATGAGCACCATCTCGATGTCGCCGTGGCCTTCTCCCTCATAAACCTATAATCAACGTTAGCAGTCTTCTGGGGCGGTGACAATTCTTCGATGCTGCTCACAACAGGGACAAGAGTGGTAACCCCGTTGTTACCCGTTGGCGTTATTGAGCCATCCTGTATGGCCAGCTCGTCACCATCGCCCTCGTCATCGTCAAACTGGGCGTTCCACCAATCAGGATCGAGCGGTGCGCCTATGTTGCCTAAGAATCGATCTTGAGCGAAGGCCATTTCGGGCATCCCATTGTGTTCGGGTGTCACGGTGTCACTTTGATGATTTATCGCACGGAGGTTTAGATAGAGCCTATTGATGAGAAGGTTCGGAGCTCTGGTAGGATGCATAGATTGTTTAGCCCACGAGCTGATATACTTAGACGCTGTGTTATATGGACATACAGATTGAAATACGGTTGAAGAATTTCCGACAGTAATTCTTGAGTTTGAGAACCCTATGTTGACGCGAACGGGGGCTCTTTAATCAGCAGGACCCAAAGGGGTAACAGCACATACGTTCAACACCGAATTCTGCATAGTGGAATCATAAGTAGAAGCAGACGATACTGTAGGTTGGCAAAAGGCACGTACAACTTCGAATGCAAGGTTTGCAGCTGCGATCGTGAACACTACACTGCAGGGTATCCAACAAACGTTTCAGTACTCGGATAATAAAAGGGCACGGATCTTCTGATGCAACTTACAAAAAGTAAAGGATTCCTGGAAGGCGGCGAATTTAAGTACTATGACTTAGGTTAAACCAGATAAAGAGCAGCTCACCATCGCGTAGCAAAAGACCAGAGAGGCTCCTCTGATTGTATCCTCGCATCTCTAGGAAGTGTCGATATAATTTGATGAGGGTGATGGCAAAGACAAGCGTGTCAAGCACCAGAGGAAGGGCAACGACAACGATATTAGCTATCCGGGGGCAGATGCGTATATAGGGATGAGTTTAGGTCGCGCAAAATGGCAAGACGGCCTACTTCTTTATCGGACATCAGAATTGCCAATATATAATGGGTAATTATTGCAGAGTTTACCGATCAGTGTCTTTATCGGACAAGGGAATTTCTTCACACATTGAGAATGCACCAAATTGATCCCCGGTGGTAGAGCGACCAACGACAATGGGGATTCTCTGTGATGATAGAAATGGTTGAGCTGACTATCAAGCACCCAGGAGATGGTAGGGTCTACGTGCCCAGATATCGACGCCGGCCCTGACCAGCACTAGCATTAAGGCTACACAGAGAAAGGTCTTGTTTCGTAAGGTTATAGCATAGACCCTGAGCGTGAGTAGCACTGCAACATTGGTTTAGATCTTGGAGTATCAGCAGGAATGACAAGGCGTAGATTTTACTAACGGTTCGTAGTGAACAGTGCAACCACCTGAAAAGAGCTGGCAAGAATGCTAAGTGCACTACAACTGGAGAAAACGAAATCAGCAGCAGTGATAGATCGCTATGCCATTGTAAACACGGCCTGAGCTACCTTTCGTCTGAGACAGAGCCGGGACTCGAAAACAACGTGATCATGATGAGATATATTCCGAATATGTATCTGTTCAGAAGGAAGATAACCGCAGTGCCGGTCGGTTTACTTGACCAGACAATGTTAATCTCCATAGGTAAAGTTTGAAGCAGGTCAAGCAACCATACGGCTAGGGTAGAAACAACCGTTTAGTTCAGCGGATGGGCTAATACAGAATCCATAGCTCACCTGTAGAGGAAACAATGGTGTAGTTCGAGATGATCCTGCGTGACGTTAGAACTTGATTCAGAGGAATGAAAGGGAAAACATACCACACTCTGTCTTCGAGTACTGTCTCAAGCAAGATTTCTGCAGAGGTTGACATAATGAGAGGGGGAGAAGGGGGACTGGGAGCTCAATATTTTGAGGGTGCGATCAGCCCCAGGCCGTTTTAAAGCTGCCTGGATGTTCGAGTGCATCTGTTTTCTCCACAGAGAGATCCACCGACATTCGTCTCTAGGCAATAATGATTGAGAGCTGAGTCAACTTAGGAAAAAGGTCTATGGGTCTTGTTCGATCGACACCCACTTGGTAGATCGCATCCATGCAATGATTTCCCAATCCCGAGCAAAGCACAGCTGGAGGTTTACCTGTGACTCGACCTGCGAGCAGCCAACGGTGCGTTCGCTCAAAAATCTCGGTGATACGAATGAATAAGGAGCCTTAACGAGATCCTGCATCTCAAGCAGGACAGCGAAACGAGAAGAACGTTGGCAATGGAGCCATCAACTCAACAGATCCGCCATAGGCTGAGTTGATATGGCCGCGCTTGCTTGACCCTACCGATATCATTATGCCAGGGATCGGTTTGTAGCGATCTGCAGCAACCGTACGGGTTTCGATCGGCGATTGCAGCTAGGCGATGCTATTGAGAACTCCCCTGTCTGGGTCACTTGCTAACCGTGCTTGATGATATTCCCACTGCGTTACGAAAAGCACCAGGGGCAATCTGCTTCAAGAGACCGAGATTGTGCAAGAGAGCACTGGCCATTGATGTTGGAGTAATTGGCGCCCAGTATCAAGTACATTTACAATGGAGGATGGTCGTCGTGTCGTGAGTATGGATGGTTGGATGTGACTCGTCGTTGTCTGCATCGTGATTGCGCCGGCCCATAATGCTGAGCACGAAAGTCGAGTGCCATCATGTCACATTGGGCGAGTAATAAAGTATCAAGGCATTTCGGGTGGCGGTGGCGTTCTCAATAACCTAATAGGTTGAAAGACAGAGAGCCTGTAGGAGAATGAGGAATGCGTTTAATCGTGGAGAACAGTGTAAATACCACATGAGATAGGGCACCCTGAGTGAGGACGAAATTTAAGGCGTTTCCGTTGAACGTAGGTTGTGCTGCTGCTTATGGTGCGTGTCACTGCTCAACTTGGCCTACCACCACATTGAGGAAACCGTCTTCAACTACACGTTGACCCAATGGTCACCGCGAGGTAAGCAGGTTGCACACAGGGAGGGATTGTATCCGTATGATCATACTGCCGATTCAGAGCACAACCCTCAAAACACATGAAGCACTGACACATTACCACATACATATTCCAGCAAGCCAACGAAAAAGGACGCACTCAATCACTTCCCACTACTCAACATCTTCCTAAAGTCATCTTGTCCCCTCCCACCTGCCGGCGGTCCCATCGAACCCCCACCCCCACTTGAACTAGCTGAAGGCGCAGCAGCAGGGGCCGGTCTTCTCGCATGCCCTAATCCAGCTCTCGGCCTCGACGCCGCCGTCCTTGGTACAAACAACCCACCTGCAGCTGCTCCAGCCCCAGACTTCGCCATTGTCGACCCAGAAGCGCCTGGTGCATCAGTGAGTTCGGAGAACGTAAGTGTGGCGCCATTGAACTCGACGACATCTTTTGACAGTAGAAGTTTTGCGACATCCTGATAGCACGGCGTCAGTCGCCTCCCATCACAATTTCGTGCAAAGGAACAAAAAGGTGTGAGGACTCACAGCAACATTCTGAAACTCAACCACGGCCTCATGCTTGTCCTCGAAGACCTCCACCCTCTTCACCGGTGCCAATTTCTCGAGCGTCTGTTGTAGGAGACCTTCCTGTGTAGCGGGAGGCAGGCCACGGACGCGTAGAGACCTACTCAGCGTGTCCGCGTGTCTGCCCATCCCGCTTTCCGGCTGATCTCTGTGATAGATTCGTCAGGGCCTGCCAAATGCCACAGACACGAATAAGAAGGTAAGATGTATGAACTTACTTTCGACGCGAACGAACGCGTGAATCGGACATGGTGACGGCCATCCTGCGGGCCTTCAGCTCGTGATTATTGGCGTTTAGCGCGTTCAATGCATCTTTCTGTTTTGGGAGTAAGCGAACTGAACACACAAATCACCACCGTCCGAGTGCGAAAGACCGAGCGTACCTCCTGCTCAAACTCGACGAACGCAAACCCTTTGGACCTTCCTTGCTCATCCACCGTCATCCTGATCTCTTTGATAGGTCCATACTGAGCCATCGAGCACACCGCAGATCACCAAAAATCAGTAAACCGACGTATTCCCACAATCGGAGAGACAGCGCAGACTCACGGTCTTGAATACCCTCTCCAAATCCGACTTGTCCGCAAACTTGCTCAATCCCGAAACGTACACTTCCCTCGCGTTCGCGTCCGCGTCCGTCCTCTCCTTCTTGCGTTCTGGATTGGAGATGTAAACGTTGAGCGGGAGGTTCGGTTCGAGTTCGTGACCGTGAAGTTCGAGGGACGCTTTGGCTGCGTCCTAGCATACGCCAGGGCCGCACAAGGTCATAAGGGGAAGCAAATATGCATGAGTATACGGCGGAGATGAATTCACGAAAGCAAGGGGGGAGAGAAAGACGTACAGGAGACGTGAACTGCACATAACAGAACCTTCTCGTAGCCTTGAACTTCTTACTCGGCCACCGCACATCGAATATCAATCCATACTAAAAGAAGAGCACACCATCACAAACACAAATGGGACATCAGCACGTATCCCGACTTCGACGCCACCAATGAACAGGAAAAGGAATCCTTACCTTGCCAAAAATCTTCCTGACTTCCTCATCATCCACCCTCTCTGGGAAATTCGTCACATACAACGTACTCCGCCACGCCAGATGAACCGCCACCTCCTCCCCATTGATCCGTTTCTTATCTTTCGTGAGCGCGGCCGGGACGGATTCGCGTTCTGAGAATTCTACAGTGGCAACGTGGGTGTTGGGTAAGGAGGTGATTTTGATATCACGGATGGAGCCACACTGCCGTTGTATATCAATATGGAGAGATGGGTGAGTGACAGAATATATCAAAGAGTGGAACGCACGTCTTTGAACAATGCTTTGAGATCGTCATCTGTTGTATTTGAAGGGAGATCCGCAACAAACACGGTACAATTCTCGCGATCCCTGAGTAGTACACAAGCATCCTATATTAGTACATCTATCAACCGGCAGTCTCCATGAACGGGGAAAAGCTCGCCGTTTCAAGGAAGGCGCATTATCTGCATAAACCCAACTCTCTAAATCAGCAACTAACGAACATAATGGATGGACGACACGAAAACTCACCAATCTTGACCTTCTTACTTCCCTCTCCCGCCTGTCCCTGCTCTCCCCCACGTCCACCAACAGAGCGAAGCGGCTCCTCCGCCTTCCTCTTCAAGCTCAATCCCGCCTCCTGCGGGTGCGGAGCCCCATCCACGTCCATATCCACGTCTTGTTGACCTTGGGTGGCACTCTCTGGCACCGAGACCTGAGAGACAGGGACATTCGCAGCCTGTTGCTGTGTCGCCAATTGCATCGCCTTTTCCGCTTCCTACATACCCATCTCAGTCAAACCGACCCATCCTTGACGGGAAAAATCAAACGTGAGAAAGCAAAAAAGAAACGCACCCTCGCCCTCTTAGCGCCCACCAACATCCTCCCTCTTTCCACCGAATCCAAACAGCTCTGCAAAGTCTGCACAGTCCCATACGCATGTTCCAAAGCGAGCCACGCCTCCCAGATGGCTTCGGGCCAGTCCATTCCGTTCTGTCGCGCGGACTGTTCGAGCGCTTTGCGAGCTTCGGGAATGCGGGAGTCGCGACTGTGGTGGCGTTCGCGATGTAATAAGACGGATGAGCTGGGTGATCAAAGGACGGGGAGAGGCAAGGCGAATGGAACGTACACAAGTGCATCAGCATAGGCTGTCCAGGCGACATAGCTCGTCTTGTAGTGTTCTGCAGCGCTCCGCCACACTTGGGCCGCTTCCGCGTATTGCTCATATTGTGTGTACTGTAGTAAAACCGGAAAATCAAAATAAATAAAACACAAAGAGTAGAAAAGAGCATGCCCTACAGTCTGGGCGAGGAACTTCTCGAGTCTGTAACGTGGGTCTCCGGCCTTGGATGCTAGGTAGCGGTAATTTATCAGTCTTCGAGGATGCCAATCTAGGAACGAGGACAAGAAACATACCACTTCTGACAAATGTTATCCCGTCCTGCAAGGTCCTAAACAGGTTGCCCATCATATCCTCCTCTTCTTCGCCAACTACATATTAAACACGAACATCGCCGCCACCGCCACAATTAACGAACGCCATGACACCATAGGGCACGGATAAATCAATAAAACAGAGGATAAAATCAAACAGTGCGTGACACAGAGGATGAGGGAATGTGGAAATCGACGAACGCATAAAATAGCGACATACCTCCTGCCCATGGCACCCCAGCCGCCACGCTCTCCATCCTCCTCTTCTCGTACCCCGCCCTCGCCAACACGAGCGGCACGATCTCTTCCGGATCCTTAACAAACAGCCCAGTGCCCATCGCTCTGTCGTACACACCTGTGTGCGTCTAGTTAAGGAGGAAAACGAACGGAGTTAGCAAAGAGAGCCGACATACCGGAGACGGGTTCGAGGACGCCGATGTCGAGCATTTCGTATTCTTCCTGCAAAGTGGTAGGGATGCGAGCACATATGTTTAGATCGTGACCAGCATGAGGGTAGGTTATAGGCGAGGATGAGAGTGGTGAAATCTAGGACTGACCAAGAAACGGATGTATCGTGCCCAGAGCTCGCCACATCCTGGAACGCTCCTCAATCCTCGCTGCAGAACCTTCATCTGCGCCTCTTGATCCGCTTGATGTATACGCTAACACAACATACATAATCAACATGCCACACACAGCCTAGTGCACGGACAGAAGGAGAGACGCACCAATGCATCGGCATAACCTGTCCAGAATACACTCAATGCAGCTTCTGCACCCTCTTCACCACCGAATCTCCGTTTGGCAGCCTCCGCAATAGCACGTTCGTATATTCCTGCCAGAATCGAAAGGTCGGGCTTTTTGGCACGTCGTTCGTAGGTGATATAGTTGTTGTATGCTGAGAGTGAACATCCTGCTTGGGCCTGTGCACATCAAACGAAGTTGAGAGAACAGAAGACAATGGGTAAGGGCGAAGACCTACGAGCGACGTTTCATATGGATCTCGGTACTCGTAGCCTTTGGCTGTTTTGGAGCGGAGTTTCGAGGCCGCGACGAGGAGCTCTTCGTACTCTTGTGGAGGCTTGAAATTGGAGGTGAAAGAGGAGTAGGACTGGAAGGTCTCGTCGTGTGCTATATTTATACCCACATTCAACATCAAGGAATGCAATTGAGGGGTTCGTAGATCGGATACATACCTGAATGAGACTTCTGGAGACGTGAAAGATGCAAATCATCCAGCCAGGCGATGAGCTGCAACCTCTCGTCTCCGGAAGCTGTTTCGAGCGCTTCAAGAGCCCAGTCTCGTGCCTTGTCCCATACTTTCTGGCCCTTTGTTTCCGGAAGTTGGCGAAGCACAGTGAAGTCGGAAAGGGTGACACGTACCTCGGTAATGTGCAGCGATGCCTTCGAAACTACATCCTCGATGGCCGTACGTGTCCACGCAAGTGAGAAAGCCTCTTCCGACTCGCTTGGCTTCATCTCGGACGCGTTGAGACGGGCATATTGACTTGCTAGGAAATCAACATGCTTCGAAAGTAGGGGTATTGCTAGCCTCTCTTGTCAGACGCACTCCCATGCAAAGTGAGAGCAGAAGTGCACGCACATAAATAGTCCTTCTCAGCCCTCTCATATGTCTGTAACACCTCCTGCAGTTCCTCCAGCGCCACACCCATCTCTCCATCCGCACTTTCAAGTGCTCTCTCCTTTCCTTCAATCAGGGGTACCCACAGCTCGTCCCCTGCGGCAAAGTACGAGCTCATCATCTCCCGTGCAGAGTCGACCTGTTCGGCATCTGCGAGTTCGGAAGAAGAGGCGAGCTTGAGATGTTGCGCATGGAGGGAGAAGTTGTAAGGATTTTCTGAGATTTCAGTGAGGAGGGTAGAGAGCGCTTCGAGCGCATCACTTTCATCCATTGTCTTGCGTCGCCGTCGTCAGCGTTAGCGTCTTAGAGGTAAGTAAAAGCAAAAGCCGTAAGTCGCGCTCGCACGAAAACGTTGAAGACGCGTCTCGCGACGGAGAGGGGCGACGGAAGGGCGGACCGGGGCCGGAATGGCGGCATGCATTGGAGTGCTCGTGCTGCACCCGTTTCTGTCCCGCACGCCGCACGGAGCTTACTCTGGGAAGAAACATGTCGAGCTCAACGGCCACTCGGACTTTTATAATCCTCGCAAACCCAACACCGTCTTATCGCTCACCATCGCCCACTCGCTAATAGACATCTTCAATTCGAACCGCCATCACCACTGTTCATCATGTCCGCCGCTACCTTCGCCTCGACCCTCAACTTCAATAAGCTCTATGATCTCAAGGGCAGGGTTGCGCTCGTTACTGGTGGAGGGACTGGTATTGGACTTATGATTGCGAGCTCATTGGCTGCGAACGGTGCGAAGGTATATATTGCGAGTCGGCGTGTGGAGGTGTTGCAGAAGGTTGCGGAGGATTGGAAGGCTCAGGGGCAGACTGTCATTCCGTGTGTATTATATCGATTCGTCCCATATATTAAATGCTAATTTCCCGGCTTTCAATGTGGATTTATAGAATAGCTATGGATGTCACTAGCCGTGAAAGTATCCTGGAGGCGAAGAAGGTCATCGAGGAGAAAGAAGGCAAGCTTCATGTCCTCGTCAATAAGTGCGTTCGGCTACCATCCAGACTTAATATCATCCAACCAATTACCATCCAAACGAAATTGCTCATGCTATCCTAATATCCAGCGCTGGCGCCGTAGGTCCCCGCACCGGATGGCTTAACGACCCTTCAGCCCCTGAGCACAAAGACCCAGAAACATTTGGCAATGCCCTCTTCAACGACGACGGCCCAGATGGCTGGGCAGACCTCTACAAGATCAACACTTTCTCCGTCTACTACGTCACCTCTGCATTCCTGGGACTCTTGGCAAAAGGAAGTGCGGATATTAAAGGATATACTTCGAGTGTGATCAATATCACCAGTATTAGCGGACTGGTGAAGTTGGCCCAGAATCATGTGTGTTCCACTTTCCTCTCGATTCAACATGCCTATGCTTTGCTTATTGGTGTATCATGCTTACTTACCCACCCGAACCCTAGTTCTGCTACAACGCCTCCAAAGCCGCCGCATCTCACCTTACAAAAATGATGTCCACAGAGTTCGCTCTCAAAGGCATCCCCGTCCGCGTCAACGCCGTCGCTCCAGGCGTCTACGCCTCTGAGATGACCTTCGATTCGATTGATGGTCCAGAGGAGACTGCGAAGGTCTCGCAAGCCATAGTACCCGTGCCCGCCGCAAGGAGTGGAACGTGAGTGTCTCATTATTCTTCCCACCCGGAATCGTACAAAGGCACGGTGTGTGGGTGTTTTTCGATTGACGCTGATGTCTTTCTATAGGGCTGCGGAGATTGGTGGAACAGTGATTTATCTTGCGTCGGCGACATACACAAACGGGCAGGAGATAGTGGTCGATGGAGGTTATCTTGCTGTCAACCCGTCGACGGCATAAATTTCGAAGTGGATCACTAATTTGGGCCCTCTTTCGAGGATATACGTATTGGGTATATAAAACAGAGTGTATTGTAGGACAACATCGTCGGAAACATAGAGCAGTATTTGACCCAATTTGAATGTATTGGCTGTGAGCTGAACTATCCCGAGCGGCGAACTGGCAAACCTCCGAGCGGTTGTTTGGCCTTATTAGGATCGAAAGCTTCCGGCATTTCGGCATCTCCAAACACCGAGCCGGTTCAAGGCAAAACTCTTCCGTGATCTCCCAAAAATGAACCACATAGTCATTCTCCCTTTTTCAAGCTTGTTCAGTTACACTCGGGGCCATATATCACAATTCTACTCAAGGCTGACTTGCTAAGTTATGTGGAGGTAGTCTTCCAACATAATCAATGGGCATCATCGTCGATCAAAATTCTCGCGGCCATGGCATATGTACTTGAAAATTAGATAGCAACCATCCGGTTTGCGCACGGAAACACTCTCATCTCTACTTTTCTTAACGGCCTAAATTAAGACTCGAGGGCCCAGCTTCGTCAGTGCACGAGACTAAACAATGACCCATGACATCGTTCCTCTCAATATTCTCATGCCGGCCGGGTCATGATTTCCACGATGATAAGAGGGTCTCGCTCATTGTTCATGAGTCATGGGCATCTGCCAGCCATCTTCGGTAAGTGACTGGAATAAGCAGTTGTTGGCCCACTCGACGTTTCTCGAGCTGCGACGTGAGGTATAAAGAGGTGCGTGGTTGTTCTTTGTCTATTGCTTCTCTTCTTCATCCTAATGTCATCGACACCACCCTCTCAGCCTATCTCAGAGCCTTTGCTTGACCATCTAGGTCCTCATCTATCTGCATCCACGGCACAATCATTTGAGGAGATGTCTTCCAACGCTGGAGCTAACGAGGAAGACTTCCTATACGACTGTATTGTGGTCGGTTCAGGCCATGCCGGGTCCTGCGCTGCGCTCTCAGCCGTAGAACATGGCTGCAGACCCGAGAGGGTATTGATCATCGAGAAAGCACCAGAGGAATGGGTGGGTGGGAATGGGTGTGTTTTTCTCCTTGTTCATCCCTTCTGTCGTCCATACAACTTCATCCACTAGTTTATGTTGAATTTATTGAGGAAATGCTAATGCTCTGTACTGGATGGCCCTCGCGACGCAGATATTTCACGGCGGGAGCCCACAGGACTGTCCACTCAGGACTCTCAGACATCCTTCCCTTAGTAACGAACGTCCCTCCCTCCCTCTCCACCAAGATCGACATGGAACCATACACCTCCCAGGCCTTTCTCTCCGACATCCTCCGCATGTCGTCCAACCGATCCTCCCTCCCACTCATCAACACCGTGGTCTCACAGTCCCGCGATGCGATCGATTGGCTGGCGAAGTTTGTAGGCGTACCGTTTACGTTGAGTTTTAATAGACAAGCGTATGAGGTGGAGGGGAGGATGAAGTTTTGGGGTGGGATGGTCTTGAGCGTGGAGGATGGCGGGAAGGGGATGATTGCGGCGGATGGGAAGGCTTTGAGGAAGTTTGGGGTTAGGACGAGGTTCGAGACGAAGGCGGTGGAGTTGGTGGTGGAAGATGGTGGAGATGGAAAGGAGAAGGGTGTGAAGGGGTTAGTAGTGGAGAGCAATGGGAAGAGAGAGGTTTTGAAGAGCAAGGCCGTCGTCTTGGCGGCGGGAGGGTACGAAGCGAGTAAAGAAAAGAGAAAGAAGTACCTTGGTGAAGCATGGCAGAATGCACGGGTGAGTGGTCCCTCCTTGCCTAGGTCACAAATAGACTGAACATGAGGTATATTAGGTTCGTGGTACGCCGTATAATACTGGAGATTGCATCGATATGGCAGTCACAGTGGGCGCAAAACTCTCGGGCGATTGGGAGGGCTGTCATTCGTGTGTACTAACTCTTGGGCCTCCTTTCTTTCAGTCGCCTCTGACCGCCTCTGTAGAACTTGTTGGGATGCTAACGCTGACCCCGACACTGGCTCGCGCCTTCTCTCGAACCAATACACGAAATCCGGATACCCTCTCGGTCTAATGCTCAACTCTCGCGGCCTTCGCTTCGTCGACGAAGGCTACGACTTCCGAAACTTCACCTACGCCATGTTCGGGCGCAAAATCCTCGAGCAGCCTGGCGGTGTGGCGTGGCAGATCTATGATCAGAAGGTGGTCAAGTGGCTGAGGCAAGAAGAGTACGGCGATAACGTCGTGAAAAAGATCTGGGGCGACACACTGGAGGACTTGGTGGCGAAGTTGGCGGACGATGGACTGGAGGATGACGAACAGTTCAAAAGGACGATTGCGGAGTATAATGAGGCCGTGCAGAGGTTTGGCCGGGAGTTGAAGAAGGAGGGTAAAGAGGTGAAGTGGGACCCGGCGGTGAAGGATGGGTTAGGCACAGAGGGGCTGGAGCTAAGTAAGTCGAATTGGGCGTTGACGGTGAACGAGGGACCATTCCTTGCTGTCAAAGTATCATGTGGTGTCACATTCACGTTTGGTGGATTGGAGATCGATCCGAAGACAGCGGGCGTAGTCCGTGCTGACGCCGGGGACAGCGGAAAGAAGACGATAGAGGGGCTGTTCTGTACAGGTGAGATGGTTGGTGCCTTGTGGTATGGGAATTATCCGGGCGGGAGTGGGTTAACGGCAGCGGCTGTTTTTGGAAGGATTGCCGGGAGGCAGGTGGCGAAGTTAGTTTCGGAGAGCACATGAGGGTGGTGGTCTAGATGGCAACTGCATGAGATGTGAACTGGGTATGTACGGTATCTCGCTATTATCTCGTCGCACGCTGAGGGCATCGGGGTGTTCCTTGGCACCCGGTTCGTTTAAATAATTGTGCTGTGGGATGTGTGCTTCGGAGACTAGCCATATGCATTTATATCTTCGACGGCCTCGTTGAATGCAACGTGCTTTCACCGTTAGGAAGTTGATTATCGGTCAAATCTCTGCGCTACGGTTCGTACAGACTCTCGTCACCATCACAATGTACGTACATCACCTCACCATGTCATTCCAGACTCGAACTTCGTCTTGTTGCAATTTCCACGATGCTGTAACAATGACATTTCCATTTGTGGCGAACAACGGCAAAACAACGGTGACACATGGACAATGGGGCCCGGTTCCGGATGCTGACCGTGCATTTTTGCACTTCCTGTTCCAATCTATATAAAGCATCTACCCGACACTCGAATGCGATTGCCTTATATCCTGGTCCCGCCTTCACGTTATATCACTCCCGCGGATCGAATCCCGCACTTCCCGCACTATCCCAGCGCTAGGCCTGTCTGAGGTGCATATATGCGAAAATGTCGTACGCTGCTCCTCCGAAGCTCACCTGCTGACTGCACTTTTCCCAACAATTCGGATACTATGTATCTATAAAATAACGACTACATGAAGGTCAAAGACAAATCGTAATTCAATTTCAGTCTAGTACAACCACCGCCCATCACCTCTCTATCGGCAAAGCCTTTTCTCGACATATTTACACTCAGCGGATCTAATATCTGCCTGCTCTTTCCATACATCGGGTGACTGCTCGTGTCGCTTTTCAGGAACACTCTGTATCAAGACTCCATAGATTCAAGTGACCTAGACCTATAGTCTCTCGCGTAAACTTGTCATCAAGGCCCCAGTCCCCTGGTCTTTGACAACAAAAATATACAAGGATGCTGTAGGGTCTGCCTTCGCGTTATGGATAAATGCTGTTTATCCGCGTTTAGCTAACCTCCGTCTCTTCGCGCTCTTTGCATCATTTTACCGCTCCCATGCTCACCAGGTCATACCCCTACCTCGACCGCATCTATAACCCAACCGCCTCAGTTCGGCATGCGACATGGATCCAATGACAATGTTTGGCGTGCGTTATCCGCCCTGCACCCTTGCTTGAGCCTGCCATCCTTCATCTCCGCGACTTGACACGATGAATGCTCAGAGGAGCCACTTTAGCTGTCATCGGATTTATTCTACAGTACTGTCGCTCGTTTGATCGATCCAACTTGACATTGAGTAGATGCTTGTGTCCTTTGCATGTCTCTCTACCAGTCTTTGCTCAACTAACAACTCTCCACATATGCTCAAATGACTTAGATGGCGTGACTATCAGGCGTCTGGAGATCTCTATTACCGGCATGACTTGCCCGGAGACCTTTCAGCTGTCAGCATGTTTCCCCGAGGACGACAGTGGCGATGAAGCGCCACCTCTCGATCCGTTGCTCACGCCGGGCAATCTAATCATTCTGGAGCACAAAGAACTGACCCTTTATAAAATCTCTTCGATCTTTCTTACTACCCAGCATCTTGGCCGTACAAGACACAGTTATACTTCTCCATCACCTTTCGGATGTATATCTATTGATATCCATTCTCCTGTTTCTTCTGTCAGCGATTCCAACTTCCCCCGAGCCATTCACGTGGTAACGCATCTCCGACAACAAGCACGGGGACGCCTGCGCTATAAACGTACTTAGAAGAAACATTCTCCGGACAGTAAAATTTCGCACTTTGACTTTCACCCATTAGGGAGGTCTTCGACCATTAATACTACGTCTTGCCCCCGGAAGGTTTTCAGACCGTATGCACCGAGCTCCTCTACGCCCAAAAGGTCTCCGTTTTGCATATCTCAGTCTAGTTCGACCGACAGCTTGGCACCGACGAAAGTTCTTGACTGGCTGTATGTACTGACATGACTTTCAAGCTGACACAGGTGTCCATCGATGCCGCTATGGAGTACTGAGCCCATGGGCTTGTCATACATGCTGCCTTGCTTCTCCGACGAGGGTATAGCTATACGAGGCTAATGTAGCTCATGCATCGCGCCTATTTTTTGCCATGTACTACATATGTTTGGGTGACCAAAAATCTCAGCTATCGAATGCGTTCGAAGGAGGAATGTACAAAATCACGATGCATGTAGCGTATTTATATAGTTGTACGCCGCGGCTTGCTTTGCTTTTGTCTTGGTAGTACTAATCCCTGAGGCTACTATCTCGCCAGATACTAGAAGAGCCGGAAAGACGTTAGAATCAGTACTGCGAGTGTGGATATTGAATCACTGGATTTACTTCTCAAGTTGGCAGTGTGTTCGGCCTTATGACCAGGGCCAGTTTCGCTCATAGACCACACCGGTTGCAGCCTACGAGACTGACAGTAGTTGTTCAGTTCTACCAAGTAGTCTGTTCGGCGCATGATGAGTGGTATCCATTCCTAACGGAAATGTGGACACATACCCCGAGGAGTGGCCATCAAGTCTTGGGGTATCTGGAGAGGCAGAGGGTAGTAACAGAGTTTAGCATTCACCCGGATAGGATTGACATAACTCACGCAAGGTAAAAGCACTGGCGAAAGGTGGTCGCGGCGGATGGGTTGATGTTGTGAAAATCACAGCCTGACGACGTAGTCAGTACCAGAGTGCGATTTATATAGCGAACGTGCTTGAGCTCACTGGCACCGAGGCGTCCGCCAGGACCAGGTAGCCGAGGGAGGAGGGGAAAGTCAGACGACCCGAGGAGCAACACCTTATGACGACAGCGTGGTTTGGGGGATACATACCTCGAAAGCAAGGTTGGTTAGGTATTGAGGAAGGGGAAGTGAGCTGTCAATGGTCAGATATCGTTTTCTGGTCTTAAATCGTCGCGCTTCATCCAAAAACATTATCTATCAATAGAATGTATGTGAGCGATCCGCGTTAGCCTCGGGTGTTCATACAGTACTGTTCAGGGCGAAGAACGTTCCCTGTCACAGTGTAGCGGGAACGAGGATAAGTTGGATCTCAGACACGGGAACGAGGAGCATCGAGAGCGGGAGTGTGGCCATGTCGAGGCAGCGTTATAGGGCATTCCATAGAACCATGTCAAATAATCGAGTACGGGGCCGGGGCGACCTGGGTCAATCGATAAGTCGATAAGGTGGCACCACACCGTTCGACTCAAGTTCGACTCACTTCATTTTCCGAGGTCTTTCTGGAGAAGATTTTGGATGTGAAGATACGTGTGGTGTAGCCTGTGTGCATGTGTATGTGATGTATCGATCGTCAAATATGTTTTCGCATCAATGGAAGGCAGAACAACCAGCAGTCACTACCGAATCGAACGTCCGGAGACTTACAAGGACACCACTACGATCTTCTTTGCTTAAAAGGGTATCACGACTCCCTGCTCGTTCCAAGGCGGTCGGTGCACCTCAAGGCCCATGTTATTTCCGCAAATGATGACCTTATTTGGTGACTGCCAAGGAATAATTGTGAAGGATGCATTACATGATGCACAACACCCCATAAGAGGTCGCAGCACGGGGCTTGCTTCGGCAATGGCTGTGTTGGTAAAGATAACCGATAATCACAGCCAATTTCTGTCCAGCTAGCATGGAAGTACGAAGTCTACAGCGGCTGCATACTATTCCCTCCTCCGCAAAATCGCCTGTTGGAGGTGTACTTATTCCGAAGATCAGACGGCGAAGTATCTCTGCGCACTCCATGAATGGTCGGCCCGAAAACCCTGAAAGGTATCAGTATGTTTTTTTCTGCCAGAATCAGCTATCAGAGTAAGAAACGAGAGGCCCGGTGTCCAGACAGTGGGTGGGTATCCGGAAGAATTTAGGCACCCTGAGCTTACTAACCTATATGCGCAAATACAGGGCCCAATTGACCGTGAAAACCTCTGCCAAAGAGCTGCCGAAGGTCGTCTGTGTGTTTAGGACAGTCCTTTGTCACGTACGGATAGCCATTCAGTGATCAGGGAGAACACTAGCCTGCGGCAAGCGGTCGTATTTTCAGTAAACGATGTGATCTTGTTCTAGATGATTTAGATCAGCCTCAGCCCATGTATACCTAGTTGAGGATAGTACGAAAGCTTACCTGTAGTATGCATGAAGGTTTAGAAGTGCGGGCTAATGTGCGGCATGAGCAGTAGAATATAGAGAATCACGTACATAGTTGAGTTTTCAAGGCAAATTAATAAAGAGAAGACTCAAGCACAAGCTAAGCTGACTACCCTCGAAAGGTCCATTTAAGAGTGATCTTTGTTCCCTCGATTAAGTATTCGAGTAGTGAAACACACTACAGACTTGCTCCGGACATGGTTGGTACTAGCCACCTCAAGTCACAGCATTGGCAGGATCCAGGAAGTTGATAAGAAACCACACTGGCACTCAGTCCAGCGTACTACTTACTAAAAGATGTAGACATGAGTGGGAGAGGATGGGCAGATCTCCAAAGTCTCTGGCTCAAGCTTAAGTACGTCGAGGACTTCCCGTTAGCCAGCTAAGAATGGCACAATGAAAGGGGTGACCGATTCAGATGATACAGGACACCGGGTTTCCCGGTGTCGAGCCGAACACGCTTCCGACTCATGCCGACGATCTTAATCCCACGGTCCAATCTGATTGTTCTTCTCTGATCTCTCGCTACTACACCTTCACCATTGTAAATGTTTTACTTCACGTACACACTAGTTCTACCATCGGTGATTTTCAGGGTACTCTCTTTTCATTTTGAATAAATTTCTACTCATCGAAGTTGGCGTTGGGCTACTAGTAGGAAGGAACTTGAAGTGGTCTCTCAGTTTCTATGGCCCCCTTCTCTCGAAATTGTTCACGAAGGAACAGAGAACCGATGACTCTGGTCTGGAGAGGGTCGAGAGGATAGCGTTCTGTTGACTATTTATCCGAGACACCACCCAGTTGCACATACACATCGAGTCAGATGGAAGGCCCAAGAGATGTGGATACCAGTGGAAGGGCGCCTGAACTCGCATGAGATCGCAGTTCCCGAGTCTCTCAACCGAAAGTTTATACGCTTAGCTCTGCTATGGGCCCATCGTCCTGACGAGAAAATGGTCGCTCCTTTTTCTTGTGATCCTTTTCTTGCGGAAAATCCTACGTTTTGTGCGTTTCTTGACCTATGTAGAGCTCCTCAAGTTGAACGTTCGCTTCTATGTCAGGTCCATGAAACCCGAACTCCCCAGCTCTCTTACTCACCGCATCCTTCGAGACTTTCTCTTTACCCGTCCAACTGCAGGACTAATATAGATACTTCTTTCGAAGAGGTCAGATCAGCAATCAACGTTCAGCACTCACTTCCAGCTCCACGCAAAGTCTAACCTATTGCGGTCTTCTCGAAACCGTCCATGAATCACGAAAGCGATCATCTCCGTCTTCGAAATAAAAACGATGAAAGACCTCCTGTCCTTATACAGACAGAAGTAGGATCAAATACCTGCGACGGTCTAGAGAACCTCAAGCTCACGCTCTTTTGTAATGCAGGGAGTCTGTGTCCCAGCTTGAGAGCATGAATCATCACGAGCTACCTCTTGATCAGTTTGTGAAGGTTCGAGCTGCGTTACCGCTGGAGGATTTCACCGAGCTCTACTCCTCGGTTTCTTATGAACCGCTATTGAATGATGAGTGGGTACGAATGGCAGCTTGTCGTTGTTAGGAAATGCTTGATGATGTGAATTTTATCTTGAGAGGAAGGACCCCTGATGTGGAGGCCATTGTTGAGAAGGTCCTCGGGAGGACATCGGTCGTGGTGGCCCAAGACAAGTGTCAGATGGCAGTAATGGGATGCTGCATGCTACGTATGGCTGGACGGTGATTATACAGACATGTATCGGTGGTATACCTTGTTCATGTGGTACATATTCCTAGTGAGCTCCGATGTTGCCGTGATAGAACTTCACTTCAGGTTGCTATTTCATTGACCATATATTAGTGATTATGCACGGAAGATGGCAAGTGCCAAGAGATAAGGGCTACCTTCGCGAATAACTCGCACGCCATCCAACTTCGCAGGAGATCAGACGATGAGTGTCTGTGAACAAGTCCCCGCGGGTCAAGATCAGCACTCGTCGCAGGAAATTTCGTCGCATCAAAACATGTCCTTCTCATTGACATCGACAACTGAGGATAGACCCCAGAGATACGCATTGAATAATGGAAGAGAGCTGGCAGAAGCATGTAGAAGAGACTGAACCACCCACTTCTGCCACGCCTCTACACTCGCATACCTCTCCCAGATTACGAATACATCCCCATCGGGCTTGTCTCTTGCGAACGTATACTCGAATGTATCCTTTTCTCCGGCAACTTGGGCCTTCAGCTTCGTGATCCACGGGAGGAGCTCGTCGCCTCGGCCAGGCTTTACAGTAATCTGAAATCGGCGGGAAACGAAAGTGTAAGCGAATGCTGAGTCAGTTGCAACTTCTGAAGGACAGGAAGCGCAGGCCGATCTTTCAAAGTGCGAGAAGCGAAAAAATGTGAAAGATAGAAATTTTGGCGGCTGCAAAGATGATAACCTGGAGACATACCTGAACGGCGAGAACAAGTTCGCCTTGGATACCGTCTGCAGAAAGGCTCATAGCTGTTGGAAGGCGAGGAATAGATGCTTCAAGACTGTGCTTGTGAGAGTGAAAGAACTGAGGAGTGGGGGCCAGATAGACTACTTATATACACAACTGTCCGCGACGGAAGTTATGTGGGAGCCCAAGAACTTCGCCTTAGTATCGATGACGCTAGCTGAGTGAGCCTCTTCGTCTTCGCCTTCGTCTGCATCATACGCATGCCAAAGCCGAGAATAGACGTGGAACGTTGAGCACTGGGATGGCTTAGTGCTCGAGTGCACTATATAGTCAATGGGTTTACAAGTGTTCCGACGGCAATACGTATATATGTTTCGTAGCATCCGTTGGTACAGCGCAACGACAGAAGATTTTTGGGCCACAACATGAACTGGCCACAGGAAAGGTATTCAGGTTAGGGTTACGCCACCGACGCCCAGGCGTAGCACACGCTAGCACACGCTACTTGCTCTCAACTTCAACTGACGTCTTGTTCTTGCCTGTGAACCTGTTTTACACCCTCCAAGCACCGTACCCAGACATTTATATCTCTCCGATAGCGGCTCATATACCTCTGAAGCTCAGCCTGTATATCCCAATCTTATAAAGGCCTACGAGCTTCTCCTTGGTCGTTCCAACCCAGCCACACATTAGTCGCCCGGCAACACGTCGAGTCTAAGGTCTATATACCCCTTGGGAAGGAGCTTTGAGTAAAGGAATGGCAATCATGGATAATCCTGGCGAACAAGAAGTCGCTCGTCTCTGGGAGCTTCTGCACCAACTCGCGGAACAGACACAGCACCATAGGAACTTTACCGCGAATCTACATGTGCAGGCCTCTGGTGTGAAGGTACGTTCTGTTCATTTGCTTCCGTTACGAGCTATACAACCAAGGGTAGAGGAGTGAAATGCGAAAATGCAGGGACTGCAGAACATGAGGGTACCGTACTAACACGGATTGTATGTCAATTACTAGAACCAGGCGATACATTCACAAACGGGATTCGTGCTCAGACGGTAGGTGGGCTCTTTTGATTCCCTCATATGATTCGAACATGTTAATAATTCTGATGTCTTATTCTCTAAATAGATTTAACATGGATAAAACCCAGGGTGCATCTTCCGTCATATTTTCGCCTCCCTGGCTTTGTCTCTCATATGCTATTTCGCAAACAGCAGACTGACTATAATTTTGCAAATATTTTAGAGGAATATGACGCGGAACTCGAGCGTATGAATGCTGTCATGTCTGCCGAGAACCAGTCCTTACAGTACGACAACAAGCAATTGAATGCGCTCATAAAGGACTACGAGACAACGTTGGAGACTGTCATGGATCAGTTCCGAAATCGAGCTGTACGTCTTTAACTTACTCTATCTACCTAAAAACACACATTCATCCTCGTACGACCACTGAATTCTGTGTGCTACACACAGCATGACGTCCAAGAACAAGAACTCTCCCTCATCCGAGAATACGAATCCCGCCTCATCGCCCGCGAAACCATCGAACAAACCGCACAATTAACCGCCACAACAGCCTACTCCGAATCGCTCTCCCATATCTCCACCCTTCTCCGACGTACACTCCGACTCCTCAACGGAGAACCAGACCCCGATATGCCCACCTCCTCTCTCCCTGACTCCGCAAAAGAAATGATCGGGATCGCGCCTCATACTTCCATCTTCGACTCCCCGTACGGTGGTGAATGGGACGCAGTGGCGGCAGCAGATTGGGCACTGGAGAGGGAGAGCGAGCTGTCGAGGTTGGAGAAGGAAAACGAGTTGTTGAGGAGGTTGGCGGGAATTCCTACGGGTTTGTCGGGAGAACCGTTGCAGAAAATAGACATGGGGCTCAGTGGAAGTCCGGGTATCGGTGGTCCTAGTGGTGGTAGTGGGGTTGGGGAAGATGGAAGAATGAGTGTGTTGCCGGTTGTGTGTCTGAGTAGACAGACTGGGGCCTTGCTAGGTGGACCGAAGGGTACTGTGGGACCATTCGGGACGTATAAGAGGATGAGGGCAGGGCATGGGGGGTAGGCTGCATTTTCAATACAGTTAGAGCCAACGAGCAGGGTGTGTACATCGACACAACGATTATTGTCCCCTTACTTCACAGCTTGAGAGATCGTTTCTGCGTCGAGGTTGTAGAACCACGTGTAAGCTTTCAGAAGCCTGCGCCTACAATAAATCTGCGTAATTTTCGCTCGCCTTCATCGTACGGTCTCTGAGTCTAATTCTGTCTTAACTACCAACCTTGCTAGCGAACTTGCTTTATGTGGCGTTAAATTGTGAAGCCAAGCATCGTCCGACAAATTGGCCACCTCGTTGTTCCAGATCAGTTGAATTCAGTTCGACACGCTGAACTTGCGCTGAACCCAACCTGAACCAATGCATGTACAGGATGGTACAAGCCTCTTTGCATTGCCGCTGCCAATGAATGCTGCGATGCATATATTATATAATCACTGACACAATCTGAGGACAGATCGGTTCAGACAAAAAGAACCGAGAAACACCAAAAGTCGATGGCCAAGACTCGATCAATTAAGTATCACGGAACACAACAGGAGAAGAACTAAGGATCCCACAATAAATTTAAACAATGAACATTCCTACATCTCAACCGTGCCCCGGACACACTACCAAGACTTTACGCGCACAACAGCCCCTTCTTCATCCCGTCCACTAAAAACACGAGACTCATAGCACCCGGATCCGGCGGCAATCCATTCTCATTCGAGTCCCCAACATATGTCGCCCTCCCCAACTTCGCTACCAACGCCTGTGTGCCTTCTCCTCCCTTGCGACACGCCTCAGCCGCACCATCTAACACCGTGTTATTTCCGTTCGGGATTGAGGAAGCAGATGAAGAGTCCAGAGCGCGAACAAACGGAATCAATGAATCCATGACCGTCCGATGCCCCTCCCTCGCCTTCGTGCTCTGGAAAAGAGTTTGCAAAGCGCATGATGTCGTTGTCGCCCACATTGCCATGTCGGCTTTCGAATCGGTGGAAGTGGTGGCATATGATCGGACTTCGGCCGTCAGGGCGGCGAGGAAGATGGAGAAAATGGCACCGAGGGTGCCACCGCAGGCTTCTGTGAGATCAAAAACCAGATCATTTGAGTGGGTATCGGCATATCTAGGAAAAACACACAGCGAGTTTGACAAGAGCAGTTGGACGTACCGTCAATGATTTGCGTTAGTCTTCGCAGTAACTGGACCAGATCTCCGTCAGAGCCAAGGCCTTGATCCAATGCCGAGAGAACCGCTGCGAAAATACGGCATTGACGGTGAGCACAAAAGATGTCAATGGTGTGTGGGGATAAGACTGAACGGCAGGAAAACAAATCGAAGCGGATGGAGCAACACGATAACCTAGACAGACTATATCAGAAATAAACACACCCTTTGCGCCGCTTGCACAGGTCTCGCCACAATCGCCATCGCCGACGATCTAAGGTAGACCCATTAGCTCCCAGTACGATATAAAGGGTGAAGAAACATACTGTATCCCACCGTGTCAGATCCGGTTCTCCCTTGTAGACGGCCTCTGCGCCCTCCCGCAGCACGTTTCTCAAAACCTTCGGATCGACTACGGTACAATATCGCAATCAGCACAAACTCCCACCATTCACAACGGTGTATCACAAGACACTGACCAAAGACCTTCGGTTCATCCCGCCCATCCTTCTTTTCATTCCCATTTACCTGCGCCTCGGGATGATCAGGCACGTCAATAAACCTCTCACCCATACACCGTCGTTGCAAATGTTCAGGCAGGGGATATATATCTCCACCGGGCCAAGCAGCAGATGCATGCGGTGCGTCAATGAGTTCGAGTAACGCTTCCATGGAGATCGACGTGACTTCCTGGGATTTTGTGGAGGAAGTGGTGGAGATCGCATTCGGGATAGGTTCTGAGGATATTGAAGCGAAGGTTTTGGCGACATGTGTAAGATTCAAGAGGGAGATGGAAAATCCGGGGGCGTTCAGTGAGGCCATGAACGTTCCACAGATTGTTCGTATTGGGGCATTATAACCTTGCTTCTCTGGACATAACGAGGCATTAGCGCATGATAGAAGGATATAGGGGCACGGAGGATAAAGTCAAAGAGAACAAACAAACCGAGATAAATATGGGCTTCATCCACAACTGCATACATCTCCAACACGCTCATGCCGCCCATGTTGTTCACAAATAATACCAACACATCTCCGGACTTGTGAAACGGAACGAAAGCCCGCTCTGTGTCCTCTTGGTTGAGTATAAGGTCCATCATTCTGGCGACCAAGTCAGAGAAGGACGGTCGAGGATTGACAACGAAGACGCCCTGCGTACATTCAGCATATAAACAAACGTTCATATTCCAGTGTGGGGTAGCGCAGATACGGACCGGCTCATTGTGTAACCCCAAACCAATCTCGATCCCACCCTCTACGACCTGACCTCGCGCAAATTCCTCCTTCGACCGTCCTGGGACGTGACAGTGCCCAAGCGTAGCTGCAATGCTCGCAAGTCCTGCTGTAGTGGCTCTACCAAGGTTGAGAGTCGATGAGTACGAGAATGATGATTCGGAGGCGGCGCCTAGAATTTTGCAGACTGCATGGACCAGTTAGTAAAAAACGCGTGCAGATCACGCCGGAAGATGGTTGACAGGTAAAAGAACAGAGTGGCGAAGAGCAAAGACAGGAAAACGTACCGAGTATAGTGCCCGCCAATGCTCTTCTACCAACCAAAGCTCCCTTCGTTCGACCAACAGAGACGTCGTCTCCAACAGGCAATATCCCAACATTCGTCAATCCATCTGCACGTGCTTGCTGACAAGCAAGACCAAAGTGGAGGTTGTCGCCAGTATCTAGTCAACGATGACACCGTCAGCATTCTCGCGATGGGACTGGATGAAACGTAGTGAACTCACAGTTCGTTATGATCAAGATTGTCCCCTCGTTACTTGGTACGGCATTTATCGCTCTGTACACTTGCCTCGCACTAGGGCTGGCAAAAGTATCGCCGCTAACACTAGCGGACAGTAGACCACGACCGACAAAGCCTGTTGATCCAGGTTCGTGGCCTGCACCGCCGCCGCATATGAGAGTGACTTTGGAGGAGTCGCTGATGTAGAAATAATATAGTCAGCGCGGTCGAAGGACTGGAAAACGAATGGACAGAGGAAGACACGGGACATACTGGTCAGCATTAATGACGGTCTTAGTTGCAGGTAAAAGGGAGAGATTGGGATGAGCCTTGACAAGGCCAGTGAGTGAGCGAAGAACGAGCGTAGAGTGGTCGTCGAAGATGTGGCGGTCTGTCATTGTTTGTGTTGGAGACGCTGCAGCTACCAATGTGACCGAATATTGCAGAAGGATGCCCACCAAACACTTATCTACTACAGAGTTCGCCAACTGGTTCGGGATGATGAAGTGGCATGCGAGGTAACGAGCCTAGACACGGGATGCATAGCGGCTGTCAGGCGAGCGGGGCAATGAACTATAGAGGAACGGAGTTTGAGTTCGATGAACAGGGGCTTCCGAGTTCCCGCTCCTTCGCAGGCCGGGTATATACCATTCCGGGTGGGGGTGGGGAAATAAAGTAGGATTGACACTTCGATCAACCCGGCGGTAACAGCGGGTACAGTACCGGTCTTGTAAGGGACGGTAAGGGACGGTAGTAGCTGGTAGTAGAGCACTCTAGAGCATCTCGGACGGTTGTACATGCTAATCTTCTACACTCTGCGCTATCTGGCACAAGACGCTTACAAGTTACAGTGATAATAGTTGTTCGAGGTCGAACATGCCCGCCGGCTGAACTAAGAAATCTTCAATACTGTACGAGGACAGTAGCTCATCTAACGAATAATCTGTAAACAGTGGGAAACCGCGCTACCTCTGTCAGTATCTTTCGTTCGAATCGAAGAGACAGCACAGAGTCTAGAATGGCAGTGGACGGAGAAGTCGAAAAAGAATACCGGAATTGTAGCGCACCTTGCATCTGCTGAGCTTGCTCCAAAGCCTCCTTCGCCATCGCAGATCTCAACGAAGTCTCCGTCGCCGGTCCCGTATTATGCGGTAAGTTAGGATCTATAACATATCACGTCACATAACTACCTTTCCTCACACGCTCTCAAGGAGGATAAATACCAAACACTCACTAGTGAACCGATGTAACAATCCTTGATCCGGCAACGTGATGAATGTCCTTTTCGTCCTCGAATTTGCCTCAGGTGTACTGCTCGCTGCTCCTGTCGCAAATCCTGCGTTCTCCCGCAACATCACCACTCCTGCACTCCGCGTCTTCATCTCCATGATGCCTGTCACATACGCAATTCCCGCCCAATAATGGTCCATCTTCTGGAGGGCCGAAGTCAGCGTGGTGAGCGATTGACGGGCAAAGCTTTGAAGGAGGCTGTCTGCTGTAGGTGGTTCAGGTAGTAGATGTACTTGTTGTGCAAGTTGGTCGTTATGATTGTGCCCAGAGGTTAAATGATGACCAAGCCCGCTGGTCTTGATGTCGTGGATGAACGCGAGGCTGTCATAGTTCGCAAAGAAATGGAGATTAGAACAAGTTAAAGACAGCCTCAAATCAAGCGCACCTGGCGATAAATATTGGCTGGACGCAAAAAGGGCTCGCCAACTACAAGATGTGATGACTGTCAGTTGCTTCCCTCCTGTTTGGAGCGAAAACGCACTCACATATGACCGACTCCCAAACAGATCCGCGATTACCACGCATTCGCTAACTGTCCTGGAGCAGCTCAGGCTCAACTTAACGCTCCGCTCCATGTTCTGCGTCAGCGGTGTTTCGGTTCCGAGACTTCCCGTGGTAAGCTCAGGATGGTAAGTCAGCGCCATGACGGCGTTGGCCCATAGATGAAGTAGGAGAAACGTCCCCTGTGATTGAGATAGATGAGGTTAGTATGCGCGGGAGCGATATAAAAGTAGAAAAAGGCTATTGGCGTACACCATACCCTCTCGCATCCTGACGCTTGAATGCCTCCGCGCTCCACTTCATCTCAATCGGCAACTCGGAATAGAACTGCACCAGCTCCCTCTGCAACTCATTCAAAACGCTCCTTCCATTGTCTCCTGATTGCTTTTCCATTCCTACTAACGTCCTCGCCCTTCCTCTCCTGCCGTTTAACACCGCCGCAATCCTCCCACATATTACCATTAGTCGAACGGTAAAATAATAGGGTACAGGCTCCGACGGTTCAGAGAAGGCAGCGGCATCAGTGTCGCGTGCTGGGTCGGGAAAGAAGTCCCCGTCAGTAGGGAGAGGAATTTCGATTATGTCATCGGGAATGGTAGGTGGTCGACCGGTATAGAATGCGAGGATGCGATCCTGTGAGATTGGAGGTTATAAGTTTCAAATGAGGCCGTGGTGCATTGAGCAGGTTCGACGCACAGTCCTACATGGACGTAGACCGTGTTGAGGTCAGCGACATCTGGCTTGTGAACAGAAGGTAGGAACAAGTGTACAGGAGTAGACATAGGACTCACATGTAGATACTCCAGAACAGACATCGGGTTCGAATTACATGCGAGGAGGACTCGTATATCTCGGAGATCTGTCCAGAAATATAGCCAAGACAGCAAGCCACAATCATCGACGTGTATGACATCGTCACGAATGAAAGCGTACCTCGTGTAGTCCAAGATCCAAAGCCATCCGAATGGCCATCCTTAATGCCCACACTTATGAAATTCAACCATGCATTAGCGGAGTTCCAACAGAAAAGCTTACCCTGAATATTGCTACACGAATGGGTCTCAAATGTCAGCTTTTAAATCGCGTAATTGAGCACATATTATGCTTACCCAAAGCCCACTCTCAGAGTTCTACCATATGGCACACATCACCGATGTATATGATCAGCTTGGTGTACGTCCAGCGGCAAACAGAAAGACCAAGAATATTACCTGTCCGTAGCACGCCCATGCGAGCAATAATAGGCCCGTACACACATCGTTGGTCGGTAGATGTAGTAGTGGTACAATGAGCTCTTGAGCTTTGGTTATGTACGGAGCGCAAGCCTGGCACAAAGAATGGTGGATCAGAGAAAATGACGAGGAAAGCCAATGAGGCGTATATGAAAAGATAATCACCTTCGCTGGGTCATCTCGACCCGACTCGTGAAATCTACGAACGAAGTATAGGTACGTTATCGGATATAGCAAAGCTCGACTCACCGTGCACTAATAGCACATATACCTAATCACAAATACTAGACGTTAGCACCCGTAGAACACGGCACTTGGCTACTACACGCACAATTCAAGAAGAAAGCACTCATAGTCCTAGTCTCTATCCTTTCCTCCATCCTCCTCTTGCTCACACTCGGAAAATGGGGGCCAAGTGTTGTGAAGAACGTCTCCATCAAGGGACCATAATACTCAGGAAGTGGCGAACCGTGCTCATCGAAAATCTGGTGATCAGGATTATTGTTGAGAGAAGGCTGTGCCGCCGGCAGGGGTGCAGAAGGCGAAATGCTGGAGGTTATGTTCGAAGATGATCGATGGGGTACGGGAGGTATGGGTCGATTGTCAGGTAATGTTGGGGCAGAAGGACGGGACTGAAGGCGTAGAGATATTCGATTTATTCCTGGGCTATAGAGTAGTGTCCAAAATGAGTGGTCTATGACAAATACCAGAAGAGGTGGAGGAGATGAACACATACTGTATTGCAGTAGACCCCGATTGACCAGACTAAGCGACTTCTGTCAATACTCAACATGCGATACTGATCCAAGCAGATACGCACAAATCGATAATAATAAAGTTCAAGGTCCATATGAGCTGTTGTATCGTTGGTCTCTCCTTGAGGTATCGAAGAGGGTCTACTTAACGCTGCCGGTGCTGGAGCGAAGGAGTCCAAGCCATGATCCATGGGTTCAAATGTCTGCTGAGAGGAATATTGCAAGTTACTAGTCCCTGAAGGATTGCTAGGAGGGCTAGAGATCGTGTCGTTCCATGAGTTGGAATGTCCTTGTGTTTGAAGATGTGACCGAGTTGGATTCGACGGCGGCGATATCCTCCAGTGGTCAGAACTCGAAGACGTGTCGTTAGCCGGAGATATTCTGTGGCTAGGTGGAGCACTCATATGCTAACAACGCGCATAAGAAATTTGGCGTATAATGGAGGAAAGATCGGTTCAGCTCACCCAATAACTTGCTCTGTTGTCATTCTGTTGGTTGTCCGCCGACGTCAAGACGCTCGTAGAGCGGGATTCCGCTGGCCGTCGGCTGCGCATGCCAGACGTCTCAGCCTCGAGTCTCTCTGCCATCTCCATCTCCTTCCTAGTTCTCTTGCGCCTCCTCCCTTCCGGCCACGTACATTCCGCCCTTGCTTTCGCGCACGCGCCACAAATCGGTTTCTCTCCGGTACATCTCCCTCGCTTTGCTCGACATCTGTGGCAAGCTATAGAACACAAATGTAAGAAGTAATGAAGAAAAAATTAGCTACGAGTTCTATTTGCAAGAAGAGAAAAGTATGCACCAAGTGGAACGCGTTTCTCAGTCGTCTGGTCAGACGTATCCATTCCCCTCTCCGCACTCCTGCTACCATTCGAGGCAGGCGAACCTTCCCCACGAGGCCCACTAGTAGGAGAGTAGGACGATGGTGAGTTCGTGAGCTGACCTCCTGGGCTCTGCGAACCGGCCAAGCTGGTGTTCGAATTCATGTCTCTTATTTCTCTCCAATAGCTTCAAGTGGCGTGAGCCGTTTACCCGGTCCAAATATGTTCGACCAGGGTGAAATGCAGCTCAAATGTCTCGTAGTAGTTGTATAGACAGCCGACAGAGACGATAAGCAGATGATGGAGGTGAAGACAGAAAATGCTGCGAAACTCGCTTGGGCGTGGACTCCATGGTCATGCTAACGTTCAAGTTGGCCCAATCGGTGCTTTCAGTGGGATTTCAAAAGTCCGGGCTGAGGCCACGCGGTGGGCCCACTGCCTCGGCCGGAGCTCCGTCCATCATTCTTTGTGGCACTTGTTCCCCCTGAACGTTGAACCACGACATCTCTATTTAGACAAGTAACAAGCAAATCGTGAAACAAACCTTAATTTTCAAGATATGAATGATAGGAAGATGGTAGAGGTAGGAATGACACATGAAAGTTCAGACACGAGCCATAACTTGTCGACAAGGACATTTTGCGGACTGGGATATTAAACCGTGACCAGAGATCGATACCGAACTCTACAGTTCGCGACTACAATCACCGCAACAGTACAAAAGAGAGGTAGCATAAAAAGGATCGTAAAATAATTGTTCCTAGAATAATCAACACCGAGCCTTGGCACTTACGGCGACCGGCCATAACCTTGGTCACATGTAAATCACACGACCTCCTTCTCCGTTACCCTCTCGCCATCATCGCTCTCTCCGATCGGAGTATCGCGGGCGAGGTCCATGGGCGGATAGCGAATGTTGAGGTAGCGGTTGATTTGTGCGAGGACAGCAAGAGCGAAGACGAAGGCACTAACCACACGAGATAGTTTATCAGTATACGACACACCCTCTAATGCAAGGGAGAGACTGTTATATAAGTTACGTACCACGTCGTTGCAAAGCCCTGTACGTATCTTGGTCCCGTCGTCGACGGCCAGAGGAATGAACCATAGATTGAAGCGCTGTTTCCGAGTGCGTTCACAATGGCAATAGCTACTGCACGTTTCTCAGCTGGGTGGGCAATCAGACTAGACACCCACTACGAGAGGCCGTTCAGCATGTACAGTGACAGAGTATATAGAACGAATAGACGATAAACGGACCAACAAAGTCAACGGACAAGCCGCATACACTCCAGCGACCGCAAGACACAAAAATGTGTACTTGACCTTCTGATTATTTACCGCTACAATGATGATGAACGAAACACAAGAGATGGCCGCGGTCAGGGTGATGTAATGGGCTCGCTCTTTGTGAATGTCGGAGAGGAAGCAGAATGTGAGGATGCCGACGAGGGCGACACCGTAGATCGGGATGGTCTGGTAGTGTAACATTGAAAGTCAATACCATGTCACATATAAGGCTCTGAGAAGAAGGGTGAGAGGAGCCGACCATGTATTGCTTAGTGTAGCCAGTGTAACCAAGTTGCTCGACCAGAGTCGGGATGAAGTATTGGATTGTCTGGGATCCAGTCGCAAGCATGTACATGACGACCCTGTAGTTCCAAGTCGTCAATAAATTTCGGTGATGGTATATTGAACAGGCAAACATACAAAAACCAAGTTCGCCAGTCCCGAAGAGCCATAGCGGCTGCTTGGCCGTGGGACGGTTGCTGTCAACAAAAGAAACGGCAAAACAGTTAGCTATCAGCATATGGAACCAAAACGGAGAAAATAGCGGGAGTACACGGCCGCGCAACACACCTCGACAGCACCAGAATCCTGTGTCCCACCAATACCATCATACGCCAATCTCTGCGTGGCGATGAACTGTTGCCAGTTCACAATAACTAATCAGCTTTCGAATACAGAGGAGAGAATGAGGTAGAGACCGATTCGTACCTTTTCCTCGGGACTGAGCCACTTTGTGGTCGCCGGCCAATCAGGGAGGAAGTACCACGCAAAGAGACCGACGAATGAGGAGGCGACACCCTCAATGAGCAGGAGCCATCGCCATCTAATTATCATCCCCAGAACGTGACGGAAGCCCATTAGTATCGAGTATTAGATTGAAATGAGAAGTTCAACACGACGAACCCTTCGAGACCGCTCGCATACGAGAGCTTGTCCGTAATGAGACCTGCCAATAGGCCTGAGAATGCGCCCTATCAACGCGCAATGATCAGAGAATTTCACTCTCCATAGTGACTGAAGAGACGCACGGACACTGCCGTAGCAGTATAATAAATCGCGAACCGTTTCGCCAACTCGTGCCTCTTGTACCAGCTACTCAGGTAGAACGCCACACCTGGTGCAAATCCGGCTTCAATTATGCCTAGAAGGAAGCGGATGGCGGCGAGCTGTTGCCAAGTATTGACGGCAGCCATCGAAGCAGCAATTCCCCCCCAAATGAGACATGTGCCTGAGAGACTTTCGTTGGAAGTAGAAGTTAGCCGGAAGATCGCGACGTGTAAGAGGAGGAAAACGGCTCACAAAAAAGATGGTCGGACGCGGGTGAGGAGCATGTTCAAGGGGACTTCGAAAACGACGTATGAGACCTGGATATAGAACGTTAGAAACCATGTGTCGAGAACATAACTGAAGAATCACTCACGAAAAACACTAGGAGAACGATACTATACTGGTTCGATGTGAGACCAAGAGAGTCTTCCATACCACCGGACTTGGCATTGCCTGTCCATAAAGCGATCCTCAGCACCCATATTCATCAGAGATGAAAAAAACGCCAGGGTCTGAGGCGGAGCGGCGTCTCGTGCGAAAGATTGACCTGCATATTGTTCGTGATATTTCTGAGCTTTACTGTGTTCTCCCAACCTGGGACCATATGTCGCAAAACTTGCATTTGGCTGGTCAGCCATAGCGAAGCCTGATAGCAGTCATAATGCCTGAACAGGGAGCGTGCATGACCGGACCAGCCCACATCGGGCCTGAGCAGGGCTGAGCAAGGCTGGTGCGGGCTGGTCATCTTGAAGTCGTCTGCTGAACAGAGCTGAGCAGGACTGGCAAGGACTGGTCATTTTGGAGCCATCGGCTGAGCAGGGCTGATCCTGGCTAATAATGTCTGTACATAGTTCCGATACCGTTGGCCAGTGCTGAAGAGGCCTGACCATGTCTGATCGCTGAAATAGTATACTGGACTACAGGGACCTTGCTAGGCCGCCTCGACCTCAAGAGAGGGAAGATGAGGGGTGAAAGATCTGGCGGAGCATTGTGGGCATGCATTTCGCGCCACGAAAGAACACGATATATTTAGAGCATTTCCAGTATAGACCACTCCGTGATGACGCAGTGGTCTGTTTCGCGACTCCAACGCAAGGATGTGAGCAGCATAACACAAGTCGGGTGTTCGAATCCCTCGTTGGCCTGATACTTGTGGTCTATAAGAGACTTCTAGCGAGTACAATTCGTAAGGAAAGTAAGGAATAAAGGTAAGAGCACTACATGAGTAAGAAAAGGATACTACAGAGGGGTAAAAGGAGAGGTACAAAAAGATGAAACATCCTTTTTCTATTATTCCTATATATCGTCGTCAGGACTGCTCAGCCCGCAACACGCCGTATAACGCCTGTGCAGGTCCGTCAGGCTGATCAGGCCTGATTGGCCTGACCAGCCCGCTCATCCCCTTTCTAAAGCTCGGGAACCCTGATCAGGCTCTGTTTCCCTGGCGGGGATGTTCAGGCATGGTTTGGCAACATCATGCAAGACCAGCCAGATGCAAGTTTTGCGACATACTAGCACTAACGGGTATAATGGGCTACAATCTAGGTTCCCACCATATGGATTCTGTACACTCTGTCGTATCTTGACAGAGCCAATATTGGTATATCTTACTTTCCATACGTCGTCATCACAGTTGAGAACTCCTCCCGCCATTCCTGTTCTGGTTTATCCATATGCATAGTAGCGCGATCGTCACCGTGAAAATGCTCGTGAAGATGCCAACTGGGAAGTCGAGCGTCGTAGAGGTGCGGAAGTCAGGAATTTGGGCGAGTTGGACAAGAGAGCAACTTGAACTCAGCCGGACCCGCAAAAAGAAAGGAAAAGAAGGATCGGAAAAAAGGCTAATCCTTTTATAAGTTCTACATCCCCTTGTCTCGCAACTTCAGACAACTCGAATGGTTAATCACCCATTATCTCAACAGTCAAGTGAGCATGAGCCAGGCACCGGCCATAATTACTTGCGTCACCAGATAGATCCGCGGATGGAAAGAACTCGACAGTGGTTTGATGTGGGGGTTCGAATTGAAGCGGCAGTGTCACTGCGGGGAAAAGCGGGGAAGATCAGATTCATCACGAGAACAGCGACGAGCCGCCTGTGCGGTCCGGGAGAGTAAAGGCGTTCCGGATTCCGGCATGGTATCCTTCCGGAGTTCCTCACACTCACGCCACATTCCAGGGTGTCGGGTGTGTTCCTCCGAACTGTTCAGATGCTTCAATAACTTAAGGAGAACTTCTGACCTTTCCCTTGTACGTATTCTCGCTCGTCGATACAATTTCTTGCAATGCCTTCTACATCATTGTCCAACAATCTTACGCTCCAAATTCTCAGCAAGGCAGAGAAGGAGGGATACGGTATCCTCGCTCAAACATGGTGCGTGGCTCTGCCTTTGGTCTCCGTCAATGTACTAATTCCTGTTCATCGCAACTGTTTGCTTTTGCAGCTACGATGCTCATTCAGTCATTGGTCTCGTGCGCGCTGCTGAACGTAGCCGTTCTCCAGCAATCCTTCAACTCTTCCCGATTACACTTGCCTACGGAAAGGGTCCATTCCTTCAATTCTGTCTCAACGCGTGCGTCTCATTCGTTCCCATGCAGTTCGGCAGTCGACCACTGATTTATCTTATTATCTTCGACGAAAATATAGCGCTCACGGAGCTTCAGTACCAATCGCTGTTCATCTCGACCATGCCACTGATCCAGAACACATTGAGCTCGCTCTAAGCCTCGCGGAGCAGGGGATCGCATTTGACAGCATCATGGTCGACGCTTCTCATGCAGACGTACGTCCCAAGCCCAAAATAGATTTCTTCTGTCCCCCATCTCACCATCTTCGTATCCCTAGACCGACGAAGAGAACATTGCCCTTGCACGACCCCACGTAGAACGCGCTGCGAAATGTGGCGTCCTTGTCGAGGTCGAACTCGGAAGGCTGGAGGGCGGAGAGGCTGGATTGAGGATGATATCTGACGCGAAGTTGACTAACCCAGAAAAGGCTGATCACTTTATGAAGCAGTACGTCGCTCTACTCACCTCTTATCCTATATGTCGGCGTGAAACTGATGGCGATCCGTGCGTGGATTTGTGTTACATAGGACGGGAGCATTGATCCTTAGTCCAAGTATTGGCAACTTGCATGGATCATATATCAACCCTCCCAACTTCCGTCAAGATATGTGCGTAGGCAATTCACCGTCATGCTTCTCTCCGCTCTTGGTTCATGAATATTCTAATCAGCTCACTGTTATGAACATGATCGCTAGTCTCAAAGATCTTCATACGCGCTTCGCCGGCGAAGTTCCTCTCTGTCTACACGGCACAGACGAACTTCCAGACGAGCTCTTCAAAGAATGCATCAAAAACGGTATCTCAAAGGTACGCTCTCACCCTCCACACGCATCTCACTATTTCCTTCTCATACCCTGACATGATTCCGCTCTTTCGATCGTTATAGATCAATGTGAACTCTTGGGCACGAGACCCGTACGCCAAAACACTCGCCGCTGGTCTCCAATCAAAGCCTTTCCCAGATGCAGTCGAGGAGGCGACAGAGGTGTTCGCGAAGGTGTGCGATCGGTTCTTCGTGTTGTTTGAGTCTAAGGATAAGGCATGAAGTATTATCTGGAGTAGGATGGGCTCATGAGCATGATTTATGCACTATTATTCGCGTCTGGTGGAATACGATCTGTCATTTTATTTGTCTGTGTACGGCGCGTATCTTGAGTGGTTGTATAATTTTATCGTTGTTTTGTTCTGTAACCATTTTGAGCCTGGGGAAGACGTTCGGCTCGAAACGGTGTGGTTTCATCGCATTCATCTTCCCTGTTCCCTGTTCATTGTGAAACTGAGGCAGAGCTCGTTGTGCGGCGGTACTCTATCTCCCCACTAACAATATGAGTTGGCAAGCTGGAAAAGTGGCGGCCCAAAACACCACTATCAAGGTGGAAGCCGCGGACGATGTTGTGACCGACCGAGGCGCTTCGTAGTACCGAAAGATCAAGCTTGCATGGCTAGGACGGGGTCTGAAACGCCGGCACGTATGATAAGCATTCAGCACACTATCGACGTCATGGAAGATGAGAGTGAACAAGAACTATGAATACTATATGTCACAAGGAATGAAGCATCTCAATAGTATAACAGGAGTGTCAACAACGTAGCAATCTGATCAGCACGCCGCCACCGCAGTCCCATCTACAAGACTAGCTCCCTTCTCCTCGTATTTAGAAATCGCATCAACTTTCTCCGCGCTCTTCGAACTTGGATCAAACACATATCCCAGCCATTCTTTGGCTAGTCTCCTCGCAAGCTCGATACCGATGACACGCTGGCCCATGCAGAGGACTTGGGCGTCATTGGAGAGAACGGCACGTTCCACAGAGAAGGAGTCGTGTGCTGTTACGGCGCGGATGGAGGGGACTTTGTTGGCGGAGATGGCCACGCCTGGATAAGAAATGCATGAGCAACAACGTCAAGGTGAATTGTGGCCCATAAACAGATATGAACATGCATGGTAACGAAGATGACGAGAGCAATGAGAAATCAGAAGAGGCATACATACCAAGACCAGTCCCGCAAATGAGCAGCGCTCTGTCGGCTTCGCCAGCTGCCACTTTTCGTGCAGCGGCTACGGCGACGTGTGGGTAGTGTGTCGTCTCGTCGCCGTTGACGCCTACGTCGATGACCTCGACGACGCGTGGATCGCGTTTGAGGTCAGCTTTCAGAAGATCTTTGTATGTGAGACCAGCATCCTGTCATTGCGCGAGTAGAGAATAAATGATAGTCCAAAATCACTCGAAACACAGAAAGCTGGCGTAACTCACATCACAGCCGACGACGATGCGCCATTGCGGGGTAGTTGGGGTAGTCATTTTAATTGGTTAGGTGAGGAAGCGGATTAACGAGACTGGGATACGACTTGGTGGACTCATCCATCTTGAAATAAGCAGATATGTTCGTGCAGTCGGTTTCGAACCGGTTGACGAGTGCTCATCCCGATCCTGGCTGGAAGGATATCGTTCCGGCTCAAGAACGAAGGCCGGAAAGGTTTCAAAGACGCGGGACGGTGCGGGATCTCCCGCATTTGGACTTCCGTTCCGACCACCGAAGCGGTCCGGTTTTCCTGTTCATGCTCATCGTCTTCTCCTGTTCGTGCACGAAAGTTATGAAGTCATTCCCTATGAAGGCACACAAAGTCAAATATATCAGAGGTATTTCCGGAATATGTGGAAACTCGTGGAATATATAGGATTTGCTAGTTCCGTGAGGTACTTCATACCTTGACTTCGTCTCATCCTTCAAACACCTCATCATACTCCGTTCCAGGATGTCCGACAAGTCTGTTGTTCTTATCACCGGTGCTGCTGGCTGGCTCGGAGGTCTTGTACGAATCTTTTCTTTGTCGTTTACCGCATGTCTTGTTGATACCATTCATTCCTCACATGGACTACATCGTTCAGCTCGCCCATGCGCTCCTTGAAGATCCAAAGACACCCAACTGCCATCTCATCCTCGCCGACATTGTAGAACCCCGAGCTCCCGAGGGTGCCAAAGCTGTTACCATCAAAGCCGACTTGACGGACAAGTCGCAGATCGATGCGTTGTTCAAAACGGAGTTTGGCGTACCCGATACCGTGTATGCGTTGCATGGAATCATGAGCAGAGGCTCGGAGGATAATTTTGAATTGGGACTGAAGGCGCGTTCAAACTTCATGCTTTGTGGGAGCAGCAATAGGTCGGAAAACTGACTGCGAGACCGAACTGAACAGGTCAACATCGATTCTATCAGGATGTTGCTCGATGCCACGAGGCATAACGGCTCGTCGCTCGCCGACCCGATCAAGTTCATATTCACCTCCTCGCTTGCCGTATATGGTGGTCCGCTTGTTTGTCATTTTCACTCATTTTTTCCGTGTGTTTTACTGATTTTAAGCCATTCTGTCCATAGCCTGACGTGGTTACGCCACAAACAATCGCCACACCAGAAGGTGCCTACGGCATGGGCAAACTCACCTCTGAGCTCCTCGTGAATGAATATACTCGCCGTGGTTTCATCGATGGCCGTATTATGCGTTTACCAACCATCGTCGTTCGCCCTGGCGTCCCTTCCGCCGCGACCTCTGCCTTCATTTCCGGTATGCCTATATCGCCGTTCTACTCTGCGACATATAGGTCAGCTAACATACGTCTGTAACACAGGTATCATCCGTGAGCCCTTGAAGGGTCAGGAATCCCTCTGCCCGATTGGCGATTCTCTCGACTCTCCCGAACTCACAGCCCTCTCCGCCTGGCTCGCCTCCCCAACCACCACGATCAAAAACTTCGTCCACGCAAAACACGTCCCCTCATCCTCTTTCTACCCCCACACTCGCGTTGTCTGTCTCCCAGGCTTCACCGCATCCGTCAAGGACGAACTCGATGCGTTGTTGAAGGTTGCTGGTCAAGAGGCACTAGACAGGGTAAAGTTCAAAGACGACGAAACGAATCGGAGGATCGTGAGTTCATGGCCGGCGAAGTTCGATAATACGTATCCGCTGTCCCTTGGGTTTAGCGTGGATGAGGGAGGCATGGAGGAGGTAGTGAGGCAGTTCCAGAAGGACGTGGCAGCGGGACTTGCATGAACTTGTGGATCGAGTGTGTGATACGCTCACTGGCTGTACTTATATCCTGTGTATCCTCTGTTTATGGATGTGTTTGGCTCGTTTCAACCTTTGCTTCGCTCTATCCTGCAATGTAAGGGCAATCTGGACACGCACTTACTGGTGCCTAGGATTACCAATATCCCCAGCTCTTGGTTCTTATATCTGTCGTTTCAAAACAGGGTCCTATATATCGTTGTCAGACTGCTTGTGGGTCACCGTAGATGGTACGGTGACTACTATCAGTGGGCAGGCTAGATAGAATAATTTAAGAGACCAGTAAATAAATATAATATTACACACAATCTTAAAGACACTGGACGCATGGAAAACGAGACGATCCTTGACAGGGTGACAACCTTTACATAGTTATGTAAAACAATGCACGGGATGTAAGCTCTGCAGAAGGTAATCGGAACATGATAAATTAACGAGTCAGCGGTCAATACGAAATGATCCAACCTCCGTGATTCTGAGGTAGTAGGAACGTGAGAGAGATAAAGGTCCGTAGGCTGCCTCGTCAGCTCGTAAATAAGTACTCAGGAACGGGTAACTCCAGAAATCTTGCATGCTCCGATAGGCTAAACAATGCATTGACAAAGCACTAGCAGTTTAGCAGATGACACGACTGAGAGAAGCAATAGGGGCTCACAGAGTAAGATCCATGAAGGATTCAGTTCCCGACGTTAATAGACTGTGTCCCAGGCGTGGCACAAAAGCCATCGTCCAGTTTCGTCCCACAGGACGAAAACTGGTTACAACTGTGTCCACACCCCGCCCTGTCGCAGAATCCGACATTCCCCGTCGCCGAAATGCACGCCGTGCCTGGGGCATCGATGCACGTCGGTCCGCCAGTGTATACGTTGCAAGTACCGCCGCAGACATCGTCGGTGCGCTTGTTGCAGTAGGTAACGGAGGTTGACTGGCGCTTGGAGAATTCTTCGCGAGAGGAGCCAACAAAGGTGATGTTGGCGTCGGTCGTGTTGAGCCAGTGATTAAACTGCTCATCGGTGAGGAGATAGGTTGGAACCTTGTGTTTTTTGAGAAACAATATTGAGCGGTGTGCGATAAACAGCATGAGATCAGGAAGAGATAGCTTACTACAGCAGGCCCTGCGTTGACAGCCCGAGCAGCCAAGGCAGCAGCCACGGCGAGAGTGGAAAACTTGATCGAAAATTGCATGATAATAAAAGGTTGTGTTGGATACTATGAACTGGCTGAATGAAAGATGAGATACTGGTGGGAGAATGGGGCGATTGAGTGCTGGAATGCTGATTCTTCTTCTTGCTTCCGCTCACTATTTATACTATTTTAGATGGACTGCAGCGGGAGCTGAACAGAATGAAGCCCTGTGTAACAGCAAGATATGCGATGACTCGGACTCAGGCGAGGGCTACAGGGTCTCCTAAGTCGCATAGAGCTTCCACTGCCCGTCACCCACTGTCCAGGACCTGAGTCAAGTTCAGCTCAGTTCCGGTGATTTGTATTCACTAGAGGAGGAGTTATTCAGCAGCATTATATAACGGAGAATTTGGGGGCCCAAAAGACATACTCTTAAACACAGCGAGTGTAGAAGGGCAACAAGGACCTATGCTCTAGTCTCCTCAGCCGCACTGGTCATGCTTGCGATCAGGCTTGATGTCTGATTGTGGGGCTGGCAGGAGCTGCGCACAACAGCCCGTCCATTCTGCAGTACACAGACTTAATGGCGACGTGATACGGAGGGTATAATGCCTGATCCAGCAGTGGCTGGGTTACAATCATGACCGCACAAAGACCGGTACTATGACCCTGCCATACCAGGCCCTTGTGGAAACTTCAAACATGTTAGCCATAAGTATAGAATATGAATTATATAGCGGTACGAATTTGCCCATGGGGACTTGCCGGTATACCTAGGTTGAGATAGTTGAGTTCCTCTTCCTCAAAGGTGGCATATTTTGCGTGATAAGAAAGGAACTCAAAAGGAACTTGTAAAGAACGATCAATTCTCAACGGGCGGAAGATGCCGATATCACTTTCTCACGCACAAGACGGCCTATATATAGTTCACTTCGTGCCTTTCTTGGTTGTCTCTTTCATTGAATCCTCCGACTTTTGAAGTCTCTATCGTGCTAGATTGTATTGAACTATGTCGATGAGTAGCTCGCCAGGTATGGCACATCGATTTCAAGTTCGTCCTATAACCAGCCCTAGTAATCAGTCTCCGTCTCGATTTCCTCTCGATGAAGGACTCGGAGGTCACAACGCCATCAGTGCCAATAACAATAATCCGGATGACCCAAACCATAGCTCATCTCAAAGGCAGATGTATGTCTACATGGACCACTCTCCGTACCCTAGCTCTGTGCTGCCTAGACACCTCGCTACGTGTCTGATCGTGACCCGGGCACTGTTGATTGTCTGTCCTAAAATAACGACCTTCTACTAAGACCACACTGATCAGTACTACTGCTAGTCTGAAAGGGATTACTTCCGTGGTTCCCTCGAGCATCGCTGGTGCCACTAACATACCAAGATGATCACTCAGCCTTTGACTACATCTCTTCTCAGCCTGTGCATCCGGGCGCAACATTGTTTTCAGGCTCCGAGGGTACGTTCTTCAATCCTGACCGGTTATAATGTACAAGTTCTCTGTTTCCCACCCCCCACCCCCCGCTCTCCATTGCACGGTTCGACATACAAAACCGTTCACTCTCCCGTAACGTCTCTACAATGCGCACCCACGTGATTTCGTTCTTGACCGTCTTAATGGCGTCAGTGCAGATATCTATGTTGCCAAAAGCGTCTGCGAAGGTAGTTCTGCTCTTAAACAATATTTGCGACCAGTGTAATAATGACTTTTCAGTCCATTTTTGGGAAGGAGACCGATATATCTACCGACAACTCCTGGCTGTCTCTCACCACTCGTGCGTTTGATACTATGCTCTATCGAGTACTATTCAAATCTGACTTTCTTGACTGTACAGGCGATAATGATGGAGCATCTGGCGATGGAGACTGCGATCCGTAAGTGTGTTCATCTCCTAAGCACGGGACGGGTACCGATCCATGTACCGGCTTAGCTGTGATGCTTCTTGCCCTATAAATGAAGTGGGGGGATCGACCTCTAGCAAGCGTTCCTCGGAGAGCGAACTCGAGCCTCTGAAAATAAGAACACTCTATGGGAACGCAAGCAAGACCGAACCTTGGCTAAAAGGCGAAGTCGCTCGTTGGAACGTCATCGAAGGCCGCGCGGACACGTTGACATTCAATTGCGACAAGATCCCAAACGTCTGTCAAAATATGTGCTACGGAGCGGTACATGTTTTTCTTTATTTTATAGCTAATAGATGAGGTAAACTGATTATCTGTCCCTCGTATCCTTATAGTACTGTATGTATTATTTACTCGTTTCTCAAGCGCAAATTTAATCTGGAACACCCCATGGCTATTCCAGGTAAAGGGTTCGGAACAACTCTCACCGTGGCCAAAACGACAGCCAAATGTCAGAATGCGCGCAAGAAAAACTCTTGCGGATCTGTGAACCCAAATAGATGCAGCACAAGATTGTGAGCTCGCCCGTCAGCCTTTCATGAGAGTAACCTACTCACACTCTGACAATATCAGTCAGCCCCCGGCCGCCTCCGGTAATTCCTGTGATGAATATCCGTTTGCGAGTACGTTGGAGGGTCAACAGGCTGCACAAGATCAGGCGTCAACTCGTAAGTTACATGATCCTGGTTGTGTGTTACGTCTATAACTCCGGATTTTCTTCTTCGCATAGGCTGCGTTCCTGCGGGAGAGAATTCATGCAAGTACAGTTACTCTATGAGATCGCCTCTTCATCGTTATTCACTCGCTTTCTTTCGATTAGCTCAAGGCGGGTCTATCTCAGGGCTTTACCGAAGTGGATTAGCAGACGGCACTCAGTTCGAGGTGGACTTCACCTACAATGGCGCCGCCACCGGATACTGTCAAGGCGCGCCCACCCCCAACTGTGCTCCGGATCCTACGGACAATCAGCGGTGATCTCATCGATGGTCGTACATCTTCACCCAGGCTTGTTCGTCGGAGTGCTTTGAAGTGCCCAAGTCGCTTGTGTTTCTATGTACCATGTTTATCTCTGAGTTATCTACTTCTCTCCGAAACTTGTACTCCAATGCCCGTTGTCAGGCGTTTACAGGTGGACATTGTATTGTATCTTCGATCTGGGTACGCTATCTATTTATTCTCAAGTATAGATCCAGTGCTTTTCTGTCAGCTTCGATTTCAGGACATGAAGTGCTGGCAATGATATTGCTCTCATGACGATGACCGTGAGCGCCTCCGCCTGATGTGCCCGCGCTTTGGAGTCAGACCTATGTAGGCAATCATTGAGCGTACGAGGACCGCAAGGGTCCACACTGAGATGGTATCCACAGTACTTGTCGCTTTCCGCTTTCTTGCTTTCTGTTCTTCTTCCGACAACGTTGTACGTCGTGTTTGATCTCGCTGTTTGTCTTGGATCATTCCGCGTGAGTGCCCGCGCTGACACTACTGCATTTTTATCTCGTGAAGGGACAATAGGATATCATCGGTACTATACACCAATGCAACAGAGAGTAATAATAGCCCCCGGGAATACATAATCACAAACCTAGGTCAGCAGATCGAGCACACTCATGACAATTCGCGTTCGAGTGGATGGAAACAGGACAGAAAGGGGCGCCATGCAGGATGATCAAGCAACCAGCGATTCCAAATACGCTCTGAAGTTGCTATGCCACAACATATTTGGCATCCAGTTCACCCAAAAGAATAATCTGGTCAAGACGAATCAGTAGAGTCTACAGTGCCGCAGGAATTCATCAAACAAATCAAGAAGCAGACTCACCCCCATTGTCCAAATGTATTGTCTTTCTCCGTCTGCCCACGTTCCCTGTTCAACCCCTTCTTAGCAGCATCCATCTGCACCGGTTCAACCAAGCACAACATCTCCTCGTCGTCTTCAGCAGAAACCATTAGCAACCGTCCCATCCTCGGCATCTTCTCCACCTCCGCAGGATCCAGCCCCTCTCCGAGCTCTATTCTGAATTCGTCGAGCCCCAACTCCTCCGCAGACTGCCACTTCAAATCACTCAACGGGCGCAAGCCAGGTTTATTGATGCTAGGAATGAAGTCGAGACCATTTGAAACGAGCATAAATGCCTTGTAATCGTCCGGAAGCTGGGTTCCAAGACGTTCCTCAGTTGCCTGGATCTCGGATTGAGAGGTAGGAGCCTTGCGAAGCGTTGTCTGATCTTCGGATTTACGTCCTTCGAGACGTTCGAGGAGTTGAGGGAAAGAGAGGCCGTGTATGGTCTGGCGTTGTGCGACTCTGTGGGTTTTGCGTTGTTGATTGTGTTCGTGCCAGGCTCGCAACGTCTGACAGACTATGTCAGATTCTTCTTGTGCGATCTCGGCAGTGCGACCTGTCCAGCGTGCGATAGCGCCGTCGAGGATAGGGCGACATAGAGGCCTCCATTTGGCGGCCATAACCCACACGAGAAGATGATCCGAGTCGCGAAGACGACGGGCTCTGGATTACATATGTTAGACAGAGCAAGCATGGTTTCCGACATGAAACTCACAGCGCATCAAGCAAAACCCTCGAAAAATCTTCCCTTCCATGTTTGATGGCAAGCGATGCAGCCATCTCAAGCCCATACGGCCTCAACTCGAAATCTCCGAGATCAGCCTGGCACGCGAGGAATTCCAGGACTCTCGACTCCTCTTCCTCGTCTATTTCCTGCCACTGCGTCTCCTTCAACTTGCTCACCTCGTCTAAATCAGGCTTCTCCCAAGGTGCCTCTGGTCGCATCCCCGACGCATCCCAATAGTACTCCAGTCCGTTGAGTACATGTGGGTTCACGGATCCCGCACAGTTCGGAAAGACATCAAAGAGAGTAGTCATGATATCGTTGCAGGGTCCAACGAAGGTCTCCATGGCAAGTAGAAGAGCGAAATAGGAGGTGGTCTGAATCACGTCCTCGTCCTTTGTACAGGCTTCGATGTCGGCACTGATGTCTGATCCAGGGAATGGGATGCGACGTTCATCGGACGTTTCGTCTGTGGAGGTAGGTGGGGGAGGTTGATCTCCATGGGTGAGGAGCGAGGGAGGGTAGAGGTGGCTCATGCTCATGGGATGGCGTAAGGAATGATTGAGGAGAATACCGAGGGAACGGATATCTTCTGCGGACGCAGCGCGTGAGGACCAAATACCGGCTGCGATTACGCGTTAGGTTCGAGAAGAGAGGAAGGGGTGGTTGAGATATAATACCTGTCTTGACCGTTTTTATATCAACCCACTTCACTGCACGATCTGACAAGACGGTGAGGAATGTTAACACAGTCATGGAATGGAGGATATCCTCGTACATTTCTCGCGTATGTCATCGAGGTTAGCACCAGCAGGAATGGCGGCGAATAACCCTCGCATTGTGGGATATTCATCAGGGAAACCCGACCTCGCCATCACTGTAGGGTATCAGTACAAACAACGAATAGAAGATAGAGTGGCCCCACATGTTGTGCCCAAACCCAGAGTGACCCTCCATGTAGCTTTATCTAACTGGAATGACATCAATGGATATGTGAATAGGAATGACTAGGGACACCTACAAGTCCTCTAATTGAGGCATAATCTTCTGGATCAAGAATGGTGTCATTCAGTCCTGGAGAGACTTCGCTCCCGGGTATGATGAGGAGGTCGAACCTTTGATGAGAAAGTGAGATGGATGATTCGGTCAAATAATGGGGATGAATGAACCATACGTCTTGCTTAGAGCAGTCGAAACATGAAGCACGGAGACCTCACCGAACTTCGTGGGTAGCCCGGTTGGCGTCGAGCTCTGTCCGAAGCGTACTGCAGCCAAGGGCTTCTTCTCCTCTGATCGAGAATCGATGTAGTCCATCACATCGAGGTCCGCAGCCCTGAAATTCCTAGAGGATAGCAGGCGAAGTCAGCCTATTCAAGCTGTGAATACAAAGGAGAGCGCTCACGGGTAAAGGACGACTAGAGTCTTCATAGTATACGAATGGCGCAGAGATGATCTTCACGAGTGCAAGGCGCAGAGGGCTGAGACGAGGGTTGTGAGAAGATTCTTGTAAGGAGCCCAAGGGATTTCAGACGGGTTGTGAATGGTGGACAGCGTCAAACCGATGTTGTGACAGGTGGCATGACGCACTCCACGGAGACATTCTATGGGCGTTAATCGGTCGGCATTGTTGCGACAATCATTATCGGTATACCTTCTCGGCTGGGCAGAACGTATGTACCCGTACTGGTACATCGTCATATATACCTCATGATCCTCGAAACTCTCCAAAGAGCGCCTTCGACCTTCCGCCGAACTGTAGAGATGGTGGGCGCCGGATATGCTGAAACTCGAAGCAGACGTTCTAAAACGCGACGTAGTGCGTTTGAAGCTAGTTGAAACACGAAAATCCTGCAGTGTGGAATTTAACCTCCAGACTTCGATAGGAAAACTACTGACATGTATTGCGTGTAAAACCAAAGTCACGACAAGTCGTGTGCTTTTGCAAATTCGTAGCGGTAATCCGGATAACGCCGTGCAGAGTTTGATTTCACCAGCCATGGTCATCCACTCTTCGGGCAGGTCGTCCTCTTACTCTTCGATTGCTCTAGGATGAAGTAGGACCTCCATATACCCACCTAATTCCATAGATCACAAGAAAGTCTTTTTTGGGCCAACTGGGAATTTGTTCTTGGCTCAAATGCCTCCTCACACCCACAATTCATTTGCAAACTTGGGGTCATCTTCCCAGCACTCTGCGTCCGTGGAAGGAGTATTCGTCAATACCTGTCGATCCTGGCGCTCACAAAGTTCTATGTGTTCGAGTTGGCGATGCATCACCCTGTAACCAACCCCTCGAGTTGGCTGTAGCACGTTCTAAGTCATAACTTTGGTATTAGTCTCTTTAACCTGGCAGTGCTAGCTTCGCTGTATCATGGTCATCACTCCGTCCGAGCTCCCTCTTTCCCCCTCTTGACGCCTTGAACGCCGCCGAATATGCAGTCTCTCTCTCAGAGCCCGTACTTATAAACTACAGGTTTGTGCGACTTCTCTCAGTTCTCATCCCTGACCACAGTCCCACATAAACCACTTTGGAATAATGCGTTGGCACTTGCTATCCCTCTTTATGACCTTGACAGCATCAGTTCATATGTCCATGCTGTTGGGAGCGTCTGCTAAGGTAATTACTATCTTAATCGCATTGACACGAGCATATCTGACCATTTTCCCTTTGCAGTCTATAGTAGAGAAAGATGTTGACCGGTCTGTCGACGTCTCCTGGCCTTCTCTCTTTGGTCGTGCCAGTACGTCTTAGAATATATTCCCATCTTAACGACAGTGAAGTCTCATCATTTGGCAGGCCTGACTGACGGAGCGTCTGGTGACGGGGAATGTGATCCGTGAGTGATATCATTTCGCTTGAGTGTGTCAGTGGCTAACGTTTGTCTGTATTCAGTTGTGAAGCTGCCTGTTCCGTCAACGAAGTTGGTGGGGGTACCGGTACTAGCAAACGATCCTCAGACGACGACGAAGATGAAGCTCCGGCGTTGAGAACGATCTACGGAAACGCAACCGCTACGGAACCTTGGTTGGAGAATGAGGTCGCTCGCTGGCACGTCATCGAAGGTCGTGTGCTCATTCTTGCGTTCGACTGCGACAAGATACCCAATGTCTGCCAGAACATGTGTTACGGAGTGGTAGGTCGCCCTCGTGCATTATATTTCTGACGCTGACATCCTTGCTACTCGATCGTGATAGCACTGTATGTCTTCCTCGACTCCCGATTTGATGCTTCATTGTTTCTCATGTGTATCAAACCCGTTATTGCGACAGGCAAAGGCTTCGGAAGCACGCTGACCATCTCCAGAGCGACGGCCAAATGTCAGAATGCGCGGAAGAAGAACTCTTGCGGCTCTAGCAACCCCAACAGATGCAGTACGAAACAGTGAGGTCGCCTTTGAATCTTCGAAAGTGTAGTATACTTACTGATGCTCTGATTACAACAGCAACCCCCCGTTTGCTACTGGTAATTCTTGCGATGAGTATCCCTTTGCAAGCACCCTGGAGGGTCAACAGGCCGCACAGAACGCGGCTGCCACTCGTCAGTCACACAAATCTACTCAATTTTGCTTGTGGGTCGTCTAAATGCATTGCTTTTCAGGGTGTGTACCTAGAGGCGAGAATTCATGTAAGCCCATTTTTTGTTCACGGTTGGTTCGTTGTGATTGACACAAGATTGACCCGCACTTCGCCTTCAGCTCAAGGCGGGAGCATTTCCGGGCTCTACCGTGGACATGCAGACAACACGCAATTTACTGTGGAGTTCAATGGTAACGCGGGATCGACAGGATTCTGTGCGAACTTCCCCAATTGCGCAGCCACAGGTGGTACTAGCCAGCAGTGAAGAGTCCCCATGACCCTGCACTCCACGTTACTCATAAACGCCATCCGAGGATATATAGTTAAGTAGTACCAGGTGCTCGATAGTTGTTGGTGTTACATACTACCAGACCGTCCCTGTCATTGTCCCTTTAAATGGTATTCTTCATTGGTCTCCGTAGGCCATGATTTTTTTACCAATATAGCATCGTGAGTCAATGCAGGAGCAATGCCGAGCATTCCTTCAAAATAAGGACCATGATATGGCAAAGAAGTACCATCGGATAGTCTAGCAGCTTGCTTCAAATATCCGATTCAAGGTCTCATGTTGGCCGACGTCGTCGATGGAATCGCTCTAGAAAAATCACTTGCTGTCGGACGCAATGAGGACTCATACCGTTCACTGCGTTGACATTTGGCTTGATCGACTTCTCCGTACTTTGTCTCTGAGGAGTCTACAGTCAACTTGACTGGATTGCAGAGTGTTGACAATGACTTGCCCTGCAGGGCACAGCGTAAGCACTCCCACTCCTGTTCAAGAACATATCTTTGGTATATGTAGAGCAGGCCATTAGTGCGTGTATGAGTTATTCAGGAATCTCATCGGATCTCCTCTCAACACAGTCATATTCATGTTGCACTGCGATGATGCTACTTTGGAACCCCTTTTTTCGACTGCAGAAACTGCATCTCCGTGTAATGTTTAGGATAAATTTTGATTGACGAGGCTGCTAAGCTAAGCTAGTCTATAGATCGGCGGGTACGTATGGATATACACTGACTGTCAACGGTTCTCATCCGAAAGACGTAAAGTTCAAAAGTAAAAAGCGTGACGACAACGAACGCATTGAGTAAACGGAGGGAAGGAGGGGACGCAAGTGGAGATGTGGCGGGGAGCTCAGCGGGTGTGGGTGGTAAAAGTGGTCGTAATGACTAAAGCAGAGTAAGTCAAGAAGAAGAACTGGGTAAAGGTACAGATTGCACGATATAATTAACCATTAAGAGAGAGGACTTGAGATTGAGGTTCCAGCGCGACAGAGTCAGATGAGACACAGAAACGGAAAGAGATAAGTGAGTGAGAAAGTTGACGAAGAAATTCCAAGTGATGAAGAGCGAGTGGACGATGAGATGGGATGATGAGGGGATGCGAGGGAGGGAGGGAATGCGGTGGCATGGTCACGGGGGTGAGGGAAAGAGATAGAGATAGAGAAGATGGCAAGTAAATAACATAGAGCAAATGAAAATATGAAACATGAACGTTCGAGAGATTGGAAATATGCGCACAAATCGGGGTAAACAATACCGTGGATAAAAGGAGACTGATGCAGGTGTCATGTACGGTGACGATTGCAATGGAAGAGAAGATCCACCAAGAAGAGACTGAGAGCTACCTTGAGCACCAAGAACGTGAAATCATAGACAAGAAAAATAGAGGTCGGTATCCCAGATCCAGACAGAGAAGAAAGAGAATATACACGGGCGGCGAACATGACAGCAGACTCGACGTCGAGCCCACTCATGACGCCACACCGACAGCACCGAACGAAATCCTCGACGCATTCTCCTGCGGCTGCGACATCGAGATATCCAGATCGAGAGGTAACTGCCCACCACCACCACCCTCCTTCCTCCCCTCTGCCTCCGCCTCATCCACATCACTGTCCACATCCTCCACAAACATCGCTTCATTCTCATTATGCTGCTCTCCATCCCCATCCTCCCTGAGTTCATCCACCTCCCTAAGTTTCCCCTCCCCACCTTCCGGACCACCAGCAAACGAAAGCTCAAGGACCGACACGTTCATCCCGGAGCCGATCGCACCTTCACCACCTACGTCCTCCACCACACCTTTGCCCAATGTCGACGTTGACCCCGCTCCACTCCCCAACCCCATACTCATACCGACACCCACTGAAGTACTTGCCGCCCTCGATCCCCTTCTCGGTGGCGGACTCAACGAGGTCAACTCATGTTCCTGCTCCCTCTCCCTCTCCTCATCTCCGACCATCATCGGTATGCCCATCAACCGAGGACTCAAAGGCGGAGGTGGCGGTCTCAAAGGGCTTCGAGCCGGTACCTGTGGCGGAGTTGCCATTCCCGACGTGGGCGTAGTCGAGCCTTCCGACAGTGGTGACGGTGAAGTCTCGATGGGCGTAGGCGCCATCAGCAGGAAGTTCGGGTCGTTCTGCATGTTGGTGATGCGTTCGCCGATAGGCGTGGCGGGTGGAGAGGCGGCATAGCTGATGAAAGTGGATCCGTTGCTGGAAATGGGAGCGGGCTGATCATTCGCATTCGCATTCGCGATCTGGACATCCAGTGGAATATGAATGGGTGAAGGGGCGCTGAGGATCCTGAGTCGTTTGAACGGATTGCTCAGCTTCGGGCCCTGAGATTGAGCTGGAGGCGCAGGCGTAGCGGTTGGCGTGGGCGTCTGTGAGTTCAGAAGAGACGAAGTCGTTCCGTTTGCGTTCAACCCTGACAACGAGGAATGTGAGCTAGAAGCCGAGGTCGATCCCGATGAGTTCAGTGGCGGTGGTAGTGGTGCAGAGATAGGCAATGAGTTCGTCGCGGATAGTTCGGTCGCAGGAGACGCAGGAATCGAATACAGTGGCTCTCCAAGCGCTCTCAATCCCAGCAACTTGCTGTCGATGCTATGTCCTCGATTATGTCTCTTCTTGAACGCCACAGGTGAGATAGACGCCGAGGCAGGCTTCGTGGTCGACGACGAAACTGCATCCATACTCGAACTAGCGGGACCAGGTGTCGACGAACCGGTAACAGGTGCGCCAGGTTGAGGCAGCTCATCCGGCCTCGGTGGCAGACTAGCAGACGGTGGACTACTGGTATTGGGGGGCAACATCGAAATCCTGACCGCCCTCTTGGCGATGGAATCTCTGATCGAGCTCCTGACTGGTCCTGGCGCCGTCTTCGGCCTTCCCCCCGTGCTCCCACTCCTCAGAAGGGTCCCAGACCCTGAACCGTGTTCATGGGCAGAGGAAGCCGAACTTTCACCTGGAGATCCAGGTGTGAGGGGTGTTGGGGGAGTTCCAGGAGTACCAGGAGTATGGGGGGTAGGAGGGAGTGCGCCATTGGGGGCGGGTCTTTGTGGCGGCGGAACGCTCAGTCGACTACCCGCAGCCGCAGCCGCAGCCGCACCTCCACCTCCACCTCCACCGCTGACAGCACTAGAAGACGTCCTCTGGCTCGAACTCGACCTTCTCCCGGTCTGAGTTTGTGGTGACGGCAACGAATGTGTCGAAACGAAACTATACGCCGAGCTCGTCGAGTTCCGTTTCGAGAAGACTTGCAATCCGACTCCAAGACCGCTTTGTCCAGGCGAGCGATGTGATGAAGACCGATTGAGTGGAGATGAGTGGGTGCTATTGCTGCCATTGGAGTCTCCAGTTCCGAAATTTCCGAAAGCAGCATAAGGATGCGATAGTCGATGCGAACGCTGATATATGCCCTGATTCTGGTTCGATTGTCCGAAAGGAACGGGAGGAGGCGACCCCGACGGCGGCGTCAATCGCTTAGGCAGAGACATCATCCCCCTAGACCACCTCCTCGCATTCCCTCCCGAACCCGAGCCTCCATTACCGCTGCCACCTCCAGAAGAGGACCCAGCTGGGTTATAACTCCCCTCGAATGACCCAGCATTCTCCCTGTCACCCGTACCGCCGAACGCCCCGGATCCAGAGCCCATAGTCGAAACGGACGACATCGATGCCGGTCTTGCTTTCTGTACAGGCGTCCCTGTACTATTCGACGCGTGCCCAAGACTGGTACCGGACCTTTCGCTCGCTCCGTGTCCGCTCACAGACGCAGCAGGGGTGATTCCAAAACTACCTGCGGTGCTCGTATTGCCGTGATTATACATCAAACCACCGGTCTCCGTGCTTCGTGGCGTCGTAGGCGAAGGAAGAGGAGCGTCTGTGCTTCCGGCAGTACAGGCCCTTCCGCGTCTTCGATTTGACGGTGGAGGTTGAAGGGACAAGGAAGGTGACATTGAACGAGGGGGTAACGCTGCATGGGTGTTAGTGATGGGTGTCGACGGCATGGATATCGGGACGTCAGACGACGACGCGGCCGACGAAGAAAGAGAGGACGAGGGAACAGGGGCCCAATCAAGTGACGTCCGATTAGGTACAATTTTCCTTGATATGTTAGCCTCTTGCTCTCGCTGTCCAGGCTGATTGTGATAACCCGCGTGACTATGCGTTGGCGTCGTAAGAGGTGGAGGCAAAGGAAGCATCGACATCGGTTTAACGATAGGAGTCGAGACAGGCGACATAGCCCGCTCAGAACTACTGGTGATGCTCCCGTTCCCAGTATGCTGATGTTTGAGCATCCCGAGAAGACTGGACCCGGCACTGCTGAACGACTCGCTGGTCTCCGTATCTGGCTCAGGCGAAGGTGATGCAGCTCGTGAAGATGATCTTGGACGGCTAGAACCGGTGAAGAGTCCTTTGAGCGTGACGACGGCGTTAGGCGAGCGGGGTGATGGTGAAGATGCACCGGTAGAGGAACGGATGGTCGAGGATGCGGAGGTCGAAGTGGAAGATATTGACATAGGATGATGGTTATGGCCGTGACCGTTCGTGCTCTGGCTTTGGCTGTGACTGTGACTATGGCTGGGGCCATGACTGAGGCTGGAGTGGTGGAGAAGCGATCCATTGGGCGAAGAGAGACCGGGGTTGTAGTCCACCGGAGAGGACGACATATGTTGCATCCGCATCGAAAGCATGACGTCCATGTCACCTCTGGGTTCTGTACCTCCGATATTCGGTGACGGAACACCCAATCCAGCTCGTATAGACCTACACACGAGAAGTCTGTAAGCACACATCGTATTCGTGTCCAGGTTCAGATAGACTTACCTCTGCCTCAAAACGACGACCTTGATCGCCTCAATCCACTTCCTACTCACCGCCACATCCACAATCTGAAAAAGCATCATCGTCTGCCCATTCTCCTCGCCGTTCCACTCCCTCCTCAACGCGCCCACGTCTATCCCTCCTACTTTGACCACGCTCCTCCTACTCCCAACCTCCTCATCCGTCACAAAAACCACACTATTCTCATTAATCTCCAACCTCTCCACCTCGCGCTCCTCGGCAGACTGCGACTTAAATAGGTGTAAATACGATGGAACGGGTAGTTTCTGCGTTGGATTCGTCATCGTCGGAGAGGTAAGATGCATATGCGTGCGAATGGAACCAGGGTTTGACGTCGAAGGCTGAGAAGGAGAGGTGAAGACCACAAAACGTGTCTTCCACTGCTTCGAGAGCGCCATCTTCAGCAATGACGGAGGCGGGAAATGTTTCGGTAGTGAGGCTTCCAACTGCACGTACGGCACCAGCGAACTATAACTCGCAGGAAACGACGGGATCACAGGCGTCTTCTCCTTCTCCTTATCCGCAGCGCTCGTTATTCTCGATTGGTTAGAGAGTGCTAATGACCCCGCGCGTCGTCTTGTCGAGAACGAATGACTGAGATTCGTCGGACTTTGTGGCGACGTATGCGAAGAGACGAAGGATGGAGAAAGGATGGACTCCGGATGCGTCGCACTCTCCAACGTCTGTGTATCCTCATCATCATACGGATCCTCCTCTGGCTCTCGCGATCGCGCCGGCTCGAGGATATCGTGTCCGAGACCTATCGATTGGGCTGCCGCATCACGCAATCGTTGACGCTCTTGCTCCTCCTCATCTGGTTTAGGAGCGCTGATTTCGATCACTTCGGGGAGGATGAGGGACGCTGGTGGGGGGACGGGGTGATGCGATGCACGGACTGATTTCCGTCGACGGCCGAACTTGAGAGCGTCAGAGGCGGCGCCAAATAGGATGCTTCCTCTGTTCTTTTTCGATGGGTCGGCAGTGCTTGGACGGGCGTCTGAAGGCGGTGGTGGTTCTGCTACAGATAATAGTGTGAGCATTCATGATACAGCAGATTAACGAAACAATAGTGGGATTGTGGTATGAATTTTCGTCCTGTCTTTTCGCCTAACAGAAATATGGGGCTGATATTTCGATAGACCACGCCAAAAGACGAAATATTCTCATGGACAACTTGAACATGTTGCATAGCCAAACATGGCAGAGATGACCTTCTGGCCAACGAAACAATTAGATACTTCAATGAGCCGAACAAGCTCCTATATCTATCCCGGGTCAGTCGGCTTCCGCACTCAAGGCCTCGTGGTGGCAACCGAGGTATATCATGCCCGCAACGGCGCAACAACAAAACTGCTTCTAGAGCACGTGAACCTATGTGTACAGTTCGTCTATATATATCGCCTGATATAGGCGAAAGAATTCGCAGTATACACCACGTTTACGCAGCGAATGCTACATAGGAGGACGCTAGCGTCTACTTCGACGCGCTCATCCCAAGCGCTCGGAGGTTGGACGTGCCGAGTGAAACGCCTCGCACTACGTGCGGGATGCTGTGATCCAAATTCTTCACGATAGGATGCCAAAGCCCAAGCCACAACAATAAACACAATCGACACCGCGAAAGCAAGCGAAGTGACGTCGAGTGCCCGGCAAATAGGGGAACAAACTTTGACTCCCGAAGATGCCGTACCATATATTGGGGACATGTTCAGAAGACAGCGACGAGGGTCGCGTAAGCATGATGCCAATATAATGGCACTATATCTTCAAGATGGTAGTGCTCGATAGATACAAACGTACGAGCCCGAGCTAGCCAACGGCTGCGGCCCAAAGTAGCTTCTCGATGACTTCCTTCTAGAATTATTGCCTATCCGAGAAGGCTTGCTAGCCGGCCGGAGGGTTCGTCGTGACGAGCACCTTGAAGCTCCCGTCGTTGCGAGGAGTAACCCAGTAGAGACGCAGCCAAAGCGCAGTGCGGGTTACTTATGATGAGATGGGACTGTATCCCAAAGTCGGACAAGAGGTGGCGATCGAGAAGAACCGAGCACGGAAAGATCGACGTACGCTGTGCAGTGGACGCAATACTCTCCTCCATTTCCCTCTCCTTCTCCTTGCCTTTACTGCCATCCATGAGCGAAGCGAAAGCTGACGAGGTGCGTGTGCGTGAGGATGATGAACCAGAGGCGGACGCAACTCCGCCGAATCCATTCCCATGTGAAGTCCACGTGTCGGACGATCGTCCAAATCCGTAGGATCCATTTCTGGAGGACGAGTGTGCGTCGTGCTGGGATGAGAAGCGGAAAGGATTGGTGAAATGAGAGGACGAATGTGAGGCGGACATGCCAGCGCCGGAGTCGAAAGAGTCGACGGGTGCTGGGGGAGACGAGAAACGCTGGAGATCGTCCGGGACGTAGTGGGGGTCGTTCGTGACAGGTGGCGATGATGATGGCAAGAGGAAAGGAGCGAATGGGTGAGCGTGAGGAAAGATGAACAAGAAGCAAAAGGAAAGCGGAAGAACGGCCGTTGTGTGATCATCAACAGCTCGAGAGCAGGAGACAGAGTCCGGGGGCAAGAAACATGGTCGGAATTCGGAAAGAATGCTCGTACCTTGGAGGGAACGTTCCCAGTTGCGCTCCCGGAAGCGTGCTCGCCGGCCCACTGCGACGCGAGCAACGGCGGTGCGCCTATGGACATCGTCGGCCACGTCGCGCTCGAAGGTGATGAGAGAAAAGGTAAAGAACGGACAGGGCGCAGGCGGCCCTAAGCGGACTTGCCCTTGTGCGAGCGTCTAAAGGAAAGAAATCAGAACACTTGGCCAGACTCGAAGCGTTCGCCCTTAATTATCCGCTTACCTAAGCAATCCCTCCGCCGGCCTTTCAATTTACGAACATTCTCCTTCCGTCGACGGAGGCCCCGGTTCCTGAAGGAACTGTCTCCGAGCCTGCTGTTCCTTGCTCGCTCGAACGTTCTCTCACTAAATCTGACAGGCGTGTGTTCAGCCCGGTGTCTTTGTAGGAAATATATCCACCGGGATACGATTGCGCCACATATAGATTCAACCCTTTGCCGCTTACCAAGTCGCACATGAATACACTCAGGAGCGTTGCCACAGAAACCACGCCGTAGAATCGCGTCCGGTCTTGGTTTGCGTCGACCACGAAGAGAACGAAACCCCCAAGAAACCCCCAAGAATTCTGCTACGAATACCCAAGCAACTCGTCTAGTATGTAGAATGCACTCCCCGAAGACCCCGTGGCCTCGACCAGAGCTACTTACAGTTCTTCTAAATTTCACTGGTTCTTCGCTTGCAACGTCAAAATGTGGAAGAGGGACTCGAAGCAAGCTGCGGTAGTTCCGGGTGGTGTAGTGAAAAATATCTTATTCCTGTGCCCTGTGCTGTACGAAAATGTCCGAGTGTCACGAATGGAACCGAATGAAGACACAGCCATAACTTGAAGGGGATCCGGGAAATGGAGAATTTTTAGGAGAAAAGGTTGTAGTAAGACATTCAATGATGGATACGAGAATACTTAGGTGGCACGCAGGCCGCATACATAGACCGGCAGGAGATGAGGTGCTATGTAATGGAGACTGGAAGCTACCTTCGGGGTCGCTGCATAATCTTAAATTAGAGGGTCCAGCTTGGCCATTGATCATGTTGTTTCTAGAACATTGTGTTGAGTCTTGCGCTTTGGACACACAGGCGAGGAAGGAACTAAATGCTTGAGAGGTTATTGGGGACGAAGATGGTTGTACATTCCGAGAAGTGCTTAAAGTGAAAGCGTAATGAAGCGTGCAACGTTCAGAAACTTGGTGCTATGCGAGGTTCGTTTCAGGGATGAGCAGAATGAAGATGAAAGAGCGACGTGTTGGCGACATGTATGATGTTGAGCAAAGAGCTTGAGAGTCCACCGACATCGTGATTCGGTGGCAAATTTGAGCAATGACGGACTTTGAATCGGAGTTTCTAAACTTCCTCCCTTTTCCCCTTACCAATTTCGTACAGGCCACATCACAACAGATACTTTTTCAGGACACGCTCAGCATCATTCGGGTATCAAACCGACGGCCCATCGAAGGAAGCAAGTAATTATATACGTTCGACTTGAAGGCAAGCGGGCCACTGGGACAAGCATTCGAAACTAGTAGATATCCCCAGTACATGTCATCTCAGATACGAGGAGAATGAGATGACGAGCCTATCCCGAGCTACTGCTGACTACTTCCGGCCGCAACAACGCAGTTCGTATTAGCCGCACAGAAGCCAGTCGACGCTGCGGCGCCAGTGAAGCTCACAGTGAACGCCGTGCCGTCCGGAAGGTTACGGTAAAAGGCCGAAATGGACCCTCCTTGAGCTAGATACAAATAGCAAATTAATTCCGATGAATCACCCGAAGATAGTACCACAGACTCACATCGATTTTCCCCTGCAGGAACACACCCTGGAGAATCGAGTTAGCTAGAGGCATGCAGAGCTCAGTTTCGATGACTTACGGGTAGCAGCCGCGTTCAGCGCGGCCTGTTGGCCCTGCAGCGTGCTTGCGAACGGATATTCATCACAAGAATTACCAGGAGCGAACGCGGGGGTGCTGGTGTGCGGTATAAATTAGTACACTGCTCCTACAGCGAATAAGTGAGAGCTCACAATCGCGTGCTGCATCTGTTGGGATTAGTAGATCCGCAAGAATTCCTCCTTCGTGCCGCCTGGCATAAGCCTGAAGCCTTGCTGATCGTTAACGCCCTTGGGAATCCCTTGCCTGTTACAGTCGTCGCGATGCATATTTTCGTGAGAACAACAGGACCTCGAGTCGGAAAGCGGGTAAGACATACAGTTCTATCACCATAAACAAAATTTCAGGTCATAGATCAGTATCGGAAACTCAGTAAGAAAGCGAGAGATCAAGGCGCTCACCACTCCGTAGCACATATTCTGACAAACGTTGGGGATCGCATCACAGTTGAACGATAGGGTGGGCGGCTGGCGTTCGATGAGGTGCCAGCGAGCGACCTCGCCATCCAACCAAGGCTCTGTCTCGCTTGCGTTTCCGTGGAGTATTCTGAGCTCCACAGGCTCGGGTTCATCGTCGGAAGAACGCTTGACTATGTTGTTAGAACAGGAGGCGAGGCAGCTAAAAACGTGAATAAATTAGCCTCTTTTTAATTGGAGGCGAATGAGAGCACTTACGGATCACAATCCCCATCGCCAGACGCTCCATCATCACCTATTCCATCGATAAATGTCAGTCCTAATTAGTATAAAGTCTGCCAGATTAAATAAGACTCACGTTTAAAAAGAGATATCAAGGAGATGTCATTGTCAGAGGTGATATCAGTTTCTTTCTCTATAATCGCCTAGAAATATATTTTAATACAGCACGCTCCTAGATAATATGAAGGCAGTTACCTTCGTGGATGCTCCTGGCAGCAGAGATAACTGAACCGATACCGTTAAAACGGAAAAGAAGAACATCCGTTGAAAATGCATGGTCTGAGAGCAGTGTGCGGGGGCCCTGGGCTGATAGAAGAGTTGGTGTATAGAGACGAGGCTGGGGGTCAAGAATATAGGGCGCGAACTGTGGTTTATAAAGAGTGATGGATAAAGAATATATTCTCGGCGCTACAGACTTGAACCGTTGTTGTATCTCGTAGGTAGGTGATTATTGAATTACCATGCAGCATATTGAGCATCCAATGCAGCGCTCTCCTAGAAGGTCCTTAGTACACGCGACTCGGAAGCTGTCAAATGCAATGCATCGAAACAAGTCTCAGAGCATGGCCTGAAAGTGGCATAATGATTGCCGCAGGAAAACTGATGCTTTTCTTCATTCAATGGATCGCTTGCCGCCGGGGATAATCTCGTGTAGTGACTCGAAATGTATCAGAGCGTCTAAAATCACGGAATTCGGGACGTTTACAAGGATAAGCAGAACTCTAAAGGTTGAGCTATGAGCAAACGCACCGTTCAGATCGGCGCTGAGTTTCCTCGTGTCGTAATCATTTCTACTGGTGACTGATGTGATGGACGAAGCGTTGGTCCAGTTAATAACTACCATAGGTTGGTAATGTGTTCGGTAGGACAAGCCCAACGTTTCAACATGTCAGGTTCGTTGAAGCAGGAATGGACGACCTACTGTCGTGATGCGTGTCTTGTTGAACGCTGATCCGGAACCTTCCGCCCATGCTGCAACTCCGAAGAAGCTACTTACTTACTACAGGTCGAGCTTTATTTCTTCTATCTATTCCTACGCTCCTCGCACTATATTGAAATCACTTGAGTGTGCCAGCCGGTGAATTCTTCCTCGCTCACAGGAATATCGGAATATGCTTTACGTCCATACTTCCTGCCTGCCAGCCACTCTCGACCGTGACTGTCACCCGATGAACGTAAGACTCCTCCATTCATCCCCTCCAAGACCAAACATCCGAGTCTCCGGATTGTGTGCTTCTGTGGCAGTCTAAGGCAAGCACTGCAAGCTAAACGTGATGCTTCACTCGTTCCTATCTCCGCCGAATCTGAATAAATTGGGCACTCACCATTACAGTTCGAAGGCTGAGCTGATGATAATATGGCCGACTTTTATTACCCTTTCGTAAGTATTCATGCGGTGAATGGAGACTAGAAACTGCGGCACGGTCTGCCAGCCATGGAACACCTTCAAAGTGCGATAGCACTAGTTTGTTACCTGTGGTCAGAACGATTCGGCAGGTCACCAACTGACCACCACCGACAGCGACGATCTCGGCATCGTTTGGACACCAGCCAATAGTACTATTTGAGTGAAAAACACACAATTATGACAGTTCTTGAGAAGAGCACTAACGAAGAGAACGATGTCGGCGTGACGACGTTGAAAAGTAATGAAACTGAAAAAGGTATTCCAGCCAACTCCCAAGGAGTTGCGGAAGATACGAGGATAGACACTGCCAGAGCCTCTCACACTGCTGGCTAGTACCTGCTCCGATCGCACAACTTGGTTTGGCCTTACAAAATCCGGTCGCTCCAGCTGCGAAGCTAAAGCCGACGGTGAACTGTGTGCCGTCTGCGATGTTGCGGTAAAAACCAGAGATTTTACCGCCTTGAGCTAGAGCGAAATAATGATTGAATTTGGATAAAACGATTATAAAACAATGGCACACTTACATGAGTTTTCTCCCCTGGGGACGCAACCTGAAGAATGGACTCATGAAGATAAGAGGCAAACAAGACTGGACTTCCGTGACTCACGAGTGGCAGCTGCGTCCTGAGCGGCCAGTTGACCCTCCAGCGTGCTCGCAAACGGATATTCGTCACACGAATTACCGGCAGCAAACGAGGGATTGCTGGCGTAGTCGGTGTATTTATAAGAAGGCTTCTCTGGCGAAGAATAAATAACAACCTCACAATCTCGTGCTGCATCTATTCGGGTTCTTTGATCCACAAGAGTTTTTCTTTCGCGCATTCTGGCATTTGGCGGTCGCTTTGCTGACAGTGAGAGTCGTCCCGAATCCTTTGCCTGTAAGGTTCGTTCAGACAGTTCAGAACAAAGGCCTCAACAGAACGGGGGGGAGGGGGTGGGGGGAGAACATACAAACCTATCACAGACGTAGCCAATCGAATTGTTGTCAATATTAATGATTCAACAATGGACAAGGGGGCGGTTGCTTACCGCTCCGAAACACATGTTCTGGCAAACGTTCGGAATAGTATCACAGTTGAACGCAAGAGTCATCGCACGACCTTCGATGACCTCCCAGCGAGCAACCTCGCCATGCAACCAAGGCTCGGTATGGCTTGCGTTTCCATGGAGTGTCCTGAGTTCCATGGTCTCGGGGTCACTTTCGGAGAACCGTTTGACTTCGTTGATCGAACAGGAGGCCTGGCAACTGAATGCGGCGAGTAATTATCTACTGCTCCTGAACGCAGTAACGACACTTACGGGTCACATTCCCCATCGCCAGACGGTCCATCATCACCTATTCAACCAAGAGATATCAGATACGGTCGGTAGATTAAACAGATCTACTAAAACTCACGCTTGAAGAGGGACAGCCAAGATGCATCGGCGACGTACCCATCTGATTCTTTCTCTATGATGGACTGCAAATAATTTTAACTACACAGGATCTGAAGACGGATGTGAATGCCATCACCTTCGTGGATACTCCTGGGAGCATGGAAATCTGCACAGATACCGCCAAGACAGTGAGGAGGGGTGTCAATTGAACGCGCATTATTGAAGAGATTTGTGAAGGACAGGCAGTGACTGTAGAGTCTGAAATCTGAAGGTGATGGGCGAAAGAGTGGTACAGGGCCTTTGGGCTATAAAAGCGTAGAGGAGTCAAGAATATACGGACGGAGAGCCTTACGATAAAGCATTGAATGGTCGTGCAACCTGAATATAAGACCTAGCGTACCACAAAGTTTAATTAGTATCCAAACCAATACTATGATCTACAATCGATGCCACAAGGGATGGAATGCTGCCAAACGTGGTGCGTTAACATTCTACCAAGCAAGATGCCAGTGCAGAAAGGTCATGCAGTAGACGGAGACAGACACCCTTTCGTAAAGACTAATGGACACGAGCTCGTAGCTCTCGAATCGTGAGGATTTCATCCTCTTTACAGCGTATTCGAAATGTTAACATTCAAGGAAGTCGTGGTAGTCGAGACGCCGACCACGGTACTATGATACCCGATTGACGCGTACATTGCAGAGAACGGACCCGAGCCGAACAACAGTCGGTTCTGGGAACCAGGACAGTAGGGCATATATGTAGCGATGTACATTCAATTTTTTTGCCAATCAGGAAGCGAGCTCTGGCGGGGGCTCCAACGTTTGGGACCGCTACATATATGCCCTAGTGACTGAACAAGTTGAACGATTCGATGCATAGGATTCGCAGGGATGGACGATACCCGTCGGAAGGAGAAAAGAAAGATATCGGAGGAATGATCTTGATGAAGTCCAAGGTCGGAATATCGATATTATGTAGAGCCTCAGGGTGTACTGTCCTTGACCCGCATCTGAAAAGTGATTCTACCAACACATTATTTTCATTGTATGTTCGGATCGAATACCCCATAGCATATGTCAGCATTCGTGCTGAGCGAGCGAACGAATGCGGAGAAAGAAGTCAAAAGGTGTCGAAAGTGGTCCGTTCGGCTTCAGCGCCAAAATCGTGCTCGGCACCGGCAACGACACTGAGCCACATTTCTAGTTTCAAGAAAACAGACTAGATAGGCTTGTACCAGAGGCCCCGTAGAATATATGTGCAGAAGCCGAAGGAGATTGAATGAGCTAGGAGAGGACAATACAGGAGTGAAAACTAGTTTTCAGATCCGGGTCAAGGACAGTATTGTATGGAAGAACAAGCTGGGAGAAACGCACGCATTGAGCTGTCCAACCTCGGCCACCACCCTCATGCTCCTCACATCAAGAGTCGTTAGTTTCGAAATTTCAGCGTTCGACAGCGACAGCACAGCGCGGAGGGGTACATAAATGATTTGATAATGGGTAATACACCAACGTAGTCGTGGGTTGTCAGAGGTACAATCCGTGCTCGGAAAGGGAATAAGAAAGCAAGAAAGAGAAAGGGTGGAGGATATGAGAAGAGGTTTGGATGGTTTTGTGGGGATCTGATTGCCTTCCGCCACACAGGTCGGCTGAGCGATAGCCGGTCTGTGGGCCAACGAAGGAACAGTGGATGCGAAGGTGTGGTACGAGGACGTCCGTAAGGACAAGGAGGCGAATAGATGCGGGGGAGAGTCGGAGATGGATGGGCTAGGGCGGCGGTTGGTTTAGCAGTGCTTCGACTTCATCTTCCGAGAGGCCATCGAGTCGTTGAAGAAGATAGTCGACCTGATGGAATGAAGAACGACGGTAAGTCTCATCCACTCTCGTCTCTACACGAATTTCATCACTCACTTCGACATCCTTCGTCAACGGAATAATATAGTTCTCATACAACTCCACCACACCTTCCACATCCAACTTGCCCAGCGCACCTCCATGCCCATTCGCGCTACCATTCCCATTAGCACTACTAGCCAACGGGATGGGCTCCCCGTCTGGTGCGTAGTCCTGCGCGTAGGTGGACGCTTTCTTGCGTAAACGCTGGAGGAGACGACGTTCGACTTCGGGTTTGGTGATCAGGCCGGCTAGGGCTTCTTTATTCCGAGAACGGATATGCGGGATGAAAGCCGCAGGGTTTTCGACGAACTTGGACTCGGAGACGAATTTGCCTGGGAAAATCAAAGGTGAATTTTGAGTCAAATCTCCACTTTGGGCGCCTGTGTCGAGACGAACCGTAATGCACTCGCTTGCTGATGGCCTGCAGGACCTCGATATCGATGGTAGCTGCGCTGCCGTAATTTCCGTCGTCCTCGAACTCCTCTTCGCCCTTGACGCCCTGCGACCGTTTCATTGCGGCGAGGATGAGGGTCGCTTGACGTGTGATGCGTGGAACGATGTGGAAGATGTAGAAGGCCATGATGGAGGCGTTCACATTGACGTTGTTCGGGTGGAGGATTTTGGGATATTTCAGCGAGGGCATGATAGGTTCGGGCAGATTTTCGGTGAAGGGGTATTCATCGGGGCTGATTGCAACAAGGGAGAAACAGTAAGATCAGGATTGCGTCGATATCAAAGCGTCTGTAGACCAAGATCCGTGCGCGGCTGCTGAGCTTACCTAGTATAGCGCCGTGCTCGGGCTACGATAAGAGTAATGGGGAACGAGAAAGGTCAGCACCGGAGCATGAGGTGAGCAGAAACGACGCGAGGTGGCTGTGTGGATGCGGGGAAGAGGCAAGGTATAAAGGTGGAGGGGATCAAACAGTCCGATATGATTGATATCACCAACTTACCATGGAACGACTCCGTCTCTTTCAAGAACCATTCGAAGAGACTCTTTGGGCCTAGGTCACTGATGTCTGGGAACGCGCCTCGCTGGTAGATCTTCGGATTGTGGGCGAACTGTGCGCGCTCGATGAGGGAGAAGATGATGGTATCCTCGAGCCTGGTCAGAATGGATCGTATCCTATCCAGAGACAGCGGGTTATCCGAAAGCATGTAATTGGCCTGCATTTTTGTACCTGGAAAAACAGACGATATAGATTGCTTGAGGGAGATGGACGAGTGCGGTGCGGGCAGGTGGAGCAGTCGAGTGTTCCCTGTATTCCCTGGTTTTATGATAGTCCGGGCTTGAGTCATAAGGACGAGTTGCGACCTATTTCGACGCTGGCTATTTCCTCACAAGTCTTTTGAGAGGGTTATGTCCAGCTAAGGCGGCGTTTTGGATGCAAGATAAACGATTGAGTGTGGGGAGACGGCCGTCACGGATTATCGAGAGTGGTAATGCATGAGACAGAATCAGCCATTGACTCGACCAGCGCTCAGCTTCCCTTCTTCTCGCCACACCGTCTTCAAACACAAAATATTCGCTTCGTCTTCGACTTGGCTCGGTTCGATGCCCAACATATGCACTCGTGTCGTCTTTCGATGTTTCAAAAAACTGGAACGGTGGGGAGATAAAGTCACAGGCGCAGCAGGACCTTTCTTCGTCGGGCTCGCCGTCATACTCATTGTCGCAGGGACAGTCAGCTTTCGTGCGCCATCTTCATACATACTGCATACATACCAAGCTGACGTTTAGTTCTATTCGCTTCTTGGCTTGTTTCAGTCAACATAGTGCTTCCAAGTCTGCCGTGGCCGCTGTTGACCGCACCACCATGCTTGATCATCATCCTCAACATGTTCGGACACTACTACTATGTCTGCACCGTGCCACCAGGTTACGTCGATGACCCACCGCAAACGCATGTCGACAATAGCCTTCTATGGGCGAGGAGAAGTATCGGCACACCAGTGAGGCCGCAGAACGGCGTGAGATGGTCCTCGGAGGTGAATATCACGAAGGCGAGCACTACGCGCTGTACGAAGTGCAACCAAATCAAGCCAGAGGTGCGTTTGAACAATCTTACTTGGTGCATCCAAGAAACTTGTGCTAAGGCTGTCGTGTCAAACGCTCTCTCCCTCTGAGAGGACACATCACTGTCGGATATGCAACCGCTGCGTGTTGAAATATGACCATCATTGTCCAGTGAGTTTGTCTGTCTACCAAGATCCTCGTTATGCTCAATAGAGAACATCATCAGTGTATGTAGTATCTTTCACGAACGAGGACAATTGGACTGAACCTCGCTTAGGGGTTAACCAATGTGTCGGATTATACAACGAGCGCCACTTTGTTCTCTTCATGTTCGTCTTTCGACCTCTAGCCTTGCAAATTCGATATTTACATAGCCTCTAGGGTGTACCTCGTCATCGGTGCTTTCTGGTACACGCTTTTAGGGTGGGATTTCATCCTTATGGCGTTCGGGATGCATTGGAATGTGAGCCTCCTTCTACCGAACTCTCCTTTCCGTTCTCACAATTGATCATTCCGCAACGATTTGTCTAGGCAAAGTGGCCGTTCTTAGTCCCGTCCGTCGTGTTCATCATGTCCTACATCCTCGCCGCAGTAATGTGCCTCGCAGTTGGTATCATGGCGGCATGGCACTTATGGAGTGTGGCGATCGGAGAGACGAGTTGCGAAGGACACGATTTCGAGATTTATAGGAAGCTTGCGAAGTCGAGGGGAGAGGTATGTCGTTTCTAGGGGTCATATCTCGGTGGTATCTGACCGAAATATAACGTATCTTGTGGGTCTAGACGTTTGTGAATTCATACGACCTGGGGTACGTACACTCGCGCAGGGCTAGCAGGGTAGAAAGAATGGTGTATTGACCTTCTCTTTTACTACAGCAAACGCAAAAATCTCGAGCTGTTCTTCAACCTAGGAAGGGATGGATAGTACGTCTCATCCTATCTTCTACTCATCTCCACTCTCGCATCGGATATTGACTTCATTTTAACCCTACTTCACAACAGCCCAATCTACACCCTTTTCTTCCCTTTCCGTATAGAACCCTACACCGACGGTCGCTCTTGGGCACGAAGACCAGGGCTCGAACGACACAGAGGCGTCAGGGAGGGCGAAGATTTGACGGACGAGGAAGAGGAAGAGGAAATATAGGTAATTGTGCAGGGTGTCGCGTTCTCCGTATGTCTATTAGGTGAGCCACCTTGTCCGTAAGCGCCTGAGCTCAGCAGTGTGGCGCTGAAGTCGAGAGGCGCCACCTTTTTTATGATGACAGTCTGCCGGGGCCAGATGACCCTTTGAGAGTCTCTTCTGCTGCGAAAGCAAGTGGATGTTGCGCTCTGGAAAGTGGGTTGATATACGTCCGGCTATGCTAACGTTTTCGAACGTCTTTTCAAGTCTGATATTTTGATAATTTTTTTCCTGTTTTGTTTGGAGATTTTTGCGACACTGAGCTGATGTGGTATCTCCTTTGGACAGGTATACATGGATAGTATAGTTGGGGGAACGAATTGGACACTTATCGAACTTGGATCATCTTAATTTATTGTCTTTCCTGCACCTGTCAATGGACTACGTAGTATCAGACAGACGTTTCCGTGGTACGATCTTTGCAACACTTCGCGACCGCTAATGGAGACTCCCCTCCGGTTCCAGATGTTATCCGTGTTTAGCTTTTGCCTAATGACGTATCGACGATGAGCATACAATTTTCTCCTTCTAGTTAACATCCCTCTTGGCACTCCCCCGCCCTCCCCGCTCTCACCTATTCCACCCCACAATTTTCACTTGGTGACCCCGAACGCTCCGATGGCCCCCAAAGCGGGACTCCTTTTGACCCACCTTCGAAATCTCTAGTGTGCGCCGACTAACAATAGACACCCCAACGTGCTCGGCTCGGAGCCATTTCGTCCACCAAAGGTGGCGAGAGCGCTCAAGAAGGATGATAGCGCACGGCGGTTGGAGTCGAAGGATCCTGTTGAGCTCACACCCTACGCCATAGGCTGCGTCGTGATCCGGTTTTTATTTAGGGTGGGCCAATCAGGTCGTCCTTTCCGTGCTTGTGTTTATCAGTTGGCTCCTGTCTGTATGTCGGGTTCTTCTAGCCCTTTCTCTTGCCTTTCGAATGTTCACAGGGCGAGCACGGAAAGTATTTATACGATGAGCCATGGGGTGCGAGAAAATTCAGTCGACCCCAGGATCGCCTCGTCTGTCCTCTCCAACACCATCCTCTCTCCCCCTCCAACTACAGCTCCTTCAATCAGGTCTTTTCTTGATTAGACTTCTGACCAATAGCCATGGCTCCTCCCGTTGCGACCGAGACCTCCACGTACGATGATACTCCCTCTTCTGTGCTTCTACAGAAATCGGAGACCCAGATGAACGGCGGCAGCAAGACCAACGGTGCAACAGACTATGACTCTGAGGTCGACGAGAACTGGGAGGGAAAGTACCGCTTCGCGCCCATCCAGGAAGCACAAGTCTCTCGTGCCATGATCAAGAGGTACGTCGCTGCTTCCTTGAAACGATGTGGTGGCCAATGGCTGACATGGGTGTGGTACAGATACTTCAACCAAATGTATGAGCGCGCCGTGTCGGACGTCGTAGTCGTCGGGGCGGGCAGCGCTGGTCTTTCCTGCGCATATCACCTTGGAAAGACTCGGCCAGACTTGAAGATTACTATCCTTGAGGCCAACGTCGCACCCGGTGGTGGGGCTTGGCTTGGTGGTCAGCTCATGACTCCCATGGTACGTGGCTAGATGGTGCAACCTATGTGTGTTTCGAAATAACCGCTAACCGACACCTTTCCTTCCTACCATTGCAGGTTGTCCGCAAGCCTGCCGACCGCTTCCTTACGGAGCTCGGTGTCCCCTTCGAAGACGAAGGCTCCTTCGTCGTCGTCCGCCACGCCGCCCTCTTCACCTCTACCATCCTCTCTCGCGTCCTCATGATGCCCAACGTCGTCCTCATGAACGCCACCGCCGTCGAAGACCTCATCATCCGCGAAGACCACACTTCTTCCCCTCGTGTTTCCGGCGTCGTCACCAACTGGACTTTGGTGGCTCTCAACCACGACACCCAGAGCTGCATGGACCCTAACACGATCACGGCTCCGGTGATCGTGACGGCGACGGGTCATGATGGGCCTATGGGTGCGTTTTCGGCGAAGCGGTTGGTTACGACGGGATTGTTGAAGGAGTTGGGGAATATGAGAGGGCTGGATATGAATAAGGCGGAGCCGGCGATTGTGAATGGGACGAGGGAGGTCGTCAGTGGACTCGTTATGACCGGTGAGTACCTTCAGCCTTCTAAATCTGTTATATTTATTGGGGCTTACACATTGTGGTGCATGACAGGGATGGAGCTGTCCGAGTTCGATGGTAGCGCCAGGATGGGTCCTACGTTCGGTGCGATGATGGCTAGTGGTGTCAAGGCCGCTAAGGAGGCCATGCGCATTTTTGACAGTCACAAGATCGTTGATGGAAGGGTCGTTGGATGAGGGGCTTGTCCTTGTCTTGAAATGATCAACGTGTGTCTGCTCGCCCTGGGGCACTCTTCATGGACATACACGCATTACTCTGTAAAACACATGTATTCACATTCACGATCTCGTCAACCTTTCTTTGGAAGAAATGTGTTCTGCATTTGTTCATTGGTCTTTAGGCTTATATTTGCGTGTCGAATTGCATATCGGTGGCCCAAATTCGAACACTACTACAAGATATATTCGTTGCCTTGTATAACCGAGCGGGATAGGATATTAAATCTTCTCGTTAACGAGAAGCTCGTCGGATGAAGGGCTTATAAGTACCCGTCTTACCAACGTCGTTCCCGAGCCGTCAGCAATGCGACCGTGGGAAATTCTCGCCACATCAAGGAACCCCAAGTCAGAGTCAGACAGCGTCTAAGTTGCTGTCATCCACGACTGCATTGCTGGACCAAACATCCACCATATCTCCTCCCTGTTCTCTCGAGACCGGGGAACCCCTGATATTCTCTTTCACTAACCCAGAGAGTTAATCACTTGAGGCTCTGCCCAATTATCACATTTTTGCCATACCGTCGAGTCAGAAGGCAGCTTGAAGTTTCTGCTTCTTTACAGGTGAGTAATACGGTATATGAACGTCCCGAGCGCAATCTATATAACTTACCTCTATTATGCACGACGAAAACTGTTAGAAACCGCAGGGGAAATTGTGTTTTCAGAACTAGGACAAGAAACAGGACACCGATGGCGTCCGATCTATCCCGGTGGGTTCCCTTCTCCCCCGTGCCATTGTGTATGGTCATGCTGATGTTCCCAACAGGGCGAATTTTTGGCAGAATTTACGAAGTTCAAGAATCCCTGAGACCATTGAAAACGCAGGTGGTGATGTCGGAATGACCCTTCAAGCCTGCGATGACGAGATCGCCCGTGCTTGCGCGTACATCCAAGAGATCAGCGCACGGCGAAACAAATTCGTTCCCATCCTTCGACTGCCCTCTGAGATACTCGCGTCCATATTCCGTCATCTCCTCCCCGTGCTTGACGTTCCCTGTTGGAGCAACGCGGGAAGACGGGATCTCAACGAGATCGAGGATAGGACAAAGGACCTCATAGTTGTGAGCCATACCTGCAAATTGTGGCGCCAAACTGCATTGGAGTTTTCGGTCCTATGGACCACTATATGGATCAGTAACACTCACTGGATGAAGGAAATGCTTGATCGCTCCAAGGATGCTCCCCTCACAATCGTAGAGTTGCATCCGGTGGGATGGCGAAGCCCCCCGCCATTCCCTCAATGGACGCCCCCGTATGTTGAGGGCCGGCAGCACAACATAGAATATATCGTTCCAAAGTTGTTCGAGTCCAAGCAGGTCAAAGTATTGTCCTTATCTGTGCCCCTCGACAAATCGACAGAGCTCTGGAGAGAAGTGTTGAAGCGACCCGCCCCTCAATTGGAAACGCTAGAGTTATATGGAATGTTATCCCCCGACCCCAGCCCATTTTCCATACCGGAGGACTTCCTTGGAGGATACGCTCCAGCTTTGAGGGGCCTGGCCCTAGACGGCTACTTCTCACATGAGATTCTCTGGCGTGCCCCTATGCTCCACGGACTCGTCACTTTAAAGTTGATAGTGCAATTTACGAGTGACCCTGGCTCTAATTGTGTAGTGCTGCTGCAGGATACTCTTGATGCACTACGAAATATGCAGCAGCTAGAGACCCTCTTCATCACGTTCCCCTCATCTGCGTCCCGATCGACGTATCCTACCTATTTTGTTACCAGTCCCGGACAGGTCAACTCTCCTGTCGACCTTCCCCGCCTCTCATCCCTCACGCTGGCCGGTAATCTCGCTGATATCACTGAACTCACGACACGCATCGTGGTCGACCCGAGCGCTATTTTGGATTTCGATATCATTCTTGGACAAGACGAGCTCAACGATTCTCTATCGGAAAGACTGTCAGGGATCTTTTGTACTCCCGCTATCACCCCCATCGAGTGTTTGGAGCTTGTATTCTTCTGCAACACCGATGACAACCTCATACTGAAGTGTTGGAACCAATCCATACCCACGCACTTCGAAGAAATACCCAAACCCGACCCGCAGATAACTTTACACATCTCTATATTGTCAACAGTGACCACACCGGTTCCGTATCCGGATTGGTCGGATGCTGCCCGAATGCGTGAGCACGCCCAGGGGCTCATTCGTGTTCTGAGCCTGCTCTCGTCTCTTCTCCCCCTCGACCACCTTCACGATCTGCGATGGGGAAGTCGTTGGCGAGATCTTATCATGGCAACAATCCCTTTCGAGGAACGTACGTGTGTTCAGGCCTTGGACATCTTCAGCACAGTCCAGAGACTGGTATTAGAGGACGTACGTGGATATCGCGAGATATTGGCTGCCACAGCTTCCAATATCTCGGCACTTCCGCGTTTGAACAGCATACACTTTGACCCGACTGTTATGGCGAGGCAACATTGGCATCACAGTCAAAGTCTCACAGCGGAAGAAGCTCATGAGCTCGCAGAACTACTTCGTCGCGTTGTAGAAAAGCGAGACCTCCGCACTCTCGAATTTTGTGGTGCCGCCATGGATAAAGATTACCTCTCTGTATTCGAAAACAGTATACCACGGGTTTTCCCCTAGTATGCAGTAAATTACACCACTGCTGCAGCCCATCATGTTCTCTTTCAGTATTCGTCTCAAAGACTTTATTCAATAATCTACTTTCAGTACTTGTAGCACTCCGGTAGCACAGGGTAGGACACGTTATGGAAAATGGGGGTTTGAGTACATATCAAGCAAGGCCGTACCAAGGCACCATGTCTTCGTATAGCATATAATTAGATGTTCATCGGATCGATCTTATTGAACCTTTTCACCTGGTCTGTTTCTACCTCATTTCTCACGCCGTCGCGATACCTTCCGGTGACACCTTCCCTTTAAATTATCTTGCTGTTCCACCTTATGCACGGCCTTTATTCGAGAGTTGACAAGCCGCACGGTATACTATGGATGGCCCTTCAAGCACCCTGCCCGCAGCCGACTGAGACGTTCGTCCACTGCCAAGAGTTGATCATTCTTCCACACACTCCAGCTCTTGCAAAACCTTCGCCAACCCTGACCTCGGGTCCCGCTCCTCTTTGCTCTCAACTTCCAGGTCCCACTGCAATAACCTTCGACAAACTCGATCAGCCTCCTCGAGCTCGCGCATTTCTTCTGCAGTCATATCTTCATCTAGAAGCTTTGTGATCTCATGAGCAGATAGAAGGTCACTGGGCCGGGCGTAAGTTAGTAAATATCGGAGTGAAGTCGCAATATGGCATCGGTACCTGACGTATTGAGCTCTCTCCACAATGTCGTGGGGTATACCGAAGATTTCAGCACATCGGGCAGCTTGAGAACGTAGCGAAAGGCCCGGTGCAACTCTACGGCTAGAGAGTCAGCCTACTGGGAGGATACTAAAATCTTGAAGACTCCTACCTGTACAAGTATGTTATCTTCTCCCCATGACCGATCCTTCGAGATATGCTTCCTGTCTGTTCGGCCTCGTCAGAATGGTCGCTACCAATAATGACTTCCCCGTCTGCGGTCGTAAATAGGACCTCCATGTGGGCGTAAGTGATGGGCAGTAGACGAGGACTGAGTAGGTCGTCACGGAACAGGTCATGAAAGTGCGTTGTGGCGAGGACCTTTGGGCAATCGGCACCACGCGCAAGTAGGCTCTTGATGACACCGCAAAAGAGACCAGCGCCGTCTAATAGCGACAATGACCGTTAAGCAATCTCGGAGACAGGGCTAGAGCAAGGAGCTGCCGTGACAGGCAGAAGGTAAGGAATGTACGGACCTGTCGACAAGGTACCCTTCCCGAACTCATCGAGAAGTAGCAAAGAGCGCGATGTACAGTTTCGCAGGGCCAGAGAAACTTGGTTTAGATCTATCATCAGAGCTGACTGGGCCTAACGGAATATACATGCTCAGTGAGCTCTTAGCAACAGCAGGGATGCCAAAGAATGCATGTTACTCTTGATACGGATTCTCGGCTTTGGACACGAGTAAAGACTGGATCGACGAGACTGATTAGGATTGACAGACAAGTAATGAGGCGCAAAATCACTTTTATCCACAATCCCGAGAATGACGGACTCGGCGGGAACAAAGCTACAAACCGATCAGTAAGCAAATTCACTTTGAACGCAAAATGAAGTATTTACCATCCGATCTGCAGTGGAGGATGTTTGATTAGCTCTACACACAAAAAGAAAGAAGGCATGTCGCTCACTTGAGCCATGAACTGGATCAAGGCAGTCTAAGAGAAAGGAATAAGGTCTTGGACCAAGAACGGTCGCGGGATTCTACCGACTTGTTTCAAGTATACGCTCTGGAAAAAAGCTAGTAAGTATTATTCTGGAGTTTGGGAAGGGCCTCTTACCTTTCCGCAAGCATTCGCTCCCGTACACACAACGATACTGTTACCAAGTAGTGGCACTTCCCCACTCGAATCATCCTCATCTGCTCGTACATTAGGGTAGCTTCCGATGCCAGCACCACCGACCAGAAAAGCGTCATTCGGCACGAATGTATCCACGACTTGTTCCTGCAAAGGATGGCTGCCGAGTGCGAGATCAAAAAATAACACATCAGAATAAGCACTGCGTGAGAGGCGACCGACAGACGACTGACCGGCCTTGCTTAATCATGATAGTATTCTCTTCGCTCATCTCTGGTCTGGTATATCCGTACGCATTGGAGGCTTCAGCAAAGCAGAGAAGGCAGTCGAGTTCAGCACAGACGTCACAGGCGTGACTTATTGCTTCTTCGAAAACTAGAATCTTATCGAGTAGTACTTGACAAATCTCGATTTCCCTGTCTGTTGACGAAGATGAGATGTCAGGCTTCCGGCGTGGTGGAATATGGACGTACCGACGATGGAAGTATAGATGTCGCCAATGTGTGTATCGAGATCTACAAAAGGAGCCAATTAACAAAGCACGTCGAGGCTATTTCAAGGCGACTGGGGGCACTCAGTTCCTCACCGTGCATCTTATCCGACTTGAAGTACACATGGGACCTATACAGAAGTCAGTCCCTCAGTCGAGGAGTGCACGAGGTAAATGTACTGACTCTGACGAGAACTGAAAGGAACCGTGTCAACGGGAGAAACTGACGGCGAACTATGACTGATCGATCTCACCTGAAAGGTCCATCCCTCCATCACCACAATGCCATCACCGGTCTTCCACTCCTCGAGCAAAGGGATACATATGAGGTATCCCAGCTGAGGAAAATAGACTACGTTCAACGAAGATGCGTAGTCGGGCGAAACAGTCTCGCTGATATCTTCAGCGACTTTGGACTGGGGTAGAATGTCAGAATACGTTGAAGCACGCAGCATATTGCGGAGCAAATACTGACAAGAACAGCGTCCAATCCATGGTAAACATGTTTTCTGTTGTCGAGTTCTTCATCGATGTGAGGACGAACGCAGACTCTGCCAGAAACAGTGCTTTCCTCCCAATCAATCTATCGAAAGCCGTTAAAGAGAGCGTATGGACTATGGCGCAAGCGACAGCGTACCGTTTCATTTACTGCAGTACCCACTTCCTTGAAGCTAGCGATGTCCAAAACAGCCGTTAACTGCAGCAGGTCAGTACCAACCCTCGTCCATACCACGAAGACGATTATTTGTCATACCTTGTGCACAACATCGACACTGCCCCCCATGCTCAACTCCGTCAATGTATCCCGCAGCATTGCGGAATGGAATGTGAACTATAGTCGTCACAACAGTCCATTGGGCCTTCGTGAATCTGACTACAGAAGACCAACGGACCTTCACAAGACTAAGCCAATCCTGCGTCTTGGCTTTTCCAGACCTCAAAGCCGTCAAAATCTTCGGTATATTCCTGAACCCCTTTAGGTGATTGTGCATCGTATTCGCAGCGACGAGGTTCTCGGGACGAGTGAAACAATCGATGGCGTCATGCCGACTGGAAATGATGGAGATATCGAGAGATGGTCTGAGCAACCAGGTGCGGAGGAGACGACGACCGAGGGCAGTTCGTGTTTGGTCGAGGATGGCTTGGATGTCGTTATTCGTGTGAGTGAAGCTCTTGTAAATGAAAAAATGAGGTGTGAAAAGTGCCATACCGAAGAGCGATAGGCCCTCCTTCGTTTTGTCCGAATGGATGGACGCATGGCCTTCGTCGACAAAAATCTGCAAGGAGCTATGGTGGGCATATCGGTATTCCGACCTATCTGTCGAGCGAATGTGACGTTATGTGCAAGTTCATCCACTTACCACAGTGCATCGGAATTGATATACATGACAGCATCTCTTCAATGGCAATGTCAGAAATACGTGGACAGGTCAATGCAAGCAGACCCACAGTGTCAACGCCTGTATACCGAGAACCTCAAGACCAGCCACGCCTTCGTCGTCCAACTCTCCAACCGCCCGTTCCCGAGCCATCTGGTCGAGCAGCGCACCGATGCAGCTCACCTGTCCATAATAAATCCCTGCGCGCTCAAAACTACTGGAAACGAGGAGCCGGTAAAAGACTCACACATAGCGGGGCCGTGTCGACAGCGGCAAAGTTAGACATCCTAATCGATGCATTCCACCTCCTCATCGTGGGATCCCCATACTTATCTTTTCTCCTCCTCATGAACTCATAAGCACTCCTAGCATCAGAAACTGACCCCAAATCGGATCCGTCTGCACCCTCCTCTGCCTCCAAAGAAGAGAGAAACCCCAGGGATAAGAGGTGGTTGCGGCCTTTACTCGGAGTGAAATCTTTGTGTGGTCGAATTTGGAAGGTTCCGCCAGATGCATCGACTGTATACCCAGTATCAATGTTGGTGAAGGACGAATTTTGGGCGAAAATTAAGCATATATGCGTTCAGATGGGGGAAGGTAAGGGAGAACAGACCGTATTTCTGACAGACTGAGATGAATCCGTCGTCTGCTCTGGAGCTAGTGATGATGGCATCCGGTGAGGTTTGTTCAAACACTGTTCGCTCAGGCACGGCGAATGAGTTGATTGCGTCAAACTATGTAGGTACGGAAAAGAATAACTCACGCATCTTCGTCAAGTCGAAGTGAACGTTCTCCTCCGTGTCCTCGAGAACGTAGACAAAACGCTTCACAGGATCGTAGTATGCACACGCAAGCCGACTCCTATTTTCCAAGGTGTCATTACAAGGAATCCAGGCAAAATAAGGCGCATATATCATGCTTCGGATCAAGTAGACGCACCCCGAACAATACGCTGCCAAATATGTCTACAAAATGACACATCTCGTCAGCGCATACAAACTCCCACCACGATAAGCATATATGCGCACCTTATCACCCCTCATATCCTCCTCAGAGTCCTCCTCAGTCTCCCGCATATCTGTCTCTTCATCAGGCTCCGGTGTGGCCCCATCCCACCTAACTTTCTTCCTCCGATTCCCCTCTTCTTCTTCGTCCAATGCGGACTCAATATCAGCATCCTGTTTGTTTGTAGTCTTGACTGAGGTAGTCGAGCCGGAGGATCGAGCTCGCTTGTTACGGGCCATGAGAAACGGCTCTGAGGGGGAGGGACACAGCGAGAGTGGAAATCGCGGAAGGGAGCAGAAGGACGCGCCGCGCGTCACCCGAGGCGCACGTGATCGCGATTACGCCACTGTGGCACAAAACAGCCCCTTTACCATCCGGCTTCGAACGAGATTCGAGCTCAACGGAGAACAGGGCTCGTTACACAGAGCATGCATGATACATGATCCTGAACAACGACCATACCTCCCTCCAAGAAGTCAATTCCCAGGAAAGACCATTCTTCCTTCTTCATGTTCCCACATACTACATAGGCAGTAAGTGGACACGACGGCTTTCTCGCGATCGCGTTGTCTCCGGATCATAAAAGTGCATACCGATACAGGATGCTGTATGAATGTTTCCACCTCCCAGCGCAGGCCAAGGTCATAGATGAAGACCTCAAGGCCCTCATAAGCGAACAGACGCTCCCGGAATTCCCATAGCTTGTATGCATGTTCGACTCACGGCCGTCATCTCCGGCGACGCGAGCTGGGGGGGCAAAGACTTCAGGTAAACAGAAAGCTTAAGCCTGGGATTGGTTTTTGGAGTGGAGCGGATATGCGATAACGATGTGATAAGATGGGAAAGAGACCGGTAGTATGAGGACAGACAGCGAACAGATGAACGGTGAACGAACACAAGCGAGGGAGACGCTCATTTCTTAACCTTCAACAGCTCATTCGTCAGGTCATCGCCGGTCACTGCCATACAGGAGAAGGATCAGCGAAAAAGCTTATAACTATCGATTGAAAGTGGGGGCAAAGTGGAGGTGAAACCGCGTACCGTTCAGCATGAGCGATTGCGAATCGAGCATGACCTTATTCCCAGACGCAGCCAGCAAGCTCGCGATATCCCGAGCGGCCTCCAACCTTCTCAGTTGCAAGAAGCCCTTGTTACTCCTCATGGCCTCGCCAATAAGCTCAGCACTCTTTGCCTCTCCCTGTGCCCTGACAATAATAGACTGAAAAGAGGAGCGGGGAAGCGTTAGCACGGACGGATGGACGGATGGAAGGGTGGATCCAGTTGAGATCAAATTAGGCAAGGGCGGACTTGCCTGTTTCTCTTGGATAGCTTGATCCACGAGGAAAGCCGCTCGGAGAGCCGTTTGTTGGGCGACCTGATCGAATTCGGACCACGATGCACGAGGGGGGACGAATACGGAAGAGACTCGGGAGTGAGAAGCAGTTTCATGGGCATGGTGTGGGGTAAAAGGTACAGTACCTGCTTCGCCTCGACGGCGTGTGTGAACTCTGGCGAGAAGGTGACATGGGTGATGGAGACGTCGTCTAGGACTATATGGAACCGTAATGCCCTCTTCACCAAGTTCTCTCGCACGAGACGCGAAACCTAGTTTCGGACATGCTCTTTTAGAGTTGCTAAACGGATGGAGAATCAGAGGGAAGTGGGTCCGCACATTTTCACGCTGTGTGATCAGTTGACTTGCGTTGAACTGAGCCACAACACTCTTCAGAACTTCATTCACGATCGAAGGCAACACCCGTTCGTCATAATCCTGTCCAAGTTCCCTGTATATTGTTGGCAACTCTTTCGACTCCGGCCTCGATAGCACACGGCAAGTGATGTTGACCATTTGCAGGTCTAGATAACACATAGACTGCTCAGGATCGAGTCAGCGAGATTCTGGGATGTAGACGGACCTTTTGTGCCGGTCAAACTGGCGATACTACGTGGTTTTGCGCGAATGTCGAAGAGGATAGGTGTTTCGAACCAGGGAAGCTGGAGGAGCGGCTAAGAATATGAGGCAGGCATAGGGAAGTAGTTCTAACCATTAAATGAGTCCCTTCTGGGTAGACATTCTCCTTGACACCGTTTAACCTGTGTTCAGTCAGACGCGTACAGGAAACGAAGACATGACAGTTCTTACCTCGTGTATTTAATTGCACGGTGACCACCATCGACTAAGCAGCGTTCAAATATCAGCAAAAATACGAGTCGAACAACCCTTTGTACGCACCGTTAAACAAACTAGCATTCAGAGCCAGACCACCAGCAACCAGAGCAACGATGAGACCGCCTCCCGCAAAGAAACCTCTCGGTGGGGTACCACGAGGAAACCCTCCACCACCTCCACCACCACCACCAGCGGCCTTCTGAATCTGTTGCGCAAACCTTCGGAAGTCGTTTTGGTTCATGGTGAATGAGGGACGCGTAAGACTGAGAGGAAGAGAGGTCGAGGTCAGCGAGCGCGTCGGCTCCAGAGCGCAATGCTGACGATCTTCGGCATTCGGATGGTTCCGGCATTTGCCGGCATATGACCTCAAGGTGTTTTAGCAAATACCGTATTTGATTTTCTTGTACTCCTTCTTTTGCATCTCGACGTTCGACGACAACTTGAAGCATCGTTGTCTGTCGACCATTCGAACATTCGGTATACACGAGTACTGACGAGATAGTGTAATAGTACTCGTTTTAGAGCTGTACACCATGATTGCCTCAAGCACTGACACCCTGAGCAGCGTGGTATGTCCTGCCTTTTACTTCTCCGCAACAGGTTGTAGACCTGACTTTCACAACACAGCTCGGCTGGATCTCAATTGCCTGCTGGTAGGCTGTATCGCTCGTAAAACAGGATTAAAAGACTCAGCTTTAACCAGGGCGGTAGTCTACTCTCCGCAGATACTTGAGAACTACCACCTCAAGTCCGGCGAAGGCCTCTCCGTATACTTCGTGCTTATATGGCTCGCAGGTGACATCAGTAATCTGGCCGTGCGTGTGTTTCGGCCCTTGCGGCACTCTTTTCGTACTCGCCGCAAGTTAACTCATGTCTCCTTTAGGGTAGCATCCTTGCAAACCTCCTGCCTACAGTGATCATCCTAGCCGCATACGTTAGTCCTTTTACTCCGTAAAACTGACTACCCTCCGGATGATCGCTCAAACAAGCTCGGACTTGTTGCCGGGCATGCAGTATAGCACCTGCGACATCATCCTGCTCTTTCAAATTTACTACTATCGGAGGACGAACAAGAAAACCCGCCTTCCATCGGGGGCTACTGCAGAGACCGATGTTGCCGAAGACACCCCTCTTCTCACAGCAGAAAGCGCTGCTCGGAGCACCATCACCACCACCACCACCAGCCTGAAGCGTAAAATACTGCAGTATTCTGCGGCAATTACATTCATCTGCGCCGCCGGTGTGGTGGCGTGGGCGATAAGCGAAAAGATGGACGATGGTTCAGAACCTTCCGACCGCAAGGAGGTGCTCGAGTGGAAGAGTCAACTACTCGGTTGGCTGAGCGCCATTCTATTCTGTGAGTCGAACGAGTCCTACAGCTTGTTCAATGAAAGAAGCACTGATGAAATAGCGTTTCGCCGTAGTGGGGGCTCGTGTACCGCAGATACGTGAGTACCACGGTGCATTCGATCCGTTCACGACTTCATCTCAACAGACTTGTAGGGAAAAACTTCACGACCAAGTGCGAGGGCCTTTCACCGGGTGGGTAATACGGCTGCCTGTAATCCACGAAACAGAGACGCTGAATGTTTGGATTAGGACTGTTCACTTTCTCGATTATGGGCAACGTGACGTATGGGCTATCTATCATCGTAACACTGCAAACGATGGAGCAATTCGTGGCGAACGCCGCCTGGTTGGCAGGTGAGAAAAGACGTACCCGACTGCTCCGTAGGAAAGCCGCTGATGGGGATGTCGTTATATAGGCAGCCTTCTGACTGTATTCTTGGATGTGTTTGTGGGTGTTCGCCCTGCTTACGAGTGTCCGTCCTCGGCTCATTTGATTCCTCACAGGTGTTGTCCCAGTTTTTCTACTACCGGAGCGTGGAGAGGGTGTACATGGGCGAGGAGCGGAGTGCTGTAGCGTAGATAGATATTTATGTGTGCGTGTATATGAAGAATACAAATCGAACGAAAGAGCTGGAAGGTGTGGTGATAAGGTGTGTTGGGTATGCCCGGGAGTGCGGCGTGGCTCTTGGGATACTTTGTTGGGCGGCTTTGTGGGTGGCCTCGTTGCAGCCCTCGAGGCATATGTTTGCACTCTTTCGAGACACGTTGCAGGTCAGCCCGGGCACTCGACGCGCTTCTGCAGTCCTCGCCACGCTCGAAAGCCGACATGCTTTCCGCCTCGCTGTCCGCCTCGTGCAGAGAATGTCACCCTCCCAGCCTTTATCATCCCCGCCTACAAAAACCCAGAGTCTCCCGTCCGACGCCCGCCCAGGACGCCCTCCCCCGTACACATGTCCCCCGCCAGAGGTGAGTGAGCCGACGACGACGACACCGCTCTTGCTTTGTTCTCCGTCGCCCTGCTGACATCCATCTCGTTTCAGTCTGAACCCGTCTCCGATCACCCTTCCTTGTCCTCCAGCGGCCCATATCGAGCTAGCAGCGCGAACACGAGGCAATTCGGTGCCCTCCTTAGCGTTTTATCGCGACGCCAGGCCACAGCCGCATCTCTGAATTTGCAGCAGTATAAGGTTGCATTCGGTCGACAAGGCTCTCGTGCCCGCCCTCGCCGTGTCTTACCTTGAACCTCTCCATTTCTGCCGTCACGATGCCCAGGTCTCCCCTTATTTATGCTTCTCTCACCAAAGGACCAGATTCGATGGCCTACACCGCGTACGAACTGCCTTCACCTCCGCGGAACAAGCCATCCGTACCATTCATTCTCCCTTCCCCAGAATCCACCATGTCCTCCCATCCCGCGCCCTCTTTCCATAGGCGTGCCGTACCAGTAGACGTCTTCACGAAGCCGACGAACAGTCACCATCCACCAAGAAAGTCCGTTTCGCGTTCGGTCAGTTCATGTGGCGCGAGACAGGCCCGCGGTGGCGCTGGAAGCAGCAGCACTCGGGTGGCGGACGCGTCGATACCTCATCTTCGAGAGGCCCTTTCCACTCTCGAAACGAAGATGGCGTCCCTCATGAGCGAACGCGACGCGCTCGAATCGCGTCTCGAACAAGCCGTTCGTCTCCAATCGCCCATTCAACGTTTGCCTAGCGAACTCCTCGCCTCCGTATTCACGATCGGCGTCCTGGACATGCACGAAGAAGACCCACTGATGCTCTCGAATCTCATGCTCGTGTGCCGCTACTGGTCCGACGTCGCCACCAACACTCCCCTCCTCTGGTCCCGTATCGTCGTCGGAAACCACGACTCGCTCGAGAAAGCCCGACGACGACTCTCGCGCGCGAAATCCGTTCCGTTGGACGTGAGCATCAGTTTCAGCCCACAGATGGATGATGGAGGCGCGACGATGGAGAGTCTAATTCGTGCGATGGAGATGCTGCACCCTTCAATTCCGAGATGGAGGTCCTTCCGGCTCTCGGTTCCTAATCGGCCTCAGGCCCATGCGGCGCTTAGTCGATGTCGCGAGAGAGCCCCTATGTTGGAGCTGTTACAGGTGAAGATACACCATTCGATGCAGGAGGATCTCTACTCGTCGGCACCGTTGCCGTTGTTCGGCGGGGATATTCCATCATTGAGGACGTGTTCGTTCAATTCCTTCAATTTCGGGTGGGATACGGGGATGGTGAGCGGGTTGAGGGTGTTGGAGCTGGGAGGGTATTGGAACGGGTATGCACCGTCAGTGTCCATCATTCTTACCATCCTGCGTTCATGTCCGGATCTGGAAGAGTTCGCCCTGCGGAATATGTCCGACGTCGATGTAGACTCCATCGCGATGTTCGAACGCGACTCCTCGGGTGCCACCGCCACACATAACGCCTCTTCTCCCAATGCCATATCAACGTCGAATTCACGGCATCGGTCCTACTCCTCACAGATCGTTCATCTACCACGGTTGACAAGATTGTCGCTTTACTATGCTGGTATCCACCGAGCGCGGTCTATTCTCAGTCAGGTGGCGTTGCCGTCCTTGGAGAGGTTAGAGCTATGCTATATGGACAATGTGACGCCGATCCTGAAACATCTGAAGCGACAATCTTCGTTTACTTCGTTACCTCTGCGACATTTGAAGATTGAGGTCTCATTATATAGCGAGATGGATCTCGTAGGGTTTTTGTGTAGGACGTCGTCGTTAGTCAGTCTCGAGCTGGTGGATGTAGAGGACTCGACCTCGAAGTTGCTCAGGGTGCGTCTTTTTTTTACCACTAATATCCGTCGGTATCTAAAATCTGAAACGGTTCAACAGTCCCTTTCGACGCCCTCGGCACCACAATCATGGACCTGTCCCAAGCTCGAGCGATTAAGCCTCGAGGGATGTACATCGTTCGACTGGGATGCCCTCCGCACACTCGTCGAATGTCGTCTTCCCTCGACACTTTCTCAGTCTCCATCCCACTCATCCACCCGACCACGAAACTTCCTCTCCATCCCCACACCACCATCACCATCCAACCCCGCGGCAGGTTACTCCAACTCCACGACCCCAACACCTCTCCGCCACACGAGCCTCCATTCGTCGTCGCACCCGCCTCGGAGCGTTCCGTCGCACGTCAATTACCCCTCACATCATCCACAACCTCAACCCCAACAGCAGCAGACACAGCATAATCATGGAGGAATGGGAAATCGGTCGCATAGCGCTCCGCCGAAGACGACGATCCCGGGCGTGTGGCCCGTGAGACTGAAGAGCGTGGATGTGACGCGGTGTCATCAGGTTAGTAAGGAGATGGTGCAGTGGTTGAGGATGTCGGTCGCGGAGGTGAAGTGTGATGCGAAGAGGCCGTGGGGGGAGTCGACGTTCTTGTGAGAGTTTCGACCGAGCGGGAGGGAGGGAGCGAGGGTGGTGGTTTGATGATCGATGATTAGAGGAAAGGGGGATGATGAGGCCACATTGAAAGTATTATTTTAAAGAGAAAGAGGAGGAGGGAGGGAGGGAGGGAGGGAGAGGTGTTTCTGTAAGTACTGTACCATTGCTATCGGAAGACTGACGGACAGACCCATCCGGCACGTCACATCCGTCCATTGTCCATAATTTCTATCCTGGCGATACCCATCCACAACTACCGACGCACCCAAACCTGCATCCGCACCTACTCACTTATCTGTTCGATGTCGACCTGCTCGTACCTACCCACCAGATCCCAGACCACTCATCTTCATCCCATTCAATCCTATTTAACTCAATATTCTTTTATGACTCGTTTTCCTCTCAGTCTTTTCCTTGCTTCCTTAACCCTAACGTTCATCACGATCTGTTACTTGTACACTATCTCCAGCCCTCGTGGAGTCATGGCTCGGCTCCTTAGACTCATTTATTCGTGTCTGTATGGTGATTGAGTGCGAGTGGTGATTGAGAGCGAGTGGTGGCAGGCAGGGGAGAAGGGAGACGCTGGATCATTGGACTGGATACTGCTTCATTCCATCATGCTTTCGTGCGTTGCGTTTTTGCTGTGCATACTTACTCACCTCCTCGCTTGGATTGGATCGGATTTACTTCCTTTCCGTTATACCCCCAAGCAATGCAATACGAGTTCACTCACACAAAGGTTGACTTGAATCTCTCTGTTCTCGTGAGTTCATGGTAAGGCAAACAATATAGCAGCAACGCGCCCCCAATGCGACTTGCATAAGACATGGCCACAGATACCACACAGCCGTCAACCAACCCTACCACCCCCGATATCACCTCACCCATTCATATAAGCCAACATCTCCCTCCTCCTCTCCCTCTCTTTCCTCTCCCTCCTCTCAAACGCCCTCCTCCCCTTCCCCTCCATCACCTTCCTCCTCCGCGTCTCTTCGCCCCGCTTCACATGTTCCCGCATCGCCGCGGCGTTGTGCGTCACGCGTTTGACGGAGGAGTGGTAGGGGCCTTCGGTTTTGGCTTTGAGACCTATTCCGAGGCGGTCGGATTTGAGGACGGTGGGGAGGGGGGTTAGGAGGGATGTTTGGGTTGCGTGGTGAGAGGTGGGCGGGGGGGAGGAGGATTGGGGTGCGGTGGTTGTGGGTGTGGAGGTGGAGGTGGCGGCGGAGGGTGAGGGAACTGTGGCTGGGTCGTCGTCAACTTCGGACGTGTTGTGCTCGGAGTCGGAGTCTGACTCTGACTCAGATTCAGAGTCGGACAAAGTGAGGTCGATGATTTCTGTCTTCTTGACTTCGATGATATCTTCATCGCCATCGTAGACGTGCTCCTCCTCTTTTACTGTCACTCTTTCTACCTCTCTGCCCTTCTCCTTCCCCTTCACCTTCCCCTTCGCCTGCTTACTGTCTCTATTGTCCCTCTTTACCCTCTTCCTCTCCCTACCATCCAGCTCATCTTCCTCCCCCTCCAATCCATCTCCACAAGTATCAGCCAGCCTGACCGCACCCACGCCTAGCCCCTCACCCTCCCTCCACCCCCGACTGTGCAGCATCGCCCACCCCTTGTTCGAAGGTCCCAGATGCAGAAATACCGGTGGTTTAAGTGGTTGGGATGTAATGGGTGGATCTCGTAAGAGTATGTCTGCGAGGGATGTCGTTGGGATCGGAGTGGGTGGCGCGGAGGAAGTGGAGGTTTGAGCGGATAGAGCACGAGAGATGAACCAGTCGGAGTTGGTACGACGTGGATGGGTAGATGATGGGCGAGAGGTAGGAGCAGAGATACTGGAGCTGGAGGCAATGGGCTGAGATGGCGCTGGTGCGGGGGTGGTTGCTGTCTGGGTCGTTTTAACTGTACTGGTGTTATCGCCAGTAAGATTACTCTGTCTTAGTGATTTATACCAGTCCGCAATGCCACCAGATCCGCTGGATGAAGCCTTTGGCTCTTCTTGTAGTGAAGCAAGCCCTTCATTCCATGGGTCATAAGCAATAGTCGCAGGAACGAATCGAGGTGCATTCGCAAGCCGTCGTCTGACGCCGAATGGCTGGATCTTCTCCCAAGGATCTTCCTCTGGAAGTTCAGGCTGCTGCTCGTCGCCTTCAGCGAGCTGGCCAGTTTCTCGCTGAAGACGCTCTAAATCACGGTCTCGGTTGTAGTGTGAGCGAATGTAGTATGTCGTGGTGGCCATGATGGTGGTTGGAGAGAAAGGTGTGTGTGCCGTGTGCCGTGTGGCGTAGCGTCTAGCGAATGTTTATGTGGCCCAAATCTCCGTCAAATTCGTCAGCGAGTGCACAGAATTAGAATGAATGGCGAATTCAACTTATGGCGCTCAATCACCAGTCGACCTATCGGCCATGGCACGCTTTTCTTCCCTCTACTCTTACCCAGTTCTTTGCTATCTTGAAGTGCCGTGGATATGACCAGGCATGGGGCAGGCTCTCAAGCCAGTGACGAGGACCAGTCGGCGCCTCTAGTGCGGCAAGACTCACAAGCCACAAACTATGGCTCTCTCAGAACTAATGTCCATTCTTCGAAGGGAAATGCTTCTCAGCGGTCTTTACATAGAGGCCTGTCCACTCGCCAGGTTTCTATGATAGCTATCTCGGGAACAATTGGGACAGGTCTGTTTTTTGCATCCATATCCAACTATCAGCCCCTGTTTCGCGTTCAGGGTGTACGCGAACGGACATGCTCATCTCGCCGTCTGAACAGGTCTTTTTCTGGGTACCGGAAAGTCTCTGGCCGAGGGCGGTCCTGCGAGCATGCTCATCTGCTATGTTCTCATTGGATTTATCGTCTATGTCACCCTCTTGCTCCTTGGAGAAATGGCTACCCAGTATCCAGTCGCAGGTACGTTACATCTCGCTCCATCGTTCACCCCTTGGGCGACTCTCAATGGATTCCACACCGTTTGCATGAGGTGCAATCCTTCTGCTTTGGATTCATGAGCGTTATTGTTTGCCTCGCGGATCCCGTTGGGGCATGTTTGAAACAATACCGTGGCCCGATATGCTCCCTCTTTCCCATCGTCTTTGCATTTGGGCGGCGGCAGAGGACCCTCTAGTCGTGCAACGTTGCTGCTTACTCTCACGACGTACAAGTCCATGATCCACTCACTGACACACCATAACGGCAAATTGAGATGTCACCGGGACTTCATCTACCTATCCAGCTCCATTCATACACTCCACACCTTCGTATTCCTTCTTACTCTCCAACTCTTCCAAAGAAGCAACCTGTAGCGCTTGCTGATTCACAATCCCATTCGTCTCGTAAAGGTTCCTTCAACGCCTACGCCACACGCTTCTTCTCTCCCTCTTATGGCTTTGCGCTCTCCTGGAACTACTGGTTCAACGACGCCGTATCTGTGGCCAGTGACCTCACCGCTGCCCAACTCGTCCTCGACTTTTGGAACGTGCCGCATCCCTGGATCGTCAGCCTCGTACTTTGGGTCTTTCTCGTCGGCGTAAACGCCACACACGTGAATGCGTATGGCGAACTTGGTATGCACATCTCCATTTTCTCCAAACGTTGGGCGTCAATATACAACTGACCGGCTGTTGGATCCGATGTGTAGAGTACTGGCTGTCTTTCTTGAAAGTGGCAACAGTAGTGGTCTTCATCATCGTTGGCATCGTCGTCAATGCCGGTGGCAACCGCGAACACACCTATATCGGTGGGCAAAACTGGCGAATAGACGGCGCGCCGTTCCATAATGGATTCGCCGGATTTGCAAAGGTGTTTGTGACCGCTAGCTTTGCTTGTATGTGCTGTTCTCTGTCATGAGTAGACATGATATTTCAGTGGCTGATATGCATTATTCATCCTAGTCGGCGGTACGGAGAGTTTGGGAATTACGGCTGGTGAGACGAAAAATCCTAGTAAGAACATGCCGAGAGTCGTCAAAATGGTGTTTTGGCGGTGGGTATGGTTGCCCGTGGACCATAACGACAATATGCTGACTTGTTTTTACAGCATTTTGTTCTTCTACGTTCTAAGTATCCTGCTAATCGGACTCAATGGTCAGTCCTTAGCAATGCATAAATGAGTACGCCATTTGTCTTCAATCCTGACTGCCTGTGTAGTACCCTGGGACTACCCCGGTCTATCGAGTAAGAGCACGACGACCTCGCCATTCACAATCATTTTCTACGAAGTCGGGTCTAGTACGTCTCCCATTGCCTCCGCGTCATACGTTGCCCTTTATTGACTCTAGTCATTTCATTCTTCAGATACCGCTGCATCCTTCATGAACGCCGTCATCCTCACCTCTGTCGTATCCGCCGGAAACCACGCCCTTTTTGCCGGAACACGGGTGCTATACTCCCTCGCTTCAGCTAAACACGCGCCTCCTTTCTTTGCATGGACGACGCAGGCAGGTGTTCCCCTCCCAGCATTGTTAGCGACGAGTAGTATTAGCGCACTCTGCTTCGGGAGTAGTTTTGTCGGGAGTGGTGCGCTTTGGGGGTGGCTGCAGAATTTCGTCGGGGTTTCGAATCAGGTGTGTCATCTCGTCTTCTTTGGTTGTTGTTTGCTCCGTTCTTGTGAGCTTTAGTTGGGCTGAGATGAGTGATTTGTAGATTGCGTGGGTGTCGATTGGAATAGCTTCGTGGAGGTTTAGGAAGGCGTGGGTGCAGCAGGGCCGACCGCTTGAGGAGCTAAAGTTCAGAGCGAAGTGGACATGGGGCTGGGGTCCTCCTTTTGTCGTACGTCCTCACATCGTCATACCATCCATCAAGACCACTAAATCTCAGAGTCACCGTTCAGGTCATCACCGTGATATGCCTCATTCTCAGTATGTCTGAATTCTTCGCTCAAAGACTTGTCGGGATGGCACAGCCCAAGTAACTGACTATTGTTATTGCATAGTTCAAGGCTGGTCGTCCTTCGCACCGACGTTCGTAGCTCTGGACTTTGTCTCGTTCTACATCGAAATACCCGTCATGCTCTTCCTCTACCTCGCCTGGCTCCTCATCCGTCGTCCACTCCCATCATCCTCCCTCCCCTCCCTTCCCACTTCCGCACCTCATCCCACACAAACACAAGAGTCTCCTTCTGCCGAGGAAGATCCCGCCTCGCTCTCAGTCATCCGCCAAACGGAGCACGAGCGCAAAGGACAGAGATGGGCGAGATGGTGGTGGTATAGTGATCTTGTGGATACGAGGACTGTGGATCTGAGGGCACAGGAGTATGAAGAGGAGGAAGTGGATAAGGTCGATGATGCGAAAAGGGAGGATAGGTTACGTGGAAAGTTGGGATGGGGGTGGGAGGTTTGGTATTGGGTCGTATAAAGTGGCACAGGGTACGGAGGAATGAAGGTCGCAGGTGGTATATATCAAATGGAGATGGGACGAGGTGGGTATTTTTACCTTGTAGGGAATATTATGCTGGTCTTGCTTAGCTCTTCCTCCATCGCAGACAGGCGATCTCGACCGGGTCTCACTTGGGAGGATCCGTATTCATAACAATAGGGAATACTAATGCATAGCCACCAGGCACTTTCTGATTGACTTCGACCGGAGTAGGCAAACGCACTCTTGACGGTGTGTCGTGACTTGCATCTTGCATCAAGTTGCTATACCTTGTGGAGTTCTTGCGCAGTTTAGCGCCGTTCAGAATACTGCAGACACCGCTTCTTCGCTGCTTATTTTTCTAAGACTGTATAGATGCGATGCAAATCGGTTCATGGTTTGGAGCGTGTTTCAGCAATGCAGAGCTCCCGAGAAGCTCTCGATATGCGTACACTCTGACGGTAGTATAAGTGTAGATTGACAACACAAATTCCCTTCCTTTGGTGGGCGAATCTATCCCAAGACAAGAAGTCCGTCATGGATTCCACGGCAGCTCAACATCGCGGTGCATTCATTCCTCTTAGTGTCATATCTCTGTTGTATGGTGAGTAGTATCGTTAAAAGGGAGATGTACCGCTAACGATCGTCTCGGATTATCCTCCAGGCGCCTTTGTCCTGCTATTCTGCATATCTACCTTCTTCATCATGTACGTCCCAATCTAATGAGCTGTTCCTCAATGAATAGAACAAACGCACACACCTCATCTATTGATATGGCAGTCGCTGGTCATCTAGCTCACGCTCAAGCCTCTCCCTCTTGGCAGTCATCTCCGTAATGTTCGCAACATCAACAACCCACTGGGTTGTGACGTTGTTCGCTACTTGGCGATCGTACGGACTTTTCCTCCACCCTCCTTCCCTCAACGGTCTTGATCACGCTGGAGATGTCTTACAACCACGTTTGCTGACAGTTACTGTAATCTTGCCTCTAATCAACGTACGTGCGCAAAGTCATACTCCGTGTCTGTAGTGCTACATAGTCGTTCATGAACCCATTGTGTTTACTCCTGGGGACTTCCTAGTACACTCTCAGCGACGTCATCGTAATATGGCGGGCATGGCATATCTGGGAGCGAAAGCCCTGGGTCCTGTTATGTCTCTGTGTTCCCCTCCTAGGAGCTTTTAGTGTGTCCTTTCTTCCGATGGTGACCGTCCGGACGTTGATTGTACCATAACTGTGCAATGACATGTCGCCTCTAGTCTCCCGGATCGTCGGCCTGACGTTGGCGTTGATAAAGCTCTTCAGCCAGCATACGAGCAACTTCGAGGCTGATGGATGGACAAGGGTCTTGATGCGACTCCGCTTATTTTGTTCGCTCTTATGACGAATGTAATCGCAACTGCGTTCGTGGGGTACAAGGCCTGGTAAGTCTACCTTCTGCCCTTAATCTGCTACAAAGCGCAGAAAACTTCCGATGTGGTTCACACGCTCCAGGGCTTACCGCCGCTCTATAGTAGAGAACTTAAATCAAGCACCTAATATCAGGACCAGGGTAGAAAAGATCCTCATACTACTGGTGGAAACTGGTCTCGTTTACTGTTTAATCTGGGTGAGTACTCTTCTCTCTACGATATTGTGTGGGTTAGCGTAATCTTAATCTCCTTCGGATGCATGTACATGCCATTCCTCGCAGATTTTTTGCATCCTGGGGAGTTTTGGCGTCCTAGGCTTTCCCGTGATAGTGACTGCCGTATATGCTATGCCCCAAGTTGCCGTAAGTCTTCGCCCCTCGGACCTCCACTGTGATTGCTAATCGTGATCTCCACGTTGGCTCACACAATGTGGCAGGGTATATATCCAACGATTCTTGTCGTCCTCCTTCGTTTCCAGCAACTTTCTCCCCATGCAGGCCTGCTATCTCAAGGCATGATAAATCAGGACTTGTCAAAGTTCGCCGCTGCCACGGCGCCCCTGGCCAGAGTGACCCGCTTGAGCATTGTTCGACCACGAACCCACCGTGATTTCGGTACATTCAGTACAGTGACATCTGTAGAGCTTGGAGATGTTGAGAGAGAATCGCAGAGGGATTCGGATGATTCAGGTAGGCGCGGTGATGGCGAGTGATAGAGGGACAATGGTTTGTGCTGCTACTGTATAAGTGTACTATATCCTACGTGATGTATTCTCTCGGGTTCTTCGTCCATAGAGCTAGTGTCCGACGATGTTCAAGTATCGGGATGTTGTAAATTTGTAACAGGAGGCCATATACAGCATACAAATAGATGTACCACCATAAAATGAAGATCGAATGAATCGAAAACAAGATATCGACATAACTGCCCCCCTATGGTTCACCCGCGATGGTCAACTCCGACTCAATAACCCGCGTCAACGTCTGCACCGCATCCTCCCTCGCCTTCCTCTCTTCCAGCACAACCAACACCATCGCCTGCACCAACTTCCACCCCTGCTTAAACCCCTTCACGTCCGACAAACTGCCCGACATCTCGTCCAACCAGTCGCTCGTGAACCTTGTAAAGATCGGGCCTTCGCCCGGCAAGTACCACGTCGTTTCCACGGGTATGAAGAGGGCGAGGAAACGGGCTACGGTGGCGTACGACGAGAGCGGCGAGACGGGGAGATAGGAACGTCCGACCCAGAATACGAGGTCTGGCGCGAAACGGCCTCGATGCGAGGTGGGACGTGGGGGGACGATGGTCGCATCGAAGTAGAGCCCGAGCTCCTTCAATTTTCGAAACCGCGAGGCGATGGGTAGGAACGCTTTGAGCGTGAGAGTGGGTGGCGTGGCGATGAGCGGGTTCGGATTCAGCAGCAGTTCTTCGAAATCGACGTGTAGCGCTCGCGCGAACGCTTCCACCTCGTCGTCCGTGAGAGAGATGGGACGTGGATGGCTGACGCTGAAGCTGCGGAGGGACGACCAACGGGTGACGGGGAGTATGGTTCGTAGAGTGAGCGGTTTGACATCCTCGAGGTCAGATGGACCGGTGTACGAAAGCCTGAGCAGTCCGAGGCTCAGGTCTACCATGCTCGGTACCGCTCTCAACAGATCGGCGAAGAGAGTCTCCACATGTGACGGATCTGGAACAATCGGTGCGTGGACCCAGACCACCGTCAGATTCGCCAGCGGAAAAGCCGGCTGCGTGAAAAATGCCAGTATATCTGGGACTGTGGACGCGGAGAAGGTTATGACGGACAGTTTGGGGAACGCGCCCTCTTCGAGGGTGCACTTCGGTGTCATGGACGAGCTGAGGGCGAGCTCGTCGCCCTCGACGTCGTCGAATTGCATGTTTATCTCCTGAAGGTGGCGGAGACGGGATAGTGAGTGCGCGATGCGCGTGGTAAAGAAATATCTCGGCAACATGACGATCTGCAGCTCTGGAAGCGAGTCGATGAGGCCCGTGATGTTTTCGTGGTAGATGTCAGAGAGCTTCCACGACCATAGCTCCAGTATCGTTATACGAGGCATCCGATCAGCTATATGCCGGAAGAGAGCAGTATACGACAATGGGGTCAACAGCTCGTCTGGTGTGTAATTGAGACTGAGATGCAGCTTGGTCACTGAGCCGCTCATGTAGATGAGGTCGAGCTCATCCGTCGAGGCATATATGGCGCGTAGGTTCGGAAAGACGGTCGCGACGGTGCGCGTTTTTGCGATCTCAATAACGGCAGTGGAGATGAGTCGATGTAAACCGCCGTAGAATTTTCCTTGGAAAACTCTGACCCTTTCAGAGTTGCGGAGAAAGCGTTGCCAGTCCTTGACCAGAACCGGCCGTGTGAATTCCTGTACAAACAAACATTCAGCTACTACGGCGCCTATTATAATAGCACACAATGACGATCAGATGTCAGAACTTACCATAAGATGTGGGTCGATGATAGAGGGACTCATTTCTGCCAAGGATTGGAAAGTACCCGCGTTGGCCTCTCTCCATACTTCGTCGAGAGCAAGTTCGCTCCATGCTCGACAGACTCGAGCGTTTCGCGCGTTCGATGGCGGCTCTAGTAATCGGAACACTTGTGAGAGTAGCTCCGGAATAGCAAAGAAACGGTCCATGCTCGATGTGGCCATGTTGATCCACTATAGCTAGCACGAGTGCTAACTTCTAAGTGGTGGCGAACATCGTGGTTTGTTTTCGCGTTTGTGGCAATTTCAAACAGCTGTGCGTGTCCACATCACCGGGTGCTGACGTAATCGGAATTAATGCTTTTCCTGTTTAGGAACAATTACCTAGTACAAAGACGTCGAGCGACGTCGCTGAACGTACGAAGTGTGACAGCACGCGCCACACAAATGCAAGTTCATCCTTCTATTTCTCGTCCGAGTCGAGTCACTCTAAACTTACTAGCACGCCACCAAAAAAACGGAAGGGGTAAAAAAGACCATTATATTTTTAATCATTCGACTTCTTTCATGAATACTTCCTCGTTGTCTGCCTTGCACCACCACCCTCAAACCCAAACCCAAGCCCAACTAACTGTAGCTCCGTACGTCCATCCCCATCCCCATCCCCTCCCCGTCCCACCAGCCCACCAAACACCAAGCACCAAACATACCAAAATCTAAAACGTACTACTCCCAATGAATAACACCATAACACCACAAACCATAACACCAAACCGTCCGAATCCGAATCCGACCACCACGACCACGGCCACGGCCACGAAATAAACATACCGACAGACAGAGAGAGAGATAGAGAGAGATCGCGAAAAGAGTAAACGGGAGGGAAGAGACGGGAGAGAGGAGAAAGGGGTGACCGTATGTGACGTATGGAACATATGTACGAGGAGACGAGGCTGTATATGGACCGTGACGGTTGACCGTGGCCAGTATACAGTTAATTTAGGTTAGTTGTCGGGCGGTGGGCCTGGGGTCCCTTGGGTGTCTAGTGCGTTGAACGGGCAGGTGGACGGATGTATGGGTGGGTGGATGGACGAGTGGGTGGACGGACGGGTGGGTGGGTAGGTACGCTCTCGGAAGTCCGGGGTATGACTCAACTGAATGAGCTCTGAGAGGGGTGGGTGCAATGGGGGCACGAGAGTGTCGTGACAGTGGTGGGATGACAGGACACGGGAGTGAGAGTGAGAGCACGAGTGGGAGGACAGGAGAGTGAGAGCAAAAGAATAGGAGTGGGAGTGGGAGAACGGAAGGACAACTGAGCAGGCGAGCAGGAGACCGGTCGGATGGAAGGACGGAAAGACGGGAAAGTATGGAAGGACGGGGGATAGACAGTGTGAGGTGTGAGGTGTGAAATATAATACAAACGACGAACGAGATCGAGATCGAGAACCCTGCAGATCGACGGAAAAGATACGAGAGACGAGAGAGCGGACGGAGGGAAAGGAAAGGAAAGAAAGGAAAGGAATAAGAAGATGAGAAAGAAAAGCGACTGGGTGAATGACCCGAACCAGGCCAATACGAGAACGGGAGGAGACGAGAACAAAAAGCAGAGAGAGAGAGAGAGCGTATAACTTTAAGGAGCGTGTGTATCTGTGTGTCTGTGTCTGTGTGTTTAGATGGTGTGGTGTGCAGCAAACGGCGAACAGTGAACAGCGAACAGTGAGCAAATAAACAAAGTTTCAAAGGGTCGAGCGAGACGGGGAGCAGTCTCATACGAATAAGACGAAGGAAACCTGAACGGGCGGAATGAAAGGGCTCGAGGTCGGGGTCGGGATTAATGACGAAAACGCGATACGTATGGATGCCCAGAAGCGGAGTGGGGGGAGGGGGTGAATATTTGAATAGGAATAGGAATCGGAATCCAAAGCCAAAACCTCGAACCAAAATCAAACCATCGCCTCATCCCCATCCCCATCCCCATCCCCATCCTCATCCCCCTCCCTTACCATCACACAATTCTGCTCATAAACCGTCTGATACACATTCAGATGCAGCACCGCCAGCTTCGCGAGCCTCTCGACTAACTGTCGGATCTCCGACGCTAGCGGCTCCAGACCTGTCCCTGTCCCCGTCTGCTCCTTCCTCTCCTTCTGCTGTCCCACCCTCTCCTCCGTCCTCTCCTCATTCGAACCCTCATTGAAACTCGCAGCAGACGAAGAAGACCCAGGCGACACACCCCCCCTCTTCATCACCATCTCCACCACCTTATCAAAAACAGCGTCCCTCAATCGATTCCGCATGAGCCTCCCGACCGGGCTGGTCCTGCAAAGATGAGTATCCGCCCAGCTTTCTGCGATCTTTAGGAGGTGGGGTTCGGGGGCGCGGGTGGGGCGGGTGGTATCCGTTGAGCTGCTATCTGTCGCTCGGGTCGCGCTAGTATCTGCCGAGCCTGAATTCGAGTTCGAGCCCGAGAGGAACGTAGAGCTAGAGGAGAAGGAGGAAGAGGACGACGACGCAGAGGACGCAGACCCAACCCACATCCCCCTCCTCGCCTCGCTCGCCCGCGCCGTAACCTGCAAAACCACAGCCCTAACCCCCGCACTCCACCTCTCTTTTTCCTTCCTGGCATGTTCCTCTTCTTTTTCCGTTCTCGACGTCGACGTGGATGCTTCCTTCCTCGTACCTTCCCCATCTTTCTGGATCCCTACTATCTGCGTCCGAGCGTTTTCTCCCTGTGTCTGCCTCCCCGTTACAGACGAATCCTGCGTTTTCCTCGATGCCGATGTAGAACCCGCCGATGACGCCTCTTGGACCGGCAAAAAACACCGCCCCACATTCTGCGGGCCCAATTCCCAGATCTCCGTTTTAAGATTCCTCAGATCAGATTCGGGAATTATGATCTCGCGCCTCTGCGCGCTGGCTGCTGCACCGGCTGTCGCATTCGTGTTAAACGCCGCCGCTGCCGCCGTCGGATGAGGTGCGGAAGAAGGGTTGGAAGATGGTGCAGAAGTTGGAGGTGGGAGAGAATGGGGTGGCGGTGAGGGTGGTTGAGGTGGAGAAACGAACATCAACTGCCGATAAAGCATCAAGAACATATACACCGCGCTCAAGTCAGCCGCGTCGCGCGTGAGGAGGACGAGGCGGGAATGGTCGAGGAAGAGGGTTTCGGGGTAGCCTTTGACTTGTTGGATTATGTTGTGGATGTCTATTCGGCTTTCGGTGCCACTGCCCTTTGTGCTCCCATCTACATTCCGATTCCCACTACCATTGACACCCCCGTTCGCATTCCCGTTCACCGCGCTCACGTTCGCCCCGTTCCCGTTCCCATTCACATTCAAACTCGCGTTAACGTTCGAGTTCGCACCCGCACCCGCACCCCCCCTCCCAACCCGACTAGCCGGAACCGTAGTAGTAACCGGCATCGCACACAACGGCACAGGCGACGGCGGGTCGAATATGATATCGACTAGCGCTTTCAGGGTCGAGATGATGATGGAGGTGCGTTTGCCGAGGGTGGGGTAGGGGAGGGATTTAGCTATGGAGGGGGATTCGGATTCGGATTTAGCTTTGGGGCCGGATTGCGAATTCGATTTGAAGGCGGTGGAGGAGGAGGAGGAGGAGGAGGAGGAGGAGGAGTTAAAGGTGGAGGCGTTGAATGTGGAGGTGGTGGTGGTGTTGGACGCAGAGGGCGAGGTAGACGGGAACGGAACCATGTAGTTCGATCGCAGGAGGGAGTGGTGTGCGTTCATGAGCCAGGGTGTCGTCGTGCGCAGGAGGAGGGAGGGGGTGGCGGGGTGGGTGGAGTGGGTGGGGTGGGTGGTGGCTGAGGAGGAGGACAGGGACGAGGAGAAGGAGAAGGAGGACAATGGAGACGAGGAGGAGGATAATGGAGATGAGGAGGATAATGGAGAGGGGGAAGATAACTGCTGGTGCCGCTCAGTGAACGTCTTGAGCTCGAAGGTGGGGGATGATTGGATGATGTAATTACGCAGGGTTTGCATCTGGTGATTCGCGATATCCTAATCACCCATCATTCTTCCATAAATATCAAACTGCACACGAAAACTGAACCAAAAAGGTAAGAAAACGCACCAACTTCATCAACTCCAATATCTCAAAACACTTCCTCATCGCGCACACCGCATCCTTATTCGTCCCTCCCCCGCCAGGCGCACACTTCCCCGCGAGCGCAACCATGGCGTCTACCGCCTGGTCGCGCATGGGGGCACAGTGCGCCTTGAGGACGTCGCCGATGACGCGGAAGGAGCCCGAGGGGTCGTACAAGCCATGTCGGAGCTCTTGGTCGATCAGGTCTGCGTCGAGGACGGCGCGGAGGCGTTGGGCTTGTTCGTGGAGTTGGCGCATTCGTTGGGGGTTGTTGCTCGAGCTCGAACTGGACGACTGGGTGCTGCTTCCACTGCTTCCACTGCTGCTGCTGCTATTCGAGGAGGAGGAGGACGGAGCAGCAGTCTGCGGCCTTATAATCGACAACAAAACCTGCAACAACTCATGCAACAACGGCTTCACCCTTGACGGCATGCGCAACGTCAACCTGTGGCGTCCCGGCAGATACGCGATCACCGGGTCCTGCGGGGGCAGTGGCAGTCTCTTACAGACGCAGACGGCGGAGTGCGGGCGACCGGAGAGGTCGAAGGAGACGCAGGTGCAGTTCGAGTCGAGTTCGAGGAGGACGGCGCGCCAGTAGGTTTCTGCTTGTTCGCGTTTACGGCGGGAGGCGGCGGCGCGGAATTGGAGGCCGGAGTCGAAGAGGAAGTCGTGCCCTGGGATATCATTAGCAGGATAGGAGGTTAGTGGGATTAAATTCAATGAAGGGAAAGAGAGAGGAACGGACGGAGCTGGGGGTTTCGCATGATGGCGTCGAGATCGAGCTCCTTCAACGTCTCCTTGTTGATGGGCGGGGTGCGGATGGGTATATGGGGCGAGGAGGGATCAATGGGGATCACCAGCCTCGGGACCGCATTCGGAGGGCCTTTCGCGAGGGGAAGGTGTGCGCGGGTGCCATGGGGCGGGACCTGTGCGGTCAGGCGGCTCCCGGTCGGCGTGCGGGCCCACTGCCATGCGGGCTTCGAGGGGAGGAGGGACGGGTGGGCGGAAGAGGAGGAGGAGGAGGCGGGGGAGGCTGGGACAGAGTCTATACGGGGACGTTTTGGGCGGGGCTCGTTGGATGGCTGGACGTCGGGCGAGGGCAGGGGCGAGTTTTGGAGGCCGGTCGTGTACCCGCCGCTCTCGGTGCAGGCCGTGGCGGCGGTGTGGAGGGAGAGGCGGGGGGTGGGGATATTGTTATTATTGAGGGGCGGGTCGAGTAGCTTATTTGGGTCGTCGGCGCCGGGCTCGCAGTCGTCGCCCTCCGCCTTGCGCTTTCTCGTGGTCTGTATCGACAGCGGCCGGTGCAGGTCGTCCATCGTTCGCGAAGGGGGATGCAGGAAAAGACCACGACCGGGCGGTCGCCTGCCCGCATATAAACCGTTTCACACGATTCTCCGTTGCACTACCCCACGCCTCCATCCCATATCCGGCATCGCCAAAACGTGTTTCGCCTTCAACCTGAGCTCAAGTCACCCCCCACACGAGGCAACCAGGAACACCCACGCCTGACCACAGATAAATCACGTATCTATCCGAGCCCTTTATTATCGCCTTTGTCGTGTTCTGCTCGTTGTCTCCGGCCTGTGTAAAACCTCATTTTGATCGTCTCCCCCGTGAACTTCGAATGGAACGCCATCCACAAAGCAAATAACAACAACAACAACAACAACGCTCGACTCGCCATATCCGGCCGTTCAATGTTGATTCCCTCCACAAGGTTCAATCGTTCAAAGCGCCTTCCCTCCTTCCGGCCTATGTCCAGGCCAGAACAATGCCTTCGCCAGCTTCAGCCGCACAACTGTCAGCAATGCAGATTTCTCACACAAACTACAGTAAACTCCGCCCCACTGTCTTCTTTCGCATGGCCATATGCATGGGTGCAAACCGCACCAGACCCACACCCGTATTGTACTGTATACATACACCCATACACCCATAAAGAAGCTCGGACTCGGAGGGACGTGATCCGACCTCAGGCTCACATATGTACGTTACAACTTACGATTCTCCGTGCCCATATGAACTTGCAGTGCGCCACCGCCACCGGGATTGGAATCTTTCCTGCGCCTCCATCCCTCTCAATCCATCTTCAAGCAACACAAGGCCCGGGAGTCTTGAGTACATTCTTCCGGCCTGAGAGGTTTGTATCACTGGCCTGTGCAGGTCCATATATCATTCACCGTACCCGACCTCGACATCTACCGCAACGGCACGAAAGAAATGATGTGATACATCACATCACATCACATCTTTCTCGATACTTGCAGCATGATCTCCTTCCTTTCTCCTCCTTTTCTTCTCCCTTCCGATGATATTAGTTATACCTCTCATAGTGGCCAGCCAAGCCCTCCCAAACTGCCCAAACGCCAAACCACGAAACATCAAACCGTTCTTGTAACTCTCCGAGCCGCATCTATCCCCTCCTCCCTTCCCTCCGATCCTAAGTATATCTCCCGTCTCTCCCCATCCCAGCACTCCCAAACCGACGAGGCGACGAAACGACGAGACCATGAAACACCATGCCATCTATCTCCCTCCTCCCTTCCCCCTTCCTTCCGACCACAATGCTGATTATAGCTCCCATCTCTCAACTCCCATCTTTCTCCATGTCAGTACATACTCCCAAACTGCCAATCCACGAAAACACGAAACTCCATGCCATCTATTCCCCTCATCCCTTCCCTCTGATCCTAATTATACCTCCCGTCTCTCCCCAGCCGTGCTCCCAACCCGACGAAACTACGAATTCACGAGATCACGAAACCAACGAAATCACGAGACCACGAAACATCAGACCAATCATTCTTGTAGCTCTCCATGTAACCCTCCTCATCTATCCCCTTTCTTCCCTCCGACGATACTACTAAATATACCTCCCATCTTTCGCTATCCCAGTACTCAATCAAACCGACGAAATCAAAGAACCGCGAGACGCGAGACGCGAGACGCCAAACATACCAATACCATTCTCATAGCTCCCTGCATGTCATCTATCGCCCCTCCCTGCCCTCCCATCCTAAATATACCTCCCATCTCTCATCTCTCCCCGGTAGTGCTCCCAAACCGACGAAACACGGAACAGGAACAGGTATTCCTACACCTTTACCTCCACCTCCACCTCCACCTCCACCCTCCTCCACCTTTAACTTTAACTTTAACTTTAGCTTCGTCTCCGCCGGGCCCTTGATTGCCCCCTCTGCGATACTGACACTGACGCCAACGCCTACACATTGACATGTTGGTTCCTCCTCTCCGAGTCTGCGCCGGTCCTTCTGCGATACTGCTTACTGCTTACTGCCACAGTCATGGATGATGCATGACGATAGACGCCTTCGATTTAGAGTGACAGATGAAGTTCGTTCGTTCCTCCGACTCCGACTGACGCGCGCCTCTTTACATTATTGTTGGTATGCAGGTTTCCTCCTGGTGACATTCTGTGTTTTCATGCTGTTCCCCTTAAGCACGCTAATAGAAGCCAAGTCGCCACACTGATCCTACGGACAAAAGTTTTAGAGACCGAGCCACCCGCCCATCTTCTTCTTCTTCTTTCATCTTCGTTCATCCCTGTTCTACATGAACACCTCTTGTTCCCATTTAGCAAGTACGCCTGGATTACTGCGTATAGAACACCGAGTGCAAGGAGCATACACACGAGGCCGAGGACGAGTCGCCACACAGACCATCCTTGTTCAACAAATGAACACGCGAGCCTTCGTCGTCGCTTTATTCCCATTCAGCAGCCTTATGTACGACCGCCAGTGCATTTTCAGTACTGTGTATAGGCCACTGAGCGTGAACGGCATCGACACGAGGCCGAGGAGGAGTCGCCACGCGGATACATAGTACTAATCCATCGCGTTTAGAACGTTAGGACTGGAGTGGAACTTGAACTAGAATGGAAATCATCCTTGGACCGCGCCACCCGGGCTCGCCATCAACTTCTCCGAAAGCCTGAACTTCCCATTCTTGGGACATCTTCGACGTACTGTACACACTGCACCGCGTTTGGAACTTATTATAAGACTGGAATGGAAATCCGCGTCGTCCTTGGAAGTTGGCCATGGACCGCGCCACCCGGGCCAGCCATCAACGCATCAACGTTCCCTAGACTGCAGTCTGTAAAGCCAGAGCGAGAAGTTCTCATTCCTGGGAACTTTCGACTGTCGAGCGGAGGCTCAGACACGAGGGGATCCAGAGCGCCGTTGGAGTCTCAGTTCTGGGACATCATTGATGGCTATTTATGGCAGGTTTCCAGGTTTGTGATTTTAGGACAAAGGTAGCAGAGACACGAGGATGATTCCAGTCAGAATCAAAGCGCCACTCTGGCTGGCCCATATATCTTCAAGTTGTCATCTCGGACATGATGTTGGGGTTATAGAGACTCGGACTTCTGTTGTCCTGGTATGTATGTATCTATCTATCATCTGTTCTCCGACTCTTTTCACAGTAACGCTGGCTCTTTTTCCTGCACAGAGTCATGGTCCCTTAAGACTCACAAGAAAAATTTTCCATATTCGTGATTCCGAGACAAAGCTTAAAATTGGTGGCACCGCCGCACCGACACGAGGATCAACGCGGGCGCCAGTCCAGGTCGACACGGAGCTGGATGAAACGCAATTGCAACATGGTCACGCGTACGCAGGCTCTATCATTCGCGTTGGAAAGTTGGAGCATCTCCACATCTTTGCGCCTCCGCATCAAGCATCGAATCAGATATCAAGGTTTTGAGATGGTCATGGACGCCGAATGATGCTGGTGCTGGTATCAGTACTGTCATGGGCTACCGGCGGAATATTTCGTGTCGGAGATGATCTTGGTTTTTGAAAAGGCTTAGATGTCTCTGACGGTGCTAGTGCACGGTGCATTCTCATACGGGCATTGATACGCAGCGTGCCTGTGAGTCGCACTTTCCTGTCGATCTCCTCCGGGACACCGTGAGTGAGTCGCAACGCCCTGATCAATTACCAATGATCGAACTACTTTGTGTCCAGGTTTGTCGCTTGTCGCAGTACATCCTTCACTACACCCGATTCACGACCAGCCGGCCCCGTGTCGATGGCACGATCAGTGCTCAGCCTACGCAGTTCTCTGAGAGGCACAGAAGGATAACAGGACAGCAACGCGTTTGCCTACTTATGCCCTTCCTCTCTTCTCTCTTCCTCCTCTCCTCGTTCATGGTCAGCAGGCTCATCAGCATAAAGACGCGCAACTCTAATTCCGATCAAATAGGCATTCGATCTTACTTTTTATGCAACCTGTTCTATCCTCAGTCTGCATCGTGGTTTGCTATGGTCGGCAATGATGGCTGAAAATGGGTTATTCGACGTTCATGCCGCGTCGCTCGCTCATCCGCTGCTCATCGTCCTGGACCGGACTCGAAAGGCCCTGGGCCGATGATCATCCACCCGGGCCCGCGGTATGGGTATGGGTCCTAGGCCTACTTCAATGATACTGTTATACTGATACCACAGATACTCGGCCGGCACACGTTGTGCTCTAAATTTATCAGGCCCAGGAAAGGCTCAGATAGATAGCCACCACCTAACAGCCCCGCTGAGATATTCAGAAGCTGCTCATGTGAGGAAGGAAGAGAGGGTCCGGTGGCTCTTTAACTATTGCCTATAGAGTTGTGAGTTGTGAGTACGATTATCCACCTTGATACGACTTTGCTCACACAGGCGCGATTGTTCGACGCCGGCGAGTACCACTGCCAGTGGCTGCTCTACATGCCTATGGGCCATTGCACTACTGTCCTTGGCTGTGGATCGGCACGACGAAATGATGCCCTTCCGACGTGGTCCGAGTTCAAACGTTCAGTGCGTTCAGGTTACGCCGTGCCAGATAAAGATCTGACCGTGATAACTTTTGACTGGAACCATCGAGGCCGATATCCTGATACTATGTGCATGTTACTGCGACTCTAAAAATTTAAACTCATCCTGGCAGAGCCGCAGAGCGCTCCGACTCCGACTTGACTTCTCACCATCCGGATCGATTGTATTTTTCGCAGCGAACACTATCGTTCCCCAGCCTGGCCGAAGTAGCGAGATCGTGGAGCGAGTCGCGAGTCGAAGCGCTTGCCAGCAGTCACCATGTCAATGCAACACGACTTTCGGACTTGTCACAGTCTGGATCTTATCTGTACTAGCACCTCAGTAATACTTGATAGATAATTGGACGGAAGAGTCAATCAGATCGTGAATACGTGCACAGTGATTGTGAGTGGAAAGTCTAAAATGATCTTTCCACTCCAATTCCCCGTGGCATCGACTCGGATTCCGCATTGCCCTTCTATGCATTCGAGCACGACATTTAGACCGTCAAGAGCTCGCGCTCACCGCCCACTTTAGACACTCCAACGACAGCTTGAAAGCCTCAGGCCTCATGTTCCGACCACATCGCGAGCAACCCACAGGAAGTTTCTGTAAGATGCCCACTGAGTCTATTCTCACTCCGACTCCACGCTGCACACAACTGTATCGGCACCTCCAAGATGCAACGCGTTACGGCCCCGCCATGCTGGAAATGTCAGGCTGGATCATTAGCCCGTAATTCCACGCTGGGCCCCGCCAGTAGTCGACTGCCCGCTAACCGTTCGTCCGAGTCGGCAACCGTTTAAACCGCCGTACCCCGACGAAGTGTTACCAAACGGCGGGGCAACCGTGACTGAGTACTGAAGCCGGCTCTCACAAAGTATAAAGATAGTTGGACTTCTGGACACATGTTCCTGTTGACCCGGCACCGACACTGAGTACTGAGTAGCGAGAGGCCTTGGAGAAAGATTCAGCAGTGGGTGCGCTAGACTTCTGAGTGTCGGTACATTCAGTATGTCGAACTTTCCGCGCACACGCCCGACGGCTTCAATCGTGGCCACACGACCACATATGCCAACTGCGAATCCGGTCGTAGAAGCAAGCGTGTGGTCAATACACAACGTCGTGCGGGTGGACTTACGGTTAAACAAAACCGAGTTAGGTTGTCTTCCGAAAGCTGCAGCAAGATGTCAACTGGTGGTCGTTTGCCACACGACGTCCAAGGAAGCTCGGGAGAACAAAAGGTTCGGGGTCGACGGGTCGATTACACGCGGTTCGTGGTGGAAAAGATATCATGTCATGTTTCGATTGGGAGGAGAATAAAAGGCGTGACTTCACTAATATATATGGTGGAAACGCAACGTATCTCGTGCATGCATCAAACAGTCCGTCCTTCCGTCTGCACCGACACCCATCACCCGTACAGTCTTCGTCTTTCCTTCCGTCCGAAAGCCATATTCCATATTTTATTCACCCTCTATGCATCGTCGATCAACTTCTCGTCGGCCTTACCGTCCTCCTGCCCGTCCTTCTCAGCGCCTGAGGTCGGCTTCCTCGTCGGCTTGCGTGCATAGAACTCAGCGATGATCTTCGGGTTAATACGGTTGAGTTGTTCCTTGGGGAAGATACGCAGCAGGCTCCACGCGAGGTCCAAAGACTCGAAGATCGTGCGTGACTCGTAGGCACCTAAACCACGCGTTCATAATCGAACGAACGACGTAATATAAGTGGGTGAGTATGAAAAGAGTCGACCTTTTGGGCGCTAGCTGGATAGGCGAGGGGAAAGAGGAAGCGCCACTCACCCTGTCCGACGAATTGACGCTCGAACTTGTCGAGGAACTCGAGCGCTAGCTTATCTTCGGGCGACAAGGCCTCCTCACCGACGACAGCCTTCATCGAGGCAGCATCACGACCGATGGCGTATTTTGCGTACTATAATTAAGAACGATGAGACCACGACCACACTGTTTTAATCTCGGAGTGGAATCGAGGCGAGACTTACGAGCTGGTTGGACACATCGCCGTGGTCCTTGCGGGTGAGTTTCTCACCAATAGCGCTCTTCATGAGACGCGACAGCGAGGGCAAGACGTTGATCGGTGGGTAGATTTGCCTGTTGTGCAGCTGACGGTCGACGAAGATCTGGCCCTCCGTGATATAACCCGTAAGATCTGGGATAGGATGCGTGATGTCTATGGGAAGAATATGTGCGGGCGGCGACAAACGTCATGATTCCATGAGTAAACCACGTTCGAGGGGCATAAATAGAGCAGTTAAGAGGGCAGAGAGACTTGCCGTCATTGGGCATTGTCAAGATGGGGATCTGGGTGATGGAACCGTTCCTGCCCTGGACTCGCCCCGCACGCTCGTAGATGGTTGACAAGTCAGTGTACATGTAACCGGGGTATCCACGACGTCCGGGCACTTCCTCACGAGCGGCAGAAACCTTCATTTCCGATATTTAGCATTGGCACGACACGGCGATAAACGTCCAGGAACATGAGCGAAAGACGACGTACCTCACGCAGGGCGTCAGCGTAGGACGACATGTCCGTCAAGATGACCAATACGTGCTTCTCGAGCTGGTAGGCGTAGTACTCGGCCGTGGTCAATGCAAGGCGAGGTGTAATAATACGTTCGATCGTAGGATCATTGGCCAAGTTGAGGAAGAGCGTAACACGGTCCAGACTGCCGTTCTCTTCGAAGTCTTGCTTGAAGAACCGTGCAGTCTCCATGTTCACACCCATGGCAGCGAACACGACGGAGAAGTTGTCTTCGTGGCCATCGTGCACATCCTTTGTTGGTCGCTTTACAAGGCCTGCTTGTCGCACAATTTGTGCGGCAATCTAAATGGAGGAAGATGAGCGTTAAACAACTGACGAGGGTGAGGCTAATATCACTGACTTCATTGTGCGGAAGACCAGCAGCAGAGAAAATAGGAATCTTCTGTCCACGCGCGATAGAGTTCATGGTGTCGATGGTAGAGATACCCGTCTGGATCATTTCCTCAGGATAGATACGCGAGTAGGGGTTGATTGGGGAGCCTAACGCCCTTTCAGGACTGGGCCACACAAGATACTTCGCGGTCTACTCCACTCACCGTTAATATCCAGGTAATCTTCCGCAAACACCTTCGGACCGTTATCGATAGGGTTCCCAGAACCGTTGAATATACGACCCAGCATGTCCTCCGCGACAGGCAACTTCATGCTGCTCCCGGTGAACTCGACATGCGTTGCCTTCACATCGACGCCGGATGTACCTTCGAAGACCTGGACGATGGCTTTCTTCCCTTGTACTTCGAGAACTTGGCCACCACGTTTTGACCCATCGGGAAGAGTGAGCTGCACAATCTCGTTGTAGGAGGGGAACTAAGAAGGACATGAATGTTGAGCGGTCAATATCGTTAGATAGTTGGGGACCACGCACCTTGACATTGTCTAAGACGACCAGGGGTCTGCACAGCGCGTATTAGGTCTGGTGGCATATTTTAAGCTATTATTCACTTGCCCATTGATAGCAGACACGGTGCGATAGTCTGGAAACTCATGGTTAACACACTGCACGGCCTGCATGAAGTGGGATAGGGCGTACCCAGATGGGGCTGAACGCGATACTCCTTCGTCACGGCCGCAGCATTTATGGCCGCCAACTCTTTGTCGCTAATCCGTGGGTCGCCCATACTGACAATATTGAGAAAAGGTTATGGATACGGGGGAGGTGTATGGCAGTACGGGAGACGAACAGAGAGCAGTTGTGCTGCAGCAGACTTTCCGAGCCGACGTCAACTCCCACGATGCCAAATACAGCCTTCTCGTCATTCTAGAGCCAATCTCCAGGCTCACTAAGTTCAAGAAGCGTAAGTTGTTCCTAGACTGAGAAGAATTTCGTCTACACGTCCACCGGGGTAAAGGAGTCGCGAAAATATTGTACATTTAATGTCATACATCAAACATCATCTACGCTAAGAGAGCTTCGACCACCCGCTTTGTTCCAGCCTCATAGAGCTGCGCGTCGGAGGAGGACCTGTGTCACAATACTCAGATAAGGACGGCTCTCGTTTTGCTGAAAATGACAGCTAACGTACCATTCAGTCTCCAGCAGAGTTTCTTCTGCCTCGTCTGTATCTCTGCCGAGATCTCTGCTTTGAAGAACCAGGAAAACATACTCCGCTGTGTCCGAACGAATCTAAGGGCAAGTCAGTTTCACTGAAGAAGGCGACGAGAAAAATATTACCTTGGGATACTGATGCGACAAGAAATCTGGAAGTCTCTGAACACATGTGTTATAGAGCTTAGGTATAGTCGTGAGGTTCACAGTCCTGCAATATTGTCAATACATACGACTCGATCACTGCCAAAATGGAAATCCTCACGTCTTCATGCACTCGGAGATCCGGTTGACATTCTTGAGTTTGGGTATGCCCTTGGATGCAATGCTCAGCAGTGAGGATAGCCTTTGAAGCATTGATCAGCATTTGCATTACTGAGAGTGTACAGGGACTCACGTCTTCAAGCCATCATCGTGATCAGCAAGGTCTTCCAAGGCATCCGCCTCCAATAGTACGTTGAACGTTTGCAACACCGGTATGACAGTCGCATTTGAACCCAAATTGCTTCGGGCGTGGTTCAAAAGGTCCATCACCAGGTTGAGTCTCCCGTAAGCGTCCTCTGTCGATTCAATGGGAAGCTCCTTCGCATACGCCACCAGACTATGGGAAGCAGGTCGTTGCTTAGACACTGTGTCAGAGCCTGAAGGAAGACGAAGGGGCGGCCAAACGTACTGTGCTGCCGGTCTTACTGCTGATACTCATCAATAACCCCATAAGGAGAGATTTTCGGTAGGCTGGAATAGCGAGAAGGCGTATAATCTTAGGGTACAACAAAGCAGCGTCATTCCATGCCCCTTTCTCTGAGTCGTCGCTAGAACTAATGTCAATTTCCACCTTCCTCCATATAAAAGCCAACAATACCTGAGAAACATCTTCGTCATGAGCTTGTCGCCTGGCATACGCCACGACTCGGCATCCGGCACATCCGGCAACGGGATTTGAAGCAGAAGAAGCAGATTCTCTCCAGCCTGCTGTCGTACGTTATCCAGGCGTTCCGCTCCCTGCTTCAAGATACCAGCAATAGCTGCCTGATACTTCTCTGCAGGGAAGTATTCCGGGAAGTTTGGGATTGTTTGTGCATGAGAGAGGATGGTTATGGATATACGCGTCAGGCTTTGGATGCAGGCCATCCGGATCCAGGACCCGACGTCTCCTCGCTCGTCGATGGTATAGTCTTCCAATCCACTCAACAATGCGTCAAGAATACGGCGGACAGTGGTTGCTTCAATGTCTGAGATATCTAGTCAGTAAACATGATACGACGCTGATATGAAAATACCAACATCTCGGGAGATCGGATACGATGGTCTGCAGAACCAGATTCATGGACGTATAACAATTCCGACGAGCTTCGACGTTCTCCATCCTCGACGGAGACTGCGGAAATTCAGCGAGGTTACAACCTGAGTGCCTGTACTGTACCGACCTTTGATTCAACGCTATTCAGGAGGCAATCAATGGCGCTCGGTAGGCTATGAGAAAAAGAAGTGTAGTCCATCAACCCGAGTAGCTTAGCAAGACTCTGTTGCGCAAACGGTGAGCCGCTCTGAAAATCGCGAATGTATGTATATAATAAAGTGACGTCAGCCTGACCATCATGTAGGAGAAGTGCCACACCGACTTATCTATCGACTACAGCGGAACAGTCCACCAGCTTGCTCACTTGAGCCAGGGCGGAAGCTGCAGCCTCCTGGACATTCTGAGATCTGTGCTTCAAGCCGACACTGATGATTTCGCGCCAGTGAGGGACTGAAGACTTCTTGTCCAGCTGGATCTCGACGAGGGATATTGTGCTGGCAATGAAGTGACAAGAAGCTGCTGTGATGAGTTCGTTACGAGGAGATTTGATGACATCGAAGGGGATGCTATTCAAGTACTTGAACATCTGAGGGAAACCTTGAGTCATGCATTCAACACCGATTGTATTGGGATAACATACCTTGACTCTCTGTTCTTCGTGATTTTGGAGTGAGGATTCTCTACAGGCGTGAGCCAGCTCTGTAAGAATGAGTAGAGCGCCGTGAAAATCGCCCGAATCGGTTGACTGAAAGAGTTTATGCTGTCGAAATACGGTGGGTCAAGCGAATGCAGTGTTAAATGAGCAATACATAGTAACTAACCGCTCGTTGTGCACAAGAAGGGGCTAGGTTGTCGAGATCAAGCTCGCAGATCTTGCGCAGAGACTGTGCGCCAACTTGACGCATCGCGGGATCCCAGTGCCGTGCCGTCACGTTCAAAAGATGGTCGATGAGAGATTGGCGGTACTCCTCATGTCTGCGAATCCGAGATCAGCAATAATAATGATAAGTAGAACTTAGAAAGAGATTAGCATACTCAGCTACTTGAGGAGCGGCCACCAGGAAAGAGTTTCGTCTCACACCAACCGCAAAGAAGTCTGTTTTACCCAGAACGTTGATGCCGTGAGGGAAGATACCCTGGAAAAAACTTCTTCGCATGTGACCATCGACTAGAATGAACAGACTTACCATCCGTCCAACGTGCTCTTGGAATGCAGCACTCGCTGCTCGTCTGATGTGCACCTCACGATCGAAGACAGAGACAGCGACAAGATCTCTCGATAGCGTGCTCGCATATGGTTGCATGACAGAGGCATCAAAAGCTCTTGCCAATGACCAGAGCACATAAGCTGCGGAGTCACGAACATTCGCACCAATGGAATGGGCCCCCTTCCTGATGTCGAAGTACAACGCCTACCATGCTTGAGTTAGTGGTCGATTGTTAGGTTAGACCAGATGTATAGCACCTTTGACATCCAACCAACGATTGCAGAGAGTTGGTCTTCTGGAACTAGGCTTCTACGAGCGATTTCTGCACAAGCTAAGCAGGCTCCGTTCCAGGTGGCCTCCGCAATCGCAGGCATATCATACAGACTGGCTACTCCGAGCGAATGTATGGAAAATAGTCCTGTCACGGTGTCGAGAACTTGGTTGGCAAAGTCTGTAGGTAATCGCTCTGCAATACGAGCAACACCCTTGGCGGCGGACCAACGAACGACGGTATCCTGTGCAATTGATGAATGAGAATACAGTTGATTAGGTTGAGAAGGGCTCCTACGCGATCCTGAAGAGCGCTGAGCAACTCTCCCAGTACGTCTTCAACTTCTTCTGGTACATCGAATTCCTCCTCCTCAATCTCTTGATCTGTGTGCTTGTCCACTAGCAATGCTCGGCCTTGATGCAACAATGTAAGTCATACGGAAATATTAATGGCCAAATATCTATGTGCTGACCTCGTTTCCGTGTTGTACTTCTAGCAGGAAGTAGTCGCAGAGCAATCCGAGTGAGGAGCTTCGCTCGTAATTTGCGTAGCACAGCGTTGTGCGTGAAGGACGAGCTCTGTGCCACCGATTTGGTAAGATCGTGTATTCGTGGTAAATGATCCACAATGAGTTCCGATGGGCTGATCTGGACAACCTCGCAGAAAGTATGAAGAGAACCGATGGACTAGCGATCTGGGATGTGAGTCAGGCACTAAGCAGGGAGACGCGAGAGAAACATACATCGAAACTATCGCTTCCAGCGCTCACGGAAGCCTCGGACCACTGCAAAAACGTCGGAAGGAGGTAATTTGTGTCTTGTCTGTTCGGATATCAGGATCCAGACACATGAGTGCTCGGGGAGTGTATTGTTTCTATTACCTTACGTAGAGGCGAGACAGAAGTACAGCAGCTCCCTCCCGTTCGAGACCCGCCGCACTGAGATAATGTTTGGCGGTCGATTCAATATCTGCCGCTGTTGTTCCTTTGGTTGCTGACCCATCGAATTGTGTGAGATCGAAGGGAATTCGGCAGATGAGAGAAAGCCAGAGCAAAGCAATATAGCGAAGTGCCCATATGCTCATCGGGATCGACTTGAGCTCTCTCAGGTACTTCGCAAAATCGAGAGCGATTGACAAGTCCGCGACTTCGTGCGGAAAAAATCTGACTGAAGGGAGATCAGTATCAGGCCTTGAGACCAGCGACCAGCAACATACCGATGCTCTTGTAGCCACGGAACTTGACATAGTGATAAAGCAGAAGTGCAACAACTTCAAGTCTGTGGATATTATATGTAGCCTCCGGATTGGTAACAATAAATCTTGCATGTGATCTCAATTTGTCTGCAACCGGTGTGACGAGGTCCTCCAGGATGGGGTCGAGAAGATATGACTGTTCTTGATACTCGTCCAACTGTAACCCGGAACAGGATAAGCGTCAAACATTTGTATGTACAGGATGCAGCTTACAATCTTTGACAAGCCCTCCAGAAGTTTTAGGTCGCTTCTTCTGTTGTCCTCTGTGGATACCTCATCGACGAATTCCAATGCGAGGAGTGAGTCTTGGAGTCTCACGAAATCATCACGTTTTTCAAACCGAGCAAAAGTCTTCGGTTCAAAGACTTCTTCTGCCATGCCCTATCCAGCCGTATGTTGGCCAAATGCGATCGAAGAGACTCGCAGGTGAAGATGTTGTGCAAAGCTCCCGTTCCAAAGACCACTGAACGAGAGTCGGACCGTAGATTGGAGTGAAGGTTCCACGGAACTGTCCGGTCGAGCGCGACGCGACGCGTCGCCGCTGGTCCGTTCCTGCCGGACGATTTCACGATGTCAAATTCAATATTCTTGACCTTTCCACAGAATTTCTACGTTCGTGCCAGAGTTTCGTCCTACAACATCTACTCCTCCTTCCTTTGACTTTTCATGCCGCCACATCACGACAATAGAGGGCTCAAGAGGAAGCGTCCCACCGCTTCAACAGAGGTACTCTGTGCATCAATTTGTTCTTGGTACCATTCGCTCACCTTTCGCCCCAGGAGGATCTTACTTTAAAGGTCGCTCGAAAATTGGTGCGTCATTCATTTTTTATCGCCATTGAATAGCACTGACTTATACATGTATTTAGCACCATGGTTTGAAGGAGGTCAGGAAAGCAGCCAAGAAGGCCAAGTCGTTCGAAAACCAAAAAATGGTCAAGAAACTAAAGCTCCTTCGGTTGGTCTCACCACCTAGACATCGTCAGTCGAAGTAGATGTTGACTCCGTTGCCCTAGGAAGGACCCGGAAAAGAACGGGCAAGAGATCAAAGATATGGAGGCTCAGCTGGAAACGTTGAAGGTGCGTACATTATCGGTTCCCTTCTCATGATTTTATCAAACCAAGACCCAGAACACAAATCACGACCGGATAGGCACTCTGGCACTCAGAAGTAAACTCAAAAAGGACAAGATCCTTTCCTCAAATTCCTCAGTCACCTCCGCCATTGCTACCGAACTACCACCAGGCACATCTACGTCTACCAATACCGATCCTAAAGTCGACTCTCGATTACTCAGCTCGAAGGCTCTTGCCTCTGAGGTCAACTTATTTGTTGCATCACTCAGGCTAGTCATCAATCCGCAGGCCAAACTCGATACAGAGGCAGAGTCTCCGCGACCTACGAAACTCCAGAAGCAGGATCTCCCTGAGGGAGACCACCAGAGTGAGAGTGAAGCAGAAGATATAGCGGATCTGAGGATCGAGGACGAACCTGTTGACGAGAGTAGTGCTGTTCTGGAGGGCGACGGCTGGGAATCGGGCACTATTGATGGAGACTCCGATGAAGATGACGAGGACGAAGATCACAAGTCCTCTGACGGTGAAGAGCGCGCCCCAAAATCACAGCAAGAGAAGCCCAAAGCCACCTACGCGACTAGTGTCAAGGAACGCCCAAAACCCACGGAATCCGCTTTTCTTCCATCTCTCTCGGTGGGTTTCACCCGTGGGGACTCGGATTCCGAATTTAGCGACGGCGAGGAAAAACCTACCGAACGCAAGAATAGGAGAGGGCAGCGAGCGCGAAGAGCGTGAGTGTCATACAGCCTATCGTTCGCAGATCTTTACTTACATCATTTACAGTATCTGGGAGAAGAAGTATGGTCGAGGCGCCAAGCATCTGAACAGCGAGGCGCAAGAGACCGCCAACAAGTCTAATGGACCAAACCACGGTCGATCGGCAGGATCGTCCACGAACTTCCGACCAAATCATACCGAAAACTCCTACAAACGAAACGATTCCGCCCGCAGTCATCAGCCCGCACCTCCTAATAGAACTTTCAACGCACCACCCTCGAGGTCTCGGTCGGATCGCCCCCCACCACCCCCGGCTCGAGAAGAGCGTCCTCTTCATCCCTCCTGGGAAGCAAAGAAGAAATTGAAGGAAAAAGAATCTGGAGCAATCGTTCCTCCACAGAATAAACGCATCACATTCGATTGAGGTATTTAACAATAATATCTTCCTTTCCCCTTACCTACTCATCTCGACCGTAGGACTTCATCATTGTCCATAGTCGTCCCTCTATTGGACAGGTCATCTACACGGATCGAGTTAACGCTTTTCTGCACTACAGGCTCCGCCATTTCCTCCCTTTGACTGGTCTATATGTCTGTCCATCCATTCCTGTGTGTTCTATCTTCGGAACCTGTGGCCTGTCGTGCTGTACCGCCAAATGTTATACTTGCGCAGAACGGAGTCAGAGACTGTGTGCGTTCCTTTGAACGTCTGGACCTTACTTTACGAACACTCTTCCACGGTCCCTCTACCCGCAAAGACCCATTCCCGATACGTGAGCGGATCCCCTTTCCACCCCTCTCCTCAGAATCCTCGGCAAAATATCGTGCATTATCCAGTCGTTATGGCTTGGCTTCGATATGTCAACGCAGGCGAAAGTTGTGCGCGTGGCCCGTACGGAAACCGAATTTGGGTCAGTTGATCCGTACCAAGCCCTGCTGCACCTCCAACTCTCCTGCACCTGACAGCAAACGTTAATGAGCTACGATTTACTATCCAACGCCCAACATGGGTTAGAGGTCAGTTTCAGGGGTATAAAATGTAATCTGTTGGTAGCAATCCCCCCCCTCTCCAGAGCTGTCCCATCCGTACGCTCGACGCCATGACTGACCAGGACTGCTCGCCGATTGAGAAAGTCACCTCACCGTCTCTAGATATACAACATCTCGAGAAGAAGCTGCATGCTACCCCGGAAGAGAGGCAGGCCGCCCTTACACAAGCTCTCGCAGTCGATCCTGGTGTCAAAGCGGGCAGTTGGAGGGCGTACCAGGTGAATCACCAACGCCGATCTCGTTCACTAGTTCCTTTCTCACTTTGCCTTTCGCTGCCTGTCTAGATGTATCTGATCGTTCTCTGCGCTTGTTGTTGCTCCGGGGACAGTGGTTTCGATGGCACGGTTCGTCCTTTCATCCCATTGGACCATGGTGTGGATGATTAAATGTCGTTATTTCGTGGTGGAATCAGGTCATGTCTGGTGTCAACGCGATGTCACAATATCAAACATACTTTGGCATGTCGAGTGCAGGTGCAAAGACCGGGTTCGTCCTCTCGAGCTTGACCACGTTATCGCTAGCTGACTGCATTTCACCAGAATTGTTTTCGGTATATTCACGATGTATGTTTTCCTAGCACTATTGTCGCATTTTCTACTGATATTTATGGACCCCTCGTAGCGGATCTCTGGTGTACGTACTCTTGTCCATACTCCGAAAATTTTGAGCTCATGATGTTGCAGTGGTGCTATCCCCGCGTGTACGTATGGCGCCTTTCGAGGCCAACCAAAACAATTGACATATCGTCACGTCAAATAGCATACCTGCCGGATCGATTTGGGCGTAGAGTCTCTATGTTTACTGGCAATTTCCTCCTGATGTTCGTATCCGTTCAATTGCTATATTACTCGTCGTTTGATTGACCTTGGTATTGACTTTATGTAGCATTGGCGCTATCGTTACTGCAACCGCGACGCGGAAGAGTACTTTCATTGGCGGTCGATTCCTCACAGGTGAGTACTGCATCGTGTACACATCTCGCGTATAGTCTGACCGCCCACGGAGGTCTTGGGTCGGCCACGGCTGGAGCGTCAGCAAAATCGTACCTCGCTGAGATTACGCCACCTCAGACGCGAGGCATGTTTCTCGGTTTTCTAAACTCTTTGTATGCACTTACTTCTTTGTGCCGATTCTTGTCCAATGTCTGATGCACGCGTCACAGCTACTATGTTGGCCAGATGACGGCCAGTGGCATGATGGTAGCCACGGAAAAATACAGTAATGAATGGTCCTGGCGTTTGCCTCTCTTTATACAAGTAAAGGCGTTTTGATCATAGTACTCACGAATGTTACTAATTTTTCCCCCTTGACTCTTAGGTTGTACCTGCAGCTCTCAACGTCATATTTGTATTCCTTTGCCCGGAATCGTGAGTCCAGTTGTAGTTTTTCCAGTCATCATATGCTCATATTACCATTCAACAGGCCAAGGTGGCTCTACACTCAGGGAAAGACTGACCGGGCTCGTGCGATCCTAGCGAGACTGCACTCCAGCACCGGCGACGTTCATTCACCCCTCATCGACCTTCAGATAAACGAGATCGAGGAGAAGATTGTTCTCGATGGCAGCGACAGTATGTGGTCTCCAGATTTCCTGCTATCTCATTTCATCAAACCCTGATCTTTGCGATCTTCAGAACGGTGGTGGGACTTTAGAGCTCTGTTCCGCACACGTAGCGACCGGTACAGGACTTGGATGGTCGTCCTTATCGGCTCATTTGGACAATTGTCTGGAAATGGCCTCATCACCTATTTCTTGCCGGTCTTGCTGTTGAATGCAGGAATCACATCTCAAAGCAAGCAGCTTACTCTCAACTTTGTCAATTCTGTCACCTCGTTCATTGGCGCTCTTACGGTGAGCTCTGATCCTTGTTCCTAAAGCTTTGCGGTCCAGACTAAGATATTATCCATAGGGGTCGGTATGCGTTGACCGTGTTGGGCGGCGAAAGCTCCTCTTATGGTCTACCGGATCGCTCGTCATAATGCTTGCGATCGTGACAGGTCTGCTGAGCCAGCCAGGAAATTCAGCTCGCGCCAATGCAGGAATTTCTTTCATCTATCTCTTCATGGTTATATTCTCGTTCGGATGGACGCCTATGTGAGTCGACCATCTAATGCGAACGGAGCCACCATTCTGACCCGTTAGGATCAGGCAAGCCCTCTATGGTGCTGAGGTTCTGAGTTACGAGACTCGTGCCAAAGGACTGGCCTTCCTCAACGTCGTAACGCAGGCATCTTCCTGCATCAATACCTTCGGGTAAGTGCACCATACAATTTGAGGGTTTTTAAACTCCCGCTCACGACTCGCTTTGATAGCCTCCCAGTTGCACTGGAAAAAATATCATGGAAAGGTAAGGGCACGTTCTCTCACTGCATCGACTAAGATGCTGATGGGGTTCCATGCTCAAGTTTATGTCATCTTCCTCGTCTGGGACGCGTTTGAGTTCATTGTCATTTATTTCACGGTCGTTGAGACGAAAGGGTTGACATTGGAGGAGATTGAAGCAGTATTCTCTCAGCCGAATCCGAGGAAATACTCTACATCACATAAGTTTAGGTTCAAGGCCACTGCCCAAGGTGAAAGTGCGTAGTGGATACCGTAAAGCCTGTATTTTATCGATACTACTCATCTCCGTCTCTTGGTATACTTACTGTGACTCTTTCGTGCTGATCCTCTGCGTGATTGGGTGTTGGTAGTACCGTTTTACGTGTAAATTTTCTTCGCCCTGTATGGAATAAGATATTGCTACTGTTTCTAAAGGATCCTGTTGAAAAAGACGTCGAGGACGAAGAAAGCATTGTCCGAAATAAGCTAGGTAGATAAGATAAGATAACCAACCACGTTAACCATCCGTGATTCCGAATGTTCTCGAGCCACACGAAATGTTGTCTCTTCGACCCGACCGCCACCTTCTCAATCCGAAGTTCGAGGGCTACAAATTACATCCTCTTCCAGAGGACGTCGTCTCACATCATGCCCTGAACTATAAGCCAACGCAGTCCTCAGTATCGGGCCGTGCACCCTTGTCTTTCCAGGAGGTTCAAAGTCGCATTCGCCACAATCATCTTACCGTCAGTCCCGACTCTCGGGAGGCTGTATACATTGACAGCGATTTTAAAGTTGTATCAGTATCATTGCAGGAGGTATGAAGCTGGATCATATACCCACATATATCTCGTCATCAACCTCAACTAATGACCAGGCTTTAGGATGGTTCACCTTCGTTCCGGGTCATCCACGAGCTTCCCACTCCCATGCAGACGTCCGCGTCTGAGACTTATCAACGCGAATACCCTTCCGCAACATTCTTGACGCCCACAATCTTGCTTGTCTCGGATGGACAAGGCACACTGTACGTTCTGAGCAGCTCTCCATCGCAGCAAACAGAGGTGTCGGCCATCTACGAACTCCCTCCTTCATTCTCGTCCGCGCCATTCCGAATCCATGTCGCCACACAAACATCACCAAACTCCGCCCTTGTCGTTTTATCCGCAAGACATCGTGAACCCGCCGCGACGAATGATGACGGTACACCGTACTCGGCAGGCGGCAGCCATAGAACGACCCGGACCTTTTTCGACATCTTCGGCGTCTCCCTCCAACTTCCCACCTCTGAGAGCAACTCCGAGGTCCTCCCAATGACCATAGCCTGGCATAGGCGAGGCGAAGACGTCCCTCTATATTGCACATATCACGCACCCAGCAAAGCCTTCCTCCTCGCTGGTAGCTCCCCTTATCGAGACCTCTCCGGCCCTCCTCCAACACCCGCGCACGAGCCTTCGCAAGACGAACTCGCGCCCGTACCCCGCGCAGATGAGAACCTGGATAGCTCAGGTCCCGATTCTCAGCTAGCCAAACCACCTCCTTACGCGTGGACGCAAGATTCAGAAGAACTGACCATCGCGTTTCCCCTCCCGGCCACTACCCCAAAATCCTCCATCAACGTCCTCTTCACACCCCAGACTCTCACAGTTCACGTTCGAGGTGGACTCGTCGCCGGAGAGATTCCGCTACCGAAATACACCGCTGCAAGACTATGGGGCTCGATTGCTCCTTCGTCGAGTTTCTGGACTTGGGACGCGCAAGGCGATCATACCTGTGGTCTTCTCACGCTTCACCTAGAAAAACAACATGCCGGGACACGATGGCCACAAATCCTGGACTCCTCCGTCGCAGACATCGAAGTCCCCGAAACGCTCGACCCGTCTGAATTATACGCCATCAGGGAATCCCTCGAGAAATATACGACCGCGCTGCGCGAGGGTAAGGATGCGAGTGGACTAGGGTTGGGGAGCGGGGTTCCGAGTTTGGCGGAGGGAGAGATGGATGAGGAGGCGGATGCGGTGGTGGGGAGTCAGGTTTGTTTGACTTGGGCGGGGGTGGAGGATGGGAGGACGCCGGAGTGGGTGGGGGAGGGACCGGAGATGTTGAATGTGTTGTCGACGCCGTTGCCGGGGATCGAGGGCGGGTCTGATGCTGGTATGGGAGAGGGGAACGAGGTTTCGTTGGTGCTCAAGCACACGTTGGACGGGTTGTTGTTCTCCTTGGGAGACGGTGACGCCGGTCCACGGTGGAAACACGCATCGACATATTCAGCACTAGCATTCGTACTCGCCTCAAAACGGGACACCAGATTCACGTTCCATGTTTCTTCCGAAACCGTACTGGCATTCGAGAGCGGGAGCGCTGCCGGATTCGGAGGAAATGCGTATATCTATCGTGGTGTGGATGGAAAGGGAGGAAGAGGGAAGGATGGTCTTTGGGCGAAGCAGTCGATATTGAAGGTGGGAGGGGGTACGACGGGGGCGTTGATGGGTGTGGGTGCGCTGCGTGCGGGGGATGGGAAGGCGGTGATTTTGTGTTTGTGTGAGAGCGAGATAGTTTGTTTGAGGGATGTTGTATGAGGTGATGATGTCCAGTCTTGACAAGTGAAGTTGTACTGCATGTATACTTAGGCTGTTGTCTACCGTTATGCTTGGAAGCACGTCGGCTTGCAAGGACACAATCAAACAAACATCGCGTCATTCCCAACAATCACTCGACTGCATTCACTAACGATACAGCATTGATACGTCGTACATAGCGTACACGCGACCAGTCCATACTCGGTACAACAATCATGGTTTAACAGTGGGTTTGGGGTACTACTACTCATGCAGAATTATATGGAGTGCACTGTGGCAATCTGGACCCGGCAACTCAGCAGCCAGGCCTACACGAACTGAAACGAGAAAGAAATGAAAAGGGTATGTACGTGAAGACATAACAGGGTTGAAATATGAAGAATAAGGATGAGATAAATTACTTATAAGTGAGGGAGGGAGGAATAAAGTGCGCGTCCACGCGCAACAGGGCAGGATCCTAAGTGACGAAGGGACGTCGAGCCCATTCGTCAAGTAGCAAAAAGTAGCACCAATTCAAAAGAACAAAAAAACGACCCACAAACCACAAAATCAAAACATCAAAAAAAAACCCCGCTCTCCTTCTCCTTTTCCTCAGCTCCCACCCGTCCCCGCACCCTTAAACGCCACAAACGCATTATAATTATACGTCTCCGGACTCCCCTGGAACATAAACCCCTCCGGCTGCAAGTCCACCACACTAACACCATCCCTCTCGATCGTCCCGTGCATCGTATCCCCAGCACTGATAGGGATAGAGAGTTTAGAGACACCAGAGGGGACAGAGAATGTCTGGGAGTTGGTGCTGGAGGTGGAGAGGGTGACGGTGCTGGCGGAGGTGGCCATTATGACGGCCCAGAGGGTGTCGGCGGACTGTAAGCACGGGGTGAAAAAATCGGTTCATTTCTGCAGATGAGGACGAGCAGAAAGATTGACGAGTGGATGGGGCGGGGAGCTTACCATGTCGAAATTTGCAGGCTTGTCGACGGAGTCGTTCGATGCTGAGGCGTCTTTAGGATGCGGGCGGGACCACATGTAGATCTTGTCTTCCGTGATGGTGGGGTATGTCCCCGTCTTAAACGCCTCCGCATAATACCTCGTCATATCGAGCCAACCTGTTCAATTCCACCCCACAATCGACATACACCAATATCATTTTATTTATTTATTTGGTCGTCAGTCTGGTTATAAATTTCGATCTAGGGGGTAGGGGGTAGGAAGGAATACGTACCAGTATGATCGAACCCGTCGACCCAAGCCTGACTATTCGGTTGATCGCCCTCGATAGGCCCAATATAATGACTCTCGCCGTAATCGTTCCAAGTCACGATCTCGACGATATCGACCTGGTCTCTCGAGGCGACGAGGGATTCCCAGCGGGTGGGGTAGAGGTGCGAGTCTGTGTAGTAGACGAACTGTGAAGCGAAGCGACAAAGTACGAATGGGAGTCATGATTAGCATGGTGGCAGTCGGTCGGGAACATGAGGCATGAGGGAAGGCACTCACGTTCTTATTGAATGTCTCCGGACTATAATGCGTGTAGAACCAAGGCGACGCAGTGGCGACGTAGATCCTATCCCCTCCATCGCTCGGCGCAGACATACTATTCAATCCACTGATATACTGGCTATCGGAGGTAGAGGTCTCGTTGAGAAGAGAGGCGAGGGCGTCCTGAATTGCGGATGAGACGCGGGCGGTGCCGTCGCCGGTGACGAGGGAGGAGAGTGCGGAGAGGGAGGCACCGATTGAGGAGAGGACGGAGCTGGCTGTGGAGGTGGTGACTGAGATAGGCCAGGCAGAGTTCCACTGTATCGCAAAAAAAAAAAAAAAGCATCAGCACACAAACACGTACCGAGCGTCATTAAGCTCGAAAGTCGAAGACATACGTTCAGTGCACCGTCCATCACATTATCATACGTCCCAAACGTCGCAGGGTCGACAAAGAAACTCGGCACGAAAAACACAGCATTCTGACCTGTTAAATCAGGATGGGATGTGAACTGCGAAGACCAGCCGTCGACGACGGAGCCTTGGCCGAAGGTGCATGATTCGCCGGAGAAGGTGGAGGCGAAGACGCGATTGCGGTAGATGAGCTGGTTTGGGTGAGAGGCGTAGGTGGTGATGTATGTGCGGAGTGTGGCGGCGTGGTCAGCGGTCGTGCAAGGGAGTGCGCTTTATTCAGGAAGTTAGGCCTTGTATGTGAGTTTACTGTAGGATGAGACGGAGACTGACCTCATGTCGAAAGAGAGGAAGAGCTTGAATAGAGTTCCAGATTGAGAAGCGGCAGTGTACCTGCACACACGTATCAGAATACCTCAGTTGGAATTTACTTCTGACATCAGAATTGCGAGCGAAACGTACGCATCCGCCACACGAGCAGGTTGCCAGTCGTCACTACCGATATTAAGAGCAAAGCCGTCAATACCATTGGCATAGGCGAGTGCAATATCGGCAGCCCAGGTATCTACGGTGTAGGGGTAGGTATTGCCAACCATATGGTGCGCCACGACATACTTGTCTGAGCCGCTAGATGATGCAGTAGACGAGGAGGTAGGTGCGGAGGAGGTGGTGGTAGAGGAAGAAATGTCGGTAGAGGAAATGGTAGTTGAGGAAGAGGAGGGGAGCGTAGAAGCGGAGGTGACGGTAGATGAGGATGAGGTCATGACGGTCGTAACGGAAGAAGCCGCCGGGGCTGAGAGGGAGGAGGTCGAAGAGGATGCAGAGGATGCGGCTGAAGTGGGAGCATCGTCTTGGGTGACGAGTTGACGGCGACGTAAACCAGAGTGCAAAGCTCTGCGATGAAGAGTAGATGGACGGGTCAGAGGCAGGCCTTGTACAAGAAGAGAATATAAAGCGAGAGTGGCGTAAATGAAAGTTTTAGAGGAACGCATAGCGTCGAGGAAGGATTGAAAGGTTAAAAGAAAGTATGTAGGCCAGCCAGCTGTGTGTATGCACAGTACGTACGAGGAAGAGGGAAAGAGAGAACACGCACTGGTTTTGTATCGCCAAGAACAAATATAAGGGTAATTTGAACTGGGCTGTTGATCGTCGGCAAAGGACAATAAGAAGCACAAGACAACAACCGCCCGATACGGACAAAGACCGTCCTTGTTTGGTGAGTGTTCAGCTGCAAATAATATGTATCACTCGATTGGGGCAGCCGATGATCAAGACGTTGACATTGATCTGCACCTCGTTACCGACGTCGATGGCGTCGATGGCGTCGAGCAAAGCGTAAATCTGGAGAGCCGGAAGCAGAAAGGGGAAGCAAAAGACAATGAATGCACGTGACGTGTGGCACTCGCCGTTCGACGCGTCTCGCTCGCGTCTCTCCACTCTGTCGCCCGCGACGTCGGGCTCTATGGACGCTCACAACCACCCAACAGAAAAGCTGAGGCCACCCACGCTCTCGCTCATAACCCCATCTGCATCTCCCACACCCCCTTCTCGCTCTCTTTCGCGCGCGACAAACTATCCACCAGCAGATTCGGACCGGGAGCAGCCTTCGCCATCCAAACGAGCTCGTCTGACACGCACCCCATCCAGTCCTCTTCATCATGCCTCATCTCCTTTTAATGCTGAACCATCTGCATCTACGTCCCACTCTCACTCAGCTTCTGCATCAGCATCGAGAAATGAGCCCGACGAGATCAGCAAGATAGACTTTCAGAAGGCCCGGCACGAATCCACCATGCGCGTTCTTAACGTATGGAATCAACTCGCGGAGCGCTACGCGCGTCCTCTCGACGAGGACGATATCATCGACTTTGCTACCGGTAAGGTCATCAAGGATCGCGGTGTTCTACGCTCCATCAACTCGGACTACTCCTTTGGCTTTCTCTCAAAGGCGGCCCAGGCGGATGATGCGAGTAGTGATGGTGGCGGTGCGGTGACCGAAGGGGAAGGGGAGGGGCCGGATGAGATCGACGAGGTCGAGGCGGAGATTCAGAGGTCGAAGGATTTCTTGGAGAAAGAGAGGAAGGCGTTGTTAAAGAAGAAGAGAGCACTGGGGCCGGAGGATCAGGATGATTTGAAGGAGTTTCTGAGGTTGGAGAGGGAGAGGCAGGAGATGGGTTTGGATGAAGAATTCAGCGATGAGGAGTGGGAGACGGAGGCGGATGTTGGGTCAAAGGTAGTGAGGGCAAGGCAGGTCATCCCGGACGAAGAGCGTTCTGATGTCGCGCTTGAGATTGACGGAGGGAAACCTGACGGGCCGTATATCTCGCATTCACGTTTGGGCAAGGGCAAGTTCAACGCCCTTGCCCAGGAAGAGGAGGAAGAGAGCGACGCATCTCGTTCAGATGGGTCTGTCCGTCGGATTTTGCACGAAGACAATAATGACGAAGGCGACGAGGACGACGAGGACTCTTCAGAGGATGAGCTGGGGACATGGGACTTCGACGAGCACAATGCTGTATATCGTATAGCGAAATCATCTTCCCCTGAAGCTGAACCCGACCCTGACCTCGACCCCGACCCATCTCCTTCATACTCCCGTTCTCCCTCACCTTCCTCCGCACCACCATCTCCACCACCTCGACCACACCATCCATCTTCCCACCCAGCACAATCTCTAGGGGACGAAGTTATCGAAATCTTCGACTCACCCACTCCTTCCCCTCCCCCTACAACTCGTTACTCCCCCACACCACAACACCCCCCATCTCCCTCTCCAGCCCCTTCCATACAGTTCGCCGTCCCATCCATCCCCGCCCGGTTCTCCGCCCGCGAGAGACCATCGCAATCGCAACTACAAACGCCTCCTCAGTCCTCGTCTTCGGTCGTGAGCCGCACGCCATCCGTCTTCTCACCGACTCCAGATCCCAATCCCCGTCCTAAGCCACGTCCTGCATATAAGCATGCAAATGCTCCTGCTGCGTCATCCAGCTCCAGCGCGTCCAAACCTATCCCTTCTATCGATTTCAACGACTTTCCTGCCTCCACTCCCTCTGCCTCTTCCGCTTCCGCTTCATATCCCAAAAACCATCAACCTGCGAAACCGACGCCCGCACGTCCACATTCGACGGTTTCTTGTACACCGGCACCTACTCCTGCTCCCAAGCGGAATTTAGCGGAAGTCGTGATTATGCGTGCGCCGTCGAGGGCGACTGCGACGCCGGGGCCACAACTGCAAATGCAGGCTCGTCACGCCACACCGTCCGGTTCGGGCTCGAATACCTCTAGAATTACTGTCCCTGCGGCGTCGAGTTCGCTGGCTGGGCGGGATGGTGGGTTCAGAGACAAATGGAAAGGCAAGGAGAAGGATAAGGATAAGGATACATCGTCGGACGTACCTGCGCCCGCGCCTTCGCGCCCTCGAGGGAGACCGAAATCGAAAGGGCCGTCTCACCCGAGTGCATCTACGTCTACACCTGCGATACCGGCTTCGGACAAAGGCAAGGGCAAAGCTCAACCCAACACCAGCGCTAATGCCAAAAGCACACCACGCCAACGCACTCCCTCTACCCGACTTGCTCAGTCTCGGTCTCAGTCTCATTCCCGGTTACGGTTATTGGGCTCAGACAACGACGACGAAGACGAAGACGACGATGGACAGGGATCTTCTTCAGATGGTCCGCCGTTGGCATCGTTCGTGTCCGGATCTATGTCGAGGAAAGGGAGCCCTGTGCGTGGCGCGTCTTCTAAACCTGCACCTGCACCGTCGTCGAAGATTTCGCTTTCTGCTGCTGCTGGACGGAAGCGGAAACGAGTCTCGTCAGCGTCGATGCCCGGGCTGGGGCCGTCAGAGTCGCCGGAGGATGGCGTGGCTGTGGACAAGCTAGGTGGGTGTGCAGATTCTTCGGACACTCTTCCTTGGCTTCCGTTTTTGGTGTGTATCACGCTGGATGGAATATTCACGCAGTTTCTTTTGTGATTTTTATTTGTGGCGATTTGGTTAGATGGGCGCGGACGATCTCAGGTCCCTGATAAAGGCAAAGGCAAAGCAAAAGATGCGTCCGTGTCGAAGTCGACGGCCAGGTCACGGTCGAGGGCCAAGTCTGTGAGGCCGAGGAGTCCGAGTTCTTCCAGGTCGCCTCCCAGGCCGCCAGACCAACCATCGCTGCACGCACAGGAGGACGATGACAACGATTACGACCATGATTACGACGATTATGATGTACACCAAGTACGCTCACATCCGCATCCACAGCAACAAGCGTCGAATCATCACCAACCTCCTGTGCATGTCGACGGGCCCGCCACACCGAACGCGGACACGAATCCGAATCCAAACATGATACACATGGGCAACCAACCGATCGATATCTCACAAGCACAATATTTCCTCGCTCAGGCGATGCAGTCGCTTTCGTATATCATTCAGAATGGCGGCGGTGGACCTGGCGGACCTGACCAGCAGGAGCGGTGGGGTTCTGTGCCACCTTTGCCTTTCCCAAATGGATTGGGACAAGGCCCAGGACAGTTCACTCCGACGGCTTGGCCTGCGTATCAACAAGGACAGGGACAAGGGCAGCCGCAGACACCTGTGAACCCCCCTGTTCAATATCCACATCAGCAGATGCACTCGGCCACCCCTCAGCGAGGGCGCAGCTACGGCTCCGGCTCTTCGATTACAGATCCTCCTGCTTCATCCTCGGCTTCAATGTCGGGCTCTATCTCCACTTCCTCTATAGCATCTGCATCTTCGTCTACCACAACCAGAGCTACGTCTACGTACCGAACGCCTCGTAACCTCGGCCACAATCACGGTCTCACCAGTAGCGCAAGCCGTGACCACGGTCATCGTTGGCCCGAGAGCGTGCATGCTTCTTCTTCGCAAGCGACGCTTCCTCCGTCGTCGCCTGAGCCGGAGCTTGATGAGGATATGATGGATAGCTCACCGATACCGAGGAGTCCGCCTGTGTCGAGGGTATCAAATGGGGGGAGGGATCAGAGGGGCAGGGAGAATGGGAAAGGGAAGGGAAAGGGGAAAGAGGAGGACAAGTCGAGAGGGAGGAGTAAGTCGAGGGCGAGGAAGGTATCTTTCGAAGATCACAGTACAAATGCGAGTACGGGTGTTGCTAGAGGGCGGAGCGTGAGCAGGGCACCGGGGAAGAAGGGTGTAGAAGATGCTGGGAGTGCTGATGGTTCACGGCCTTTGGAAAGGGCTAGGGAGAGACTTTCCTCGGGGAATTTTAGGAATGGGGAGACAAATATTGGTAGGAAAGGTGGATGAAATGTATCTGTGTCTTGTAATCTGTAGTTGGGTGTAGAGTATCTATGATTTTAAGTTATGCTGACGAAATGGCCTCGAACGTGAAAATGACATCCACGCAGCACGATTGCCTATGTAAATTGTTTTATCTGCGTAAATAATAATTGGTCACGGATGATCGTTGAATGTTGAGCATGAAGTATAATGAAAGCGGGGCGGTGACGAGTTCCTGTGGCAGGGGGCAAGGACACGCCGGATACTCGGAAAAAGCCAACGAAATTTACGCGGGGCGCGGTCTGAACTGCTCCAAAAAGCAGTCAGCCAAGTCCCATTCCGCTCAGCTCTTCCTCTGCACGCGACTGTTCTCATCCACCGCCCTCGTCCTTCGTGATTTCCACCGATTATCCGTTTCTTCCCCATCTCCTTCGCACGAATCGGAATATTTCAGCGCCGGATCCCAACACCTTCAGGTTCAATACTCAGGAATTCTCTATTTGCGGTAACGAGTCATGGTGCGTCCTATCCCTATTTTTTCCTCGCTTTGAATCAAGGAGCCTCATCTCTCGCTTCCTGTGCGTTCTCTTGGTCGCTTGATCTCGTTCGCGTAGGGTCAAACTCTCTCGAGTCCAGGTACGTGCTCCATCAGGAGGGGAACCTTCGCGCTTGAATCTTTGAAGAGGAGCAAGATCATGACGGTTCCGCCTTCTTCGTCCCGCCCGTTCCCTCGTTCTAAATTACTTCATATTCACCAGCGACGGATAAGCATACGGAGACGGGAGGAGATGAACGGTATAGCTATGCTGTCTCGGAGATGCAGGGGTGGCGAATCTGTGAGTCTCGTTTTGTTTATCTTTAGCGTCCGTTCGCTTTTGGACTCGGGAAGTTTTCAATTTCCATTTCATGTACTCCACTCACCGTTCTGGTCGTGATGTTTGGTGCGGTGTGTTACCTGGTTTGCTGACTGTGGGATGTAGCCATGGAGGACGCACACACGACTGTCCTGCGATTAGATGAGGAAGCAGAGGAGAGTAACACCTTCTTCGCTGTTTACGATGGTCATGGTGGTACGTCTACCCTCTCGCCACACGCTTGCTCCTAGCAGCATCGCTCAATGCATCTCTTCACGCCTTTCAGGAGGATCCACTGCACGATTCGCCGGTGTAAACGTGCACAAACGTTTGGTACAAGAAGAGTCGTACAAGGAGAACAAGTATGATCAGGCGCTGAAGAGAGCGTTCTTGGGCACGGATGAGGATATGCTCGCTGGTAAGCCCCCTTCCCTTTGGAGATTGAGAGGGGTTTGGTCATGATCGGCGTCAATAGATCCATCCTATACGAGAGATCCTTCGGGGTGCACGGCTGTGGCCGCCTTGATCACGAAGGACAAGAAGATCTATGTTGTAAGTACTCTTCCGTTTCCTGTGTGTTACCCAGATGATTCGATTTTGACATGCTCTTGTCAGGCAAATGCAGGCGATTCACGAATCGTCCTTGGTGTCAAAGGACAGGCCAAGCCATTGAGCTACGACCATAAGCCTCAGAACGACAGTGAGCACAACTCGAATGCTTTACACATTAATTGTTAAACTGATTGGCTTCATCTCCTTCCAGCCGAACGAAGCAGGATTATGGCCGCTGGTGGATACATCGAGTTCGGCCGTGTCAATGGTGAGTGCTCCGATAAGCCCTTCCTGAATGGTCTGGTGCATATGTTGAAGATCGCCTTCTTTCCGTTTCACTCCGTTTTTGTTTCATTTGCGTACAGGCAACTTGGCTCTTGCTAGGGCTCTGGGCGACTTTGAGTACAAGAAGAACTACTCTATCACACCCGAGAAGCAAATCATAACAGCAGATCCTGACGTCATCGCACACGATATCACAGACGACGACGAGTTCCTCGTGCTCGCTTGCGATGGTAAGCCCTTTATTCTCTTGACAAGCAACTGAGCCACTCGTTCTCACATGATCATTGCAGGTATCTGGGACTGCTTGAGCTCACAACAAGTCATCGACGTCGTTCGTCTCCAGATCTACGAAGGCAAGGACCTCCCCGAAATCTGTGAGAACATCTGCGAGCTCTGTCTCGCACCCGACACCACCTCCGGCGCCGGCATTGGCTGCGACAACATGACCGTCATGATCGTTGCTTTCCTCAATGGAATGACCAAGCCGCAGTGGTACGACATGATCAGGGACCGCGTCGACAAGAACGTTGGGTACAGGACGCCGAGGGAAATGCCCCAGATCTACACGACGACCCGTCTGCTCACGTTCAGGGCCAGAAGGGATGCTCAGGCGGAGAGAGACAAGGATGGTGGTCCGGCGAACGCGTTGAATGGGAGCATGCTCGGTGGGCCGTCTGCGTTCAGTGGTCTGCAGAGAGTATTGGGCAGCACCGGTGGGATCTCGTTCCACCCTGGCTCGAGTATCCTTAGCGATGCGGGAACCTTGATGTTCGAGCAGGACGACAGTGATGAGGACGATAGCGGGGATGATATGGACGAGGATACGGCCTCGGAGGGGGGCCGTACACTGTTCGGGCAACCTATTGGATCCGGCCGCGATGAGTCGCCCGAGGGTTCCAAGAGCTTGAAGGAGCAGCTGGACGAGTTGGAGAAAGGGGAGGAAGAGAAGGACTCCGATGGGGATGTCAGGATCGACGACGCGGATGATGAAGAGGCTCTCAAGGAACCCTTCGACAGCGTCATCGACCTCTCGGACGCTGAGAAGGATCGCGCGGAAAAAAGCGCCGCGTCGCCTTCGTCGTCGACATCGACACAGCCGTCCCGAGAGGGCGAGGCACCCCCACCGCCGCATTCTGTCGCGAATGGGGATGCGAATCCGGCGCAGCTCAAGTCGCAGCCTGGGGGGGATGAGGCCAGTGACGCCGTGAAGGCGGATGGGCTCATGGATAAGAGCGAGGACCCGATGGTGGTGTAAGTTTGTAGTTCTTTGGACGCTCGTACGCGTACTGTATACACATATGTGCTGTTTGTTTCTGTGTTCTGGTTCATTCTCACCTTCCTCCTCTTTCTCATCTTTTTCTCTGGCTCATCTCATTCTCTGCGCTTGTCACAACGATTCTGGGCTGCCTGCCATCTTTACCCACCTCTCCCCCCTTTTATCCTCCCGATTGTCTCCGTGTCTCCGTCTCGACTATCTCTGTTCGCCTGGTGTTGCCGTGTCTTCTCAAGTACAGAATACTTACAATGTGTGTGTGACTTTTTTTATCTATCTACATGGGGTGTTCAAATAATCTTGTTGCACAACATCCATACCAGTTGTATTTAGTATTCTTTTTTCTTTGTGCTGGGTGCATGGACAGGAAAAAAGCAAATCATTCTTTGCATGAGAGTTCTGCGCAGGGTACATCCTTGACTCAAGGAACAGATCAGAGTAGGCATCAACTAACCCGCACGGCCTGAAGACAACCGTGAATAAACAGTTGACCTCGTCCAGCATGTTTTTATGTAAGTAAACGAGAAAATAATTCGGCGCCACAAGTTGGCACAAGGGCCAAGGCGCTCCGAAACGAAGCTCCGCTCGGCATCCCCCGGGACACCGACGGGGAACAAAAGGCAACTCGCAACGGCCCTTGACCTTGTCCCAACCTCTTGCCCAACCTCGTCCACGACGTTCTTCAGCATCTCTCCACTCTACTTGTCAGATATTCTTTGCTCTATATTGTATGTATTATTGTCAATACCTTTCAACCCACCACTGACCTCTCCTCCCCAAACGTTGCCAGTTCCACTTCAGTCCATAATACTTGATGGCGGAACTGTCGATCCCCATGTCACGGTAATATTTTGCATCTGTAACCTTGCCGTATGATTACCTGAACTCATTCCCTGATCCCCATCTTGACAGCGGAGCATTCTGGGACCAACTTAAAAAATCAAGAATCCCCGAAACTCTCGAAGACGTCGAAGACGTCGAAGGCGACGTCCGACTCAAGATCAAAGCCTGCGATGACGAGCTCGCCTTCGCGCAGGCCTACATACAAGAGATCGGTGCACGCCGAAATGCACTGCTCTCCATCAACCAATTTCCATCCGAAATTCTTGGGTACATATTTCGCTTCCTTCTCCCGGTGCTCGAGCCCCAACCTCTTGACACACTGCATCGCCGCCGTGACGAAAGAGCGATCACCTCTGGAACGCGGACCCTCATTACTGCATCTCATGTCTGTCAACGATGGCGCGATGTCGCACTCGAACACTCTGCTCTATGGACCATTCTGTGGATCGGGAACACATCATGGATGCACGAGATGCTTATACGCTCCAGGGGCACGCCTCTCATCATCATGGAGCCCCAACAACATTCCGTCCGTCGCATGTATCGCGGATTGTTACTGCCCAAAGATAGTCCTAACATCGGCATGAACTTCCTGGCTTCCCGCCTATTCCATGAAATCCAACCGAAATGGCTATACTTGGCCCCCCCATGCGAGGACGCATCGGTAGCAACGCTCTGGGATGAGGTGTTGGTGCGGCCAGCGCCTAATCTTGAGACCCTTGAGATACTTGGATCTCACCACCCTTCTTGTCCCGGTGTAATGCACATTCCCTCTGAACTGCTGGGCAGATGTGCACCGGCCTTGAAACACTTGAGCTTGGCCGGCATTTTCTCGTACGACTCGGCTCTGTGGACGTCACCGATTCTTCATCAGCTTGTCAGTTTGACATTGGATGTGCATTATATGAATGGTGCCGATATGGACTCAAGAATTCCTCTTCAAGCCGTACTAAATGCACTGCAAGAAATGCAACAACTCGAGAATCTGTCCATCACCTTCCCGTCACTCCGTATCGAATCTCCACTCAAGGACTCGCCGTATCTCGTCCATCACGAACATGACCACTCTCTAGTGCAGCTCCCGAGACTCTCGTCCTTGTATTTGTCTGGGGTTCTGATAGAGATTTCTTCGCTTACGGCGCACCTCATCATTCCTCGTAATGCCACCGTACGGTATACGGCGTTCCTTCGCGAGGACGACGTTGACGCTGGACTCTCAGGGAACATCGCAAGGCTCCTGCATCCGACCCTCCCCCTCTCACCACTGAGGACTTCTGAGATCACACTCGTCAACAGCTATGACTGCACCTTGCAGCTTCGATGCTGGGACCATACCCTCCCTGCCCATAGTTCTGCCATGGAAGACCTTGGCCGGCCACGTATTGCGCTTGAGTTTTGGCTTCCTTCTCCACCTCTAGACGAGCTAGGAATGCTGCCCCAAGCGCCAGATCCCGCCGCAACACACCAAGCCCAGAAACTACTCGAAATCTTCCGAGCGGTCTCCTCGATCATACCCTTCGATCAGATACACGATCTACATTGGGATAACCCTGATAAACATTCACGGAACTTGGGCAGTACTGAAATCAGTATTGATGAACCTGTCCTTACCGAAGTCTTGAGTCACTTTGGACAGGCAAAGAGATTATTTTTCACCGACACTCTTCATTGTCCAGATATGATATCGGCGACAGCTTCCAACCCCGTTCTCCTTCCCCATCTGGCCAGCATCCATTTCGCTTCGACTCTCTCGCGGGAGCTCCTTGTCCAAGACAGAGCCGCCCATGCCGGATGGCCAGGCGAGGAGGCCAGGGTTCGGGACCTCCTCCAGGAACTCGCAAGCGGACTTCGTCGCCTAGCAGAAACTCGAGATATTCAGACCCTTGAGTGGAGCGGAGGTCTGCTCCCCGAGGAACACGTCCCATTGTTTGAGGGCATTGCGAAACATCTTGTTTGCGAACTTTGACCTAGTAGGAATGGATGCTAACGAATCTCGAAGGTAAGTACAGACTCGGTCTCATCTGACCCGGTTGAATCATGTTGACGGTAGTCTTCCCCACAGATACTTCCAATCACGACGTGCTTCGACTGTCCCGTATGCTACTCAATTGTTGTACGCTCCCGCCCCCACCATCAAACTGTCAGATATCTACCATACCAACGGTCACGATGTTTTTTAAGAGAATAATACACCGGCGTTTTTTGTATTTGGAAGGGTGATATGTGACGAATAGAACGGAACTATATAGGTCCTAGTCGGTATTTGCTTGTTACTTGTTCTTGTGGCCGGGTAGCGCACAATCCCATTTCAGATGTCGCTCTACATAAGTAGTCGATTGTGACGACAGCGCGACGGAACAAAGCCCCTGGTGGATCGCGTTTGTGATACCCGAAGACTATTCAGGTGACTGCTGGATCTTGACTAGGTTCTGACGTGCAGTCGAGTGGTAATAATTCTACGACAAGCCGTGAAAACAGTCACGCAGAAAAAAAGCCCTCGAAGTTACATGCCAAAATCATGATACACACACAATTACGCTCCAATATGTACAAAATTGACCCATCTATCGATAGGGACCTTGGCCCTCCGGAGCGCCTTTGTCGCCACGCGAAGGGCCGTCGCAGAATCTCTGAAATCAACCTTACTCGGATCGCCATAGCGGAACAAATAACCATAGAACGCTTCAGCCAGTCTTGGACCATCGTCGTCAGCCATACCCCAGAGCGTCCCAACAACACTCTTGAAGCCACTGAACTGCATCGCAGCTGCGAGATGAAGCACTTCGTCTGGACTACCTCTGCTATCTACCGCCGCGCTGTGGCAAGCAGACAGAAAAGCGAACTCGGCATTGGGGAGGCGAGCCTTGATGATGTCGATGACTCGGAGGCGCGTGCTGTCATGAAGTTTGAAGGAAGAGGCGAAGGACTGGGGATCGAGATGGCCGTGGCAGGCTAGGTGAAGCCATGGGTAGTCACGGAGAGCTAAAGCGACGTTGTCGGCAGTGGCATCCTTGCCTATCCGTTGACGGACGAATGCTGCTGAAGTTTGGACTGCCTTCAGCTCCTCTTGAACACGAGGGAGGGAATCGTCGACTTGTCCCACGGCGAGGAGGCACGGAGCATCAGAGCGCGACGACCGAAGTGAGGTTCTGGACGTGATTAGCGATGACAGAGTCGGTGTATAAGAAGATGTGTAAAGGTCGTGGAGTCCTGTCCTTTCATTATCGAAGGGCTGAGCTGCATGGACAGGAAGGGAACATAATGCTCCAGTGGGACACCACCATATACGGGCCCCTCGTGGGACGCCTAGATCTGAGAGTCGTGTGGCAATAGGTTGTACGACGAGTGCCCAAAGTCGTTTGAGAATAGATTTGACTCCCTCTGCGCGCGCTTCGTCGGACCTTTTCGTCGTCAGAGTGTACAAGAGGGATGATAATTGGCTAATATAACGAGGAAATTTTGGAGATGACGAGAGAGGCACTACGACTGGCTCTGAATTCGCGTCGGGAAGGATGAGGGCGTCGGACCGATGTACAGAGAGGTTGAGAATGACGACGGGTCCCTCGACAGCGGCTTGTTGGAGACGACTAAAAGACTTGGGGCGCATGAAATCCGAATAACCATCGATGTGTCGTATTTCGCCAATGACGGCGTCGAATACTCCTAACAGCTCGCGATAGCGAGTACACACAAACTCGAAGGAATTGTCTCGACCCATAGACACTCGATGACCCCTGACCGGCACATCAACCTCTGGTCGCTCAAAGGAGGTCGCAATAATCTCGAGCTCGCGGCATATGTTTTCGAAGCGATCTGCAAGTGCACGATGCACTGGGCGGAGACGTTCGATTGGATGTCTGTATCCTCGCATCCTTGACCAGAGTAAGGCCCTTCCTTGCTCTAAAAACTCGACTGCCTTTCTGAGATCCCCGTCTCCGATAGCGGCAGATGCAGCGTCCACAGCCAAGGAGGACAAGTTGTGTGGGCTGATCGACTTCTGCTGCAAATCCAATGTCGGATACATGATTGAGCACCGATCAAGAAGGATGAGAGCCTTCAGATAGGCAGTCAATGCACTCGGATGACGGTACCGGTGTGCATAGGATGCCCAGTCTTGCGCGGCTCGGAAAGCCACTTTCGGAGAACCAAACAAGTCGTAGACGGCTTCCTCGAAAAAGTGAAGGGATGTGTGAAGATCTTCCGTTTCCTTGTGCAGTTCGAAGCGGACGGCCACCGCCTGTGCAAGGTCGACGAGCGTCATCGAACGCCTTGCGTCACCTACCGGTCGGAGGAACAGGGCCTCTTGATGGCAAGCAACGGACTCGTCAAGATCATCTACGCGGCCAGTCTTCTCGAACCGGGTTCTGAGAATGAACCCGAGTTCGTTGACGGGGGGTGAGCGGTCTATGTTCCCAGGAAGACGTTCCAGATCCTGGCGAAGAGACGCGATGACATCGTCGAGTCGGTGATGCTCATCTTGCGATAAGAGCGGGATGTATCCTTGGTGGGATTCTGGGCAGCACGGGCTGTCTGTGAGAGACAAACGTTTGATTCGACGGTTGGAAGGTATGACTGTGAGATTCATCGCTGATCCGTGACGGTGAAGTGGTTTGTGAGACATGGGTCGCCCACAGCGACACGACCGATCCGGAGTAGAATTTTTAAGCTGGTATGTGATGGCTTCCTCGAAATCCTTTCTTATGCCGAGAAGTCGAAACCGTTGATGCAAGGCCACCGAAAGACCCTTCAAAGTCGGGAGCACAGCCGGATGATTGGAAGGCAGTGATGACAGGACCTCCCGATGGTATACGATGGCCTCGGAAAGGTCGTTGATCTGACCAAGCTCCTCGAAGTGGAATTGTAGGGCATATGCAAGGAAACTGAGGTAAACGTGGCGAGGATAATGTTGAGCAGAAGATATGTCGAAAGAGGCCAGAAGTGCTCGATAATAGGGAATATCGATCTGGTTGAACTGGTCGTACTTGAAGCGCTTTCCCCATATGTCCAGGTTGTTTGCGGGAGTCTCTAGCGCAATCCTTTGAGTTGGGCCGCAAATGCAGTCCTGTTTCCGCGGCGAGGAAGATTCGAGTGCAGAAAGCATTGGAAGTGGAAAGCGAGAAAGTGATAAACAGCACGGTTAAATTTCAGAAAGTCTCGATTGGCATGCTGCGTACCTGAGTTCCCATATCATTCCATCCAATGAGGATAAGTGAGTCACTCTGGGGACGGTCTAAAGCTTGAGCTACAACGCACATGACAATGTGAATCATGGCTCACAGGCATTGACTCTAGGGAGCGTTCGCTGGGTATGAAAAAGGAAGGCACTCGCAGTAGCAAAAAATCTGACTAGAAAGATGCTTTGTGATAGCTCGCTGCAAAAGCGATTTTGGTCCGTATGCATACTGCGAGAGGCAGACGGCACTGCCAGCGCCGTCATACTGATGGGCGGGCTAGTCCGTGAGAGACGATACGGTACGGCTAGAGTCGAATCTAGTATCTTGTAGCGCCTCCCAAGTAACATTTAGTAATTGTCCACACAAACGAGTGAGAGATATCAGTCAATGGGGCGAGCTTACCTGACAACTGTGAGATGATAGACAAAGCACAGCATTCGAGCCGACTGTTACTTGTACTATCCTCTTGAGTACACAAGCATATATAACAAAAAAGATATGCGCTCGGAATAAGCGCACATTATCCAAGCGGACTATTCGTGAGGCCTGACTCTCGAAAATTGAGGTCTCAGGCTCCAAGCCTGGCCAAGTACTTCATGCAAGCTGCCAGTACTTCTAAGGACGGATTATCGACGGTCCAAAGTGCAGTCAAGTAGGTCTTGAGTAGAGTCTTGAGTGAGCTCGAGCCCGTCGGAATATGGACCCGGGAGGGGGGTTGAAGCTGGTTGAAGACAAGTTGAAAGGATTTGGTGCCACAGTGGCGTCTGACGTGGTAAATCAAATCAAGCTCCGCTCGACGCGTCCCGGCGCCTCAAATGTTCGGCGCGTCTTGCAGTCCACTCTAACTCTCTCCTCGTCATTGTCCCTCAGTCTTTGCTTTCGTCTTGTCATGACGACCCAATTTGACCGTATATTTCATGGGCTCTCACCGTTAGTGGGCAGTACGTCGCAATTCTTTTGCTTAGCTGTGTTTCTTGCCGAGATCAGCGTCCAGTGATTGACTAGCGTACCCCTCAAATTTTGGCAGAATTCCGCGTCGCGGCTAGCGGAATGGCGTGGAGAGCTGAGGAGTCAGACGCTGTCATCGCAATCGCCTCGAAAGACATCAAATGGGCGCAATGGCTACGCGTCGCTCGCGGCTTTCAACTGCGAGTGGGCCTGAAAGACAGGCGGAAAGAGACGTTTGATGGGTTTGGACGTGAGGTGCGTGCGATAATTGTCGTGGCTGCGATGTAGCTGACATGATTCTGCTCGTTTATCGTGATTGATAGGATCATGACAAAGTGGCGAGTTTGCTGAAGCAGCACTTCGGCGTAACTCTTGAGCAGCAGGAAGTTCTCTTCAAGGGTTGGAATTGGGGTATCACTGATTTCAGAGGTATGCCCTTGTCAACGCAGTTCGCCTGGGCGCCTGTCTTCTGACTCTTTGTGACCCACTTGCGCCACTTCGTAGGTGAAGACCTTGCCTTCCTCGTCTCGAACAAGACTGCCTTCGAGCTCCAACTCCAGCATGTAGCAAACTCCAACATTGCTGGTCGCACAGAAGTCTCGCTCGAGTTTGCCTCATCTGCCGGCGAAGCTTCATCGTCCAAAAAACCGTCAAAAAGTGCCCCCGATGAAATGGTTGAGATTCGTTTCTTTGTACCCGGCACGACCAGCACCCGCCAGCGTACTGGGTCCGACGCGGGCTCGCAGAAGAGTGACGCTGAAGACGAGGATGGTGAGGAGGTCAGTGCGGCGCAGGTGTTCCATGACGCCATCAAAGAGAAAGCTGGAAGTGAGCTGGCGACGGGAGAGAAGATCTTGAGCTTCGAAGAGGTGTTGGTATTGACTCCTCGTGGGCGATACGATGTCGACATGTTCCCCGACTTCCTCAGGCTCAGAGGAAAAACATATGACTACAAAATCGTCTACACTAGCATCTCGAAATTGTTCTTGTTGCCCAAGGATGATCTCCACGTGCTATTCATTGTGCGTCTTTTCAGTCGCTACTCCTATCACAACCAGACTGATATCTTCGAATCACAGTTGAGCTTGCTTACTCCCATCCGACAAGGCCAGACGCGGTATCAATACCTGGTCATGCAGTTCAGTAGGGAAGAGGAGATCACGGCTGAATTGAACATGACTGAGTGAGTATAATCCTCTTCGTGCCTTTCAATGCGGCTTGCTAACTATCGTTCAGCGAGGAGATTGCTAAGCACGACCGGCTCAAAAAGGATTATGAAGATCCCACCTTCGAAGTCGTTTCAAGTGTATTTCGTGCTCTCTCAGGCAAGAAGATCACTAGCACAGGAAGTTTCCAGAGGTGATTTCTTTGACACTCCCATCTTTTACGGTCGACTGACATATTCTCCACCTTTCACTAGTCGCACGGGCCACCCGGGTATCAAAGCCAACCTCAAAGCCGTTCAAGGCGACCTCTTCCTCCTGGAAAAATCCATATTCTTCGTCTCCAAACAACCCGTTCTTGTCGAACTCTCCGACGTCCACCAAGCCGTCTTCTCCCGTGTCGGTGGCGCTGGCTTGGGTGCCTCTGCCGCACGAACTTTCGATCTCAAGATCGTGACCAAATCAGGCCCAGAGTATACCTTCACGTCACTGAACAAGGAGGAGCACGAGCCCGTGGACGCGTTCTTAAAGGAGAAGAAAGTCAGGGTGAAGAATGAGATGATGCCGGACGGCGATCTACTGATGGCTGGTGCGGACGACGATTCGGACGAGGAGATGCAGAGTGTGGCGAGCGATGAAAGGGAGCAGCCGAACGTGAGGAGGACCGGGGACGACGATAGCGACAGTGAAGATGGTACGTGTTATGTCTTGCCTTCGCCGATATTGCCTCAAATGATGCTGTGCGTGGTTTTGCTGACTGTAACTCCCATTAGATGAAGACTTCGAGGCTTCTTCAACTGACGCAGGTTCCCCCACCGACACTGACTCCGACTCTGATGGCGGAGGTACCGCTTCCGATGCCAGCGGGGACCGTCAGCTTACGAAGCCGAAGGGCAAAGGCAAAGGCAAGGCTAAGGAGGGTGCGCCTACCAAGAAGAAGGCCCCAGCGAAGAAGAAGGGTTCCGACGACGAAGACGATGAGGAGGAGGATAAACCGAAGAAAGCTGCAGCGAAGCCCAAGCCTAAGCCGAAGGCCAAGAAGCAGGACAGCGATGGTGAGGACGATGCGATGGACGTAGACGAGGATAAGCCTAAGCCAAAAGCCAAACCGAAGCCGAAGCCTGCAGCTAAGCCAAAGGTGCGAGCCGGAGAGGAGGAGGAGCCAAAGAAGAAGAAGCTGAAGACGGACGGTTGAGTGGCGTGTTTCTGGCTTGTCGATGTTGATCCACCTCTCTTTGTTGCGCATTATGTTCAAGTACTCCTTTTGTCACCTTTGACCATCTACGATGTATTATCTTTTGTCTTGCCATCTTGGCCAGCTTTCTATGTAGTCTCCATTGAACACCTCCTGAGAAGCGCCATCGTACTGGCAGAACTTCTGCCAGGTGTGTGGCTGTGTTTCTTTATCAGCTGAGTTTAAACTTTAGATGCCAACAAAAGAACAAATCGAGGTGTCATCAATTCATCTCTTTCCTTGTAACGTCCAAGTGGCCATTGGACGAGACGTTCGTGTTGTCACCTTTTCCCACCAATTTTGGAACTGACAAACCTCTGTTCATCTAGCATCCTTTCTCGCGATTTACTCCTCGCTAACTGCCATGATGAAAAGCTTGCCTGACCTTCCTGTCGAACTTCAAAGTTTGATCTGCGGTCACTGCACACCCGAGACCCTCGCATCTCTCTGTCTCACCTCCAAACACTTCCTCACCATTACTAGACCGGCTCTCTATCGTCACGTAACTATCCATTACAGAGGACGCACCCCCGGCGAACCACCACAAAGTCAAGAAGAAGTCCAAGACACGTATGTCCTGTCTGATGCATCTTACGAACGTTTCCGAGCCACCGTCGTCAACTGTCCCCCTGTATTCGGCTCACTTGTCAAATCCCTCGAATTGGGGAACCATTTCATGGACAGAAGGCGCTTTAACTCGAAGGGCTCTATCTTAGAGAGTCTTGGATCTTTATTGAGCGTTCTCCCCAACCTCGCCCGCTTAAAGATTTGGATCTTGAGACCCGACGACGAGCTCGACAAAGCATTGTTCTACGCTAGCCCTTCGCTGCGCGCCTTCTCTGCCATAAGTTGGGCTCATATCACTCCCGACTTTCTCGCGTTTCTCCAGTCCCATCCCCAGCTGCGCGAGTGGCATGCCCGGTGGATCAATGATGGAACGATTAGCCCTGAGGGCAAGGCATCCGCAACGGTCCCTCAGATCGTATTGGAAAGAATCACTATGTTCGCAACCAGTCTTCATCCCCGCCCTCTGATGCTCCTTGGCCAAATGAAAAACCTCACACATCTATGTCTCAGACATTATAGTCCCACAAATCTCAGGGGTCAGCGACACATCACAATCACCGATGAACTCCAGAGGTCCGAGCTGAATGCTTTGCGAGGTTGTGGAAGGAACTTGGTCAGCCTCGATCTTTCAGATGTACCCATCTCGTGGGGATCGCCTATCCCTTGGACGGTCAATCAGGTCCTTCCTTTGACACCAGCGCTTCGATACCTTCGAGTGGGACAGGACTACGTTCGAGAGGACAAGCCGGGGTCCGCTTTGCTTCAAGCTCCCTTCACACGTGAGCCACTGAAACGCGAGTTGTTCACCGCCAAACCAGCCACACTTCCCCAGAACCTGCGTCTCATGGTCGTGGACCTTCAGAAGAGTAAAAGAGTGAGATTCGGTCCCGTACGTCGTGAATACCCGGGGAGCGCGACGCTGTTGCGTACCGGTTTGAAGGACGCGATGCTTTTGGGAAGCTTGATGTCTTCGTTGGAGGAGTTTGGCTGTTATTGCTATCTGTTGCGAAGGGTAGGAGAGGAGTGGCTGGATGACCCGGGCGCGCCGAGACGGTCGGATGATGATTGGGGAGCCGGAGGCATCGGTTTTGACTGAGTTCAGGAATGAAAGAAGAGATTCAGGAGGATTTATGTTCCAGTGAGAGATTTACGATATGATCTACAAGTACTCCACATGCTTCATCTTATCATCTACTTTGCTCGGTTGACTTTCTATGTGTCCTCCACTGAACACCTTTCGAGAGGCTTCATCTTACTAGCAGAGCTTCAGCCAGGTGTGGTCTGCGCTTGTGTGGAACCGTGAGATGATCTAGAGGAAGTGACTTTGTCGGCTGCGTTCGTGTTTTTGAGCGTCAACAAAGGAACAAGTCGAGGTGCACCGAGTTTGGAGGCAAGTACGTTGCAATTCAGAATATTGTCTACGACGGTCCTCACTACGAGACGCATTGATCATAGCAACGCTAAAAATACTCTCGAGTCTAAGAAACCATCACAACGTAGAGTTTTAGCAAGCCAGTCAGCGGAGCCGGCAGATCAATGAGTCAATCAACATAGACGCTTACATGGATATGAACGTATATATACCAGGTTCAGCATATTCCCACCATCTCTTTACCCGTCACTTAACTGTCACCTTACTTCGGACCACACGATGACAACCCTCTTTGAATCCGCTCGCCTTCGCTATCGCGGTTTCCGCAAATCAGATCTCGACATCCTCTATGACCTCTTCAACGATCCCGGAATCCAACTAAGCGCGAACGACCACTACGTCATTCCTCGTCCAGAGTCATTCAAAGACATGCTCGAACAGTGGACCTCCAACCTGCTGTTCTGTGTCATTGTGGACAAGGAAACGGAAAGGTTTGTGGGGCAGTGTGGGCTGAGATACGAAGGCTTGGGAGAGAAGAACAGGGATGCGACGGTGGGGTTGGCATTGCGAAAAGAATTCTGGGGAAACGGGTACGTTAGCAATTTGATGCATGTTGCTGTCTTCTGGCTTGGCTGCCTGCAAGTGTATCCGTGCTCAGCGCATCGTAGGTTCGGAACAGAGGCCGTCGAATGGATGGTCCAGATGGGATTCAAAACACTGGGCTTGCACAGAATCTCACTTGACGTTTTCTCCTCGAACTCGAGAGCGGTGGCGGTATACAAGAAGTGGTATGTGTATCTTCGTTTGAATGACTAGGCCGGTATGACAGACTGACTGTCCGAGAAGCGGGTTTCTCCAGGAGGGTGTCAGACGAAAAGCGTTGTGGAGGCTGGGAAAATGGGAGGATGTGATAACTATGGCTATCCTGGATGAGGAGTACTGGACTCAGCACCCTCTTCAGTAGATTCAGGAAATGAGTCCACCTACATGAGCATGTGGCGCTGTACGTACCATGGTCGCCACACTGTATGAATTTTCTGAACTGTGCTCCTTGTTGTTCATCAACCGACCAATATGAGAGGCGCATCAGAATATCCTCGCGCAGAGAGCGCACCAAGTTGGATAGAACTCGGATCCTACGTGGACGATGGACAGTCGGAGAAAAACAAGTCGAATTGTGGAGCACTGGTGAATGTTGTGCCCCAGGCGTCCTGATATCAACCGGTTTCGACATGAGTCAGACATCTTACCTTCCTATCCATCACAATCACGATCACTCGCTTTTTATGGTTGTGAGTCCCTTGTGGAAGAGAGAAAGAAGTGGTATTATGCTATACTTCCGAAAAGACCGTGTACGAAAACAGTGAGTAGAGCTGTCACCAAGCGAATAAATAGAAGCTAGAATGTCCGTAGAGCAGGTAGGCACCATTATTCCCAAGCTATTCCAACCGCAATGCTAATAATCAAAATTAGGAATCAATAGTCCTGGTCGAAACGAGGGTGAGTTAAAGATAGTGGTAGTTAGAGTCCAAGGGCGAAATCGATTATGCCGGAGGGTCCGTGTCCTAGAAAGTAATGTTGGCAGCCAGGACGTCGTGCATGTTCCGGCTAGAATAAATGTCGAAGAAACTGTTCGGAGTCTCGCTCGGTGTCACATTGTACGTCCTAGAGGAGAAGGCTCCAATAAGTGACACGAAGAGTTTCCTCGCAGGGATCCCAGGAAGTGAGAGTGATACTCACGCATACTCCATAAGGAACCCGTTTGGCAGAGCCGGCAACTCGTCCATGCCAATCAACAGCACTGTGGCCATACCCATAATCGCGTGTGGCTGCAGGTGACAATGTAAGAGGAAAGCTCCCGCGACGTCGGCGGTCATCCGGTAGACCATCCAACCTCCGTTTGAGCCGGGTGCGACAGCAGTGTAGTTGGTTTGATAGTCTGCGCCGAGTGGGCCAGGGTAGACTGCGTGGAAGACGAAGGAGGGTTATTAGTTAGACCATCGCCAACGCAATACGCTGCCAAACAGGACCCCAAGAGTATGATGTCGTGGGGTTTGAGAAGTTGGGATATGGCGCGTATGTGCGTATATGAGTCAAAGTGCGACGTACTAATGTTGGTGTCCCGCTTGAAAGGCTTTCCGGTCATGTTTTTCCTGGCCGCCGCATACGCCTCATCCGAGAAGTTCCCCAAACCTTGTGCCATGAGATACGGATGCTTCCCGTGGACTATAGAGCGCAAGAGACAGTAGTCAGTAATGCTCGCATCGATTTTACAGACCAGTCAATATGGAAAGGTAAATGCTCGGAAGATGGATACGTACTATGCCATGGGTGCGGGCCCAGACTCCCATATCCACTCGCCAAGTTCAAAAGCACGATATCAACTGTCTCGTTCAACTTGATAGGGATCGTCTCGGTCTCGTTATCGAACCCTCCGTTAGCAGCAGCAGCAGCATAACTTATGTTAAGCGAGTCTGGAGACGTGTATGCTTGAACGAGGTAGGGAGTATCTGGCTCGTTCTCGGAATACTGCGAAATTAGGAAAAGTCAGTGATGCGCGAGAGAACACAAACTACAGCGGATACGAACCTTGTATTTATCGACTACCCACCACACACTGAGTGACTTATTCGCACCGATAGTCGCATTGAGCTGCTGCATCGATACGAAAATCTTCCTAGACACAGTCTCATCACTCGGCGGAACATCCTCCTCATCCAACGGGCTCAGCTCAGGAATCACCCAGAAGGGAGACTCGTCGGGCAGAGGAACCGTCTTGTTGAGTTGCGGGATCGGAGAATAGGCTTCTGTGGGCAAAGACGCATTGGCCGTGCCGACGTCTACATCCGCGTTGACGGCGATGGCGCCGAGTGAAATCGACGCAGACGCGGAGATAGATGTGTTGGGAAGCTGATACTGCAAGATGAAAGCGCCGTGATCCCTAGTCGGCCGCCATCTCGTCTCGAGATTCGCCCAGAACATGGTTTTATTGAGCGCCTCAAGTTCTTTGACGGATTTGGTGTGGAGGAGGAAGGAGTAGCGTTGGCCGGAGTTGAGTTCGAGATGGGAAATGTTGTGTGCATTGACGTATCCACTGTCGACTTCAATGAGTTCGAAAGAGTCGTGGTCTTCGATAGCCATGTCTATTTATGGGAGCACAGAAGGTGTCAGGAGGGCACAGCCCTAAACAAATCACCGGAGGTCGAGGACTTACACAAAAACGACAATGCCGTAATCCCGATCGCCCTCACTCTGTACGTTGTATCTGGCTCGACGGTAATCACCTCCGTATGACATCCCTCGACACAATTTCCATGACTTGTGCTGTTATTGCATGAGCCGAACGCATTTCCGTTGACGGTGAGGGCCTGGGGATCGCCCGGGAATGTAAATGGAGCACCGGCTAGGCCAGCGGAGATGTTATAGTCCGATGCGTGGTAGAAGTCGCCGAAAAGGAGGGTAAAGTCGGAATCATAGTCGTAAGGTGGCCCACAATCGGGGTCGTCTTCAACGATGAAAGCCCCATCTGTGCAATAATACGAAATGGTGAGATATGCTTCCCATGAAGTCCAGAAAGAAAATTGGACGAACACGCAGTGACGATTTGGAATCCGACGTGAGTATGACTGGACGGTGAATTAGATATCGGTTTGGAGGATTTTTTATGGATATCGTTAAAGACGGACGTACTACATATAAGTTCCTGCACTTCCCTTCTCGAGCATGAACTCATAGTCAAAGAAGGTGTTGGGCGCGATAGGCCACTGTAACTGCCGTCAGACGATATCTCATCCGTCAAACTGATTTCGATTCTACCTGACTGGTCGCCGGCGTTCCATCCGCGAACGGAGACATGTACTGACTTATCCCACTAAAAGCCCACCCCGCAAAATTGCCTCAGACGAATATTCTCCACCAGAAACCAAACCAAAGGAAGAACGTACTGCCAATGCAACGTCGTATTGCTCTCCTCCATATCATTGTACACCCTGATCCACACATGGTCGCCCTCCTTCACTCTGATCTCTGGTCCGGGAGAGGTTCCATTGATGACCGTGGATTTCCGGGCAGTACAATCTGCGGCGATGGTGTCATTAGAGATGCGAAGAACATAGTCTGGCTGCCATGCCTGGACTAGATGTGATGCGAGTAAGATAGGGAGCAACAAAAGGAATGAAGAGACCATGATGAGGGTCTGCCCTCTGGGTAGAGGCGGTATGCAGATCTTTTCTCAGGCCAGGATGAGGGAGATATAAAGGAATCGGGATGGCTGTGGAGGCTCAATACGTATGACCGTTGATTGAATTGAAAAAAAGGAGGGTTCTTGGCTGAAATGGTGGTCGAGAAGCGACTAGCCGCTTGATGTCGATGAAGAGTTGATGGTTTCACTCAAGCGGGTCGCCCGTGCATGATCTGACAACATAGCGTTAAAGCAAAGCTGCATACTCGAATCCGACCTTGTCCGGCAGTACTGACGATAGCTAACACACGAAGCTAGTAGGATCGGGCAACACTTCTTTTGACCAGAGAAGAAAACAGCTTGCAGTGAGTTGAAGCTGTCTGAGAGCATGACGGAACAGATTGACCGGAACTGCTTGGCGCCGTCTCCCCGACCTCGGCTACCGCCCTCGGCGGCTCCCGGAGATGAGTCTTTTTGCGGTGATTATATAATGAAGTACAATAATCTCGCCAGACTGAACGACCAAGACACCGACGTTGCTCCTGGATGTTACACACCTGCGTAAGTTGGCCGGAAGGATAAAAAGTAAACGCAGCTGGATTCTGAGCTACACAGTTTACAGAAAACGAATGACTTACAAAGGCCGACTTGGTGCACGATTCTTGAAGCTTGATGTCGTCGATGTTCCTCACGAGCCGTGGGTGGCACGAAAGCCGGGAAGTCAGCATTACTTATGTGTTGGAACGATGGAGTGTTGGAGCACTCGGAAGATGGGCGTTGTGGCGCACGGAAGTGAGCGAGTGGTTCACAGAATTATATTCTGACATCACCTTATGCAACCTATGACGCAAAACGTTTCTCGGTCAGTATATAGTCTCTTCCTATAAAGCTTTGCAAAGCCCAACGATCTATACAACGTACCCATCAACTCTGTAGAAACCCATCACTTTTATCCATCTAAACATTACCATGTCCTCCTACACCGCTTCCACCCACAAGGCTTCCAGCCACCCCGCCGAGGACGAGAACAGAGCATTCAAGAAGACTGAACAGGTCGTTGGTCGCCCACCAGTCACGGACCACGACATAAATGACGAATACCTGAGGGATCCACCAAGGGTGAGTATTGACACCGCCCATAGTTGTTGTCTGTCTTGGTGTTTGGCTGGGCCACCGTAACATCTTAACCTTGGTGCCACAGAACGTCGAGAGGCCAATCCAGCCTGAGGAAGCTCACCCTCGCGGTTTGAAGGAAGGCGTTCAAGAGCGTGAGCCCTTGCAGGAGGGAGTATTGGGCCACGAGGAGATTGGAAGGGAGAAGGTGATGGATCGTCAGACGAAGATGCTCAACCCTGACGACCCCCTCGATGCTTGAAGACGTTATTGGTTGGAAGGATAGAAGTTCACTTTGAAGTTAGCATCGTATCATCCGGACAGCAGCATTGTATAATAGTCGCTTTCGCCTTCTGCTTGACGGACAATCGTGACTGTGTAGATGTGGCCCACTTTACGGTTGGTCTTCAAGCGCCACCACATCACCATTAGCATGAATCAAGACGTCAACCAGCTGCGGATGGAAAAGATGGACAAGCAAAGGCTGAAAATACACGGAGAGAAGAAATGGGAAACTACTCGCTCATGACCTCCTCATCGTCCTCATCCCCATCCCCACCGGCCACCGCATCCCCGACTTCAAAAGCCGGGTCCTCAATCTGCACAACCTTCCCCGTCTCCGCGGTCCATCTCGCCTTCAGCCCCACCCGGAACTCGATCATCTTCTCGCCCGTTAACTTGAGCAACTGTGCCTGCTCCGGCGTCAGCACCTTGCCCTTCTCGCAGAGCTTGTGTGGCGTATCGATTGTCGGTACGCCTTTTTTCATCACCGTCGTCAGTCCGAGCTTCCGCAACTGGGGCTCCTCGTTGTGGGGGAACGGCTCCGGTGGGTCTGAGTGGTGTTGCATGACGGGGCCGGCAGGAAGAATGACAGTGCGTGAAGCGCGGTTGCCTGCGCGGGCGAAATCAGGTTGGCGGAAGTCTTTGAACCATTCAATCACTTCGTCCGGTTCGGTGTCGGTGAAGAAGAGGCCGACTTGGCCTTTTATTTGCTATATGAGATGGCGGATAAGATGGTCAGACGTGAAGATTGAAGGAGAAATAGGTCAGACGGACTGGTGTGAGCTGAGAGATCCCTGGCCGATGCTCGTCTTCTGGTGTTGTGCCCAAAGCTTTCGCCATCAACGCTCCTCGACCAAAATACATTCGTGCAGAGCTATAGCACAGCGAAGAGAGGCTTGGATATGAGCAACAGGACGTTCGGTCAAATTTTGACGGGACGTACTCCTTCCATAAATTCCGGACAGTTTTGAGGTGCGCATTGCGCATGTTACCAACTTCGAAGAGCCAGCAGTACTTCCATTTCTCCAGGTTTTCCTGAATCTACTTTTCCCACATATACGAAGTTGTTAGTTTCTCTGTGTGAAGCGACAAAAAATTGTAGAACGTGGGAGACGCACGGCAGTGAGTTGTGCGCCCTTCTGCTCCTTGGTCTTTTTAGCGACCTTGGTCAACGAAACTGCGAGACGAAGAGAATGAGCAAGCGATGATCAACACATCAGAAGCAAAGAACAGACATACCGAGCTTTTGTCTTTTTGATTTAGGCATGTTGGCAAATAGAGGGAGGAGGGAAGGGGACCGAGAGGAGGAGGAAAAGTGAAGTCGCGAAAGAACTGTGGCGGTCTTCAATTTCTTCAAAGCGTATTCCCTTTTCGGGACCAAAAATCTTCTTGCACTACACTTCACCACTACGCCTCCTTTCCTCTCCCCCACATCCTTGTCTACCCTCTCTTCCGCATCCAAATAAAATGGTCGCAGTTTCCCAGACCGAGCTCGATAATCTCGAGTCCCTCCTGCTCAACACCTCCGGCAAGGTTCCCCTGCACAACCGCTTCCGGGCCCTCTTCACGCTCAAGTCCCTCAAGAACGAGGACGCAATTCGTATTATTTCAAAAGGTATGTTTGATCTTTCTCGTTACACCACACCAGATGTCGAAATGCAGTGGTGGTCCGAGCTTGAGCTTGCCTAGACGGCTAGGATGGCTGATGAGGCTCACGAAGGCTTTCAGGATCAGTCGGCGCTGTTGAAGCATGAGCTAGCGTACTGCCTGGGACAGATCAAGGACGAGAGTGCATTGCCAACATTGGAGACGGTTTTAGCAGACGAGAGCGAAGATCCTATGGTTCGGCACGAAGTACGTCCATCCCTCACATATTTTTGCTAGAGAAACTGACTGTGGCCCCTGGTATTTGATGTACAGGCTGCCGAGGCGATGGGTGCCATCTCTTCCACGGCGTCACTTCCTGTCCTCAAAAAGTATTGTGGCGACAGTGATCGTGCTGTTCGCGAGACCTGCGAGATCGCACTGGCCAGGATAGAATGGGATAACTCAGACGAAGGCAGGCGGCATCGTTCAACCGCCACCGACGAGATCCAGTACGTGTCTTCCCTTCTCCTCCATGAACAGACTTCCGTTATACCTCGCATCCAGTATATTATACTGACATATCCCTTCTGCTTCTCTCGCGGTCTCGACGTCCCTCTCTCCCTACCAGAGAATTCACCTCCATCGACCCCGCTCCTCCCACCTCTGGCCTCCTTGCCGGTAAACCAAAACCTCAGGACCTGTCCCCTTCTAGCGTCGCGGACCTGAAGGCCCAGCTTCTCGACACAAAACGACCACTGTTCGAACGCTACCGCGCTATGTTCGCGTTGCGGAACATTGGAACCCCGGACGCAGTGGACGCACTTGCGGCGGGGTTCACGGACGATAGCGCGCTTTTCAAGTGAGTATCTTACTTCACCTCTCCAGTCATTCTCTGCTACTTTATCCCTTCGGATCAAACTCAATGCTCCTTGTAAAAACGGCCTGGAATGCTAATCATCTGTGTGGCGGTGGCCCATGCGGCATCTAATAGACACGAAATCGCCTTCGTCTTCGGCCAACTTCTCTCCCCTCATTCCGTACCGTGCCTCCTCCAAGTTCTCCAAGATGCCAACGAATCGGAGATGGTCCGACATGAAGCCGCCGAGGCGCTAGGTGGGATCGCGACGCCAGAGGTCTTCCCTTACCTGAAGGAATACATGACCAAGCCAGATGTTCCTGTCGTAGTGCAGCAGAGTTGTCAGGTAGCGTTGGATATGTATGAGGTCAGTTCCCCATCCGCTTCAACCTGCAGTCGATTATGGTTCTAGAACCTATGCTAATCGCGGTTTTGCAACAGTATGAAAATTCTGGAGAGTTCCAGTACGCGAATGCGTTAGAGCAGCCACTGGCCACTGAGATCGCCGTCTAGAGACAAGCATAAGCCTGTAATAATGGAGTATCCAAGCGCTTCGTGTTATTTTCTCTCGGTCTCGTGGGAGTCTGCGAGGTTCTTGTTGTATGTTTTTTGGTTAACAAGGTGTCGTCGGGTGCACCTGTCTTGTAGCGTCATACCCGACGCCCAATCGTTGTAGCATGTCATGATCGATTGTAGTGATGTATTTTTCTTCGGTACTCTTGAATTGTCTACTTGTCGTATGTGCTCAACTCAACACACAACAATCAGTTCCACCCTACCTCTTAAGGTACGGAAACCCGTTACAAATGAGACTACTCCGACAAACGTCCACGTACCCCAGGAATATCTCCGAATAATCTGTGAAGGAAAGTAGACAAGATAAATGACTGCACAGGACACAGTGAGCTCACTGACTTTACAGAAGGCGTCGACCCACTCACTGATACGGGTTTAGATGACTGGTATTATACTCTCGGAGCAAAAGGCACAGCTAACGCGCTTCCGAACAGTACTTCTGTAGTGCAAGAAAGACCACACACCCCACAACGGCTGCTCCCAGAAAGCTCTGGGTCAAAGTCGGAGCTCGTGTAAACGGGCCAAAGGTCTGGGACGAACGTCGTGAAGCAATTATGTTGCCTGCACGGATGGTTGTACGGTCGAAGCGTGGATCGAGGACAACTGAGCGGACTGAGATATTCGAGTGGAGCAAAACGAAGTCGGTTGGGTCTCCTGGTTTCATGTCCGATGATGGAAGGCCGATATTTCGTTTGGAGGAATTCGAGACAGAATCCTATTCGGATGGCTAGTCAATGTCTTGTAGCATGGTAAAGAGTTCGCGAATGTGGGCGGCATTAGTCAGCTTACCAGTAGGATCTGGCAGGCACGTTCGCTCGCATCTTGATAGATGGCTACGCCCAGTGAGCAGAGAGGAAGCGGATCGACAGAGCCTTGAGGCGTGAAGGCGTTTTCGACATTGTTCACGCTTAACGCGATGTCTAGTCCGAGATCCGCCACGAACGGCACAGGAATCGTGCCTCTGGGGGCGAGTTTTGCGGAACGTGGGTAAGTCTTGCCCATCATGTACAGGTCGCTCTGCGGCAGTGCGACGAAGGAGATTGGAAGGTCGCCGATGGATTCCTTCAGATCCCGCCATTCTTGATCGTCGAAAAGGGAGTAGCGGGTGCCGTGACCGATGGTGACCTGACGCATTGAACCTCTGGAGAAGAGGGATGTCCACTGAAGCTCCCTCATATACTGTATAACATCGTATATAAGAGGCTGGGCCGAGGAATTGAGGTTGTAATCCAGATGGAAGTCGACATGAAGGCCGCCCTCTTTGGCCAGATTGAGTACGAGCTTGATATTCCTCTTAGCCTGGTCCAGGGATGGTTCAACATATGGCGCAGAACCAATAACAGAGACGCCGAGAGTGGCAGCGGCCTCAACGAGAAGGCGATAATTATCTCCTGGCTCTGTCGCGCTCGGATCGTCGAAGAGTGGATCCTGAGCGAAGACTGTGGCCCACAGTCACACAGTCATAAGCGACGCTCGTGATAGTGATCTGAGCGAGGGACTCACCTACAAGTTGAATCTCGCACTCCTTTATGAACTCCTTTTTTAGACGTAGACCTGCGTTGAGGCAATGCATAGATACTATCCTGTCGATCTCAACGAAAGCGCGCATCGATGTGACGCCAGCAAGTATGCTCTCCGTCACTAATCGCTTGCCTCGCTCATAGAGGTCAGTGCCATCGTGCATGAAACGAGCCTTCGCTGTGCTTGTGACTTCGAGAGCTTCCTGGAATGTCCTGTGAACAACATCAACATGGTCTAATGACGGCCCACGGATCCAGTGACACAAACTTACCCTGTTCTCAAATCGCCGCCTTGGTTCAGAAGAAAGCATTTGTCCAGATGGATGTGAGAATGACAAAGACTGAGAGAGTTATTAGTAAGGAGTGTCTCCCCGTTAATATGTATACACGCACGAAGGTAAGAGTATACCCTTCCCTTCGGCATCGATCTCACGGGGTGATAGAAGGATGGATAGTCCTGCGACGTGTAGTAGGGGCCAAATTCGGCTTCTTATAGACCTGCCAGGACCCTCAGCCTTTCTAATGCTCTTGATTTTTCCATCTTTGCATAGGACATCGAATAGACTAGAGTCGTCATGAGACGGGTCGTGATAACTGGAGGGTAGGTGGACGTTCCGAATGGTGAGGGTACCGCCTTTGACCATCGACCCAGGGGATACCGAGGGCTTAGCTATACTGGCGGTCTATGCAACGAAGAGGAGAGCTGAGGAATAGTTTGTGTTTGTCATTATGGGGGCGAACGAAACACTCATACCTGACGCCCTCGCTGATTCGAACTGGCCACGGGTCCTCCGGGCACAGTAGTAGCTTAGAGAGTTATTTGTATGAGATTGAATCATGCAATATTGTGCTTTCAGGCCGAGCATGAGTATACCAGCAAAGATGGCGGACAGCCTGAGACGTTCAAGGTTGACAATCATGGTCGGAGTTATCGCCGAAGGTGATAAGGGCAAATAGGGGCCGAAATCATGGGTTCCAGCAAATGCACAACTTGAGAGCACGTCCTTCAAGGATGCAACACGGCGCGCAAACATTGCATTTACATATTGAGGGGCCATACAGTAGTCAGGAAGAGTTAACGCGTAAGGTAAGTAACGAAGCCTGGAACAGAACACAATACAATTTCTAAAGACAAAACAGACAAATGCCACCATGCTCGGTCCCATTTTGGAACAACATTAGGGCTGAACGGCGCGTTTACGTAGTCGAGGCCAGGATCAAGCTTTGGTGGTCTTATTACCTTCTGAAAGCAGAGTTGAATGCATGGAGTGGGTGAGGTCACACGCCAGAGACTTGACGATGAGGATAAATAGCAAACATGCGACCATGGTCAACAGTGACGCGATCGACATACGGGCAAGGCGATAGGTGATAGCCTCCGGAAACATGAACTGTTTGCTGTGACGAAATGCGACGACCTTGCCCCCACGGATCACAGTGCGGGAGTAGCAAGGGCTGAGAACGACGGAGCGGACAGATTTGTTGTCTTCCATGAGGACAAAGTCGGCCATATCACCGACACGGAAACCTGGGGAAGGAGGCATCTTGGACTCGGGGTGGCCGATGCAATACTTGGAGCCCGTAGAAACACAGTTCTGATAGCGAGGAAGGCGGTCGGTGAGGACGAGCATCTAGAAAATAAGATGAAAAGCTTACCAAAAGGGTTTGACAGGTCTCGAAGCTCGCGTCACCGTAGATAGCGACTCCAAAAGAGCATAGAGAAAGAGGATCGACATTGCCCTGAGGAGTGAATGCGTTCCCGATGTTGTCAACTCCCAGAGAAACATTGAACTTCGACTCTGATATGAAGGGTACCGGCAAGATGCTTGGAGCGAGCAGTGTCCGACCTGCATGACTACCCGTGGTGTATACATCGCTCTGAGGAAGGACGGCAATATATATGGGTAGAGTCCCGATTTCAGCTTTGAGATCCCGCCATTCTTCCGCGGTGAAGTGCGAGTAGAGGGTCCCATGGCTGATAGTGACTCCACGGCGACCGCCAGAGGGGAATTGAGCAGTCCACATCCGGATCCTCATTTCGTGTATAACGTCGTGAATGTGGACTTCCCGAATAGAATCAGCGTCGTAATCGAGGTGAAAGTCGGCGTGGAGCTGGCGGTCGATGGCGAGCTTGAGAACGAGTCTGATGTTCTCGACGACCAGGTCGGGACTGGATTCCACGCCCGGTACTGAACCCACAACAGAGACTTCGGGGAGCGCAGCGGCATCCTTGAGCAAATCGTAGGTGATACCAGGTTGGGTCGAGTCTTCCGAATCGAAGAGCGCGTGTTGGGCAACAACTGTGCTCAACTCACGTCAAAAATATGCGCATCGAACACATATGATAGGACTAACCAGCAATCTGTATGTCACAAGCATCCTTAAACTCCTCCTTCAGACGTATCGCTACCTTCAAGCATCGCAGATGAACAACCGCATCAACATCCACGAACGCACGCATAGCGGTGACCCCGCACTCGATGCTCTCGCGTACCAAACGCTTCCCACGTTCGTATACATCGTCTTGCTGGTTTATGAAACGCGATTTGGCAGCCTCAGTGATATCAAACGCTTCGTCTACAGTTCTGTGGTAATCAGGACCGTCAACAATGGGTAGCAACTGACTAGAAGGTTGTCGACAACTTACGGGACATTCAGGTCAGGGCACTGATCGAGAAGAAAGCACCTATCGAGATGGACGTGGGAGTGGCACAAACTACCAGCAGGCATGATATCATTAGAAAGGAGAGAGACGGTGACAATCAGGGCGTAACGATAGGAAGACTTACGATGGTAAGAGAATGCCTTTCCCTTCAGCGTCTATCTCTGCAGGAAACTTCAAACTTTGCGACCATTCAAGACGCGAAGGATGCCAGAAAGGCTTCTCGACAAGACTACGATGTACGATTTTGATGTCCTTGATCTTGCCATTCTCGCAGTATACGTCGAAGAGGGCGTCTGCCTGAGTAGTATCGCTGATGTTCGGTAAGTGGACGTTCCGAATAGTGAGTGAGCTGAACATGACTATGGTCTGGGAGGGGGATGTAGGAAGATACCAATACGAGCGGTCAGAGGGTGTTAAAAATGAGGGTGGAAGCGATGCACAAAAGGAGAGCATCCTCTTTGTACTGTTGTCAGTGGCTCAGCCTCGCAGAATGAGCATGTTCTGAGTAACGTTCTCCTTTGTTGCCCAGCTTTGGGTGTATACGTGGATGATTGAGCCACAGTAGAGCCATGACGCGAGGCAGTGGCTCAAGAGACAAAGAGAGAAAGGACGATGCAAGCTGATGGTGTTGACAGTGAATGGATGCGAGCAAGATGTGCTGTGGCAACTGACAGAACAGCAGTCGCTGGTTATCGATCGGGTGGCGAAGAGGTCAATATTTCATTCTGTGGCTTTGATGCTTGCGGTGTCCTCTGGTCGACAAGATGCGCAAGGGACGATATCTTTAGTCGCAAGAGTGTAGGCAAACGGTTTAATAAACACATCCGTGTATATCTATGGGTAAGCGCTAATGTGCCATGACCCGTCGCAGTCCAGTTAGGTGGCATTCGTATCACAGCGTATCAGAGAAAAGGTACGTACAAGCAGCAATCCCATCATCGTTGTCAGTTCGTTGATGCTTCAGCGACAACGCCGGCTTCTCCAGTTTTCTCGACTTCTTGCTCCTCAGTTGATGCTTTCTCAGCTTTCGCTCCCTCAGCACTCGTCTTGAAGTCCCATTCACTAATCCCTACACTGCCCCCAAGCTCCGTCCAAGCCCTCATTTGAGACTCCTTCCTCTCCTCACACATCCCCACCATATGTCCAAAATACTTCCCATGCTCGTACTCAAAATCTATGCTCCCTCCCCAATTTGCTTCGAGCAGCTGTTCTTCAGTGAAAAGGCCGTCTGTGATAGGTGAAGGATTGAATCTCAGTTTCGCATGGACAACAGGGTCTATGAAGGGTGATATGATTCTGTAGAATGTGTTGAAAAGGAAGGGTTCATTGAGGACGAGGCAAGCGCCAAGACTGTTGAGTAAAGACATAAGCCATCTCTAGACTATAAAATAAGTTCAGAGGTAGCATACCGCTCGGGATAGTGGTTTTGCACGATATGAAGGACCTGTCAGAAAGTAATATGTCACTAAAACACGAACATGAAGGGCGAAGAAGTTACGAACGGTTCTGCAAGTGTGCATGGAGGGAGTTTTTCCTTTATCCCCGTAATCAATCAGGAGTATTAGGGACCTTGACAGGAAAGTAGTTATATGAATACACTCATTAGATACTGCTTTTGTTGAACAGACTCACTCAACACCGGGGCCAGCGAGGTCGAGTGTCCTTTCAAGAAACCACAGAATGGCTTCGATATATCTATGCGTCTCGTCTGTGTTTTTACGACTGAAGAGAATATAGAGAGCAGGTCTCCGTTCAGTGTCATAGCCCAAAGTGAATATCTTGCCAGTCACAAGCTGTTTTCATACGCGCAGAGGGTGAAGTGGGCAATCAGTACTGGAAAGAATTTCTGCACAGAGCGGATGGCTACCTCTGGTTCAATATGGGAGGCTTTCATTTCATGGATGCCAAATACTCTGCGCCATTGGAGGGTTTCTTCCAGTCTCTTGATAGCCAGGCTATCTGCGTGCCACTTGACCGCGCGGAGATAGCTTTCATACTGGTCAGGATGTGTGGTCTACAAGATAGTGTAGTAGAACTTGCCGGTGAATACATTCTCTAGACTGACAGAGCACACATGCCGTACATAAACGCATTAAATCATGGTGAGCAAGACCAGAAATTAACCGTGACCACAGTGGCGCGCCACATTTCACGCAAGGTTGTAAAGATGCGATACTCACCAGCCAAAACTTCTCCTCCTCCATCAACCCTCCCTTCCCTTCCTCAGACCCTAGTAGCGTGTAGTCCTCTTTGGAGAAGTGCTCTAACACCGTCTCGTACATCTCCTCTTGATTCGGAGGCAGTGATGCATATGGCTGGATCGTATCTTGAGGCAGAGGGGGAGGAGCCAGCGCGGTGTACACAGGCATCTCTGCTAGTACAAAGAGGTCAAGAGAAGAGTAAACGCTGGCCAGACGTATAGACGCCCTGCCTATGTAGTCTCCCAAAGGCAGAGTAGACAGTATTTCAATCGGGCAAGCGAGGAGACCTCTACGCAAGTCATGGTACTGAGGGTCTTATGTAACGTTGAACGTCCTTGCTGTCTAATCACTGGCCTGGTCGTTCTTCCGTAATCGCTTCGGTAGTCGATAGTGGATATGGGTGTCGGTCCAAAGCATGGTACGCAAATATGTCGCCAAAAGAGGGTTCGCAGTGCAATTCTGCGAGATGGCGAGATGGCGACCCAAGAGCTGCATCGGTTATTGCCGATGCAAGCACTGATGTTTGGAAGGCGGGCGCACACAAGGCATGCGAATTCCTTGGCTGAACTTGACAACTACAGTCTCTGTGGAAATCGGACGATGAATATGGCCCCTTTCTCCCATCGGCAGCCTTCTCGTACGATAGTGTTACCCAGGACATTCAGCAGAACCCACTCGACGAGTCGCACCCTTCACGACTCAAGCTGGTCAGCGTAGCACATCACTGCTGTTACCTTGCCTTTGATCTATTCCCTACCACCGTGACTTCAGCCGAACATGAGTTGCGAAAACTGCTTCAAAGGCAACGTTCTTCCTGGAGATCCGACAGGTACCATGGTGGATGGAGCCTACTACTGCTCGGCAGCGAACATGACCACCAAGAAAGCCATCGTTCTTCTGACGGACGCCTTTGGGCTTTCGTTGGTCAACCCGAAGATATTGGCAGACCGATTGGCGGAGAAAGTGGGTGTAGACGTCTGGGTGCCTGATTTATTTAATGGTGCGCCATTCTAGAGATTCTAGCAGTCTTGCCATCCTCACTCGGACTGACCCGTGTGTACTTCGAAGGTTGGCCCATTGTGGAGGGAGACGATCTCCAAGGACTTTGGCCTGAACGTGCTGGGGAGAAGATATCCTTCCTGAACAAGTTATGGATGGCTGTCGTCTTCCTGAAACGCATGCCCAGGATCATCGCTTCTCGTCCAACAGTCGCTGACGCCAGGGTTCGCACTGTGGGTACCGAGTTTCATCTTGGAGAAGATATAGTCACGCTGACTCCAATTCACCAGTTCATCGACAAACTCAAGACGGAAAAGAAGTACGAGAAGCTTGGCTTGGTTGGCTTCTGTTATGGAGGAGGATGTGTAGTTCGCGTGGCCAGTAACCCGGCTGTATCTTCGATAGTTGTTTGCCACCCGTCTGGACTGAAGAAAGAGCAGATTCAGGCGTACGTACACTCCATCCTATACCTTTCTCCCCTTCTGATAAGGCCGCTTTGATCAGCATTTCCGTGCGTATACTTCCTCGGACTTATTTCATAGTACACCCTTGTCAAATAATTGTGAACCTCACAATGTCCAGTGCCCTGCCGCATGGGTTTGTGCAGAAGGTGATTGCACTTCGTCTGGATGGAGATTCAGGCAAAGTCTTACTTAGATTCTATCATCGCAGATGATTCGACTTTTACACCGAGTCTGCGACAGGAAGCTGAAGCTATCTTCGCTGCTCGCAAGGACAAACCAGAGTACATTGATTACGAGTTCAAGGACTACAAAGGTTCCCACTCATACTTCTAAGCCTCCATTCGCGGCAAATACTTATTGCGCTATGTAGGAACGGTTCACGGCTTTGCTGCCCGACCAAATTTGGGGCTACCGGAGATCAGGGACGCTTTCGAAAGGTCTTTAGAGCAGACGACTGAGTGGTTCAACAAGACGCTCTAGATTCCGTCTATGTCTCCATTCGCATCTATGCATTATGGCTCAATATCGGTGCGCATAGTTCATATCATCCTCACATTAGTCTAGCGTATAAGCTCTGGGCTGACCATGTGAGATATGCCGCAGTGATATATGTATCTCTCACTTTCCATTCCTGACTTATCGTGCTCGCCACCAGGACCGGATTCGACCGATCTTTTGTTCTTCTGTAAAGTTCGACAAGTCCCTTACCATTGACAGACTTTCTCCGGCTCGCAAATTTGTGCCACCATTTTTGATGGCGTCCGGGGATGCTTCAAAACCTTTGCGGCGCTCTGGACCTTGTGGACGAAGATTTCATATCACGAAAATAACTGATGCCCGGACATCATGTTCTTGGCTGGTCTTCACGAAGGATCCTCACCCCCTAGACATTCTAAAGCTGGGCGTACATATACGGCAGAAACCGCCACCAGCTATTCTACAGCGAAGAGCTCAAGGAACTCAATGCGATACACTTGCACCACTAGTAACCCTGCGTCATAGCGTTCGCGTCCACGATGCGTTTTACTCGTATCGCGATATCGGTGAAGCTCCATACCACGCCACCCGAGCTCAGCCTACACCGGAATTCGCACAGGCCACGACACGATGTAGTGTACATATCGATCGGTGAACTCTGCTTTCCATTTCGCAGACCTTCACGTAAAAGTATCAGCGTTTCGTATCTCACTTCATCCTTCAATCTTGACTGTCTTCAGGCTGTCATTGCGTTGATCGTTTGAAGTCGGCATTGGTGAGAGTAGCGAACCAACCCACATCTAATGGGGCCAAATTCGTGTACTTGGTTTCCTCACAGTTCCTCACTCATCGTTAAAAATCATCCCTACCGGTGAGCATCGGCGTCGGGAGTAAGCATTGTGTTTTGCATGTATACATCTTCCTCTTTTGAGACTCTGCATCGCATCGTTTGTACCTTGAACGAACATGAGGCAAGATCTCAATCTGTCTTCACTCCGGCACTTCTCCTCCCGAATTGGCCCACGTTCGCCCTTTTTGTTTTGCCACTTCTCAGATCTCAGGACCCCCAGTGGCAGAGATATCCGTGTCTTTCGAGACCCCCTCCATAGCGCTAAGAGGCCCTAGCCGCCACCATCGGACTGGTGATTGCAGAATTCGATGACTTCTCTCCGGTGGTGATGAACGCCCGGTTACCCCACCTATGGCTATTGCTATTCCAGTGCTGGCTTTCTGCATTTTCTCTTGATGCATATGCGCATGAGCATGACTCCTCGATGGGTATAAGATGACTTCAAGTGCCTAAGCCTCGTCGAGCGTCCGAGTTCTAATACCGTCGTCGGATGAGCGTCTGACCGTAAGCTATCAGTTCCCTTTCTCCTCGTCACCATCGCCTTCCCTGCCGCGACTCATCCTCAAGATGGACTTGAGCCCGTCATCGGTATCGATCGCGAACACGTTGGGGCCTGTGTACGCTGGGTCATATGTCTCTGCTTTGTGCGTCCCATTTCTTTCGTCTTCCTTCACGACTTTGCCCTAGCCGTAGTCCTGTCGCATACACGTAAGCATGACATCTCACCATTGTCTGCTTGGGATATCAGCCTATTCGGTGTTACAACTCTTCAAGCCTACATGTATTACCGACATTATCGGAAAGATAAGATATCACTCAAGCTCCTAGTATGTCGTTACCCTTACACAACTGTTCGTCACTTGCTCATAGCTATCACGACACGGATAACAGGTTGCTGTGATCTGGTAAGCGCACCTCTCCCTTTGTTTTCACGTCCGAGCTGGATCATGATGTAGCTAACTTCGGTATAGGGCCTTCGACACCGCCCATGCCGTGCTGGCTGCTCTGGGTGTATATCAGGTATGTATGATCCACCATCAGCTGATAGTAGCAAACCTAATACATTTTCTCCTTTGGGATGATAGCTTATGATAGAGGGAGCGTCGAATCTTGTGGGACTATTTATCCACCAAGTCCCTGTGTAAGTCTTGACTTTTTCCCCTTCGCCTTAATCCCTTTGAGCGCATCCTAATGTCTCTATTATAGAGCCATCATCGTACGTACTCTGTTCCGTATCGTCTAAAATATCCTCAGTGGGCCTGACTACGCCTCCCACCATCCAAAGACCATGATTTTGATGACGGTAAATTTACTCTGAGTCGTTCCATACACCGAGGACAAGACGCTCACTATTCCTGGATCCATTCACAGGGCTTGTCAGACGCTGTCATTAGATGGTCTGTGCCTTTCTGGACCATACCACATCGTTTCACAGCATTGACAGTCGCCCTATCTTCTTGTCCTTTCGTCCCGCAGTTTCTACTGTGCCAGAATATGGAAACGTATGTCGCTCAATCACCCCTCATCACCGCACTCCCATGTAACGTTTCCGCTCACCCGTTTCTACTCGCGCTTTTGGCCCATAGTAAGCGACAGGAACTACTTCCTTTTCGGCGTCGCGGTACGTGTCTGCATTTTTGTTCAACTTCTCGGGCTGCCAACTGAAGTGTTTGGGCCCAGCTTATACCCAACATCGCAGTACTAGGTTGGTTCATTCATTCATCGCACAAAACCCTCAATCTTATGACAATCTGACTAATCTGATCGCATTATCGTCGCTATCCCTCACAGTTGTCGAGATAAGTGAGTCGTATAATGACAGATCCACACTCGGACTCAATACTCATGTGTACACGATGCAGTTTTGTACAGGAGATGGTACAACCAGCCCGTCATCTCATATCCTCAAGGCACTCAAGGCTTACTCCACCATTCTATCTTTTCAGGCTCGAAACGGGGAGCGTTCTCCAACTTCTAGATCTACGGGTACGTGTTACTACTCTCCTGGCCCAATCCAGAATCCACTGATTTCAATGTTCCACGCCCGTCTGTTTCATTCATCTAGACACTCTTCTATACGACCTTTGTTCTGGTCGCCGCTTCCGATTCCGTTATTACGGCTATTCTCATCTTTCTCTTGTGGAAACGGCGGTCGGGGCTCCAGAAGTGCGTTTGTCTTGGCTTATCTGTAACTGAAGTGAAGCTCTGACCTCTTGCGCGACGCTGCAGGACGTACTCTCTTATAAATAAATTGATGGTCTACATTGTTACTACCGGGTTACTCACAAGGTTTGTTGCCCTTTCTTCAGTCGGTTTGTGTTTAAAGACTGACCACCGTGTTGTGCAGTATATTCGCTTTGGCCGTCGTGATCACTGTGAGTGATGACTTTCGTTAGCGTAGTACCTTTCCTGATGCCCGAGCTAACACTTTTACCACTCTAGTTTGCCACAGTATCAGGCTTCACTTTCGTTGGTATCTTCACGGTCCTGAGCAAACGTCAGTCTTCGCGTTCCCCCATAAAGTTGCACCCATTCATTTTCTTTCCAATGTGTAGTGTACTCGAATTCCTGCCTCGCAACCCTTAACAATAGAAGATACCTCCAGGAGTCCACCCTCCCGCATCACCATCATACACACTCCTCACGATCTATGCGACCTGGGGATGTCACTTTCATCCCGCTCACGCAGGTCTCGTCAGAAACGCCATCGTCTGGAGCGAGGAGTAGACGTTATCGTACTTCGAAACCCGTCAGTACCGACATTTCGCTTGCCTGATGAGTCCTGATCGCCTATTGTGTCTTTACATTACAGGACCTCGAGATTCAAGTGATAAAACCATCTGATTCTATCCCTCCACCCTCACCGGTATGCTTCCACTTCTACGTTGGCAAGTTGAAGTCGGTTGTACTGATTATGTTACATACCTCAGGCTCACTTGTCTCCAGAAGAAGTTGTCCACCATGCTATTTGAACTGTGTAGAGAAATCTTGTACGGGTCTACCCACTGTGTACTGTACTTTTAGTCGCATGGTCGACGTTGTAGGGTTGGTCCGTAGAAGGTATCTTGTTTCTGTACTAGAGTCGCTAGCGACTGTCAATGGAATATACCGTGTACAACTGGACTTTTGGTACTGTATATAGCGACTGTATATAATGGTGTGCAAAGCATAGCATGCGTCAGAAGCGCTGGCTGCGATCCTCGAGGTCTGTGGGCTGAGGCGGCGCCACTGCCCTTCCTCAATCATCGACATGACGTAAAACGGCCTGAACCACTTCCGATGTAATTTACTCTTAGGGGTCGGCCCTTCTTTCCTAGACCGACTAGTACTTTTGCTCGATGCCCACCACACTCTAACCAGGCGACAACATTCTTTTCTACTCTCGAAGATGACTTCGGTGCGCGTGAGGCGACGTGGTTATTCTACCATTCGCGATGCACCCGTCACTCCTACCATCCCTAGTCCTAGTGCTCAGCCAGGTCCCTCCGATTCAGTCTCTCGCGCGCAGACTTTACCTCATCGTCCTCGAGCACAGTCGGATGCTGTCCTCCAGCTAGATACTGGCAATCGTCTTCGTCGACAATCTCACGACTCCGACGACGTTTTCCAGACACCAGTCACTCCCCGCCCGGATCTCAACGTTCCTCCATCCCCTTCACCTGGCAGAGGTTCGAGTAAAGTCATTCGCCATGTTCAGTCCCGGTCATCGAGGAGCAGCTTTAGGGCTTCTTCTTCCAACAGACCACGAGCGGGCTCTCTTAGACCTCCTCTCACAACCGTCTTCTCACAATCCGGACAGCAGCCAAGTTCACCCAGCGAAAGAGGTCAGCTCACGACCTCGCCTGAACCTCTCGCCATTTCTCCGGCCTCCGGATCTCCGAACCTGAGGCAGAGACAGGTGAATGAGAGAGGAGATATTGTTTTTGAGGGTTTGCAAGAGGATGTCATCGTTCCGGGAGAGGGAATACCGATGGGAAGAGTCGGGAGTGCGTTGAGCCATCATACAGGTTCGGTAGGGGAAGAAGGGAGTGTGTTTGCGGATCATCATGAGGATGATATCGTGGAACATTTGGATGTTGTTGGTGAGTGTGAATCATGTTACTGCATCGATGAAGAGAACTTACCGAGGTATGCTTGCGGTCGGACAGATCCCCATGTCGCCACAGTCTCCGCACTTGCAAATACCGCCAATGCTATCATGATGTAAATATCGACTCCTTCGTTCCCATTTTCCAACACCAATGCTCTGTTGCTCATTTCACCTCGCATTCGCTCTGTAGCCCCCCAATCTCGTTCTACTCCCGCAAACCGGTAGTTGTCCTCGGCACATTCAAGGGCGGCAGGGATGCGGAAGCAGGTGTCGACTCAGCAGAAGACGAGCTCGATAGGCATGTGGAGGACGTCTTGACGAGGCGTATGAAGTTCAGGAGAATCATGTCCGGCGTTTGGTCGTTCTTGAAGACTCGTGAGTCTTCACCTTGCACTTATGTGTGCTTCAACTCGTCGAAGTTGCTGATTTGTTGCCACCTACAGCAATGGGCGTATGTGTCCATACCTTCTGTATTCTTTCGCAGCTAGTCATCTGAATTGTTCTTGCAGGTGGTTGTAGGAATATATGGCTTCCTTGTCGGTGAGTTTTCACTTGGCCTCCTGACGAGTATGGTGGCTTACATACGATCTTGACCGTGGACAGTGTTCTGGGGAGCAGCCATCGTCATCTTCCTGATCAAAATCATCAACTTTCACAATGCCAACACACAAGGTCTGTGGGTTGAGATATCCTCGCAGGTTGAGAACGGTACGCGCGTGGTCTAGGATGCATGCCATAGTTGGAGACTCTAGTTTAGACTTACGCCTATTCGTTACTGTCAGGACTCTTCTGTGTTACTGGTCTTGGTCTCATTCCATGGCGTGTCAAGGATTCATATCGTACGTATCCATATTTGACTCACCAATTCCCTCCTATTCCTTTCCTATTGACCCTCACTTTTCTGCGCTTTCTTTGCTTTGTCTTACCCCGAATACACTATCATAGGTGTCATTAGGATATGGTTCCACAAACGAAGGACGCGAAAGCTTCGCGCAAAAGCGGGCCTCCTTCCCCTCTTAGACCCCGACGATCTCCCGGATCCAATGTACGACGTGAACTATGTGCACGTGCTGAATGAGAAGGAGCAGGCCGACCTACATAAACGTAAGTTTTGTCCCTACCACCATTTGCGAAAGTTCTCGGTAGATAGTCGACTAATGATGTTCGTCGTGGATTGGGTATAATGTATCCAGAACAGCAGAAGTTTATGAAGTCCCAGACCTGGTACAGGCCGCATGGAACAGAGACACACCGGGTATGTTATATTCTGCTTTCGTTAGTCACATTCGCTCATTTAAGTCTTTGGAATCGATGCGCAGGCATTCCCTATCAAGTACGTTTTATCCACACATCTAAGTAGCACTCGTCAGCTTAACATTTTCCGTCATCGGTTTGTAGCACTGCACTGCTCATATGCCTCTTGAACGACGGGAACTCTGTATTTCAAGTACGCCGGACATCATAAATCCCGCACGCTTTCGATCTAGACAATACTCACCATCTGTCTCTATCACTCTAACTTTACCACTCATAGATAATTCTGTGCGGCACGATGTGGGGACTCGACCGGTGCGTAGCTGCTCTATACTCAGGACACCGCAAGCGAGCCTTTGTTCGCCTTCTTCCCTCCCAACTCCTCATCCACTAGTACAGCCCGCTCACTCATTTTCTCGATCTTTCCACTCACTAGGTTCCAGCGCCCAGCATGGTCCACCGGTATCCTCATCCCCCTCTCCTTCCTCTGCGGCATAGGCTCCGGGGTCTTCATCTGGCGCGGTGGCGCCAAGACGAAGCGGACGGAATCCGTCGAGGAAGGACTCCGGCAGGCTCTCAAGATGGACGACGGGGACGATCATCCTGACGACGAAGGGCCGACCACGAATGTTGGCAGTTCTACTGCGACACCCAATCCTTACGGTCACGTCAACTCTCGAGGTTCTGTGCATGAAGGGAACGGGAACGGGAGTGTCGCTAGTCCATTACTTGGACCTTCTTTGCAAAGGAAGCAGCGACAGGACCACAGCAGGTCTGTCAATGGTGGTGGTGGTGGTGGTGGTTCGTCTATGCTGGAGAAGCGCAGGGATGACGACGAGGAGACAGAGAGGGAGTCTCCAGACGAGGAAAAGTTTGAGAGAGGGTCAGACTCGAGTGTGCCGGGCGTAGTGGTTGAGATTGATGAGGAGATGGAGGTTCCTGCGGACGAGCTTCGCGATTCGCGATTGAATGTTTCTGACCATTATCTATCTGCGCGCAAGAAGGGAGAGTGATTTGTAGACGGTCTATTTTTTTTCCTTGTTGTTGTTGTTCGAGTATGTATTGTGTTTGTTGTTCGTTAGACCGTAGTCAGTTAGAACATTGGATGGACCTGCGTTGGTGCCTAGCTCACAGATAGACTATACGATTGTAATATTTCCTTCTCTTTGATTCTTCATAAGGCATTCCATATTCGACCGAGCTTTACCGGTGCGCCACATCACACTGTGACTTACGCCACATAACTGAACCTCGTGACGCGACGCGACGCAGATTTGAAATTGACACAATGATGTTGCGCGAACTGGGACGCGTCTTGTCCGACCTTCATCTGCATCATGGCAGAGCCATCAGTCATCCTTGCAGAGGCCATTAAGTCTATCTCACATGCTACCACCACGGCTGTACGTAGCGGTCCCCACTCTCTCATCATTTCTCAATCGCTGAAGCCTTAACGGAACTGGGACAATAGTTACGGACGTACGAGCAAGGTGCACGCGCACAGATCGCCCAAGCACAGGAAGAGATTCGACAACTCAGACACGAACGCGATCAGGCGGTAACGGAGGTGCACGTATGCCGTCAACAGGAGCAGACATGGCAGCAGGAGATTTTGAAGTGGAAAGCGGCGGTACGTGAGCAGCCTTCTCGCTTGCTTGACTATACTAACTCTCACTCTCGTATTTGCTCCGCAAAGATTGATCAGGCTGAGGTTGCAGTAAGTTGAATCACATGTTCTAATGGCTATATGGTAATAGTAGAAGCATAACTGACCAGACTTTCCGTACACGCACAGAATTCACACCAAATCGAGTTGATCGAACAAATACGGCGGGAAGCCCAGCAATGGAAAGACCAATATCTACGCCTCGAAGAGTCGTCGCGTCAGGAGGCTCAAGGCTGGAAGGATCAATACACAAGAGTGGAGCAGGACCGTGCCAGGTTATCTGGACGTCTCGAGCAGCTTGTAACCGATCAACACGTACGCACTTCAGACTGCTCTGAGTGTCTCAATCTTCTCACTGTTATGATCTTCAGAACCATATGTCCACTACACCTTATGCCCCTAAGCCCAATGGTGCATCTGCCATCAATCCCCCCACTACAACCACATTCACTAAACGAGCCTCCACCTCATCCGTTGCTCCTTCTCTTCTGGCCTCTACCTCCACCCTTCCCCCTCAAACACCATCAACACGAAGACCACGTTCGTCCACTGTACAGGAACCTAAATACACTATCCCACCCTCTGCCCCTTCAGCTCCTGCTCAGGTTACTGCGCCTATACCTGCAACGAGCGGTCAACCGCTTGTTCAAAGCAGGGTCATCCGCCGTGTGCACGCTGTGATTAATATTCCAGTGAAAGAAGAGGACGAAGATGAAGATGACGGACACCCATCAACGCAAACTCAGCCTCGACCTCGACAACCGACATCTCCCAAGAAACGGCCCACCAGTCGTGTCAGTAATGCATCTGCCTCAAGGTCCTTAACAGGACGGGCAAGAAAGCAGCAGCCTGTCTCTGAATCAGGAAGTGAAGACGAGGAGGAATACGACGAGCAAGATTACGAGGACGACGGCGAAGTGGACGAGGATGCCGATGCCGACGGTGACTATGTAGAACCCAGAGCTGCGAAAAGTGGTATAAGAAGGAAGAAGACTAGCCTTGCTGGTGCGCGGACAGGACGGCTTGCAGAGGATGAGGAAGATGAACTGGCTATGGGCGCTGAGGTATGCTTCTCCTCAGTTTACCTGCAATATCTTTTTCTTGGCTTGGTAAAAGCGCTGACATATCATAATTATGACCCGTTTTGTATGAAGGACAATCACGGTGAAGTATATGGCCATCTTAACGTCGGTCCCCCCCGCGGTAGACCACGAAATAAAACCACGTCGGCTCCTGCTCCAACTGCTCCTACTGCTACCCCCTCATCGGCGAACAAACGGAAGCAACGTCCGTCAGAGGCAGCGGCCACGACACCTGCAAAGCCAGTCAAGGCTCGAAAAGCACGGTAGATGCCGTCCAGCGACTCCATCACCTGGCTGTTGGGATTATTGAATGTACACAAGATTCCGCTGTGTACGAGGTTGTGCGTTTTGTTTTTCAGGCAGCTTTTCGCTCTCTTGGCTGCGCTCATGCTCCACGGGACGTGCTATTTACTGGCCACAAATTCTGTACTATTTTTTATTGTGTACATTATATCTCTGTCACCCCTTTGCTTCCAGTCGATGCGCGTAGATATTTGAGGGACGTTGTGTGGCTCTTGGCCCGTGTGGCACTTCCCATAAAATATTCGTGGGAAAGAACTTCGTGGCCTCCAGCCTCTCTGCCAATCCCGTCAGGGTCAGGTTCCCGACTACCAACATCCCAAGCCTGGAGACCATAGGTGAGAATTTCTGCAAGTCTCTTATCTACTACATCCAACAGGCTCCACGATTTTCTCTGCCACAGTACGACTCGGATGCCATTGCCGACTGTAATCCAAGTGATGCCGCTCTCGTTTACTCCGGAGAGAGATCCAGCTCTCTACAGGATCAGCCTCCAGCGTAATTTGCAAGGACCACTTCGGGAGCGGCTAGTGGAACTTCCATCGGAACGCTCTGCTCTTGCAGCGTACTTCGATGGCCTTTGTGACACCTACGAACGGACGAAACAACCTCCATACGAACCTGAGTCCCTACAGAATGCAGTTTGGGATGTCTTGCAGCTGCGTTTCGAGGCACTGAAAGTGACTGCTTATTCAGACTCCCTCTTTCCTATCCGCTTACAAGCACTCTTCTCGGCCCTCGACGCTTCATTGTCGATCGAAGCGGAAGCTCGTCATTTCGAGAGGACGGACGGACTATTTCGCGAGGCACTAGCATACCTCCCTGTGGACAGTGATGCCTACTGGGATGCTCGCAAGAAACTGGGGCCGTATCTCCATTGGACATGGGCAGAGTTGAGGATGATGGACGAGCTAGACGAGACGTTGGTTCGCAGGAGGGCTGCCGTGGATGATCCCATCGCTGATGCCGAGGGCCCATCCAGAGCTGATCAATATGCTGAATTTGCGGACGATCTACTGCGAAACTTTCAGCTATTGGAGCGCAGGTCTGATCTTCTGGAGGCAACCCAGTGCTGGAGATCAGCCGTGTCCCTCACACCGCCCGAATCTTTCGTCTTGCCTGACCGTCTACACTATTTGAGTCTTTCTCTGAAAGGAGTGGTGGAGCAATTACACGGAGATCACGAAGTATTGGATGACGCTATACAGGTCTCTCGAAACCTAGTGGATACTACACCGGGACACGCGAGACACACCTCTTACATCCACCATTTCATCGAACTTTTGACACTCAGAGCTGATATCACCGACTGCCCTCCACTGAGCGAGATAGATATCGCTGGACATCTACGTTCATGTCAAGCTCATATCGATGATATAGAATGTGACGGAGGCGAGAAAGGATTAATGACGATTACTCTGGCCGCTCTCAAATTACGCATGTCACATATTCTTGCCGTGGACGCGGATCACCTCGACAACATCGTTGCCACAATTCGTGTCGCAATACAGGCGGTCTGGGATCAGGCCGCGGAGGAGCATGATCTAGAAATGGCCCAAGAATTGAACGGCCCCGAGATGGTTCATACTCTTTCGAGTGCTCTGCAGGTGCGCTTCGCGCGGTCACATACGCCTCTCGATCTGGAAGAGGCTAGATCTCTCTGTGAACAAGCAGTTCAGTACCTTCCGCTGGGCAGCGTTGAACGTCCTATATATCAGAACCATCTTTCAGACGTCCTCATGGTAAAATGGCAACATACCCACCTGGATCCTGACCTAGAAAATGTCATCGCATCTCTTCGAGCGTCAGCCTACGCCGTGGAAGATGATGACCTCGATGTATCTAGGCCACGCTACGAGGCTGCGTCAAAGTTGGCTCGTCTCCTTCATACGGAGGCCAAAGGTAGACCACACGAGCGTCTCCCCATGGCGTTGGAAACCTACGAACTTGCTATCCCTATGATTGGGAAATTGTTCAACGCCGGAAGCAACGTAGCCTCTCAATTGAACGACCTTCCTACTGCATCTAATCTTGCGTGCGACGCTGCAGCCTGCGCGTACCAGCTCGCAGAGACGGATCCTAGTCCTGACGTATCCCAGATCTATCTTAATCGAGCAGTCGAGCTCTTAGAACAAGGCCGGGGCATAACTTGGACACACCTCGCTCAACTCCAAGTCGATTTGGTGGGCCTGGAGGGAAGTCAACCACGCTTGGCGCATCGCCTCTCTGAGCTTTCGCGGATTCTCAGGAGTGCAAGTCATCGCGACAGTGTCTCTGCTCAATGGGATGGCGAGGGAGCGATACCCATACCTCGGCTGGGTGCAGAGTGGGAAGAGCTACTGCAAAGGACGCGTATGTTGCCGGGCTTCGAGGACTTCCTTGCGCCAACTCCCTTGCATAAATTGCGGGACAGTCTGGGCGATATACCTGTGGTTTTAGTCAACGTGAGTGATTATAGATGCGATGCGCTCGTGATAACACGGTCTGGGGATATCAGGCTTGCTCCTTTGCCGTTATTGACCACGACCAAAATCCTGGCATGGCAAAAAATCCTCGACTTCAATATGGCTTCTTCACGTCACTCCGGCTTCGATGATAGGGATATCAGGGATGCGGATGTCAGAGCGAGCAGGAGAGTAAGGGATCCTGCGAGGGATGACATCGCAACTCTTCTCAACCAAGTTTGGATCGCTATCGTAGACCCCATCTTACCTCACCTGAAGGAAATGGGGTTTTGCCAGGGTACCCTTCGTCGCGTCTACTGGTCTTTGACCGGAGCACTTGCATTCATTCCAGTACACGCCGCTCGCCCACGAGAGTCCAGTGAGCCCGGTCTGATGCAGCATGTCGTTTCATCCTATATCCCAACTCTCTCGACTCTATACCTCGCTGCTGCGAAACCGAAACAAGACCACTTCCGTTTCCTTGCTGTTGGCCAATACTGGACACCTGGGACTTTCAATCCACTTCGGGGTGTCAAAGGCGAGATGGCTATGATCAGTAGGCTACCTATTTCTTCTACGACCGTCACATATCTCGAGGACCACAATGCGACCATCGCCTCCCTCCGCGACGCTCTCACCGAACATAGTTTCACCCACTTCGCCTGCCACGCACAACAGAACGTGAAGCAAGCCCTCGAGAGTGCATTTCTCATGCATGATGGGAAGCTCTCCTTGGCCATTCTCTCTCAAACGTCTCTCCCGAACGCCGACTTCGCCATGCTACTCGCATGCGAGTCAGCCCGAGGCGCGGTCAATGTCTCCAACGAGTTCATCCACCTTGCGGCTGGCCTGCTGGTCGTAGGCTTCCGCAGTGTGATTGGTACAATGTGGAGTATTATTGATTCAGACGGACCGGATGTTGCACGAGTGGTCTATGAATATCTTTTCAGAGCAGGTATGGATGTTAAACCAGATTCGAGTGAGGCAGCGTTGGCTCTGCATCGTGCGGTGTTGTACCTCCGCGATGAAAAGAAGGTGCCCCCTAGTCGCTGGCTACCGTTCGTGCACTTTGGGGTGTAGTTCTGTGAGAAAGCATGTCTTACATTGCTGGGAGGAACGAATGATCAATTACCTTTCCATTTGTACATATACCACGCACTCGAGACGTATGGCACGGGCCACATGATTTTCAGTATGTGGCGAATCGGATTGGGAATTGTAGCAAAGAGGCCGACCTTTGTTGCGAACAAAGACGAGCTCTAACACGGTAGGTTCACCGAAGAGTCAGGGGTACCACATCACGGCGCCGCGTTGAATTCGGTTCAACTTAGATCGTTAGCCCATGTTTTCCACACAGATGCGCTAGACAATAAATTATTCCAGTGATACATCCGAGCCGAACAGACTCGGAACCACATCCTGAGACTCGAAACCCTGTACCATTGTGACCCAATGCATTCAGCCAAGTGGGCCGCCCTTCGCCCCCACATCCCAAACAGCACAATCCAGACGGTATGTATGTACAACAAACGAATTTACATCAGCTTGCCTGTGTTAGCGCTGCCATTAGAGACGCCACTCTTCTTTAACCTCTGGTTGGCCGCGAAGAGGACGCTATCCAAGATGGAGGTGACGGTAAGGACTCCACCGACGATGGCACATGTTCTACAACAATATTGGTAGATTGTTAGTGGAGAAACGAAGGAGGAACGAGGTGTATATGAGATGAACGTACGAGGTGAGGAAATGAGCAAAGGATTGTCGGGTCTCTTCGTGGATGACCTTAATAGGAGAGATCTCATAGTTGAAGAAGGCACCTAATGTATATGATCCAGGGGACAATGAATGAGTACCACACTCATATCCGCATGACTGACTGTAAACTTACCGGGTACACCGGTGATGCCGTGCATGACGTTTACACCCTGGTTCGTTTTATCTTGCGGGTTGCCAGCATCGCGATTATAGTGAGTGACTTGATACTGGTGGGTATTGACAACTTTGCCGTCGATGGTCCTGAATTGGGTTGAGACAGCCTTGAGGAAGTACTGGAACATCGTCGATGGCTGACTCGTCTGCACTCATGAGAACGTGGGCAAGGGTCAACCGTCAATCCACGACGACGCAAAAAAGCGAAGGCATACCCTTGCGTGGTATCCGTCCAATGGGTTGCTGTCAAGACCCATCCTCTGTTTCATCTCATTCGCGATCTTCGTCTTTCTCGAATCATACTCATCATCTGCACCAAATGTCAGGGAGTGAACGATGTGACTGAAGTCGTGACGGTTCTTGTCGTCCTTCAGGTACGGGACAAGTTCGTAGATACTACTGGCGGAGTTTTGGAAGGATTTTCCGGGAGAGAGGTGGATGTTGCCGATGACTTTGTTGACACGGACGCGTCCTGAGATGTTGCATCCTTCCGACGACTGCTCATGCAACTTTTCGGACCAATGCTCTTGAACACACTGCAAGTTGATTTAGCGGTTAACATAAAGAAACCGTTTGTCTGATTAACATAGCAGACGCACCTGCTCGATAGAATCTGGATTACCGAAGCTCCATCCCCTCTGCACGTACGCTTCCCGAACCTGATCACAAGTGTTACAGCACCCGCCCTCTGGAGGGGTTCCACCATAGCAGGAACCACAGTAACCATCCTGACGCTGAGCGTTCAGCTTGTCGAGCTCGTTCCTGAGCTGCATGTTTGCCGAATTAGGGACTTGGGTACCGTCTGAATTGAGTCGCGTTTTGACAATATTATGCGAGATATCGCGCTGAGTTTCGCCTGAGATGTCCATGACGTCTAAAGAGAGCACTATTTCGGCCAATGAAGAGGGATAATACATGAGTAAGTAGTGAATATGAGAGGGATGAAGTCAAACGCACGATAGCATGGTACTCTCGGGAACGTCACGTTCATACGCACAGTCAGCTTTTCTCCCCTACTTCTGTCGACCTCCACGGAGGTGTCCATTGTGACTCGACGATAGTCAAAGAATTCCATCGTCGTGAATGTCAGGATGATAGCAGCGGCCATAAGGGTCACTGCGAAGTGAAGTCAGCGCATATACTTCCGAACATGCATAGAGTACCACTGACAGAACGCGCCAGTACGCGTCTTGACCTTCACATCTTCCATAGTCTAGCAAAGTAATGACAGCGTTCATTGTCTGTCAACATCCCGAGATAAAGTGAAATCTTGAACTTGTCGTACCTTTCCGAAGGCATCGACGCCCTTGAGGGCTCCAAAGAAACCTTTAGCCATGACCTTAACGGTGACCGCGCTCTAAGCGGGACGATGGGTAAGAGCAAAGGAAGGGATCAGGAGAGGAGAAAAGAAAGCCAATGGCCAGCAAAGACGACGATGAGGGAAATAAAGAAGCGAGACGTGGCGGCTCGCGACCGGCCAGCAGAGATCACGCCCAGCGCGTCCCTCTGCTACGTGTCCTCACCGCCCCGCCACTTGCGCATGACTTCCCACAGCTTGCTCACAGCCCGACGTTTCTCCTTCGCAATCAAAGCAGTTTAATCTCACTACCATACCTTAACTCCCTGCTCGGTCAATCTGTTTGAATCTCGTCCATATCATCATAACTTATATATATAATTCGCGCAAAATCCTAGAATAAAGCTTGACCCGCAGCGCCTCGGTTACTGCAGCTGCCCGATACGATCCACACCCTGCTGTACCTTGCCGAAAAGGCTGCGCAGACCATCCCTGATACCATCCGCTTGTATCGACGGAGTACTCTCTCCACTCGTCCTGTATACACCACTGCCTGCAGGTCCTCCTAGACTCACATTCACGCCACCAAGATTGAGATTCAGCGCAGGCGCGTTCGACGCCGATTCTGGTGGGGGCTCGTAGACGGATGCTGGGAAGTTGGCAGCGGCGGAATTGATCATGTCGAGGAAACTGAGAGTCTGGGTGAGCAGGCGGGTTATACACAATAAACGACGCGGCCTCTTACCTCGACGAGTTGTGCACACAAGTGCCACCCAGAAGAAGACGAGTCCCAGCTCCTCCGCCGGAGGCCCCTTCTTGATTGAGCAGGCAAACTGTTCTTGCCTCCTCGTATGTCGTTCCACCAACCATAAATATAATTACGTCCTGAGGCCTGACGACGGATGGTAAGAAAATCGGGAACAGTTATGGCGAAACGTTGGACACATACCGTTGTAGACTCGCATTGGGGCCCGGTGACTCGAGGAATGGATAGCTGGTCTCCTTCAATCGTCCTTTAAAAAGATGCTCGAGGGTTTGCGACAGATGCGGAGTATGTTGCATGTACACATTTTCTACTCCCTGTGATGGGTCAGACTGGTGCACAGCTCGAGGACCGTACGACTAACCTTCAGTCCCTTCAGCGCGGAACGACCCATCGCAAGCAACGACTCGGTGGAGAACAAGTCGTCCTGACGCTGGTCGGCGCCTGCTATGTTGAGAACGGCGTACACAAGCTGGGGACAACTTCGTTGAGTAAGACGTCAAAGCACAGTAAGAAGACGAATCCTACTCTTGCAGCCTCTGTAGGAACACCATTTTGCAGTGCGAGGTTGGACTGGCGGATGCGGATGAGTTTGAGGTGGTGAGGGAGGTCCAGGTAGGTTATCCTGTTTTGAGTATTACGGTGGGTAAACACCTCATATATATCTCAAGGAATACTTCGCAGACTATGCGCCATTGCTCCCATCACTGTTCTCTCTCAATCACATACCGTCATCTTCCAGGCCTCTTTATGGTTCGACCCCCAACACATGGGACCCAAAGGCTCTAGAGCTCTCTGTGCAAGGATTGACAGCAGTGTTGCTCAGCCTGAAGAAGAAACCGGTCATCCGTTATGAGAGGATGAGTGGTATGGCAAAGAAGCTGGCGGTCGAAGTCCAGGTACGCCCGCGCTCGCTTTTTTTGGCAATGAAAGTAGGAAATGGCTGACATCTGTGCAGCATCGTATTCAAACCGAATCTCAATTGTTTGACTTCCGACTAACCCAAGTCCCTCCATTACTCCTCATCCTTGATCGGAGAAACGACCCTGTCACGCCCGTGCTGTCGCAATGGACGTACCAAGCTATGGTGCACGAACTCTTTGGCATCCAGAACGGACGTGTCGATTTGGGCCAGGTTCCGGATATTCGTCCAGAACTGAAGGTTCGACTTTCCTCTAACGCTGGAATGAGTAGCCGTTGAACCCATAACTTTTCACTCAGGAAATTACATTAACAACCACCACCGACCCCTTCTTCCAAGGTCACCATCTCGCCACCTTCGGTGACCTTGGTCAATCTCTCAAGTCCTACGTGCAATCGTACCAAGCACGTTCGCTAGCACAGCAGCCCTCGTCCATAAATTCGATATCAGACATGAAACGGTTCGTGGAGGAATATCCCGAATTCAGGAAACTTGGAGGGAACGTCAGCAAACATGTGGCCCTCGTCGGCGAGTTGAGTCGATTAGTGAGCAAAGAGAAATTGCTGGAGCTCGGAGAGGTAGAACAGGGCCTGGCAACTTCTGCGGGTGCAGACATAAGAGTACGTCCTAAGTTCGTATTAGGAGGTGCTTACTCACTATCCTTCAACAGAGTGTTCAAGCCTTGGTCACAGACAATTCCGTCAATCCTATTGCGAAACTTCGGCTAGTGATTCTATATGCTCTACGCTACCAGAAGACACAAGCGAGCAATATTGCTTCCCTCATTCTCAATAACTGTCTTGCTCAATATGTTGCTGAAGTCTGTGAGAGTTCAAGAGTAGTTATAAATACATGTCAGGGAACGCGAGCAACGCTGCGACGCACTGACAGAGGTAGTATTCTCCGTACTTCGGTTCGCTGAGTTCAGATACGAGGGCTTCGAGACTTGATTCGCTGTTTTGGAGGAAGCAGACACATTTCATGTGTGGCATCCGTTCGCGTTTCTTGTTGTCGATACGGTCAGTGAGGTAGACCTGATGGGAAAGTAGTGAGGTTTGGGTAGAAGCTTGAGAAACAATGGGTGTCTGTCGCGCAGAAATTAGTATGGAATAATTGAGGGAGATCTTGAGAGACGCACTGTATGTGTGTCCAACAGCAACACTTTCATTGCTGAGGGCACCGACACCATCTTGGTGATGTACGTATCCACGGCCTTCACGACATCCATGACGGAGACGGTTATGATTCACAGATGCAACTCGTGTTATACGGTCGACAACTATTGACAAGCAGCTTCAGACTAAGTATATGGCCAGGCAGGAGGGTGAGTGTAGATCAAGGACGAAACGAGCTTACGTCGGAACTTGTTCGCGTTCGCCCTGCGGATGATTGATTTGAAATCCGTTCAATATAACCAGACGCCACTGTGGCGAAAGATCATTTGCTTGTGTGGCCCGCTGCGGTTCAGAAATATATCAATCTGGCATCACTACTTTTGCAGCCCTCGTATAGAATCTCAGCCAGAGAAAATTAATATCATGTCAGTAGAAGGGTGGCCAACTCTCTAGGCAACTTCGGCGATTTCTCATAAGCTGTAATGCTAAGTATGTAGCAATTCAATATTCGTACCATAGTAAAAACACAGTGATCTTGACATACCATTCAGACAATACTGCCATGATATCTGTACTACTATACTGAGACAATCATGGAAGAACATAACACATAAACGAACCAATATTCTTGTCTTGGGCACTACCCCCTCGCGCGGAGTTGGAGATGTTCAGACTCCGCCCTGTATAGGCGCTCTCACCTTCAAGTTCAGAACTCCGAAACTCTGCTTACCTCCAACTTCGATGCGGGCTTTTTGATGCTACAGCCCTTACAACTTCAGTTTGCCATCCTACATATGGCACACATCAGTCTTCTCTCTGTCTCTAGAAGTCAAAGTATCACTCTATCTCCGATTCACTACAAGAACATGGGACTATCGCCGCTTCCTAGAGCTCTGGCCAAGGTCTAGCTGGGATCTACTTTTCGCCAGCAATTGCAAGGGTCTTGCGGTCTTCTTTGACTTATATTTACATGCTGCTGTCGGTCCCGTTCATCCTTCTATTTTTTCTTGTGTGCGGCAGGTAAGATTAGCTTTACCCTTTTCACTTCGACGCTTCCTCGGCCTTCTGCCAAATCTCACGCAGGTCCACGAGTTAACTGTGGGGAATGTCTTCGGCGAAATGCGTTTTCACCCTTGTCATCACACGAGCGAATGGGTTCAGGTTGCTCGTGCCTTTCGTGCTCGAGTTCTGACTGGCTGTCTCAATTTCTGTGGCCGATTCTGGTTGGCTGCGGTCTTTTTACAGCTTTTTACATCTTTACCTACTACCGGCATCTTTGCTCAGCCAACCCCTACGTAAGCACGTACACCTCTCCCCTTTCTCAGTCGATCTCACTATTTGTCATCGACTGAATGTCGCGGGCACTGAAGTCAGCCTCGTTCGCGCGCATCTCCCCAAGAAAAGCCAGCCTTCGCAGATTGCCAGAGATGCCCTGAAACCTAGAAATCGTTCTTACTTCCTCTTCCCGAAACCGAAGAGCAACCTCAATCGTGAGTTTTTAAGATATTGTTCAATCTTGGCCACACGTACCACCGATCGATGTTCAGAGTCCACTACTGTCTCTCGCCAGAGTTTCGATCTGGAAGCGAAGTGATTCTGGTGAACACTCACAGTCGTATCTTTCGCACATATTGCTGTCATATGTCATTTTTCCTCAGGAGACTTGCAGATGTACACAGTGGCTCGCTTGTGTGTATCATACCATTGGGCTTTGGCTCTATATCGGTATTACTTTCACTGTTCACACCCCTGTGGCCCGCGCACCGCTATCGCTCGCAGAACCTTCGGATGCGTGAGGATCACTAGGAACAGCTGCACAACTCGATTTCTAACACGGTCGGGATGCCGAAGTGAGGTTAATGTGCGATTCCTGCGGCAACTCTATTGCGGCAACTGTCTCTGTGTATTATTGGAGTCTCCGACTCACCGCAAGTTAGAGCTTCTTCACTTTGGTCACTTCAGCACGGACGAGGCTCAGAGCAGTATTCATCCGCACTAGTGGCCTGTACAACGTTGAATGTCCTAGAGCTCGCCAAGTCGCGCAACGCTCTCCCAGACCATCGTCTTACTATCCGAGTTCTCCCGTCAGCCCGGGATATCTACCAACTGCCAATAGCGATTCGCCCTTCGTTCCTGTAATCTCCCTTGGGTCAAACGGTTCGCACGCCCTGACTTCACGTATTCCCAAGTTGCCGGCTTCGGTGTTCGGCCATCGAAGGTTCAACGCTCACGTACTGTCTCTACGTGCTGCTGTTACCTCTGACTACCCACGTTTCTCCTATGTACGCATCTTTGTTGTTCGCCACAGACCAAGGAGAGACTCAGGGAATTGCAGATGTCCGCACCCTGTCTTCCCTGTCTTCCACCCTTCCACTCGGTGATCTGTAACCTTCAGAAGGAAGCTATGGGCTGTTTATCTGTTTGTCCGTCCCTCTGGATAACACGAACGCCGTCGGTCTCTCAAATGCTACTTCCATTATCATCAGGCCGCCGACGCATGTCTCATTTTAATGTGGCGCCGCCTTTCAGCTTCCATAACCAATTAAACGACATTAATTATCGGGTAACAATGAATTTAGCGATGTTTCGCAGGTATGAACAAACAACACGACAAGACCAAACCTCTCGTATCATCGGCACACCCGATCTTCGCACTCTCACGCTGCAGAAAATAGCGCTGAGGAAGATCAAAGCTTTTGAACTCTCTACATAGCTGTATTTCTTATGTCTCTGTCTTCTGGACATGGTCCACCAGTAAGTCCATGGTGGCCCACCTCTTTTCGTTGATATCCTTTATAGCAACCATCGGCCGAAGATCATAAGTGGTACAGCGTCTGCATCGGTCGCAAGTGTACACCGACAAACCTCCGAGGAAAGAAAAGAGCATTGTTGTTTATTGGTAAGAAACATGAATAGCACCAACGGTACGGAGGCGATTTACTCTTTGTATACCTAAGGAGATGAACCACGGATGGGACGAAAACGAGGAAGAAAAGACTTGAAGCAGAGACCAGGAGCTTGCGTGGCCTGTCACTGTTGTGAATGTCCAAAACGTGATCGGTGCAGCTAAATGGCCATAGACTTATATCCTATGATGGATGTTATCGTAATGAAGCTTTCAAAGCCATAAGACCAACAATGATATGACTGTGATGAATTGGCGACAAACTCCTTGAGCACGGAGTAAAGTAAACATCCCCGCATCCCCACAACCCCACCTCCGCATCAAAACTCCATTCATATCCGCCGCTCAGTGATGTTTCATGAAGATGAGCACAGTGTGCTTGCTTAGCCAATGCCCATCGCTCAGCAGTAGACAAAAGCAATGAATCCGCTTCTGAAAGAAGAAAGACGCGGTCTGTAATCGATATATGCTTATCCAGATCCCCTTCAAGCCACCTGTAAAGAGCAGGCTTGCTCCCCGTCTCATGTGCTTTTGTCAAGGTTCAGGCCAGGCTCGAGCTCGATGCTCGATCATATATTGCAAAGCCGTTGCTAATTACCCCAAGACGAACAAAGCCACATAAGGCCGCAGATGGAACGTCCCTTTATAATTGAACCTTCGACGGTCGCAGGGCAAGCCAATAAGGCTCATAACATCAACCACAACCATTCGAGTGCTCGAAATGAAGACTGCGCTCAGGTCGTCATTGAGACCCACTTCGACATCGCCCTTGACCAAAAAATGATATCACATTCATCGTTCGAGCCTGCCGTATAGCAGGTTCAAATGTTCAAGAGATCCACTCTACACCTGCAGCAGTTGGGTTGTATGAACGCCACCGTGGACCACCCGGAGGACCATGCACGAACCTCCGGATCCAAATATCGAGTCACGACAACGGCTGTACTCGTACTGCATTCAACGCCGGGCCGTCGAATCCTCCTACAACCAAGACGCACCTGATTCTGCCAGAGATACGTGGCCATGAATGCACCTGAAAGAGAACGTATAGGTGTCTTCCGAAAAACACAAGACCGTAGCATTTGCCATTCAGGTGAAAAATGATGAATTCGTGGAGGGCCCGTGATTTGCCCGTGATTGGGGACGAAACGGACCGTGACGGAGAAGCCTACGACGGACCGCTGCCCCGTTCCTCCGTTTTCTCCCGCTTCAACGAAGAACGATCGTGTGGCGTGGCATAAGGTGGCGCAGAAGATCAACAACGACTTCAAGGCCGCCTTTCTATGAACGCATGTCACAAGCGCGTTTCATGCTTGAAGAACAGCCACAAGATACTTGCATATCTATATTGAACCCTATGAGGATGTAAGAAGAATTCTTGGCAGCCTTGAATAATGAGTGGCACTTGAGTGGCCCTTGAATGTACTAAGCTCAACGTTCAACACCTAGAGACTAAAAGTAAAATTTAAGAGTAGCCTATTCCCTCGCAAAATCCGATATCAACCTTCACTGCGATACCTCAGTCCTACTCACCATGCTAGACCATTCTATAGTCGCGATGCGGCTCCAGCAATCCCTCACATTCCTCGTCAGGAGCTAAGTCGGCGACAGAACCTGCGAACGTTCTTAACGTCCAAGTATACACCAAGGTATCTCCCGAGCATTCCCTGAAAAGTCCTGAATACACGTAGACCGTGGCTGGTGACCCGTTGAGCATCGTCTTCGAAGTTGAATTCGCCGATTGGAACCTGTCAACAGTGCTTCAACGAAGTGCAAGTAAACGGCGACCACCATAAATGTAACATTCAACCTCAGAGAGCCCTCTTCGCATCCACAATCGAGCATCTTGGCACTACCTCCGACGCGATATCTTCAGGCTATCAAAACCCGACAGTGAGCTCGGAATTCCGAAGTAGTAGAGCATCCCAACTCTCCGCGGAGAAACCTCGAGAGCAGAGCACATAAACCCATCTGAAGAAATCCTTCCTTCCGTTCGTCTCTCTTCGAGTCGGCATGAGCTGAGCTTCAAGCGGCAACTCGGAGAGACCTGTTCAGCGGTAAGTACCGTACCGCGGCAAGAGTCTAGCCGCAGAAGGGAAACCACTCCGGGGAATAAAATCAAAACACCCACTGCGGGCTACAAAGATAGCCAGGGGCGAGCGCCAGAGATACAGAGCAAAGCTCTTCGCGCCCGATGGGCATGCGAGCACATGCGACGCTTTGACGCCCTGATAAACAGATTGCCAGATGTGGTTGTGGATTCAGATGCGGCTAAGGCGTGGGGAAGGTGGTCCAGCGGCAACCGTTGGTGATTATGCCACAGGAGTACAATAGTTGGTGCCAGTGCGGGGAATGGCGGGGAGACGCCGCTGTATAATGTACAGCGTATGAGAATCGGGCGATACGCTCGAAGTTGATGTTCGATCTGCCCCTGCCCCTGTCTTCCGGCGAATAGCGAGCGCTTCGCGATAATTGGATGGCCGCGGTTGCAGCAGATGAAGGTTGCCCGGTGACTCGCCAATGGTCGCTGGAGAAATCTGGCCATCAATTGGCTCGGACGATGGAAGGGGATCGGGGCGCGCAGAAGAGTTGGCTGAACGAGTACATAGTGTCGGTGCAGATTCCTCCGTTGGACGAACGGGATGTAGATGGTTCCTTTCGTCCGCCCATATGCGCATACGCTTGGAACACCGGAGTTGCGAGGATACGCCGTGGGTGGGCTTCCTTCCGTGAGAGGACTAGCATAGCAGCAGCGCGTATTGTAGCATCTCTAAAAGTAGCCGGCGTCAATTGCTCCTCCAAGCATCGAGGTCCTGAAAGCTGCCAGTCAGTTCTCTCCCCTGAAAGCTCCCGCTGCTACCGCAAAGCGCTCATATTCGTCTCACCTCGTACGGCGAGATGCGAAGCTACCTCGGAGCGCTGTTGTGTCAGACACAACATCTTCAACACCCGCCGGATATCCGACTCTCCCGAGCGCGTGTCAATTATGGCGGATGCCGAATATTCGTTCTTGAGTGCTCGACTTGGAAGTTGGCGGATGGGGCACAGAGCGCTAAGATGAGTAATGCGACGATCAAGGAGGGAGAAGACGAAGATGGAAGAGGACTTAGCAGCAAACGACTCGTTTCGAACTTTAGTAGCCTGAACGCAGTCGGGTGTTTTGATGAGAACCAGTAGGAGACCCATCATCTTTGCGCTGCTTCCGTCAAAGCGAGAAGTGTACGGTTAGCCAAATAAGTGTTAAGCCGACTCGGAACAGAGCAGAACAGGACCCCAGTCTATAAGCCCTTTAGTGACGGAAATCACCTTTCCACACTACTAGGCGACACGGTGCACCCACCGGTTAGCGAGGAAGTGCAAGTGTTAGCTCGGCGGCGGGATCGTGAAGCATGAACGCGGCGAAGTGGCGGGTAATGCGGGGTACGTGAACAGGAAAGCAAACATGTATAATGCCTAGGGATGATCCGCGTGCGGGGATATTAGCCATGAACATAGCATTAGGATTACCATGACTGGACTGTTTCGACGTACGCTGACAGCATTTTCCCCGCTCAGCGTCAGCAATTAGTGGACTTTCTCTCCTCCGCTCCCTATCTTCTCTCCATCAAGTCCAGGTCGATCATCCAGCCATCCATCGAATCTTGGTCCAAGTCGCCATAGATATGTGACAGTCCGACCAACGCAGGCCAACGCGATGTCGAACGACGAACACGGAGTTGAAACTGATTCCCCAACATAGCAGTGTCCAAACTCTGCGGCCCAGTGATCGTAGTGCATCCTGAATGAACCTCGAACACTGAACACGGCCTCCGCTCGTCTGTCCGTCCTCCCGATATCGATCCCAAGCACTGGAACCTAACATGATTCAGATTCAGATGCGGGGAATCAACAACAACAACAACAAACGACACGCATCATCAATCCACAGCGCGATAACTCCTGCCCCTGTCACCGCGCCCTGTCGCATCCTATCATATCACGCTCTAAAAAGCGCTGTCGATGCGGGGAAACCATGCATGCACGCACGTATCCTCCGAGCCCCACGAACGGGAAAACCGAGTTCACGATCAGGATCACGATGGACTTCGGACTTCCGCTCGAGGCGCAGGTCCATCGCTCTCGGAGCTGTAGTTAACGTTGCTGCAGGCTGCATGTTGCATGTTGCATGTTCGTCACTACAGCTGCCTGAGCCGCCGATCGATGTTTCGCCTTTCGAGTGTGCGGTCTCCAGGCCAGTTGCCAGTGGAGCATGCTAGCGGTCTAGACTCTTCAAACGCTTCAAAGCACAATAGCCTAGGGGAGACAAAGAGGGAATGTTGGCCACTGAGCATCATGTAAAAACGTGGTTGCCCATAACTGGTGATCAATGGCCTACAGCTGTATGTTGGCTGTATGGGTGGCACGAACTCCGAACCACGCGTTGGCTGCATTATTGCACAGTCTGAGTCTGACAGTAGTAGTAGTAGTAGTAGTGTAATTGGGACACGGCGCGTCGATATACTGACCTATGACCTATAACACAAGTATCAGCTGGTTCTCCGCAAGACTGAGCGTTCGGATATGACTGCCATACTAATAAACTCACAACGAGGATGACACGTACGACGACTCTAAGTAAGCTGCGCGCGAAGACAATGTGGCCTACCTAGTAGTGCTGTAGTGGCAGCAAACACCGTGGCGATTCACTCGATCTCCAGCGATTTCCGCCACCACCTCCAGCGGGCGCCACGACGACTCGCCACCACCACGACAACAACGAGCCAATAGGAGAAAGCATTGACACAGTCCTAGTAGCCTGGGAGCGCCGCTCGCCGACCAGACGCACAACGAATCATGATCACCAAATCATGCCCATAGTACCGAGGTCCCACAGCGCCACCCACAGTGACTTCCAACCCATCCTGATTCCTAGGATCAAGAAGCCCTCCGACCTTAGGAATAGGAGTCATCAAGAACTCACGGACTCACGGACTCTCACCTCCGAGGGGGCCGTGCGCGTGAGCAGAGAAAGCCAAAACCCAAGAAAGCTGGTGCTGGCGTTGGCGTTGGACCCTTGGTGGTGGTGTGAAGTCAGCCAATCACGAGATAATAGTATAATTACACCTCCGCGTCCGCCCTGCCCGCCGTCCAGTCGCGTGCGTCCGGGTTCCACACTGCTCAATATCGGTACTTTTCTAGGTTCCACACACACACACACACACACAGCGACGAGATCCTGCATATTGATATAAGGAACCGTACACGCTGGCACGCGGGCATTCCCAGCTTTTTTTTCGCACCGCGGTTCCCAAGCTGCCAACCAATACCGCAACATGTTACGTGTAGTACAGTACCGCGACATTGCCTTACCACGCGTGTCTCAGTATCTGTCCAGTGCCAGTGTCCATAAGTATCCTCAGACTCAAGTTCCGGTATCTACTTGTGATACTGGAGGCAGTAACTAAAAACCCATGTGGCACTAGAGCATCCACACAATCTCGAATGATCAACCAGGATCCACCGCTGCTCGACGGTCCGCACTGTCACTGTATCTGTATCGTGTGTACACACTGACACTAACACTGACGCTGAAGGGGTTAGCATATGATACTACACACCGCAAGGAACGTATGAACCAACACTCTCAGGAAAGCAGAAGCTAAAAAAGGGGCTTCAACTTGAAGTTCGGGTGGCGCTATGACATGCATATGGATGCTACAGCTGTCTGCATCCATATGAAGTATGAAGAGTCCGAGTCCGAGTCCGTACGTTGGAAACTGGGAGACTGAGACTTGGAGCTATATAACAGCGGAAAAAGCTCATGCACATTATTGAGTCGTGAATATTGGAGCGGAGGGCTCACCTGACCGATGATCAGTTCCCAGTGAGAGGAGCTAAGGCCAAGGGTTATTAAGAGGTGGACTCGGAATCGAGATCGCATCAGAGTACTTAGCCGGAGCAGAGGATGGGCAGAGACTTTGTGGCGGCCGGTTAAGTCGCTACATACATATACACATGATATAATTGATGCAGATGAATCGCTTGTCCAACCAATCAGTGTCTCGAACTTGAAGGCTCTGTCTGCGCAACTCGAGTGTCTGCGGTATCGCCATGGGTCAATAACACTTGATACACGAGTGATCCCAAACCGAACCAAATGACCTGCGGATGGATGGCCATGGCCAATGGCCTACTTACGAGTCCATGAATGGCTCGAGCTCCTAACTTGAATCTGTCGTTCTGTGAGAACGTCGCGACAACGAACAAGCCCGAAAGCCCGACGTACATAATAAGCCCAAGTAGATCTCGATGATCGCTAGCTGCAGGTTTTGGAAGGAGATTACTTACGGCTTTGAACGGTTAACGTGTTAGGGTTTGGGACCCTCGTGGGCACTGGGACGACGGAGGACGACACCAAGGCGACCAGCTGGCGAGCACAGCAGGAGCCGCGATTGCGCTGATGCGGCTGATGGCACCAATAAGTATGCGATTAGTTAGTGCCTGATCACGCACGGATAGATATTAGATGGGAAAAGTGGTAGAAAGTGTAGTAATGAGTGAGTCAAGAGATGCCAGAGCGGAAATGGTGATTGTTGAAATGGGAAATTAGGTGGGAGAACCCGCTGAGGGATGACACACTGGCAAGACGACGACGAGGGGCCGGGGGTGAGACGGAAAATTAAAGAATCGATGATGGATCATGCGAGTACTGTGATATTATTATCGTGCCGCGATCTTCTGAGGAGGTTGCCGACGCGAGCAAAGCGGAAGATGGAAAGAGCGTGCAGTGAGCGTCTGAGGATCTGAAGGCTAGTACTATAGGTACTAGTACATACGGACCTGCTATAGGCGGTGTTGTTTAGATCACGAAGAGTATGCGACGGATGGGTGTTCGTGGGATTCCGAGGGCTACACTTGCGAGGGTCGCTCGTTCGTGTGCAAGTACATAAGCCAGTACCACAAAGCCAATTCAAAGCCAAAAACCAAAAAGCACATATTACGAGGAGGAGCTCGAGCCAATGAGGGCGGAGTGTCGTCACCACAAAAGGCGAGAACGAATGGGAGGTCGCCGTCGAAGACGGACACTGCGGTAAGTCCCACTCGCTCACGTACGTTGACACACAGGAAGTGCCCAGACACGGATGGAGATAATGAGCTATAGCGGTTTGGAGTGAGAGCATCATGCAGCGGTCTCGAGGCGAATGATTTTGTAAAATTGCGAGTAGTTCTGCAACGACCGCCGAGGTCGTGTTCCAGGCTTGAGTGTAAATTAGATCAAAGAAAGATAAGAAGAGGACAGGGATTGGATGCGCGCATGCTGGTGTCGGGGGAGCGTGAGGCGAGGCGAGGCGGACGCGAGAGTGCTGTTATGTACAAAGTCTCAACGCGGAGGGGAAGGAAGGGACATGCCTATCGAGAATCGGGATTCCCAGAACGGCACGAAGAGAACGAACAAGGCGAGGGAGGAGGAACAGATTAGATTAGATTAGATTAATACACAGCACGGTCCCGTTGAGGAACAGCTGGACCTTCTCCGGCCTCCTGTGGACGAGCTCGCCATATTTTCAGGCTGTAGATCCACAGGCGCATGAGAGGCTTGGTAGTAGGTAGTTACAAGATGTAGGTACAGAGTAGTATCTACATGTAAGAGTCAGTTACGGGACAGGCAGTGCCGGCCAAAGCATGGGCACTTCCTGATATAGTTTGAGAACCTCGTGTACAAACTTTGCCACACGGTTGACGGTATCTCTACGAAAGATGATTTTTTGGGTGAGTTCCACTGCGTTGTGAGCATGAACTCTGCTCCGCAGCTCCGGAAAGATTGGCTCCAGGTCCACAAAGAGTGCCTCACGCAACAGCAGAAGGTCTCCGTTCCCTCGGCAGAGCAATAAAGCGTGTTCTGGCGATTCCACCGCCTGGGAGCACAGACGGCATAATCTCATGTCGCGAGGACCGGAGCA